GGACAGCCCCAGTTTGTATCACTACTATTTACCTTTGAGGAGGATGTAAATAATGAGTTTGCGCGGTACCAGTGGATATAACTACGATATAGATTCAAATAAAAAAAAAAAAGAAGAGATCGATATCATATAAGGCTGGTGGTATAACGAAATAGATTTACCTTAACAAACGCGAGTAATATAGCATATAATAGGTTGAAGGTACTTGCGTTCGCTTGTTCTAACTAGAAGGTGTGTGCACACATGACAAAAAAGAGAATGATTAAGTACACGAACATAATGGAGATTGTATCCAACGTCACTTTTTTATTATTATTATTATTTCCATACCTTACTTTAATTTGTATTAAAAAAGATAAACATATAACAAAAAAAAAAAAAAAAAAAAACAAGGTGATAAAAAGAAGAAGATAAAGAAAATAAACAAATAAAACTTTTTTTTATATAATTCTCACTGCACCTGATTTGTCTCCGCGGGCTTCAAGAATGCAAAACTTGATGACCCCTGACGATCAATTTTTCCTCTCTCGTTCGAAAATGAATATAACATAAAACAAATCATTTTCTTTCAATTTACTTTAGAGTAAATTAAAAAAAAAAAAAAAAAGAAATGAGGATCAATACCATCTAATATTCAGGTTGTGTGTGATTGTATTAAATCATTATCTGAAATAAAATATATTCCGTAATATTTGTTTATATTCAAAAGAAATTGACCATGTCAAAAAAAAAAAAAAAAAAAAAAAAAAGAGAATGTTCTTTAGATTTCTTTTTATTTTATTTTATTTTTATTTTTTTCTTAAAAAAAAAATGCTACTTAAACATCTACCATGTATAGGTATAATAATCCTATATCTAATACATTTAGTATCCTCGGCAACACATCAAATACAAGTAGGACCTAACGGACAGTTGATTTTTGAACCCTCAACTATTGATATTATTGTTGATGATTCCATCCAATTTATTTTCACTGGTACTCATACTGCTACTCAAGCATCTTCATCAGATCCTTGTAAGAGAGCATCACCTCCTGCGTTTGATTTTAATTCCAATGGACAACATACTTTCAACACGTCTGGAGTTTTTAATCTCTTCTGTGACGTTGGTGATCATTGTCAACGAGGAATGAAAGGCGTCATTACAGTTTCGTCTGCAAACTCTACAAGCACTTCCAATCCTACTTCTACAAGCACTTCTAATCCTACTCCTACAAGCAGTAAATCATCAGCATTTACAAAATATAATTGCGACATCTTATTGACAGTAATCATCATCATGGTCGTCACTTGTTTTACTTGAACCTTATAATCTATAGTTATACGTTCTCTGACAATATTATAATAAAAGATTATAGAGTTTATCATGTCCTTGGGACACAAAGTATAAAAAAGTGAGGAATGTTGATTTGATGTGAAGATGTGAGCTGTAGTTTTTTTTTTTTTTTGACAATCGATGGTAATCATTAATCATCAATCATCCGTACATTCAATCATTTCTACGTTCAATCATCCATACATTCAATCATTTCTACGTTCAATCATCCATACATTCAGTCATTTCTACGTTCAATCATCCATACATTCAATCATTTCTACGTTCAATCATCCATACATTCAGTCATTTCTACGTTCAATCATCCATACATTCAATCATTTCTACGTTCAATCATCCATACATTTAAGCATCCATACATTTAATCATCCATACATTTAATCATCCATACATTTAATCATCCATACATTTAATCATCCATACATTCAATATAAATATAACGATTCTTTTTTTATATTTCCAAATCTAAAGGTTACAATGATTTTGGAACAGAGAATATTTTTAATCTTTTACTTATTTATTTTGAAATATGTTGTAATTAAATTATTCAAGATAACCATTTAATATTTAACTATTTATATTCTTTACAAGGTTAATTCAAATTCTAATATGAATATATTTACTATTTAAAAAAAAAAAAAGGAATTTTTAATATAAAACAAAAGTCTTTTTATCAAAAGCAAATCCTACAAAAGAATTGTAATAAATGTTGACAAAAATTTTAACAATATTATTTTTAATATCAAATAGGGTATCAGCTCAGGCTGATTCCTATACCTTTAATCATTTAATAATAGCACATGGATCCTTAATGGCAATAACATTTCTATTATTAATTCCTATAGGAATTTTCCTTGCTCGCTTTGGTAATAGATTATTACCTAGGTGTTCTAGATGGATCGAGTCTCATATGATCGGAATGCTCTTTTCTGCCATTTTTCCATTTCTAACGGCTTTTCTTTGTGCATATTTTGCAACTACACCTTATAATTTTCTATTTGCACACACAAAAATTGGCTTGACTATATTTTTATTAATATGGATTCAAGTATTTCTTGGTTTGATAAATCATACAATTTATCGTTATCGTAAAAAAAGAAATGAACTTCCATTAAATCGTCCCTGGCATAATCATATACATCTTTGGTTAGGTAGAATGATTGTGCTTTTAGGTATATCTAATATTCCGGTTGGTTTGATATTATATGAAGCACCCAACTTTTTTTATATTTTGTACGCTATTTGGACATTTCTTCTTATATGCGTATTTATTGCGTTGGAAATGTATACTAGACATCATACAAATTAGTACTAATAAAATATCGTTGTATAATATATATTCCTTGGATCATCATAACTTTAAACCTCCTTTTTTTTTAATAGAAAAGGAAGAACCATATTATATTGTACTGTGATGATTGATTTTGTATTGCATGTCATCTTTGGATCATCATCATCATCGTTGTCATCAACATTGATTTATATTGTATATCACTTGTTTGGAAAATTACTCTTTTCCGATGAATGTTATATGAATGAAAAGATCTTGTACCTTTTTTTTTCCTGATTTGGATTGCCACCCGCATAATGAAAAAAAAAAAAAAAAAAATCTGGGTTCCAAGGGAAAAGGATGCTGCTAAGAAAAAAAATAAAAAGTTGGTTTTGTTTATTTTTCTTTCTTCTTTTCTTTTTTCACTACTGTTTTTCTACTGATGCTTTCTTCTTTTATTTTTTAACATGAACCAAGTCAAGGTATGAAAATAATAAATAAAAAAAAAAAAGAGACTTTTTATACATATTTATTGTATTCGTGGACTGACTCAATCAATCTTATCTTCTTTTGTCATTTGTGTGATACCTTCTAGTTGAAACAAACAAACACAAGTATCTTCAGTCTATTATAGGCCGTATTATTCATGTTTAATAAGGTAAATCCATTCCAATACATCATCAACTTTATATGATAATGATCTCATCTTCATCATTAACAATCTTCACCCGGAGAGGCTTTATTTGGTAAGAAACAAATTATACTATAAACTATAAACACTTTAAAACAGAACTCACTCCATTCTTTCCTTTTCTTTTCTCTCTCTCTCTTTTTTTTTCTTTCTTTTGTCTTAGACCACTTACACTACCAAGCAACAAAAGTGAATCTCTTACTCTATAAAAGACAACAAGCAAGGTAATGTGTTCATTAATTTAGTTATTTCTTTACACACTGAAAAAAAAAATTAAAGCTAACTCTTTTCTCTTCTTACTATTCGCGTCTTTGGCTCACTTATATTAACAGAAGGAAATCCCTTATTCCATGGAATTATTATAGTCAACATTGCACAAAATACACGAAAAGCTTTCGTTTGAACTTTATTACTGGACCATGAAAGAAAAATATAAAAGGTAATATCTAAAAAGAATAGAAAATCTTCATATGCAAAGACTTACTGTTATAATATTATGTCAAGAGAATACAACTAGATGGCCATATATATCAGTACAAATGGAACAATGTGCAACAGGATCAATGGGATGTATGTACAACATTGAAATGGACGGATAATACGATCAATTGGATGGATAGTAGTGATCAATTGGATAATGATGGATTACAGAATCAAACATACTATTAGGAACAATAACAAGGCATCAATTGGACATCGACAAGAGATAAATAGTACAAACGTATCTTGATTAATATCTTCATCTGATTTCGTATATTACGTTCTTTTATTTATAGTTAGCATTACTAGTTATATTATATTTTTATTTTTTTTACTTGTATTTTTTATTTTTTTTATTTCTTTTTTTTTTTTGGCTATAATTTCATTTTTTTTCTTTTTCTTTTTATATGTATACATTCTTACTTACAATAAAAAATATATTATTTGACATATTTGTATAAAATCAACTGAATAGAATCAATCACAAAGATTCATCAATAGCAGTAACCTAATCCTTGTATATATATAATCATTAAGCATCTTCATCTTTCTTTGATGGAGAGTCTCAATAAATGCGCACAATGACAAATATGTTATCACAATAGTTACACAGTGTTTTCAAAGTCTTTTTTTTCGGGTCACAAGAAAATGCTTTTCGTGATGTTATAAAATAAAATATCGTACTTTCCCAAAATGAATGGCGCATTACCACTTTTTCAGATATCGCTCCAGAGATGGCGGTAGAGTACATTAAAAACACATAACATATTGATGATAACTTGTTTATTAAAAATAAAAGACACAAAATAAAAGTAACATGGACTTATCATATTTTTAGCAGCTTTGGGTGTTGCCCATTCTTTTTTAGGTATCAATTGATTGATGATTGATGATTGATGATTGATGATTGATGATTGATGATTGATGATTGATGATTGATGATTGATGATTGATGATTGATGATTGATGATTGATGATTGATGATTGATGATTGATGATTGATGATTGATGATTGATGATTGATGATTGATGATTGATGATTGATGATTGATGATTGATGATTGATGATTGATGATTGATGATTGATGATTATATGTTGGATGATTGATGATGGATGATGGATGATGGATGATTATATGTTGGATGATGGAACATCGTATCAGTCACTGTACAAATTTCTGATAAAATACAAAATACTTCATTCTAGTTACCTTCTGACAGAACAACATTTTCTTTTTCTTTTCTTTTTTTCTTTGAAAAATGTCAAAACACTCTTTTATCAGCCAACATGATCAATCAATATAATAACGATGATTCATCAAACATCTATGTAAATTAAAAAATACAATAATAAATGTGCTGTACACAATCATACTACCATTTAAAATAGAACAACTAAAAAAAAAAAAAAAAAATCTAGTCATCAAACTAAAACACGGCAAAAACAAGTCAGTATCATGTATCACTTAGTACATGGATATTGTAATAATAGAATTTAATGTAGAACACCTATGTAGTTAACTTTATTATAGAGAGAGAAATGTTGCTAACGCTAAAAAAAATGATGAAGTAGATACTAAAAATAATAAAGTAGATACTAAAAAAGACAAATGATAAATTAAATACAATAGAAAGAGAGAAATGCTGTTAATACTAAAAAAAAAATGATGATGAATTAGATACGATATAAAGATAGAAATGTTGCTAATATTTAAAAAAAAATGATAAAACTCGTTTACATCTTGTCTCATCATTTTATCTACTAAAATTAGCTCATAATTGCAGGGGTGATTCATTTTCTTATAAAAGGATCTCTTTGATTTAACTTTTTTTTTTTTTATTTCTTTACATTATATTCATCTTACCTGCTTCCTTTTTGGCCTACCTGCCTGCTTTTTTGTCTGCCTTCTTCTTTTTTTTTTTTTTGCCTATCTTTTTCTTCACAAGTATTCTTTAATGGTTCAATAGCCGTTGTCTATAATTTTCTTTACAAGTATTCTTTAATGGTTCAATCACCGTTGTCTATAATTTTCTTTACAAGTATTCTTTAATGGTTTAATCACCGTTGGTTCAATCAATTTAACAACTTAACAATTCAACAATTTCCGGGATGGTTATCGCCAGGTACCTACTTTCGTTGCAGCGATGCAGCGATCACGTTACACTTAAATGGTAAGCTAGTGAAATATTTTTATCTGGATAAATATCACTCATTTTTTATTTTTTTATTTTTTTTTTTTTTATATGCAAACTTGGTGAACTCAATTGGTGGATTTCTTTTTTTTTATTGGTCTTTTTTTCATGATATCTATTTTCTTATATTCTCTATTTGATTATGCGACAACTCTTCTCTTTTCTTCCCCGTCATTTATTTTCTATCCTTATGATATTTTATTTCCTATTTTTGCGCCATCTTATTCTTTGAATTCCGTCATTTTTTATTGAATAAAGTGTACAAAAATAATATTTTTATTTTATTGATCAATAAGAAGATAAAAAAAAAAAAAAGGAAGGAGGAAAACAACTGTGCCAGCAGTAAAATAAGGAGGGGGGGAATCTAAAAAAAAAAAAAAAATAGTCTATTGTTTGTACAAGGAATCAAAAAAAAAAATGCATTTGTTGTGTACGGGGGTAAGATGTAAAGGGGGAGAGAAAGAGAGAGAGAGAGAGAAAGAGAGAGAGAGAGAGAAAGAGAGATCATGCAACATGTGAACCATAAAGAGCCGCGACGACGATGATGACAATAACAAGGATAATACTAAATCCAATAGATAAATATCGATTTAATTGTTGCCAACGTCTTGCCATTTTACCACCTTGATCAGGATGTCTTGGCCAACAAGCACCTATCCACCAGAGAGGAGGAAACAAAAAGCCAAAGAGAAACAAATACATGCCAATTGAATGAACACCATCCTCCTTATCCCATACCCACCAAGGTCGTCGTTCTTCTGAGGGTATGATACTCTTGACTTGATGTAAATCCGATTCTATTGCTGCCCATAATGTGTTTGGTGTTTTATCATTATCGTTTGTTTGTTTTTCTATATCCATTGATTCATCATGAGTCTTGTCCTGATTGATCAAAGTAGAAGCATCCTGTTGAAATTGTCGGTCAATATAATCATGAAAACTTGAATCTGATTCTTGAGGAGATCTTGAAGTATGGAATATAACGGCATTATGAGGTAATGGTGAAACAAGAGTCATAGGTGAAGATGTACGTTTGCCTACAAGTTCTGTCCGAGATCCTCGAGAAGATTGATGTGAAAGTGGCGTGGTAGAGCGAATGAGATTTTCCGCTACTTGATAAGCATGTTGTTGTTGTTGTTCCATTTAGAATAAAAAATACATCAAGATATCATAAATTATATTATATGTAAACGAATGGAATGGGGGATTGCTTAATAAAAAGAAAGAAAGAAAGAAAGAATAAATAAAAAAAAATAAAAAAAAAAAAATAGAAACAGGGTAACACAAATATGATTAAAATAAAAATAACAAAAATAAAAATATTGAAGCGCAGTAGGAGGATCCCCGCTCATCCCTCCCTCCCTTCCCCCCCTCGTGTCAACAGTAAAAATAAAGGATCATCCAGTATAATAATCAACAACCATCCCTTATTGAATACAATTTTTATAAAACCGTTCTTCTTTTTTTTTTTTTATTTTTATTTTTATTTTTATTTTTTTTTTTTTGCCACTCCATAGTAAAAATACATACCTCCCCTCTCTCCTTATATATTTTTCCCTTTTTTTTTTTTTTTTTTAATACCACTCCTTAAACAAAATAGAGAAGAAATAGTTTATAAATAATAAAAAAAAGTTATCTACATAATAATACAATCTGTCATATCTTTTTGTACTACTTTTCTAATCACAGCCCAATCACTTCTACAAGAAGCAAATTCAAATAAATCTTCTATTCGCATAAGACCATGGTATCTTTCTAAATCATGAATCACACTCTTGATATCCGGTGCTGAATCAATAATATATAAATTGGCCAATGATTTGAGTGCTAAAAAGTATGGAGTCACTGATTTTTGTCGTAATGAAGATACAAAATCATAATACGCATTCATATCACTAGTCATTTAAAGAAAAAAAAAAAAAAGAATTGAATTAATCTATCATGTTTTTTTATTATTATTATTTATCATTTTTTACCAAATATATCGGATACCACCTTGTTCATTCACAGTTTGTGTTTTTAAATGTTTTGATAAAATTCTATATTAACATATTATAATGAGTCATCTTTTTAATTCATATCTCTTTTTTTTTTTTATTTTTATTTTTATTGATACTTACTCAAAGAATCGACGTCCTACTTCAGAAAAGAATAAATCCATTGTTGATTTTTCAGCAGCACCTTGTAACATGGATGTATTTGCCTTCAAACATTGAATCACATCTAAGCAAGCCTTAGTAGGAGTCAAATCAACCATAAAATCTGGTGGGTTGTAATCACTTGGTAATTGTTCAGTCATCAAAATCATTTCAACTTGTGACAATAACACCTAATGAAAATATATATATGTTTAGATACATTCCTTTTTTATTATTAGTATTATTATTTAATATTATCGTTTACCTGAATCCCATGATCCATTCCTTGAGCAACGCAGTCATCCAACATTCTCTCAAATATCTTTTTTTCTTTATTGACTTCATTCATAAAATCATGCTTATCAATGAATTTGGTCTAATAATACAAATAAAGAATAAGGTACACTTATCTTTTTTTTTTTTTTTTTTTTTTTTACCATTTCTTCATCATAATAAAGTTGAACCATTTGTTGAATCACATCTGCTATATGTACCAATTCAAAAAAATCCGTCAATGGTGGAACATCGTCCGTATTGCTTGATGATTCCATTTTGGGTTTATATCGTAATAATTCATTAGATGCTCTAAGGAAGAAGCGAAAAAAAAACTGAATGATGATCATCTTCTTATTTTTTTTTCTCAATTTTACCTATCAAAAGCAGGTTTGATATGTTCCGCACCTAAGGCTTTCAAAAGTCGAATAAAAATTTGTTCATAGGTTGTTTGACTATAGAAGAAAAAGTGCGATAGACAAATATCTGTTAATAAATCCAAAACAAGAATTATTAATACATACATATCATGTTTCATTCGTCCAGGGAATCCAATATCAATAAATCTTTGTACACGCCGTTCTGAATCCTTATTGTAATGTATGAGCTGTAAAGCCAATTCAAGACTAAGTAAATCCTGCATCATATCCAGTTGAGTTTGAGCTGTTTCCAAAGCATCATTCGGATCAAGGTTACTATTGCCATCTGTTGAAGGACGTGAAGATGGTGATGAAGAGGCAGTGGGAGTGGATGGTGATTTGATGGAAGAAGCGGATGATATAGAAACCATAGATCCCGTTTTCGTTTTTCTGGAATTAGTAATGGATGATCGTGGTGTAGATGGAGGTGTTGATTGTGGTGTAACATTTTCAGATTTCCCATTCTTCTTATTGTGATTGCCGATGGTGGTATCCGAAACATCATTTGGTTTCATCGTTTGTGATCGTTGAAAAGGTGAAGCTATAGTAGTTGCTGCTGATGATACAAGATCCACAGGAAGAGCAATTACCTTTTTAAAAGCAGATAGATAATTTCTAAGTAATATAAACGATTTTTTTGGTCAATTTTATCTGAATCTATTTCCTCTCTCTCTGTCTTTTTTTTTTTTTCTTTCTACCTTTTAAATGTTTCTCTTGATTGATTCGTAATTCTTTTGGCATCTTCGTCGCTTTGAGCACTGGTTCTATTGTTCTATTAAAAAAAAAACGTATGTTGAGAATGATAAAAGATGTAACTTTTTAATATTTCCTTACCCATCTTTCTATTCCTTCTTCACAAGTCTTGTTCACATATCCTTGTTCCTCGAATAAATAATCATCCAGAAATGGTAAAAGTAGTTTGAATAAAAGATTAGTGCCTCTTTCTTGATCCAAGTGACATGGCAAGTCAGTATCAGTCATGACTTTTACTAAGGAAGTTGTCAAAGATAATGCCAAGGAGGTGGTATGTAGATAAACTTTGGTGCCTTTGTCATGAGCCAAACCCATTAGTTGTACAAGATATTCAGAAATCTGTTAAAATAGATATAAAGAGTTTGAATACAAAAATAAAGGAATATTAACATATACTTACCACATCTTCAAACACCCGATCCGCAAATGAATAAAAGACATCAACGTTGGATGGAAATACTTGTGAGATAACGGTTGCTTGTTGTTGTAATTCTTCTGTAATGGCTGCAATAAATTGATGAAATGGTTCCAAATCATTCTCTGATTTCCTATAATAATCATCATAATATATATAGTTATTCCCATTCATTGGATTTCATTCTAATAATCTTACATAAAATTATCTTCAGGTTTAAATGGATTGTCATAAAATATTTGATGTTTTTGAATAAAAGTTTGTATACAAATAGATCCGCCATTCAGTGCCACCAAAGCATGAGCATAGATCTGTGTCAAGAAAAAAAAAAAGTATTCAATATATATATATATTGTATTTTCCCTTTATTTACCTTCATATTATCCAAGTTTTGGGAATCATAAGCAACTTCAAATTCATGGAGAGAAGCACTTTCAAAGTATTGGCATAATGCATCCACACCCTCATTAATCTAATAGATAAAGTTAAATAATGTTAAATAATCATCTCCCACCCCCTTGTTATATGCAGTCCCCCTTAAAGTTGTTTTCTTATTGATACTTGCCTCTTTCCAATCACTAACAACGTGTACAAGACCAAGACCACCCAATAAATTCAATGTTTTTCCACATTCTATAGGTTTAGAGCCAAAATCACAAAGAATCTTAGATTCTTTACTATGACGGTTTCGAAGGTCCACGTAATAGGGTATCAATTGAGTATATAATTGTTTAAATCGTTCTCTTGCTTCACCGGTAGATTTTGCCCTTGCTCTAGCGTTATAAGGATCCGTTTGTAATCCAGGTATTAGTTCATTCAATGGTTTATTGTTGATAACTATTTCTTGATATTTTGATATGAGTGACCCTTTATCTTTGGCTTGATATGATTTTAATAATACAAAAAAAAAAAAAAAAAAAAAAAAAGTTAAGAATAATTTGTTCTTGACCAGTAGATAATTATTTTATTTATTTATTTACTTATTACTTACCCATAAAAGTACCAAAAGAACCAGCTGTATGTCGTTCTATAATATCTAACTTTTCATCCCATATTTCATCATCATAAGCCAATACTTTGAATCGTCTTGAAACTAGAGCAACATTGGTCAAACTGGATAATGGTAATAATTGAAAGATGCGTAATAAAACATTAGGTGGTATTGGGCGTTTGATTTTGGTAGGTTGTATAGGTGAAGGTAATGAAGACTCTATAGGTGAAGTCACTGGTGAGTCTATGTAATCCATAACATATAGAGAAAATGTAAAAGTATATTCACAAAAAAAAAAAAAAAAAAAAAAAAAGAAAGAAAAGAAATGAGGGGAGAGAAGGGAAAAAGGTTAATTTTTTTTTTTTCTTGTTCATGAAGCGGAAAGTGAAATTGTAAATGGGTTTTCTTTAATATGAGTGACCTTGTAACGGAACGATACAAACTTTGATTATATATATTCAATAATAAAAATAAGAATTTCACAAGCTTTTGATATTTTTTTTTTTAATTTGATTCCAAATTGCAATCAAATATTAGTTTATTATTTGTTAGGATCATATTTATCAAGTAAAGGAAACCTTTTTTCTTTTTCCTTTTTCCTTTCTTTTTTTTTCAATAGCAGACAAGCGGGGAAAATCATTGCTCCCTTTTTTTTTTTTTTTCTTTTCTTTTTTTTTTTTTTTTTATTCTTTACTCCTTTTTGTTCTTTTTACCTTTTTTTCTTTTCTCTTTTCAATTCGATGACCCATGGACTACATACTTTTGACCTTGGCAAACATGCTCCTTCTTCTACTATAAAGATGCTTGCTTGCTTACTAGAACGAATCACAAAGACAAATGACAAACTTGTGGGTGATATCAAGAAACCAATGAAAAGAACGCCTTATATATCTTTCCATGCTCAATCTTTACCTACTATTGATATTGAAGCTTACCTTACTCGTATACTTAAGTATTGTCCTTGTGCAAATGAATGTTTTCTCTCTCTTTTGGTTTATTTTGATCGTATGAGTACCTCAGGTTTGAGGATTGACTCTTACAATATACATCGATTGATGATTACTGGCATCATGGTTTCAAGTAAATATTTTTCTGATGTGTTTTATACCAATACAAGATATGCAAAGGTAACAATAATAATAAAAAGAAAAATATTTTATATAAAAAAGGATACTTACAAAAAATTATCTTATATATGAAGGTAGGCGGCATCCCTGTTACTGAATTAAATGCTTTGGAATTGACATTTCTCAAACTCAACAATTTTAATCTCAATATCTCACTGGAAGAATTGGAATTATATGGTGATCAATTATTGGAACATTGGATTAGAGAAAAAAGAAGATCATTACAGCATTCTACAAATCAACCAATATCAACAAAGAGGTCATCATTACCCATTGGCTCTCCTTCACCTATCTCTCCTACTGCGACTACTACTACTACCACACCACACTCAAGATGTAGTCATGATCATACTGTTTTACATTATAATCATGCTTTAGGTTATGAAAGAATGATGATCATGAATGATGATGCACACTCTCCTGCTTGATGCACACTCTCATGACAACAACAACAACGCGTTCATGACAAACAATTTTCAATACCATCTTTTTAGTTATACTTTATTGTTAGATATCCCGCCATTCATCCTTCTTTTTTTCCAAAAAAAAAAAATAAAGTTTCTTTTTTATATCAATATTTGATCATTTTAAATATTCATTTTATTATTATTATTATTATTCAAGATCGAAATCACATCCTTATGTACGTTTTGGCGGAGATGAAAATATAAGAAATGGATTTTTTTTTTTTTGTATTCCATAGGTCTTTTTTTTTTTTTTTTTTCCTTTAAATAACTTTTTTTTTTATTTATTATTTTTGATCGAACGAGTATTATGGATGCGATACCTAGTCAGCGACAGACGTCTTCTGGAAATGTTCTTTCTTCCTTATCACAATCTTCGTCATCTTTACTAGGAGCCTCCAATAGGGATCAACAAATCGAAAAATTACTCAAAGAAGTCAAACAACTGAAACAAAGAGTGGATATCATGGATAAGGAAAATATTGCTTTGAAGAAAAGTATTTATGATCTTTCGGCTCGATATGCGGCATCTATATCTCAAGGTGGTCTGAATTATCGTCCTGGACCATTTGTTATGGATCCTTCCAATACAACTAGTGCAAACAGTGGCGTCATTACAAAGGCTCAAGAGATTTTGACAAAGGCAGTACAACAAGCTGGTGGTGATATAGATTCCTTACAAACTGGTAAAAAAAAAAAAAAAATGTTATATATTATCAAAACCATACCATTCAACCTCTTATTATTATTATTATTATTATTGAATGATAAAAAAAAAAAATAGAAGTTGGATATCATGATACCCGAGATGGCAAACCATTCCAAATACGTGATGAACTCAAGGTAAAAGAAAAGGATTGGGTTTGCATATCACTGACATTCATCCATATATTATTACAGGGTCATACGGGAGCAGTTTATTGTGTAGAATTCTCTCCTAATGGTGACTTGTTAGCTACAGGATCTTTTGATAAGACAGTTCGTTTATGGGAATTCAAGGAAAGCCAGAAAGAGGTACTAGTATTATTATTATTGTTATTGTTATTTTATTCATAAACTAGATTATAGTTAATATTATCCTTTGTTTGTTATAATCTAGATTTTCTGTTTAAAGTCTCATACACTCAATATATCAGATTTGGCTTGGACTCCAGATTCAAACACTCTTCTTTCAGGATCATATGACGAAACATGCAAAACATGGGATGTCCAAACTGGCAAATTATTGACAAATACGGAAACTGAAGGTTTTGTACAATGCGTGGCATGGGATTTTATTGGTAAAAAGCTGATTCAATATGTATTGGTAGATTATGGGTATTAACATATACATATTTCATTTCTAGAAAATTCTGTATTCTATTATGGTACGTCACGTAAAATTCTTGCCATGGTGGATTCAAAAGCAGATGAACCCATTATTATTCGAAATGATGCTATGGTCAATACATTATATGCTTCTCGAGATGGTATCCATGTGATCACTGGAGATGCCAATGGAATATTAAAAGTTTGGGATATGCGACAAAGTAAATGAATAAAATAATATAAAAGTAGGAATTATAAAATACTAACTCATGAATGATTATTAGGAAAATGTATATCTGCTACAGATAATGATCAAGAAAAGATGCCAATTACCCATATATCTATTGGAAAAAGACGAACAGATGCATCAAGACGAGCAGGTATTATTAAAAAAAAAAGGACATCTTAATAATGAATATATGAGTCATTTATAATTATTTTTAATTTAGTGGATGATTATGATGAACCTCGATATATGGCTGTCAATAGTTATGATAATTGTAAGTAATATAGAAAGAAATTAGGATCAGTTTTTTTTTTTTTTTTTTAATATCATTTTGTTGTATTATAGTGCTACGAGTTTATGATAGAGGAATGGATCCACCAAAATCAAAATTGCGACAAGTTCATACATTGAAAGGGTTCACTAACAAGAATTGGCCAATCAAAAGTTCATTTTATTGTGGAAGTGAATGTAAGTGGAAATGAAATAAGAAAAAAAAAATATCTAAACATTTGTTTACACACTTTTATTTCTTTATATATATTAGACAATTCATCTATTCTTAGCAGACCATCCATGATGACTAATGAATATGGAGATCCAGACTTTCAATCAACACCTAGCGACTATTTATCGGAAATAGCAGAACCAAAGGAAGAAAAAAGTGTGTTATTGGCCACTGGTAGTGCTGATCCTTATGCTTATCTTTATAACGTTGGAGAGGTAAAACCTGATTACATAGACTTGCTTCATCAATAACAATTTCTTTTATATATTACTTTTTTTTTTTTTTAGGATCGTGCGGAATTGATGCAAAGGTTGGAAGGACATACAGATCGTGTCTACACTGTCAACTTTCATCCTACTGAACCCATTTTGGCAAGTGGCTCTGCTGATTTTACTGTCAAGATATGGGGTCCAACGACTCGAAATAAAAAGAAGATTTTAATTTAGAATCATATCCTCCCAACCTTTTTTTTTATTGTTGTATATAGTTTAGTTTATTTCATGCTTCCCATTATTATCATTATCGTTTTATTTTTAATTACCTGCATAGTAATAGAACATCCTTATCGTGGTTTTGTAAATAAATCAAATATTATTTTGTTTTTTTGGTATGTTATTATTGTCATCTCTCCTTCCAGTTTGTTAGTGAAGCCATTTTAGTTTACTTATTATCCATACTCACTTCAAACAAGTCTACCTGCTCCTTTTATATTTTGCTCTCTATTTCTCATCATATTGCAATATAAACAAAAAAATGGATGATATTTGTTGCTTTTGCTGATGACGGTGTCATGTATTACTGCTGTGGATGGTGACGATGTCTGATAATAATGATAATAAGAAGAAGAAGAAGAAAATCACGTTTTCAAGCATGTATATGAGCGATGCTAGAGTGACAAGTTAATTTAATGATATTCAGTTAGAAGATCGTTTGAGTCTAAAAAAAAGTATATTCAGCTATTTCTTCAAATGCATTTTCCCTTTTTTTTTTTTTTTACTTCTTTTTTTTTTTTTTTTTTACCTTTTTTTTTTTTTTTCTTGTTAAATAATCCTTTCAACATGGAGAAAATCGATCTGACTTTATCTAATCCTGATCCTGATGACTGGTTATCTCAACGTTCCTTGACTCCAACCACTTACGGCACAATTGAAAGAAATAGAAGAAATATTGATATTTCCTTCAGTAGCCAGTCTTCCAACTTACTCTCTGAACGTACCTTTACGCCGACTTATTACAATGGAAACTACAGTATTCCTTCAATACCGTCAACTTCATATGACCTGTACTATGAATCAACAAGCGAACTTTCAACAATGCCGCCTTCCTCTCTTGCACCTTCCGAATCGACTTCTTCCGTCGCGTATGATAGAAACATCAGACAAACTTCTCCCATTGAATCAGCAAGAAAAGCAGAAAAACGACCAGCTATACAGTACTCTCCATCTTCTATTCTTCGTTTATTACAAAGTCCCAAACGTCATAAGACCGACACAACCATACATACTCAACCATTTCAACAGAGAACCTCCTACCTTTCGCCACAGACTAGTAACAAGACTAATATAAAACTATCTTCAACAATCAGCAGGCACCAGCAACAACCAGCACTGGAAACACAAACAACTGAAAAAAGTTCTTTCCGCTGTGATAAAAGTATCAACATATCGGATAATACCCACTCTCCACTACCGCTATCACCATCCCAGCAACGAAAAAGACGAACACCAGCCCGATCGGTTACAGCTCCTCATTCGTCGCGACCTGTAAATAGCTTCCAGCATCAACATTCTACTTTGATGGCTATTACTGAAGGTTGTGGAGTCGCTACTGAAATTGGTATTTGCACTATTCATATGTCAAGTAGTGAATGCATGATAGCTCAGGTAGGCCAAATTCTTTATCCATCGCGTACTTCAGTTTTTACGTAACTAAATGTAGTATTCTTGTTATTATTACTATTATTATTATTTTACTTTTTTAGATATCCGATCTTCCTACTTTTACCAAGACCATGCATAAAATCTATTTGGCGAATCCTTCCAAGGTATATCATAAAAAATGACGCTTACATGAATATCTTTTTTTTTTTTTTTTTTTTTTTGTGTACTTACTTTTTTTCTTGGACAGATTTTGGTGCCTGTATCAGTTATGGATCAAAGATCGAAACTTTTGGAATTGATAGAAAAACATTTTCCTACTATCCAACTCACATCATTACCCCGGAAAGATTTTAATGATGAAGACGGTAAGAAAAGAACTGGAAACCAAGAGAGGATGATATAGGATGGTGGTGATTTTATTTATTTATTTATTTTTATGTTTTGGAATATGATAGGAATAGCCTTCATCAAGAAATATGGAATGGAAGTAAACGTACCTTCTCTGACTCATGCACTTTCCACAAAGTATGTATCGATTACAAAAAGTAGTATTCATCTAATCACTTGTTAACTTTTTTCTCTTTTTTCTTTTAGATATTACTGTTTGGCCGCTGTAGCTGCATTATTCAAGTACCTGGAAAATCGTGACGGATGGACTTTTTCTGAACATACACTCAAATTTATATATGGAACTGTAAAAGGTAATCATGGAAAATTGTAATATGGCTTCCAATGAAATGGTACCACAGTACTTACGCTCTTCCTTTTATACATATATATATGTATATATGAATAGGAGTAATGATGATAGGTAGGAATACCCTTAAGAGCAGTTTGCATTACAAAGGAGCTTACCTTTTTTTTTTTTTGGTTATTAGATGCGATCACGGCAAAAAACTTGGAACTTGTCAATAATATGAACAAATCACACAGCAAAGAGACGCTTTTTGGTGCAATGAACCATACAACGACTCCTATGGGTGCACGACTTTTACGTACAACTATTCTACAACCTTGTACCGATCTTGAAACTATTTATGCAAGACATGAAGCGATACAGCAATTGTTGACAGATGAAGCAAATTTCTTTTCTTTGACATCCAATCTCAAACGTCTCACTGATCTAGATCATATCATATCTGCCATCATCAAAACTCTACGTCCGAATACAAGTCAACAACAAGACAACATTGTCCATCTAGCAGAGTGTAAATTGAATCATATCATCACACTCAAGAATGCACTAAATACCATTGAACAACTCTCTCATGCATTAGCACCTTATGTGAACAATCCTCTTTTACACAAGATCAAGCAAGTAAAGTCAAAAAAAAAAAAAAAGGTTGTATACTTGAAATGAATTCATTTTTTTTTATACAAAACTTTAGGTTGTCTCACACGAAAAATTGAGTAAGTTGGAAAAAGAAAGGTCAATGATTTCATCATATAGTACATTCAACTACTACTTTTTTTTTCTAGATGTGTTCAGACAACTTATTCAAGAAACTATCAATGAAGATATTGGAATTGAAAAAACAAGTCTAGGTATTCGAAATCAACGTTGTTATGCAATCAAGGTATCATCGTTAACAATCACTAATCAGAATCAGTCAATATACAAGTAGCAAAATTGATTCAAAAATTCTATTTTATATATAGTCTGGTGTAAATGGTCTTCTGGATGTCGCTCGTCAAACATACAAAGAAGCCATCGAAAGTATTTATGATACGGCCACTGAATATTGTGGTAAAATCAAAGATGATCATAGTTTATTTCCAAAAAAAAAAAAAAAAAAAAAAAGTGATATATTTTTAATTTTATTCTATTTTATTTATTTTTTTTAGAGTCTACAAAGTTAAGTTTAAAGCTCCAATTTGATACTGAACGAAAATTCCATCTATGTCTTCCTCTGAATGCTCTCACCGATACTCTACCATCATTCTTTATCAATATTGCCAAGAAGAAAAAAACTATCACTTTTACGTCTTTGGAACTGGTAATCCAAAAAAAAAAAAGATAGAAATGAAAAGAAAAAAGAGGTATCTTTTGTTAAGTCTTTTTTTTTTTTTTTTTTTGGTTACATTAGCTTCAAAAAAATAGCCGGGTGGAAGAGTCGTTATCAGAAATACTTTTGATGTCGGATAGGTAGGTAATATATATACACATGATCCATAAAATTAAAAAAAGGGGGAAATTTACATATTGTTGAATTGATTTATTTAGATCTGTCAGTGATTTGTTAAAAAAGTTTCAAACCAATATTGATATACTATACAAAGTATCTGAATCCATCGCATTACTTGATCTCCTTCTCTCTTTTGCGTCTGGCTGCATGATATCTGAAAAAGGTAAGTAACAAGTTTCATCTAAAGGAAAAGGTTCTTTTTTTTTATTATTATTATTAATATTATTATTATCATTATTATATACCCAATAGTTCGTCCTGAGTTTACACGGACATTGGCGATCAAATCAGGCAGACATCCCATCTTGGATACTATTGATACCAACGATACCATACCGAATGACACATTTGCTTCCTTGTCCAGCACTTTTCAATTGGTCACGGGTCCAAATATGAGCGGCAAATCTACTTATATCAAGCAAGTGGCTCTCTTGACCATTATGGCTCATACCGGTTCATTGTAAGTTTGTGGATATTGCATTTGATGTCAATGGTTGATACTGACCTTTTATCTATTTCATTAGTGTTCCAGCTGAATATGCATCTTTTAAATTAGTTACTCAGGTAATCACAAAAAAAAACTGAGAGGAGAATGGAAGGTTAGATCGAGAAGAGTAAATGATGACGATGACGATGATTTTCTGTTACTTTTATTTTTATTTTTTATTTATTTTTTTATTTTTTTTTTTTTATTTTTTTTTGTGATGCTGTAGATTTTATCTCGATTGGCTAATGATACAGACAAAACGACATCATGTTTTATGGCAGAAATGCAGGAAATGGCTTACATTTTACAACATGTCACTGATTCAAGTCTTGTGATTATTGATGAACTTGGACGCGGTATGAAAAGAAAGAAGTTGCTCACGTTGGAAAATGATCTTTCTCACCACTTTTTTTTTTTTTTTTTTTTTACTAAGGTGCTTCACGTCCAGATGCCATCGGAATAGCAACAGCGATCTCAGAGCAACTTATTCAGTCAAAGGTAAGAATACCGAAAAAAAAAGTGCAAATGACGGTCGATGACTTGATAAATTTTATTTATATTTTATGATGATCATAGTCCCAGTGCTTCTTCGCAACTCATCTACTTGAAATGGCATCAAACCTTGAAGTTTATCCCAACGTGGTCAATTTACAAATGTTAACAGAAACGGTAAGTGAAAAAACTAGCGTATGGAAAAGGGATCAATCTGATCATACCATTGACTCACATTCTACTTTATATTAGGGCCTATCAACCACCATGTCCTTTTCACATATTGTAAAAGATGGTCTATCAACTTTCCCTCACTATGGTAGGAAAATATATATTATCATCTCTATCTTACTGGTCACTTTTTTCTGTTATAACAAAGGCATCCATGTCGCCAAGTATATGGGATTATCACAACAAATTATTGATTATGCAACTGAAGTTTCGGATATAGTATATTTTGGAGAAGAATATAATGATCAATCAAAACCAAGACTTTTGAACTAATTTTTGTTTTTTCCATCCTTTTTTTTTTTTTTTTTCCTCCTATAGCTACAATCAAGAAACAATAAAAGTACCATGGTAAAAGAAGAATCAAATATCTCAGGTTGTGAAATTAACAATCATCGATACAAGGTTCTTTATTGGGTAAAAAAAAAAAAAAAAAAAAATAAGAAGAATAAAAATAATAATAATGTCATTTCACAAATGGACCTTTTCTCTAACACGCTATCTTTTTTTATGTACATATATATAGTTTGCGGACAAAATACTTCAATTATCACAATCATCACGTATTGATACGGATATCAATGTACAGCTTCAACATATTCAGTCGCGGTTGAAAGAATTGCTAAAATAGGTTGGACCAGTCTTTCTATACTGTAGTTTTAATATGATCTTTAGTTTAGCAATTGTTATATATATATATATATATATATATACTCAAATAAAACTTTACTTTCTACTTCAGATGATGAATGATGACAATAATGACACAATATGGTAAGAGAACCTAATGCTTTATTCACTAGAGAAAAAAAAAAAAAAAAAAAAAAAAAAAAAAGAGCTAACTAACTAGGCAATTATCAATCAACTATACTATAAAAAAAAAAAAAAAAAAAAAAGTAACTATCCACAATCCAGAAACAGAATGAATCCAACTATCGAGTTAAATTCCTACCGGATCATATATGTTTCAAAGGTGAAATGAATAAACTACCATAGGTCATCAGTAAACAAAAGTGTAATATACATTCAATAGACTGGCAAACAGAAGAAACAATGAGACAAAGTCATGACAAACAATATAGAGAGCCAATAACAGTTAAGACTTAGTTTGACCACCTTTTGCAGAATAATGTTGATCTAAAAAAAAAAAAAAAAAAAAAAAATAAGTAAGTTCAATCGCCTTACCTTCTTTCAGGTTGAAAGTTAATTGCAAATCGATCAGCACAATTGAATCCAATTGCATATACATCACCCAGTCCAATCGTTTTTTTTTTTTTTTTTTTTTTTTGCGTGTTCATAAATGGAGTGCATGTGTGTGTTTCATAAATGTAGTCAAATAAAGCGTTGTATCTATAGAAAAAAAAAAAAAAAAAAAAAAAAAAAAAGAGAGAGAGAGAGAGAAAGAATCATAAATCAGTACAAACACTTTTTCTGTCATATTTCCCTATTTTCCTTTTCTTGCTGTTTTATTCCAATAATTCAGAAGATTGATGGAATTACAACAGAATAAAATAAATAAAGTAAACCTAATTCACCATATTACACGAAATGAATTTGTTAAAGAAGAAGAAGAAGAAAAAAAAAAAGAAAGAGGGAAAAACGAAAAGAAAGGAAAAAAAAAAAAAAAAAAGTAGCGCATTCCCCTCAATAGCATATTAAAAAGAAAAATTTGATATTGATTGGATAATCAAATGCCGTCCCGGCTACTTTTAGCCAATCATTTTCCTCGAAATTATGGATTGGATTTATAATGGATATATTTGTTTACGAGACATATCAGCCTTGCTAGCTCAGTCGGTAGAGCGTGGGACTTTTAATCCTAAGGTCCAGGGTTCGAGCCCCTGGTGAGGCGGATTTCTTTTTTTATTTTTTTCTGCCTGTCGAATTTCAGCCAATCAGAATTCAGTATCCTTTTTTGGATATATTTTGTGTTGATGCTTTCTCTTTTTTTTTTTTTTTTTTTTTTTTTGTTACTTGAGTGGATGATTGATTTATATTATTGACGAATAATATTATTAATATAATAATATCGATGATGATTGATATGTAGTGAGCACCAGTTCTTTTGTAAAAAAAAAAAAAAAACATACTTAATTTCAAATAAAGATATAGATGTCTTGATAATGATCACACTTGATGATGATCTAATAAAATAATATAAGATAAAGGTTTGATTAAATAAAATAAAGTTAACACTTAAGAAGGTTATTTTCTTAAGAGTGGCGAAGATGATTTGATTTATAAAATAAATCTTTTATTTGTTTGTTAAAAAAAAATATAAGTTAAGATTAACGTAGTAAACTAATTAAATATTTGAGGGTTATTTATACTAAAAAAAAAATAAATTGGAAGATTAATCATCAACCATGTGATAATAAAACCAGTTATGATGATGGGAAAGAATAGCGGATGAAACGGTGTGAATATAAAAATAAAAAAAAAAAATAAAAAAATAAAAATAAAAAATATGATAGTGTGGTTAAAGGATAGTTCTTGAAGAAGAAGAAAAAAAAGAAATTTCGTAATCCAATATTTCAAAGAAGTGATCCTAACAGTTAATATGTTTGATGATTGTTTTGTTCTGTAATAATGAGCACCAGTTCTATGTTGATAGAAGAGAAAAGATTACATCTTTTATTTTTATTTTTATTTTTTTTTTGATGATCAGTAAGTAGATCGTAGTCCAAATATATATATATTTTTAAAATAATATGATGATATAAAACAACTTGATTAAAAAGTCTTTGAGATTATAAAATAATTCGGATGATTGATAGATATAGAAATAAAACCTTAGATGATTTTCCAAAAGACTGGAGAAAAAAAAAATGTGTCCTCAGCATATTCCGTAACCATATCCGTAAACTAAAGAATGCATTCGCAAATAAAGAATTAAAAAAAAAATACATCAGAAGATGGAATCAATTACATTGACGTGTAATAAAAAGTGGTATGAATAAAAATAAAAAGTTTTATTAAATAAAAGTATTATAGATCACTAATTGATATACTATAACTAAAGTTATTATAAAGAAAAGAAAGAAATAAAAGAAAATAAAAAAATATATTCAAAAAGATAATAAAAGTAAAAAATACGGACTTTGAAAGTTATTATGCTCGTGGTGCTTTGCTACCGTCAAGTATATAAACATGTCAATAATGAAATCCACTACACATAGGATGATTCATCACATCAATGAAAAAATAAAATACTAATAAGATTATACTCTCTGTATAACATGTATTACGAACTAAAATAATAAAAAAAGAAAATAAAATTTGGTCACAAATCTTAAATATGGTGTAATGATACAAGTATTACGTATCACTCACTACGTATTTATATATAAGAACAACAAAACTTTCTATTTAGATACTTTGTCTCTTTTTAACACAATTTTCAAATAAAAAAGAAATCTCACTGACTTCCTTGTTCTCTATTTTTTATTTTGATGATACATCTAATTTCATAAAATGGTTGATTATAATCATTTGTTTATCGTGATATAAATTGACATTGAATATTTTTATGGAGTGATGAGAGTTAATATATTATTATTTTTCTTTTTTTTTTTTTAAAAAAAAGGTGGATGATGGTATGTAATAATCAAAAGTGCAAAGTATGAAGGAAGATGTAAAAGCTTTAGGTGGACCACACTATCATCATCATCATCATGATTGAAAATAAAAGAATATCATATCATTTATGAAACGAACAAAACTTATAGACAATAATCAAGGGGGGGGAGATTTATTGTCGATCAATCAATGTTACATGAACAATGCGTATAACATACACCATCCCTTTTTGAAGGTTAATATGGGGAAAATCACGATATAATCGGATCGGATGATTTCCATTTTGAGCAATCAATGTTATTTATTTAGACTTGAAAAGATTCAATCAAGAGATTACTGTATAAACCATGTTAAAGCAAAAAAAAAAAAAAAAAGATATATATCTATTTGTATGAACATGAGGAATTAAGTAAATAAAAAAAAATGACATACATATAATCAAAAGTTTCAAATGTTTTGTAACCACATGTATACTCCCGTTTTGGGCTTATTAAAATAACAATAGAATAAAAAAAAAGAAAAGGGGGTGGGGTATGAAACAAGGAAAACCAGGGACAAGGGGGTTTCAAACTTTATCGAAAAAAAAAAAAAAGATACGAGGGGAAAAGGAATCAATATTATATGTTCTTCTATTCATAATCCATGTCATTATCATCATCAAGTAAATATCATCATTATCATTAAAATAAAAGATTTAAACAGTATTTTATTTTTTTTTCCATAAAAAAAAGAGTAATAAACTAAATTATATAAACCATTACATAATGAATAATAAATTTGTATCTATCAAAAAAAAAAAAAAATAAATAAATAAGGATGCACGTTGTAGTAGGGTCTTTTCTTTTCAAACTTACCAATAGGATGACTTGAACTAAACTGAGGACGTTGGGAGTATTTTTCACGAAGAATAGCACGAATTGAATTTAGTAATTGAAGATAAGATTGATTCTTGTTCGCACGTAGTGCAGCTACGATGAGATAAAAAAAAAAAGAGAAAACATTAATAAACCAATACACACGTATATTGTATTATAGTTTGACGACTTACTGATAAGAGAATAAGACATGGCACCAGTTGCTCTAGCGTTGATAACAGCATCAGCACTTGTTTGATCATCCTTGCATCCAGAAAACATGATGACATCCGCTTCGGAACCCTTGAATTGCTTGATACGTTCATCCGTTTTCTTGCCAGTCATCACCTTGTTTCCAAGGGACATTAAAGAAGAAAGCGCTCCACCAACATTACCAGACGCATAAGCCATACCAGCTTTCATCAGACCACTTCCAGCATCCTTGAACATATTTTGTTCCTTCAGTGTACCTTGAGTCGAATAAACATAGGGTAAATCCAATGCAGTTCCACTATGGCAACTATCAAATATAGCAGTCAATCGACAACCCCTAGGTAAAGGTCGTACCATAATAGCATTCATTTCCTATGAAAACGAAACAAAACAGATAAATATAAACACTTCTGCATTAGGATCACTTACATCATCAATAATCTGACCAGTTTCTCCCGGATAACGATCATGATCGACAGGATAAATTGTTTCATCATAACCATCATCTTCATCACCATCTTGATCTTTCACCTATCCAGGAAAAAAAAAAAAAGAGTGTCACACAGCTGATTAGATACTAATTCATTTTTTTTTTTTTTTTTTTTAATTTGTCACTTACACTTCCACCATGCCCACTAAAGTGGAAAAAGAATCTACAAAGAAAAAAGAAAAAAAAAAAAAACGTCAAAATAAATCAGTTTCTCTTGCCTCCTCTTTTTTTTTTTTTCTTTTGTATATTATTTACGAGTCGTTTGGTTGCGCATTGGCCACTAGCCATTGCATTCCACTGATCATATTTTGCCGGGTAGGGATGAATCGTGGATCAGTTTGATCATCTGTCAATATAACCATATCTTCCTATATTTGATAAAAATAAATAAATAAAAAAAGAAGGTCGACCATATTTTATCCTTTATTCTCATTCTTGAAACTTACTTCACGGAAACCATACAATTGGATCAAGAATAATTTTACATTTTGGACATCGTTGATACAACCTATAGAAAAAAAAAAAAAAGAAAAGTATGGATTCAATGATCTCATCTCTTTTTCGCTAATGATCCTTTTTTTTTTTTGTTTTTACCACGTAGTTCATTTTTCGATCTGAAATAATTGATGCCGATCAATAGAGCTCGTTTACGACCTTGACCTAAAATACATATAAAAAGAAATGAGTTAACCATTCAATAATAGTAGAATATACATATAATCATACAATTGGAGAGTAAGAAATTTGGAGGTGGGACATTTTGCATATTAGGATTCACATGCATCACGAATTGATTGGCACCTTGATTACTGGGAGATGGAGCATAGGGTGCTATGATACATTAGAAAATAAATGGATAAGTATTACAAGTTTTTTTTTTTTTTTATAATCTTTTATTAATATATTCAGTACCTGGTTGAGCAGGTTGATGCACAGAGTTTGGAGGTTGAGAATAGTTTGCTTGAGATAATGATGGATCAGAAGGACGGAATACAGGATCTTGGCCTTTAAAAATAATTCATTAGATAACGTCGATTAAAAAAGCTAAATTCTTACCAGTATAAGTAGGTGGTCGAATTTGTTCATTGTTGGGATAAGGTCTGTAATTCGGATTATTCGTTTGTGGAGGTGGTGGTGAATACTATATATAAATGTCAATCAGTTTGCTTCTCTCATTCCTAATATCACTTACAGTATTTGATCCATAACCTTGTCTACCATCAGAAGAAGGAGGAGGAGGATACTGTGACATACAATGAAAAAAAAAAGAATCAATTTAGATAACTATTGACCATCAGAAAAAAAAATAAAAATAAAAAAACTTACGTTGCCATGAGAAGATGAACCTGGATAAGATTGTTGAGGCGGTGGTGGAGGATAACCATGTTGTTGTTGAGGAGGAGGATAATTAGGTGGAGGATAAGCTTGATTAGGTGAAGGATGATTGGGAGGAGGATAACCTTGTTGAGGAGGAGGAGGATAGTTGTGAGAAGGATATCCTTGTTGAGGAGGAGGATAATTGGGAGGAGGATAACTCTGTTGAGGTGGAGGTGGTGGGTAATTTGGTGTGTGAATAGGAGGAGGATATCCACCAGTACCATAATTTCCAGGGTATGACATGATTTAATAATTCTAGTGAAGAATGTAAAAGAATAAAGAAAAAAAAAAAAAAAAGGAAAGAAGTACACTTGCGCCTCAAAAACGAGAGATAGAAAAAAAACAATAAAACAAGATAGTGATTCAAATACCGCAGAACACGCGAGCGCATGTCAAATACCAGGTTAAATCATATGGCTATCATAGTAGAATCGTATTTTATCACTAGAAACCATCTTTCTAACAAAGTGTGATGTATAATAATATAGAAAAAGAATTAAATAAAAGTTATAAAATTTAAGGAAAAAATATAGATTTAAATACTAAAAAAGTTGAATAATAATAATTATAATGATATTAATAATAATAAAGATAAAAAAAAAAAAAGAACAGTTCCGGTTAAGATTTCGTCTTGATTGGTTGTCAAAATAGTTGTAACGTAAATGCAGCTATTTTAACTATTTATGGATATTTACGAGAAAGAAAAAAAAATAATAACAAAGAATTGTATAAACATATGATTTGCATGTTAACATTCATAGTTGTATCTGAGCGCCATCTCTTCTTCCAACGTGACTATAACCAAAATAGGAAGTTCTTAACTCTTAAATTTTGCTGCTGAGGCAAGTCGTGATACGCATTTGCTTTTTTTTTTTTTTTTTTTTTTTTTTTTTTTTTTTTTGCGATCATCCCGTCAGCGGACAGGTAGTAAACGAGTGTCTTGTGATACGTGAGTACAATTCAATCAATATGATCTACAACAATCCCAGCAGCTTGCATATAAACTATGCCAAGGCTTGTATCTTAAGGTTGATGTTGATGATGATTCCTTATTAGTATGGACGCGTAAAGGCACATTGACTGATTTGATGATGATTGTTTTGCATATACCAAATCTTACTTGTTTTCACGAATCAATCTATCAATCATCATCAATCATCATCATCATATAGTTATTCATCAATTCAATCATCTATCATTCAATTATTTATTATTCAATCGTCCATTAAGTAAATTTCAATTATACAATCATTTATTATTTTAATGATCTATTCCATTCATTATGTAATCTCCATTACGCAATCATCCATTAATCAATCATCATTAACATTATCATCCACCATCATCATATCAATAACCAGGAAAAAAAAAAAAAAAGAGAACACAAAACTTTTTTTTTTTGTTGTTGTTATTTTTACATTTGTTATTGTTTTTGCGCCTTTATGATTGCACGTGTAAGATTGATTCAACATGAATAAATCTTTTTGCAGCCTCATTATTATGCATTTCAAAGAACGAAAGATCTACTTTGTACTCAGTTTTATAAGTACACAACGCTGATATTCATTTTTTTTTTATTTATAGCTGAAAAGGCTTTTACCAAGATTTAATCATGGTAACTGATAAAGATAAAGTAAAAAAAAAAAAAAAAAGAGGTACGGTTAAAAGGGAATGATAAATGAGGCTTTTGTAATTTTTTTTTCTCTTAATATTTTTGATAAAGAGTGCTATTTTTTTTTTTTTTTTTTTTTTAGAAACAATTGTTTAATATTGGAGATAAATTTTGGGACGTTTTATATCTATTTCTCATTTGATTGTGCATATGAAGGGAAAAATAAGGGGTAAATGGGGGGAGTGCGGAGAAGGAGGATTGATCAAAAAAAAAAAAAAAAAAGAGACTGGATTGATAGACAAACATTCCAAAATAATGGATGACCGAAATAGAAACAGGGCGCTTCGCATTTCAACGAGGCGGGGTAACTTGCATAATGACCGTCGATCTTAAACTCTTTTGTTTCTTCCTTTTAGCAGAGTTTGCGTTACTAAATTTGGACTCCGCATATGTATAAAGTACCATTAGCATTTACGCTCATTTCTTTTCCTTTTTTTTTTTTTTTTAATTGTGATTTTTTTTTTTATTTTTTTTTGTTATATTTTATTATACCCTTTTATTTTTTTTTATTATATATTATACACACACACATAAAAAAACAAACAAACAAATATATACATTGAATCACATTCACTTTTCAACATGATTACAACTCCATTACCATCGCGTCGTTCTGTGGATCTTGTCAATCGGTCGAAAGTCTCAATTACCTATAAAAGTACACTCGTCACAAATTCACCTTGTATTTCAAGACCTTCTTCCACTATAGAAGGAAAACAAAAAACAAAAAATAGCAACTTTCAATATGTATTACAACTTTTGGATTTTACCTATAGAGGTTTCCTCACCAATTCTCAAGCTGAACGTCCTGATGAACCTTTAGGTGCTTTGGTCAATCGAACTTTACAATATGATACTTTATTGGATTTTATTGATATATCACAAGAACCTGCCATTATCGCTCAACCTACTTCATCATCGTCTGTTCAACAAACTTCAATATCAACAACTCCTTCAACTTATATTCCATCAAATGCAACTTCAACAACCACACTTACACCATTATCATCATCCAACCCATTAGATTCTTCATTTATCACTTATAATCAAATGCATACCTTTATCAGTTCTCAATTCAATTTAGCTCAATTCAATCTTCAACAAGGCTCTCGTGTTGCTATTTGTTTACCCCAAGGTCCTGCTCTTGGTCTTTGTATGATTGCTACAATGGCTTACTGTGCTTGTGCTCCATCCAATGATAGTTTGACTCCTGAAGAACTATTACATGATTTCAAGAACATGCGTGTCCAAGCTGTGATTATTTCAAATACAAAACTTCAAGCAAAGGATGATCCTATGGTGACAACTCTTCGACAAGGTGGATTACAACTTATTGGGTTGGAAACAGAACCTGATAATGATATTTTATTTACTCTTCATGGTGATCCTCAATTCCATATCAACAATGACAACTCTACTCCAACAACAACCTGTGATGATGATGATGATGATGATGATAATATTTCAAGTGCCTCCTTACTCAATCAAGCTGATGATATAGTATTGGTCCTTCAAACTTCTGGTACAAGTGGAACTAAAAAAGTCGTGCCTTATTCCTTACGTACTATATGTGTTGCTACTACTTGTGTTTCTGCTTCTTATGGTGCTCAACCTACTGATGTTAATATCAATATGATGCCTCTTTATCATGTTGGTGGTGTAGTACGTAGTCTTTTGACTCCTCTATTTACTTCAGGTTCTGTTATTTTGTGCAATGTAAGTAAATATAGATTTTATTATTGATTATTCTAAAAAAACCAAAGAAAAAAAAAAAAACAAAACAAAACAAAAACAATGTCTTACCTTTTTTTTTTTTTTTTTTTTCAAAAAACGTTGTCAAGGGATTCGATGCTGCTCTATTTTGGGATATTTTGGAAAAACAATCTCGACATGTATGGTATTTTGCTGTTCCAACTATGCACCAAGCTATTCTTCAAGAAGCAACCATGAGGAGATTCTCTCAACAACATTCTCTAGGTGTCAGAATGGTATGTAATGCTGGTGGTGATCTTCTTCCAGCTTTGGCGAATCGGATAAAAGCTCAATTTACCAATGCAGTTGTACTACCTTCTTATGGTATGACAGAATGCCTTCCTATATCGGCTCCCCCTCGTGATTATGATCTGAGTCGCTCGGGTACCTCCGGTCTTTTAGTGGGTCCAAATTTAATGATCGCCAAGGATGGTTACCAGGTACATCAAGATGGTGTCACTGGTCATATCATGGTGCAAGGTATCCCTTGTTTTTCTGGTTATGAAGGTGTTGACAATTCAAGTACATTCGATGCTGATGGTTGGTTTGACACTGGTGATATGGGCTATTTAGAAAATGGATACTTGTATATTACTGGTCGATCAAAAGAAATCATCAATCGTGGTGGTGAAGTCATATCTCCTTTTGAAATTGAACAAGTACTTATGACACATCCTAGAGTGGCTCAAGCAATGGTTTTTTCTGTTCCTCATGATACTTTACAAGAAACAATTGGTGCTGTTATTGTTACTCGTGGTAAGTAAAAAAAAATAAAAAAATAAAAAAAAAAAATACTAAACATATACTCTTTTTTTTTTTTTTTTTTTTTTTTTGAATCTCATATTGAATTTTATTTTTTAGAAGGAAGTAATAGACCAGATTTACGAACATTACGTTCATTCATGAATCAGAAACTACATCAATCAAAATTACCTCAAGTACTTGTTTACATGGATGATGTACCAAAAAGCAACGTCAACAAGATATTACGAATTCAATTCAGCAATCGACTCGACATTCCAATGTTTATGGATTCTGAAAATAATATCAATGTGTCTCAACGACTATATGAAGCTGTATGTCCACCCAAAGGAACACCATTGACTGAACCTATTGTCAAATCAAATGTTACTTGGTCAACTGATGATGTGATTACTACTATTATGAAGCATCCTCAAGTAGATGATTGTGCAGCATACAACAATTCAATCAGTGGTCAAACTCATATATTTGTTGTTAAAAACGACAACAACAACAACAATAATGACAATGTGGAAATGGACTTTACTAGTATGCTTCAACAATGGTTATCATCACAAGTACACGATTACATGTTACCAAGACACATTCATCTTATCGATCAACTTGTAAGGAATGACGACGGAACCATTGATGGCGATTATCTTCACAATTTGGCCCAACAACAACAAGAAACATCAGATGATCCAGTTGCATTACTTCTTCGTGATATTTTTGCCTATGTACTTGGTCTTTCTTCCGCACCATCCAGCATCAAGGATGATAGACAATCTATTCGATCAACATCAACAGTGACGACAGTAGCAAATGCAACATTTCCTGTTGATGGTGACTTTTTTGAATATGGTGGCAATTCTCTTAAAAGTGGATTTTTGATTTCACAGATCCGTGCAAAATTAGGTGTGGTACTTCCAGTCACTATTCTTTATGAAGGCAACAATCGAACTCCTATTGGACTAGCAGAAACTTGTGGTGAAAAGATAGCCAAGGATCATCCACTACTGACCATGGGGTACAATGCATACAAGGAACAGAACAGCGATCAAGAAGGTCAAATGGAAAACAATGGAAATCAACAACCTTTTGGTAGTCCTGATTACAAGAAACGTATGGCACAACGTGAACCAAGTGGCGCTCGTAACCCTTTCAATCCAATCATCATGCTTATACAAGCTTCTGGTGTGTATTTTATGCAACCTATACAAACTACCTCTCGATGGTTCTTTTTTGCCTACATGTTATCCTGTATCGCCACCACTTGGACAAATCCTACTCAAAATCATGGTATTCGACTGGTACAATTACTTTTGGCACTTGGAATTACTGCAGTGGCATCTGCTATTGTTTTCCCTTTAGTAGCTGTGATCATCAAATGGATCGTGATTGGCAAATATCGTACTGGTTCTTATCCATTATGGGGTCAATACTACTTGCGGTGGTGGATTGTGAACCGGGTGATCGACTTGGCTGGTCTAGGTATTTTTGGAGCTGAACCTTGGTTGCATTGTCTTTATCTTCGAATGATGGGGGCAAAAGTGGGCAAAAGTTGTCATGTGAATCCAAAAGCTGATGTTCGTGAATTTGATTTGGTTACCATTGGTGATGGTTGTACTTTGGATGAAAAATGTAGTGCTCGACCTTTTACATTATCTACTGGACATATGAATTTGAATCCTCTGGTGATTGGTGATAATTGTGTGGTTGGACTTCGATCATTTGTGATTGCTGGAACGACTCTTGCCCCTGGTACTGTTATGGGTCCATCGACAGCCAATTTCCCTCGTAATTTGCAAGCTGGTGATGGTGCATTGGCTTCTATTGATACTCCTCAAGGTATGGCTTTAGCTGATGCTTGTGCTGCTCATTATCCACCTCCTCATTTTCTTCTGAAATTGTTGGTTGGATGGCCTCTTGTTTTCATCATCAATCTCATTGCTAATGCTCCTTGGATCGGTATTATCTATCTACTCACCAATCAATCATACTTTGTTAGTGGTCAAGCTGCATTGTCAAGTCGGTTTTCTCAATTGATTCTCTATTTTGCTCAACCCAAGCGTGTTGGTTTACATTTACTTGCCGTGGCTGTACGAAAATCTGTGGTGCCTCTATTTTATCTGATATTAGTTATTTTATGCAAACGAACTGTGATTGGGAAATTCAAAGCTGGACCTCGACGTCGTGATCAGTTATCTCTCTTCCGTTATTGGCTGATGAAAACTCTTTTACCTCCTGGAGAAAATTTACAAGGTGTTGCAAGTATTATTGGAACTCATTATGAGCCTATTAGTATCATCTATCGTCTTTTAGGTGCAAAAGTGGGCAAGCGTATTTATTGGCCTGGAAGTGGACTTCATGTGGTGGAATATGATCTGTTGACGATAGGTGATGATGTTGTATTTGGATCCCGCTCTTTTATACAATGTTCAGATACTACAGAATCTATTGGTATTTCTATTGGTGATGGTGCTATGATCGCTGACAACTGTGTACTTTTACCTGGATCACAAGTGGGTCGTCGTGCAGTTCTTGGTTCTGGTGGATTACTCAAAAAGAATTTCAGAATTGAAGATGGATCTACTTGGTTTGGTTCATTCAATGGAAATGCCGTCAAATTCAAGGATGGTACCGATACTGTCAACATCAAAACAAAATCTGACAAGAACGAAAAATTCGATGACAACAAGACGATCAACAATGATGAACAACAATCTTCAACTATCACACCTTTTGGACGTGCTTTTTATCAACGCAAAGCAAATTATTTTGTGGTGCCTTTATTTTTAGTTGTACCGTTCAATATTTTTGTAAAAATGGCAGCTTCCGTTCTCTGGGCGGCACCCATCACAGCAGCTATTCAAGTGGCAGCTTACTATCAACGTGGACAAATCCAATTGTTATCTTTGGCACCTGTACACCATGTCAATAATAATACACAGATCTTTAGTTCTAGAGAAGGATGGGCCTTTTTGATTATTTTTGGTGTAGCAGCTGGCATCATGACGACATTGACATTCTTATGCTTGGCTTTGGATATTGGATGGAAGTGGACACTCTTTGGTAGACGCAAACAAGGACAATACAACTGGGATGAATCATCCTACTGTCAACGATGGCAATTCCTTATTACGGTTCAGCAAGCATTACGACAAAACGCTTTGAATCTCATTGGAGGATCTGGATGGATCATGCTTTATTTCCGTGGCATGGGCTGTAGGATTGGCAAACGTGTGTGTCTTTATCCTTCTGGTGGTGATCCAATGATGACTGAACCTGATCTTGTTACTTTAGAAGATGATGTGGCAGTTGATAAGGCCTCTTTGGTCTGTCACATGAATACACTTGGTCAATTCAGCATCAATCCTTTACATGTTGGTGCAGGCTCAGTACTTCGTTCTGGATCAAGATTGGCGACTGGTGCTACGATGATGGAGGATTGTACTATATTGGAAAACTCTTTGATTATCTCAGGTGAAGTGGCCGATCGTGGTTCTATTTGGCAAGGTTATCCTGCTGTGGATATTACTCAACTTTCGGATGATGTTGATGAAAAAATGAAGTTTTAGTTAGATTGTTTGTAGAATTACAGTTTTTTTTTTTTTTTATTTCTAATCTTTGTTGTCATATTTATTACATTATCTACTTTTTACAAATAAAAAAAAAATATTATTCACTTATGTAAGATTCACTTTGCTCTCCGCGCTTGTTTCAAAAGAATGGGATATGATTTTAGATTTTGTTCGTTTTTCTTTCCTCTCCACATTACTTTTTTTTTTTTTCCACCATCAATTACAAAAACAACTTCAAGTTACCATTGGTAACCGAATGTATTGATTCAACAGTTTCGTTATGACATATATTGTTTATTGATCTTTTTTTTTTTATTCTTTTCTTTAGATGGATTGGATGGTTGATACTTTTACAGGAACAACAAGCATTTTTTTCTGTCGCATAATATAGTGGGAACAATACAGAAAGCTATATATGCCATCTAAATGGGAGGTAAGCAAGAATGAGAAAAAGACTTGCATATGAGACCTTTGACTTTTTTTTTTTTGTATAGATCATATTATTCGAATTTATTGTGATAAAAACCCTTGATAAGCAACAAAAGAAATTGGTGGTCATCACTATATAAGTATAGTTTTATCTTTTTAGTATAAATAAAAGATCAGTCATACTCACTAATTACATCCCTTTTTGATTATTAGATATTGACTAGAGTTGTCAACTAGACAGACAGATACTCCACTGCTTGGAAACTCATCAAGGTTAGGATCATCTTCTTGTTGTGACAAAAAAAAAAAAAAAAAAAAAAAAAAAAACTTGTCAAATATGGATACTCATCCGATGTAAGTTTAAGGGTATATGAAAAAAAAAATCAAATTGTTGATACTAAACAATCTCTACCAATATTCTATAGGTAATAATACAATTCTTCCAATGCTTCAAAAATTAGGACCAAGAAATCGCAATTTGTATGTATTAGATGGAATGCATTCAAACAAGATTATTCTAAGAAAGGATATCAAGGGGCGTGGGGAATTAGATGCAGAACAGCTCGTACCATCTGGGAAAAACATCGTATGTATAGTGGGAAAATGCCGATTTGGATCTACAACTTGACCTCATTGCTTAGTTTATCATCCAGTACAATAATTTATATTAATGGAATAGTTCGGTAGAATAGATTATTTTGGTAGATCAGTTTAGTTTGATTGTTTTATTTTTGTTTGATATACACATATTTTCTTTTAACAAATAAACACCTTTTTTATAATATGCATTACAAACATATTGATATGTAAGTGTGCGCGTGATTCCCGAAAGATAGGCTAGCGTTTATTATGCATCATGAGACTGATTCTTGTATTTGCTGACAGATCGTGCATCAAATAAGAATGTGTCTCTATTTTTTTTTTTTTTTGGATCAACTACGAAATCAAATATAAAATGCATCCTATATATCATATTTCAAATAAAAAGCAGATCCTTCCTTTTCCAATTTTACTCTCTCTCTCTAAAAAAAAAAAAAAAAAAAAAAAAGAGGGGAGCATGATCCAAATTTTTTTTTTCCCTTCAAAAATCAATAGAAGGTATTACTTGGTGTTAGTCAACTGTAGATATCCATATTTTTTTTTTTGTGTAAGCCTTGATTGATGGTAATGATTTCAATGATCCCTGAATACGGGGTTTGTAGACCCTTCATATTATGTGAGTCATATACCTGACAATAAAAAAAAAAAAAAAAAAAACGGAGCCCCACACACCCATGTCGGAAGAATGTTTAAGAAAAGGAGATAGATGATTCCCATTTTAGTCCCTGTCTTTTTTTTTCTTTTCTTTTCATGACAAAGGATGTAGTTCATTCATTTCCCTGTTGTAGTTTATCGGTGTAACAAGGAAAGATGATTCGATTTTTTTTTTTTTATGAATGTGTGATTGTCATTGGTCTTTTTTTTAAAAAAAACAACCCTTTTTCCCTACAATAAACTGAAAAAAGTATTTTCTGGTTTAGCTGCAACCCGACAACTCCGCAATGGACGTTAAATTGGATTTTGTTTAATAACACTTTGTATCTAATTGACAAGGATCAGTGTATTTATTATATACATATGTGTGTGCCACTCATCACTTTTTTTTTTTATCTCTTGTCATTTATTTTCCAGTCATTTAGAAGGATATAGAAAAAAAAAAAATAAAAAGAGAGAGAGAGCGTGATCAAGTTTTAGAGAACTGTCAGGCCGTTCCTCGGTAAACGTTTGGTTTCCAGGGTAACCAATGTCTGCATTTGAAAGTATAGCTGACATAAGATCCATCGTGAGAAGATGACTGGCCCTTTTTTTTTTTTTTTTTGGTTCCTTTCCTTTTTTAAGTTTTGCTCTATAAAACTGTTTTTTTAACTTCCCTTCTTTCTCTTTTTACTTCTTTTTTTTTTTTTTTTTCTTCCCTCTTTTTTTTTATATTTATTTTGAAGAAACTCTGCTTAAACCAACCATGTTGACTGATATTAACAATGTACCTATTGATGAAGCTTTGAAGCGTGATGGTTTTGTTATTGTGGATAATTTGATTCCTGAAGAAATGCTTCCTAGACTCAAGGATGCTTGTGAACGAGTGATTAATAAGGCCAGAAATGGAGAATGGAAACACCGGTAAATAAGAAGTAATGAAAAAAAAAGTATGGGACTAATGTATAGTTTAGTCGTTTGGTAGGCACTCAATTCCCTCCTTGGACTGAAGGTGATGATGTTTGGGGTGTCCAACACTTGTTACATCCTGATTTGAAGGAATCTGTTTTTATGGAATGGTATGGTTCTGAAGCTCTTTTGTCCGCTGTTAGTCAATTGATTCATACAAAGCGTGAAGATTTGCAATTTGGTAAGGATGACTCTTCTCTGTCTAGTTATGGATCACTGATTTTTTAATTTTGTATAGAATTATTTAATCTTTTGATCAATCCTCAAGAGCATGATTTTGATTTGACTTGGCATCGTGATGCTGTTCCTGCCGAAACTCCTCAAGAAAAGGAAGAAGAATTATTGGCCATTCCTCATTATGGTACTCAATGGAACACGTAAGCATTCAAAAAAAAAATATTGTTATAACAAAACTCATTTATTTATTTTATTTATTAGTGCTCTCTATGCTGATGATTGTCTTTATGTTGTTCCCAATTCTCATCGTCGTGTCCGTACACCTGAAGAACGTGATATCACCATCAATGATCCCAAGAGTCACAATATGCCCGGTCAACTTCGTGTGGATTTGAAGCCTGGACAAACTGTGTTTTATGACAATAATATTCTTCATCGAGCTGCTTACTTTTCTTCCAAGAAACGTGCCACGTTACATGCATCTATGGGTACCATCGAAGGAGGTCATCACCGTGCTAAGACTGTTTTCCAACATGGATTGGATTGGATGAATACTGAAGACTTCAAGGCTACTTTACCTGATTCTTTGAAAACTCCTTTTGCAAACACGCAGGCAATGGCTGCCCGTGCTGGTCTTGATAAATTAGAAACCAAACCTATTCACTAAAATCTAGTATCACCCTTTTTTTTTCCTTCTTCTTTAAAAAAAATTATTTGTATATCTCCATTGAACATTCTTTTTTTTATCTATATGTTTATGTATCATCCTGATTACCTTGTATTTATCCCTATAAAAAAAAACATAACAAATTAATAAAATCTATTCAAATCTCCATTTCCTTTTTTTTTTAATTCGAAAAGTAATCACGATTCATCAGTATAAATATTTTTTTATATAATAAATCTAAATGTTTTTATTGATTTGGTATCATCATAATAATAATAATAAACAAAAAATATATTCTATTATAATCTAATATTAAAAGCTATAATCCATTTCGCCTTCTGAGCTCTACACATCAAAAAGAAGAATTAAAAAAAAAAATCAAAAATAAATAAATAAATAAAAACAGTCAGTCCACTTTTTTTTTTCGAATATCTATCATGTATTTTTACATCTTCATCTGGGACTTCACCAAGAGCAGTTTGAAGTTCTCTAACACGATCACGTAATCCATTTTTCGTATCGACTAATTGACGTATATAATCAGCAGCTATAATAAATAAATCCAAATCAGATAAATTCATAAAGATGTATAAGAAACTTACATTTTTGTAAAATCAAAGATTCACTTCGTTGACATTCATTTAATGTAGGTACAATATCCACCAATTGATCAAAACCAATACGAATATTTGCCCGTCGTTTTTGTTCAGAAGCGATATGATTTGCCTTTTTTTGATCTTCGGATAAGAGTTCATGAGCCGGTTTTCTTCCACGTCCACTACCTTTTGGTTTAGTCGTTTGTCGTTGTGATGGTGGTGATGCAGATGATGTATCTTCCATCATGACAAAGGAAGAATCAATACGATTGTTTAATGTATGTGATTGAGAAGAAGGTGATGATGATGGTATAGTATCATCCCCATCTAATAATAATCGATATTTCTTTGAATCCATCATGCTATTGTTGTCATTATTTGACTTTGTATCACCAACTCTTTTTCGACCAGCTTGTATATCCAGAATAGGTAATGTTTGAATTTGTTGTTGACCAAAAGTACTATTTTTTGAATAAGGAGGTGATAATAAAACACGGGTAGGTGAGGATGAATGTTGTACTAGATCAATAAAATAAAATAAAAAAAAAAGAGGGATAAAGAGTTTTTGTTAGTGATCTATGTCAAATCTGTTAAAAAACCACATGTCTATCTTCAATGTCGCTTTGTCATCCTTTTCTTTCCTCATAAAGAAAGATACAAAAAAAAAAAAAAAAGAAAGAATGAATTATATCATCCGATCTTGGGTCATACAAAAAAAAAAAAGTCTCATATGCTTTGACAAGTGCCCAGTACTCCATTTTTTTTTTCTTTTCTCATTGGTATAAAATTACCTGATATAGGGTTGTTCCTGGTTCCGTTATTATATGGTACTTGTGTATTATTGTTTGTATATGAATCGTCTGACGAGGAAAAACTATCCAAAACAGAATGAAATTGACGTCTTTCTGCTTCCGAGAAAAGATCATTGTTATTTATGGTTGAAGGATACGGTGAGGTGGATTCTAGAGAGTGTGTGTGTGTGACAACAAAAGAAAGAAAAGGAAAAAAAAAAAAAGAAAAGAAAAGAAACAATGTTAGTGAAAAACTGTCAATGTATTATAAAATTTTATTATTCTTATACTTATTTGGTTTTTACCTTTGTTCTTATTATCAGCCATTATAAATACAAAATGAATAAAGTAAAGAAGGAATGTAATGGGAGAAGGATAAAGAAAAAGAATGAGTTGAACAACGAAAAAAGAAAAAAAAAAAAAAAAAGAAAATAGTGGATCAGACAAGTCCGCTTTTTTTTTTACACGTGAAAGGTAAAAACAGGACCATCTTAAAGCTTGTTCATCCGACGATTGGTAGCATGAATCCAACCATATATATAAAAAAAAAACTGATTTTTTATTTAATAACTAAGGTATAATAATAAAACTAAATAAATAATCATTATCAATCATCTTCGATTGCCGTCAATTCACTTCGATTATCATCTTCTATTGACTTTGTTGTAGAATGATTGTTGTCTTGATGATTAGTACTTTCCACATCATCATCTTCTTCTTCTTCTTCTTCATTATTGTGTGATTCTTCTTTTTCATCTGGAATACTGACTAATTCTGGAGGAACCAAACCATATTTTCTTGATAATAACAGGAATCTTGCATATAAATATGTATCATTCTAAAGAAAACGTAAAATCAGTTAAAATAATATTAAATAATTTATTAAGATACTTTACTTCAAAAAGTTCATATATTTCACGATGATGAAAGTAAGCATGTGCAAAAATACGATATAAACGACGGGCAATAGATTGAAAATGTTTCAATGATGGTTCAGGAACTGAGATTCTAATAATAATAATATAAGTTATAAACAATAATAAAAAGATATTGATGATTACCTGCTAGGAAAGTATTTTGAATTATTTAAAAGAATAGTTGCACCATCTAAAGTATGAATAATATAATCAATGGCAGGACACTATAGAAAAATATAAAGTTAGTTATATATTATTATTATTATTATTATAATATTAACTGATTGTGTTGAAGGATGAGCAGCACATAAGTAAAGCCAACCATCAGCTTTCATTTCAGGACAATTTTCTTTTGTACATTCAGGTTCCAAAGCTACTACTAATAGACTAAGTTCTAAACAAACTTGTCTAAAATAGATTAATAAGTTAAGTAATTAAAATAATAAGTATATATATATATTATTACCTAAGATGTTCATATTGCCATACTTGTTTATCAACAGTATCAGGAAGTTCTACAATATGTTCAACATTACTACGATCTGATCTAATCACTTGTTGTAGATATTCTTGTACGTTAAAAGATGATTCTAGATTATCTAAAGGTTCAATAGGCCAATTGAAAGTTTTCTTTGAACAACAAAAAAGTAAAAAAATGATGTTAATAATAATATATATATTATTTTATTTCAATATAATATATATACCTCTAGACGACTACCTGGATATAATCTTCTAAGTGTAGTCATAAGGTCTTTTTTGTTAAACTAATGAAGAAAAAAGGAGATATAAGAAAAAAAAAAAAAAAAGGAGACAAGAAGAAACTTTTTTTTTTTTTTTTTTTTTTTTTTTTTTTTTTGCATTACTAGGCGCAAAAATGTTTTAGCAGGTTGAATCACCGAAGAACAAGCCCAAGTACTCTTTTTTTTTTTTTCTTTTTGGGTTTCATAGCAATGAAAAAACTTTAATTTCCTTTAACACCTTTTATGTAATGAGCCACAACTATTACAATAACAACAACAACAAAGAAAAAAAAAAGAAATCTAAGCCTTATCTGGATACAATATCATCATAGATGATTCTTTTGATTTTGATAGGTAAGTAATACTATTTTGGTATTCTTTCCAATGATGGTCATATGCGATGTGTTTATTTTTATTATTTTTGTTTCTTAATTCTTATGGGGAAAGAAAAACGCCCTGGACGGGAAATGAAAACTAACGAAATTCTTTTTATAGATTGAACTATTAGGTTTAAAAAGGTACACTTTTTTTTTTCTTTTTTTCTTTCTTTTTTCCTTCTTTTCCTTTTTCGTTTTACTTTACTTTCTTTTTTTTTTTCTTTGTGATAAAAGAAAAAATGTCTTTTGAACACTCAATATCTTATCGAAAAGTAGCTAAAACGTTAGTTATTGTTTGTTTTCTTGGTCTTTTTATTGGTTGGTTCATTGACCTTAGTTCTTTAGATTGGAAACAACATTCAACTGAATTTAGTATCTTATGGACTCCTCCTACAACTACTACTACTACTTTTACTGATACTAATCAAATTACTTTGACAAGTGATCGTTTTACAATGAATAAAAATCAATTCAATTGGATTGATAATCGAAATGGTAATATCATTATATAATATTAAATAAGTATATAACTCATCTCATTTTTATATAGGTCAACAACATCAATTACCAACAAAATCAGTATTTGAAAAAGCTTTCTCTGCATCAGTGGGTAATAGTGATATTCAACCTTATTATTTCAAAGCAAATCATCATCCTACTATCAACGATATTACTATTCTTACAACCATTACCAAAAGTCGAATTCATACTTTAGCTATTTTGGCTGAACGATATCAAGGTAAAATATTATTATTATAAAATCATCAACTCATTCTTTTTATATATAGGTCCTATTTCTGTTGCTCTTCATATTGCTCCTGATGAATCTGGTGAAAATACTTTGGAATTACTTGGTCAAACTATCAAACAACAACCATCTATGCAAAAGTATGTAGACGTTCATGTGATCAAGGATAAGATGGAAAGACAATTAAACTTGTGGCGTAACGTGGCAAGATTCTTTGCTCGATCTGACAATGTAATGATGCTTGATGTGGACTTTTATCTCTGTACTGATTTCAGGAAACATATTCTCAATAATCCTCATGCCATGGAATTATTGAATAATGGTCATTCTGCTCTGGTCATTCCTGCATTTGAATTCACTAAACAAGATGATGGATTGGATTATAGAACATTCCCTACTACAAAACACAGTCTGATCAACCTATACCAAAATCAAGCTATTGATATGTTTCATTCATTTTGGACACCCGGTCATGCTTCCACCAATTATCCTTATTGGATCACTGCTAATGATATATACAAAGTCACTGAATATCAACAATCTTATGAACCTTACATTGTATACAAAAAGAATCATCAACCTTGGTGTGATGAACGATTCTTTGGTTATGGAAGTAACAAAGCTGCTTGTCTATTCGAACTCTATGTTTCTGGTGTTGATTATTATGTTATGCCTCAAGATTTTATCATTCATCAAACTCATGATTACCCCAATGAAACTCGTTCTTTAGAGGTAAAAAAAAAAAAAAAAAAAAAAAAAAAAGGAAATTCATGACTGACCTTTTAAATCTATTTTTGATAGCGTTTCTATAATAGGCGTTTGTACAACCAATTTCGAGAAGAGATCTGTCTTCGTTATGCCCGCATGTTTGTCGCACAAGATGAATGGGAAACTCCAAAATCATTCAACTTGATAGAGCAATGCAATCGCTTACCGAGATTCCAATCTACTGTCAAGACCTTCCTATGATTCCCACTTTTTGTAGTTTTATTTTTTTTTTCCTTTTTGTAATTAACATCCTTTTTATATATATATATTGTATAGCCTTATTTATTTAGATAGATACAAATCATCATCTTTTTTTTTTATTGCACTAACATCATCATCATTACGTAAATAAATAAAAAAAAAAAAGAAAAAAAAACTTTTATCCTAGACTTATGGACGCGGGGGATTGAAATTTTAGAACGCAAAAGATTTTTTTTTTTGTCTTTCTTGTTCCTTTTTTTAGTGCCTTTTTTTTTTTTTTTTATTTTTACACACGCTCTAATGTTGCCACTTGGTATTACTTGCCACCCTGATAAACATCGGTTTTACTTGGTATCAGAAAATAGCACATATGTTATTGGGGTGACTTTGGATAAAAAACTCGTATTGAATCTTTACTGGGGACCTCGATTGTACTCCATGGACGATATTCCTGCTGCACAACTACAACCAGAACGTAGTTCCCAAGATCCTGCATTGACTACAGCACCTGAAGAATATCCTTATTTTGGTGGACTAAGGTTTGGAGAAACAAGTTTAAAAGTGACATTTCCTTCGGGGACTCGAGAACTGGATCTTGCCTTTGTCGACCATTACATACACAACAGCCATCATTTGGTCATAACATTACAGGATCAATATTATGAGGATGTAGTAGTATGCCTTCATTATAAGATATGTGTCAAGACTGGTTTGATTGAACGTTCAGCCACTATCTCCAATCGATCATCATCATCCTTCTCCTTACATATTGACAAGATGCTTTCGGCAGCATGGCATCTCCCACCAACAATAAACAATAAATCACGACAATTGACAACGTTGAATGGTGCTTGGTCTGCAGAAACTCAGGTGAACACTACTGTCAACCTACACACCAACAACCAATATACCCTTGGATCAACACGAGGCATTCCATCCGCACAGGCCTATCCTTATTTTGCTTTGACATCTGAATCCAATCTACCAAACAGACAAGATACTTATTTCGGTGCCATCGCTTGGAGTGGCAATTGGACCATCCGTATGGATGTGGATTATCAAGGCCAGGTTCGGATTTCCGGTGGATTACAACCGCTTGATTTTGGCTTGACGCTTGAGGCAGGTGAAACGTTTACCACACCAGTGTTTATGGCAGGTTATTCTTCTTTAGGCATCTTTGGTGCAAGACAACTATTACCACGTTATCTTCAACAGGGCAAGATCAATCCTATTCTTTACAATTCTTGGGAAGCGGCGGGATTTGATGTGAATATCCAACAACAACTAGATTTGGCAAATGAAGCTGCAAAACTTGGGGTGGAACTGTTTGTTTTGGATGATGGTTGGTTCCGTGGACGTACTAGTGACAAGGCTGGACTTGGGGATTGGTTCTATGATGAAAACAAGTTTCCTAATGGTCTCAAACCTTTGGCTGATCATGTTCATTCTCTTGGTATGAAGTTTGGTCTCTGGTTCGAACCTGAAATGGTATATACCTCTTTTTTTTTTTTTTTTTTTTTTTGATTCACATCTTTTTTTTCTTTTTTTTTTTTCTATTTTATATAGGTCAATCCCGATTCTTCGCTTTATCGAGAACATCCAGATTGGGTATATCATTATCGTGAAAGACCTCGTAGTGAAGCAAGGCATCAATTAGTATTGGATCTTACAAATGAACAAGTACGGTCTTATATCTATGATCGACTCAGACACAACATCATGGAGATTGGAGTGGATTATATCAAATGGGATATGAATCGACCTATTAGTGAAGCTGGCTCTCAACTACTTAATAATAATAATACACCATTTGGTCAAGATGAACGTGATGCTCGGGAAGTGTGGATATCTCATGTGAATATGTTTTATCATCTACTCAAACAATTGAAAACTGATTTTCCTGGATTACTGATTGAATCTTGTAGTAGTGGTGGTGGGCGAGCTGATCCTGGGGTATTGAAGATGGTGGATCAATGTTGGGTGAGCGACAATACGCAACCTGATGCAAGATTGATTATACAACATGGTATCTCATCTGTATTACCACCAAGTATGATGAGTTGTTGGTAAGTGAAAAATAAAACAAAAAAAAAAGAAATAAAAAGTAAAAATAAAAAGATGATGATGATTTTTTAAAATGATTAATTACTTTTTTTTTTTTTATTAAATAGGGTGACAGATATGCCACAAGAGGATCCTGGTTACAAATCTATACCATTATCATATCGATTTCACGTGGCTTTCATGGGTGCATTGGGAATTGGATCAAATATCTTGAAATATACTGATGAACAAAAAACAGAAGCGACAAACTGGATCAAGCTATATATCAAATTACGACATATATTACAATTGGGTGATCTTGATTGGTTACATGCGGATCATACTCGATTCTTGGTGACTATGACAACTATACCTAATGAAGCCGTGTTATTGGCCTTTCGACCTTCTAGTCCCTTTTGGTTTCCTATTCCACCTATTCGTTTACGGAAACTCGACCCCAAAGCAAAATACGAACTCGAATTATGGACGACTCACAATGATAGTCAAGTGGAAACTTACTCTGGTGCTAACTTGATGTATAAAGGGTTGGATCTACCTTATTTGACTAGTGGCGCGTACAAAAGTGTAGTGGTTTGGATCAAGAAGATATCAGATAGTTAGTCTTGACTCTTAGTTTAATTACATAAGGTCCAGTTGTTTTATATATGGAATAAATCGTCTCGTTCAACGCGGTGCTTGAAAGTTGTTCCTCATTACTGTAATGTTTTCTACTTTTTTTTTTTTTTTTTCAACTCTCTTCTCTCTCTCTCTCTTTCTCTCTCTCTTTTTTTTTGGTCCAATGTTCAAACCTACTTCTCAACATTCATTCTATGTTCGAGCATTATATAAACGTATTCTATCTGAAGCTGGTTATTTTTTTGATGATAGATCAAGGTAAGAAAGGAGAAAAACATACACGAACTGAAATAACTCATCGATCTCTTTTTCCAAAACAGAGCATATGTGGTCAATCGTGCAAGAAAGTTTTTCAAAGAATACAAGTCTTGTCAAGATGAATCAAGGATCAAGAGCAAACTGACAGAAGCAAAAAAAGTAATATATGGATACAACGCGAAATTTGTCACTTATCTTTTCTTTTTTTAATAGCGGTTACATAGACTCGAAAGCGCCAATAAAGGGAATCAAAAAAGTGCACTGAAAGTTCTTGAAGCAGCATATGGTAGAACGGGTAAAGTAAAACATAAATTGATGCATGTAAGTACTTTAGAAAAAAAAAAAAGAAAAAAGAAAAGAGAATATGCCATCCATTGCCTTGATCTTAATCTTTTTTTTTTTTTTTTTTTCTGTAGAGTTATCTTTATGAACATTTTCCAGCAGATTTCAAAAAACCAGCACCATTGATACCACATATACCACATACTGCACCACCTCCACCATTATGTTACCCATTACAAGCCATTGTCACCCAACATTTGAAAAAACAACTAGAACCGCAACTACCAGTACCTCCTTTCAAACCGTTACATCGAGGTCGTCAAGCCAATCTATTATGGAAGTGGCGATCCATGCTTATACAACAAATGGAAATCCCTTTACCTTTTGAAATCATATGTGAATTGGAATTGAAAGCTGGCGCTTCTATGACTCATCCTTGTTATTCTGGCATGCTCAACATGGGTGGTCCTCGCTGGATCGATATGTATGCTGGTCATGAAAATGATCCTGATCTTGCTCATCTTTGTCCAATACAACAACAAACACCTCTTAAAAAACTTGAAACAAACCGATGTATTCCTTTACCACCGTCTCCATACACCAAATCGCCTTCTATTTATGCTACCTCTACCTTGATCGCTATGTCTCCTTTGTCAACCATCAGTCGTTATCAATACGCCCCTCGTGAAATGAGAAGACTTTATCGACGTCTTTTAAATAAGATACCTCTGATATCACCTCTGCCTGATGCCATGTCGTTGTATGACGCCAACATCAAGTATCAAGTCTCTCAATCTCAATGGGCTACCAATACTATCACTCATATTTTGGATTTGAAGCATTTACCTCCCAACTTGCAAAAAGATGAATGTTAGAATGATTGAAATTATTTCTTCCTCACTAGAATAAAAATGATCCTCTTTAGTATTATATTCGAAATCTATATTTATTTATTTATCTATGTAAAAGAGCATTTTTATTCATTTTCAATGTTAATCCCATCATGTTAAAACTATCTTGGTCATCTGTACGTCCCAAATTGAAATCCCGAAATTGCGTTGTTGTTCAAAGGTTCAAAAAGGCTCTTTTTTTTTTTTTTTTTTTTTTTTTTTTTCGTTTGTTTTCATTATCTTTTCTCTCTCTCTCTCTCTTTTCTTTTTTTCTTTTTGATACAAACATGAATCCAAATCCTCTTGCTAGTCGTGAAAAAGCAGCTGAAGATCAATATATTCGTCAAAAGGTAAGACACTTAGTTTTTTTTTTTTCCTTCTAAATGGTTTGATGAACTTTTTTAGGAAGAAAAACGTAAGGCTGCACAAGAAGCCAAACGACAAGAACAAGAAGCAAAGAAATAATTATATATTGTACTCGATGATATATTATTAATAGTTTTTATATAATAAGAGTATAAATAGATAAATAAATAAATAAATAAATTAAAAAAAAAAAAACTGAGAGGAAAAAAACTATTATGAACTAGGCAAAAGGACAAGTAAAATTAATGTAGGGGAAATATCGTTTCGAACGAATCAATAGAAGGTGGAAAAGAAAAAAAAAATAAGGATGATATGCGTGTGTGTGAATGAAAAGGATGGAGAATAATAGTGATGAATAAAATCTTAAGCAGTAGTTTCTCTAGGATGGAAACTCATGATACAACCATCTTGAGGATAAATGGTGGCAAAGATACTAATGATAAAAAAAAAAGTGATGAATATGAATGAATTTTTTTTTTTTTTTTTGGGACTTACGAGATATCATCACTTTTATCAGTACGATAATGAGTCCAATTTAATTGTAAAGAAGCTTGAGCCAAAGTAGCCATAAGATGCATGATGGCGTATTCTTTTCCAAGACAATGATGAGGACCATTACCAAAGACCATAAAGTTCTTGGGATACTTTTCAGCATGACCAGTGGGACCCCATCGATCAGGATCAAAGGAATCTGGGTTGGGATAAGCAGTGGCATCATGAAGAGCAGGATAAGTAGTAGGAATCAACATAGCACCTTTGGGGACAGTATAACTAGAAGTCAAAGGCCATTCACGAGTAGTTTGATAAGGTACCATCAAGACAGGAGGTCGTAGACGTAAGATTTCTTTGACGACTTGACGCAAGTAGACTGATTCCTCCATTAATTCCAATGACAATTCAGTATCCAATTTTCCATTTCGCACCTTGATTTGTTCTTGTCGCACTTTTTCTAATACATCAGGATGATCAGCCAATAATTGGAAGGCCCAAGTCATAGCAGAGGAAGTGGCATCTTGAGAGGCAAATAAAAAGGTTAAGATAGTCAAAGCAACTTCACGATCATCGAATTTGCGAGGAGCAGGTTTTCCTTCACGTTCACATTCCATTTCATATTCCTTCATGGAAGAAATCCAAGCATCCATCATGGATTTGACTTCACCACCATTGTCCATACGCACACGACTATCCTTGATGGCTTCAATAAAATGATGTACAATGTATTTTCGAGATTGAATGGCCTTGTAAACCTTGGTACCAGGAAGAGGGATAGGGAAATTGACGAGTTCTAAAGCAGCAGTGATATTGAAATATTCTTGAGAAATGGTTTCAGCTACCTTATCAGACATGTGAAAACCCAAAAAGACACGAAGAGAAGATTCCATATTAAGTTCACGGAAATGCCACTGGAATTGTTGTTTTTCACCATTGAATGACAACCATTTATCGAAATGCTTTTGATATACAGATTCTTGAATGGGAATGTACATACCAAGAGCCTTTCTAGTGAATAAAACATTCAAACCTTTTCGATAATCCACGTGAGATTTACCACTAAGGAATACCCAATTATCAGCACAAAGAATATGTTTCATAGAATCCACTACAGCAGGTTCGGCGTAAGCAGGTGCATTCAAAATCTTTCGACTGAGTTCACAAGTAGAAGCAATCACTACAAATCTAAACAAAAGGAAAAAAAAAAAGTATTTCAAGGGGGTGGTGGTGATTAATGAATGTTTTTTTTTTTTTTTTTTTTTTTTTTGTTCTTTACCTGTCAAAAACACCAACACATGATAATTCACCACTTTTCCATTTGTTCATATATCCTTCAAAAGTAGGATAAAGAGAATCCATAAATGCACCAATAACAGGAATTTTGAATTTAGGACCAGGTAAGGATTTCTTTTTCTTTAAATATACGTATTGTTCATAAGCAAAGAGACCAACAACTGCAGAACATACAACAGCTGTAGTAGATACATTTGGTTTTTGAGAAAACATTGTCTTGATAAAAGCAGCAATGGTATTTTTTGTTGATTCAATAGTACGAGGATCAAAGAGACTGTAGAAAATAAAAAAAAAAAGTTTAAATGATAATTATCATTTTTATTTATTTATTTTTTTACCTTGAAGAAACCATGTTATGAGATGAAAAAAAAAAAAAAAAAAAACAATGGATGACAAATAAAAAACGCGAAGAATAAAAAAAAAGAAAAAAGAGAATCCTAACTACAAATTGAATGTATACAAAATGTAGAAGTTTTTTTTTTTTTTATCTATATATTGAAAGAGGATGAACCCAAAAAGAAAAAAAAAAAAAATAGAAAAAAGAAAGGAAAGAAAGAAAGAAAAAAAAAAAATAGAAGGGAGTCTGAACAAAAAATCAAATAAAAAGTTTTTAGCTTTTTCCGGGAGATCCGAAATTGGGAACAACCAACTTTTTTTTTTTTTCTTTTCAATCTCCTATTACCTTTTCATGTTGTGCAAAAAAATTACCCCTGTTCTCAAATTCTTTTGGTACCTTTTTTAACATAATAGAAAAAAAAAATGCTGGTTTCACCATAACAAAATGTTTCCAATGTATCACTTTAAAAAAAACCTATCATCTGATTTAAAAAAAACCTTTTTTTTTTTTTTTTTTTTTTTTTGCTGGTATCACGTCCGTTGATCCTTTTCTTTTTTTTTTTTTCATCACCTTACATTTTTTATATATATACTTTTTACAATGATCGCCGACTTAAAACGTATCAACCCACTTTTTTTTTTTTTTTATCTATTCTAAAGTTTAGCGGATATTTTACAAACAATCATCTTTTTTTTATAGCCGGTTATTTTTTCGGCCAAATATTTTCCGCATTACCTAGATGGGTTAATTTGGGTGACACAAGGCACGTTTTTTCTGGTTCTCTTCAAACATCAAAAACAGTGGATGTTTGTTTTTTAGATTGTTGCAATTGATCATAAGGATTTCAATTAGAATGATGAATTTTGATAATATCTATCTCTAAATAGGATGACATCTCCTATTTGCATAACATTAACAAAAAGAAGAAAAAAAAAAACTATACCCGGAGATTCAAATCGTGTACAACAATTAAATAGTTGATCGTCGCAAAGAAGAGAGGATGTTAGGTCATGCTTGTTGATTCATAACAAAAAAGGAATCGATCACTCATCCATTTCTTCCAATGATTACGCTTTACTTTGTCATCCAGCATAAAAAAAAATATATTTAGGACATATTTCCCCACCTTCTTTTTTTTTTTTTTTTGATATGAATAAAATCATACCTTCTTATTGGTGAATACGTTTTTTTAATAATATCTACCCATTTCAGCAGTAGGAAGAATTCAAAGATATATAGTTCGACAGGAGACAAATGGAGATAATTCATTGTCTTTTTTTTAAAAAAAAAAAATAAAATCAGGAAAACGGAATGACACCATGAATTTCATACAATTGATTCCATATCCATTTCAAAAGATGGATGAAAAAACATTCATCATTCGACTTTATCAATATATTAAAAAAAAAAAGACAAGATACAATCATTTATAAAAGGAGATTCTATTTTTTTTTATTTGTTCTAAAAGGTATATCATACTACTATATACATGATCAATTAAAAGAACCAGTTTCCAAGGAAGCATCATCAACATAAGAACCATGGAAGGTAGGAGCGATATAAGCACCAATGTTGATTTTAGCGATAGTTGTAAAGGAGGAAGCATCCAACACCAACAAGTAACAATGATCATATTGAGATCCACGATTGTCGAATACATTGACCAGACTGAGTACCACACCATCATCTTCATCATCACTGTCTTTTGCAGATACAAAGATAGGTTCCGAGCATAAATAACCATGATGACTTTCCAATTCAAATGTTTTTGTCACTCGTTGTTGTACATCCACCTTGACCAAAGTATAGCGTTCACCTCGTTCTCGTGTAGGCGGTTGGACTTGACAACCATATACATAACGATGTTCCTTGAAACAGTAAGCCGAGTTCATACGAGGGAAATCAAAGTTGGTACAGATCGTTTCAAAGGTAGCTAAAGCAGTATTGGTCGTAGTTCGATGAGGGTTCTTCCATTCAAGTGTATACCGTCGATAATCACCAAATGTGGTAACATGACCAGGAGGAATTCGGATACCATTGTTCTTGCGTTTTCTTTTTCCCTTGCATAAAGAGACGTAACGATCATAGTCTGAGGCTCGAATGATATCACCAAAAGCATGCGTTTCATAAATCATGTCACCATTATAGGCAGCACAATCCAATTCAAACAAAATGTTGCCATGTTCGTCTTGATAGTCTCGTCCGTTGATGATGTGAAATGCGAAAAAAGAAGGTGCCAATAATGTTGTCACGTGCCCTTTGCCATGGTGTCGATCCACAATATGAAAGTAAGTTGGAGTATTAGCTTCCCATTCAAGTCCACCCAAGACACTGCCATTCAATAAGAGATCCAATCCATAATTTCTATAGTACATGGGATATACAGGAATAACAACATAGTTCTTGGTGGTAAAAAAACTATGATAATAAAAACTGCGTACTGGTGTGTTGTGTTTGTCCTTGCCACGCTGAATGCTTGCCAATATTGTTGTCTTGCCTTGAGGATTGATACTAAATACCTGAATGGTTGGTTTGCCACCAACATTCATTGTCATATTGATTGATTCCTTTGTATCATAATCGTAATGGTGATGAGCAGCGACGAGTTGTCCATCTAATCTTTTGTCGTAATCACGATAAGTATAAATCTTTTGGGGTTCTAATAAAATGAAAAATAAAAATGAGTATATGAATGAATGAATATTTATATATATATATATATATATATAAACATACCTAAAGAATCATGATCCACTTGTTGAAGACCATTAAAATCAGATTTAGTCACCATGGCCAAACGAGTAGAAGAAGAAGAAGAAGAAGAGGGAAGAGGATAATTTGGAGTAGCAGTAATACCAATAGAAAGTGATGTAGGTGTCGATGATTTTGGACGAAGAGCAAGATGATCTACTCGACTAGCGAAATCCTTGAGACGATTCCATGTTGACATATTTTTGGATTCACCAAACCATACAGCACCTCGACCATTAGATGCCAATAAATTCTTTTCAAAGTCTTTTGCCAAATATCGTGAATTGAAACGTACTGTGTTGTCTTTACTGTTAAATTGAAATCGATAGAGATAGGGAAGTCCATCAAAAGCATGACGTATAGTAAATGCCGCACCACCACCACTATGATCTAGATCGCCTAGTTTATATCGTCCACCACCTTGAGAAGAAAAAAAAAAAATAAGAAAAAAAAAAAAAAAGAGAGAGAGAGCGAGAGAGAGAGAGAAAAAAAAATGAATAAGATGAGTATCGTTATCTATTATCTCATATGAAAGTAAAAAGTATCTTTTTTTATTATTATTATTATTCTTACCAACGCGATACATTGTACCATTCAACCATGTAGGAAGTTGACCTTCTGTCACAGGTAACCAAATAGGATTCATTTGTTCAGGTACATTACCATAATTCAAGTTCTGAAATTCAGCCAAGATATTTGCATTGTGAAGTTTAGGACGAGGCATGAGAGGAAGAAAGAAATGAAAGAAAGAAAAATGAAGAAAAAAGAAAAAAGAAAAAAAAAAAAAAGAAAGAAAATTCAAATTCCACCCCTTTTATATTTGCATGAGATTGGTTCATTGATTATCAGAAAAAAAAAACAGGTATAGAACAATGAATTATCAAAAAAAAAAAAAAAAAAAAAAGAACCCATAAAAAAAAATGTTGACAGAAAAAGACAATGATAATAATATACAAGAGACAAACTTTATTGATAAATAATAAACAAAAAATCTATTGAAAATTTCAAGGTAAAGAAACAGCACGTTTTCGTCGTTGTTGATATTGTAAATCAATACTTTCCATAGCCTTTTCTTCATCCAGTGATGATGAACAATGATGAATCATATTGGTAGTAAACACAGTATTCGAAGGAGGAGAAATGGATAAATGAGCTGTTTTCCTAGCAATCGAGTTGAGTAAATAAACACCAGAAAAAATAATTAAAAAACCACAAATCAATGTAACAGTATTGATAGCATCTGAAGTATGCCAACCACTATACATAATAGCTGATGCCACAATAGTTGCTGTAGTAAAAAAGACAAAATAAATGGGATTGACACTAAAAAAAAAAAAAAAAAAAAAAAAAAAGGATCAATTATATATATATACATATATATATATCATTATTACTTACACATTGGTAGAAAAAGTATCTAAAGCCTTATTAAAATAATTCATTTGAGTTAAAATAAATACCACACACATAAAACCAAAAACATAGGTAGAGATTTGAGTGAATTGATTGTTGCCAGCAATAGTAAGTCGAACAGCAATACCGAATGCCTTGATAGCCATAATAGACAAAGAACCAACCAAGGAACATATGGTCACATATACAATCGGTCGTGTCTTACCCCATCTTGGTACTGCTTTCCAAATCAAAACGATGGTCACCAGAATAACAATGATAAAATAAACAATAAAACCAGGTTGTAACATATAGGAGACTAACTCTTCAACACTTTGTACACTGGGATCTTCAGGTGAATGAAGTACAATAATGACAGCGCCAATTAAGGAGAGTAAACAACCAATAATACCTGTTGAACCAAGACGTTCTTTTAAAAAGATTGATGCTAAGAGTGCACTAAAAGAAAAGGAAAACTACTACCATTAATGAATTTAAGATGGTTTGATGAAGGAACTAAACAAAAAAAAAAAAAATAATTCTTTTTTAATTATTATTACCCAATAATTACACTCAAAGCACCTAATGGTGTAATGAGAATGGCAGGTGCAAATGTATAACCTTCATAATGTTCAATAAATAAATAAATAATAAAAAAAAAAAGAAATGAGATATGAAATTTAAAAAGTGATCCCCCCTTTTTCGTTTTCCATCTTTTGAATTGGGTTACCGACAAAGTTAAGCAATTCTCCACACACCATAGTGAATAAGCCTATCCACCAAATAGGATTTCTTAGGTAACGATGTGAATCGGAAGCACAACCTAATGAAAAAAAAAAAAGATGAAAAAATGGATGATGATAAATGAAAAGAGTTGTTTACCATGCTCTGATGAACAACGCTGTAATCCTTTTTTGGTAATGACGAACGATATCCCAATCAAGATACTAGAACATATAGCAAGTATTAACCCAATGAACTTGCCATCCATTTGGTTTTTATATTAGTGGGATGAAGGAGAGTTATAATAACGTGGATGAATGACTCTATGATGAAATATGAACTTTTAATGGTATATTATATTATATTTATATATAGTCTGTAAATATATAAGAAAAAAAAAAAAAAGAAAAAAGAAAAAGAAAAGAAAAAAAAAAAAAGGTGAAAAATGTAAGTTGCCAACACATACACACACCAAAAAAAAAAAATCAAAAGGAATCCTCCTTTTTTTACACATTAGGAAACACGCAGGGGCAATCAAAAATATATATATATATCAACAACACACAACACATACCATTCATTATAGTATGAAAAATTGAACTAATGATTGGCATCATCATGCATAGTAAAATGACCAAAAAAAAGAGATGGTTTATAAACGTTTATTAAATAACCAACAAGTATATGATATATCAAAAAAAAAAATATAAGATAAATAAGAAACAAAAAAAAAAAAAAAAAGGAGGAGAACGAAATAACAAGTAGTATTCTTTTTTAAAATAAATAAATAAATAAAAAAAAAAGGGGATAGGGAGAGGAAAGGGTGATCAATAAATGGTGAAAACGAAGGGGAGAAAAGAAGAGGAGGAGGATATGATTACAAGATAGTACACTTCTTTTGTTTCTTGAGAGGAGCAGCAGGACAAAGAACAGCACGAATGGCTTCATCAAATACATTTTTCAGACCATTTTGAGTGAGAGCGGAACATTCCAAGTACTTGACAGCACCAATATCTTTGCACATTTGCATACTTTGTTGGAACGAAATAGGTGCCATATGTTTTTGTCGTAATTTTGCAATGGTTTCTGGATCTTCTCGTAAATCCAATTTTGTACCTACAAGAATCATTGGTGTATTGGGTGCATGATGGCTAATTTCAGGATACCACTTTTTTTTTTGTAAAGCATAAATAAATAAACAGTAAAAAAAAAAAATTAGTCAATCAAAATAAAATAATATTTTTTTTTTTTTTTACCTTGGTTTTCACATTTTCAAAAGAAGGTGGACTGACCAAAGAAAAACATATCAAAAAGACATCAGTTTGAGGATAAGACAATGGTCGAAGTCGGTCATAATCCTCTTGACCTATATATATATGTAAATAAATGATGAATATTTTTTTTGAATCAAGATGAGTTCCCTTTACCAGCAGTATCCCATAAACCAAGATTGATAGGTTTTCCATCCACCATCACATTTGCTGAATAGTTGTCAAACCTATAAAGAGAATATTAATGTAATGCATATTCACTATATATATAAATAAAATTATCTTTCTTTTTTTTTTTTATTCTTTATTTTATTTTATTTTTTACACAGTTGGAATATATTCACCAGGGAAAGCATTAGTTGTATATGAAATCAATAAACAGGTTTTACCAACAGCACTAATATATATATATAAAAGTCAAAAAAAAAAAGATGAGTATCACGGATGAAAAAGATAGAATCATATTCTATCCACAATTGAGCGCGTGCCTATTTCCAATATATATATATATAAAATACTTTATTTACCCATCTCCCACTACAACACATTTGATAGCTTGCATGGTATAATTGTGATTCTAAACAAGAAGAAAAAAAAAAAAAAAAGAATAAAGAAGCAGAAAAAAAAAAAAAAAAAGGGAAAGACAAGACAGAGAAAGGGAGGAGAACGAAAAAAAAAAAAAATTCAACATATTCCCTTTTTTTTTTTTTATTTTTTTTCTCTCGTGACGTAGAATATGTTACACCAGTAGTTTAATAGATCAAAAAAGAGCAACAATAATAATGATGGGATCATTCAATGAACACGTTCCTGAACACATTAAATAAATACATCCATGCGGGGACAAAAAAAAAAAAAAAAAAAAAAAAAAAACTCTGCATTGCTGTAGTTCATTCATCTTTTTTTTTTCTATCTCTAAACAAGGGCTTTTTTTTTTGTCAGTTTTTTTTATTTATTCTGTAAAATGCATAAATGATAATGATAATAAAATAATAATAATAACACTAGGGAGAAAAGAAGAAGGGGGGAAAAGAGGGATGATTTCAAGGTATACATCTATATTGAAGAAAACTAAAATGAAATAATGATGAAGTACATGAAGAATATAAAAATGAAAGTAGGATGTATAAAAAATGGATTGATGATTCTAATATCGGTTGTTTCTGTTACCACCACCATAGCCACCATTTCGATTACCATAACCACCATTTCGATTACCATAGCCACCATTTCGATTACCATAGCCACCACCATTTCTATTACCACCACCATAGCCACCATTTCTATTGCCACCTCGGCCACCACCACCTTGATATCGACCTTCACGTTCAGCCAATTCAGGTAATTGAGAAGGAGCAGTTAATTCAATACGAGAATCATGCCAAGCACGACCAGCTAAATGAACCACACCATCCTTGACTTCGACCTTGGTTGCTGTAAAATCTGCCACCACACCAGTACGATCCATTGTCATACGCCATCCACGAGCATCTTCAAAAGTAATATCAGGGTATTCACGGTTGATGATGTTGCGAATATAACCAGGATGATTGATCGTTTGACCAACGTTGAAATAAAGAGTTGTTTGATTTTCCATGGATGTCATTAATGATCGACTAGGAACACCTTTGTGATAACCAGTCATATAGGCCAATGCAGATGCAACAGCTTCTTCAGCACCATGTTTTTCAATCAACTTTTGAGCAGATTCCGTAAATAAAGGAAGTACATTAGGGTTCACACTATCAATGGATTTGAAACAATCTTCAACTGTAGCCTTGATAATATCTTCAGGACGAGGAGCAGACATGGTTTCAAATTGGACACCGGTTTTCTTGGAGATATATTGTAAAAGTCCTTCTTCTTGAGGCTTATAAAAAGTCACACATACACCAGATCGACCAGCACGACCAGTTCGACCAGATCGATGAACATAAGATTCAGTATCCTTGGGAGGTTGACAATTAATGACCAAATCCACTTGAGGAATATCAAGACCACGAGCTAATACATCAGTACATACAATACATTTGAATTTGCCTTCACGGAATGCCTTCATAGTAGATTCACGAGATTGTTGAGCAATGTCACCATGTAAAACCGCAGCATCCTGTTTGATCTTGTCATGAGTACCCAATTCATTGGCATCAGCTTTGGTGGCACAAAAGATCACAGTCAATCCACTTTTACCATAAACATTGACGACATCTCCAATGATATCAGCACGGGCCATATAAGATGATGGCATAGCAATATGACGAATATTGGTATTGGTACGGTTTTTGGCATTTCCAATTAAATCAATACGGACATAATCTTCCTTTACAAAACGATTGATGGTTTCCATAACAGATTCAGGCACAGTAGCAGAGAATAATAAAGTTTGATAATCACGACTGGTCTTTTGTTGTTTAATTTGATCCAATACATTGAACATATCATCTTGGAAACCACGAGCATCCAACCTAAAAAAAAAAAAAAAAAAAAAAAAAAATTAGAAACAAATTTCTTCATCATCCTTCACTTAAAAAAAAAAAAAACTTACATTTCATCAGCTTCATCCAAAACAATATATTGTAAATCATTCAATTTCATATTGCCAAACTTGATATGATCCATCACACGACCAGGAGTACCGACGACAACATCACAACCTTGACGGAAAACTTGAGTTTGTTCAGCATAAGGAGTACCACCATAGACAGGTAATGCTGTAAGACGAGATCCTGAGATGTATTCGAAATCTCCACATACTTGTTTGGCCAAATCACGAGTAGGACAGAGAACCAAGACACGAGGAGACCGACCACGACGACTACTGAAAGCATTATCAGCAGATAACTTTTCAATCAAAGGTAAAGCAAAAGCCAAGGTTTTACCAGTACCAGTACGAGCACGAGCAAGAACATCATTACCATCATAGATAGAATCAAACGTTTTGGCTTGGATTTCAAATAGAGACTTGATACCTTTGGTGGCCAAGTTTTGAATGGTACTTTCAGAGATCCGGAAGTTAGTAAGTTTCAATTCTTCAGGAATATCTTGTTCTTCTTCTTCTTTTTGTTCTTCTTCAATAGGAATCTCTTCATCAAACTTGATCTTCTTGTTAGATTTCTTGTCTTCGTTGGATCTATCTCGCTTCTTGGAATCTTTACGAGAATAGTTGGAAGATTGTTGTCGATCTAGAAATAGAAAAGTCAGTTTATTTAAATGTTATTCTTTTTTTTTTATTTTTTATTTTTACCTTCAGTATCTTTCATAGTATAAGTAGAAGGCATATTCAGATCTAACAAAAGAAGTAAAGAAAAGAAAAGAAAAGTAAAAAAAAAAAAAAAAAAAAAAAAAAGGAACTTGAAAACTTTTTTTTCCTCAATGGAAAAAAGCTGCTGTGACTCTCCAATTATCTTGATTCGCCGTTCCAAAACGTACCCAATAAAAGAGGTATAAAGCAATATGGAAAAGAACAATGATATTCACGGAATTCAAAAATAAAGATATCGCAAAAATAGAAATAAAATATAGTAAGGATAGAAAAAGGTGACAGAAGAAAAAAAAAAGAGTTGACAGGTAATCCAAATTGAATACAAGAAGAGGAAGAAGAAAAGGAGTGGTAGTAATTCCATTGTGTATAAGAGATTTTTGAATAACAGAAATATATATATTTAGTCAACATATCCATTTTTTTTTTTATATATTTGTTTCAACTTACCTGTTATTAAATACATCCTCATGAAGAGATGATAACATAATTTCTATATACTGCTGTATACAGATTGATTATTCACTTTGAATTGGAAACACCAAATGAGATTTCAAAAAAAAAAGAAGAGAATGATGAATATACTGTATCATCATCATCAATCATCAATCACCAATCAATGTCTACTGACATCTCTGAAAAAGTGGTAATGCCATTTGGGGAAAGACCAATTTTATAATATAACATCACGAAACTATTTTCTTATGACCCGATAAAGCACTTTGAAAACAATGATAAGAGACTGTAAAGATTTGACTCAAATCAAAATCATTCATTAAATCATCCATTTTCTAAATAATAAAATAATAATAATAATAATAAAAGAAATCAAATTTATTTGTTCAACAAACAAATTTCAATATACTATATATGATAGAGTTGTAAGATAGAGGAATGTGTGTGTGTGTGTGTGAATGTAAGGGACCTTCAAAGTATTGAATGCAAAAAAAAAAACAGTAAATAATAATAATAATAATAATAATAGTAATAATAATGTGAGTGAGTAGTAATATAATAAAAGAAAAAAGTGAAAATAATAATAATAATAAGAATAAAGAATGGAGATTATCATACCACAAGGTACTAAAAGGATCAAGCGTGGAGAAAAAAAAAAGACATAAAGAATCATTATAATATACTAACGATATAAAATAATAATGATACTATGGGAAGAAAGAAAGGAGGAGATGGCCAATGATTATTGTTTCGTTTGACGTTTTCGTTTCCTATCAAGTTGATTATCTACGTCGGATGGTTGAGGAGGTGTTGAGGCAGTAGATGAAGAATAATAATAATCCTGAATATGACCAAGTGGAGGTAGATCCCGTTGTTCAGCCGAAGGTGCAGATAAACTATGAATAGAAGGTAATCGTAATTCATGACTAGAAGAAGTGGATGATGTTGAAGTTGGTGGTGAAGGTCGATGTGATTGATTCATAGTAGGTGAAGGTACTGTATTGTTATTATTATTGTTTTGAGCATTACTATTGGTCAATGATGGTGACGGCTGCGGTGAAGGTGAAATATAAAGATGACGGTAAGATGTTCCTGAAGAAGAAGTTGGTGTACTTCCACCTTGTGGAGGAGGAGAATTTGGTTTTGTTGGATCCTTATTCAAAAACTTATTGACAGCTGCAGGATCAAGGTCACCCATAGATAATTGTGATTGTACAATAGTTTTCAACATATCTTCGATGGCTTTCAGTCTTTCCTCGATGGCTTCTAATGCTGCTTTGCTAGGTCCATTTCGTTTATCGTCACTATGTGATGTTGGATATACACAAGGTACAGAAGACTTTTGACAATTTCGACAAGGTTGTTCCCCATTACACTTTGTCTTTTTCCGTCGGCATTCACTACAAGCACTAACAATCTTGGCACGTTTTTGTCGAGGTTCAGTAGATTGTTGGTCATCCGTAGGCATCGTGTATATAAAGTAATAAATAAAGGAGTGACTAAAAGAAAAAGAATCTATGAGAGAAGAAAAGTCAAGTATAAAAATGAAGGGATTGTGAAAAAAAGAAAACAGAAAGGGAAAGGAAGGACTATAGAGAGAGAGAGAGAGAGAGGAAAATAAAAGGGAAAAAAGTTGAAAGAAATTAAAAGTCGACAATGAGGAATTGATTTATAAAAAAAAAAAGAAAAGGTGTTCGTATGTTTGATAAAAGAAAGACAATAATGTTAATAATGACAGAAAAAAAAAGTCAAACTTTTCTAGACCAGAAAAGAGAGAGAGAGAGTTAAAAAGAAAGGAAACAGACGGAAGGGGAGGGGGGTTGGAGAGGAGAACGGAAGGAAGGAGGGGATGGCGGTATTTGAAAACCAATTCGACCGCGAACAAGTATCCAAGTGATTTCATTGGTTATTTTACCAAAGAGAGAGAAAAAAAAAAAAAAAAACGTTGTACCTTTTCCAATCAGCGAAATTTTCTCTCTCTCTTGTCCACTTTTACGGAAGTAACAAAAAAAAAAAAAAAAAAACGGGATTCCACCCCACAATTTTCTGGGTATGAATACTCATCATTTTCTTTCACCATAAAAAGAGTTGATGATGTGTCTTTTAGTTTTTCAATTTTTAATCTATCGATCATCGGATTCAAATCTATTTATAATATATATTTAAACAAGTTACAATTCTTTTTTTTTTTATTTAATAATCCAGGGGAGGTTAAAGATCGGATTATCGGATATGTTAAATGATCTCAATATATATGAAAAGTGACACGGAACTTTTTTTTTTTTTTTTTGTGGTAACAAGTACCAATCACGGAGGTTTTTACTAGAAGATTTATCAATTAAACCAATGTTATTTAGCATTCTTTCATTATTAATCTAATCCTTAATTTTGATTATTATTTAACTACTTTATTCTTTCTCTCTCTTTTTATCTTTTTTTTTTTTTTAACATTAGATTTATATGAAATGAATTATGTCAAGGAATTGGAAAAATCACATGATGAAAATAGGGTGATACCTATAAAGGAAAAAAATAGTATTCATAATTATTATAATAATGAATTATCCGAAAGATTAAGAAGTGTAAAGAAAGTAAATGGTCATCTTATCGATACTATGACGACGATACCTTTACCATTTGATGTTTATTCCTACTCTTCTCATTCAGGAACATATCATCCTCATCATATTACTGAGAATAAACCTTCTGAACAAGCTTCTCGATGGTCATCAGGAACACATGATCAAGATCAATTTATATGTCTTCGATTTTCTTCTCCAGTGGTAGCAAGTTAAGGAAAACTTATATTATAACTATTATACTAAATACATATAATATATATATTAGGTAAAATTACTTTTGGAAAGTTTCATAGAGGTAAGATGATTTGAATTATTTTTATATATCATTAGGTTTAAACTTTTTTTTTTTTTTTTTTTTTGCATGATTTTTTTTTTTTGAAAAAATAGCCCATGTGTGTAACTTGAAGGAGTTCAAAATATACGGGGGTTTCAACCATGATAATATGATGGAACTTTTACATACAGGTGAGTTCCTTTTTTTTTATTTTTATTTTTATTTTTATTTTTTATTTTTTATTCTTTTTCTCATATATATATATATATATATATATTATCTCTATTTTTTTTTCTTTTTTCTCTTTTTATGTAACATGGAAGAAAAGGTCTTAAAAATGATACTGAACCTGAAACTTTTGATCTTCGAATTCATTTTCATGGTTTGGTAATATAAAGAATAATCTGAAATAATATAAGAAAATAATACCGATTAATTGACTTTTTTTTTCCCTTGTTTCTTTCTTCAATATACTAAAGGTCTTTCCAATTCAATATTTGAAAATTGTTCCTTTATCTACTTTTGGTGCTAACTTCAATTATAGTATCTGGTATATACAAGTTCAAGGTATTCAAGATCATGACCTATTGAAAAAAATAGTGACTCAATATCAACGCGTAAGTGAAACATATCATATATATATATATTTAAAACTTTATTTTTTATAGTATCAAGAGATTCAAACTACAAGACTTTGTCTTAAACACTTTCGTCAACGTAATATGATGCATATCTTTCGTCTACTTCAAGAACGCACCAAAGTGGAATTGGAACATCCTTTATTGACCGAATTACACTCTCAACTGGTGATGAATGGTGATTTTGATGGTACTGAACGTTTGTTGACTCAATTATTAAGACAAGGTGTATTTCAACACTATGCGAAGAATGCACCTTACAAAGCTACTTGGCATCGTATTTGGGCTACTAATCAAGATGGTGATTCTCCATGTCCTAGAGGTGGTCATCAAATGTGTATTGATATTATAGGAAGAAGAATTTATTTGCTTGGTGGTTGGGATGGACATAAAGATTTATCAGATTTTTGGTGTTATGATATTCAAGCAGATCAATGGAACTTGCTTAGTGCTGATACTTTAGAGTAAGTCAATTGAACTGATTTTTCTTTAGCATTATTTAATTTCCTTTCTTTATGATTTTTTTTTTTTTGGATAGGGATGGTGGGCCAAGTCCTAGATCATGTCACAAGATTAGTTTTGATCCAAAAAGTCGATCCATATTTGTCCTTGGAAAGTATGTGGAATATCAAACAGCACAAGATCATCGATTAGAGTCAGATTTTTATCGTTATTTTTGTGATCACAACAAATGGATGAAAATCAGTGATAATACTGCCGTAAGAATTAAATATATATATATATATCTATAGTCTAATCTTAGTATATCTTTTATATAGAAAGAAAAGGGACCAGGATTAATATTCGATCATCAAATGTGTGTGGATGAAGAAGGACAAATACTTTATGTGTTTGGAGGAAGAAAAGTCAATTATGAAAGTACGACGACAATGCATACCTATAGTGGATTATATTCTTATAACATTGGAACAAATACATGGCGTCTCATTCAAGCTGATGGTGGTGGAAATAGCCCAATACCTACTGTGACCAATACGACACCAACAAGCGTGTCATCAACTAATAAAAATGATTCAGAATCTTGTATTGAAACTAGTATCAAGACTACAATGAAATCACGAGTAGGACATTCTATGTTATTTGATCCATTGACACGTCATCTCTATATATTTGCTGGACAACGGGTGAAGGATTATTTATCTGACTTGTTTGCTTATTCGATCGATGCCAATCAAGTCACTGAACTTTCTCAGGATTATTCAAAGGAAGCAGGTCCCGATGCTGGGTATACTCAACGAGCAACCATCGATATTGAAAAGAAGGAAATTTATGTATTGTCTGGTTACTTACAAAATCAAGGATGTGATGTTGTTAAGAGTGGATTATGGGTATATTCTATTGAACAAAATCGTTGGACAAAAGTTTATCAAAATGAAAATCGTGACCCTGACTACTGGAAAAGGATGAAACATGTGGAACCTTGCCCTCGTTTTGCTCATCAAATGGTATATGATCAATCAACAAATACACAATATATTTTTGGTGGTAATCCTGGGGACCGTGAATGTGCAAACAAACGATTAGATGATTTTTGGCAACTTCGATTGGTTAGGTAAGCTTTTGTTATTATTATTTATTATTTCCTCTAATTCATATAATATAGACCTGATCCAGATGATATTTTACGTCGATCCATTTACTTGGTACGAATGCAACAACTCAAAGAAAAATGTATAAATCATCCAATCTCATCTATAGACGATCCTGCGACTCATACATTGGACGCCTTGGATTACCTTCGATCAAAACTGACACCATTGGTAAATCATGATAATCCAGAGGAAGTTCATGAATTTCGACAATTATGTGCTCGCCTTTGTCTTTCGCCTGAAAATGCTTTCTTTTCGACGTTGGATGAATGTAAAGATCTTGAACAAGGTAAAGAATTGGATGATTGTATATTAACTGAAATGATCTATCATCTGAATTTTTTTTTTGTCTATTAGATATCTTCTCACAACGAAACCAAGTGTTTGAAGGATTATTGGAATATATCCCAGATGAAATGAAGGAACCAACTGAACAATTATTAGATGTAGTGAAATTAGTATAGAACTTTGTTATAACACCGTTTTTATATAATCATCCAATAAACGATCTTTTTTTTTTGACCAAAAACAAATTAGACTGATTTGGAAAAAAAAGAAAAAGGGTCAATGTACGGAGTTTCTGGTTGCACGTACCATAATTTTGATTTTTTTTTTTTGTTTTGCTTGGCATTATTCATTGGTACAATAGATTGATTTACTAAAAAAAAAAAAGAAAGAGTGAAAAGATGATATACTTTGAATTATTTCTTTTTGATAATCTAAGATATGGAATCCCTATTTCATCATTCCTTTTGGATTCATCCATTCCTGCCAAGTTGAAAATTTGTCATCGTTATACATCATGGTAAGCTGAGCCCATTCTTGTATGCGGTGTTCAAAACGTGAAACCAGGCAACGGGGATGAACCACGTTGTCATTTTTTTTCTTTTTTCAATTCTTTTCTCCTTTAACCACAAAGTTCCATCGTACAGTGTACAAAGTCTTCTCTTTTTTTTTTTTTTATTTTTTTTCCTTCTTCTCCTCTCATTTTCACTCTTATTTTTTTTTTTTTACTCTCACTCACATTCATTCTCACACATATTTTTTGTCTCTCCTTTCTATATATTTTTTTTTGTCTATTATGACTATTGTAACAACAACAAGAACTAGACAACAAACTCTCAACCAACGACGATCATCTCTTCAAATAGTGGCATCATCAATCCCTGTAGATAATGCAACGAATAGTCCTATAGATTCTTCACATACAACTTTGTACAATACTTCGTTACCGTCTTTACGACTCGATACCATTAGAACTTCCATCCTCGATGCCCTATGTGTGTCTACACTTTATTTAATTCATTTTATCTATATTGCCTACATTGCTCAACAAACGTTACGTACTTGTATTGTTCATGGATGGCGAAGATATAGATTTCAACTGCAATACAACAACAACAACAGTTCATTATTATCTTCCAACAAACAAAAAGATATGATCACCTTATTGAAATACGACAGATCACAACTTACAAAGATCCCTCACCATGTAGGTATTACGGTGTCTAGTGAACTAGTATTTGAACGGTCGGAAGAAGATTGGAATAGGATTATCTTTGATCTATGTCAAGTATGCTGTTGGGCTTGGGAAATGGGAATCAAGGAAGTGTCAGTACTGGATGCTTCGGGTGTTTTGAAAAATATGGCAATTGATATTTACAAGCAACAATCAATGACTTTACATGAATGGAAACAACAACACTCTTCTTCTTCTTGTTTGATGCAAAATGGTAAGATGAATTGGAAAGAACTTATTGATTAGACATGTGATCCTTTTTTTTTTTTTTTTTTTTTTTTTTTTTTTTTTTTTGTAGATTTTCGATTCAAGATCCTATCTTTGGAGGACACCCAAACACAAATAGTTCAAGCAACTCAAAAAGTATTCAAGCATATTCAATACAATAAAACGACATCCATTGATATCAATCTAGTGAATGAATTTATGCAAGGTAATAAAAAAAGGAAAATAATAATCTATATATAGAATTGTTTTGACTAATGTATTATTTATTATAGAAGACTTATCGGACCCTGATCTTATGATTGTTTACGATGGATTACCGCATCAATATGTATCTATAGATGGTTATTCTCCCTGGCATATTCGATTGACAGAGTTTGTGTAAATATGTTTTTTTTTTTTGTTTTCTCTTTTCTTTATATGATTAGATATTGTGTACTTATCAATTCTTTTCCATATAGAAATGCGACAGCCTATCATCGGTTGGATTATATATTGTTTTCATCTTGTCTTTATCAATATTCAAAAGTAGAACAACGATTTGGCCATTAGTGTAGTGTAGTCATATGCATCTTTTTTTTTTGTTATTATTATTCTTCATCATTTCAAACATCAACAACCTTTTTTATTTTTATTATTATCCTTCATCATCATCCATAGTAGTATGATTATTTTATACCTCCTCCTGTCTTTCATCATTCTCCTCTTTTATATATACATTTTGTTCCTTCTTTATCGTACTTATTAGACATTTAAAATGATAATAAACATTCACTTCAAACCTATATATAGAATATATATATATATATATATATATATATCGACATTCTTCTCTTCTTGATTTTGCAACGTGATCATCATCATAATACAATCAATTGAATTACTATCAGAAAGTAAAAATAAAAAAATAAAATGGATATCATATGATTTTTATTATTATCATCAAAACAAAAGAATAAAAGTTAACTAATAATCAATAATAATAAATATCTTGAAATATGAGAAGATTCACACACCAATGTATGTTGCACTACCCCATTGCATTGCCTTTTTGACACAGTAGTAATACCATCGAGTACGTCTATGTTTCAAATGAGTAGAAGCGTCCAAGTAAGAGATATATTCTTCGTGGGAGTAACTCATGACTTGATGATGCATATGTTCGACCATAACATCAACGTGATCACCAACAATACCATCCAAACCCCAAGCCACTGCGCACACCATTTGTTCCACATCATTGATCGTCCATGTAAATACACGTTTGCCGAGATCATGCGCTTCTCGGATAAATTGTTGTCCATCTTCATCTGCCAGGGCTGCAAATGGTACCGACAAACAGTCTACTTGTTCAAGGAATTTACGTCTTGCACCTACGAGAGATAATCCAATAAAACAAATCTTGTACGTATCTCCAAAGAGTTCTCTTGTTCGATCCAAAAAGTCATGATGCCATACTCCAATCACTACTTGACGTTGTAGACTGGCATATTCTTTGTATTCTTCCAATAATGCATATAATCGATCGAGAATCTCAATTGGATTATCAAACTAAAAAAAAAAAAATATAAAGGGAGTAAATATATATATAATAATAATAATCATCATCATATTTTTACCTTGATATCTACAATCATATATAATTGTTCATTGGATGCTACTTCAGGACGTACCAAAAGATCGAAAACATCATTCAATCTTGGAATAGGTTGTGCAGGTTCCGCCTTTGTTTTTAGACCATCAATATATCCATACCAAGGATGATCACCCACATTACCAGTACCAGTGGTTGTTCTTTGTAAAGTCAAATCATGCATCATCACCAATTCACCATCTTTACTTAAACGGATATCTATTCATCATAAATAATAAAATTAATCATCTTATTTTTTTTTTTTTATTGATACTTTACCACCTTCCAAGGCATCAGTACCGGCTTCCACCGCTTTTTCAAAGGATATCATGGTATTTTCAGGATGTTGACCAGAGAAACCACGATGAGCTATGACTTGAGGGGGTTCTATCAAAGAATAAAGGAAAAAAAAAAAGTAGATCATCAATTCAGTTCTATCAGATCTCTTGACATGAACAATTTACTTCTTGGTGGTTGGTCGATAGTCATATCTATATATATATATATATCCAAAGGAGGAAAGGGTATGGATGATTTAAGAAAAAAAAAAAAAAGGAAGAAAAAGGGGACGTTGGAGAAAAAAACAGAAAATAAAAAGGAAAAAAAAAAGTGAATTCCTTTTTTTAATTTTTAAACTAAAAAAAAAAAAAAAATCTCTCCGCCTCGCTTTAGGTTATTTTTTTTTCCTCATGTGAAACATAGAGGAACTTCACTAACGTAGGATCCCTTTTTTTCATGCACATGGTAGACTTTTAATTTGGGGCCAATAACAAAATATATTTCGATAACATGCATCATCATAATATTATCCTATTCATTAGAAAATCCTTATCAATAAATAATATCTTTTTTTTTATAGATATAAACATAAACTTTCTCTATTGTTTCTCTTTTTCTTTGTGAATCATTATTCGCTATTATTCAATCATTAGTCAATCATTATTCATTCGTCATATATCATCCTTTCTCATACATCATCATTATGATGATCCCCATTCATTTAATGAAGATTGAATTTTATAGATATGCATAGATATTATTTTACTTGGACAGACCGAAATCTCACTGCAAAGTTTACTCAACATATTTTGTGTGCGGTACTTCAAAAATAGAAAAAGACACGGTACAAAGAAAAACGCGACAGGCGTTCTTTTTTTTCATTTCCTTTTCCTTTTTCTTTTTCTTTTACAACAAAGTTATTTTTAATGGGATTCAATAAAGACCTGTTCATTGATGAATTACCACTAGATTTACTTTGTGGTATCTGTTCAGGTAAATTATACAATCAAATCAAAACGATCTAATAATCTTTTTTTTCATAGATGTCCTATGTGAACCTATCCAAGTCCATTGTGGAGAAGGTAATAGTTTTTGTATCTTTTTTTTTTTTTTTTTAAACATATATGTCAAAGCTTGTCAAATACTCATTATCGTTTCTTAACATTGTACAATCTTCCATTCGCAATTTGGTATACTTTTTTTTTTCTTCTTCAATAGATCATATGTTCTGTGAAGGTTGTATCTCTTTATTTTTTACTGGAAAGGAAGATATACGTTGTCCTACTTGCAGTATGCCTTTGAATCGAAATGCTTTCCAATCATCCAAGTTTGTAGAGCGTCAATTGGGAAGACTTTCTATCAAGTGTTTATACCACAACTTGGGCTGTACCTGGACTGGATCTTTGTCCTCTGATCATATTCAAAAAGTATAGTACAAGCTTTTTTTTTTCGTTTTGAAAGTGATGATGGATTGGATATTCATCTTTTTTTTTTTTTTTTTTTTTGAACTGATAGTGTACTGTTTCAACTCGACCTTGCCTGAATGCTGAAAATGGATGTCCTGAACAACTCAACGAAGCAATGATGTTAATACATGAAGACGAATGCGACTATTGTCTTATGGAATGTGAATCTGCTATGTGTTCTGCTGTATTTCTTCGGAAAGATCAAGATCAACACAGTACTACTTGTCGATCATTTCCTTGTCACTATGCTAAAAGTGGGTGCGCATTCATAGGTACACTTTCTGAACGTCAAGATCACGTTAAAGGTTACTGCGGAAGGTTACATCTCAAAATATCATCTTTGGAGCAGGAATGCCAACAATTGAAACAACAATTAGAATTCAAGAAATTATTACAACCTGACATCATCAATCAGCAATCTCGATCTACCACCACCTCTGCTTCCACTACCAGCAACAATGATGTCATCACATCACCACCATCATCATCATCTTCTGCTATCAATAATCTACATGAAATGGATTTCTCTTCACCCTTCAATGATCAAATGCAAGGTAGTAATTCATTAGTGACCATCCATGAAGATCAAGATTTCAATGTAACATCTCTGAACAGCAGTCCCAATATCGACAATAGAATCAATTCAAATATTACATCGCTAACAACATCATCAACACTACCAAAACGGACACCCAAGGGAAAAAGAATTCGTTATAGCAAGAACACTAAATTGGCTCATGGTGCTCTAAGGGCATCCAAGGTATCATCATCACCTAGAGAAAGTGAACAAGAATACTCTCCACATTCATCCAATGATATGTTGACATCAACGCCAGGGACACCACAAACTCCAACAACAATGATGGACAACATATCTTCACCAGTTGGGACACCGATCAGTGAAGATTTGACAAGAAAGATGGATACTCTATCAACGTCTTCTCAACATGCTAGTAGTCCCTTGTCTTTCAATACACCTGATGATGTCGCCAACTTTTTTTACGCACTTGATAGATCTTCCTCCATATCACTCCAGCAACAACACTTGATATCATCATCATCTGCCAAATGCTCAACTACTGACAAGAACACATCGTTAACAACAAAACAGCATCATTCACCTCTATCTTCTCTCCCAACGCATGGTGTAGAACAACCAGCAATGGCTTCCACTGGAAAACCAAGTCAGATGTTTGTCTTAGCCTCATCTTACCTTTCATCCAACTTCAAATAGTCCCCTCTCATACAACTTGTTTATCCTTTATTTTGTACATAGCATAGTTTTTTTTTTCTCATTTATTACTATCATAGTTTTATAGAAATCCTCTCAAAAAAAAAAAAAAAAAGAATCATGACACTAATAATAAAACATTTTTCTTTTAATCCTTTATAACGTTCAAACTCATGTCTACTCGGACTTTCAGTAAAACTTACCTACGATTTCGAATCTTCTTGACTATAGTAGCACAATTGATATAAGAAATTGACGCCGTACGATTGATCATTCAGTCATATTGTAATGTAGAGTAAACTTTTTTTTTTTTTTTTTTAAAAAAAAGGATGATGATGATGATTTTTTTTTATTGATGAATGAATAAATACAAAAAAAAAAAATAAATAAATTCTAATCTATTGGAAATAAAAAACATTCTTTTGAGCAGTACACATGTTTTTTGCCCGTTCGGATCCTACAATACGTTCCAATTTCAAAAAATCATATTTGGAAAAGAGAGCAGTACAAGAAAAAGTGGCTTCTTCAGCAGCACTGGCTTGATCGTTGATTTTCAGACCCAAAAAGTCGACCACTTCGGCATAAAAAGAAGCATGATCCGGTAAACCATAAAATACCACGTGATAGGTGCCACGAATGTTGTACCGTCGGAAGAAGTGAAGTCGTTCGGTATAGAGAATAAAGTTGGTCCGTCCATGGAAGAACTGTGCACGCGCACGTGCAATCCCACCACCAGATGTATATTCACAGCATGGTTCATAGTCATACTTGTTATCCTCCAAATAGTTCCGGATGCGTACAAAATCAAAGTAGGAAGGGATAAAGAACAGGGTATGTGATTGCATCATAGCCGATCGACGAAGTGATGGTAACGTCTAAAATAAAAAAAAAAAAAAAAGTGAGCCAATAAAAAAAAAAAAACAAACTTTTTTTTACCTTTTCCACAAAAAATTTGAATCTTGCATCATCCATAGCAGCCAATGAGGTAGTGTCAATACGAGTGAAAGATTGAGGTACTTGAGTGGTGACATCCATGATGGTTCCTTCATATGATTGCTTGATTTTCAATTTGCCAGTAATATTCTTCATGTATTTGTTGTACAAAGCATTCAATTCTGGAGTCAAAAAGTCAGCAAATACCAAGGTTTGTCGTAAATAGCGTCCTTTTCCATCCAAATACCAATTTTTGATTCTTGAGATATCACAGCCATGAGCATCATTTGGAATCAGATTCATGTGTTGGAAGATGTGATCGATATGTTCCCAATTCTGCATCAGAAAATGTGTGGTTTGATCTAGAATCATGATTTCAATGGATGATAAGTAATCATGGTCTCGTTTCTTGTCACTACAAATAATAATCATGATTAATTTATATTCCAATAATAATAAGAATAATTTACCCTTCTGATCCAATCAATGTCCGTAATCCCAAAGGAGAGGCAATCAAAATATCCGAGTGATAAAAATCGCTAAACAATTTCATGGATTTTTTCGTAAACTTGATCCCCAATCTGAAATGATCATCAATGTTGCCCTTAAAAGTTTCCTTAAAGTCGGCTGGTTTACTGTCATCCACTTTATCTTCTTCCAACAAACTGAATTGATCATAGAATCGTTTTTTGTTTTCCTAAAAAAAAATATAAGTTAAATCAACCCCTTTTATTATTATGATTCACTTACTTGTTGTTCACTTCCTGATAATTTGATAAGAGATTCCACTACATCAATCACAGTGTTTCTGAATGGTAGAACAATTAACACCTTTGGACGAGTAAAGCCTTGATCACGATATTCCCTAAAGATAAGATAATCAGTAAACAAAATATCATTTCTATTTTATTCAATTTTACCCAGGATCCTTGTTTTCTTTATGTGCTTTTTGGATTTTCGCATTGTTCTTCATGACTCTGTCGCGAGTTCTAAAGAAGAAGGAGAAAAAAAAACATATGAGCGATTGGAATGAATAAATATAAACTTACTTTGTAATATGATTGACAGCATGTAAAGCATATAGATTTCGGATTTCCTTTGCATTGGTAATAGATCGATTGCTAAACATGATATCCCTGTACTTGTTGATATGTTCAAATAAACTTTCTTGAAGAGGTGTAAATACTGAAGGACCTAATGTCATCATGATCGAAACAATAAAACTTAAGTCTGAATTCTTCACTCGTCAGTTTTCTCTTTTTACCTTTGCTAACACAGGATTTATTTGTAGTTTTCCAATGTCGAGCCACTTTTTCCTTGACTTGATACTCTTCCAATGTCGTAGATTTCTTTTTTGTGTCTTTAATAGAAGTAGTAGGATCAGGATAATGAGAAACCACATCTTTAAGTTCATCGTCTTGCCATGTTTCAGGGGTCCATTTCTTTTGTTCTATATAGGCAATCTTTTCATCAAAATTCGTAGGTTGATGATCCTTGAATCGATCCTCATAAATGTTGGCTCGTAATTCTTCTTCATCATCAGATGATATATACCCAATTTCAATTTCTTCTTCTTCTTCTTCTTCCTGTTCATTATCTGATTTTGTTGGTTCCATATCATCATGATCATAAACATCATCATCTTGTTGTTCCAAATTTGTATCATCTTCTTCGTCCATATCTTCCATTTCATCAGATTCATCATCTAGGAATAAAAAAAAAAAAAAAGAGGATGTATTTTTCAATTTATACAAGTCATTTTGAAGATGGTAAGTTTTTACCTTGATTAGAATCTATTTCTTGTTCATATTCTTCTTCAATATCCTCCAATCCTTCTTGTTCCAATTGAATCTTTTTATAAAAGTCTTGGTTTTTTGATGTCTTTTTCAAGGAGCCCATCAAAAGAGAGTATGCTGAAGGTTTTTCCCAGTCTTCTTCTTCTTCTCCTTCTTCCGAAGTTTCATCATCAGTAACTAGTTCACCATTGTCACGTCGTCGTTGTTCTTCCATTTCACGATCCAAATCCTCTTCATTAACTACTCGTCGTCGTCGCCTAATTAATGAAGAGTAAACACATCCAGTCAGTTCTTTCTATAGTCATTATTTATAATAAAACTTACTTTGCTTGTTCACTGTCTTGTTCATCCAATTCATCTTCAGCAAAGTCAGTAGGCACCAGTTCACCATAATCAAGTAATTGTTGCTTATCCTTTCGAGAGAGATTGCCAAACTTAGTAGGTGCTTCCTTCCTTTTTGTTGATGGTTTTGAAGTAGATAATCCAGACACATGGGATTCCGAAGTCTTTTTTTTCCCCATTGCTTTACTAATTGCTGATCTTCCCTTTGCCATGGTAATAAATGTATAAAAAAACGAAAAAGAAAGGGGAAAAAAAAAGGAAAGTGGTTTTTTTTTTTTTTTTTTTTTTTGGATTAAACGTAGCAGGAAATTGTGGCTTGTCAGTCAGTCCTTTTGCATGGAAAAAAAAAAGAATATCGGGGTTGAGACATTTGTAAAATCCTATGATAAAACCTTATGATCAACCCCACACACACACACACACAGTATATGTTATTGTTTTGTTCTATTGACAGTCAGGAGATTAGTCCGAATGATCTTGAGAATGTTTATTGTCATTATGAACAATATCATATAATATTTTTTCCCTATTCGATACCCCCGTCACCGATCAAATTTGAGCACGCCAACTATCAAATGTTTTATTTTTTTTGAAACACCTATTTTTTTTTTTTTTTTTTTTTTTCAATTCATATTTTTTTTTTCTTCTTTCCTTTCTTTTGTTCTTTTTTTTTTTTTTTTAACTTTATTTTATAATGTCTACTGAATTTGCTATTCCTGCCAATCTCCATGTTAACGGTAATGATACTAACAATGCTTCTACCAACAACTTTAGTATCAAAGCCGGTCTTGCTCAAATGCTCAAGGTAAGAAAGCCATACTTTGTATCAATAACTGATAGATATATTATATCTTTCTAATTCAATACACTTTTTTTTTTTCTCCTTTCATTTTAGGGTGGTGTAATTATGGATGTTATTAATGCTGAACAAGCTCGTATTGCTGAAGAAGCTGGTGCTTGTGCTGTCATGGCTTTGGAACGCGTGCCTGCTGATATTCGCAAGAATGGTAATCAAAAAAAAAAAATTGAAATCAACAATGTCAAATACTTATATATATATTTATATAGGTGGAGTTGCTCGTATGTCTGATCCCAAGATGATTAAGGAAATCATCCAATCTGTAACGATTCCAGTGATGGCCAAGGTACGTATTGGTCATTTTGTTGAAGCTCAAATCATTGAATCCATTGGTGTTGATTATATTGATGAATCTGAAGTGTTGACTCCTGCGGATGAATCCAATCATATTTTGAAACATAACTTTAAAGTGCCTTATGTATGTGGAGCCAAGAATCTCGGTGAAGCTTTACGTCGTATTAGTGAAGGTGCTGCTATGATCCGTACTAAAGGTGAAGCTGGTACTGGTAACGTAGTGGAAGCTGTGCGTCATATCCGTACTGTGAATGCTGAAATTCGTCGTGCTGCCTCCATGTCTGATGAAGAACTCTATGCTTATGCCAAGGATCTTCAAGCTCCTTTCCATTTGCTCAAGGAAACCGCTCGCTTGGGTCGTTTGCCCGTCGTCAACTTTGCCGCTGGTGGTGTGGCTACTCCTGCTGATGCTGCTTTGATGATGCAATTAGGTTGTGATGGTGTATTCGTTGGTTCTGGTATTTTCAAATCTGGTGACCCTGCTAAACGTGCCAAGGCCATTGTTCAAGCCGTCACTCACTACAAGGATCCCAAGGTATTGGCTGAAGTCTCTGAAGATCTTGGTGAAGCTATGGTTGGTATCAATTTGGATGAACTCTCTGAAGATCAAAAGTTGTCTAAGCGTGGATGGTAAATTGGGTTGAATTTTTTTTTTTTATTATTAGTTATTTTTGTTACTTGTTTTAGACTTTTCTTATATATATTGTGTTCATTGGTTGTATAATTAATAAACAAACATGTTTTCTGTTGTCGTTGTTGTTGTGTTATTACTTTAATTTTTACATACAATGGAGGGGGGGGGAATCATAACTGTTTAGGAGGTTACACGAATGATGGATTGATTTGACTCATGAAACTAAGGTTTTGTGCATAAAAACAAATAAGGAAATATGGAATTCGAACATCTTGGCGTTTTGACTCATTTGCTTATTTCACTTGTATAACTCTTTTAATATGGAATGAAATCGGCACCGTATCCGTTTTATCATAAGTTAAATGACAGGGAGCAATACTCGGATGACCTTTATTTATGCTAGAAACTATACATTGAGTTTCCCTTCCTTAATGTTTTACACTCCGTTCCTATCCTAAAAATAATAAAACCAAAGCTTTTTTTTTTCTCACTCCTCTTTTTCTGATCCAACACTTTTTTTTTTCTCACTCCTCTTTTTCTGATCCAACACTTTTTTTTTTTTTTAAAAAAAAATAATCTTTTATTATTATTATTATTATTATTATTATTATTATTATTATTTTATTCTACTTGAAATATGTCGGATAAAGAAATAATTTCCAATGAATCATCTTCAACAACATCACCAGCAAAAAAAGAAGAAATCAAAAACCCTTCCATTCCTATTTACAAACTATTCCGATATTCAGATAACCGTGACAAGTTCTTGATTTGTATTGCCATTTTATGTTCTGCTGGGGTGGGTGCTCTTCAACCTGCTGCCATTATTATTTTTGGTACTTTTTTGGATCGAATCACAACAACAATAGCGTTGACTCCTCCCATAGATGGTGCACCTATTGATTATATTGCTACTACTTTACCTGTTATTTTGATTCTTGTCTATATGGCCATCGGTATACTTGTAGCATCTTATGCTGCTCAAACGTTATGGATCATCACTGGTGAAAAGTAAGTAAATATATAAAAAAAAAATGAATTATCATCTCATTCTTTTTTTATATATATAGTCAAACAAGACGGATCAGAATGAAATATCTTCATGCTATTCTTCGACAAGATATGGCTTGGTTTGATGCATCCAAGGAAGGTTCATTGACAACTCGATTGACTTCAGATACCCAATTGATTCAAGAAGGTCTTTCTGAAAAGTTTGGTTTATTTGTCTCATCCATTGCTCAATTTATCAGTGGAATTGTCGTGGGATTTACCGGTGATTGGTTACTCTCTTTGGTGATCATAGCCACCTTTCCTATTTTGGCAATAGCTGCTGCTATCATGGGTGTACTTGTAACAAGATATACGACCAAGGCTCAAGATGCTTATGCTGATGCTGGTCAAGTTGCAGAACAGGCTTTTGGAGGAATCCGAACTGTAAGTGCCTTCAACATGGAACATCACTTTGTTACTCGATATCTACGAGAATTGAAAAAGGCGACCTACGCTGGAGTGAAACGTGCTGTAGTGTTTGGACTTGGCTCTGCTATCTTTTTATTTGTGTTCTTCTCCACTTATGCTCTTTCCTTTTGGTATGGATCTACTTTGGTCAATAAAGGTCATATTACTGGTGCAAATGTCGTCATTTCCTTCTTTGGCGTTATTCTCGGTGCAAGTAAGAAAAAAAAAAGATGACATGTTGAAAATTTTATGTTTACTTATCTCATTTATTTCTTCTCTCTCTCTCTCTCTCTCTCTCTCTCCTTTTTTTTTTTTTTTTTTTTATACGTGTTTACTAGTTGGATTGATAACCATTCCTCAAAATTTAACTTCTATCACTAGTGCATGTGGTGCTGCCTACAATATTTATAGTACTATTGAACGAATTCCTGATATTGATCCTGATGATATCAAGCACAAACATCTACCTCAATCATGGCATGGAAATGTGGAATTCAAAGATATCTTCTTCAGCTACCCAACCCGTAGTGATGTTTCTATCTTAAATGATGTCAATATATCAATACCATCCGGATCCACAGTTGCTCTTGTCGGTCTTAGTGGAAGCGGTAAAGATACAAAAAAAAAGGAACATTTCTTTTTCTCTATATTTCAATTTTGCTTGGTTTCTCACTTATCTCTTATTAATATATTCAGGCAAATCCACTCTCATGCAATTATTACAACGATTTTACGATCCGAATGATGGTTCAATCTTATTGGATGGACAGGATATCAAGTCTCTGGATGTATCTTGGCTTCGTGAAAACATCGGTGTGGTTTCTCAAGAACCTGTTTTATTCAACTTGTCAATTGAAGAAAATATTCGTTTAGGTGCACTACATACAACATCAACAATAACAGAAATTGAACAAGCATGCAAAATCGCCAACTGTCATGATTTCATTTCCAAATTGCCTGAAGGGTACAATACGATTGTGGGTGAAAATGCAGCATTTCTCTCTGGTGGTCAGAAACAACGTATAGCTATTGCCCGTGCTATTTTAAAGAATCCAAAGATATTGTTATTGGATGAGGTAAAGAATCCCATTGCAAATATAGAAAAAAATTCAAGATGACTGATTCTATTTTTTTTTTTTATTATTATTATCTCTTTATTCCTAGGCCACTTCTGCACTTGATACTAAATCAGAACGTCTTGTTCAACATGCCTTGGATATCGCCACCGTCAATCGTACAACTATTATGATCGCTCACCGTTTATCTACTATTAGAAACGCAGATAAGATTGTGGTGATGGATAAAGGAAAAGTGGTTGAACAAGGGACTCATGAGGAACTAGTGGCCTTTGGAGGAATTTACTCGGATTTGGTGAACAAACAAACTATTGCCCAGGAACAACATGTAACACCAATGACAACAGATTCATCTATTATAGAAGGATTTAACGCTGATACATCCAACATTAACAACAATATTGGAATAAATAGACAAGATAACAATACTATCTCTGACGGAGAACCAGCAACAACAACCAAAGTGGTGGAAGATCTGATTGAACAAGAAAAGGTAGCCATAGAAATGATGGTGATGGATAAACATGATATGGATAATGAAAAAAATCAAGATACCAACACAACATCAACAAAACAACAACAACAACAACAACAACAACAGGTGTCCATGTTACGAGTCATTAAAGAAATGAATACCGAATGGTTCCTTTTACTCCTTGGGTGTTTTGGGTCTGTCATTGCAGGTTGCATTTTCCCTGCATTTGGTTACGTGTTTTCGCAAGTGGTGGTACTGATTACAGAAAAGGGTGGTCTTGTCAGCGATGGACCTATGCAAGGCGCGAATTTGTATTCCTTCTTACTGATGATCGTTGGTGTGGCAGGATTCGTTGGATTTGGCACCAAGATTATTTGTTTTGAACTGGCAGGAGAACGATATACCGAACGACTTCGACATCAAGTGTTCTGTGCTTACCTTCGACAAGAAGTAGGTTATTACGATGATCCAGAAAACACGACTGGTGCACTGACAACAAAACTGGCTGTGGATGCAAAAAATGTCAATGAATTGATTACAAAAACGTGGGGTGAAATTATCCAAACCGTCTTGACTGGTATTGCAGGTATGTTTACTATAGAATCTACCAACATTCAAACTTATCTCTTTTTTTTTTTTTTTTTTTTTTAAATGATGAATAGGTCTCATTATTGCATTTGTATTGTCTTGGCAACTGACGTTGGTGATTCTAGGTGTGTCTCCTTTTTTGATAGCAGGTGCGTTGTATGAAGCCAAGATCGAGCAAGGATTTGGTGATCCTACCAAGAAAGCTAATGAGCAGTGTGGAGAAATAGCTTCTGAAGCCATCAAGGAAATTCGGACTGTGGCATCTCTCAATCAACAAGTCTACTTTGAAAATCGATTTTACAAGGCAACGGAAAGACCTCATCAAATGACAACAAAAAAAGCCTGGGCTGCTTCGTTTGGTTACGCTTGTACTCAAGGTGTACCACTTTTTGCTCAAGCTATCGCTTTTTATGCTGGGATGCGATTCATTGCCAATGGATGGATTACTTATAATCAAATGTTCACTAGTATGATGATGGTCTTGGTCACCGCCTTGGGTGTTGGGTCCGGATTGGTAAAAAAAAAAAAAAAAAAAAAAAAAGAGAATGCCGTGATTATTGATGATGAAAATTTCAAAATTGCTAATTTTTATTTTTTCTTTCAATTAGGTATTTACAAAAACTTTTGTTAAAGGGAAATTATCAGCTAATGCCATATTTGAAGCGATTGATCGACAACCTACCATTGACCCTGATTTAGAAGGTGTGGAACCGTCATCTGATAGTATACAAGGTGTTATTGATTTTGAAAATGTCAAGTTTACTTATCCAACAAGACCCGATCATCCAGTATTCCATGGCGATTTGAATATTCAAGTAGATGCATTGAAGAAAATAGCCTTAGTTGTAAGTGGTCTTTTTGGAGTGAGAAAAAGAAGATGAACTGACATTTTATATTATATTGTAACTCATGTATGATTAGGGATCATCTGGTTGTGGTAAGCTACAAAAGAAAAGAAAAAGATTATACTACAAGAGTGATAAATGAATGATTATTTTTTTATACATAGGCAAATCGACGACCATTGGAATGTTGCAACGATGGTATGATACTGATTCTGGTAGTATACGTTTGGATCATCAAGACATTCGATCGTTTACATTATCAAATTTACGGTCTCATATGGCCTTGGTATCACAAGAACCGACTGTTTTTGATATTTCTATTGGAGACAATATCCGTCTTGGCTACAACAACAAGGAAGATGAAATATCTTTCAAGGAAATGGAAGATGTATGTCGATTGGCGAATATTCATGATTTTATTCAAAGTCTTCCTGAAGGTTATGATACAACTTGTGGCAACAAAGGATCTCAATTATCTGGTGGACAAAAACAACGAATTGCTATTGCTCGTGCATTGATTCGAAAACCAAAAGTACTTTTATTAGACGAAGCCACATCAGCATTGGATTCTGAATCCGAGAAATTGGTACAAGAAGCTCTAGATCAAGTATTGGAACAAGGAGGTAGAACTACAATTACTATTGCTCATCGTCTTTCAACAATACAGGTAAAAAAAAAAGAATAGTTGCTTCCTTTTTTTTTTTTTATCAACTAACATGTGATGTTTTTTTTTTTTGATTTATAGGATTCCAATATGATTTATGTCATAGACAATGGTCATGTGATGGAGAAAGGTAATCATCAGCAGCTTTTAGAAATGAATGGACTGTATGCTCAATTGGTCCTTGATCAATCTCTCAAAACTTTTTGAATAAAATTCTCCCTTTTGGAACACCGACTATTTTTTTTTTTTTTTTTATATATGTAATCTTTTTTTTTTTTTCTACTTGTTTCTTTCTGTTTCTCTATTTTTTACTTTTTTCTTTTTTTCTTATTTTCTTGACATTTAATCTATCTTACTTCATTTAATCTATATACCTTTTATAATCAAAGCCATGACTGGTGATAATTGGACGCTACAAGTCAAATCATTAGAACAAGAGACGCAATCGGTAACTGTACCAAGCGATGCTTCTGTGTTACAACTCAAAGATGCTATTCAACCTGTATTTGATATTGCCAGTGAACGTCAACGTCTTATCTTTCAAGGAAAAGTTCTTAAAGATGGGAAACAACTTGCGGAATATGGTAATGTGAAAATGGATCTATTCTTTATTTTCATCTACCAATGACTGTTTTGATTTTCTTATCTTTTATTTTATTTATATGCATTAACAGCAAACCTAAAAGATGGCATGATCATTCACTTGGTGGCTAGGCCTATTGATGCTCCTAGCAATCCTTCCAATGGTAAAAGAAAAAAAGAACTATATTTTATTTTATATGATTAGAGCTAATTTTATATGTTGTATTATATATGTAGACGATCCTCAAACTAATACATCAAATACATCTAGAGGACAAGCGTCAAATCGTTTCCCTGGTATATTGAGACCACCCGAAGGTTATACCTTTATTACCATTGATGCTAATATCGGAAGTCTTGGTGGTGATAACAATAACCCAGTAAGTAATCTACTTTTATTTAACTTTGTCATCATATTCCTAACCCTTTTTTTTTTTTTCTTCTTCTTTGGAATTGATTCTTTAGGATATTGGTGGTATTCTCCAAAACTTATTTAATGGCAGTTTGGGTAGACGTAACACTCAAAACACTTCAACTCTCAATGGACAATCAGATAATAATAATAATACACAGGTAAGAAGTAAAACACTATTAAATGAAAACATTCAATGCTTATTACTTTTAATTCTATAGAATACTCCTATGACCTCCAATCGTAATAGAACCAGATCAAGCAATCTTGTCAACTTTGATTTTAATTTTAATATGGAACCAACTGCCAATACCTCTTTACTTGAAAACACTCTCGGATATGCCAGTGCACTTGTAAGAAATATAACTTTATATATCCTATACATATAATATACTGACTCATATACTCTCTTTTTTTTTAGCCACCTCTTGAACTACGGTTGACCCGAGCTCTAGCAGCCATTGCAAATATACAGACTAGTTTGAACGGAGACCTATCAGATTCAGGTAAGAAAAAAAAAAAAAAAAGAGAAAGATAATGAATTCTGATATCATTTTTAATTCATAGATGCCAACGCGTTCACCTGGTCGAATATTAGCAATGCAAGTCCTGAACAAAATCAAACTTTCAGATCAAGATTAAGAGCAAGTGGAACAAGCGAAACGGCACAAATTGGAATGGTACTAGAAGAATTGGCAAATGTGATGGAATCAATGACACCAAGATTACGTCAGCTAGCTCAAGAAGCTCAATCCAACACTGAACAGACTGATTCTGAGGGAAGAAGTGAAACGGTATGAATAAGAAAAATAGGAGTATATTGATTACTTAACTCCTTTTTTTTTTTTTTATATATAGACAACACTTCAGTTCCGACGTATGAGTCGTATCATACAAAACTTTAGTATGTTGAACCATTTTCTCGGCAATTTGATGATTAGAATGGATGATAGACGATCATCACGACCATCTAGAAACTCACCTCTTGGAGGAGATTCCGTGCGCAGAAGAACGACGGCATTCACATATGCACCAGGCAACAATAATAATAGACGACGGCGTCAACCACCCATCGAAAATCAAACTACAACCACTGCAAATGTTTCTGCAGACACATCAAAATCAAACGAAACTTCATCAAGGTCAAAGCGTGACATTCCTTCCTTATCATCAGCATCAACATCAACTACAGGCGAAAAACGATCAGCCGATGATAATCATCAAGGTGACGACGATCAAGAGGGCTCATCATCATCAACGACAGGCAAGAATGGAAAAGGAAAACGACGATGCTAATTCCAAGAGAACCCATGGAGGAATTTGGATCAACTTGTCAATTAGTATATTTAGTTTTAGTTATTATCATGTATCTTATTCTGTATATTGTTAGTAGTTTAGTCTATGTACATTTGATTTAGAAATCTTAATAATAATAACAATAAAAATAAAAAACAAAAAAAAAAAAATCCCCCCATTCATACAAATCCACTTTTTCGCTTTCCAGATTTTTTTTTTCCCTGGTCATCCTTTATCATAGATATCATCACTCCAGGTGTTATCGTATCACCATTAGAAATGACTATCATCATCCCATAAAACACCATTCAATTTTGCATTATCATAACATACAGACAACAATCGAAAACATGTCAAGTCACTTCATTTTTTTTTTTTTATACAAAAGAGAAAAACATTTTTTTTTATTACACTAAAGGAATATAAAAGGGCTAAGAGGGAGAAAGGAAAGGGAGAAAAAAAATATGACTAAAAGATAATAATAATGATGAACATGTCTACTTTCTATACCAAAGTTGAGTGATCTTGGTCTACAGAAGAAATATATATATATAAATCAAATTAGTAAGGATGATCATTTCTTTATTTGCTAGTTTTCACTTACTCTTCTCATCTTCTTTTGCAATTGGAAAATACCATACAACAAGGCTTCAGCAGTAGGAGGACAACCAGGAACATAAATGTCAACAGGTACAATACGATCACAACCACGAACAACAGAGTAAGAGTAATGATAATAACCACCACCATTAGCACAAGATCCCATAGAAATCTAATAAAAAAAAAAAAACAAAAAAAATATATATTAGAATATCTTGTATTTATTATATATTGACATAATGAACATACCACCCAACGAGGTTCAGGCATCTAAAATAGAGAGAAAAAAAAAAAAAGAGCAAAAAAAAAAAATGAGTGATTATGTATATAAGTATTTAGATTGATATTTTTTTTTCATATAGATGATCATCGAACATTTTATAATTTACCTGATCGTAGACTTTTCTTAAAGCAGGAGCCATCTTGTTTGTCAAAGTACCAGCAACGATCATCACATCAGATTGACGAGGAGAAGCACGGAACACAATACCAATACGATCTTGATCATAACGAGGAGTAGAACAATGCATCATTTCCTAAACATACCCAAAAAAAAATAAGGATGAATATAAACGATAAATTGATTCAATTTTTCTGTTGATGATATTACTTACCACAGCACAACAAGCCAAACCAAAAGTCATAGGCCAAATAGAACCTTCACGAGCCCAGCTAACAACACGATCAACAGTGGACAAAACGTATTCTATAATAATAAGAATAATAATGACAGTTAAAGATTCAAATTCTCGCAAATCATTTTATTATCCTTTACCAGCACTGTTGTTGGGGGTAACAGTAATATCCTTAATATCGTCAATGTTGCGAACAGCTTCAGTGGACATGGCTCGTTTAGGAGCTACCGCCAATACCTTTGGGATAGATGTAGCTAATGTATATAAATTAAAAAAAAAGAAAAAAAAAAGGTGAATCAATAAACAAGTTTCCAGATTTATTTATTTATTTTTTTTTTCATGAACGGAAGAACAGTCCATTTGGTTAAAGAATGGATATATTGGTATTGAAAGCTGATTTTCGTTTCGTTCCGTTCGTTCAATCATATATTTGTATACATACAAAAAGTTCGCTTAGCGAAGTGTAATCCAAGAGCAGTGGTTGCCATAGCGTCTAGTTATAATGAAAGGTAAAAAAAAAGAAGGGGAAAAGAGTGGGGAGAGTTTCAAGGATTAATAGAAGAAAAGAAAAACAACAAACGCAGGAAACTGAATTTTTTGATATAAATTTGAATCGCTCATATAAAAAAAAAAAAATAAAAAATAAAAAATATAAGCGGGGCCCTCGCAAATTGACACAGAGAGAGAAAAAAAAAAACATGTGCCCGGCAGTCACACCCTCCAGATTTTGACAGCATCCATCCAAATTTAAAAAGTTTCATATATATAGTACCTTTTTATTCTACATTATGATTCTATTCTATTCTATTCTATAATGATCTAATCCAAGTTGGTAATAAAACATCCAGTCTTATCAATGAATTCTTGTACAGGTATTCCTAATTTCCAATCGATATGACCAGCGCCCAGGTACATGACAGGAGGCTATATGATAAGAAGTTGAGATGAATTGTATATTGGATGGCTCTATGTACTTACGTTTAATCTTGTAACACATTCGGACATGATCAATGGAATGGCACTTTTCATACCTAGATGATATAATCGATGATGAATCAATAACTTGTAAATATAAAATATATCTTACCAATGGGACAAACACCACCCTTTTGAAAGCCAGTCAATTCCAAAGAGACCTAGATTTGCATTATCAATGAATCATCTTAACACTTTCTTCCTATCATTTTCTTTTCTTACCTTTGCGTCAGCCAATCGAAAATTGTAATTCTTCTTGCTGATTGTTTTATTAGTCAGTCCGCGTACATAGTTCATTAGCACTTGAGTGTTGACAGGGGAATCGTACTACGTAAAAAAAAAACAGAAGTCATTGGTATCATTGATGAGAACAAAATTCAACTAGTCATTTACCCGAGTGATGATACAATAAAACCTTGAATACAGAGGATCTATGAAAAAAAAATAAACTACAGTTTAGTCATATCTATTTGTAGGTAATCAAAATATCTTTTTTTTTTTTTTTTTCTTTCTTTTCTTTTACCTGATATCTCTGTATGAGTGCATCGGGTGTTTTCCATAATCAAACTTTTGCACATATGTGACCGAGAAGGTGCTTTAACTCGAAACCTAAAAATTGTTTTGTATAGAAAAAAAAATCAATATTCACACATATATTATTATCTATATATTTTTACTTACGCTCGTTGTTGAATTTCCCAATCGTAATAATCAGATTCAACAGGAATAAAACGACTAATATGGAACAAACCAAGTGACCTTAGTCCTTGTTCAACCTACTGAAAAAAAAGCAATCAGTTCAAAGTATATTCATAATATAATTATTAATAAATTACCTGTTTGACTACATCCGGTGCATTAGCAAGTACTTGATCATTATCACAACCTTTACTCCATTGTTCCATGTATTCTTTACTGTAATAAGAATAGAGACTGTTGATATCCGCTACCAATGACTTAGAAAAAGATATCAGTCATAGACAATTATATATTATATTCATGTTTTTTATCGTTACCTGTAATGTTTTTTGTTGAGTCAAGGTCAGGTCTTTGACAAGAGTCATCGTTTTACAGTGTAAAATAAAACGAAGAAAGGAAGGTAGTTTTGGAAACAAAAAAAAAAAAAAGAGATGTGGCGGGAAATGAATTTCCGCGTTTATTTCTTTCCCATCTTTTTTTTTTTTTTTTGCAGAAAGTGAAACCTTTTGTCACTTGCCCCCCTTTTCTCTCGTTTTTCTTCGTTATAGTTGCATTTCTTACAATATTCAACATGTCTCATATAGATGACTTTATAGAAGCATCAGAAACAGATAATGGTCCTGTCATGGCTCTATTTGGTGATCCATTTACTTCTTCTAATGGTCATACTAATGGATACGATGGTATTGAAACAATGAGGGTAAAAATAGGAAAAGAAATAGAAAAAAAAGAAAATTTATTTTACTTCATGTAATAGTTAACTCTTTTTTTTTTTTTTTATTTTATTTTATCTAGCTCGAAACTGGCTATGTCTCTACTGGATTTGGTCAAGTGGAACTTCCTATTTTTGTTCTTGATTATGTGCAATTTCAACTTCCAGCAAAGATAGTCGATATGGCGGTATCCAATAATATTTTGGTCATTGCCTTGAATACTTTTAGAATATTACGTATTGACTTGGATAATCCTCTTGAAGTGGAAGGTAAAATAATATGACCTATTGACGGATAACCTGACTGATTTTTCTTTTTTTTTTTTAAGATATTGAAATCACTCGAAAACCTAGTGATGGTAAAATTATTAAATTATTCTTTGATCCTACTGGACGACATTTGATTATTACCACTGATCATGAAGAAAACTATTACTTGTACGAAAAATGGCGACGAACGAAACAATTGAACAAACTCAAAGGTATTAGTATTACTTCGATTGGTTGGAATAAACAAGCGACTTTGGCTGATCCATCCACACGTGAAATATTAATTGGTACTAAGAAAGGTTTGATCTACGAAACTGTATTGGAACCCACCGATGAATTCTTTCGACGTGAAGAACGATACTTGGAACAAGTTTATTCTATTCATGAATCTACAATGCCTATCACTGGTTTGCACTTTGAACAGTTTCCTGTCAATAATAGGAAATATTTCGTCATGGCGACAACTCCTACTCGTATCTATCAATTTGTTGGTTTCATTAATCCTAGTAGTAATGGTACTCGATCTCCCGCTGGTTTTGGTGATGCATCCGAGGAACGTGGTGAAAAAGCTATCTTTGCTAGTTTATTTTCCAAATATGAAATCAATCCTGGTAATTGTTATATTGGCTCTTATCTTTTTTTTTTTAATTTTTTTTTTTAATTTATATTGAATAGGTTTCCAAGAATTACCTGGTGAACTCCCTTATAGTGAAGTTCATTTTTTTAGTCGATTTCATGAAATTCAACAACAAGGTGTGGCTCAAACTTTTGCTTGGTTGACAAGTCCTGGTATTTATCATGGTGATCTTATTTTTGGATCTCAAAATGTTGGCGATAGCGTCATTGACAATGTACAGTTGGTCCAGTAAGTAAAAAAAAAAATAAAAAAAAATCAGAGTTATAATAAGATAATAGGATACTTACTAATCTCCTATTATAGATACCCTTCTGTTCAGTCAGATGATGAAGCTGGACAACTTGTGATGGAATTTCCTATATCTGTGGCATTGACAGAATTTCATTTTATTTTACTTTATAAGGATCGCATGAGAGCCATTTGTCAATTAAATGATCAAATTGTCTATGAAGAAATGTTACCTTTGGTAAGAAAATAATAATAATAATAATAAAAAAAAAGGCATTTTAAATGTTGGTTTTATTAATAATTCATTTTATATATTAGAACTATGGAGAAAATGTGATCGGAATGGCAGTGGATGATACAAAGAAAACTTTCTGGGTATATACTTCCTTATCTATGTACGAATTGGTAATCAAGAATGAAGAGCGTGATGTTTGGAAACTCTATTTGGAAAAGAAACAATACAACATGGCATTACAATACTGCAAAGATCCAGCTCAGAAGGATAAGGTATACACTGCTCAAGCGAAGGATTATTTTGGTCAACGTCGATTCCAGATGAGTGCAAAATTCTTTGCTGAAAGCACTGTGCCTTTTGAAGAGGTGTCTCTCAAGTTTATTGAGCAAGATGAAATGGATGCCTTAAGAATTTACCTTGGAAGCAAATTGGCTAGACTACAGAAAAAGGTATGTGATATATAGATCTTGGAAGAAATTATCTGATTTTTTTTTGTCAGGATCGATCTCAAAAAACAATGCTGGCAACATGGTTGGTAGAAATATATTTATCAAAACTGGATGAACTTGATAATTTGATCTCTTCGGCACATTCTCTCTCATGTAACAGTAGTAATGTAACAACAACAAATTTACTTGCCACAGCAAAGGATGCAACAAATGGAACTAATGATGATCTCGCACACTGCAAAGAACAACAAGAAGATATTGTCGATGAATTCAGGACGTTTATAGAATCACATAATGCTCATTTACATGCTCCTACAACGTTTAGTTTGCTAAAAAATCATGGACGCAACGAAGAATTATTATTTTATGCAACATTAATTGGGGACTATGAACAAGTCATTAATTATTGGATTATGGAGAAAAATTGGAAGAAAGCTTTAGAGGTTTTAAGCAAACAGGTAATTACAGAAGAAAGTATATTGGATAGAATGAAATAACAAATCCACTTTTTTTTTAATTTTTTAGAACAAGACGGATATCTTTTACCGATTCTCACCAGTGCTTATGGAAAACGAACCTTATGAAACTGTGAATATATGGATGAGACAACCAAATCTGAATCCGCGACGTTTAATCCCAGCTCTTTTACGATATGATCATAGCAAGTTGGCTGAAAAGTCATTACCAGTAAGCACATTCAAAAAAAAAAAAGTGTGGAATGTTTTTGATGACTCAATGTACATATTGATTATCACCAGAATCAAGCTATACGATATTTATCATTTGTAGTATCAACACTTGGTAGTACGGATGCTGCTATTCACAACTTTTTGCTTACTCTTTATGCAATTCAATCCACTCAAGATGAAACGGCATTGCTGGCCTTTTTGAAGAATGAAGTAAGGGAAGAAAAAATACCAAAGAAAAAAGATTCTGATCATCCATTTTGATTTAGGGACGGGAAATGCATTACAACTTGGATTATGCATTACGGTTATGTAGTCAAAATGGACGAACCCAAAGTTGTGTACATATCTATAGTCAAATGGGATTATATGAAGAAGCTGTTAATTTGGCCTTAAAGGTAATTCAACAATAGTTTTGCATCGATTATTTACCTTTTTTTTTTTTTTTTTTTTTTTTTTTTTGTTAGAACCACGATATTGAATTGGCTTGTATTAATGCAGACAAACCTGAAGATGACGATGCATTACGAAAGAAATTATGGCTGACTATTGCTAAACAAGTAGTTGCTGAAAACAAGGATATTAAATCGTAAGTTTGAACTTCCAATATACAATGAATGATACTGATATGGTAATGGTAGGGCTATGTCATTCTTGGCACAATGTGATCTGTTACAAATTGATGATGTTCTTCCATTCTTCTCTGAATTCTTGATGATTGGCGATTTTAAAGATGATATTTGTACAGCCTTGGAAGATTATAACAATGAAATTGAAGATCTGAAAATGGAAATGGATGAAGCTACCAAGAATTCTGATAATATTCGTGTGGACATTCGGGATTTACGAAGCCGGTAATCAAGGAATAGATAAAAACACAGATGATTGCTAATTATTTGTTTTTTTATTTTATAGTTTTGGACTTGTGAATGCAGTTGAAAAGTGTTATATTTGTCATTATCCATTATTATCTCGACAATTCTATATCTTTCCATGTCAGCATGCTTTCCATGCTGAATGTATGATTCAAAGGGTAAGTAAAAAAAAAAAAAAAAAAGAATGACAATGATCTTTTTTTTTTTTTTCTAATAATCATATTTTTTTTTAAAAAAAAAATTAGATAACACAATTTTTACCTCCACGATCACTTCGACGTTTAGCACAATTGGAAGAAGCATTACATCCGTCTTCGCCAACAACAGCACCATCAACAGGACTCACAAGCAGTATAGCGATGACTGGACCAGCTACGAAATGGATGCATGCAGCAGCAGGTGCGATCTTTTCAGGTGATAGCACAACTGATGTAATAATAGATACCAATCATTCGGCGGAAGCAATGAAGGAACAATTGCAAGAAGAAATGGATAACATTATAGCTAGTGAATGTGTACTTTGTGGTGATACCATGATCAAATCTATTGATCAACCTTTTGTGAATGATGAAGAAATGGATGCAATGACTGAATGGGCTATTTAATAAAAAAAAATATATATATTTTTTTTTGATAAATATGAAATGAATTTGATTTATGATTATTATGATTCGGTTATCTTTTTTTTTTTTTCGTCCCACAATTCGACGACGAATATCGGTGTTATGAAGTAAGAAAGTTTTCAGTGCAGGAGTTTTGAATCTTTGGATCAGAATAAGCTACTGTGCGGCAGCTTATTCAATACTCGTGTGTTACTCGTAAATCGATTTTCACCATGGATTTAAAGAAGTGTCTAACCGAGTAAAGAATGATTGGATGTCTTAGTGCTCAATGTCTATATCTGTTGGAATCTGATGTAGGAGGGCTGGTGATTCATACAACTTTTCAAAAAAAAAAAAAATGAAAAAAACCCGGGTTGTACAAAAAAAAAAATCCTCCCGCAGAATGAAACTGTCAATTTCTTTTTTTTTTTTTTTTAGCTTTTTTTCTTTTTTTTTGCCAGACAAAAGAAAAAAAAAATTTCCTACATTAAAGGTTCGTTTATTCTTCTTTTCTCTTTTTTTTTTTTTTTTTCATAAAATGTCGATATCTACAACCATCCATTCATCCGAAATATCTACCATGATCCATCCTTCCAATCTTTTGTCAATGAACCATACCATCGTGACGAAGCCACCTGCTTTATCCAACTCGGTCATCATCATCAATGGTGTTTACGATCGGGTCCATCAAACCGAATCGAATCATCATCAACAAAAGAAATTTTCTTGGTTTCATTCCATTTTACGAGATTGGAGACAATATTGTTTTCGACGTCGTTATTTCCGTTATAACATGATGTAATTGGCGGGAGAAAAAAGGAGTCGGAGGGTTTCCATGACAACACTACTGGTTTTTTCTGATCTCCTTTCCATCATGATCTTTTCAGAAAGGTGATTTTTTTTTTTTCGATCATAACTTTATCATGAGCCATGGCACGTTTTTTTTTTCTTTTTTTTTTTTTTTTTTGACGTAAAGGAAAGAAAAAAATCTAATGTTTTGTTTGAATTACAGATTGAATGAAAACTAGAACAACTTAGCCAATGTAATGTGTTTATGGCTCCTTGCATAAATGTATTGGTAAGAAAATGCAAGGAGGTTCTTTACCCCTCTCAAAAAAAAAAAAAAATAGTGGATATATCGATCGTTATAAACTCTTTTCTAAATTACATTATTTTTTTTTTCCTTTTTCATTTTTTTTTATCATTTTTTTTTAAACTATAAATATGATTTCATTCACACAAACTTGGCATCGTATCACCAAACAATTGAAAAGAAAACGTTCTTTTCATTCACATGAATCATCCAAGGCTGTTCGTTTTTATGGTATTGATACTGTCTTTTATACTCATAGTTCACTTGAATATGATCGTACTCCATCAGCAGAATTGAATGAAGAAGATGATATCGATGAAGAAGATGATATCGATGATGATGATGATGACGATGATGATGATTATGAAAGCATTCCTGAACATTTACCTGCCGAACCTGCCAATATCTTTACTCATTCTTCCTTTTTATCAACACCATCATCTACTTCCTATTGTAGCGAGAAAGTATTGGTGATGGATCATCCTTTAGGTTGGGAAAAGGCTTGAAAAAAAAATCGTCTTCAGGTTTTTTTTTTTTTTTTCACACAAGGAAAAAGGATCTGCAAACAACATGCAATGCAAGTTCAAAATCATTCGACCTTTTTTTTTTGATGATTCAACTGCATCATCGTCATTATATCAATTAATAATCAATCTCCGTGCTTTATTTATACCCATAACCTTGATCAACTTCTTTTATGCATTCTTTTTTTTTTTTTTTGCTGTATTTTTATTTATCTTTGTTTAATAAACTCTTTATTGAATAGTATCTTTTGTCTAGTTGCAGAAAGAAGGAGAGGAAGTTTGAAACAGCCTTCTTATATCATATACTATGCATACAAATCATTTACTATTGTCAGATTTTGGGAGATAGGAGGTTTGAATCACTTGAAAAAAAACCTGTAAGGAAATGTAGGGTATCATACATAAGTTTGTTTTTTAATATGGTAAAGGACAAGAGATACATTCATTTTAACTAATTCGTAGATTCTTTTTTTCCAGGAATAATAATAACAAAAAAAAAAAAAATGAATCATCGTGGATTGTCAGACTCAAAAATGATTTTTTTTATTCTGTTAAACCTTTTCCCTTTTCTGACCATCATGGGATTCTTTTTTTTCCTTTCTCTTTTCCTTTCGCATCGCTTTTTTTTTTTTTTTTCATAGTTCTCCTAGACGCATCAATGGACTTACAGCAGGGTACAGAAAGATGGATAATGTGATCAACAGGAAGGATGGAATCTAGTGATATCAACGGGGGAATAGGGGGGGAACTGAGTGGACTAATACAACATTTGCGAAACAAACATACCTATTGATCAGCCTCGTCTCATTGGTAGCTCTCCCTCTTATCTAGCTCTTATCATGATGATTCTTTCATTAGGATTTACAGTAGGCTTTATCAGTATATCTGTTTGATTCTTTTGTATTATATATATATTTTTTTTTTAAAAAAAATACGACTTTTATTCGTCTTGTTATTGTCATATTATATTATACGATCATGATCATATATCCATCCTTCCATTATCCCAATAAGCATTATCATCATTGATCATAATAAATTATTATTTAGTTTTATTTCATTTTTTTTTTTTTATACACGCATTTATAAAAAGAGCTAAACTATAAAAATACATAAACCACTCATTTGGGCACAATAAGTAAAAAAAAAAAAAAAAAAATGAGAAAAGGTAACTAACGAACATAATACTAGGATGAAGAGGAGCCTGTTTGTCTTTGTAGTTGTTCCACTTCACGTCGTAGAGCGTCATTTTCCTTCATCAATCTACTGCGTTCTTCCATGGACGCCGATAATAACTGTTGTAAATGATCGATGGTGTCTTGTAAATCTGTTGATGATCTAGAAAATAGGATAAAAAGGGGGATGTTGGTTTTATTTATTTATTTATTTATTTATTTTGAAGTGTACCTTTTGTGTTCTTGAGAAACCAATGAATCGATTTGCCGCTTAGATGGATCAGTACGATTTTTGATACCGAGAGAAGGACATGGTAAATAGGATTGAGAACCAAGTTGGGTCATTACTTCTTGTAATAAGACTTTTTGCGCATCAGTTTGCTTGAGTAAAAGTTCCATTTGAGGGTAAATCTGTTCACGAGTAAATGTAATTGAATCCATCGTAGTATTGACAACGTTATCTGATGATGATGATGTTGTTGTTGAACGTCCAGTCAATTCAAAACGTCCCACTTTTCTTGAATCATCTTTACTGTTGATATTGTTGTTACTGTCGTTGTTAACCATGCTGCTGTTGTTGCTATTACCACCATCTCCAGTGGCCTTTTCCACGGAAAATCGTCCAAGTTTTTGTGGTTGTGGCTGTAAAGAAGAACGAGAAGATTCACGAGAAATGTCGATGGGCGTATGTTGTTCTAAAAACGTGGTTGACGTTCCTGTTGAATTGGATGTAATATGTTGCACTTCAAACCTTGATTTCCTCTCTAAAATAAATAACAATAAATTACATGAGTAGTAAAGTAAATCAATCCAACAAATATATTTATATCTGTACCAGAGAAATTCTCACAACTTGCTACTCTGTTCAGAGGACCTGATATCGAATCCGAATGACCAGTTAAATGACGAGCCGATGATGCTGCAAGTATTGAATCCGGTGGTATCCGATCACATTCCATGCCAGGCAATTGCAATGAGTAACGGTGTTTCGTGCCGGTGATATCTTTAGATGTGTCATGGTCGTCAGATGAAGTAGTGTTTCCTCCTTGAGATAACATGATGGAGGTTGTTGATCCAGTGGTGGCACCATGATCAGAATCTTCGATGATGAATCTTGACTTTTTTGTTGTGGCAGCTGCAGTGTTGGCAATATCGGGTAAACAGGACGGATGAAGGGGAATATCGACGGCTCTTGTTACACTAGTGCTACTACTTCTATCACGAACTATCACATCGCCAAAAGTGATATGTCGTCTTGTTGGTTGTTGAGGAGGAGCTGTTGTCGTTTCTATGGGTGTTCTTGTTGGAATCTGTCTTTCGATATCGTGAGGCAAAGTCTTCACAGTGTTGGCATCTGGGAGAGGGGTATCATCGAAATCCCATTGGTCACTTGATTCAATAGAGACACGCTTTTGAGGTAAGGTCTTATGTGGGCGTTGATCCAAAGGCAACACCTGACTAAGAATGGCTTTGCACAGGTATTCTTTTTTCTTGCATTGTTTGAAAAATGGATGTTGTAATAACTTTTCTGCAGATGGCCTAAAAAAAAAAAGCGGATGAATAAATGAGATACTACTTTTAATAAGAGTTTACCTAGAGTCCGGGTTCTTTTGCAAACAAAGATCAATCATTTCTTTGAATAACTTGGAGTATTTATATTTGGTATGTACGTGTTCCAGAGTAGGAGGAGCATTTGAGAGTGTCAGTTTGAGAACCTATAAGTAAGACAATATGATCATCAATAAAACAGCATTCCATTTCTTTTTCTTTTTCTTTTTCTTACCTTCATGGGTGGGTATTTGGCAAAAGGAGCATGACCAGTAGCAAGTTCAAAAGCAGTAATACCAAAACTCCAAATGTCAGCCTTAAAGTCATAACCTTCTTGTTCCATCACTTCAGGCGCCATCCAACAAGGCTATGATGTGACGAATAAAAAAAAAAAAAAAAGAAGGTTTTGAGCCACCATCAAGGGAAAAAAAAAGGAGGGAAACAAAAGGGCAAACAAAGGAGATGTCATATTTGGTACTTACAGTGCCAACAAAAGTTTTCCGTAAATCACCTTTTTCAGATAAAGAACTAGAAACACCAAAGTCAGCCAATAGAACAGTACCTTGATCATCCATTAATAAGTTTCCAGCCTTGACATCCCGATGAATATGTCCGTTCTTATGCAAATAAACCAATCCTTCTAGGGCTTGTTTTAAAATGGTGGCAATACTAAATTCATCAAATCCTTCACGAAACTTTGTCTTCATGATATCCAAACAAGATCCTATATAATAATCATGAAAGGATTCAGTAAAAAAACAAAAGATGGATTTTTGTTTTTTGCGTAATATAACTAACCAAACGATAGATAGGGTGTAATAATATATAATTTTGATCCATTCACGAATGAGCCATATACCTTGAGAACATTTGGATGTTTTGACAAAGCCATCAAAGCCGTTTCCCTCTATTAAGAAATAATAATAATAATACATATTGATAAAAATAGATGAGAATCTTTTTAAACTGACAGTAGGAAGGGAAGACTCTTACACGTAGTTCATCAATTTGATTGCGTTCAAACATATCAAGATCAATCATTTTCAAGGCAACACGTTTATTCATTGGTAAGTAGATAGCACTATAAACAATAGCAGAGGAGCCATAACCTCATAATAAAAAAAACTAATGTTAATTAAATCAATATAGTGATATTTCCAATGGAGATTTACCTATAGGATCCTTAATGTCAAAATCGTCATATTTATTAGCCCAATTGGATTCTGATACTTGAGATAATGAAGTGGTAGACGCGTTGGTGAAAGTTGTTGTTGGATAAGGAGAGAGCTGAGGAGGAGTTGGATTACCATAAGGGGAAACAAGAGTAGGATTACCATCTTGTTGTAAGGTCAATGCTGATAACTTGAGATGTAAGGCTTCAGATACACTGGACATACGTTTTCCCATCATGGTGTGAGTAGCAGAAGAAGGACGTCGAGAAGGGGAAGGACTAGCAGAAGGAGTTACCATAGACCGAATGATACTTCCTGCACGTGAACGAGAACTTGCTATTGTTACTGCTTGATTTGATCCACCTGAGGTTGCATGTTGTGATGATATAGCGAAAGAAGAATCAAGAGTAGGCTGAGTTGTAGGTGAAGTTGGTTTTAATAAAGACATTGGATTTTGTAGACTTGACTGTGACATTATGGAGTAAAGTTTAGGTTATCCACGATGAATTTTGTGGGACCAAAAGTTCATCCGAGTTGACCTCAGTTCCAAGATAGAAAAAAAAAAAAGTTAAAAAGAAAAAGAAAGAAAGTAGAAAAAAAAGAAAAAAAAAAGAAGAAAAAAAAAAAGGTAGAAAGTGAAAAGTGAGCGCAAAAAAAAAAAAAAAAAAAAAAAAAATTCTCAGCTATAGTTGATTTTTCGTTAGCTTGCTTCTGAAGATGGAAATTATAGTTACACCGAATTACAAAACAACGTCCTACGGGATTTAATATTTCAATGATCTTTGTTATGTCTATCCAATCAATTTCATATTTTATAAACTCTATAATTTATATATATAATGATTACTTTTTGATTGAAATAAATAAATAAATAATAATAATAAATAATAATTATGTATTTATCTTGGAGGTAGATTTATGTACCTTTTTTTTTCTCTTTTTCTTTTTTTTTCTATTTTTCAAACCTATATGCTTCAAAGAATGTATTTGATTGGTGGTCCCCTGAATTCTCGGGAAAAAGTGACAGCTCTTGTATTGATTGCATTCAATTAAAAAAATTATTTACTGAACTCCGCTTTGAAATCTTTTTTTTTTTTTTTGACTATCGCGATCTTGTATACTTTTTTTTCTTTTCTTCTTCTTTACTTTTTCTTTACATTATATTATATAACAATGGTAAGCTTAAATGAATATGCTTTTACACTTTATGTGAAAAAAGATGATTAGATGGATGGATGGATGGATGGATGGATGGATGGATGATAACTAACAGTTTTATTTTCATAGGGTCGTGGTCCTAAGAAGCATATGAAGCGTTTGGCAGCTCCTAAGCACTGGATGTTAGATAAACTTTTGGGTAAGTTAATCTATTAGACATACAGGAAACCTCAAGTCAATGTATATATATATATGTTTGTGTGTGATATGATTTTTTGGGGATGAAATACAAAAATTTATAGTCAAGCTCAACAATCCGAGTAACTTATGGTGACGAGAAAATTTTTTAAAAAATTTACTGATAATCAATCATATAAAACACACATACATGCATATTATATATATATTGATACTTTGGTGTACTGATGGAAAATACATGATTTGGATATGATACTTATATATCTCTCTCTCTTTTTTCTTCATTAGGATCTTATGCCCCTAAGCCTAGCTCTGGTCCTCATAAGACTCGTGAATGTTTACCTTTGATTGTATTCATTCGTAATCGTCTCAAGTACGCTCTCAATGGCCGTGAAGTTACTAGCATTTTGATGCAACGTCTTGTCAAGGTTGATAACAAGGTCCGTACTGATTCTACCTTCCCTGCTGGTTTCATGGGTAAGTGAAATGGAGATTATATGGGAAGAGAAAAGGGGGGGGGTGATTTTTTTTTTGTATCTTTTTTTTTGTGATTATATTGGTTACTGATTGGTTGAGGCTTTGACGAATCCCGGATGATTTTATTTTTCAAATACCATGTCATATTTTCTATTTGATTTGACAGATGTCATTTCTATTGAAAAGACTGGTGAAAACTTCCGTCTCGTCTATGACACTAAAGGTCGCTTCGCCATTCACCGCATCACTGATGAGGAAGCCAAGTACAAGTTATGCAAGGTCCGCAAGGTGATGGTTGGTGCCAAGGGTATTCCTTATATTGTGACTCATGATGGTCGTACTATCCGTTATCCCGATCCTTTGGTCAAGGTAAATGATACTATCCGTTTCGATATTGAAAACAGCAAGATTCTCGATTTTGTCAAGTTTGAAGTTGGTAACGTTGCTATGATTACTGGTGGTCGTAACGTTGGTCGTGTTGGTACTATTGTTCATCGTGAACGTCACATTGGTGGTTTCGAAATTGTTCATATCAAGGATTCTTTGGATCGTACCTTCGCTACTCGTATCTCTAACGTATTTGTTATTGGTCAAGGCAACAAACCATGGATCTCTCTTCCCAAGGGTAAGGGTATCAAGTTGACTATCGCTGAAGAACGTGATCGTAGACGTGCTGCTGCCGCTGCTGCCAAATAGATTTAGTTTTTTTTTTTTTTAAAAAAAAAAAATATAAATAAATTTGTTTGAATAAAATCCATACATCTGTACATATTTTCTCTCTCTTTTTTTTGTGTTATATTTGTTTGTGGTTTTATAAACTTTTGGTGAATATAAATATGTGTGATTTGGAACTCGTTGGTGAAAAAAAAAAAAAAAAAAACCGTCAAGATTCAATTGACAGATGATCATCGTAGAGACATCATTATGTATAGAATGATAGCTAGTTACCATAAGAAAGAGGATATGTGAAATGGGAATAACTGGTAAAATATATAATTTATTGATGATGAATGTAATATAAAAACAAGAATGAATACAAAAAGATACTATAAGAATAGAATGAAGAATGACCTACTACTGCTACTATTACATGTATAAAAAAAAAATGATCAAAATAAGAAAACATGACAAGGTAAAAAAAAAAAGCAAACATGGACAATGAAATCTATCTAAGCTTTGATAGATTTCTTTTTAGGGGTAGTCTTGGTCTTGGTAGGTTTGGTAATCTTGCTTTTTGTTTGAACAGCAGTAGCATCTTCAGCTGCTTTCTTGGTAGGTTTGGATTTCTTGGTAACAGCCTTGGCAGCAGTTTTCAAGATTTCTTTTTCGTTATCATTGATGGCGGCTTTGCGATCGCTTTCACCTAATAAAAAAACAAAGAATATGTGAGTATATTTTTATTCGATGAATACAGATCAAAGATCACGTATCACTTACTTAGTAACCAAACGCCAGGTACACAGTTATAAATAGGTAAAGAAGGAGTACGATCGGCACGGATAGAGATTTGTAAGATATGTTCCCATACAAGATCCTTAATCATATCTTCTACCACCACCTTGAAATTTTCTACAAGTTGTTTTTCTGATAATTTGGTCAAACCAAATTTGACACTCCTAATTATGATATAAGAATAGAATAAGCAAAAAAAAAAAAAAATGGATCATTTCCCATATTGATCTTACTTTCTATCCGTAGCAGATTCCAAAGAGGTTGTGTAATTGATAGCAGTTTGAATATTTTGCTTCAATTGATCGTCATCTTTGAGCATTTTATTGTTTGCAGATACATTAACGATCATGGGATGCTTGTTCATACTTGTGAAACTTTTGCCGAATAGAGAATTGATTTTGGGGGCAAGACAAGCATCAACCAAAAATAGACCGAATTGTCGAGCAATTTGTCGTCTAGCTTCAAACCGAGCGAAAGTTTCTCGAAATTGTTTAGCAGAATATACCTTTTGAAAAAAAAGAGTAAGATTCCTTTGTACATTGCATTATCCTTTTTTATTTTTCTTACAGTTGTTTTTCTATCTAACTTGAGTTGCTCTAATTTTTCTTGATAGTTTTGAGGTCTGTCCTGAACAATTAAACAGATACTGGCATCTTCAGGAAGAATAGAATGAGGAAGAGCACTAATCAAAGAGAAAATAAATAAATAAATTTATTGGATCATACAAAGTATCCTTGTTTATTAACTTACATGGTATGACGACGATGGGTTTTATCTACTGGCATCTTGGCAACAGTAAGATCGATCCAAACACCATGGTCAGATCCTAACAAATCGTTTTCAGTGTTACGACTAATGTATTCTTTCAAAGCTTTCACAGCTTTTTCTGCTTGTTGATAATCGATCTTTTTGGCCATGGATGAAATTATAATAAGGTCGTTGAATGAAAAGGGTGAAATGAGAAAGGAAAGAAAAAAAAAAAAAAAAAAAAAAAAAAAAAAAAAAAAAAAAAAGAAAAAGAAAAAAAAATTAAGCAGAGGAAAAAAATGACCCAAAGCCACTGAAAATTATGGGAGTTAGTAGCTGTTTAAACTTCAGATTGACTGACCTCCATTGATTTCTCCAAATTTCACTCCTTTTCACGTCTTCTGTATCTCCCCTTTTCTCTCATGTTATGGCATTCAAATTATCCCGTCTCTATTTGTATGCATTAGGTTTGCTACAATTTATTGGTCTTGGTTTATTTTCTACTGGGTTTTTCCCATATAAAACTTATCTTCCTGGATTCACTTCATTCAAAGACGCGCCTCCTCACTTATCTACAGCATCTTCTTCCAGTCAACCCACTTCTTCCCTTATTGAACCTGAATTTGACCGACTTGTCTTTGTTGTCATTGATGCTCTTAGAAAGTAATGAAAAAGAAAAAAAAAAGTTGGATGATAAAAGAGTGGAATCTATCTTTATATTAATATAAACTTTACCTTTTAGTGATTTTGTATTTCAGGACACAGGTTTCAAGTTTGTTAGAAGGTATATAGATGATAGGAATATACTAAAAGCATAGAAAGCAATCATGTTTAACCTTTTTCTTTTTTTTTGTATATAATAGTTTGATTGACCAAGGAAATGCTATACCATTCACTGCCAAAGCTACTGCGCCTACCGTAACTATGCCTCGTATCAAAGCTTTGACTACTGGTAAGAATCCTTAACAAGGTGTTAAGAGGTTAATTTTTTATCTTTTCTGTTATTATTATTATTATTATCACAGGAACTGTGCCTAGTTTTCTGGATGCTATATTGAACATTGCAGAATCTGATACAAGCTCGTCTTTGGAACATCACGACAATTGGGTTTATCAATTCAAGCATAATGGTAACCGTACTATACACTTTTTTGGTGATGATACTTGGATGCGATTATTTCCTGGATTATTTACAAAGACAGATGGCACCACCTCATTCTACGTGTCGGTAAGATAAAATATAGGAATATGATCAATTATCAATTCTGATCTCTTTCTTTGTCTGTTTGCCTCTAGGATACTGTACAAGTAGATCAAAATGTAACTCGACATATTGAATCGGATCTCTCAACTTTGGATTGGGATGCTGTGATCCTTCATTATCTTGGTCTTGATCACATTGGTCATCTGGGTGGTCCGAAAAGGTAGGAAAAAAAAAAGGACCAGTAATATGAGACTAAATTCACTTTTCTCTTTTTTTTTTTTAAAAAAAAAAATATAGTGCTTTGATGTACCCAAAGCAACAGGAAATGGATCAAGCTATGGAATCTATCTACAACATTGTTGCGGAACAAGATGTGAAACGCATGAAAACTGATCCAAATGCAAAAGGAACTCTGATAGTTCTTTGTGGAGATCATGGAATGAATGATGTGAGTGATACATTTTGCTTTTATATAGGAATACACGGTTAATATTCATTTTTGTATTATAGGTTGGTAATCATGGTGGATCTTCTATTGGTGAGACTTCTGCTGTAAGTTTCTTTTTTTTTTCAAAAGAAAAGAAAATCCAATTGATTTGATTCTATTGATCACATAGGCAATGGTATTCATTAGTCCCAGATTCGACTCACGGCCTGTCATCAAGCATGCAACAAGAACAAAAGAAAGCTATGAAGGTCCCCCCATTATCAGTCAACCTACGGATTTTCATTTTGAGTTTGCATTTGGTTATCCAGTGATTGATCAAGTGGATCTGGTACCAACACTGGCAGTCTTATTTGGATTACCCATCCCGAAGAACAACCTCGGCAAAGTGATTTTGGATTTATATGGTGGCAATAGAAAAGGTAAAGAGAATAATAACAGCCAAGTGATGACGATCTCTTATTTATCTCGACCCCTCTCTACCTCCAACTAGCATCATCCATCTTCAGGGCAAATAAAGGTAAGATAAAGAAATATATATATATATATATATATATATATATAATTCAAATTGTGTATAAAATTCTAAATTTTTTTATTATAGCTCCTTCAGTTTTACGTGCACTTCAATTGAATGCACATCAACTTGATCAACTTTTGGGAAATCAACAATGTACTGATGGTATACTTCGCCATGAGGACTATTTACGCAACCCTAGTCCTGCTCTTGCAATGGACGCAGTAACAGCGTATCTACAGGTAATATCATGAGGACTTTTGATTTATGCAAAAAAGAGAATACTAATTTTTTTTTGAATACTATATTAGTGTATCAATGAATCAAAACATCAACTTTCCAGCACAGCCACTGACTATAATTTGCAATCGATGACTATTGGATGTGGATTGATGATACTAAGTGCTCTGATTATCTGCGTGTGGGTTTTCAAGGATATGTCCAAACAATTCAATTCTATGTGGATTCCACTGAATCTTGTGATGTTTCTTTTGGTTGGTGTCTATGCATCTAGTGTGTTTGCTAGCAGTTTTGTCGAGCAAGAACATTATATCTGGTATTATTTTTCACAATCGTGGCTTTTATTACTTGGATTCCAAAGGTATGAGAATTATGATGGAGCATCAAAGAAAAAAAAAACACTTACTCAGGGAGCCTTTTTTTTTTTTTTTTTTTTTTTTTTTTTTTTTTTTTTTTTTAGTTTCTTTATCGTTGGGAAATCTATTCGACAACAATGCACGTTATTTATACTATGTGTATCTCAAATGATATTAGTGCGATTTGGTATACTTTGGGGTAGTGGGAATGACTTGACAGAGGATAACTCATACATGGTGTGGCATCTTATGTCTCTTTCTTTGATCCTTCCTTTGATACTTGGCATACGTACTACTCTCTTCGGTATGAAACAAGTCAACTCGATTGATGTCAGTCAAAGTGCAGGACTTATTCGGAAACTATGCAAAATAGTTTACGTATTGACTACTTGCTTGATGGCACTTCTGGTATTAGCTTACAAGATTCGAGTGGATGGTATTGATGGTGTCAAGGATGCATCTATCTACTACGAATCATTACTCTCGTTTGAACTCGTGCATCGTTTGAATCAAGTTGAATTAGGCCAATTGATTTACAATTATGCTGGAGCTTGTTTCTTACTTCTCACTGCCATTCTCTATGTCTCAAAACATGCCAGTTTTATGAATCTTGGTCAGGACAAAGGTAACAAAAAAAAAAAAAAAAAAGAAACAATGATCTTCATTTCTCATTTTTTCCTTTTTTTTTTTTTTTTTTTTTTTTTAATCCTTAGATTATGGACGCCCTTATTTACGACTGATACTCTATATGACAACACCTCTTTTGATTCTACTCAGCAAACCTCATCATGCAATTCACTTTTTTCTCTTCACTGTGCAAATGGAAGGATTATTGGCATGGCAGCGACTTCATGGTAAAGTACCTATGTGGGTACGTGGATTTTTAGCGGTCTGTCTATGTCACTATGGCTTTTTTGTAATGGGACGCACCAACTCGATTGCATCTATTGATCTCAGCAACGCATACATTGGTGTGGATGGCTATCGTACTGTCTTGATTGGGATCATCACATTCTGTTCCAACTGGTCCGGTGCTCTTTGGTGGTGTATAGCAGGTTGGGTATTGGCTTCTGACAATGACAGCAAAATGAATGAAAACAACCTTCCTCAAACTAATAATAATGATGATGATGATCAATGGCTCTCTTATTGTTTGATTCAAGCGATGGTATTTAGTGTGGCTACAGCGGCACTGTCTATTTCAGTCATGGTGCTTCGTGAACATTTATTTATCTGGACTGTCTTTTCACCAAAGTATCTGTATCAAATCGCATGGACCGTCTTATTCTTTTGGTTTGTTCAGATTGGATTAGGTACATTTTTGGTTCGGTATTGGTATGTCTGGTCCAATCCTCATCAAGTCCAATGTGAAGAAGATGAACAACACAATGAAGTCCCTGATGATGATGATGAATCTCCTCTTTGATCAATCATAGAAACTTTTGTTATATATTTATATCTCCATTATTACAACTTATATATTTCTGTATCATATTTGTTTTTTATCTTTTCTTTTTGAATAAATATCATTTCCATTGGACAATAGTCTATATATATTATTTTATGATTTGTTTTTATTTTTATTTTATTTTATTTTTTTTTAAGGTGAATTAGAATGAAGAAAAGGTATGGAGGAGAGTGCTAGACTAACTAATCTAAAATACTAATAGTAAATAATGAATAATAAAAAGATAGTGTTACACATCGTAAGGTTTCCGTTTCTATTTAACTTTGACGATGTTGTTTCTTTGTCTGTTTTGCTTTGTTCAAGTCATCCGTTGATGCACGTTTTCCCAAGACAAGTGCCTTGGTTTCCGCATCCAGGCAAACCAATTGATGTTCTTCGTTGTTTTTCACAGTACCATCCAATCCAAGCAAATAAGAGAGAGCTACTTGACCATTACCTTCTATTTTTTCTGTAAAAGGACCAGGTATCCAATTGAATTTCTTTCGAAGAATAAAAGTTGCATCCGAAGGTTTATACAAGAGAGCTAAAAGGTACTTTTTTGGACTTGCTGTTTCCCATTTCCCGTTCGTTGTCGATGATGGATAAATGTCGACCAGAGCCATCATACCAAACACCGGATCAGGTATGGATACACTACGCATCACACATTTGACTTGCATCCCTAATCCACCGCCATAATGTTGTTGTATTTCCCTAGCTGAGAGCACTTTTGGTGAGAGTACGATTTGTTGTCCAAACCATAAAGGTCGTTCTGCATTGGCCTGCCATCCAGTCATTGTTTTATGGTGCTTTTTCAAATACTCGTTATAAAAAGGTACACAGATAGTTTGTAATCGTTGTACAAAATCATCATCCAGGCGTACGATGGTGGATGATGGTAATAATGTAAGTGATAAATGTTTCGCTACTTTGGTTAGACAGCCCTTATCGATATGAAGATCCAGTTGATATTGTCCATCACCATCCTCATCATCATCATCATCAGAAAATAACCTATCATCCCAAGAAATAGTGTTGATTTTTCGATTCCATCGTTGTTGCTCCAGGTATAAAAGTTCATTGGCACTATGAGTTGCTAAAACGTGATTGACGATCCTGCGTTCCCATTTTGGTCGATAGCGAGGTCGAATGGCTGGTACATGTATTGCTGATCCTGTCGTGATGGTTCTTTTGGATATAAGAGTATTCAGAAATCCTTGAAATCGTTTGACATGAGGAAGTCTGTCGTCCCACATTTTGATTGAATCCAAACTTGGTACGTTATGTAAAAGATTAAGTATGAAACTCGTCTTGAAGTGAAGAGTATTGGCAAACACTGAACTTGCACCGTAAGCCAATACATTGTGTTGTTGTTCGTTGTTAACATGAGCATCATGGGTTTCTTGAGTTGGATCTGGTCGTAAACCTAGAAGATCAAATGCCAATCCTTTAGAAGCAAGCATCCGTGATATCAAAGGATAAAATGGTACATGGCGTCGTCCAGTCAAAAGTACTGTCATGATGGTAGGATCTTCCAAAGATTTCCTTGCCTCTTCTACAATATCTTCGTTCCAATAGTCTGCCCAATGTGTTGCTTCCAGTATGTCGATAGGTCCCAAATCCAACGAACGGTAATCCTTCCACCAACCTAACAAGAGTATATATAAAAAGAAAAATGATTAGTTCTTCCTCAAAGATAAAAAAAAGTAACTTTTGTTTATACCTGGACCAAATACATCTTCTCCAACAAGTTCTTTGATCAATGTAGGATGCCAAATCGTAGGACTGAGTGATGGTGATAAGAATAAGGTAGAGTCAAAATCAAAGATGTCTAGTCTGGTTGGCTTTAGAGTTTCCTTTTTGTTTTTATGGAATGGAGAGGCCTCATATTGATCTTGAAGTACAATCTATAAGCCAAAAGAAAGACAGTTAGTTTATAGTATCTGCTTTGATTCTTATTAATTACTTTTTCTTCTTGTAATATCTCTGAATACTGCGTTCGCATATTCAAATTGACACCAAATTCCAATGACGAACGAACGAGAGAAAAGTGTAAAAAAAAAAAAAAAAAAAAAAAAAAAAGATCAAAAATGATTAATGCGGTGTTCCAAAAACATCCCTTTTTTCAAATGTAGTTCGTTCTGGTAACACCAACGGCGACAGGCCTATATTTGGTATGTGATGGACAGTTATCTAGTCAAAGTAAGCATAGTGACTCATATAGAATAAAGAGGGAAACGATTTTGTTCGATTTGCAAAGAAAAAAAAGGTAATATCCTTATTGAATCAATGTGATTGCTCTTACTCATGCCACTTGTCGAAAACCCTCCTATGAAACGGTTGGCTTGGACAAATCCGCCATAGTCATCATCATTCATCATCGTCATCACAAAGAGTCATCATTCTTCATCGTCATTCATCATCATCATTTATCATCATCATCCATTATCATCATTTATCATCATCATCCATCATCATCCATCATCATCATTCATCATCATCATCATCATCACAAAGAGTCATCACAAAGGGTCACAACTGAATATCATCATCTGATAATACTGTAAAATAATAAAGCATCATTTTCTATATCTATGTCATAGTGCGTTGTTTATTATACAAAAAAAAAAAAGATAGCTATAAAACATTATATAATCTAAACTATATTTATACATCATGATATTCATGAATTGAGAAACGACCACGAATTCCAACTTTGTTAATGAACAAGAATTCCTTCAATTCATTCTTCAGTATCACTTGCTTGCTTGGTATTTTACGTCCTTCCATTTCCTTTTCAGGTTGAGTGACCTTGATATTATGTTGATAAAGATATGGAACAATAAATGGAATAGGTTTACCAGTGACAAGTATGAGCTACCAAAAAAAAAAAAAATAGTTTCATTTAATTTCAATATCATTGATCTTTTTTTTTTGTAATATATTTTACATTGACATAATAAAAGTTATCTTTATGAGGATAGGGTATAGCAGGAGAGACCATGACTTGTTCAATATTAGAAACATCATTATTGGAGTCCAATTCAATACGATTGATAGCTCTGGCCTTCTTTTGTTCAAAGTTCGGTAATACACCACAATTCAAGATCTATACCAATATATATATAATGAGTTACACTTCATCAATTAATGTCCTTTTTTCTATTACCTTCATGGGTAAAACACTTGATCCAACGTCACGGATACGTTTCTAATCAAAACAAGAGTCAATCAACGATGGAATCACAAGTAATATGATAAACTGGTTTTTACCACTTCTTTTTCCACTTGTTCAGTAATCCAAGCTTTAGCCTCATGGTCGATTTCAGCAGCTTCCACTGGTTGTTCTTGATCAGATTTGGTATTGTCCATGTTGAATTAATGTGAACCAGAAAAGACAAGGAAAAAAAAAAAAAAAGAAAAGAAAAAAGACGGAAAGCATCTCCCGATCCGATCTTTTTTTTTGTCTTTTTTTTTTTTTTTTTTTTTTTTCTAGTCACGCCCGATTAATCATCTAAAAGAGAGGGGAATCCTTTTTTTTTTTTTTTTTCTTTCGGACCTATTTCTTTTTTCTTTTCTTCTTTAATTATGACAGAATCTATCAAAACCACCTCTACTCATTCTGGGGAACTCCCTATTGGCAAAGACGGAAAACCACTCAAACCTTGTTGTGCTTGTCCAGAAACGAAAAAAGTGCGAGACCAATGTATTTTTGATAAAGGTGAAGAACATTGTCAAAACCTCATCGATGCTCATTTGAAATGTATGCGGGACCTTGGCTTCAAGATTTAAAAAATGATTTGTACATTGTTTATTATTATCATTCAACCTCTTTCTCCTTCTTCATACGAACTACAAGATCATTGAACATTTAGATAGATATACTTTTAGAAATATTCTCCCCCCTTATTATTTTCATTTATCCTTTATTCTCTTCCTTAGTGTTTTTCTTCACTTTATATCGAATCCTATTCTTTTGTATATTTGATGCTTTTAATAATAATAAAAAAAAAGCCCTTCATTGTTTTTCTTTTTTGAAATATAAAATAATGATGCCTTTATTTATATCTATGGCGCCAACTCTATCAAGTCTTACTTTTCTCCAGGATCTGTCCAACCCTGCTTTACATGGATGAGTTTGAATCACCAATTAGCTCTGATACCCACCTCTTTTTTTTTTTTTTAATTTACTCTATACATGTAATGATTATCTATAAATTGCATAATATAAAGTGAAAGTAAATGCATTGTCTTATGTTATATCTGATGTGATGATGATTACTTCTGAGCGAAGAAAGGGAAAAACAAAAACTTTCTTAACCTTTGTATGCAGGATGAAAAAATGGAATGGCTTTTTTGGATTTTACAGCCAAAAATTTAAAAGTCCTCAGCCAAAGTTTGGCTGTAAAAATCAGTTGTCGAGCAGTCATCAGGCAGTTTTTCCAAAATATCGATGAAATCTTTTGACATTGATTGCTCATTAGGTGGTAAGATAACCGATAAAATGGAATTAAATGGTATTAAATTGCTTTTTGTAAAGAATCCAATAGTGGTAGTTGTGTTGGATGATGGCCATTATTGGATGAGGGATGACTGAATTGACTCTTATTTTTTTAATTACTCCATAAACTGGGAGGTATAGTATAAATTGACATTAATGCGATTGAAAGAGAACATTTTCATCTACGCTCAATCCAAATTTGGTGCAATGATGATAGCTTTTGAGCGAATTACAAAAATGCGAAGAGATACATGTCTACTCGACGTGGTGTTACAGTGCAAAGACGGTGGTTAGAATTACTGATGAATACCAACTACATCTGGAATCATGCAACAAACATTGAACCGATCATTTAATTTTTTTTTTTTTTTTTTTTTTTTTTTTTTTACTTTTGTCGATATTTTTATCATATCTTACTTTTTTTATTTTATTTTATTTTATCGTCAAGTTTTATACTTTTCTCTTACTATTTTATATGTTTTATTTTATTGTAGATATCCAACTAGGTTTCAGATATTTTCACCTTTTCAAATTTCTTTATTTATGAATGAAAGATTTTTTATAAATCAGATCATATAAACCACTCTTAAGGAAACAATCGTCCTAAGTTTTATTTTTTTTATTATTTATATTTACAATAATCATCAAGTTTTATATTTCAAGTTACTTTATATTTTTCGATGATGATCAAGTGTAATCATATACAAGACTTTGATTTCCATTTTTGAAATCAATCTAGCAAACTATCTTTTTTTTTTTTATTTCTAGAACTCAATTGTCACAAATATTATCACTACAACAATATCATCTAGTCTTTTTACAGATCATCATCAAGCTAAGTTCACCAAAAAAAAAAAAATTAAACAGTTCTGCTCTTCCTACTAAGAGACGTATCAGATTTTTTAAATTACAATAAAATATTCAACAATATAGACGATATGAGAGAAATATATCATTATTTAATAATTAAAAATAATTCTAATCATAAAAACATTCAATACTTCTAACCAATTTCGTAAGGACGATCGTCATAAGAAAGGTAAGGAATAAAAAAGTTTAGTATTCCCATCCATGATCAAAAGTTTAGCATTTCCATCCAAGATCACATCCTTGCGTATCATAACCACTACTGCAAGAAGGATGACCATTTTGAGGATCGCACGTCAAGTCATGAGGATTCCCATTGAGTGTGCATTCTTGTCCATCGTATTGACCACCAGTGCATTTTCCACAGCAATCGGTGTTAAAGATGTTACAACAGTCGGCAGCACTAACAGTGTTGATGATATAGGCCAACAATAATGTAATAAACAGAATCAATTTCAACATGATCACCAGAAGTTTTCTTTGATTTTTTTTTTTTAAAAAAAAAAAAAAAAGAGAAGAAAGGAAAAAGTTTATCCTTTTATAAAAAAAAAGAAAATGAATTGATGTTACACTGATCGGACTACCAGCGTACGCAATAATTGTCCATATTTGTACTTTTTCCAATTGCCTTCTTCTTTCGATAAGAGATCAGGCTTTGCTGAACGAACCCAAAATCGATATTAACTTTTTTTTTTAGAACATGATGACAAAAAAAAAATCATCTGTTTTATTGTAAGTCGAATACATGAGAAATGAGAATTACAGTATAGGTTTTATGTGGAATGATCAGAATAAATTTCTACCAAAAAACCCTTATACAGTATCTTTCTGTTTTCTACATTTATCGATAAGCTTAAGCTCATTTTTAACCAGGTGGTAGCATGAAAGTTTATATCATTCCTCTGTCGTGTTATGGCGACACAAGGAAAAAAAAAAAAAGAAAAAACAAAGCCAATGTCTTGATTACCTTGCAAAATTTTGAATTTTAAGATATTCCATTGTGGAAATACCATATCAATTAGGATGATAGAGATGGTGATGATGTTTTTTTTTTTTTTTTTTTTTTACTCTATAAACGTGTAAAATAGATGTAGTTGTGTGTTATCAAAATAATAAAAAATAAAGACAAGGAATTCAGTGAGATTTCTTTTTATTTTTTTAAAAAAAGTGTAGTAAAACGAGATGAAGTACCTAAGCCAAGATGTGTGATACCATATTTATGATTGGTGATCAAGTTTTGTTTCTATCTCTATTTCGATAACTCATATTTCAATTTGTAATACTATTATATAGAGTGTGTATTTTATTGGTACTTTGCTTTTCATTGTCGTGATCATGGACGTAGTGATTCATCGTGATTCGCGCCCTGGAACGTTTATACATTTGACATTTTTTTCCTTGCTGGCAGCATTGAGCATAATGATTTTCAGAGTCCGTTTTTTTTTATTATTATTATTTATTTTTGATATACGATCATCTTTCGTTTCTTCTCTTTCTTTCCTTTCTTTATAATAACTTTAGTTTTAGTATGTTAACTAGTAGTCTTTAGCGCTAATACTTTTTTTATTCAATAAATTTTTTATTTTTATTCCAACTACTTTGTTAATGTCAATGTAATTGTATGCCATCTTTTTTCTTGATTACTTTTTATTTTTGAATATATTTTTTTTATTCTACGGATATGTTTATAGATCCGGAATATGTTGGTACCACAAAATGCAATGATCATCCACAAACTGCATAAGGTAAATTGAAAGATAATGGTTTGTTTTGTGTTCTGGTTAAATCTAGGGTGATGATGGTGGCTTTTGAAGGAGAAGAGGAAAGGCAAAGTTTGCTTATATGCAGGATGAAATCTTTTGACACTGATTGCACATTATGTGGTAGGAGAAGCGATACAATGAAATTAGATGATGAATCCAGTTGTGTTGGATGATGGTTCTATTGGATGAAATTGCAAGTTACTCTATATTTTTAATCATGATCAAGTGCAACCATACCCGAGTCTTTCAATTCCATTTTGATCGCGATCGATCAAATTGCCTTTTATTTTTTTTTTCTATATTTCTAGAACTGACTACTACTCAATTGCCACAAATATTATCATGACAACAATATCATCTAGCCTTTTTACAGATCATCATCAAGCTAAGTTCACTAAAAAAAAAAATTAAATAGTTCTGCTCTTCCTACTAAGAGACGTATCAGATTTTTTAAATTATAATAAAATATTCAACAATATAGATGATATGAAAGAAATATATCATTGTTTAATAAATAAAAATAATTCTAATTATAAAAACATTCAATACTTCTAACCAATTTCATAAGGATGATTGTCACAATAAGGACTACAAAAGTTTAGCATTTCCATCCATCATTACATCCTTGTGTATCATAACCACTAGTGCAAGAAGGATGACCATCTTGAGGCTCGCACGTCAAGTCATGAGGATTCCCCTGGATTGTGCATTCTTGTCCATCGTATTGACCACCAGTGCATTTTCCACAGCAATCGGTGTTAAAGATGCCACAGCAGTCGGCAGCACTAACAGTGTTGATGATATAGGCCAACAATAATGTAATAAACAGAATCAATTTCAACATGATCACCAGTAACTTTCTTTGAGTTTTTTTTTTTTTAAAAAAAAGAATAAGAGAAGAAAGGAAAAAGTTTATCCTTTTATAAAAAAAAAGAAAATGAATTGATGTTACACTGATCGGGCTACCAGCGTACGCAATTATTATCCATATTTGTACTTTTTCCAATTGCCTTCTTCTTTCAATAAGAAATCAAAATTTGCTGAACGAATCCAAAATCGATATTAACTTTTTTTTTCTCTCTTTTTTTTTTTTTTTTTTTTTTTTTTTTTACAACATGATGACAAAAAAAAATACCATCTCTTTTATTGTAAGTCCAATACATGAGAAATGAAAATTATAGTATAAGTTTTATGCGGAATGATCAGAATAAATTTCTACCAAAAAAACCCTTATACAGTAACTTTCTGTTTTCTATATTTATCTCTCAGCTTAAGCTAATTTTGGTGTAGCATGAAAGTCTATATCATTCCTCTGTCGTGTTATGACGACTCAAGGGAAAAAAAAAAGAAAAACAAAGCCAATGTCTCGATTACCTTGCAAAACTTGAATTTTAAGATACTTGTCCATAGAAGTTGGAAATACCATATCAGTTAGGATGATAGGGACGGTGATGATCCTTTTTTTTTTTTTTTTTTACTCTATAAATCTGTAAAATCGATGTAGTTGTGTGTTATCAAAATAATAAAGACCAGGAATTCTGTGAGATTTCTTTTTTACTTTTTAAAAAAAGTGTAGTAAAACGAGATGAAGTATCTAAGCCAAAATTATATGCTAGTGAGTGATACGTGATACCATCTTTATCATTCCAAATTTTATTTCTATTATGATTACTCATATTTTAATTTCTAATACTATTATATAGAGTATGCATTTTATTGGTACTTTGCTTTTCATTCGTGATGAATCATCATGGATGTAGCGATCCATCGTGATGCGCGCCCTGGAAGTTTTATACATTTGACATATGTCCTTCCTGCAGCATTGAGCATAATGGTTTTCAAAGTCCGTTTTTTTATTTTTGATATACGGTTATCTTTCTTTTCTTCTCTTTCTTTCTTTTCTTTATATTAACTTTAGTTTTAGTATGTCAACTAGTAGTCTGTAGTGCTAATACCTTTTTACTCAATAAATTTTTTATTTTTATTCCAACTACTTTGTTAACGTCAATGTAATTGATTCCATCTTCTGTCGATGTATTATTATTCCATTTTGTTACTTTTTTGAATGTATTTCTTTTATTTTACGCATATGTTTATAGGTACGGAAGTACGACAAAATGCAATAATCATCCACAAATTGCATAAGGTAAATTGAAAGATAATGGTTTGTTTTGTGTTCTGGTTAAATCTGGAATGATGATGGCGACTTTGGAACGAGAAGAGGAAAGGCAAAGTTTGGTTATATGCAGGATGAAATCTTTTGGCACCGATTGCACATTATGTGGTAAGATACGTGATACAAGGAAATTAGATGACTCTTTTTTTTTTTTTTTTTTTTTTTTGAGAGGAACCCAATAATGGAAATTTCAAGTTACTTTATATTTTTGATTATGATCAAGCGCAATCATACCCGAGTCATTCAATTCCATTTTCGATCGCATCTATCAAATTACCTTTTATTTTTTTTTTCTATATTTCTAGAACTGACTACTACTCAATTGCCACAAATATTATCATGACAACAATATCATCTAGTCTTTTCACAGATCATCATCAAGCTAAGTTCACTGAAAAAAAAAAAGACTTTAATCACTTCTGCCATTACTACTAAGAGACGTATCATATTTTTTAAATTATATCAAAATATTCAACAATATAGGCGATATGAAAGAAATATATTACTGTTTAATAAATAAAAATAATTCTAATTATAAAAACATTCAATGCTTCTAACCAATTTCATAAGGATGATTGTCATAAGCAAGGTAAGGACCACGAAAGTTTAGCATTTCCATCCACGATTGCATCCTTGTGTATCATAACCACTACAAGAAGGATGACCAGCCTGAGGATCGCAGGTCAAGTCATGTGATCTCCCCTGGATTGTGCATTCTTGTCCATCGTATTGACCACCAGTACATTTTCCACAGCAATTGGTGTTAAAGATGCCACAGCAGTCGGCAGCACTAACAGTGTTGATGATATAGGCCAACAATAATGTAATAAACAGAATCAATTTCAACATGATCACCAGTAGTCTTCTTTGATTTTTTTTTAAAAAAAAAAAAAGAGAAGAAACGAAAAAGTTTATCCTTTTATAAAAAAAAAATGGATTGATGTTACACTGATCGGACTATCAGCGTACGCAATTATTATCCATGTTTGTACTTTTTTCAATTGCCTTCTTCTTTCAATAAGAAATCAAAGTTTGCTGAACGAATCCAAAATCGATATTAACTTTTTTTTTTCTTTTCTTTTTTGTACAACATGATGACAAAAAAAAACCCATCTCTTTTATTGTAAGTCGAATACGTGAGAAATGAGAATTACAGTATAAGTTTTATGTGGAACGATCAGAATAAAATTTCTACCAAAAAACCCTTATACAGTAACTTTCTGTTTTCTATATTTATCTATAAGCTTAAGCTCATTTTTAACCAGGTGTTAGCATGAAAATTTATATCATTCCTCTGTCGTGTTATGGCGACACAAAGGAAAAAAAAAAAAGAAAAAACAAAGCCAATGTCTTGATTACCTTGCAAAATTGAATTTTAAGATATTCCATTGTGGAAATACCATATCAATTAGGATGATAGGGATGGTGATGATCCTTTTTTTTTTTTTTTTTTTTTTTTACTCTGTAAATGTGTAAAATAGATGTAGTTGTGTGGTATAAAAATAATAAAGACAAGGAATTCAGTGAGATTTCTTTTTACTTTTTAAAAAAAGTGTAGTAAAACGAGATGAAATATCTAAGCCAAAATTATACGCTAGTGAGTGATACGTGATACCAGATTTATCATTCCAAATTCTGTTTCTATTTTGATTACTCATATTTCAATTTGTCATACTATTATATAGAGTGTACATTTTATTGGTACTTTGCTTTTCAGTGTCGTGATCATGGATGTAGTGATTCATCATGATGCGCGCCTTGGAACGTTTATGCATTTGACATATGTCCTTCCTGGAAGCATTGAGCATAAAGTTTTTCGAAGTCCGTTTTTATTGTTTTTATTTTTGATATAAGGTTATCTTTCTTTTCTTCTCTTTCTTTCTTTTCTTTATATTAACTTTAGTTTTAGTATGTCTGCAGTGCTAATACTTTTTTATTCAATAAATTTTTTGTTTTTATTCCAACCACTTTGTTAACGTCAATGTAATTGATTCCATCTTCTGTCGATGTATCATTCCATTTTGTTACTTTTTTGAATGTATTTCTTTTATTTTACACACATGTTGGTACGACAAAATGCAATGATCATCTACAAATTGCATAAGGTAAATCGAAAGATAATGGCTTGTTTTGTATTCTGATCAAATCTAGGGCGATGATGATGGTTTTTGAGTAAGAAAGGCAAAGTTTGCTTATATGCAGGATGAAATCTTTTGACAATGAACTATATGGTAAGATAACAGATAAAATATTGTCAGATGATATTAAACTATTTTTTTCCAATGGTTTTATTTATATTATATGACGATCATGACTAGATGAAGGACGGCGATATTGCTATTCCATTCTTAATTTACTCTATAAATTGTGAGGTAAGATATAAATGGTTGATAAGACAAGTAAAAGGGAATATTTTGATGTATCTTCAGTCCATATTTGGTGCAATGATGATAAACTTTGAGCAAGGTATAAAAGTGAAAAAAGATATTCTACATGTTTGCCTCAAATAAGGTTACAAAGACAAATAGTTCGGATGATTTTCGATGAACGAACCAAAGAGAGGGGTGCGACTTTGAAAAGTTCCAGGAGACTAGTACTCTAAGATATTACAGCTACATTGGATCGCATTGATGGACTTGCAGTGAGTAGAATGATTAGTATGGATGATTAGCTGCGTCATTCATGAGGCTGATAATAATGAGAAGTATGACCAGGGATGATAATAAGTATAATGATGGTGCAGTTGGCAAAAATGGTTCCAGTGCTGCTAAAAAAAAAGGGGGGGAATGGGCTTTTCTATCTTGTTGATCACAAAAACAGGTGCAGTATTTTTTTTTCTTTTTTTTATGTAGAAGAATGATAATACATATGTTAACATCCAGTTCCAAAGTATTGTATTATCCTTTTATCTCTACAACTACGCTAACGATGCTTGATGATCGTTCATATGAAAGTTGTTCTTGATCGCTATTACACTTTTTTTTTTAATTTCCACATATGTCCATTGCCCAATAAAGCAAAACACGAAAATCAAATAGCCATTCTCCAGTTCCTTTTTTTTAAGGTTGATTTTTGTGTAATTCACCCCTGTGTGTGTGTTTTTGTTTTGCCTTCAGACATTCGGAGATGAATCCAACAATAAGCGATAAGAGATTTCCCACGGCTCTTCCCACGTTTTCCAGATAAGATGATAAAAAAAAAAGGTACAAAGGCTATTTTATTGAAAAAAAATAAATAAATAAAACATCGTACTAGGATACAAAAATGGAGAAATAATAATATAATCTAAAAAGTATGATACAACAAGAGTAAAAGAAGTTTTTTTTTTTTTTTGGAGAGGATTATTGTTGAGTAGTACCAGCTTCTTCATCAATCACTTCAGCCAAACGACGTAAAGCTTCATCCATATCTTCTTTTACCACATTGCTAAAGCTAAGTCGAATATAAGGGGTCTTATCACCCATAGGTTTGAATGCTACACCAGGAATCGCCAACACGCGTCTCTTCAATGCCTTGTTCATGACCAGATCAAAAGAATCAGTAATACCACCTAGCAATTTCACCCAAACAAACTAATCAAAATGGAATGTAAGTACATACATTTATTCCTTCTTTCCTTATACTTACCATGCCAGCTTCAGGGATAACCCATTCCGCACGACCTTTCATATATTTATTCAAACTGTCCACAAATAAATCACGCTTTTCACGGTAGAAATCTGACACCTTGCCTACATGTTCCATAAATCCATCATGTCCCCATTTTTGTAAAAGTTCAAAAGCCAACAATTGAGAGACACCAGAAGGTTGCAAATTGGAAGCCTATCATAGATAGATAAATAAATAGATACGATTAAAAATAAAAAAAAAAGCTTGGTAGATCAATGATGTATTTCTTACCATAGTATGCATATTTATGCGTTCAATCATCACCTTTGGTCCTGTCACCCAGCCAATACGTAAACCAGAAGACAAAATCTTGCTCATACTATCACAACGAAGAACACGACCGTCTACATCCATGGAAAAGTAAGAGGGAACTCGTTTGTTACCAAACTACAAACAATTCATATAAGAAAATAATAATAAGTAAATAGTTTTTTTGTCTTTTTTTTTGTATTACCTGTAAATAATAATAGGCATCATCTTCCAAGATCATGATATCATACTTGTGACAAATATCATACATTTGCTTCCTTCGTTCTTCACTGATAGTGACGCCTGAAGGATTACCACCAGTAGGAGTAGTGTAAAGTACCTTGGGTCTAGGTTGATCCTTCTTGCCATGAGGATTGGAAGCAGGCCAATTTGCCAACAAGGATTCGAAAGCTTCAGGGATCATACCGGATGTATCAGTAGGGACGCCAACAACATCACAAGGTTGGGTATCTAAAAAGGCCAAAGCACCAGTATACGAAGGATCTTCTACTAATACAGCATCACCAGGATTGATCATCATTTCCAGTCCTTTCGTCAACAAATCTTGAGATCCAGCGCCAATAGCTACATCGAATTCAACAGTAGGTTGATGTTCAATCTTCTGTAATTCTCGTAACCAATCTTGAAGTGGTTGTAAGCCAGCCTAAAATAGAGAGAGAGAGTGATAAGTTTTTTTTTGTTTTTTTTTTTTTTTTTGTGTTTTACAGTGGCATCATAAGATAAACATCGTTGGAATAATTCAGGATCCATTTCCATCACATCACCATTTTTCAATGTCACGGTCATGCTTGCAAAAGGAAAAGTAGCAGGATTAGGTTGACCAGCACCCAAAGAAATCTATAATAATGAATAAATAAGTAAAATAGATGAATAATAATGATAAAGGTGGACGATTTATTACTATATCCTTGCGGTTCACATAAGGCATAAGAGCACGAACTATGACAGACAATGATTGAGTTGATGATTCCTAAGTATATTTCTCTATTTATATCACTTACTACTTGAAGGATTTCTAGCCTTGCTATGTTCACTAATAAATTTTGAATAATCCATCTGACAAATATATAATAAGGACAAGAAGATAAAAAAAAAAGGGGGAAGAAAGAAAGAAAGAAAGGAAAAAGGAAAAACAGAAATGATATTCCATCTTATATGGCAAATTTTTTTTTGCTTTCTCACTCCGATGTGGAGGACCGCCGATTGATAGGGTACGTTTTTAACAAGATCTTAGTTAGATAAAATCCCACCTTTTTGGGTGGAAATACTAGAAAATGTCAATCAACAATGCAAAAAACCAAAACCAAGAAAAAAAAAAATTCATGTGGTACAGAGCGACTTCTTCTGACTCATTACTAACTTTTATATCTCGGTTATCGGATTTTATTTCATTAAACGTGGGATTATTTGGGTCTTTTTTTTTTTTTTTTCCTCATTTCATTAAATTGACGATGATGATGATGATGATGATTTTATTCTTTATATAGAAAGATAAGGGGGGAATCCATCAAAGGCTGTTAATAGGTCAAACCGGAATGGCACACAAGGCACATCTCCCTTTCCTTGCGTTTTTTTTTTTTTTTTTGGTATTCCGCTGCACCGCACTTTTTTTTTTTTTTTCGCTTCCCTTATCTCTTTCCTCTCTCTTCTTCTTTTTAATTGAACATTATGCTAGAATATTTTAGAAGGAAAACTCGATTATTGACTAATTTGAAAATATCTTTGTTACAAGCTTCACATGAAGAAGAAAGATTATTGAATGAAACAGACACGGAAGTGGATAATGTTGAACCTATAGATAATTGTTATATTGTATATTGGGTAAGTGACAAATTAATATGGGAGTATAGTTAACTCTTCATTTTCCCTTATTATTAGATCTTCTTTTTGTATGGTATTGCCATGTTACTTCCTTGGAATGGTAAGTAATCTTTAGGATGAAAAGGTTTGTACTTATTTTTTTATTTGTATTGATAGTGTTTATCACAGCATCTGAATACTTTGCCGCTCGTTTTGCCGGGTCTTTATACGAGGAATCATTTCAAAGTTATTTTTCTACTTATTTTACTATCACCAACATGACTATTTTTATTTATATTTTATGGCGACAAACCAAGGTAACTTTTTTGAAACAGTATATTTTTTTATTTATTTATTTTTTTTTCCTTTTTTTTATCAATTCTTTGTGTCACTTTAGAAAAATACCGTTCATGTAGATGTGATGTATCCGGTGATTGGAAACGCTATCATCTTTGGAATCATGTCAATCACAGTGGAAACAAGTCTTGGAGGATCGGATTATTTTTGGTTAACGTTAATCTTATTGGTGTTGACTGGTGCTACTACTAGTTTCTTTCAAGTGTCTGTTTTTGCTGAAGCTAGTCGATTTCCTCCTCAATATGTACAAGCAGTGATGAGGTAACAATAAAAATAGAGATAAATAAAACAAGATTAACTTTTTTTTTATATTTACACACTTTATTAGTGGTCAAGGTATTGCAGGTGTAGCTGTAGCAGGATCTTCTATTATTAGTGCATTGGCTGCAACAACAAAAATGGATACGAATGATCCTTCTTCCATCAACCGATCAGCTTTCATCTACTTTCTTTCTGCTCTTTTTGTTACTGTTGCTGCATTACTTGGTCGCGTGATTTTATCCCAACAAGCATTTTATCTTTTCCAAATGAAACAAGAAAAACTGGTGATTTCAGATGATGAAGATAGCGAATCCTCACAACATACGACAACACGACCTGTCAAACAACTGGTAAAAAAGTCAATGGGCTTGATTTTTGCTGTAGCATATGTATTTGTGGTGACTTTGATGATCTTCCCATCCATCACTGCCTTGATCAAATCCGTGGTACGACATCCTCCTTCCTCTGACAACACCTCACCTACTAGAACAACAACAACATCACAGTCTCGATTCTTTGATGATGATATATTTATAGCTATGCATTTCTTGTTATTCAATGTGGGCGATTGGGTGGGTCGTGTGCTTCCTTTATGGTCAAGTTTTCAAACATTCAAATCTTCATTATTGGTGATATTCTCTTTATTACGGACAGGTTTGATTCCTCTATTTTTGATATGTAATGTAGTGGTATCTAGAGAACGACTATTACCGGTGTTGATCAACAGTGATTTGGCCTACTTTTTATTGATATGGATCTTCTCTGTGACCAATGGTTGGGTAAGCAGTTTGAGCATGATGGCCGCTCCTCAACAAACTTATCTACGTAGTGCTGCTGAAAAATCTCAAATTGGTAGTATCATGAGTTTTGCTCTGGTGGTTGGATTGGCTATAGGTGGATGTATGAGTTTTTGGATTAGAACTCTAATTTAGTTTAGATGATTTGTTTTTTTTTTTTTTTTTTTTGATTATTATTATTTGTATATATCCTTTTCTTTGCTTTTGTATCCTTTTTTCTTTTTTTTACATATATATAAATTATACATTTCAATAAAGAAAATCGATATCCCTTTTATGGTCTATTCTAGTTTTAGTTGTTTTGTTGATGTGACGGCAAGAAAATAAGGGCATGTCGTCTTGCATTTCGTCGTTTTCTTTTATTACTATTATCACCGTTTTTTTTTTTTTTTTTTTTTTTTACTTTTTTTTTTTTCTCTGTTGTGTGATTATACCTCTTTGATTAAATGACATCAACTTCACCATTTACTAAGGATTTGAGCATGTGGTCACCACTTTCGTATTGCGAGAATACCACATACTTTCCATATATGCATTATGCATTAGATGATAGGATGGATAATTTCCCAAAGACGCCCATCAGGACTGCCTGTGCGCTCTGTACTCCTCCTGTTCCAACCACAACGTATGCACCTATTCATTTCAGCACAGCCGCCACAGGATGGTTACATCATGGAGAAAATAACAACGATAAAAGAAGATTACCTTCACATCGATCTTGTGAAGACAGGGTCATCATCACTATGGCTAAACCTCTTCGTCGTCGTCGATTTTATTCAACCATTGTTCCTCATACATCCTTCACACGCTCGTCCTCTTGGATGCGAAAAGTCTGGAATTGGTGGCGATCTTTGCTTCGTATCAAAAAGACTTATATTCATCCTATGCGCAAACGTAAATCATCACATCCTTCCTATCCTGTTTGAATATCGCACACACACTTTTGGATTATCATCTCTCCCCCCTTTTGTTTGTTGGATTGGTGCCTGTAAAAAAAAAAAAAAAGAAAGTTTTTTTTGTTTTTTCCATGTTTGGTTTTATTAGAATAGATCAAATCAAATATATGGATGGATATCTATTCATCTTCATACAACTACATATTTTCAATAAATAAACAGATAACAAATATATATATACAAAGGGAAGGAAAGAATGAATATAAACTAAAAAAAAATTAGATAGAGAAGATTAGATATGAGTAGAGCCGGTTGTTTCAACATATTTGACTAAAAAAAAAAAAAAAAAAAAGAATGGTAAGTTCAAAATGTCACCAATTTCTATTTATTTGTTGATCGGTTTATTCTTACATTTATGTAAACGAGTCTGTCTTTTTTGAGTAAACTTTTTCCGGAATTTTGTTGTTGTTGTTTGCATCTCTTGATCCTAAATAGAAAATATGACGCAAAAAAAAAAGAGTAAGTTCATCATTTTCTTTCTTTCTATTTTTTTTTTTTTTTTAATGTTACCTGATCACCTTCATCTATAAACATATCAGTATTTTCCGCTATAAATTGTTTGACATCATCATCCAAGTCTTGATCCTCTTGTTGATATCGTTTTTCACCTAGAGTGCCATTTCTAAGAGCTTCCAATATTCGTGTATGTCGTTCAGGATCATCCATCATCATAGGTGCCATCACGGTGGATCTTGCCCTCACACTTGTAAATAGTCCAGGCATGACAAACATATCAGGATCTTCCATATCTTCCTTTAATGATGGATCAAAATGCCGGAAAGGATCCAGTTGTCGTTCTGCAATGACCAATCCTTCCATGGCCAAACCATCTATTTGAGAATCCTTGTCATCATCATGAATTGTTTCTTCAGTCACTGCTGACATCATTGCCGTAGATGATGTTGATGTTGATGATGATGTTGTTGTAGGAGTCTGTCCATGGAGATCTTCCGTCGTCGTGTTAGGTGTTGTAGGTTGAGAAGTCGATTCTTTCTCTGCCTTGAGTGCAGGACTAAGGGTATCTCGAGGTTTCCATATCAAATGTCCAAAAAGTTTATGTTCCAAAGCTGTATTCTTCTTTTTCTTTTTTTTCCGATTACTAGAATCAGTCGATAAAAAGGATGATACCTGAGACGATGCTTCTAGTTGTGATTGACCGTTTTCTTGTTCTTCTTCTTTTGTACTTGGAGCAGCTGAAGAGGATGATGATGATGATGTTGATATCATTACAGAATTTTGTGGCTGTGAGCTAATGATAGATTCTTGAGAAGGGCCAAGCCAGAAAAGGTCTTCCTCCAAAGTATTTTTTGTCAGGCTAGTCGTTGTCGTCGTGGTGGAGGAAACGGTATCTTCAGTCGTACTGGTATTAGAAGTAGTAGTTTTAGAAAGTCTTGATTCAAAGTCCAAGGATGTTGTAGTAGGTTGATGGAGATGATCTATGTACTTCATTCTTGAAAGTCGATGGCTTGGTGATCGAATATATTCCACTGATCCATGACTACCTCGACGTCGTTTATTGGAAGGGGATAATAATACATTTGTTGAAGAAGGACTGGACACATTTTCTTGATGCTGTGATTGAGAGTCAAAGATCGATACAGGCTGGGATTGAGAATCAATTGGATCCACAGCAAGTAGTCGTAACTGCTTCTTTTTAGTGTTGTAGTCCTTGTACACCCTCTCTAGATTCCAAAAAAAATCATTAGTAAATTATTTCCTTGCTCTTTTTGTTGTCAATATTATTCAAGACATACCTACTCTAGGCCGTTCTTGAATATCCTTCACTGTAGGTTTCCGTTGATGTTTTTTGAAGAATTCATATTCCCAGCTTTTGAGTCCTTTCTTGATCTTTAAAAGTTCTTTTTGTAAACGTTGGGTTTGTTCAGATTCCATACGATAAAGAAGAATAAAATAAGGGCCAATGAGAAAAATTTATGGAAAAGGAACTGAATTAAATTGGCGCGTGTCGCTTCTCTTTTTTATTTTATTTTCGTGTTCCGTTGAGTAATAAATATAAAGGTATTTTATTCCGTGTAATAAACAAGTGAAATTGGACTTGAACTAATAACAAGACTAACTAAGAAAAGATAAACGTTGGTCAAAAGGGATAACAAAATATATGTATGATAATACTAATGATGATAAATGTAAGATGAATGAAAAAAAAAAATAGAGTGATAATGAGGAAGGGAATCATGCAGAATCAAAAACATCAATATACTATTGTCTTCGAAAGCCAATTCTACTGGAACTTCTTACATCAGTAGTAGGAGGTCGTATACCAGTCGATTTACCACCAATAGGAGTAACACCACTACGTTGTTCTGTTGATCGTAAACTCGTTCCAGTCAATGTTCTTCGTTGATTTCCATTCGTTGCTGTTGTTGCTGATACTTTAGAATCGTCATCACGTCGTAATCCAAACACACTGTTTCGAATGGTAGAATTGGTTGTTGTTGTTGTTCTGTTGGAAATGGGCGATGCTGATCGTTCGTATACACTTGGGATATGACTTGCTCGACTTGCCAGTTTTCTTGTACTAGTTGATCCAGTTTTTGTTGTTGTTGTAGTTGTATTGTGATCACTGAAGCGACTAGATGGACGAGCTCCAGGAATACCTGTTGATCTTGATGATGGTATAGATGTAAGACGAGGAAGTGATTTTTGGCTTTGATTTTGAGATGATGGTGATGGGATATGCGAAGCACGTTGAGCCAATTTGGATCGCCCGTTTGGTGTTGATGATGGACCACCTAATCTTGAATGAGATCTTGGTAATAAATGATTTTCTTCTCCAGCACGACTCGTAAATGATCGACTTGGTGAAGGCATACCTGTAGATGTTGCTGATACTTTTCGTGGTCGAGGTATACCAGTGGTTGTATTGGATGAAGTTTGACTACTTCCTGAATAATTACTGAGACGACTTGGAGTCCGTGAAGAAGTTGAAGTAGAATCAGATTGATAAATCATGGGTGTCATACCGTAACGAGAGTATTGCTGTACAGTAACAGTAGAGTAAGAATTCAAACTATTGTCACTGTTAATACTACCAGATCTTGGCCGTGTTGTGGTATTATGATATATGGGTGATAGTGTTTCAAGGTGATCATCAGGGGGTGACCAAGAAAGTTCAGGTGAATCGAGATGATGACTCTAATATAAAAAAGATTTAGGATAAATACCATAATATATTGTAATTATTATTATTATTGTTTTGTTTACCTTTTCTATAGATCCAACAAAATCCAACTCCTTCATTGTATGTGCATGGCTTGCATTTCGATAATCTTCTTTTGGTTTTTGTTTAACCAGAGCTTGATATTCAGATAATTCCTACAAATACAATTACATATAGGAGTTAACGCCAATAACTTCACTATTAACTTAAAAAAAAAGAAAAAACCCTTAAAATTTTTGTTTTACCTTATCCATTTTCCAAAAATCTTCCTTTGAGTCGTCCAAGTCCAAACTAGCAAGGTTAGGTAAATCAGTTTCATCGTCTACATCAAGAGTGAAGTTTGCTTTGATCAAGTCGTCCAAATTAACGCTATCTTCTGAATTGATGGAGGATATTGAATTACGTCTTTCCATATTGCCAAGACTATAATTATTGTTGTGGTTTGATATTCTATTCCCAAAAAATAATAATGAATAAAAAAGGGAAATAAAACTATTATTATATACTTACAGATGTTGAGTTTCCATCAAACCATTTCCAACTTGTTGTTGTTTTACAGTAAGGGTATCTGGTGTAGGTTCTCGATAACCTTGAACGCCCATGAGCCAACCCCGAACTTTGTTAGGTGAAGACGATGGTGGTATATCCATATGATTACCTTCTGTTGAGTAATCATAAAGATTGATATTAGATGACTGAGCCATAAAATATAAAGGTATTTATTATGATGTAAAAAAAAAAAAAAAAAATGGTATTATAAAAAAAAAGGAAAAAAAGAGAGAGAAAGAAGAAAAAAAAAGAAAGAGAGAGAGAGAAAAGAAACAAAGAGGAGAACACTACTTTTGGTTTCCTTGCTTGAGGCAAAAGAAACAAAAAAGGCCCGGTTTGATACTCCGTTCATATCCATTGTGGTTGCAAGGTCACCCCCTTTGTGCATTATAATACGTAATATGCATCATCATCCTTTTATCCATTTTGTTTAAATAAATATCAACGTATTTTTGATCTTTTATATATATATATATATTCTTTTATATTATCACACAAAAAAAAAGAACTATGTAAGCTTCAAGGAAACCATTGTATTCTTTCTTGTTCTTTGCTTCTGCACAATTTGATTGGCCGAAATTCTATAGTCAAGTCACTTTTTTTTTTTTCTCTTTCCTTTTTTTTTTTTTTTTTTTCTGTTTCTTTTTCTTTGCAGTTCTATATAACAACAATATGTCAACTAAGAATAAGAAAGGTATATGAGTTATTATTATTGTTATGATCCAACTATACAGTTATCTAATTTTTCTTTCCTCTTCTTTTTCTTATTAGGCCCCACTCAGGTATTTTTTTTTTATTATTATTTATAGGAAACGATTTCGAATGAAACTTAATATGCTCTTTCATTTGTCTTAGGTGGAACTTATGGTCAAAACCTGTGCTGAAATCATTAATGAACTTGTAGCAGCTTCTAAAGAAGGAAGGGATGTCAACCTGAATGGTTTAAAAAACAAGTTATCTCGAAAGAACAAATTACCCAATCAACCAAAACTAGTGGATATTATTGCTGCCATTCCTGAACAACACAAAGCTGCCCTATTACCTAAATTAAAGGCTAAACCTGTCCGTACTGCATCAGGTGTAAGTATTTGGAGAAAAAAAAAAAAAGAAAAGAAAGTTTAATATTTTAAGGGAAACATGGCCGCTAACCTTTTTTTTTTATTATTATTTAGATTGCTGTAGTTGCAGTCATGTGCAAACCTCATCGTTGTCCTCATATCGCAATGACAGGAAACATTTGTGTGTAAGTTTTCTTTATTAAAAGAAAAAGAAAAAGAGTTAAGATCATTATTTTGATATAAATGTTTTTAATTATGATATATAGATATTGTCCTGGTGGTCCTGATTCCGATTTCGAATATTCAACACAATCTTATACTGGTTATGAACCTACCTCTATGCGGGCTATCCGAGCACGATACGATCCTTACGAACAAGCACGTGGACGGGTAGATCAATTAAGAAGTTTGGGACATAGTGTGGATAAAGTGGAATATATTTTGATGGGTGGTACTTTTATGTCGATGCCTGAAGATTATCGAAATTGGTTTATTACAAATCTTCATGATGCCTTATCTGGTCATTCTAGTAATGATTTGGACGAAGCTGTTAGGTAAAGTGAAGATGATATGATAATTAAAATGATTATTTATTTATTTATTTTTCTTTAGATACTCACAACAAAGTCAAACCAAATGTATTGGGATCACCATTGAAACTCGACCTGATTATTGTTTGAAACCACATCTTAGTCAAATGTTACGATATGGTTGTACTCGATTAGAAGTGGGTGTACAAAGTGTTTATGAAGATGTAGCTAGGGACACTAATAGGTAAAAAAAAATAGATAATTATTTTGTTAAAAAGAAATTAACCGTTGTTTATCTATAGAGGGCATACAGTGAAAGCAGTGACAGAATCATTCCATTTAGCTAAAGATGCCGGATTCAAGGTGGTAGCACATATGATGCCTGATTTACCAAATGTAGGAATGGAACGAGATATGGAACAATTCAAAGAATACTTTGAAAACCCAGCTTATCGATCGGATGGTTTGAAGATTTATCCTACACTTGTGATCCGTGGTACTGGTCTTTATGAATTATGGCGAACTGGGCGATACCAAAATTATACTCCAAATGCTCTAGTTGACTTGGTGGCTCGAATTCTTGCTTTGGTACCTCCATGGACTCGTGTTTATCGTGTTCAACGTGATATCCCTATGCCTCTTGTGACTTCTGGTGTAGAACATGGTAACTTGCGTGAATTGGCATTAAACAGGATGAAGGATTTGGGAACTGAATGTAGAGATGTACGTACACGAGAAGTGGGTATTACGGAAATTCATCAAAAGATTCAACCTGATCAAGTGGAACTTATTCGTCGTGATTATGTGGCCAATGGTGGATGGGAAACCTTTTTATCTTATGAAGATCCTCATCAAGATATTCTAGTTGGATTATTACGTCTACGCAAATGTTCTCCTCAAACCTTCCGACCTGAATTGACTACAGAAGGTCCAAGTTCTATTGTTCGAGAATTGCATGTATATGGTTCTGTGGTACCTATGCATGATCGTGATCCTACAAAATTCCAACATCAAGGTTTTGGTACATTGCTTATGGAAGAAGCTGAACGAATTGCACGTGAAGAACATGGTAGTGTCAAATTAAGTGTTATCTCTGGTGTAGGTGTTAGACATTATTATGCTAAACTTGGTTATTATCTGGATGGTAAGAGAAAAAAAAAAAAAGAAAGAATATTTTTTTTTATTATCATTTATTATAAATGATTAACATTTTTTCATTATGATTATAATTACTAGGTCCTTATATGTCGAAAATGCTAGTTTAGAATGTCACTCCTACTGTGCATGATAGTTTGTTTTTTTTATCCCCCGCAAATAGTTGTATATATATATTAGATTCTTTTGGAAATAAAAATAATAAAAAAAAGTAGCATTTCTTCTTCTTTTTCTTTTTTCTTTCGAATTCTTTTTTTTTTTCAAATATGGAATTCATTGATTCGTCTTTTCTTTCCTCTTCAACAAATTCAAATACAACCAACGAAATCAACATGGATTCTCAATCTACTACGCGGACAGATCACCCTGGCATTGATCTTTTACTTTCCCAAGGACTTCAAGCGACAAAGCGATCATCGTCTCATAAAGTAAATCTATCGTCATGTTTATTGTAAATGGTTATATAATTAACATTCTTTTTTTTACTTTTACATTAGGAATCATCTAAAGAAGCAACACACTCTGAAAAAAGACTTTGTTCACGTAACCCACCGGTACCTGTATTCAAGATTGCTTCCACAAATACAAACAAGATTCCATTGGTTCCATTACCAGTAGCTGATCCTTCAACAGAAGCAATATTTAATACCTACTATCAAACACCATATTCATTGAATACACAGAATTTATTAGTCGCACCATCACCAGGAACAACGACAATGACAACAGGCAAATCGCAGCGTCCATTTTCAACACCAGGCCGTTACACTACTTTACTACAAGTCGCCAACCAATCTCATTATCATGGTCATTCTGATATTATCTCTCCAGGAAGTTCGTTTTTTCAAGATGACCAACTGGCTCTTGATATGCTGGGTCCATCTGGTTTAGACACTACAAAAAGTGCAAATACATCCAAGGAACTCGTAAGTGTCACCTTTTTTTTTTTTTGGCAGTAACATTCATTTTTTTTTCTTTATACTTCCATCTTTTTAGAAAATTGACGGTTCCTCATTCGATCGAAATCTTGAGCCAACAAATAACAACAATAGCAACTTGACTAGTCTTCAATCGAATCCAATTTTCTTGTCTGGAAGAATTCGACGACAGAAATCATCCGGGGAGACCTCGAAAGTGGATCTAGGAGATAATGATAAAGAAGTCATGTATTGTATGGAAAAGCAGCAAAAACATGATGATGGCAATACTTCAAGCAAAATCAACAAGGATAACAACATAGAACTACAACAGGCACTCAAATCAAGTACTGAAACCATGGAAAACGCAAAAAATGAGATCAAAGAATTGGTCTCATCATTAAGGAAATCTCAAGAAACGTATCAATCAGATCTGACTGGTATCCTTGGACGCTATAGCTCAAATGCAAAGCAAATGGAAACGGAAAAACGGCTAAGTAAGTCAAAAGAGAGAATGAGACTTTTGTCATACTTATCAAATTTGATATCTATAGTTAAGAAGACAATCAAACATATCACAATACAAGATAAACTTTATCAGGAAGTAACTGATATGAACTCTGAATTTATATCAACAATTAGTTCTGAAGTGAAATGGATATTGGATAATATATCAATACATGGTAAGAAAAACTTTGATATACATTTGAATGTAACTGACTTTGAATATTTCCATTTTCATGCACACACACACTCTCTCTATCTTTAGACATAGGAGTCGATGGATCTAGTATTCACCAACTTCTCCGACATCAGATCGACAACTTGATCTCATTACGAAAACAAGGCAATAATATACAACACTATATTCAACAGATTCATCAGCAACATCGTGATTTTTCCATGGAAATTCGAGGAATGACTCTACTTTGTCGACAACTTGTACATCAACTGGCTTATATCTCATCAAGGTAATAAAGTCGATGTTTGTTAGCATATTCATCTAGACTTTTTTTTTTGGTTAGATTTTCAGAATTGAGCTCAATAACATTGGAAAATACGGTTCAAGTTGCTATTGAAGATCAAGAATTGGAATGCCTTGAAGAAAAGACTAATATCAAATCAAAGTAAGATAAATGATAATAAATATATGATGTTTATATACTTACAAGTTGTTTTATATATATATATATATATATATATATATATATATATAGACTTATCAAAGCACTTGATGATCTCTATAAAATGACTGAAAATTATGAATCTTGTCTTTTACAAATCGAAAAGATGAAACAGGCAAGTTAAAAACAAGAAATATTGATTCCAGTATTTCATAATGATATTATATACTTTCATAGGACCGGCGTCAAGAAAATCATTTGACAAAGATGATGTAAGATAATCTCATTCAATCGAAAAATGATATTGTGATTTGATTCATTTTTTTATTTTTATTATTAGTCTCGATAGTCAAGTATCTGAATTAGCGAAAGAAATAGCCGTACATCAAGTCACTAGCCATAAGATGGAAGAAGATCTAAATGAAATCAAAGAAAGGTAAGGTTATAACTCATATACCTATGAAAACGAATGAGATATCCTTTTTTTTTTTGATTTTATAGATACAAGACCCTTGAGGCAAAATATATGGCGACTGAAGAAAAACTCAAAGAAAAACAAGATAAGGAACAACAGTTGGAAAAGAAGATTGAACAATTGGGTATAAAATCACAATGATATTTTGAATGTATGACTTATTCATTTTCTTCCTTTATATATATATTTGTACATGAAATTAGAAAAAGTAAGAGAAAAAAGATGGATGATTATAATAAAAAGTGCTGACAGTAAATATTTTAATCTTTTATATATTATTTTTATTTTGAATGTAATAGACAAGTAATGAACAACCAAAAGAAGTTTCAGAACGTCCTACTTGTCATCCATCAACAAAAGTAGCAGCAAGACTGACAACAAGAGGCAAAAAAAGGGTAAAAAGGATAAAGAAAAAAAAAGGTCAAATGATGTGTTACTCATATTAAAAGATAATATTTGTCCTTATTAGGCATTACCTACAAAACGAAAATTACGAAATGTAAGAATGAAGTTACCAAAGATGGTATTTTTGAAATTTTTTTTTTTTTCTTTATAGCAATCAGTTCCTTTTGAATCCGAAGAAGAAAATGAACTTCAGGTAAATTGAAAAAAAAAGAAAGAAAATGATTTATTATATTAATGTCTTTTCTTTCTCTCTTATAGATGCAGAAATATGTTGCTGAAGCTGCTGTGTTACCCGACCGCCCATCAAATGAGGAAAATACTACTTTGTGAAGAATGATAGGTAAAAAAAGAAGCAGGGGGTTGGAAAAACAAACATTGTACGATTGATTGATTATTTCTTTTTTTTTTTTTTAAAGAAAAAAAAAAAAAACTAGGATGGACAAATTATTACCTTTTACGTGAACGTGGATTCTATTTCTCTAGTAGTTAGGCGCAGTATGAAATTATACTGAATATGTAGTTTATTATTAAAAATCTATTTCAATATTATTTCTTTTTTTAATAAAAACAAATAAATAAAATAAAAAAAGACATTAAAAAAATGGATGATTTCAATTCCTTATTATTATTGTTCTTATTGTTATCAATGTTTTATAGTTATGGCGATAATAATGAAGGTAAATTGTAGATATACTCAGGGATGGGCTGCAACAAACAACAACAACAACAACAAAAGCTGAGCTGGAAATCGTTACACATCCCAAAAACCAATCATTTGTCTGTTTTTTTTTGGAATTCATTTTCATTCTTTTTCTTTTGTTCAATTTATCCGTTTTTTTTTAATTTTTATTTTCTTTCTTTTGCAACAATAAATACAATCATCAAGTTACTTTATAAACGTAACAACATTAACAAGAAGAAGTAAACAATGTCAACATCTAATGGTGGCACGGATCGATATCAACGACTTGAAAAGTTAGGAGAAGGAACATACGCGACAGTGTACAAGGGCAAAAGTCGACTTGGAGGAGAAATCGTGGCATTAAAAGAAATACATTTGGATCCAGAAGAAGGGGCACCGTCTACGGCGATCAGGGAAATCTCCTTGATGAAAGAACTGAAGCATCCGAACATTGTACGACTGATGGATGTGATTCATACAGAGAACAAGCTTATTCTTGTATTTGAATATATGGACCAAGACCTGAAGAAGTTTATGGATACAACAGCAAGAGCGACACATGGGGCGTTGGATCTACAATCTATCAAGCAATTCATGTTCCAGTTGCTGCGGGGGATTGCGTACTGTCATGAAAACCGTGTACTACACCGTGACCTGAAACCACAAAACCTACTTATCAACAAACGAGGTGAACTCAAGTTGGGTGATTTTGGTCTTGCTCGTGCGTTTGGGATTCCTGTCAATACATTCAGTAATGAAGTCGTCACTCTTTGGTATCGTGCTCCTGATGTCCTCCTTGGTTCTCGTATGTACTCTACTTCGATCGATATTTGGTCGGCAGGTTGTATCATGGCTGAAATGTATACAGGTCGTCCTCTTTATCCTGGCACCACAAACGAAGATCAACTACAAAAGATTTTCCGCATGATGGGTACCCCTACCGAACAAACCTGGCCAAATGTCTCTCAATTACCTGAATACAAACCAAATCAACAATATTATCCTGCTCAAACTATTTATCAAATCTTGCCCTCCATCGATCATCTCGGTCTCGACCTTTTGAATAGAATGTTACAATATCAACCTCAAATGCGGATCTCAGCCAAGGATGCTTTAAATCATTCTTATTTTGATCAAGTCAGACATATGCAATTTGAATAATGGTCTAGTTTTTTTTTTTTTTTTTTTTTTTTTTTTTTTTTTTTTTTGTATAGTTTATCAATGAACCACAAAGCATATATTCTTTTTTATTATTATTATTATCCATCATTATCTTATCTATCTATCTATCTATATTTGACGACAATAAATCAATAAACATCTTTTTATGTCATTGTTCCCGATATAAAACTCTCCGAATTTCTTCCCAGCCTCAACAAGTATAAGAAACGTGATCAGATGCTATCACCGATTCTATTTATTGTTTTTGTTTTGTTTCTCTTGGAACATTTTTTTTTTTTTTTTTTTACCAGTCTAACGATCAGCATCTACTTATAAGCAGGTTTGATAGAGAAACTCTAAGGATGTTCACTATGGTATTTCTAATGAAATGATTTTTTAGTTGGGGGGATGACTGTCTACTTTTTTTTTTTTTTTAAAAAAAAAGTCAAATCAAAGTGTTGTTTTATTTCAAAATCTTAACATAAAAAAAAAAAAGACAGACCAGAAGACAAAAGTGTTGTTACTAAGGTAGAAATGAAAAATCTACATATATATATCTATAATAAAGATATAATATGTAAAGGAGAAAGGGGGGTAGTATAAAAAAAACGGTATATTAACGTAGAAAGAACAAACAAACAAATAAAATATATCCAATACCTATGAATGTTTTTCTTCACTATCATGGATCTTTTCTTGAACAACCTTGATATTTTGCTTGAGTACATCGTCCTTATCATATAAGTCTTGACATTCTTGTTTTAATTGAGCAATTTCATCACGTAGTCGTTGTTGTTCCAAAGCTGAAGCGCCAGGAGATAATGGGGTATCATCTTGTGAAGTAGGGAAATTGGTAGTTTGTTGTATAGATTCAGCCATTGGATGAAGAAAAAAATAAAAAAATAGATGAAAGAAAGGAAAGAAAAAGAAAAAAAAAAAAAAGAAACAGAAAACAGAAAAAAAAAAAAAAAAACATAGGGAATTTCTCCTGATTTTTTCATGCCAAACCAAACCAGGAAGGTGTCTGACGGAGATGGAAATTCAATGGCGGCTGTGAGGATTTCATGATTCTTACTTCTCACTTTTTGAAACGAATTCCTTCCTTTTAAAAATATATATACAATGGCTCAAGTTGCTGCCCAAATCTCCAAGAAGAGAAAGGTAAATGATTTATATCTTTATTATAGATTGGATAAAATATATAGATAAATATAGATGGATGGAAGAATGGATGGATGGATGGATACTGACTTTTTTTTTTTTTTTTATAGTTCGTAAGTACATAATCATCCTATCACCCTCCCCAAGTCTCGTGAACATGAAAAAAAAAAAACATCCAACAATGTAGTAACAACAACGACAAATTAACGATATACCAATATTGAATACATTCTAAAGCACATGCATATATACGCACACATCCATCATACGCACGTACACACACATATACATAGATTCACCCATGCACATACACATTCACACACATTCACACACATTCACACATGTATATATATATAAGCGATCTATCTAAGGCTCACAACATCATTTTATCATTTTTCTGATATTTTGTTTACTATTAGGTCGCCGATGGTGTGTTCTATGCTGAATTGAACGAATATCTTACTCGTGAATTGGCTGAAGATGGTTATGCTGGTGTTGAAGTTCGTGTGACCCCTGCTCGCACTGAGTAAGTTTGAAAAAAAAATTATAAAAAAAAGGAAGGATGAATAACTTTTTATATATATTTGAAAAATAGAATCATTATCCGTGCCACTCATACTCAAAATGTTCTTGGTGAAAAAGGTCGTCGTATTCGTGAATTGACCACTCTTGTTCAAAAACGATTCAAGTTCACTGAAAACTCTGTAGAATTGTATGCCGAACGAGTTCAAAACCGTGGTTTATGTGCCATTGCTCAATGTGAATCCGTCAAGTTCAAGTTACTCAACGGTTTGGCTGTACGACGTGCCTGTTATGGTGTTGTTCGTTTCGTTATGGAATCTGGTGCCAAGGGTTGTGAAGTGGTTGTGTCTGGTAAGCTCCGTGCTGCTCGTGCTAAGGCTATGAAGTTCAGTGATGGTTTCATGATCCACTCTGGTCAACCTACTCGTGATTTCATCACCACTGCTGTGCGTCACGTTCTTTTACGTCAAGGTGTGCTTGGTATCAAGGTCAAGATCATGTTAGATAATGATCCTACTGGTCGTCAAGGTCCTAAGCAAACTTTGCCTGATATCGTTACTATTTTGGAACCTAAAGAAGAAACTAACATTGAAGTCCCCACTGCTCAAGAATTCGGTGTACCTGCTCCTGTCACTCCCGCTCCTGTAGAAGCTTGATTCTCTCTTACATAGTTTAGCTTTTATATATATCTTCTTTTTTATTTACAAAATATCAAATCAATAAAAAAAAAAAATAAAAAATAAAGTGTTTTCAAAGTTTTTTGTCGGGTCACAAGAAAATGTTTTTCGTGATGTTATAAAATAAAAAATCGTACTTTCCCAAAATGGATGTCGCATTACCACTTTTTCAGATATCGCTTTAGAGATGTCGGTAGAGTATGTCATTGATTGATGATTGATAATGGATGATGGATGATTAATGATGGATGATTAATGATGGATGATTAATGATGGATGATTGATGATTGATGATGGATGATAATTTTTTTTTTTTTTTGTAATCTTATCTTCATCTTTTTTTTTGTACTTTTATGATTCTGTACTATTGAAGCAAATATATCCTGACTATTATCTTCGGTCAGGATGTGCTTTTTTCCACAACTTTATATAAGCAATTCGAAGATCAAGTGTGCTAAAAGCACAAGAAAATGATGAACGAGCTTTCATTTCAAGTCAAAAAATCCAGTTAGCTTTACCTGAGTTATCTTCTCGCTTGACCAGTGGATTTGAATCAATTACTGCAACAATCAAAGCCATGAATCATGATCATCAGTCAAATTTCCTGCCTCTTTATATTTCTGTAGTTTCCTCGCAACCTATCATCATTGTATCAAATTTGGACTGAAGATGCATGATGACATTCTCTTTCAGCTGTATTAATAGCAATATGCACCTTGCCTACTAATTTATAAGGTAAACCAAGAATGAAAAGTCAATTCAGTTATCCCTCATTCAATTAATAATGATTATCATCATCAAAAAGAAAAAAAAGAGCCATGGAAGTATATTGTTGTGTATCACAAAAAGTAATATAATTTTTATTTTTATTTTAAAAAAACACATACTGACTAACTAAAACTATCACTACTTGTATCTATTATAGTACCAACCTGAAGCATTCGTCCACCGAGAACCTAACAACAAGCTGCCCTTCCTAACCAAATGAAGCTTGTCATAAAGTCAGTTTTTCGTTCACATTACTAGTAAAATAAAACCAGGCAAAGTAATTCACATTCTACTATAAAATATTTTTGTCATTTACCTATACTAAATCCTACATCCAAAATGAAACGGTTTCCCCATGTATTTTGTAAATCCCTTTTTCAAAACCCTCCAAATCCAATAAAATCTACCTTGACAAAGATCGCACAAACAAAGAGGACACCTAATGTGGAAAAAAAAGTGGATGGAGAAAAGAAAAAGAAAGAAAAAAATTAAAAAAAGGCAAAACGCGCACAAAGGGGTGGGTTTTTGAAGCCCGTCCACTGACGACTATTTGACATGATTTTTTGATTTTTCTTTTTTTTCGACCCAACCCCAACCTTGCAAATTGATTTTTTTTTTCCTATAGTCGATAAATTTCAGCAAAACCTTTATATTCAGTCATCACCCATCGCCCATCATCCATTACCCATCACCAATATATTACATATTTCGTAAAGAAAAAAAAAAGACTTCTTTATGCATCCTGGTAAGACTGTCCAAATTGACGTGGATGACTTTAAACAGCCACAATTTTATGATTATTTAAGATATCAAACAAGTTTTTATTTTAAATGAAAGGTAAGAAGTGTAATTTTTTTTTATCATAATAGTTCAAGAGAAGTAAGAATAGTAAATGATAAAGCAATCACCCATCATCCATCATCCGTCATCCATCATCCATCATCATCCACCATCCATTATCCATCATCATCCACCATCCATTATCCATCATCATCCACCATCCATTATCCATCATCATCTATCATCCATCATCATCTATCATCCATCATCATCCATCATCATCTATCATCATCTATCATCCATCATCATCTATCATCCATCATCATCTATCATCCATCATCCATCATCATAATTAAGACAGGGGTGTACTAATGTAATATTCATATCTTGTGATGTTGATGTAAATTTGCATAATAGTTCCTTTTTTTTTAGAAAATACATTTACTCGGGTCTTCTTTGTTTATTTTCATTAACTGAGACATTCGATCGATCACCTTTTGTATAGTTGACAAATGTAAATTTGCATAATAGTTCCCTTTTTTTTTTCTTCTGAGATATTTTTGCCAGGTTTATTTTATTCTTTGATCAAGTGAGAGATATAAAAAAGTGATATTTTCTTTTTCTTTTTTTTTTTCTGTTTCTTTTTTCTCTTTTTTTCTCTTTTCTTTTTCTTTTTGAAATCTCTCTTGGTGTTCAAAGTGAATATCAAACTGTAACAGCAACATATAAAAATATGTTATCGCCTCTTCGGAGGACGTATTTAATGCTTCCCTACAGGTAAGTTAAAATAAATAAATATAAAAAAATGGATATGTTGACTAAATAATATTTTATTTCCTATTTTTGCGACATCTTATTCTTTGAATTCCGTCATTTTTTATTGAATAAAGTGTAAATGAATAGTATCTTTTTGAACTTGGGAGACACAGGGAGATGACAATTCATATTCCGCAACTTTTTTTTTTTTTCTTTCATACTCGATGGATAAAACTTGACTTTTTTTTTTCTTTCCATCTTTTTATTTATTGATTGGTTTTTTTTTTTTTAAATTTATATACATTATGGTTACTGAAATTTTATTCAACGAAAATAATGGTTATGTAGATGGTATTCTTCGAGGTTATCGTTCTGGTATCTTGACTTCATCTCAGTACCTCAACTTTACTCAATGTGAAACACTTGAAGGTAATAAAATAATCGTCCATATCTCTTTTGTTTTTAACTATATTTTCTTGAATAGATCTTCGTTTACAAATTGGAGCTACGGATTATGGTACTTTGTTACAGAATGAACCTTCTCCTATTGCCACTTCAACCATCTCTGAAAAATTGACTCAACGACTTGTAGAAGATTTTGAATATATTCGGTCTGTTGCTACTGAACCTTTAGCCAAATTCTTGGACTATATCACGTAAGTTTTTTTTATTATTCTTGATAATAAATCCCCAACTTATTTTCAATTTTCAGTTATCAATATATGATCGACAATGTGATTTTACTTATTACTGGTACTTTACATGAACGCGATACTCATGAACTCTTGGAACGATGTCATCCTCTTGGTGTTTTTGATTCTATGCCTGCTTTATGTGTTGCTACTACTGTTGCTGAATTGTATAATACTGTCCTTGTTGAAACTCCTTTGGGTAAAAAAAATATATCTATTGTATTTATCTTCATTGACTCTTTTTTTTTTTTTTTTCTGTTGCACTTTAGCCCCTTATTTCGCCAATTGTCTGAGTGCTCATGATTTGGATGAACTCAATATTGAAATCATTCGTAACACTTTATATAAAGCCTATCTTGAAGATTTTTATCAATTCTGTCAAACTTTGGATGGTCCTACTGCTGAAGTGATGGGTGATATTTTACGGGTAAAATGATATCTATTCAAGAAATAAATAAATAAATAAATAAAAAACTAATAAATTATTTTAATCTAGTTTGAAGCTGATCGTCGTACTGTTAATATTACTATCAATTCATTCCGTACAGAATTGACGAAAGAAGATCGCAAGAAATTATTCCCTACCATTGGAAGATTGTACCCTGATGGCAATGCTCGATTAGCCCAAGCTGATGAAGTGGAACAAGTCAAAGCAGTATGTGATGTGATCCATGAATATCGTGGATTTTTTGATTCGACATCTAACAAGACATTGGAAGATATGTTTTTTGAACAAGAAGTCTTTTTGAACCGATTGGCCTTCCAACAACAATTCAACTTTGGTGTCTTTTATGCCTATGTCAAATTGAAGGAACAAGAAATTCGCAACATTGTTTGGATCGCTGAATGTATTTCTCAAAATCAAAAGGATAGAATTAGCTCTTATATCCCTGTGATGTGATTCAATTTCCCTACATGGATCAATATAGCTTTTATTTAGTTACCCCTCTTGTTTTTTTTTTCTATTATGATTATTTGAATAAAGATAGTTTGTATTCTCTATTAAAAAAAAGGAAGCTAGATAGATGATTTGGTTTTTTAGTTGTTGAGTGCAGTTGTAGATGATATGATTGATATGTGCCCTTTATGAATCTTGAGAGGATAATATAAAGATGCTTTCCGATCTTGTTATTTCCATACGATGATACAAGTATATCCAAAACAATAGAATTATTTATATTCAAGAAGGATAGAAAGCGATGACATACTTTTTTTTTTTTTTTTTTTTTAAAAAAAAATGATCATTTACGATAAAGATCCATATAGAGATGATGATAAGGATATAATGGTGGCAATGTTATATGATAATAATGATCATCACTTTTAAGTAGACTACATCAAAAAAATTAAAAGTGGAATGAGATGGATGTTTATTGATGAACAAAAATGTAACAAAAAATTGAGAGTACCATGTAAATAGTAGACAAAAAAAAATGGAGTGAAACATGCGAATGAAGTGTGTGTAAACAAAATAATAATAAAGAGGTATGAACATCTAAAATAGGATGGAGAAGAAAGAAAAAAAAAAGTACATGAAAAGTTGAGTTGTGACATATGGAAGTATAATAATGATAATAATAATAATAAAAAGAATAATAACTATCTTAAACATACAAAAAAAAATACAAAAGATTTCTTGATCAACGACGACCACCACGACGACTACCAGATTTTGGTTTAAAGGACATTTCCATACCACCCATTGAAGTACGAGAAACACGATGACCTTCATTTTTCTTTTGAGCCTTTGAGGATTGTAATCTTGCACCAAATGATTTGTCATTACTCTTGAATTTACGTTCAGTACTACGAATGGTTGTAAGAGGTTTGGGTTTTTCAATGGTACGTTGTTGTTCCTTGCGAAGTTTGCCCACGATATCTTCATCATCATCACTGTTCTTCATACTATCATCAGAATCCATATCATCCGAAGAATCATTGACCATTGCTTGATCATCATCATCATCATCATCATCAGAAGAGTTCGCAGCAAAGGCATCCATTTCTCGTTGTTTTCGTGCACCAGGATGTAATAATTCGTATTCCTTTGATTCCATATCCACTTCGAATTCTGGATCGGCAAACATATCTTTGAATCGACTGTCTTCCATGATTTCTGCTGCATTGCTTTTGTTCTTCTTTTTCTTATTATTGTTGGTATCTTCCAAAATTTGTTTAGCCAATTGTTTATTGACAGCAGGAAGTTGTTTGTTGGCACGAATACGAGATGCACGTTCCTTTTCCAATTTTTCTCGTACTTTTTGTTGTTTATAATCATCATAAGCGAATGGATTGGCAATAAGTTTGGCCTATTAAAAAAAAATGATGAATCAAAATGATGTTTGATTTTTTTTTTTTTTTACCTTTTCATAAAGTCGTAAATCGACAAAGAAACCATGCATATAAGCTTTAAGAACATTGGTACCCATAAGATGATCCAAACCAAGAGCAGATAATTCTTTACGAGTAACAAATTTGTATTCATCATATACATCACGATTAGGATTTTCTTCCATTTCTTCTGTCAGATTTTCCAAGAAGGATGCCCAGGCAGGAGCAGGACCCAATTGAGGAATATAGTAAGCACCCATTTGAATACCTTCTTGAGCTGTGAACATAAGACCACTGTCACCAACCATACATACATCGTTGATATCAGTTTCAGGTTCAATGGAAGTAAAGTGTTTACCAGTATTTCGATCCCAAATCTTGACAATCTTCTTATCAGCCACCACAACCTTATCACTACCATGTGTACTCGCGTCTCCACTAGAAGCAGCTGCTACACCATCATGGAAATGAATATTCTTGATATCAAAGCCATATTGATGATCCTTCACCATATAAGGTACACTTGCACGTAAATCGTAAAGTAATGTATGACCTGTGTTTGTACCCACACCCATGCTAAGTCCATCATTTCTAAATGCCAATGCTGTCACTTCTGTTGGTGTGTTGTTCACTAGAGATGGAGGTAAAGGTAAATGATCCAATATTCCTACACGAGCCTTGGAGCGAGGATCCCATAATTCCACCGTCCCATTGCTTGTTCCCATACCAAACAGTTGATGTGCTGGATTGATCTTGATACAATTCACTCCTTCATGACCATCTGTTTGGATAGAGTTCAAAAACCGTCCTTGATCCAGATTCAATCGATATACTTCACTACCCGAGGCAGCCACCATAACATCACATGAAGGAAAATGATAAGCTAAATCACGTCCAAACTTGGGTACTCTAGTTCGATAATGAATCCCTCCTTGAGCATGTAGTTCAATAGATCGATCGTTTTGTAATAATACTGATTTCGTCCAATCGTCCGATAATAACTATAAAAAGAAGTATGAGTTTTAGAAGAAATATATATATATTTATCTTACTTCAAAATTAACAGTTTCAGCATCAGTATGTCGTTCAAATTTCATGGAAACTTCAGCAAATTCATATACACGCATTTGAGGCTTATAAGTTCCTGTTGCCACAGCAAAGTTTCCATCCTTTGTAATCTTGATCTTATTAGAAGCTTCAGGGAATTCAAAGTCTTGAAGAAGTTCCACTCGAGTTCGATAGTCTATTAAATTGAAAGATTAAAAAAAAGTTATCCGGAGGGACTGTTTTCTTTCCTTACCAAAATCCTTTTTCAAAGCCTTCTTCTTTTTACGTACAAGCCAATCAGGAATAGATCTTGATCCAAGTCCACCTGATACAGTATATACTTTGACATTATTTGCCGTTGTTACTGGTAAAACCATATTAAAATAATTTTATTAAAAAAAGAAAGGTAGAACAAACAAAAGCTATTGATGAAAAAAAAAAAAAAAAAAAAAAAGTTGTAAATGCTGACTTCAAAGCCACTTCAGGAAATAGGCGGTATTCAAATACATTGGATTTTTTTTTTTTTTTTTTTTTTTTTGTGAGTGATACAGTCAATGCTAATCCATGTCACATACAAAAGAAATAAAATTAAAAAAAAATCATTCGACAAAAAATTTATATTTTATATTATATATATATTAATTATACATTATATAAAGAGTATGCCTTTTTTGGATCATCTTCAATACACTCTTATTTTCAAACACCGGTGATTCTTTTATGGAGTTGTTTTCAAGGAGGTCTTTTTTTTTTCTTTTTCTTTTTTTTTTTTTCTCCGTATTTTTTTTTATTTCTTTTTAGTTAAATTCAACATGAAAGACGATGCCATCTTATTAGATCATGATTTAAACGATAATACATCAATACACACAAAGAAACGACGTATGGAATATACCAACAAGGAAAGCATTACAGCCACAATGATCAATCCATTGTACCAACAAAGGTCCTTTCAAGTAGCACCTGATTTCAATTGTTCTGCTGTTATAGATCCTCAACTTGCTTCTGACTATTATTTATCCATGACCATGAATTCTTATCGTTGTCAGTTATCACATTTATTACAACATACTAAAGCTGTGGTGTTATTCTTTTATGGAAGGGATTTGTAAAATATTTATTATTTATTTATTTATTTATTTTTTTTTAAAAAATCAAATATAATGAAATAATTGTATTCATTTCATAATTTTTTTTTTTAGTACTACGGTTGCAGGATCAGATCTCATGTCTATTAGGTATAATAAACATTTGCATGGAAGCGGGGACCAAAATCAACTCAAATCTATTTTTTTTTTTGAAGTGCGAATATAGATCGTTTCAAACAACAAGCTGCCATACCTCTTGGTCTTTCCATCGATACTGAACAAGTACATCAATCTTATTTACAATATCATCAACAACAATATCAACAAATTCTACCTTTTCCATTACGTAAACTTATTTTTTTTTTTTGATTTATACGAATATACTAAATTTTACCGTCTTTTGTTATAGTATCAGATCCAACTCGATCCATTGTTAGACATTTTAATATATTGAATAAAAATACATCTGTAGCTGAAAGGTAAATAATTTATATATAAATGATTGATTTTTATTATTTTTTTTTATTTGTTGAATAGAGCTGTGTTTATTATCGATCGATCTCGTCAAATTCAATTCTCATTTGTACTTGGTGATGATAGGATACATCATTCAATGGATACTATTATGACAACTGTAAGTCTATATATATATAAAAGATCACTTTGGTTTTATGATTCATTTTTTTTTAATATCCACTTTTATAGTTACAGATGCTACCTACCACCTAGATGACATAAAAACTATATTATAGAAACTATGAATTTATCTTGGATAGATTTACAAAATATATATTAGAATCATGTAGTTTGACAATACCATAAAAAAAAAGACAATAAAGTGTTTCTTTTTATTGAAAAATAAATGCATTGTATATACAAAATGATAATGATGATGAAGAAAGGTATACAAGATATATATGATTCTAATCCATTCGAAGTAGTTCGGAGATAACAGAAGAACCACGAAGGAGAGAAACCATATTTGACATGAAGCTGATGGTTGTCGGTTCTTTTTGTTGATGCTTTTCCTGATAAACGATCACAAATACACCATGTTCATCCACCCGCATAAGGTAATATGTACTTGCAAGCATATTATCAAAGAAATGAGTTGGTCCTGTTTTTGAATCATTGAGTTTGGTTTGACTTCCTTGAATAATTGAAATAATGTTGGGTAAATGATTCGTAGGAGGTTGCTATCATAGAAAAAAAAGATGAATTGATATTCTTTTTTTTTTTAATCTATTTTATTTTGACTTACTGGTGGTAAACAAAAAATAAAGGGAAATGAATGTATTCCTCGAGGTGGTTCATAAGGTGTTCCATGACAAACAAATCCTTCAGGAAAGAAAGGTTTTTCAGTCTTCACTTCATAAACAAGGCCAATACTATGTGCACCATACCTTTTCCGAAACGTCGATATCCTATCATACAAAATAAATCAACAAATATATATATATATATGTATATATATTCACTTACATTTCAAAATAATCTGGTTCGATGCCTTTCCATAAGGTACGTTCTGGTTCATCATCTACCAACAATCTTTCCTTTTCGAGGAGAATGGTGTGAAAGTAAAGTGTCATTTTTGCTGTGAGATTGATCAAGTATTTGCTGAGCCATCGGATGGTTGGAGGCCAAATATCACCACTACGACTTTTGTTCTTATTCATGTAATAAATAAAATTTTTTTAATGATATGGTATAAACTAAATTCAAACTTACATCTGATCCACTTGTACTTGAAAAAAGACCAAAAGGCCAAGTATAAGATTCTTTGACTTCCTCATGACGTACGGATGACTTCTAAAAAAAAAAAATCGTTTTATAATTTGGTCATATATTGATTGATTTTACCTCTGGATAATCTTGAGCCTCACATTGTGATTTCCAATCCAATAATTCTTGTTTATATTCATACAATGCCATACAAGCATCTTGAAAAGCATAATCAGTGATAACCATTCGTAATCGTAAAAGAGCTGCCAAAATCGAGATTTCCTTTTTCACACCTATACCCAAGAATCCTAATCGTTGTGCCAATCCGGTATGTTCAACAGTATTCATCATATTTTGTAAATCCTCCAATAGATCATTTTGAGGTGTTTTGGATGATTGAGAAGCAATACGTTGATAACTATCAAATGAATATTAATTTTTTTTTTCAATAGAATGTTCAAACCTACATACATGTTGATCAAATTTTGTCGTATAGTACAAAGGTCTGATAATCCAGTCAAAATACTAAGAATCGATGCCCTTTCAAAATAATTCGTCACAGTGGTGTTACTTTCAAATATATGAATTTCCTTGACAGCATCATCGACCAAATAGGTATACATTGAATTCAACAGCTAAGAAGGAAAAAAAAGTCGACGTGAATCAGTACCATTCTTTTCTTTATCTCTTTTTTTTTTTTTTTTTCCTTTGATTATTCCTTACGCTGTCTTTGCGCATAAACCATTTTGGTTTCATAAAAGAGAGTTGTGTATACAAATTTTCACAATTGATAAGTTTCATCATGATACTGCCGAATGGTTGATAAGCCTGTCAGTCAAATAAAAAAAAAAAGGATGGAGTATAACAATATAGTGATTAGTTTGGTGGAAAAAAAAAAAAAAAAAAAAAAACACGAGAAAGAGGTATTGTTTTTTTTATATTTCTTACACGTAATAGCCTAGTAGCAAGTTTATTAGCTGCAGAATAGTCAAAAGCACCTATTGCTTGCAATGTTGAGGTATATAGGTCTTCACTCATTGTAAGTTTGTTGGGAAGAAAATAAAAATAAAAAAAAAAAGAAATGAAATTCGGTAATTGAATACACGAACATAACACACATATGACATCTCACCTTTTTGCTTACTCTTTGCTACCGTCACCTTCTTCAAATCATTTTATTTCTTGTTATTCTGAAATGTATTCATATTGATATTCTTATTGTATTGATGATATCTATATTATCCCATTGTTATTTTACCCATTCTATTAAGATGGATCGATTTTTGTATAGTGACTACATTTCATTTTCCGATCTTCAGAGGTGATTTTGAGCTTGTGCCAAGTCCATATTTTTTTTTGTTTTCTTTTTTTCTTTACATCTACTATCATTTTTCTCTCTCTACATATATATATATATATATTATATCCTTATGGTAAGTTCATCAAGTTGACAATATTCTATTTTATTTTATTAGTTTAATATATTAGTGAAAGGAAATTGGATAAAACCAAATGATGAAAAAGAAAAAAGAATAAGATGGCGAATAGGATGTGTGAAACTATGATGACTATAAGAATATTCAATATTTAATTCTTTATTATTTGTTTAGTCCAATACACTTCGTCCCTATTTGACGGCTGTACGCTCATCTTTGACAGCAGCATTATGCATTGAAAACTTCTCTTCCCAAGTAGCTGAAAGACATAACACGCCTGAAGTAGAATCTGGGTAAGATAACAAAAAAATAAATAAATAAATAAATATTGTCATCATTTATTAATTTTTTTTTTTTTGTAGCAAGTCGAAGGAAGTTTTATTGAACCCTTTGGTGATTAGTAGAAATGAAAATGAAAAAGTATTGATAGAATCATCAGTCAATTCCATCCGTGTCAGTATTAAAATCAAACAAGCAGATGATCTGGAACGCATTTTGTGTCACAAATTCTCTCGATTCTTGATGCTTCGAGCTGAAAATTTCGTGATTCTGCGTAGAGTACCTGTCGAGGTAAAAAAAAAAAAAAAAAAAAAAAAAAAAAAAAAAAAAAAAAAAGGAATAAAAAGACATTTATTATTATTATTATTATTGTTTAGGGTTATGATATCTCCTTCTTGATCACCAACAAACATACCGAACAAATGTACAAACATAAATTGGTGGACTTTATTGTACATTTTATGGAAGAAGTTGATAAGGAAATCTCAGAGATGAAACTCAGTGTCAACACAAGAGCTCGTATCGTTGCAGAAAGCTATTTATCCCAGGTAAACAAAAAAGAAAAAAAAATGAAACGATAAAACGATAGATGTGTTACTAACTGTTTATTATGACTTTATTATTATAGTTTGCCTAGATAGTTTTTTTTTATATCGTCTACAATAAACTGGTATTACTCTTATGATATTTGATGGTGAATGAAGAATAATGATATGGAATGATATAAATGATAAAAAGGGATAGATGGGGATAGATGATGTATGATGATATATATATATATTAGTGACGATGAAAAAGAGAGAGAGATCGGCATCACAAAAGACCAGACTAGGCTGACTTTTTTTTTTAAAGTTTTGTGTTTCAGTTATAGAAAGGCGTACTATCAAATTGGTACAAAAGTCAACTGAGAATGGAAAGTCCAAGTGGAGGGTTACATTTTTTTTTTTTTTTTTTAGTTTGTTACGAAGACGACGAGGTTTAACAAAGATTTTTTTTTTGTGGGGAGAAGTAAGAACTGTCTTTCAAACTTTCGGATAAAAAAAAAAAGGAAAAATGATGTGTTTAACAAAGAATATGATCAGCTGGTCATGATGATACATAGAGAGAGGAACCAAAAAAGAGATGAGGTCATGTGGTAGTACTTGTTGGTTATTCGTACTTTTAAAAAAAAATACTTTTTTTAGTTACTCGAGGATGAATTTTCAATCTCACTCTTTTATCTTATTGGATGTTTCAAACATTTATCCCATTGGTTTTTTGTTAATGTGGGGGAGAAATCAGTCTACTTATAATTGAACTAAGAATGGCAAAGTTTCTTTTTATCAACGGGGTTTAAATTTGATTTCTATCCCCAATGTCCTAGTCAAATCATAATACACCAATCAAAGATCATTCAAGCAAAAAATGGTGTAACCAATAACACTATTTTTTTTTTTTGTTTAGAAATACGCCCAGCTTTTTCCCCGCTTTTTTTTTTTATTATTTTTTTTTTTATTATTTTTTCTTCTTTTCTTTTTCTTTCTTTTTTTCTTCTTTCTTCTTTTTATTTTATATTATTGTCTCTCTTTTTTTTTTTTATCGCTGGCGATTTTATTTATATATTAAAAACTTATTTTTTTTTTTTGAAATGATGACTTCTTTTGTACCTTTGGATGAAACCGTGTCACGTAAAAGAAAGCAAGAACCTACAAGTTTATCAGAATTTGTATATTCTTCTCCAAACTCACCATCACCTCATCCCATGAATCTATCAAGTACTGATATTATGGACCATGGTTATTCTTTTGGTTTTGATCCTTCTTCTTTTGAATACCCAAGTTTAAATGATTATTCAGATTCTCATTCAAGACGTCATTCAGTTGCAGTAGGTGATATGGATTATTATCATCAATATAATAATAATAATGAATTTATCAAACAAGAACCTTTGGATCATATGAATTGGGGAAATGTTCAACAATTATTTGGTGGAACATCTTTACCTTCTTCATTCTCTTCTCATTCAAGTGGTACAACTTCTGATGATACTGCAACTCATCAACGTACTTTATCTCTTCGTTTGGAAAATTTACCTTCTTCTCCTCAAGATCATGCAACTCCTACCACTCCTGTTTTCTTTTCTCCAACCTTTTTGGATTCACTTAGTGCAACAACAGAAGAGGATAGTTTTACAAATTTTATGGATTCTTCTTTTATATCTTCTCAACAACATACTATTCCTTCTGATTTTTTGGTACATCCTGGTCAATTAGCTATGCAAAATCATTATCAACCATCATCATTATTTACTCCAACAACAAGAAAACAATCTATTTCTAAACGAAGATCTAAACCCAATAAGTCATCATCACCACCACCACCTTCTTCACCAGCTACTACTATGTCTACTTGTTCACCATCACCTCCTATTACACCATCTCAACATCTCAATACTTTTGAATCTTTCCAACATACACATCCTTCCATTCCTGAAGAAGATGATATCATACCCAATGATGAAACTACTGAAAATCGACAAGCTGCTGAACGAAGAGCAAAAAATAGTTTGGTATCGGCTCGTATTGTACAAGGTGCTAATTCAGCTACGCAATTAAAACCTTTGATTCAACGTTACCTTTTGTCCAATGATTCTTGTGGTGAACATTCTGTTACTATCTTGACCAGTAAGGTTGCACAAAAAAGTTATGGTACTGAAAAAAGGTAAGAACTTTTTTTTAAAAGTACGCATGGATTTAAACAAAGTTTTTTTTTTTTTTTTTCTTTTAGGTTTTTGTGTCCACCTCCTACAACAATTTTATCAGGTGCATCATGGTGGACTCAAAAGGATGGTACACTTTCTACTCCTAAATTAACTATTCATATATCTGGTGAACCTACAAGTCAAAATGGTACTTTAGAATGGTCAGATCAAAATGGATGTGTTATGGAAAATCCTTCTTCTCTTGCTCAAGATAAAGTTTCTCTTTCTGGAAAATGTGTATCCAAACAACTTCATATCAATGATGCAGATGAAAAGCGACGTCGTGTCGAAGTTTTGGTCAAAATTCAATTGGGGAATGGTTTACAACTTGGTACTCTTGCTAGTAAAGGAATTAAGGTCATTTCTAAACCAAGTAAGAAAAGACAAAGTTTAAAAAATATGGAATGTAAGTTAAAATGATTAAAATAAGGGATTATTTTATATTGATCTCTTTTTTTTTTATATATATATATATATATATATATATATATATATATAGTATGTATTCATCATGGTACGACAGTATCATTATTCAATCGTATTCGATCACAAACTGTATCAACTAAATATTTGGGTGTATCCAATGGTGATGGTAATAACACAGGGACTTGTTTTGTGGCTCGTACAGGTTCATGGGATCCTTTTGTTATTTGGATTGTCGATACTTCACGTTCACCAGAATCAGCATCATCCACTCCTCCTCGTTTACCTCATCATCCTACCAATCCTGATTTCCCACCACCTCCTGCTATTGCTTTACAATCTGGTGCAAGTCTTCAAACCCCCATGGCTCTTCATTACAATCAACCTGTGGTTTTACAATGTGTTAGTACTGGTCTTGTGAGTCCTGTGATGGTGATTCGAAAAGTGGACAAAGGAAGTGCTGTACTTGGTGGTAACCGTGTCGAAGATTTATCGGGTCTGACAGGTGGTGAATGTGGTGATGAAGCTATTGGTGATCCTGTCTCTCAACTTCATAAGATTGCCTTTCAAATTGTTCAAGATCCATCCGTGGCTTATAACAACAAAGCAAATTATCAACTATATCCAAATAATAATAATAATAATAGAATGATGAATGATTGGATTTTACCTCAAGCATCCCATCCTGTTACTTATCTTGCATGTTTGAATGATGTAGTAGGCATGCACAAGACATCTACCATGCGTACCGTGATATCAGCTCGACCACCTCCTTCTTCTTCTTCTTGGAATATGGATGATGATTTGATTTCTTCTATGATCTCTTCTCAAATAGAAGGCAAAGTAGTACGAAAACGACGTGTCTCTTGTGATGTTGTGAAAAATAATAAATTGATTGGGAAAAATATAGCAAGTCAACGACGACGTGTCAATTCTTTAAATGATGTCATGGAACGGGCCGATCGACGATCAAGTATCAGTTCAGATGATGGATCTTGTTGGACTGAAGATGTATCTGATGCAGCCGTATGGACCATTGTTGGTACCGATTCAGCAAAATTCACTTTCTGGACACCTCAACAAGAATCATTCAACAATCCATTTACTCATCCTCAACAAAGTCATGCCATTACACCTTTCCCATTGATTCATCATATCAATTCCACTTCATCCAATATCATGGTCATGACTGGTGAAAATCTAACTCGCGATTTGGCTGTATGGTTTGGTGATGTCAAAGCTCCTCTGACGGAATACAAATCAAGAGATTTAATATCTTGTACCATCCCTGATGTGGCTGATCTACGTTCCAGTCTTGTTGCCTCTTCTTGTAATGATGATCCTCTTTCAAACAAGATCCCGATTTTATTGGTTCGTGGTGATGGTGTGGTTTATCGTACTGGTGAATTCTATTCTTTTTAAACTATTTATCTTTTTGTATATTCCCCATTTCCTCTTCCCCTCTCTTCATTCCCTTTATATAGTTTATATGCAATTTTTTTTACTTTTATATGTTTTTTTTTTATGATTTATCCTATGATGTATAGTTGTTTTTTTATGTCTCTTCTTTCTATGGCATTTTTGTCATTCTGTAAATAAAAAAAAAATTGTTTTTTTTTTTTTTGATCAATGTTGATATAGATCAAGTGATAACTCTAATGATGAGGCGTGATATAAAGTGATTGTTCCACGTTGCACATCCTCTACCAGGTAAAAAAAGAATAGTTTCCCTCTTTCCTCTTTTTTTTTTTTTTTTTCTTGAAGCATTTCTATGAAGTCAGGAAAGGTAGTACAAGAATCCTCCGACGAGTGCCACTTTTCTTTTTTTAGTTCTTCATTGGGTTCACGTTGGTGGCACCAAATAGAATCAATCACCTTATCAAAAGTTTAATCCAAAAGGATTTGAAGCTATATTTTGTATTCCCTATTGATGTTGCACGATTCATGCAAATCTATGATCAGAAAAATGAGGTACAACACAAGTTTTATTATTCAAAGAAAAGGGGGGGGGAGAGGGGAAAGTTTTTTTTTTGTAGTTTTGAATGTATAAATGTAACTGTATATGTATGGAGGAAGGGAGGGAGGGGGGGAATAAAATATGTATAAAAAAAATAAGAATTATATAGAAGAACAAATCATTGAGTAGTCGTTTGGGAATCATCACAATGAAAATCATCGTCAAAGTTGGCAAATTGGAACCAATCAGTTGGTGGTAAGTCATGTGGTGATAGGTCGGATGAAGGTAGATCCATCAGGTATGGCAAATCATCATCCAATGTACTGGGCATCGCGTCTGAATATAAAAGTGATGGTATGTCTGCTGTCGATAAACCCCACATGTTCACATCGTTCTTGTTTATCGTTGTAGTTGGTTTTGCTTTTTCTGCAAGATCAAAATCAGACCAAATTTGTTGTTGTATTGTAGATGATTTGATGTCAGTCGGTATATTTGAAATATAATTGGTTGAATCTTCTTCGGATTTCGGTAAATTGACAAGTTTAGCGCGTTTGGATTGTTCAATACATCGTGGACAATGATAAATGTCATCCAATACAGAGTCGTTTGTTCCAAGACAATCCAAATGAAGCCATAATTGACATTCATCACATTGAACCATCATTCCTTTGTCATCAGTAGGATGGTCACACACACAAAGCACCCCTGTTGGTTTGGCTGCTGATTGGCTGGATAAGACGCTATTATTCACTGAGATATTTTCCTTGTCGATTGGTTCAGACTTGATTGTAGAGATATGAACACATCGATCAAGATGATAGGCCAATCCATTTCGAGTTTTGTATTTTTTATTGCAAGGAGTACAAACATAAGCTTGTGAACCTAAAAAAAAAAAAAAAATCAATATAAATGAAAATAAAGAATGAATTTTTTTTTTAAAAATTTACCATCTTCAAGAGTAACAGGAGAAGCTTGAGAAGCTTGAAAACGACCATCTGAACGAGGAGATTTGGCATCATTTGATTTTGATTTTGTAGATCGTTTCCGTTTCAATTCCTTCTTGTTATTAGATGGTGGAGGTAAAGATACAGTATCCAATACACCATATCGTTTACGTTTCTTTTGTTGTAACTGTTGTTGTTGATAAAGTCGACGCTGTTGTAAATAAGTATCACGATGACGGAATAAGCGTTGTCCATTACCAGAGACACAAGCAAAGACACGAGAACGTTTGGTGGATAAATGTATGGTATGTTTTTTAAATGTTGGCCAGGTAGAGTAATCAACGTCATCACGAAGGATATTTGCCGCAGAAGAAATAGCTGGATACATTTTTTCGAGTTGTTTGCCTTGAGATTCTTGTTGTTCTTCATTTTCTAGTTGAGCCAGGATACGATATTTTGCTTGTGATAATCTAACCTTTAAAAGATCCGTCAAATTCTTGATATTGTCAGAAGCAAAGTCACCAAGAGTAGGTTCCGAAGGCCAAAGATCAATACATGTTTGATACAACGAAGAAGAGAAGGATTCAAGACGACAAGGTTTCTGTTCATCATCTTCTTCATTGTTGGTAAAAATAGCAGGTAGAACTGGTTTAGAAGGTGAACCAAGAGGAGACACAGGTAAGGAAGGATCAATACGTCGACTAAGTAATTTGAGTTGTTCAGCTGACATACGTTGTTCAGTACGTTGTTTTTGGTTGTTATCAATATTTTCACTATGATTAATCTTATTCATAAGAGAGGAAGAGATTGTTTTTCCTCCTATTTTAGGATGAGGTCTTGAAATAGATTTTCGTTGAGAGTTATTGTTGTTTAATACTTGAAGTCTATTGACTGACCTTGGAGGTGTTTGTGGTAGATGGTTTTCAATGATGGGTGGCCTATTTTCTTTTTGAATATGGTCGTCACTAAGGATATAATTTGACTTTGTTGAAGAAGAGTGTTTGTATAATGAAGAGTTACTTCCATCTTGAAGTAAAGCTGCTTGTCGACTAAGTTTTTGTTGTCCTAGGATATCAGTATGGTTATCAAAAGATGATAAGGGTTGCGTTCTCCTATATATATATAAATTATATATAAGTTTTTATTGATTTTCTTTTCTTTGTATTTTAATAATACCTTGGGGTAAATGGTCTTTCCATGACAAATGACCAAAAGGATAATACAATGAAATAAAAAATAAAAAGAGAGAAGGAAGATAAACAAAAAGTGAAGGAAAAAAAAAAAAAAAGGAGGCGTAGGGTGTAAAAGTAAAAAGGAAAAAGTAACAACTCAGTTCATAAAGTCACACACACAAAAAAAAAAATTTCATGAATGTTCATCGTTTGCGGAGCTCATGAAGGGAAGAATGGGCTTTGAATAAAATCACGAAAGAATAAGACTATGTTTTTATTTTTATTTTGAATTTTTCATTAATGTAATATATACATGGGGTTGTAGAAAGGGGAGATAAAAAAAAAACTAACTAAAGTAACAAAAAGGTATATATAAAAAAAAATCATTCGTAGGTAACTGAAACCAAACTGAAAAAAAATACCCATTCAGGAGAATCTTTTGACGGGAGTTGTGGCATCTTCTTTAGCCCTTGTCATTTTCATTACCACTGGATTGCCATCTTCACCTACATGTATAAAACTATCACCATCAAGATATCCACTAGGTACAGGTGATTTTGATCTATTAGATGATTTGCTGACTGAATGATGAGGATTAATACTACTAACACTATTGCTTCTACCACCACGGATTTTTATGACTTCATCATCTTGTTGGACAGATAAATGATTATTGCTAATGTTATTGTTGTTCTTGGTGATTTTATACTTGTTGTTATCATTATGACCATGATCTATATCAAAAAAAGCAAAAGTAATATAAAAGTCAGTAACACATATAATTAAAAATGGAAACAAGGTTTTCACTATTTACCTTTTAGGAATCTAAAGTTAGTTCCAAAAAAAAAAAAAAACAATGCAATAAATAAAAAAAAAAAAAAGTCTAATGAGTAAAACATGGGTCTATATTGTTTGTTTTTATAAATAAGAAACTTACTGAGATAATTCTACCCAACCTAAAAAAAAAGGATAATAAAAAAAAAAGATTTATCAGTCATCATCATCATCATTATTATTATTCTATTTGTCTTACCTCCACCAACACGAACCATTACCATTTTACTAGGAAGAATGCGACAATAAACGAGACGTTCTCCAAAATAGTATTTTCCTAGATCGACAGAAGAAAAAAAAAAAGAGTATATCAGTGAATAGTTCCTAAAAAAAAAAAAAATAACTTACCAACTTCACCAGAGACCATTTTCACATTCACTTTGAATGCACTATTATTGACAATACGACCCAATTGGACATCCAGTTCATTTTTCGGATCAGCTATATAGGTTGAACGAGGTTTACTACCAGAGGAAGATATGATGGGTGTTTTTGATCTTCTTGTAGTGTTGCGATGATCTACGGATAATGCTGAAGATTGGAAACTAGGACGTCGAGTATAACCCATAGAAGAAGGAGGACGAGGGGGAAGACTACCAATGGATGAAGAGGAAGAGGAAGGTGAGGATGATTCCCCTCCTACAGGCGTTAAAGATCGAACATTGCTTTGACTAGGTCGTCTATTTGCTGTCTTGGTTTTCGCCATGGCTAATTTGGTGAAGAATTCATGATTCAAAGCGTTGATGCATGTATGTAATTCCTTTTCTCTTGCTGCAGCCGCTGCTTGTGCCTTCGTCCATCGATCCATTGTCTTTTCCAATCGTTTGGCCACACGGTCATTGTCGTCCAAGAATTGTTTGCGTGCTTCTTCCTTTGCCGAGCCAAGTAATTTGTTGATACTAGGTCCATTCTTCTTGTAAACACCTACCAATCGACGTAAAAGCTCTTGCAGATCAGTCTTGACAAATTTTCCTTGTACCACCTTGGCATGATGAGGTGCCGAGTTTTCTACTGCTACCAAGAGTTGTACGATTTGTTCATCTACTTGATCAATAATGCCCAAAAACAGAGTGATGTTGCCTTCAGTTTGTGCTTGTTCTTGTCGTACTTGAAGAAGATGATGGAGTTGATCGGTGGCTGTAGATAACTGTGCTCGCTGTTTTCGAATCATGCCATCGCTATCGGAAATACTGGCCAAAAGCAGATCCATTTCTTCGATCTTCTTGGTCAATGTCACCTTGATTTCATGATCCAGTTCCTTCAGTTCATCTTCTTCCACTGTCACGCTTTTTCCAGAGAGTTGAAGAGTGTTGATTCGGTCCTTGATATCATCTACATAGCGAAGTGCATCATTGAGCTTACTCGTTCCATGTTGTCGTCGGTACATTTCATCCAATCGCACCTTGGTTTCATCCATCATGCTCTTGACTTCAGTCCACATACGTCTAACAATAGTTTGACAATGATCCACAGCCTTGTTCACACTTGATGTTCTAGCAACACCAATACTCTTGTAAAGTTTGGATTTCTTGAAATCTTCACCCATAGCAAAAAATTGTTCAACGGATTTGGTTAAATCAGCGTTACGTCGATTGAATTCAGTCAGATCAGGTAATGCATTCAATCTAGTACGAAGTCCTTGTTTGGAATATTTGAGGAGTGTAGCTTTCCTGTCAGAGAGTGATCGAACCAATTCCACTTGAAAAAAAAAAAAAGGTCAGTTAGTTGTATAATCCACATTATCATGTAAATATTTTATCACTTCATTTCTTTTCCTTTTTTTTTTTTTTTTTTTTTTTTTTTACCTTCAGTTTTTGTTTGTCTCATCACCAATTTAAGTGCTGCATTGTATTCATTTTCAGTTTGTATAGCATTATCCAAGTCTTGTAATGTTTTTTCTAAGGGTCGCTTGATTGTTTCCATTTGCATAACAGGCACTTGATAATAATCCACTAGTCGCTTCGTTTGATGCACAATCATTTGATAATCATCCTTGCATTTTTCATAGACCTTTTCAATATTGCTCATAGCCGCCATATAAGTTTGAGAGATGTGACCAATAGATTCAGGGCGTTTACCAACAAGGTCTGGATTTGCCACTACTTGCTGTCTAATGAACTTGAGTTGTTCTTCGCATACAACCTGAAGTCGAGCGATTTCTTCGTTGAGACTGTCCAATAACTTGCTTCTTTCCAATTGCCGTTTATGTTGATCCACCACTTGATAAAGTCCGGATATTTGTGCTGCCACTTGATCATACCGTTCTATAAACATCATCTTGATCAAATTCTTATTGTTATTACTACTGTCATCATCGAGAGAATCAAGGATCATTTTCAGTTGTGTCATGTCGCCCTCTGTTCCATCTTGAATTTGTTTTTCCAGGGAATAGACCTCGTCCGCTGAAGGAGACGAAGACAGATTGTTGTTGATATCTTGCTGAATTATTTGAATGTTTTGTTCCATTTTGGTCATCAGTTCATGTCCTTCCATTAGTCGAGATGCCATTGTTGTCATATTCGATACAGATTGTCCTAATGCTTGTAAGGTTTTCCAGTCACCGTTGATTTGTTTTTGAGTAGTTTCCATATCGTCCAATAATTCCTCACATTCATCGCCTTGTACTTTTTGACTTTCAATAAAATTGTTGTAAGCACAAAGGTCGTCATATGTTTCTTTGCAATCTGCCAGTTTCAATTTCGCTTCTTGATAAGCATCCTGTAAAGCATCATGATAATGTTGTACAGTTGTTGTTGGATCATCGAGAGCTTGATACGATTGTTGTTGAATAGTCAGGAGCAACTGACGAGTATCATCCACTTTTGCTTTTGCTACCATGGCATTGTCTGCATATGTTTTGCAAAGTCGATTCAAATTGACCACGTCGTAAAGTCGAGCGATGATGTTTCGAATGGATAAAATGGTTTCTCCTATTTGATCCAATTGTTGACGCTGTTGTCGTTCATCATAAGCATTACTCCATGATACTGGTCTTCGTTGCCGTCCATTCACATGCTTGCTATCATTGTTGTTGTTATTGTTGTTGTTGCTGTTGCCACTACTCAATGATGCCATCATTTTGATTGCTGCATTGTAATCATTCTTGTCCAAAGTGTCAATTTGTTTTTGCCATTGCAAGATATGATCATCCGTCAAAAGTCCAGAATCCATACCATTCATTTCCGCTTGAAGTCCGTGAATGATTTCCCACAGATGCTTGATACGATTATTCATTTCTGTAGGACCAAGAGCACCAAACAATAGTTCAGTTGTTTTTGATACCATTCTTTGTAAATCGTTCCATTTGTCTTCCAGTCTTTCATAATCGCGTAACAAGTCATTCAGATCATCATCACTTTCCCTAAAGGTACCTTTGCAAGTATTGTACGCTGATTGTAATGATGAGAATACAGTATCGTTGCCACGGGTTGCTGCTTCTATGCTTTCTGCCATGCCAATAGCGTCACGTAATTGTTGGATATCGATGGTTGCCTTTGTGCTGCTGAATAGGTTGTCATTGAGTCCATCATCAGGAGATCCAAGCATACCAAGTGCCGAATGTAGTTTATCCATCTGTGTATCGATCCATGCTTCACAGATTTCCACTTGCTTGCCGTACAATACCCGAGATACTTGACGTCGTGACATGCGTTCTTTAGAATCTAGCAATGATTCCAATCCGTTGACAAGTTCTTCCAGTCGCTTCATTCGTGTATCAATTGTTTCCCGGATAATAGCATTGGTTGTTTCATCCTTGACTCCAGAGATATGATCCATAGAAGGAGATCTTGATCTTTTAAAGTTGGCCGGTAATAAGGAGGAAGAGGAAGAAGAAGAGATGGAGATTCCACTTCTTACTGGTAATGGGATAGTTGCACCAAGGTCATGTCGAATGTCTTCAATGCCAGATTTGAATCGATGTAATCTTTCACTATGATCCGTCAGCCAATCTTCATCACTATAATTGTCATCACCTTGATCAAGAAATTCCTCACGAATCACTTCAGCCGATCGTTCAAGTTGAGAGGTACGCCATAGAAAAGCAACCATAAGACACCGTTGATTGATGATTTCGTTACTAAATGCGAGATACTTTTCTACTACATCGTGAGCAATTTGTAAAGATCGAATTGCTTTTTCCGGCCAGTCACCCATACTACCACCATTGGATCCAAGAGTTGGTAAATGCTCCCTTCGCTGGCGCCATGCTTGTATGTCTTGTAGTAGAGGTTGAGTATTTTGTTGATAATGACCATCCAGTTTGTCTTTGATGATTATCCAGGCATTTCGTAAATCCACTTCATCATCTTCAGAAATCACCGTATCAGGTTGCCATCTTGCCTTGATTTCTACAAATGATTCCACCGTCATAGAGAGATCATCATATACGTCCAATGTTTCGTTCACTTGTATTTGCCACGATCGTTGTTCCTTAAGAGTAACAATTTCATCCAGGATACCCTTTAGTGTGTCTTGACAACGTGTAAAAGAGCGTTCCATTCCCACCAGGCGTGTTTCCAAACGATCACATACTATACTTGCTGAAGATGATGGTTGTAATTGTGCATAGATAGCGGGCGATAAATTGTTCATAAATCGTTGTCGTGCATCCATTACTGTATGATGAATTGTTTTGACTTGTGTTCCAATCTTCGCGCAAGATGTCTCCAACAAACCAAGATCCACCATTGATAAATCATCTTGCATTGCCTTTTCCTTGGTTTCAGAGGCCAAAGGATACAATTGTTCTTGTAGTGAGCCGATGGCATGTACTAACTGCTGTAGATCCTTTTCCCATTGCATACATTGTCGTATCGTATTCAAAGCTTGGGATTCCATTGTCGTTTGTCGTTCTAATTGATTCATATCAGAATTCACCTGTCCCGTCAGTTTTGCCAAGGTAGACGTATCCAATGCATCCATGAACGATGTCGTATCATCTGTTGTTGCTGAACTGGCGGCCTTGATGAGAGCTTCCACTTGCACCTTAAGAGGCATAACATGGTTTTCTTTAAACGTAGAGATATCATCGGACAATCGATCAAGTTCCTGTTCACGTGTTTGGATGTTGTCTTCGGTCACATTGATAGAGTCATCAGATATATCGATGTGGCATGTTTTGAGTATGCTGATATGTTTATCAATCCATTGTAATTGGTGGTTTGCTTCATCCATATATCGTCGAGCTTGTTCCTTGGTCGCCATGGCATTGAGATACTGGAATTGAAGTTGTTCGAGGGATTTTAGTACAGATTGAAGGTCATTAAACTTTGAATTGAGCCATTTATTGATAGATTCAGTAGATTCCCCATAAGTCATTGCTGAACTACGTAAACTACAAAAAAAAAAAAAAAAAAAAAAAATGAGTACGTTTGTGTGATTACATTTTTTTTTTTTTTTTTTTTTTTTTTTTTTTACTTCTGTACCTTGTAAACAATGTTGATCCATTAGTAGGAGCTTGAATGTCAGTTCGTTTCCGAGATAGATCATCCACAATTTGTTTGAAATGTAAAACGAGATCTGTTCCTGATGATGAATGAGAACTAATGGATAGACCAGAATCAACGCTCCTTGCAGAATCCAGCTTGCTGTAGTAGTCACTTTGAGATGTACCAGGTGTTACCAGATTAAATAGAATTACTGCTTCTTCATGTACACGGTTTGCTTCGATCGTTGCCTCTTTTGTTGCGCCTACGAGAGATTTCATATCATTCTTGTAGTCGATGGATCGTTGTGTATAGAGATAAAGTTGATCCAAGTCGTGTAATTTATCGATAAGAGCAAGTTGTTTTTCCTTTGTAGGTGTTGGTATAGATGTTGTTGTTGTTGTTGTTGTTGTTGAAGATGATGATGACGAGATCGAATTTAGTTGATGATAGGCTTCCTCTAAATCAGCGTAGCATCCAGTAGAAGTAAAGATAGACAAGTTTCGAGTTGATTCTACCAAAGATTTTTGTTGATCCAATGCCAAAGTGCTATTATCCCCACTATCTTCATCATCGCAATCACCATTTGCATTGACCTGTAAGTTGATTGAATCTACCAAAGACCATAGTTCGCGAGCTATATTGTCCATAGTATGATTAACATCCAATAATTGAACTTCCCATAATTGTTGTTTGCTCATGATGGTCATTTCCATAGCACGTCTACCTAACAGTTGTCGTAATCGTAGATGACTATCATCCAATTGTTCCACGGCATTGACCAATGTACTGCGATCAATGGAGATGGCATTTGAGGCATCAATTTCATCTTCAATAGCTGAAACACGAGCACGGAGTCTTGATAAGTCGCCTTCCTCTAATTGTTTCATACGAGCAAGTATACCATCCAGTTCACGTTGATAACGCACCATCATATTATTGTCATCATCCTTGTCGTTGTTGTCATCACCATCTTCATCGTCAATTTTGTCACCGTCCAACCAGCTCTTCTTGTACATTTCACATCGTTCATCTAACCATAGAATCAATCGCATCATTTCTTCATAAGCCAAAGTTGCACGTTGTTGAAGAGAGAATGCCCTCCGATGACGTACTAAAAGATTTTCCAGAGCTTCAGCAATAGTGGCTAACCGCATGGCATATGCTTGAATAACATCCTTGATAGCATCATTAGCTTTTTCATTGTCTTGAGCATCTTGAGATCCTATTACCGATGACACATAGATTGGAGTTTCCGTGTATGTTATTGTTGGAAAAACATAGGTAATGAGTTGAGATGACTCCTCTTTGAAAGCTTGTACTTGATCTCCATATACATCATTATCATCAGTATTTGCTGCAGTAGAAGAAGATTGTGTTGTTGTCGATTTGGAGGAGCTCATCATAGATATCCGTAAAGCTTCACCCTTGTTCCGTAATTGTCGATATTGAGTGGTGATATCCAAAAGTGTCAAATGTTGTTCCACCACCTTTCGAGCAAAACCAACACGTTTCATCAAATCACCAAAACTGTCTTCAAACCGCGATTGTTTTGAATCCAAATGAGAAGGCAACGTATCATTTTGTAGATCTTCCATTTCTTGATAGGCATCCAGACATTCAGAATACAATCCTTGATCAAATTGAATCACATCGTTTTCCAAAGTCACCAGAGTTTGAATCATCTCTTCGGTATCAGTAGCATTGTTGGAACGAATAGACTGTCGTCTTCGATTACTGTTGTTGTTTTTGTTGTCATCAGAAGAATCCACGTTTGTTGAATTGTTGTCACTACCATCTCCATTAGAAGATACCCATCTTGCATGACCAGGAGCCAAAAAGTCAGTGATTGATTGATTTGTGTCCATGATCCATTTCGTCGAGGATTCAAAAAAGTGATCCCATTGTACTCGAAGCATCAACATATCAACCATATAAGACCGTTGTCGTAGCAAGTGCATCAATTGGTTAAGCATATTGAGTGTGGTAAGTGTGATTTCGATAGTAGAAGTGTCGGCCGGACTGAGATCACGATTTCCACGATCAGTACCAGTCAAAGTTTTGACATGAGTTCGTAGTCTTGCCATATCATCTGCGTCAAATCTATCGATTTCTCTTCCAAGCTTCACATGTTCCTCATGCCATAGTGTTGCGTTTTCTTGTGCTGCTTGTACTAGAATATCATCAAGAGGATCGAATTCAGCTGATTCATTTCTTTGGTGTATAATGTCGATACGTGCTTCAATCCATTTTCGAATACGTTCCGCTTCAATAAACCAGACTCGAACTTGATCCACCCAGTCACGAACAGTTTCATATTGTTGTTGTACTTTGTCTACGTATTCCATTAGTCGAGTATCATTGGCCAAGAGATCATCATGCATTTCCCTTGTATTGTGAAGACGTGTGCGAACAGCATTGACTTGCTTTTCTAAATCCAAAATGGCATCGTTTGTAGTATGATTGTTGTCATCCATGAGTTTGTGAATCGATTCTAGTTCCATTCCAATAGCTGTTGTAGTAGAGATCAATACCAAGGCGCGAGAGAAATCCTTACTTGACGAAAGTACTTGTTGGTTGGTATTCATTAATTCTTGATGCTCTTGTTCTAATTCTTGTAAGCTTGAAGTAACTTGTTTCAGAATAACACGAGAGAATTGCAGTATGAATCTTCTGTAGGATTTCCATGTAGTATCATCAAATAATTCCACCTTTTCATTGGCTGCCTCTGCTGCTTGCTGATAAAGAATTGACAGATTTTCCATTTGACCATCTTCACTGCATGGATCTAAAGGATGCCAAACATCACCCTTTTTTTTAGTACCATCGGTTACATCAATGTCATCCATACCGTCATCGTCGTGTCTTGGTGGTACTTGACTCAATAATAGTTGTAACTCCTTGATTTTATCCAACACCTTGTCAGCTTCAGTATGATACTTGTGAGTGCCTTCTTCGATATCCACCAAATCAGATTCAATACGCAGAAGATCACATTTGGTAGCAGATAAAAGTTGTTCAAAGTCAGTCCAATGATTTAACAGCATATCATAGAGATTGTTCACTTGGGTGCGTTGTAAGTCAGTTAATCGAATGATGGAGTCATCAGCTGTTTCTGGAGGTAAAATAAGTTTGTCTTTGGCATCCTTGGCAGTATCCAGTAACGTTGATTCATCTTGCATTTGTTCTTCCACGATTTCTAAAGCATCCAAGTATTCAGCCACAGTATCAGCATCGTCAAAAGAGGTAGGTATTTCATCCAATGTTCTAGTATTAGTTTTAATAAATGCCAATACTGTTTCGTGAATTGTGATAAGTTGATCCAGTACTGGGTTCACACCTCGAGGAAGATGACCTGTCAATTGCATCATCAATCTACTATTCAAATCTGCCTTGATTCGTTCCTTATCTTCGTCAGCCAAAGTAGATATTCGATGAGCTTTTTTCTTATTCTTGTTGTTGTTGTTGTTGTTGTTGGAGACAGAAGAAGTCATACTTTCATTATCATCTACAATGTCATCTGTAATAGCTGTATCACTGTCGTGAATGTGATGTTCATCATCCATTGTCATCAGATTGTCGATTCCACCAGTCACCATGGCGATATTTGTACGTCGTCGTATGGCAGCTTCGTGTCGTTGTTCTGCTGATATTTCTTGTTGTACGCGAGACATGACCTTATAAAATTCAGCCACATACATCATCACACTGGGTTCATGAGGATAATCAACATCCACCAAATCTTCCGGTTCCAAATATCTTGGGATTTCCATATGTTCCGTCGCCAAATCAAACGCCAGCGTCAATAGGCGGTGCCAGGTTTGTTTTTGAGTCAGATCTGCGTCTTTGAGATGATAGGAAAATAGGTCAGGAACCAGTCCAGGGCCATGCCGATGAATCAAAAGACAAAAAGCCAAACCATTTCTCCAGGATCGAGAAAAATCTTGAATACTTGGAATAATATTTGCTGCAATATAGTCTTCTAATTGAATTCGTACCCAAAAAAGAAGTGCTAGTTTAGATTCAGCTGAACTTGTATGTTGTTTATCTGAATTAATCGAATAATTGCTTCCTAATTTTCGTGCTGCCAAAAGAGAATTGGTAACAGGTATAGGTGTGGTTGGTATTGCCCCTTTTTCAGTTTGAGTTGGTTGATTATTGTTTGTTGCTGTTGTTTCATTTGTTGGTGATAATGAATCGATACGAAGACCATCACGTTGTCGATCAGAGTAGTTCTATTTTTTTTTATATATAAATCATAATAATAATATATTAATAACTTATTTTTGAAAATTTATAAAAAAAAAAAATTATAACTTACCAATAGAGATTGAGTAAAATCATCACCATGGTCATTGAGAACAATTTGAATTTGATACTTGATCATAATAAAAAATATCAGAGCCAAAGTCTTCTTCTTATCACCATTGACAATAGCTTCGTTTCCCATATCCACAATAGAGTCAGCACCCAATTGTTTTTCCAAAAAAGATAAAGCTTGAGCAACGTTGGCAAGTTGGTGAATACGCATGTTCATCTTTTCAGGTTTTGGTGCAGGTTCTTTAGATACAACAGAGAGCAGTTTGAGTAACTTCCGTCCATCCTTGAAATCAGTTTCAATATTGGTGATATGATCGTCCACTATTTTGAGTTGAGTGTTCACCCATCTAGTCAATGTTCTTTTCTGAATTTCTTGATAATCAGAACCAATAGTACGTACCAAGTCTTCTCCTGTCATAAAGTCACTTGTATTTTGTCGTGAACGACCCATTGTAGTTGGTTTGCGACCTCCTGTGGAAGAATTGTTGTTTGTGGCGGTAGAAGTGAGATCGCGATATAAAGAACGGTTGGAAGCAGATCGACCAATGGATGAATTAACAGTAGATGAGGAATAGATAGAAGAAGATGGTGATATTGCATTAGAAGTAGGAGTAGTCATGGTTTTTTAAACATATAAAGTCATGAATAAAGGTATATAAAATACAAATGGGGAATATAATAAATAATAATAAAAAAGAAAAAAGAAAAAAGAAGAAAAGAAAAGAAAAAAGAAAAAAAAAGAAAAAAGAGACTAGGAGTTATCTAAAATGGAGGCGAAATAAAAACTAGAAGAAAAAAAAGTGGACCCGCCTGAATTTTTTTTTTATTTTTTTTTATTTTTTTTTTATTTTTGCACGCGAAAATCGTTTTCTTAAACCAATAGAGCACATGCGACTAATTCAGATTCCCCTTGATATATATATATATATATATATATATGTAATCTCCCTTCACATTACACATACACAGCAAAATATCAATTTAACTTTACTACTGCAAAAAAAAAAGTCAAATCATCCCTCCTCCTCCTTTTAGTTACTTTCTTTTTGTATTGAATATATACGTAACATTATGATACTAGATAAATATTGTTACACATAAATATATATATATATAAAACATGACACTGGATTAAAAAATTGTGTTTCAATGATAATATATATATATATATATATAATCAATAAGATTGACAATTGATCTCCTCAATCCCCTACTAACTTGTTCAACCGGCTTGGCGGGCTCACACTAATATTGATGATTTTTTGTCATTCCAGGCTTAAATAATCACTTGATTTTGAATACCGATATATCTTGCCCTGAAATTTACGCCTCTCCTTCAATTGAATTGACATTGATATTGACAGTATAATAAAATTAACATCTATATATATCTATATATATAAATCAATTTCTCCTTTATTCTTTTTTTTCTTTCTTTCTTTCTCTCTCTCTCTATTAATGATAATGATTCATAAAAAAAAAGAGAGAGAGAGAGACTGTGTAGAAGATTGTTATTATATTCTTAAGCAATGCAATTGTCTCCTTAAAAGTAATGATTTTGTTCTCAGCAGAAGAGTAGAAAATGACTTGTAAACTGGAAAAATGGCTAATAACAAGTAGTTTAAACATTATTTGCATAAGTCGGGGAAGTAAAAAAAAAAAAAAAAAAGTTGGATCGCCTGACATGTTCTCCCCTTTTTGTTAAAAAAAGAAAAAAGGACAAAAAGAAAAAAAGAAAAGAAAAAAAAAAGAGTAAAAAAGAAAATGATTCGTTTTATTGTATAAAGGTATAAAAAAATCATAATAAATAAAATGTTAATATAATACTAATCACAATATCTAAACTAAACTAATTATCTATATATCCATACAAGTAATTTCTTTTCATTGATAAAAAGAAAAATCAACTTCTCCTTTTTTTTTCTTTTTCTTTATCCTTCTCCTTTATTCCCCCCCCCTCTCTTCACTTTAAATCATCCCTCCCAAAAAAAAAAGATAAACTAAACAAAAAAAAAAAAAAAAAAAGAATAAAACTACACCTGAGGTAAGACCATGTCCAACGTGGGTATTTGATTGCTGTCAAAATAAGGTTGTAATGTATCAATCAAAGTAGAATCTTTTGCAGCTGCTTCTGTCCATCGAGCCATACCATCAAGTCCCCAAGCTTCACATACTTTAGTCACCCATCCCATCCTTTTTGCTGATTGATCGATCTTTGGTTCCCATTGTCGTACTTTGGCTCGTAATTCGCCCATATAATATACCATATCGCCTGCATTGGGAGGTAAAGCCTGAGCCATAGTGGTTCGAATCATATTAGCCAATTTCGGTCCACGTCCATTGGTTGATACAGAGATTTGAAGAGGTCCATCACGATGTTGACTCATAAAATAAAAATCACACATATCTGGTACATCGGCCACATTAACAGGAATACGTTGTTGTCGACATAAATGTCCAATTCGTAACGATTCGTCATGATCATCCAAAGCCGTCAATACCATATCCATTCCTTCCACATCTTTGTCTTGAAACGTACGATCCAACCAAACCACTTCTCCATGTTCAATACGTTGTCGCACTTCAGGATGAAGACCATCTGACGGAGCCACTAATGTTACTTGAGCATCACCAATTTTCACTGAAACAATACGTTGAGCTGCTACATTACCACCACCTACAATTAGTACTTTCTTATTCTTGATTTGCCAAGCAATTACTAAAGAGCCACCTCCTTCGATGGGTTGATAGGAATCTGCCATTGATTTTGTTCAAAAATGAAAAGAAGAAAAAAAAAAAGGAAAAGAAAAGAAAAAGAGAATGAGGAAAACGAAGCTAACTTTTTTTTTTTTTTTTTTTTTGGTCTTTCTTACCCTGATGATGAAATCTAACTCCGGTTTCCATATTAGGGAAGTAAAATGTAGCTAGAATTTATTTTCACAAAATGGATTCCTAGGATGATTAAGTGATGATGATTCAACGGTAATGCTAATATGATGATGGACAGCAATAATATGATACAATAATGACTTGATGATGAAGATTACCAACTGGTATGATATTGTATATTGATCTCTAGTCATTATATGAAGAAATGATTCCTACGTCTATGCTTATGATGATGTGTTGATGATTCTTTTATTCTTGTGAATCAGATCTACGTTCCTTTTTCAGTGACTCAGCAATGAGGTTTTTTGATGTGACTATATCACAAGAAGGGATAAACATGATGTAACAATTACTCCATGTGAATTTGGTTAGGAGAAAATGGTTTTAGAGATGACAAAAAAAAAAAAAAAAAATGGGATTATTCATATTCAAAATTGAAAGAAGAATTGTTGAGAAAAACTTTAAAAGTGATTTTCGTTCCTTATAGATATATTTTTGTATCACTTTTTTTTTTCAGTGACATAAGATTTAACACTTTTGAAGTGACAGTGCGTAACACAGGGAAATTAGTATGGTTGATCCGATTATCGATGGTCAAAAAAAAAAAAAAGAAGAAAGAAGAAAGAAAAAATGTCAGTGCTTTTTTTTTTTGTAGTTAGTCATCTCTTTGTGTAATAAATCCTTTTCTTTTTTTTTTATGATATTTACTTTTTATTTTATATTGGAACAATATGATATTTAGAATGTTGCCAATAAGGAATCATCTTCAGTCTGATTAAATCTAGGGACAATCATCATCATCATCATTCTTTTTTTTTTCGTAAAAAGGGTTCAGTATTGAAAAGCACGGAGCTCGGTTAACACTAAAAAAAAAAAAAAGAAAAAAGCACGGTTGGGACATCCATAATAAGAAATATCACTTGGTTCATTCGAGTACTTTTTTTCTTTGCATTGACCACAGCCAAAATGTCACATGTAAAAAGGAGCGGATAATAAAAATTTTGTCGTTCCTCCTTTTTACTCGTGTTTCCTTTTATTTGCTTTTCTTTTTTTTTTTTTTCTTTTCTTTTCTTTTTTTCTTTCTTTCTTTCTTTTCATCTTCATTATATTTATAAATATATATCATGAAAAATTTTACTGTTGAAGTGGGTCCTCCTCAACCTAATGGTGGTCGTATTCGTCGATCTATTCTTGCTCCTGATGCTGTGGTTCGCGTTCCTGATACCAATGTTCATACTCTTTATGATGTACTTCAAAATAGTGTCAAGAAATATGGTGACAGAAAAGCTTTTGGTAGTCGTCGTTTGGAAAAAATGGTGGAAGAAGAAAAGGAAGTAACTAAATTTATTAATGGTGTTGAAACAAAGGAAAAGAAAACTTGGAAATACTTTCAACTTTCTCCTTATGAATACATTACTTACAAAGAAGTCTCAGATCGTGCTCATGCTATTGGTAATGGTTTTGCTGCTCTAGGTTTAGATCCAAAGGCAAAAGTGGAAATCTTTTCTGGAACAAAGTAAGTTTTTTAAAATAAATAAATAAATTAAATTAACCAACTCACACCTTTTTTTTTTTTGGGTAGTATGAATTGGTTATTGACTGCTCATGGTCTTTTTACTCAAAATATGACCATTGTTACTGCTTATGAAACTCTTGGAGAAGATGGTTTATTACACTCTATGAATGAAGCTGAAGTACAAGCTATTTATACTACATCTGATTTATTACCTGTTGTCTCTCGTGTTGCTAGCAAATGTCCTAGTTTAAAATATGTAGTTTATTCTGGTGATATTAATACTGAACTTGCTTCTTCCATCAAATCTGCTCAAATTCAAGATGTTGTGACTTTGGATGAACTTATGGAAACTGGCAAGAAATTCCCTCGTGAACCTCGTAAACCTGAACCTGAAGATTTGTGTTGTATCATGTATACAAGTGGATCTACTGGTAATCCAAAAGGTGTTTGTATTTCTCATAAAAATATTGTATCAGCAAGTAAGTGTTTCATCTTTTTATTTATTTATTTTATAAACATTGATAACTCACTATTTTTTTTTTTTTTTTCGTTGTTGAATTTAGTTGCTGGGGTTAATATCTTATTGGGTCGTGTTGTTTCTACAAGTGATAGTATGATGGCTTATCTTCCATTGGCTCATGTATTGGAATTCACTGTTGAAAATGGTAAAAGGAAAAAGATACTAGTGAAAAGAAAAAAAAATGGCTCATTATTTTATTTTTATTATTATTAGCTTGCGTTTTTTGGGGTGTCACTTTGGGTTATGCGTCTGTGCGTACATTGACTGATGCATCTGTACGTAACTGCAAGGGTGATATCAAGGAATTTCGACCTACATTGATGACTGGTGTACCTGCTGTATGGGAATCTATTCGAAAGGGTATTTTGAATAAGATTAACTCAGCTTCTCCTAGTGCGCAAAAGATATTCAACAAGGCTTATTCGACTAAATCTTGGTTATTTGAAAGAGGAATGCCTAGCAAGATCCTGGATACTGTTGTATTTAGTAAGATTCGTGAACAAGTAGGTGGTCGTTTACGTTTTGCTCTCTCTGGTGGTGCTCCTATCTCTTTGGAAACTCAAAAGTTTTTATCTGTCTGTATCTGTCCTATTTTAGGTGGTTTTGGAATGTAAGTGAATGATGATGATTATATATAGATAAAAACAAAAAGAATACCGAATGATTCTTTTTTTTTTTTAATTAATAGGACTGAAAGTATGTTAAAAGGATAAACAAAATGTGATAAATGAATCATGATTCTAATCCTCCTCTTTTTTTTTTTTATTATTAAGGTTGTGGTATGAGTACTGTGATGGCACCTGTAAGTGATTTATCCCTATTACTATCATGATGAATTTATGATTTAATCTCCTGATACTTTAGGATCAATTTGGTTATGGACATGTTGGTGCTCCTGTTCCTTGTTGTGAAATCAAATTAGTAGATGTTCCTGATGCCAATTACTATTCTACCAATTTCCCTAAACCTCAAGGAGAAGTCTGGGTACGTGGTCCTTCTATTACTAGTGGATATTTCCGTCAAGATAAACTCACAAAGGAAACAGTTACAGAGGATGGATGGTTACAAACAGGAGATATTGCTGAATGGAATGAAAATGGTACACTCTCTATCATTGATCGCAAGAAGAATTTGGTGAAGCTCAGTAACGGTGAATATATTGCCTTGGAAAAGCTGGAATCTGTGTACAAGAGCTGTCTATTTGTCAACAATCTCTGTGTCTATGCTGATTCTCTCTCTGCTAAACCTGTGGCTTTGGTAGTACCTGTGGAAGCTTCTGTACGTAAATGGGCTACTGACAACAATGTGGCTGAAAAGGATTGGGAAAAACTTTGTTTGGAACCGAATGTACGAAAAGCTGTATTGTCTGCATTGCTTGCTCAAGGAAAAGAAGCTGGTTTGAAACCTGCTGAAATGTTATTTGATATCTTTTTATGTCATGAAGAATGGACTACAGATTCTGTAAGAATTAAAAAAAAAAAAATAGAAAAAAAGGATATTTATATTTTTATTATTTGAATGAATAGGGACTTTTAACGGCGGCTCAAAAGATTAAACGTCAAGACATCAATAAACGTTTCAAAGAACAACTCGATACCATGAATAAATCACAAAAAGTTTAGTTTAGTTTCCTTTTTCTTTTTTATTATTATTTTTCTTCCTCTTTTATATTCATCAATTTACTAATAATAATATTAATAAACGCTTATTTTTCGAAATTGAAGATTTGTGTGCATTATTGATCTTTTTGAGAAAGTGTGGACAATTGATTTGATTGGAAAATATGAACTACGGATTTCTTTTTTGGGAAGGTGAGATTTGTAAAATTTAATTGTTATTATCATTATTATTGTTGAGAAGTGACGGTAATTATCAATCGTCATTGCAAAGGAAAAAAAAAACAACAACTTGATAGATTTTTATTTTGTAAGTGTGAAAAGGTTGGAGTGATACCAATAATCTAAATATAGATGAATAGTTATTAGGTGATAAGTAAGACTTTAAGCAAACCTCTTTTTATGTATCCACTCATAAATATTATTTTAATACTCTTTATTATTGAAGTAACCCTTTTCATTCATATTAATTTTGGTTACTTGGATGATCCATTTTCAAAAGTAAAATTCGTATTACGATATGAAAGCTATTCCTTATTTGAGAGTGACCTGGATCAACAAAAATAAATGGTTGTACGAACACAGTTCGGCCTTTTCTTATATTTCCTCTCATATGAAAAAAAAAAAAAAAAAAAAAAAATTGGATATTTTCTTCTTTCTTTTCTCTTATTTTCTTCCCTTTCCTTTCATTCTATATTATGTATTATATTACTCTTCTTATATTATTGTGTATTTCTTCCATAAACTGTTTGAACTTTATCATTCCTTTACCTAATACTCTAATCATTGCAGGCACAAGTTCTTTTGTGACATGGGGTGGTTTGGGCAATGCTACAGCTACCAACTTGTATCTCGCTAATGGACCCACAACAGATCAACTGACTATTATCAATATTTTTGGTCAGAATCTACCTAGTTCAACAACTTCCATGTGGATCACCATACCAAAGGATGCTCCAAACGACAACACCTATTTAGTATTAGAAGGCAATGATACACCTCCATCAAGAGCCACTGTTCCTCTCACTATTTCCTTTGGCGCAACAACTACTCCATCAGCAGTTCCTACTGGTCCTTCATCATCATCATCATCATCGATACCCTCATCCTCTGTCAAAGCAACCTCTTCATCGATTGTTCCATCCTCTTCTTCTTCTTCAGTCAAATCGTCTTCCTTCTTTTCTTCCCATACATCATCATCGAATGATCCATCTTCTACTCCTTCATCAAGCCCTTCATCCTCCGACAGTGAAGTCTTGTCATCAGGTCAAACAGCCGGTATCATTGTAGGTGCTATAGGCGCTGCTGGATTGGTAAGTTTTTTTTTTTTTATTATTTATTTTATTTTTTAAACTTGTATATTCATTCATCTCTTTATTAGACTCTTGCAGTGATCTTTTTTATTCGACGAAAACGACGACATGGAACACAAAAGAGGAACACGGAATTATTCAATGAAAAGGGAAATGATATGTTAGGACGACAATATGGATATGATGATCAACACTATAGAACGTTACCATTTGAATCAGCCCAACTACCAGATCAATCGTCTTATGCAAGAACTCCAGTCACAGATCCATTCAATCCACCAGTGTACTATCCCATGAAATCTTTGGATACAAGCAACAAAGAACATATATCATCAAATACTCAATTACCTTCATTTGCCCCATCAACAGAATCAATACATAAACCTGATGAAGCAACCTTCGCCGATCGTCCTGACAAACCTCATACCAAATAATTGTTTTAGACATCAATGTAGTTTTATTCCATTACTGTATCATCTTTCAATAAAGTTGTATTCTCTATTTTATTACTGTATGAAATCAATTTGAAAATCAAGTGTTATGTGTGTCAATTTTACATGTTATCATATCATAGATTACTGTGGAAAATATATTGACATTCAGTACAATTCGATGGTAAATATATATTGTACATAGTGATTCCTTAAAAATAATATGTTTAAAGAATGGTTCATAAATACTATGTACGCGTTTCTCGTTCAGAAATAATAATGCTTTGACCTGTTATCATAGGAACTTTATAAGGAAATCCTTGTCAGTGTACGTGGGGGTAGTGAAAAAAGCAAGTCATCTAAAGTCGAGCCATATTGTAATAAATGTCATTTAAAATAAAATAAACCATATCCAAGTCAAATTTACAGCATTGGTTAAGGTAGTAAAAACATCATCCGCTCTTTTTTTTTTTATGTATGTATTTGACAACAATGCTTTTCGGACAGTGAATATTTCCTGTTTCCTTTTCACTCTTGAATCCATTCTTTTTTTTTTTTTTTTTTTTTTTTTGAAATCTTTCTTTTTTTCCCTTTTCTTTTATTCATGGGTGTTGCAGGTTTATGGGATATCATTTCTCCTGCTGAAAAAAAGTATTCCTTGGAAGAACTTGCTTTAGATCATATTGATCGATACAACAAAAGACTCCGTGTTGCTATTGATGTATCCATATGGGGGATTCAAGCACAATCAACTCAAGGTGGACTGTAAGTTTCAATTGTAAAAATAAAAATAAAAATAAAAAATACATAGTTAACTTGGATTATTTTCTTTTTTTTTTTTTTCTTTAAAATATCTATTAGACTTCGTACCATGTTTTATCGCTGTTGTCGACTTTTTAGTTTAGGGATTCGACCAGTTTTTGTATTTGATGGAGACCAACGACCGGCTTACAAACGAAATAAGAACATTAACACAAGTCAAATCAATACAACAGAACATCATTTATTGGTTGCTATGCTCAAATTATTCAACTATGCTACCTGGCAAGCGGCTGGAGAGGCTGAAGCTGAGTGTGCTGTACTTCAACGACTAGGCTATGTGGATCTTATTTTTACAACGGATGTGGATGTGTTTTTATTTGGAGGACAACGTATGGCTCGCAAATGGCCATCTGCTGATTATGAACCTATCTCTTGTGTGGATATCGATTGGATTCAAGAAACAACAGCTTTGGATCGAAGTGATTTGATATTTATGGCTCTCTTTGGTGGTTCGGATTATGGTTCTGGGGCGAATCGCATTGGCATCCATTACGCTCAAGCGTTGGCTAGACTGAAATATCATTGGGGTTTTCTGGATACGATAGAAGAAGCAGTTAACAACAAAAATAATAATAACCTCACGCATGACGATATTGAAATTCAATTGCAACAGATGCTGGATGATTTACAACATGAATTGAGCACCAATCAATTAGGATATTTACGTCGACGAAAAAGCACCATTGACCTGAACACACTGATTGATCATGAACAACTGATATCATTGGCAAAGGATTGGATTCATCCAAAGACTGCTATATTGGATGCAACTCATATTGAAGCTGCCAAAACCATGAACTTTTTATTGAACGATGAACATGTGACTCCTGATTTTGTCTCTCTTGCCAGCTTCTGTCAGGTCCAATTTGAATGGTCAAAGGCTGTGACCATCGACAAGTTCGCCAGAAAAATATATCCCGGTTATATGCTTCAACGTATTCTTTATCAAGCAAAGCAATCCATACGTCATCCTGGATTATCACAACAACAAGGACATCATCATCATTTACCACGGCAACATCTGCATCCTTTTTTCGACAAGTATTATTATAAGCATAATAAATTACATGCGAACAGCAATGTCAGGCAAATGGAAAAGACACCTATGGATTTATATCGTATTCATTCAATGGAGGCTGTCTCCCGAAGGAAACATGGCACCCGTTCACAAAAACTATCTCGATGTCGTGTGGAATGGCAATCTACTACTTTGGAAACGTTTTTGATCATGGTGAAAAGGGAGTTACTGGACGATATTGGATGTAGCGTAGACAGTACTCAAATGACTAGTATAACTCAGGCTGAACATGTTGATGTATCTCCAGAAATGAATTTTTCTCAAGATATTGATAGCCTTGGATCAACCAGTAGTATGTACAAACGGCAGGATTCCGAAAATGACGATCTTATTGATCTTACAGCTGAACGATCATCATCATCATCATCACCACCATTATCAGTAGCGCCAGCCATAGGTCCACCAACAATCAAGAAACTTACAACGTCTACATCATCATCATCTTCTAAATCAACCACGACGAATATTACCAACAAATCAGAGAAAAATTGGATGTATGATTATTGCAACCCGAAGAAATGTTGCCGACAATGGATTGGATTTAGATTGTTGCGTAAAGTATACCCTAGAATGATAGAGGATCATCTGTTATCAGCAAAGTCCAAACGACATCGCAAGAACACCAAATTGGATGAACATCAAAAGACATTGGAAAGTTATATTATCACAAGCAGCCAATCCTGTGTCAGCGATGATGATATCATAAGCAACGACGATTCATTTAGCAACGACAATACCATTCCATCACAAAAAAGAACGACTCAAACAGCTCTTGATGATTATTTATTCACATCTTAGAATACCTAGATATCTTTTTATTATTCTTTTAGCTCTTCATTAAAGTAAATAAAAATCATTTTGTTTGTATATGAGATGTCAAAAAATGGGCGAAAAAATTCCCACTTTGATTCCCCGACTCTTTTTTTTCGTTTCTCGTATAGTTTAGACGTTGTGTTTAGAGTCCCCTTTTTTTTTTTTTTTTTCTTCCTACAAGTTTATCAATGTAAGTTGACACACCGTGATGCGCCAATAAAAAAAAAAATAAATGAACGGAACCATACTGCCGAAAGAAATAGATACGAACATATGAACGATTAGATGGATGGATGGATGGATGGATGGATGGATGAATGAATGAACTGGATGATACGACATGATTCTTTTCATTTTGACAACAAGGACATGGAACCATTAGGCAGTATGGGTTCCGGAAACGAATGGACGAAATGAACCGATATAGTTTTTTTTTTTTTTTTTTTTTTTTTCATCAACTCATTTTTTTTTTTTTTTGTATGTATATGGATTAGATGTCTGCCCACGAAGAAAAGCCTGTGGAAACTCAAGTAGAAACCGCCCAATCCCGAGGTGAAAAGAAGGCTCGTAAGGCTATCTTGAATCAAGGTTTGAAGCAAGTGGCTGGCATCAACCGTGTCACCTTCACCCGTGCTGGTGGTATTGTGTTTGCCATTGCCAAGCCTGATGTCTACAAGAGTGTCAACTCTGATACCTTTATTGTGTTTGGTGAAATGCAAATGGAAGACATGCGTGCTCGTGCTCAAGAAGCTGCTGCTCAACAATTGGCTGCTGAAGCTGCTGCCAAGGCCGATGAACCTGAAGCTGCTGAAGCCTCTACTGCTGTCGAAGAAGAAGAAGATGAAGAAGAAGTCGATGCTACTGGTATTGAAGAAAAGGATATCGAATTGGTCGTTGGTCAAGCTAATGTCTCTCGTAACAAGGCTATCAAGGCTTTGAAGAACAATGATAATGATATTGTCAATGCTATTATGGTAAGTTTTTTTTTTTAATGGCATTATTTGGAAATACTCAATTTTTTTTTTTGCATGATGCATTTAGGAACTCACCATGTAATGATACTCCCACCATTAAAGATTTAGTATAGCTTTTCCTTTTTTGTCTTCTTTTTTTTTGGTTTTTCCCATTTTGTCTATCAATGTTTTACAATAAAATCTTCATGTAAAAATAATATTGTTATTTTTTTTGGACGTTGAAGTTTGAACAAAGTGGATGATTGAATGTCAATATGGTAATCACCTTTAGGATGAAAAAGCATCTTTTGCTCTTTTTGCATTAAATGAATGTGTTTTAGAAATGACTTGTTGAAATTAGATGACGATCATCGATAGACTTAGAAACTAGATACTCTGTTCTAATGATGATGTTGGTAATCCCGTAGTACTGATGACCGTATTGCCGACAGTAATGATGATGGTGAAAGTGACGATGGTACTGCTGACGACAATGACGCTGATTCTACAGAGATAATTATCATCATGAAGAATGATCGTAACCGACAAGTTGGATTTACTAAACTCCTTTAAGCTTAAAAACCTATCAATCATTGTGAGTCAATTTAAATTTTTGCCCGTACATGAAAGCGGGGATTACTCCGCGATCTTTTTTTTTTGAAAATTGACTCATCCTTTCTTTTTTTTTTTCTTTTCTCACTCGTTTATCTATTATGCTGAAACGACTTTTAATTCAGCCTGGCATTAGACAAAGATTGACATGTCGTTTATTTTCAACTACAAAGAATGAACCAAAGGTAAATGGGTGACATTCTATATTTAATAACCAACTCATATATGCATTCTTTATTAGGAATCAAAAAGTGAAAATCAAGATGTCAGGGTATTTGGAATAAAAAAAAAAAAAAAAAAATGACAAGTATTGACCAACTTTTCTTTTTTTTTTTTTTTTTCTGTAGGAACTTTTGGTGAATTTAATGAATACCTCACCTAGCAAACGAGAACTTCAACAATTCTTAAAACGATATGTACCTCAGCAGCAACCTTTCGAACGTCCATTGGGATATACCGACAACAAGACAATGGGTATACTGTCTCCGAAAGAATATGTTTCTGATCTATTGTCACCTTCATACACTAATCAAATTGCTTTAACCAAAGTCCAAGGACCTTTTGCGAAAATGGAATGGCAGGCGGTGGGCAAGACTCTGTACAAACTTCAAAAACTTGGATTAACTTCTATCGTGGTGACAGACAGTTTGGCATGGAAGACGGATAAAGTCTATTCTCTCAAAGAAAGGGGGCTTATGATGGTGCGTGAAAGTATGGCTTTAGTGGAAGCCATAGAGAAAGCGGGTGGTCGTGCTCAATTGATCTATGGTGGTGGTGTACTGGAATACAACAATGAATTGGATGTCAATTTGGACTTTATCTATCCTGCACTCAACAATCAACAAATCCCCATCATTATTCCCATGGTACAACAACAACAACAACAACAGTTAGAAGATCGTACCGATTTGCATCAACCGGATGCCAACGATGTGATGATCGCTTTGACACAAAAATTGGTTAGCAAAGGTCAATTTGATCCTCGACTGACAGCACCGTCTAAAATTGTCGTTATCAATAATGAAGGTGGCATTCCCAATCATGAACATCTTGGCAATACAGCACACAGTTTGATCAACGTCCAAGAAGAATACGATATCATTGTCAATGCATTCCAACAACAACCTTCGTGGCAATCCAGTCATCCAAGCGCATTGCCCAATCTCAACATGATTCGATCGTGTCTTGCTCAGTTACCTCCAACAACATCATCAGCAGTGATTGTACCTTCGTCTTCTTTACCCTCTGCACTGATCGCCAACCTGGTTACCGACAAGCCATTATACTCTTCTTCATTACCCATCGACAACAAGGACAACATCCAACGGGTCAATCAGTCAAAAACAACGGTTCTGCGTCACGGCATCAAGATACACACTTACACACGATTGGAAGAGTTGGATTTACCACGCCTAACAGCATTATTGGAAGCAAGCTTCAATAGGAAACTGGATGTGGATGCTTACTACAAACGACTTGATCATCATTTGGCAGGGGCCATCATCGCTGGCGATTATGAAGGTGCTGTCATCATGACAAATGAAAACTCACATCATCCTATGTATTATCTTGACAAGTTTGCCATTGCTCCTACCAGTCAAGGCATTGGATTGACAGACATTCTTTGGAAACGCATGTGTGATAGTTATCCTGAACTTTTATGGCGAAGTCGAAAAGACAATGGTGTCAACAAATGGTAAAAAAAAAAAAAAAAAAAAAAAAAAAAAAAAGGAAGTTTTTTTTTTTTTTTTTATTATTTTTGATCACTTAATTTTTTTTTTTTTTATATATAGGTATTTTGAACGATCCAATGGATACCTACGATTACCGGATTCTAATTGGGTGTTGTTTTGGCATGGATCCAATGGTCATCAACAACTGAAAGCATATACCAAGATTGCCAAGGATATTCCCGCCTCTTTTGTATAAACTTTTTTTTTTTTTTTTACATACACACATAGAATAGATTGTACACTTTATTCAATAATAAATGACGGAAATAAGATATCGCAAAAATAGGAACTAAAATATATAGTAAGGATAGAAAATAGATGACAGAAGAAAAAAAAAATAAATAGTTGACGCAAAATCAAATGGAGAATATAAGAAGAAGAAAAAAAAGAAGAAGAGTGGCAGTAGTTCCATTGAGTATAAGAGATTTTGAATAATAGAAAAATATATAGATATGTTTAGTCAACATATCCATTTTTTTTTTTTAATATTTCATTTAACTTACCTGTATAAATACATCTCATGAAGAAGTGATAACATATTTTTAAATGTTGCTGTTTACAGGTTGATTATTCACTTTGAATTGGAAACACCAAAGGAAGATTTCAAAAAAAAAAAAGAAGAGAATGATTAATATACCGTATCATCATCAATCATCAATCAATGTGTTTTGACATATTCTAGAGCGATATCTAACAAAAAAAAAAAAAAAAAAAAAAAAAAAAAAAAAGAAAACGTTAATGCGACATCCATTTTGGGAAAGACCGATATTTTTATTTTATAATATCATTATTTTCTCGACAAGAAAACTTTGAAAACATTGTCTTTTTTAAAATCTATTGATTCCTATTTATCATTCAAAATAAACTTTTGTTTTTATATACAGTAACAGTATGGGAAAATAAACATCATTTTTTTTTTATTAAGAGCACATAGGATATACTACAAAGAAGAACTATACAAACAGATATATACTAAAAAAAAAAAAAAAGGATTCATCGATGCATGGGATTTTCATCAATAAATAAAAGACCATTGCTTTGCTTGGGACTAAAGTAACGGAATCGGGTTTTGGGAGGAGTTCGATGCTTGATGTCAGAATTATGTTGGAGGACATTTGTAGAAAAAGAGATTTGTTGACCTGATGATTTTCGTTTTTTCATACAAGGTTTTCTGTGATGCTTAGTTTTGTTGTGATACTGAATACGTTCCATAAGCCATTCTTCCAATTGTCGAAAGTTGCTGTTGTTACATTCTCGTAGTTCATATGTATGTTGTACTAATGTCAGAGAGGATTGCAAAGCTTGTAATAAAGTGTCCTTGGTCCCTACTTGGTATAAAATCCGTTGCCTGATACTACTATTATCTTGTATTCGATCCAAAAAGTCCAATGCTACCGAGATAATTTCAGCCGCACGCCATAATTCGTCTCGATCAAATCCACATCGTAATACCAAAGGATAATCCATAATACAGTGGTGGAAAATAGTCAACTGATCCAAGGCTGCTTGTAAGCAAATGTTGAGAGATCGCCATTGAAGAAAATGAGTAGCATCCATGAGATAATTATCATCATCAGGAATATAGAGTTTATGTAAGATGATCCGAGTGGCATTGAATTCCAGATGGACACGTGCACGAACAAGGGAAATAGCGCTTGCATCATAGGGTACATTGGATTGTAAATTTGAAGGTAAATGTTGTAAAAATTGATCTAGTTGAGAGTCGAAGGTAGCTAGTAAATCGTAATCGACAGCCGTATTATCATCACTTGTTGAAGTATAGTGATGTTGTACAATATCCGCTTGCATTCGCCATATCGAGAGACAATGTTCATTGACCAGGATACCATATTCGGATGCACCGTCGCAATCAAATGACCATAACCGTGGAACCCGTATACGTCGAGATGATTCATTATCATCTTGCAAATAAAAAGGCATAGTTGTCGAGCTACCAGAAGATGATACTGCAAAATCATTCATCCAAGCCATCCACCAGAGTCGTGTATCCAATTCGGCTTTCCAAATATCATCCTTGTTATCATCATCATCATCCCCTGGTCGAATTTGTAGAGATTGAAGAGCTTGAACCGCCATTGACATATAAATCGCTTTCTTTTTTCTATCCACTCTGTAGCTCATCAAGATGATCCCCATAATATCGAATCGAGTGATAGCATTGTCATCATCATCAAAAAGTACTTGTTCCAAAGTGTGCTTAGCAGCGTTGAAAAAGAATTCTTCCATATCGCGTATCTTGGTAGGATCACGTCGCATACCTTCCAAAGCGGGTGGATATTGATGATGAGCAAACATATGTTTGAGTGCAAAACAAGCAATAGCATTGACGATAACGGAATCCAATCCTCTTGGTTGATCCATGATTGCCAGGATTTGTTGCCTAGGGAAGACAGGGAAATATCGAACCCAACAATCAAAGTAAGTATGAATACAAGCAAACACTGTCTGTTGTCTGAGAAGCATTTGTTGAAAAAACATGGGTATAGATTCAGAACCTCCTCCATTGATGTATAGTTGACCTAGTTCATAGAACCGTTGAAATAGATTGACAGGTTTGTTGCGGTATCGTTTGTTGCGAGGTACTAATTGACCGGATGAGGTTGATGAAGTTGTAGTTGATGAGGAAGGTGAAGTTGGTTCCATAACAAAGGATAAAAGATAATTCCTTAAACGAGCAATATCCGTAAAGTTGGTATCGAGACGAAGTCCATAGTCATTCAAACAGATACTGATAGTAGGTGGTATATTCTGTAATAGTTGTTGTTGTTGTTGATAATAATAGGGTTGGTCTTTTTCACAAGGGTCTGATATATAAAATGGTTGTTTATATTCAAGTGGAGTATCAGGAGGTGTAAGAGCGACGGTAGAATCATATGTAGACAAGTCTTCTTCCTCATCAAGAGATATTGAAGACCATGGTAAATATGATTGAGTTGAATGAATCATGTTGTATCATACTTTACATACATATATATATAAAACAAGAAAGAAAGAAAGAAAGAAAGAAAGCAAAAAAAGAAAAAGAAAGGGACAAGAGAACAAAAAAAAAAAAAAAAAGACTAATGAAAGATAGATAATTCGGTATTTGAATTATTAGGATTTGGTGGTACAAAAAGCATATCAATGATAATAATAGTATGACTATAATTGAATGACACCATCATAAATATATATATTTATATATATTTATAATGAGTTTTGTTTAATTATTTTTATATCTTTTTCAGCCAAAGGTTCATAAAGAAATATGGTCAATATAGTTAATCCCATTCCATATAAAAAGCAAATCCATTCTAAGGTTTGATCTAATTGAAGATATAAAGATATCAAATAGATAGACATCGGAGCCTCTGATAAAAAAAAAAAAAAAAAAAAAAGAATAAATATGATTATACAATCATCTCTCTCTCTCTCTTTTTATATATTTTACCAAACCAACATATTTAAAGGAGTTGACATTCTTCCATCTTATTTTTACTCCTTATTAGAATCAACTGTTTTGATATCTATCAATAAAAAAATAAGTGAAAATCATTATTCATGTGTCACATTCACTAAAATCTTATGATGATTGATCCCCTACGCCCCCTTTTTTTTTTGTTATTATAAAGAGATAAAATGATTAAATTATATAATATATATATAATGTATATTATATATATATATGTTATGTGAATTGATGTAGAATTATGATGATGATCAATTACTACCAGACTCCCTAATTTTTGATTCAAAGCTATCACACAGTATGATGTACAGTCATTCATAAATAAGATAGACAAATGCGTTTATTTTTATTGATATGTATGATAAGATAATAAAAAAGTATGAATTACATAAAAAGAAAATGAATAGTAAAAATAGACCTTAAAATAAAGTATCTTCGGATCTGAGGTATTCACCCACATCTGCTTGGTGGAAGGTAATAATATCAGTAGGCTGTAATTTCTTCATATCCACAGTTGATCTTGCTGTCACACCAAAACCCTATAAGGAAAAAAAAAAAAGAAGAAGAAATCATTATCTATCCCTACTATTTCTTTCTTTCTTTCTTTCTTACCAGTGGACTATCTGTCATGGAAAACACAACTACACCGGTGTGTTCTGGAGTGTCATCAGTAATACGTCCTAAATGTGCCTTCACCACATTGTTGCCATATAAGAAAGGCATTTCACCATTGGGTTTGATCCAGATTTTGTGCTATATATATATATATATATACGTTCATCAAACGTACAAAAAAAAAAAAAAAAAAGGTCAATACTCTAGGGTCAATACTCTACACAGATCATTTTTCCCTATCCAATATACCTTTGCGTATTGTGCCAAATAATCCAATGCTGTAATGTGAAGTGTGAATTTGCCAGTTTTTGTGAATTTACCAAAACATACACCCAAAGAACCTAATTGATCTCTTCCTACACTGACAGCTACTCGCATCATACTTTCACTATTGTATCAAAAAAAAAAAAAAAAGAGGATCACATATAGGTTAGTCTTTGATTCTTATCCTTTTATCAATAAATCACTATTAATGTATCCTTCTTTTTTTTTCATTCCTTCAGTTTACCTAAGATAATACACCTTGTTTTTATGAAGTCGAAAACAATAGGTTTCATCAGGACGATCGATCAAGTGTTTGATATTGGCACCAATACTATATTCAAAAAAAAAAAGTTGAGTAAGAATGGAATCAATAAAGTTATTTCTCCATTAATCACTTACTATTTAGCAAGCTTTTCGAATAGAGTGGTAGTTTCTTCGTTAGTAAGAGGTCTCATGTTATCAAGGAAAAAGAAAAAAAAAAGGTGTCGGTAATAGAAAGAAAAAGAACAAAAAAAAAAAAAAAAAAGATGCAATGCTTTTTCATCCAACTACTTCCAAGTCAAGCCACAGTCGGGAATTGAAACACAAGCTTGAATAAGGGGCAGTTCGTTTATGGAGATCATGCAAAACACTGATGACAATGATGATATTATTCAATATCATCATCACAAAATCATCCTACATTATTGTAAAAATAATTAAAAAAAGGTATATATTTTATTTGATTGAAAATAATCTACAGCATTTAAAGGTATATAACACTAACTAATTGTTTTTGCTGTAAGGAGGGAAATCGATGTAGCCAACAGGTCCAGTGGAATATAAAGTAGGACGATGATACGGAGCAATCGGCCAGTTGTTGCGTATGCGTTCCACCAAATCAGGATTACTGGTGAAAGCTCTACCTATAGCCACCAAATTATTGGGTGATGTTTCAGCACGATGAAAAGAAGATTTGATATCAAAAGTATAATGACCAGCAGAAATAAAAGGACCAGACCAGAGAGCACGGAAAGGGTCAAGTGTATCCACCTTCTCACCTTCTTCAGGACCATCTAGCAAAAGATTCACACGAGGTTCGATGTAGTGAAGATACGCCAATCCAGGGTGGGTTTTTTCAAGTTGTTCAGTAATGTAACTCCATGTAGCAACAGGTGTATCATCTTCCATATCTTGAAATTCAGACCAAGGACTAAAACGAATAGCAGTCTTGTCATCACCAATAGCCTTTGCCACAGCATCCACCACTTCTAACGGGAATCGAGCTCGATTCTGTATTGACCCACCGTATTGATCAGTACGTTTATTACTTGATGTATTGATGAATTGATCCAAAAGATAACCATTGGCAGCATGAATCTCTACGCCTATCAACGCAGAAATAGATATATGTTATAAAAAAAAAAAAAAGGATGAATAAAAATATCAATGATCAAAAATAATTCATTATTAGTATTTCATTTTTTTTTTTTTTTTTTACCATCAAATCCTGCAGCAATAGCGTTTTCGGCAGCACGAACGAAATCTTGAGTGATGGATTGGATTTCTTCAATTTCCAAAGCACGAGGGGTTTCATAGGGAAACCCCACATAAGAGATACCTTTCACAGCAATTGGAGAGGCTGACACAGGAGGATGATTATCAGGGAACATATAAGCAGGTGATGTTCGACCATGATGAAAGATTTGAAGAAAGATGATTGCGCCCTTATCATGAACAGCATCCGTCACTTTTTTCCAAGCCTCGATTTGTTCAGTTGTATAGATACCAGGTGTTCCAGGATAACCACCAGCATCGTGTGAAATAACAGTGCCTTCTGCAATAAGTAATCCACCTGGAGTAGAACGTTGTTTGTAGTATTCGACACTGTCATCAGTGGGCTTGTGGTCGTCATCATTTCGCATTCTTGTCAAAGGAGGAAGCACAATTCTATGTTGTAAAGTATGTTTTCCGATCTTGATGGGAGTGAATAAAGTAGGAGTAATGGAAGGCATTATTAAAAAAAAAAAAAAAAAAAAAAAGGTACGTGCAAAGAGATAATAATAAAAAAAAAACAAGTGTGGAAAAAAAAAGAGAAAAGAAGAGAATTATCCATCTTTTATAGCATGATGCTTGCCATGTTGAATCCCCGCACATGATGTAATTCAATCAATCGATAACATTGATGATTAATACAAAAAAATTGAGAAAACATTATGTGGCTCTATAATATCATTTAAGCAAAAGAAAACATCAGATGATATCTTGGTGATCGTTAATAAAAAAAAATTGGTAAGTTTGTGCGTCTTCTTCAGTCCGCATTGACACTTATTTGCTAACGAACGCATAGAAAAATCAAGTCGGATATAATTTATCCGCTTTTCTTTAATGGATAAAACCTCTCCATACATTAGATTTCTCATCATTTCATGTTGAAAACAAAAAAAAAAAAATCAATTTTTATTAGTGGATATTAAAGAAAAAAAAATACATATACTAAGAGCATCTAAATAAACTATTAAAAGATAAATATCTAATTCTATTAAATTAAACTAATTGTCTTGATTGTAAAAAGCGTAATCAGTATAACCTTCAGGTCCAGGGGTATAAAACGTAGCACGATTGTAAGGAGTGAGTTTCCAGTTGTTGCGAAGGCGTTCTACTAAATCAGGGTTGGCGATGAAAGCTCTACCTACAGCCACCAAGTTATTGGGAGAAGTTTCAGCACGTTCGAAAACAGACTTTGGATCATAAGTGTAGTTGCCAGCAGAGATAAAAGGTCCAGACCAGAGAGCACGGAAAGGATCAAGAGTATCCACTTTTTCACCTTCTTTCACTTCAATAGGAGCATCACCAAAGAGAGTAACACGAGGTTCAGTAAAGTGGAGATAGGCCAAATCAGGATGAGTCTTTTCAAGTTGTTCAGTAATGTAACTCCATGTAGCAACAGGAGTATCATCCTTCATATCTTGGAATCCAGACCAAGGACTGTAACGAACAGCAGTCTTATCATCACCGATCGCTTTTGCCACAGCATCCACTACTTCTAGAGAAAATCGGGCACGATTTTCAATAGATCCACCATATTGATCAGTACGTTTGTTGCTTGATGTATTGATAAATTGATCCAAAAGATAACCATTAGCACTATGAATTTCAATACCTATAGGTGATCAGAAAAGAAAAGAACCACTTAATAAAACAAAAAGCTACACCCTTCTTTTTTTTTTTTTTTTTTTTTTACCATCGAAACCAGCAGCAATTGCATTCTTGGCAGCTTGAGCAAAATCTTGAGTAATAGACTTGATTTCTTCGACTTCCAAAGGACGAGGTTTTTGATAGGGAGCACCCAAAGGCGAGGTACCTTCAATAGAAATATCAGAAGCAGATACAGGAGTTTGATTATCAGGCAAAAGGAAGGAGAATGAAGCCCGACCAAGATGCCAGAGTTGAAGATAAATAATACCTTCCTTTTCATGAACAGCATCCGTTACCTTTTTCCAAGCTGCAATGTGTTCATTAGTATAAATACCGGGAGTATGAGGATAAGCACCAGCATAAGGGGAGATGGCAGTCGCTTCAGTGATTAGTAATCCACCAGGAGTAGCACGTTGCTTATAATATTCAACAACTTGTTCAGTAGGATTGCCATTGTCATCAGCACGCATTCGAGTCAAAGGAGCTAAAGCAACTCGATGTTTCAAAACATGTTGACCAACTTTGATAGGCGTGAATAAAGCAGTTGTAGTAGCAGAAGGCATTATAAAAATTTGACAGAAAAAAAAAAATAAAAAGGGAAAAAGGAGAAGAAAAAAAAAAAAAGAGAATTTATAAATTCAGGACAAATGAAATTCAATTTCCGGTTGCTTATGAGTGGGTGATTTTTGGAAACTACTGGATAATCTGTATCTCAATCTGATCATTACAAATGCATTGATGAAGATGACGGTGATGACTGATACTCCCTAATGACGACTGTAAACATGGTAAAAAAAGGTCATTCATAATTGAATACATCATTTAAAATGCAATAATCACAAAAAATATGCTGAAAACTGGTGGTCATTTCATTTGATTACTAATAGTGGATGTACTATTATGCATGAGCCATCATCATATTATCCATCAATACATTTTTCGTCATCCTTCGTTCGCCATTTGTTATCGTAAATTCCTCATGATCCAATCATCCCATTATCCCATCATTCCGTCATTGCATGACCGCATTATTTCATTATCGCATCATCGATAATTACAAGGTAGGAAGATCATACCATAAAAAAAAAAGGTAGATATGTATATGAATGTAACAATGGTAATAAAATTTATTGATGATATCTAAAAAAAAATAAAACTAATCCGTTGCATTGTAAAAAGAATAATCGGTATAACCTTCAGATCCTGAGGCATGAAAAGTAGCACGATTGTAAGGATTGAGTTTCCAGTTGTTGCGGAAACGTTCCACCAAATCAGGGTTGGCGATGAAGGCTCTACCTATAGCTACCAAATTGTTAGGAGAATGTTCAGCACGATCGAAAGCCATGTTTGCACCATAAGTATAGTTGCCACAAGAGATAAAAGGTCCAGACCAGAGAGCACGGAAAGGATCAAGGGTTTCCACTTCTTCACCCTCTTCCACTTGTTCCAGACTATCGGCAGCGGGATTAGAGCGAGGTTCAACAAAATGGAGATATGCCAAACTAGGATGTTTCTTTTCGATTTGTTCAGTGATGTAGCTCCAAGTAGCAACAGGTGTATCATCCTTCATATCTTGGAATCCAGAAAAAGGACTAAGACGAATGCCAGTCTTATCATCACCAATAGCCTTTCCAACAGCGTCCACCACTTCCAGAGTGAATCGAGCGCGATTTTCGATAGATCCACCATATTGATCAGTTCGTTTGTTGCTTGATGTGTTGATGAATTGATCCAAAAGATAACCATAGCCACTATGGATTTCTACACCTATGGAATGATATTTATAAAGAAAGAATAGGATGAGTAAAAAAAAAAAAAAAATATGATCCAATCATTAAGCAATATCCTTTGCCACTATTCTCTCTCTTTCTCTTTTTTTTTTTTTCTTTAATCCTTTTTTTTTTCACCATCGAAACCGGCCGAAATCGCATTCTTGGCAGCTTGAGCAAAATCTTGAGTAATAGATTTGATTTCATCTACTTCCAAAGGACGAGGTTCTTCATAAGGAGTACCAAACTGCGAGATACCTTCAATAGCAATATCAGAAGCAGATACAATAGATTGATTATCAGGCAAAAGAGAAGAAAAGGTAGTACGACCAAGATGTAAGAGTTGAATAAAGATAATGCCACCTTTTTCATGAACAGCATCCGTTACTTTTTTCCATGCCTTGATTTGATCGTTGGTAAAAACACCAGGAGAATGAAGGTAGCCACCAGCAAAAGGAGATATGGTAGTAGCTTCAGTAATCAATAAACCACCAGGAGTAGCACGCTGTTTGTAGTACTCAACAACTTGTTCAGTAGGATTACCATGATCATCAGCACGCGCACGAGTCATAGGTGACAAAACAACTCGATGTTTCAAAATGTATTGACCAAGTTTGATTGGAGTGAATAAAGCAGTTGTAGTAGAAGACATATCTTGTTTGAAGTTGTAAAAAAGTGAAAAAGAGTAAAAAAAAAAAAAAATAAAAAAAATAAAATAAAAGGGTAGAGAAAAAAAAAATAAAGTAAAGAATAAAGAAAAAGAGAGGCATGAATTTACGAAATGTCCAAATTTATACATTGAATCATGCGTTCAAGGTCCGAAGGGTTCCTTGTAACGGATGAATTATGTCAGTACCTGTCAGCACTTGTCAGCAACAATATCGGCCAATATATTCCGAAGTCATGCAAATCATATTACAATTTCTGTCAACGTCGATCAATATACTTCAAGATCATTACAATATTCATTAGTTTTTTTTTTTTTTTTTTTTTTTTTTTTTTTTTTTTTTTTTTTTTTTGGAAGGTAATAAAAAAATGAAATGATCGATTGAGCCTGTGATTGACTCTACATAACCTACTAAATTGCATGAATCTTATGCATGGTGACAGATGATGACATGTGATAGAGTATATGGAACTCTTACAATGATAAAAATGCCAAAGATGAATGGATGACAAATGACGCTATGATGATATACGATGGATGACAGTTTTAAAAAGAGAGAAGACGTAAAAGAATAAACAAAGACAAGCTAAATATATATGTTTATTTTGTTCCTTTTTAAAAGTAAAATTCTAAAAGTCAATAAAATAAAACAAAAATATCTAAACTATTATACAATAAGATAAGAATTCTATCAAACTAATTTTTTTCATTGTAAAAAGGATAATCTATGTAACCGACAGGACCAGGGGTGTAAAAGGTATCACGATCGTAAGGATTAAGTTTCCAGTTGTTGCGGAAGCGTTCCACCAAATCAGGATTGGCGATGAAGGCTCTGCCTACAGCCACCAAGCTGTTGGGAGATTGTTCCGCACGATCAAAAGCCATCTTTGCATCATAGGTGTAATTGCCAGCAGAGATAAAGGGTCCAGACCAGAGTGCACGGAAAGAATCAAGCGTATCCACCTTTTCACCTTCTTTTACTTCATCAGGAATAAGAGGTTCAACAAAATGGACATAGGCCAAGCCAGGATGGGTCTTTTCGAGTTGTTCAGTAATGTAACCCCACGTAGCAACAGGAGTATCATCCTTCATACCTTGATAGCTGGAAAACGGGCTAAAGCGAATAGCAGTCTTATCGTCACCAATGGCCTTTGCAACAGCATCTACTACTTCTAAAGGGAATCGAGCACGATTTTCGATGGATCCACCATATTGATCAGTACGCTTATTACTTGATGTATTGATAAATTGATCCAAGAGATAACCATTAGCCCCATGAATTTCAACACCTGGATGAATGATCCCAAAAAAAAAAAAAAAAAAAAAAAAAAAAAAAAAAAAACGTTATTGATCTGGATTATTTGATTTCCTTTTTTAACACACACATATATATATTTGTAAGCGCTAATTACCATCAAATCCGGCGATCATCGCGTTTTTAGCAGCTTGAGCAAAACCTTGAGTGATAGCTTTGATTTCTTCCACCTTTAAAGCACGAGGAGTTTCATAAGGAAGACCAATATCAGAAGGACCTTCGACCGGAATATCAGAGGCAGATACTGGAGGTTGTTTGTCAGGTAAAAAGGCAGAAAAGGTAGTGCGACCAAGATGCCAGAGTTGAAGATAAATAATACCTTCCTTTGCATGGACAGCATCCGTTACTTTTTTCCAAGCTTGAATTTGATCATTGGTGTAAATACCGGGAGTATGAGGATGTCCACCAGCCAAAGGATTGATCCATGTAGCTTCTGCGATAAGTAAACCACCTGAGGTAGCGCGTTGTTGGTAGTATTCTACAACAGTATCTGTAGGGTTTCCTTGATCATCAGCACGATAACGAGTCAAAGGGGCTAAAACAACTCGATGTTTCAAAACTTGTTGACCAATCTTGATAGGAGAGAATAAAGTAGATGGCATCGTAAATAAAAGAGTTTTAAGTGATAGAGAGAAAATGGAAATAAAAATGTAAAGAAAAGAAGATCAAAAAAAAAAAAAATGAAAAAAAAATTGATTTTATATTGGATCAGAGCATGACCTATTTTTCCGTCTCCGGAAAGACTTGTAAGATCTTTGTCAAAACCCAAAAAAAAAAAAAAAAAAAAAAAAATACTGCGGATAAAAATAATACCGTCTTACTCATCCGTCTTCAGCCAATAATATTCACAGAAATAGAACCGCAGGAGTAGATAATGGAGAAAGAAGCACATCTTTATTGAAGTAAAATATAAATAATGAATTTTCCCTCCCTAATGACAAAAAAAAAAAAAAAAAAAAAGGAAGAGAGAGAGTCTATAAAAGGAATTGGTATGTACACTATGAATGATCAGTCCGCAACTTGTCCAATTGGAATGCATGAATCACAGTAGCCTATATACATAATAGAAATCAAGCATTAGTTAAAAAAAATACTTTCTTTTTTTTTTGTATTAAATAAATAATCTGAGTATATTTACCGGTTTCTTGCTCCATCCTAGTCGCGTGATGGTATCTTTAGCAGCATTGGTATTTGATTTATTGTCATCTTGTATTGTAAGTTCAGGTAATCTTCTGATTTCTGTTCCATTCTGAAAGAGGACCAAGGTAGGAAGATCAAAAGAAGCAGGATCTCGACTTACGCCAAATTCTTGAGCAATATCAGTATAGATATCAACATCAATTTTCCCTTTTAATGAAGGTAATTAAAAAAAAAAAATGTATCAGTATATCACCATGTTACCATTTATTTATTTGATCCTTTTTTTTATTACTTACCAAATTTGATATGACTGGCATCATATTGTAAAGAGAGTTTAGCCAAAACAGCTTCAAAATTCAGGCACGAAATGGACCAATTAGCATAAAGCATCACCACCCAGTATTTGACATTGTTATTATTATCATCATCGATTTCGGTAATCCTTGGACCTTTGATTTCATTGATGGGAACCGTTGATGTTGTTGAAGATGGTGATGATGTAGTTGTTGAAGACGATGAGGATGTTGGTTTCTTTTTGACAGGACATACTTTGTTACGAAAGGAAGATTCAGTCAGTTCGATCAATTTTGTTGGTCCACGGTACCATGGTTGAGGAAATATAGTCGACAGCCTATGAAAAAAGAAAAAAAAAATTCAGTAAAAAAGTCGTGACAAGGAATCATTCGACTTTATCCAAAAATGGATGTACACACACACACACATATATAGACATATATAATGACATAGCATCGATATACATTTCTTCATCATCATATCTCTTTATTCGAATTCCACAACTTACACTATCCATCCGACAATGTAGGATATTGTTTTCCATATACCAGCATTCCAGTAAAGAGACCACAATGTAAAGACTTTGGTATACAATATCAAGACACTTGTCAGTTCTTCGGCTGTTGAGGCCATCACGCACTTCCATATACCAAGACCAACCATCAACAAAAGAGCGTTACTATCGACATCCTATATAAAAACACACGTAAAAAAAGAAAAAAAGAAAAAAGAGTTAGACGATTGAGTATCAATATAAAAAAAAGTGAGAGGACATACAGTAAGAGGACGGTTTTGAACAAGATGAAAAAGACGATAAAATACAAGAAAGGAGCCATATACAAAGTGTAAGACATAGTATGGATGAAATAGTCGTTGACGTAGTTCCTGTAAAGATGTCATTATGATGTGAATTTGTATAAAAAGAAAAAGAGAAAAGAAAAGAAAAAGAAAAAGGATAGAAAAAGAAAGAAAAAAAAATTTATTGTCGGGCTCAAAAAAAAAATGTTGGTCATGTCCATCAGGCTACTGCTTACAATGATTTGCTGATAAAATAATAAGAGTTACATGTCCCATGAACTATTCATCATTTCAACTAAGAATAGATGACTTGAAATTATCACATGCTGCTATTGGGTTGTTATTCTTTTAACAGTAGAAAAGTTTCTGAGCAAAAAATAGTATCAAAAAAAAAAAAATGTAACCCAGCGCCAGTTAATTTGACATGAGATGATGACATGAAGGCTTTTCATTTTTTTAATATATAAATGAATTCAATGCTTTATTAATGAAAATGATAATCAATAAGAGGTAGAGGGAGGGGGGGAAAATCTATACTATTCTATGTAAACTGTATTAAATAAAGATAAACTATATATATATATATATTGGTATGTAAGAATAAAAGGCAAAACAGAAGGGTAAAAGAAAAAAAAATAAGCTAATTAATATGAGTGGAAACAGGTACATAACCTAAAGATGTTTGTCGATGTTGTTGATAACGATCCAATTCCATTTCTTCATCTTCCTTTCGTTGTTGAATCCATCCACGTAGTTTTCTTTGTATGGTTTTCCCCCAAAAGATAGGAATTAATGATATTAGAGACACCAATAGTAGTTTGATCATCAAAGAGACAGTCAAGATATCAGAAGTTGAAGAAAGTTCACCTAATACTTCACCAGCTTGAGCACAAACAAAATTATAAGGTAGAGATCCCAAAAAAGTTGACCAAAAAAAAGGTACTACAGAAATACCCAATAATGGAGATGCCAAGTTGATAAACCTAAAAAAAAAAAAAAAAAAAAAAAAAAAAATAGATCATCATCATTATCAATCCTATACTTATTTTTTTTTTTTTTTTTTTTTTTTTTTTTTTTTTTTTTTTTTTACCAGTAAGGGGAAAAGGGAAAAAGTCTAGCAAATAATAACCACCAAAAGAGACCTGTTGATTTTCTTTCTTTTTCCATTTGTTCCCGCATCAAGTCAGCACGATGTCGTATCCAAGCCATTTCCATTGCAGGTTGACCCACTAACCAACCAAAAAAGTAGGCCAAGGTGGAACCTAGACCTGTCAAGTAACTTGTCCATAAACTCCCGGCCACTACACCATATAAATGTCCAGATAGTAAATTGAGTAAAACACACCCAGGCATAGAAAATCCTTGTTGCCACACATAGATAGCTGCAAATACCATAACAACCTTCACATAGTCCCACCAGGTACCTTCATGAGTCATTGTATCCAGTTGTGTTGCTATTGATTGAACATCTTGTAATGTATGTGGTAGATCGATATTCAATACAAGGTGTGTTAATTGGATTAATAAATAGAGTGATACAGCACCCACAGAAGCAAACAAAGCTAACCTTGGTACAAGTCGTTGCCATGCTTGCCAACCAGATTCATATTGTTTAGGGTAATATTGTTCTTCTTGTTCTTCCTGTTCCACTGTCCTTTTATCATCGTCTTCTTCACCAAACTCGTTCAAAGTGTCATGTATACTTGAGTTTAACCGAGTGACTGACATGGGTGAATTAGATAATAAAAAGGAACGGAGAAAGGAAGTTATATGGACTTTTTTTTTTTTTTTTCCTTTTTCCCAGGTATGGATGAAGGGTTCAGAATGATTTCAATGACCGCCTTTTTTTTTTTGTGGACGCATCGGCAAAGTATCCGGCCGAATTCATATTTTATCTTTCTCTCTCTCTTCTTTTTTTTTTTGTTTTTTTCTGCCTTTGATTATGCCTTCATTGCAGATCATTGATCAAGAAAACGATGATATCAATTTGAATCAAACCACTCATCAACCTTTATGTTATATGTAAGTCATTTTTCCCATCTTTGATTTATTTATTTTTCGCTTTATAGTAACTTATTATTATTCCATAGATGTCAAAAACAATCTTCCAACTATATTTGTCCAAGATGTAACCTACGTTATTGTTCACTTTCCTGTTATAAACATCAACAACATGCTTCTTGTACGGAATCCTTTTACAAAGATAGTGTTATGGCGGAAATCAAGTCTTTGGATGCATGTGATCTCAACAAGAAAACAATGAAGAAGATCTTGAACAAGTTTGAAGCCGAGAATGATCAATTAATATTGGATGAGCAACCATTAGACGACCAACTTGATACCAATATGAAAACAATGGAACAACGATTTGGTAGTATGAATATTTCACAAACTGATGCATCAGAGATCTGGGATTTACTTTCTCCACAAGAACAGCATGATTTTCAAGCTTTACTTCAACTGGATGCATGGAATACTTTGAATTTACCCGAATATGAACCATGGTGGACCACTCGTGCTTCCAAAATAACATATATAGAAGAAGACGATCAAGAGGATGATAACGACACTACACTGCCGCCTGAACTACCTGCTTTACCTACTGCTATTCCTGCATTGACTGATATTATGAAATCATCTCCTGCGCCACATTTGATTTATCATCTGGTTCATGTACTAATGACTTATGCTTATCTGGCTCGACAATCTATGGGCGACTTGGCAGATGATCTGGCATATGGCGTGGAAACTGTTTTTTGTTTATCACATTCAGTACTCTTTTCAACTGAGACTGATCAATTACTCAAGTTGGACGATGTTTGTACGGATCTACGTCGACAAATTCATAGTTTGGAAAAATCAGTAACATCATCATTGGAAATCATGTTATTGAAGGATACCGAATGTTTATTGACTTTTGGAGATGATTTCTCCATCCGTGCACTGGGGGAACTATATCAACTGTTGGATGTTGCAAGTAAAGAAAAACAACTTTTTGTATCAGGAAATATCAAGACAGCACTAGGAACAAAGATATCAAGGAAAAAAGTGGGACTGGCAGCTAGAAAAGCATACTTTTTTATGGCGTACGCAAATCACCTTAAAAAGGAAAAAGATGATACTCTCTCATTAGTGATGACAATGATCCGGGCAAAATATCAACAACTAGAACTTGATCAAAGTATATTTGACAAAGAACACAAGGTGGCGAAAGATATACTATCCAAACAGAAACAACTCAAGACATCCGATGTTGGTGGCAAAGCAATAGTAGAATTATCATAAATTAGTATATTGATGATAGTTTTAGAAATCTATGTTATTTTATTTTTTTTTTCCTGACTTGTTTATACCTTCAAAATAAAATATACAGTATATATTTTTTTTTATTATTACGATGTGTCTATACCGCATTTGGTAAAACATTTCACTCCTTTTTTGCATATAATTTGTTGTCGCTGTGAAAAATCCATACTGTATTTCCATGCTCCGGCTGGGTAATAAAAAAAAAAAAAAAAGAGAAACCAAATTTACTCATACATTTTCCTTCTTTTTTTTTTTTTTATTATTATTAATGAATACATCACAATGACAGAAATCACTTCACCTCTAATTGCACCCAATAGAACAGTACTTCAACCGAGCTATTCAACCATAACACAACGACCAGAACAAGAGTCTGAACAACATCACAAAGACGACGAACAAGAGGAATTAGGACTTGTTGGGAAACCAATAAGTAATTCTACATTCACTTTATGGCAAAGCAAATCCTATCTATCTTCATTAGTAGCTCTCATCTTATTACTGATTACTTTTACCGCTTTGGAATTTGCTTTATTAAAGTTGAATTTACCGTCAGTAGATGAGTAAGTGATGGTGACATGGATTATGCAACCATTTTATTTATTTATTTTATTATCTATAGGGAAGATAGGGATGCTCTGAAATTCCCAAGAAACTTGGAAGACTTACGGCAATTGAATCGAATACTCTCTGTTTATATGGATAAACACTTTATCAATGTTTATGTCACTTTTGTGGCTACATATATTTAGTAAGTCTATATTATTATAAACTACCCTTGTCTTATTTTTTTTTTTTTTTGTATATGAATGATGTTTTATAGTCTTCAAAGTTTCTCTATTCCTGGTTCTATGTGGTTATCTATACTAGGAGGTACACTGTTTGATTTTTGGCTTACTTTATTTACTGTTTCAATGGTAAAAAGATAAGACTTTCTCAATTGTCCACGTGTAAACTAATACCCATTCTGTATCGTTTATTTTTATTTTTATTTTTTTTTTTATTTTTTGATCATAGTGTTCTGCTGTTGGTGCTACACTTGCATATATTATCTCAGGAAGTCTTGGATCAAAAGCAGTGATACATTTGATTGGAGATAGAATTGCCTCGTGGAATGAACAGGTAAACAACAAGAAATGAAAATCATGATTTCTTTTTTTTGTTTATTTGGCTATTATTGTTATTTATTTATTTTTTTTTAGTTGGTGCGACATAAAAAGCATATGTTGAATTATTTGATTGTATTGCGTATTGCTCCTTTTCCTCCCAACTGGACTATCAATTTGGGTGCTCCTCATTTGGGTGTTCCATTATCTTCATTTTTCTGGGGAACTTTTATAGGTAAATAAAAATAGAACAATTTATTACTAATTGGATATTGATCTCTTTATTATTCTTTAGGTGTCACTCCTCCTTCTTTTATCCATGTACAAGCTGGTGCTGCTATTGATCGACTTTCTTCTTCTGACAAGTTAGTGATTCTGACTCCTATCAATGTAGCATGTCTTATTGGAATAGCCATTGCTGCTCTGATACCTGTTATCATCAGAAGGTATTATCCTTTGTAGAATAGGCTCTCTATTATTGTATTATAGTCTTTTATATATATATATTTTGAAATAAACTTATTTTTCCTACATCCTTGTTTTTTTTTTTACTATTATTATTACTGTATTGGACACATCCTTTGTCACTGTCTAATTATATATTGTTCTTTTTGATTAAAGCATGAAACAAAATCTATGATCTGTCACGGTTGAAGAAGTATCATTTATTACAATATTTGTCTACTAAATAAATGTATGTAGTGAGTCTGTCACTGTGGATTTCAATCTCAGTATCAAGTCTCTTTGGGTGTCGTCGTCACGGAATAAGGAAGCGACCTTTTTTTTTTCCTTTCACTTTTTTATTTTTATTTTTGATAGATTTTCATATACATATTTATATACAATAAGATGGAAGAAGAAGCACGAAGACGTAAAGAAAGATTAGAAGCTATTCGAAAACGCAAACTGGCTTCCAACAATTCTAGTATTCAAGCTAATGCTGAAGAAAAAGTCAAGTAAGTATCAAACCTTTTATATTGATGAAATACTTATTCCTTCTTTATTATATTTAATTAACTAGGGATCTGACCTTTCGAAGTTATACACCCAGTGATGAAAATTTGAAACAACTGGTGAATATCGCCACACCCGATAATATCAAGACAACTGTGGAATCAGAAACAAAACAAATTCCTATACAAACTTTACAAGAAGCTGCTGAAAAGGAAAAGGAAGAAGTAGTAAGTTCTTTTTTCGTGTATAGATATACAAATATATATGTGTGTGTGGTTTAGGTAGAACGGTCTATTTTTTAGTTGGTAGAAAGAGAATTGTACAGATACATAGGAAAACAGGATATTGTTAAAGGGAAATAACTGATGGGCACAAAAAAAAAAAAACAAGCGAAGCTCACTTCTTTATTTTTTTGTATTAGGACTTATTCAATTTGGCACCTAAGAAAGCTAACTGGGATCTGCGGCGAGATGTGGAAAAGAAATTGGAAAAACTGGATCGAAGGACTCAAAGGGCAGTTTTAGAACTGATTCGACAACGATTGACTAGTGAAGGTGGTGACAACTTGGCTGAAGTTGTGGCAAATGCTGAAGCTCAACAGAAACTAGATGCCCAAATCGATGCTGAATGAATGAATATTATTGTTTATGCACTGAAATAGTTTAAATTTGTATATTTTTCCCTACTTTTCTTTTTCCTCCTCTTTTTATACTAATTTGGTTTATTAGCATTACATTTTTTTTTTTTTTTTTTTGGTCAATTGAATAAATAAATATTTTTACCTTTTATGTTTACATAGAGTTGGTTATGGTTATTACTTATGATTGATTGAGAGTGACATATCGGGATGGATGATGAATGGCTGAATAATAGACGGATGATGACAATGAAGGATGATCATTTCGGCAAGATCAGTACGCCACATCTAAGGATTCCAAGAAAAGACGATCAAGTAAGGATTGCCATTAAAAGCGGTAAGATAGGTTACGCATACAGAGGAATCTGGGGTATCATGTGGGAAGAGTACCGTTACCAAAAAAGGGAATGACTTCTGAGGAACATAGAAAATAAAATATAGCTTTCTCACAACCTCAATTCGAGAGGATCATACTTTCCTTTTTTTAATATCCTGGGAGACATTAATACCACTTTTATAGTTTATTATAGATTATACCAAAGAAGTTTTTTTTTTTATATAGCAATGCGTTGTTTTTTTTGATTATACACGGTTAGTAATCAATTAGACCTCTTGTATATTAAAGATGAGGCTTATCATTATACCAAAAAAACAACAAATTTCATTCTTTGTTTCGGCGGGGTACAAATGTAAACGAGAAAAAGACTGGAACAAACTCTTTTCTATATTTTCATAGAATAAAAATTTTATATTCGTACCTTAAATTCCTAAAAAAAGAACAAGTAAATAAAATACAGTGATTTATTATTATTATTATTATTGTCAGTTCCATGTCAAACAAGTGATGATCATAGTAGAAATGTATATTTTATATTATCTCCTGACAGATTTGATATTGTTTCTCACTTCTTTTTTTCACTTATTCTACATCTTTTTCATCTTGCAGCTGACAGGGAAGATTTCAAAAAGTTTTCGCACTCAGATAACCCAAAAATCAAAAGATCGTGTTAAATGTTTCTATTTTTTTCTTTTTCTTCTTCTTTTCTTTCCTTTCTTCTTTTATTACTTATTACATCATACTATTTCTCCTTTATTATTATTATCATCATCATATCATTTATCATCATTACCCTCACTACCTTATTTCCTATAGCTGTATAGAATTGATTACCTTTTTTTTTTCCTTTTGTTTATCTCGTACATGGAATGGAAACTGAACAAAAAACAATCTATCAAGATACAAAGTTCCTTTATACCAGTGATCAATTCAATACACTTCATACATCAACATTGGTGACATCAATCATCGCTCTTGTATCATCTGTGGCTGTTTTGAGTAGTTTTCTCTACTTGTGGATCATGGATAGGAAACGTGCGAATCGAATATCATTAAGGTGTGTGATGATTGCATGTACTGCCAATGGATTAGATTCTATTATGAACATCACTATGTCATTTGTTCAAGGACCACATAAATTTTGTCGTGCAGCAGGTGTCATTAGCAATATATCAAGATTAACTAGTGCTTCCTTTTTGGCCATTGTTGGACTGAACTTGGTTTTGATTTTTGTCATCAATGTCAAAAGACGCGATCTACTCGAATATTTCTATTATCCTTGTGCTTGTCTTTATATTTTGATATGTGCTGCTGTCTCTATTTACAAAATTGCCACTCTTCCTTATTTGGATTCTACCAATGACACCTGCTGGTAAACATATAAATCGAACGTTTTGCCACTCCGCTGACATCTTTTTTCCTTTTTCTTTTTTAGGTTTTTGAATTATATAGATGAAAGATCGCAAGCTGTTTTCTCATGGGTATTGAATTTAAAAAAAAAAACGAATTTTATCGTTGTTTCTAATGTATCTATTATTTATTTATTTTTTTTTTATTTGAATGCAGATGTGGTATTATGGATTTCTATTCTTTATCAACATTGTTGCTGGCATCTCGTCAGGTATTGCTCTCTACAAACTAATACATGAACAACAAGCTCTTCGCAAGAACGTTGACCATAATACTTATATGGGTGAAGCAAGTACCAATCAAGCTGAAAGTCGATTTCAAAGAAGACAATCTGCTGTGCTTTCCAAAGTAGTTGTCAGGTGCATCATTTATCCTCTCAGTAAGGAACAAAAAAAAAAAAAAAGAAATAGTTGAACCAAATAGGAATCATACTCATTATCCATCTCTCTCTCTCTCTCTCTCTCTCTCTCTTTTTTTTTTTTTTTTTTTTTTTTGTGTACATAGTACCTCTTGTGGTAAATATTTGGGGATTTGGCATTCAGATGAAAATCACTATTATTCACAAACCACCATCGTTTACGTTAGCTATGTTTGATACAATCTTTGCCTGCCTTGATGGTAAAAAAAAATATGAATTCTTTTTTCTATTAGCATCATTTGTTCTAATCTTTTTTATTTTTATTATTATCGTAGGATTTCTTGTAGCTATTGTATTCTTTACTGACCCAGCATTGACAGCTTTCGTCAATGATAGAATACAATATTGGCGAAGGGTTTATGTTGAAGAATATCGATTGGTTGAAATCCGAAATGATACATCGGACACTATGGAAAGAAAGAAAGAGAAAACGCAAACATTGTACATTATGCCTCCTCTGGATATACCCCATGCTGATTTGACAAACTGGGATTCTGCCATCATTCATACCAATCCAACATCAAGATATTCTAGTACTAGTCATAATCGTGTTCCCATGCGACGTATATGTATTCCACCATCATCCTTGACACAATTATCTTCTCGATATAATATACGACAACTTTCTCTTTGTACACTTCCAAGCTCTTCTGATACTTTGGAAACAGTTGACAATGGTGATCAACCTGTATCACATTTTCCTATGCAACAAATACCAAGCACATCCTCTGTGACCAATCTTACCTCTGATAGTCAACCAACAGAATCTCAAAGAAATGTGATTCATGAAGTATTTATTCCATACAAATCAATATGGTGGGCAAGATTATGTCATCGACTATTTTCTCAATATGGTTTCTCTTTGTTTTCTCCCTCTTCTTCTCGGTCTGGCCCTCGATCTTCATCCACTATTGAACTTCGATCCTATTCTCAACAGCAACGTGAAACTGTATATCAGGAAACTACTGATGATGATCATGACTCAACAAAATACCAGCGCAAACAGTTTATGGATGATCAAACATGTCACTACTAGCTAGTTATTGTATTTTTTTTTTTTTTTTTTTACTTTCTATATTTTTTTTTATGCTATATATCATTGTATTATTTGTTATTATTATTATGTTTTTTTCACTTTTTTATTTAATATCTATCTCTCTTTATAGTATATATCTTCCCTTTTTATTTTTGTAAATATATCAACTGAAAGATTCCCTTCTTACTTTCGACTCTTAATGTCTTACATTCATGACAAATATAAAGATCTGACTTTGAAAAATGGGTTGTTGGTTTCTTTTCTTTTTTGCTTCGGCTTACTTTTGTGTTTTTTTTCTTGTTTCTCTTATTTATTTATTTTATTTATTTATTTATTTTTCTTCTTCTTTTTCTCTTTGTGGTATTAATTAAAAACTAACAATATCATGTCTGATCATCCAGGACAAGAATTATTATCTTCAAGTACAGACAAAGTGCCTTTTTTCAAGAAAAGGACGACAAAGAATATCCGGAAAAGACAAAAATCACCTGATCGCAGCACAAGTATACAACGACAGGATGATGACGACGATGACATTGTATCTGAAGTGATTACCAAAGAACGCAAGACAATCAAAACCCCATTTGTACAAAGCACAAGACGACGACAACGACGGCAAGATATCGAAGAAGATGAAGATGATCAAAATGGATTTGGAGATCAATACAAAGCAGATCGGTCGGCCACACTGAAAAAGGATGATGCTACACGATATACCACAGAATATGAACTTGATGCTGAAGCTTTAGATGCCATGACAAGTGCGATCAATGCAGGAAAAGCCAAGAGAAAAGCACAAGACAATAAACAAGTCAAGAATAGTAAAATGCAAGTCGGTCCTCAAAAAGCACCTGCCAATTTGCGTGTCACTGCTCGTTTCGATTATCAACCAGATATTTGTAAGGATTATAAAGGTAAGTCATATAGAGTAGAATAAAAAAAATAAAAAAAAGCAAATAGTGATTAACATATGATAATCTTTTTTTTTTTGATAAATAGAAACTGGATTCTGTGGTTATGGTGATTCTTGTATCTTTTTACACGACCGTGGTGATTATAAATCCGGATGGGAATTGGACAAGGAATGGGAAGAAGCACAAAAGAATAAGACTGGTGGTGGAAAGAAAGATCAATATGCTATATCGGATGAAGAATCAGATGAAGAAGTTCCTTTTGCTTGTCTGATATGTCGAAAAGAATTTGTAAATCCTGTGGTAACCAAGTGTCAACATTACTTTTGTGAATCATGTGCAATCAACAACTACAAAGTATCTTCGAAATGTTATGCATGTGGTGCTCCAACAAATGGTGTCTTCAATACAGCTAAAAATATTCTGGAAAAATTACGACTCAAACAAGAACGGAAACAAAATCAAGCAGATGAAGACAATGCTATCGATCATGCTTTGGATGGAATTGAAGGATTAGAAACTAGAAATGACGATGATAGTGATGATGATGATGATGATGATAGTGATGATGATGACGATGATAGTGAATAGGTGTGATTAAATTTAGTCAATAGATCTTCTTTTTTATGAATAAAGAATTTTTTTTTTGATGAATTTTTTTTTTTTACTTTTTTGATAAACGTAGATCAAAACTTTCTTTTTTAGATCCATTGATGAAAAGGGGGGGAGAGGATGAAGGGAATATCAAACTGTGTGAAAAAATGATCAAATGGTTACAACATATGGCTGCAACGAAACTTAAATGGATAGATAGAATATGGACAATTGGTACGAACGGGATTAGAAAAGGATGACACTGATTTTCGTCATGTACATTACAAAAATGAGAGAGAGAGAGAATGTGTGTGTGTGTGTAACGAAAATACTTGAACAAAAATGACATTTGTAGAAATGTGAAGATTAGTATGAATCTTTATTATTATTATTATTGTGTTATGATTTACTTTTTGTATTTGATGATTCTACAAAGGATATTGAAATGTCAGCAAATAGGGAAAATAAACTCATGAAACTCAAGTAGGTCATCATCATTAAATAAAATTTAAAGTTTGGTTGAATCGCCGCCATTGTGGAATATCATCCGAAATCATCTATTTCTGGAAAAAAAAGATTGAAATGAAATGATGATCTATGATTATTATTATTATTATTTATTAGTTAGATTCTGTACAAAGAGAGAGAGAGAAAAAGATAAAGTGGAAAAACGGGTTTGACGGGAAATAGTAAGAGTAGAAAAAAAAAAAAAAGTAGTATGATCGAGATTTTGTGGTATAAAATGCCAAGAAAAGGAATGAATGTTTCACACATAGAATTCATGTCGAACTAAACGAAAAATGGAAGGTTACCACCCAAAAGATCGATAGATGACTTTGAATAAACATTTGTGAAAGATCGACGAAACAGAAAAAAAAAAATAATGATAATTTTTTTTTTCTTTTTTAATAGGAATTCCCATCACCCTTTGATAATAATTGTTAGAGTCAATATCGTCATATGATGATAATGATCACGTCGTTTTCTATCTTTTTTTTTTAAAATAATAATAATAATAATAATAATAATAAATTATATATCATTTTAATACACAAAAAAAAAAAAAAAAGGTAGAAATCAAATATAATTCTTTAATTAAAATAATAAAATTTACAATCCCATTTATCCTATAGTTACATTCTTTTTCTCTCTTTTTTTGGTGTTTTGTATGAAAAAAGGGATCTGCGGAAGTTGGATGGCTGGGGAATGAAGATCGTTTTTGATTGGATACAATTAAATTGACTGGTTGCCCGCACCAAACCTTATTTAGTCTAACCTGTTTTTTTTATTTCACCTACCGAACGAATCAAAGGAGAAAAAAAGAATAGAAGCATTAGAATCTGTCTATCTTTTTTTTTTTATTTCTTTTTCTCTTTTCTTTCATCTTTTTTTTAAGTTTTATATTTTTTATATTTTCATTTGTCTTTTTTTATTTTTTTATTTTTATTTTTTTTTTATATATAATTCATGTCTGGTCACCCACAGCATCAACAACAAGCTGCTGCCGCCGCTGCTGCTGCTGCCGCTGCTGCTGCTGCAGGTTTTTATCCTTCTACTGGTTACTTTCAAGAACCAAAACCACTCATGCCAACAACATCAACTTCAGTTTATTGTGAACAACCAATCTCAATGACTTCTTCTTCTTCTTCTTCCAATGTCGAACAAGAAATGGCTGAAGCTGTTGCCGCTTTTTCAACTACTTCTTTACCTCCACTATCTCAATTATTACCTACTTCAAAACAACAAAACTCTCAACGATCATCTCAAATTGGTACTACCTCACCTTCAGAACGATCTTATTCGCAGACTAGTGAAACTCATTCTACAAGTAGTACTCCCACTCCTACTCTTACTTCTTCTACAACTACACCTACTACTTCAACTATAACAACCAATTCTAGTACATCTACACCTAGTACTACTTCTAGATCATCTACTATTTATTCACCAACTGTTCCATCTCATCCAAAAATGCCTTCAAATCATCCTGATATGTTTTATCGTTCTTCAGGTTCAGTCACAACAACTTCAACATCAGGGGATCCTTATTATATGACATTATCTTCGTACAATACTACAACGCCCACTGATATGGTTTCATCTTCTGGTCCTCTTGTATTTCCTGCTAATGTCACACACACAGCCATGCCACCTGCAGCAACGTCATCATCCACTTATAATCAACACATGCGAACACAACCATCATCATCATCATCAGGAAGATATGGTCATCCTCAACATGCAAATCATCAGCAGCATCTCCCATCACCTCCTACATCATTTGATCAATTTCCTGTGGAACAACAAAGTCAAAAAGTATTTTCTTTTGTATCTTTACCTGGTGTTAATCAAAAGAAACGACCAAGACGTAAATATCATGAAGTGGAACGATTATATCATTGTAACTATATTGGATGCTCGAAATCTTATGGTACTTTGAATCATCTCAATGCGCACGTGCAGATGCAAGATCATGTAAGTATAAACAAAAAAAAAAAAACAAAGTTTATCATTTCTGTAACGTTTTGAATTTTTCACTTACTTTTTTTTTTTTTAATTTTTAATTTTTTTTTTTTCAATAGGGACCAAAAAGACATCCATCTGAATTTAAGGAACTACGTAAGATGTGGAGAAAACAAAAACGAGAAAGTCAAGGCAATAAGAAAAAGAATGGGTCAGAAAATGTGTCACAACAACAAAAGCAGCAACAAGAACAACAAGACCATGTTCATACTCAATCTAATGCGTTATCATCTGGTATGACTTCACATCCAACACAATCTATGATTCATCATCCATTGCCTCCACCTCCACCTTTACCAACAGTGTTGTATCCTCAGTCAAATCATTGGATGACAGGTGTACCTCCTCCTCCACCCCCTCATCCTTCAAATATAATACAGCAACAACATCATTCACAACAACAACATCATCATCATCATGCTGCTGCTGCTGCTGCTGCCGCTGGATTTCCCACTAATACCATCAATTATCAATAGTAGACTTAGGCTTGATTCCATCCTTCCTTTTTTTTTTGTATGATTTTTTTATTTTATTTTATCTTTTTTATTTTTTATTTTTTCTCTTTACGCTCCTTTCATGCTTATTTATCTATTTACATTATTATGATTCCTTTTGTATATATAGTTAGTGTTTTATTTTATTTTGTTTGTTTGTAGTTTTACTTGGGTTTGATGGTTGTGATACATTGGAGGATCGATCGATTGTTTATATATATCTATGTTATCCCTTATTTCTGTCATTCAATCCCAAAATCAATAAAAGAATTAATTACTTTGTCTTTTTTTTTTTTTGAAAATGATGATTGGAGGATTTATGATGAAGAATGATAGATGGATGAAATTACATGTGATAATGGCTTTTTTTTGTGACCAAAACTATATGATAGAAATGATTTAATGATTTTTAATTTGCTTTCACAATGATATTCCTTATTATTTTGTCTCAATAGATTTGTTTCAAACTCCATGATTATGCTTACAGTATACAAGATTCTTCGGAACAGAACTGATCAGTTGCAACTATAAAAAGTGACAGCGTTTGAACCATTGGTTACACATCCGATGGCCGACTTTTTGTGCAACTATTCATGCAAAAGTCCATCTTTTGGGGATATATTTTTATTAAAATGAATCACAATGGAAAACCTTGATAAAAAATAATAATAATAATAATAATAATAAACAAAAGAAAGGAACTAGAGGAAGATGATGATAGTAAGGATGTTGATGATATTGATGATAAAATAGTTTATTTATTTATTGTAATAAAGAAAAAAAAGAAATGATGATTGATATTAGTTCATTTATGATGAATGATTGTTACTTGGTTGTAAGCAGAATGATTCAAAAAAAAAAAAAGTTGAAAATCAAGGAGATAATAAAAAGCTCACCAGACAACATTTTCATTTCGCCCCTGTAGAAAAAAGAAAATAAAAAATATTTTTTTTTTCTCCCCAAAAACTCACTTTTAATAAAATAGAAGAAATAAAAAGGATTTTTTTAACCGCTTGGACCCCAAGCAAATGTTGTTGATTAGCCTATCAAGTTACAGCTTCCTTAGAGGTCGTTGGGGTAATTCTTAAGTGTTTATAGGTTGGGTATCAATAAATTCTACTCCGCACTCAACAATTTTTTTTTTGTTACAGTCTAAACAGTGATCACAACTTTAAACCCAACAGAAAGGGTTCAATAGTTTTCTTACCAATTTTTGTTTTTTTTTTTCCCTTTTCTTTTCTTTTCTTTTTTTTTTTTTTTTTTTTTTATCTATTTTGTATCCATTTCTTTATATTCTCTTTAACTAGAGGAATATCTTTTTTTTTTCTTCTTCTTCTCCTTCTCTCTCTACTCCTTTTTATACATTAAAAGAAAAAAAAAGAAAAAAGAGATATACAAAACTTCTTTTTTTTTTCTTCTTGTACCTTCCTACTTTGATTCTCTTCATCAATCATATTCTATCTCAACTTAAAATAGACACGACACTTTTATAATACGTATGGTTGATCATAAAAGTTTACCAAGTCATTTCTTGGGTAAGTATATTTATTATTATTATTATAAAAAAAAACCAATTTATATTATTTTATATTATAGGTGGAAACTCTGTGGAAAAGGCACCTCAAGATCCTGTCAAAGAGTTTGTTGAAGCTCATGAAGGTCATACTGTTATTTCTAAAGTCTTGATTGCTAACAATGGTATGGCAGCTATGAAAGAAATTCGTTCAGTTCGAAAATGGGCATATGAAACCTTTGGCAATGAACGCGCCATTGAATTCACTGTTATGGCTACTCCTGAAGATTTAAAAGCTAATGCTGAATATATTCGTATGGCTGATAATTATGTCGAAGTCCCTGGTGGTTCAAATAACAACAATTACGCTAATGTTGACTTGATTGTGGATGTAGCTGAACGTACTGCTGTACATGCTGTATGGGCTGGTTGGTAAGTTGAAACAAGGAGTTTATATAAGGGAAAATAATCTAGTGAATCTAACTAGTATGTTTTATTTTGAATTTTTTTTTTTTTTTTTTTTTTAGGGGACATGCTTCTGAAAATCCTCGATTACCTGAAATGTTAGCAAAATCTAAATACAAATGTCTTTTTATTGGTCCTCCTGCTTCAGCTATGAGATCTCTTGGTGATAAGATTTCATCTACTATTGTTGCTCAAAGTGCTCAAGTACCTACTATGGGTTGGAGTGGTGATGGAGTTACTGATACTGTTTTAGATCATAATGGTCATGTTGTTGTACCTGATTCTGCTTATGCTTCTGCTTGTGTCAAAACTGCTGAAGAAGGTTTAATTTCTGCTGAAAAGATTGGTTATCCTGTTATGATCAAGGCATCTGAAGGTGGTGGTGGTAAAGGTATTCGAAAGGTGGATGATCCATCAACATTCAAACAAGCTTTCCATCAAGTCCAAGGTGAAATCCCGGGTTCTCCTATCTTTATTATGAAATTGGCTGGAAATGCTCGTCATTTGGAAGTTCAATTATTGGCTGATCAATACGGAAATGCTATCAGTTTGTTCGGTCGTGATTGTTCAGTACAACGTCGTCATCAAAAAATTATCGAAGAAGCTCCTGTCACTATTGCCAAGTCTGATATTTTTGAACAAATGGAAAAGGCTGCTGTCCGTCTTGGTAAATTGGTAGGTTATGTCTCTGCTGGTACCGTGGAATATCTTTATAGTCATTATGATGAAAAATTCTACTTTTTGGAATTAAATCCTCGTCTTCAAGTCGAACATCCTACAACTGAAATGGTTTCTGGTGTCAATCTACCTGCTGCTCAACTTCAAATTGCTATGGGTATTCCTTTACATCGTATTCGTGATATTCGTGTATTATATGGCGTTCAACCTAATAGTGCATCTGAAATTGATTTTGATCTTGAAAATCCTACTTCTCTCCAAAGTCATCGTCGTCCTGTTCCCAAAGGTCATGTTATTGCTGTCCGTATTACTGCCGAGAATCCCGATGCTGGGTTCAAACCCTCAGGTGGTATTATGCAAGAACTCAATTTCCGATCAAGTACAAATGTCTGGGGTTACTTCTCTGTGGTCTCTGCTGGTGCTATGCACGAATACGCTGATTCTCAATTTGGTCACATCTTTGCCTATGGTGAAAATCGTCAACAATCAAGAAAGAACATGGTCATTGCTTTGAAGGAATTGTCTATTCGTGGTGACTTTAGAACTACCGTGGAATACATCATCCGTTTGTTAGAAACTCCTGATTTTGCCGATAACACTATCAATACTGGTTGGTTGGATATGTTGATTTCTAAGAAATTAACGGCTGAACGTCCCGATAGTATGTTGGCTGTATTCTGTGGTGCTGTTACTAAGGCTCATATGGCTTCAGTTGAATGTTGGCAACAATATAAGGTGTCATTGGAAAAAGGTCAAGTACCTAGCAAGGAATCATTGAAAACCGTCTTCACTGTAGACTTTATTTATGAAAATGTACGATACAACTTTACTGTCACTCGATCTGCTCCTGGTATCTATACTCTATACTTGAATGGTACTAAGACTCAAGTGGGTGTTCGTGATCTTTCTGATGGTGGTCTCTTGGTTTCTTTGAATGGTCGTTCTCATACCACTTATTCCCGTGAAGAAGTTCAAGCTACTCGTTTGATGATTGATGGCAAGACTTGTCTTCTTGAAAAAGAAAGTGATCCTACTCAATTACGTAGTCCTTCTCCTGGTAAACTTGTTAGTCTATTATTGGAAAATGGTGATCATATCAAATCCGGTGAAGCTTATGCTGAAATTGAGGTAAAAAAAAAAAAAAAAAAAAAAGAATTGGATGGAACTAATATATTTTTTTTTTTTTTGTATATTTATAATTAGGTTATGAAAATGTATATGCCTTTGGTTGCTACTGAAGATGGTCATGTCCAATTCATTAAACAAGTAGGTGCTACTCTTGAAGCTGGTGATATTATTGGTATTCTATCTTTGGATGATCCTAGTCGTGTCAAACATGCTTTACCTTTTACTGGTAAAGTACCTAATTATGGTCCTCCTCATATCATTGGTGACAAACCTCATCAACGCTTCCGTGCAACCAAGAGTGTTTTGGAATATGTTTTACAAGGTTACGACAATCAAGCTTTGATTCAAACTGTTGTAAAGGAACTTTCTACTATTTTACGTGATCCCGAACTTCCTTATTCTGAAATGACTGCTGTCATGTCTGTTTTATCTGGTCGTATCCCTAATCGTTTGGAACAACAATTACATTCTTTTGTCGATCAAGCCAGCACTGCTCAAAAGGTGTTCCCTGCCAAAGAAATCAACCAACTTGTGGAATCTTTTGCTCGTGACAACTTGACAACTCAATCCGAAGCAAATGCATACAAGACTGCTGTTGCCCCTATTGTCGATATCGCCAACCGATACAGCAATGGATTGAAACAACATGAATATGCCGTATATGTGGATTTGATGGAACAATATTATGATGTAGAAGTACTTTTCCGTAGCCAAAGCCGTGAAGAAGAAGTGATCTTGACCTTACGTGATCAGAACAAGGATGATTTGGAAAAGGTACTTGGTATCATTTTGTCTCATGCCAAGGTTAGCATCAAAAACAATTTGGTATTGATGCTTTTAGACATTGTTTATCCCTCTACTTCTGCTGATGCCTTGGACAAATGTTTCATGCCTATTTTGAAACGTCTCTCTGAAATTGATAGCCGTGCCACTCAAAAGGTGACTCTCAAAGCCCGTGAATATCTTATCCTTTGCCAATTACCTTCTTACGAGGAACGTCAAACACAAATGTACAATATCCTCAAATCATCTGTTACTGAAAGTGTTTATGGTGGTGGTTCAGAATATCGTACGCCAAGCTATGATGCCTTCAAGGATTTGATTGACACAAAATTCAACGTGTTTGATGTCTTACCCAACTTCTTTTACCATGATGATAGCTATATTGCCTTGGCCGCTTTGGAAGTGTACTGTCGTCGATCTTATCATGCCTACAAGATTTTGGATGTTGCCTACAACTTGGAACATAAGCCTTATATCGTTGCTTGGAAGTTCTTGCTTCAATCTGCCATTGGTTCTGGTGATTCCAACAAGCGTATTGCTTCTTATTCTGATTTGACCTTTTTGCTCAACAAGACTGAAGAAGAACCTATCCGTACTGGTGCCATGACTGCTGTTCAATCTTTGGATGATCTGCAAGCTGAATTACCTCGTATTCTATCTGCTTTTGAAGAAGAACCTTTACCACCCATGATGATCAACAGGGGTAATCAAGGAAAGGAAGAACGTATGGAAAATATTTTGAATATTGCTGTTCGTGCTGATGCCAATGATGTGGATGGTGCTAATTATTGGAGACCCAAGATTGCCAGTTTGATCAGTGCTCATACTGCTGAATTCCGTAAGGCCAATCTTCGTCGTATTACTGTGGTGGTGTGCCGTGCAAACCAATGGCCTGATTATTATACCTTCCGTGAACGTCAAGATTACTTGGAAGATGAAACCATTCGACATATTGAACCTGCCATGGCTTACCAATTGGAATTAGCTCGTTTGTCCAACTTTGATATCAAACCTTGCTTCATTGAAAATCGTCAAATGCATGTATACTACGCCGTTGCCAAGGAAAATCCCTCTGATTGTCGATTCTTTATCCGTGCCTTGGTTCGTCCTGGTCGTGTCAAGAATTCCATGCGTACTGCTGATTATCTTATTTCTGAAAGTGATCGATTATTGAACGACATTTTGGATACTTTGGAAATTGTTAGCCATGAATACAAGAACTCTGATTGCAACCATCTCTTCATCAACTTTATTCCTACTTTTGCCATTGAAGCTGATGAAGTCGAACATGCTCTCAAGGACTTTGTCGATCGTCATGGAAAACGATTATGGAAGTTACGTGTCACTGGTGCAGAAATTCGATTCAACGTTCAATCCAAGCGACCTGATGCACCTATTATTCCTTTACGTTTCACTGTGGATAATGTGTCTGGATTCATTCTCAAGGTGGATGTATATCAAGAAGTCAAGACAGAAAAGAATGGATGGGTCCTCAAATCTGTTGGTAAGATTCCTGGCTCAATGCATATGCAACCTTTGTCTACTCCTCATCCTACCAAAGAATGGTTACAACCTCGACGTTACAAGGCTCATCTCATGGGTACGACTTATGTTTACGATTTCCCTGAACTTTTCCGTCAAGCCATTCATAATCAATGGGCTCAAGCTATGAAGACCGATCCTACTCTCAAATTACCTAGTCAAGTGGTGGAAGCCAAGGAATTAGTATTGGATGAAGATAATACACTTCAAGAAGTGGATCGTGCTCCTGGTACAAACACTGTTGGTATGGTTGCCTGGTTATTGACTCTTCGTACTCCTGATTATCCTCGTGGTCGCCGAGTAGTAGCTATTGCCAACGATATTACTTTCAAGATTGGTTCCTTTGGTGTACAAGAAGATATGGTTTTCTACAAGGCTTCTGAATATGCTCGTCAATTGGGTCTTCCTCGTGTCTATCTTTCAGCCAATTCTGGTGCTCGTATTGGTCTTGCCGATGAATTAATCAGTCGTTTCCGTGCTGCCTGGAAGGATGATGCCAGTCCATCTCAAGGATTCAAGTATCTCTATCTTTTACCTGATGAATACGATAATATTGTTCGTAGTGGGGATGCAAAGAGTGTGCTTGTGGAAGAAATTGAAGAAGATGGTGAAAAGCGATTCCGTATTACTGATGTGATTGGACATACTGATGGATTAGGTGTGGAAAATTTGCGTGGATCTGGATTGATTGCTGGTGCTACATCTCGTGCTTATGATGATATCTTCACTATCACTTTGGTGACCTGTCGCTCTGTTGGTATTGGTGCTTATTTGGTTCGTCTTGGTCAACGCACTATTCAAAATGAAGGTCAACCCATCATCTTGACAGGTGCTCCTGCTTTGAACAAAGTACTTGGTCGTGAAGTTTATACTTCTAATTTGCAACTTGGTGGTACTCAAATTATGTACAAGAATGGTGTATCTCATCTGACAGCAGAAAATGATTTGGAAGGTATTGTTAAGATTGTACAATGGTTATCTTATGTTCCTGAATATCGTGGTGCTCCTGTTACTATGCGTGTTGGCTCTGATCCTGTTGATCGTGAAATCGAATACATGCCTCCTAAGGGTCCTTCTGATCCTCGCTTCTTCTTGGCTGGTAAGAATGAAAATGGTAAATGGCTCAGTGGATTCTTCGATCATGGCTCTTTTGTGGAAACTCTTAGTGGTTGGGCTCGTACGGTTGTTGTTGGACGTGCTCGTCTTGGTGGTATTCCCATGGGTGTTGTTGCTGTAGAAACACGTACGGTGGAAAATATTGTACCTGCTGATCCTGCCAATGCTGATTCCCAAGAACAAGTATTTATGGAAGCTGGTGGTGTGTGGTTCCCCAACTCTGCTTACAAGACTGCTCAAGCCATCAATGATTTCAACAAGGGTGAACAATTGCCTTTGATGATTTTTGCCAACTGGCGTGGTTTCTCTGGTGGTCAACGTGATATGTATCATGAAGTACTCAAATATGGTGCTCAAATTGTGGATGCTCTTAGTAATTACAAACAACCTGTGTTTGTGTATGTGGTACCCAACGGTGAACTTCGTGGTGGTGCTTGGGTTGTGGTGGATCCTACGATCAATGAAGATTATATGGAAATGTATGCTGATGTACAAGCTCGTGGTGGTGTATTGGAACCTGAAGGTATTGTAGAAATCAAATATCGTCGACCTCAACTTTTAGCTACGATGGAACGTTTGGATCCTACCTACGCTGATTTGAAACGACAATTGACAGAACATTCAGGGGATGATGATGAAAAGAAGGCGGAAATCAAACGTTTAGTGGAAGCTCGAGAACAAGAACTCTTACCAGTATATCAACAAATCGCCATTCAATTTGCTGATTTACATGATCGCGCAGGACGTATGCAAGCCAAGGGTGTGATTCGTAAACCTTTGGAATGGCGTTACTCTCGACATTACTTCTACTGGCGTGTGCGTCGTCGATTGCAAGAAGAATACACGTTCCGTAAGATGATGGATGCCAATAACCGATTGACTCGCAAGCAAATGCAAGCTGCTATACAACAATGGTTCCAAGCTGATAACAACGATAGTGGATTTGAAACGGATGATCAAGCTGTGGCTGATTGGTTTGAAAAGCGAGGTGATCTGATTGAACAACGTATTGCCAAACTCAAGTCTGAAGCTCTCAAGGAACAAGTTGTATTATTGGGTGCTGTGGATCAAGAAGCTGTCATTGAAGGATTTAGCAAATTAGTGGAAGGAATGAGTTTAGAAGAACGTAAAGAAGTATTAAGGAAATTGGCCACTCGATTCTAAGTTATGATTCCTCACTTATATATATCTTAATCATTCAACAAACACACTTTCTCCTATCTTACCCATCTACTTTCTTTTTTTTATTCATTTTATTATTGTTTTACATTATATCGTCTTTTTTTTTTTTTGTACATCCCTTTTATCATTCTATATATACATATGAAATAAACAATATTATCAATCTTATTTTTTTTTTTTTTGGTTATGTTTAAAGAGAGACTTCAAATGATCACTTTTATTAGAAGTATAGTTCTCACATCGGGATGGTTGACATAGATGACCGAATGTCCACATGATTTTTTTTGATTTATAATAAAAGGGTGAAATACTTGTTCCACTATTTGTCGATCCATGATGAATCTCAAGAATCGAATTTATCCGCCAGGTGGCATAAAAAAAGAAATAAAGTTTGTATCTATGATAAAGAATGTATATGGTATATTTTAGATCAAAAAAAAAAAAAAAAGAAAGCCTATCTACCATTGGTAAACATTTAGATCAAACAGTAGGTTTTTCATATTGTTGTAAAACAACTTTTTTCCAATCATTAATAATGATCAACTGAAAAAAAAAAAAAAAAAACCTATCTACCATTTGTAAACATTTAGATCAAACAGTTGTATTGATATTGTTGTAAAGCAAACTTATTTCCAATCATTAATAATGATCAACTGAAAAAAAAGGGGGGGGATAGGCTTGAGCGAATAAGCGCGCCCCTCTCCTCCTGTTTTAAGTTTTTTTGATAACCAATATTTTACTATGTTAGTAATGATGGGTTTCAAATACACAGCCCATCAAGTTTTAGTAGCTGGATAAATTTTGACCGAGACGGGTTCTGATTGGCTACCTTTTGTTACTAACTTCGTTACACCTTGATCTGTTGTTCTATGTTAAACATTTATCCATTACCGACCATGATCTAATGGTTATAAAAACTGATTTTGGATTTTCCATCTTGATTTAACTTTTTCTTTTTTTTTTTCTTCATTTATTTGTATATTTTTTTTTTTTTTTTTGATCTAGTCAATCCATCATAAAGGTAAAAATGTCGATAACGGACGAAGAATCATCTGTGCAAAGCACTGTGTTAAATCATCAAACTCTACAGAATGAAAAGGAGGACCCTGCAGATGAAAAGGATATTGATTTAGCCAACCCACAGGTAAATAAACCATACATTACATATATATGTATATATATATATATAGATGATAGATGGTTTTGATGATCTTCCTTTAAACCCAGCCTTTTAACCCCCTTTTCTCCTTTTTTTTTTTTTTTTTTTTTTTTTAGAATTGGTCATCCAAGAAAAAACTTTTGAATTTTATTGTAGTGTTTTGCAATTCATTTATATCTTTCTTCAGCAGTTCCATCTATGTGCCAGCCATTTTATCAGTACAACAATACTTTCATACAAGCATCACGGCCATGAACGCCACGATTGCTCTTTATATATTAATTTCTGGTGTTGCTGTAAGTTTTTTTTTTTTTTTTTAATATTCATTCTAATTTATTATTATAAATAGCCATTATTTTGGGCACCATTATCTGAAAGAATAGGTAGAAAACCAACTTATATTCTCTCCATGGTCCTGTATACGGTATTTTCTGTACTTTGTGGTGTATCAAGGAACTTGGGTATGTTTTTCGCTTTCCGTTTATTACAAGCTGTTGCTGCTTCAGCTGCTCAAGCTATTGGTGGTGGAAGTGTGGCTGATATGTATAATTTTCAATCTAGAGGGAAAATGATGTCGATCTTTTTACTTGGCACTGTATTTGGTAAGTTTTTATATGATCATTTATAACTTTGACTGATATTTTTTTTTCACAAAAAAGGTCCTGTTGTTGGGCCTATAGTAGGTATGTTTTATTCATAGGATGATATACTTTTTTTTTTATTCAACTTTTTTTTTTTTTTGATAGGTGGTTATATCAATTTATATCTTGGTTGGCAATGGATTTTTTATATCAAAACTATTATTGGAGGAGTCATCTCTATTTTAAATGTGGTTTTCCTTAATGAAAGTTTGTATAGACCCAACTATCAACCTATTCATGATGAATCTAAATCAAAGTTTGTAAATTGGTGGATCAACTTTAAATTCAATCCTGTAAGCTAAAAAAAAAAAAAAAATACAAGATGGATCAGACTGACCTTTTTTTTTTTTATTTTATTTTATAGTTCAGTAGTCTCCTACTTCTTTTACGTATTGATGTTGTATTGGGTTGTTTTCCTATGGCTGTTGCATTTGGCGTATTTTATTGCCTGGTAACCATTCTAGAACCCACTTTTAGTGCTCAGTATCATTTTTCCTCTGGTTCTGTTGGTCTTTCCTTTCTTGCTGGAGGTACAGGAAATCTTCTTGGTGCTCTCACAAGTGCTTTGATTTTGGATCGTATACATTTTCGACTCATTGCAAGGAAACGTGTCCAGCTGGAACAAAAAGGTATAGAATATCATCATGGTATGTTATCTGAATTACGACTTGTCCCTGCTCCTATTCCCGTCATCTGTCTTGTTATTGGAGCATTATTCTATGGTTGGTTCTTGGAAGCAAAAATGGTTTGGATTGCTCCTTTGATTGGCATGGGTCTTCGTAAGTGCAAAAAAAAAAAAAAAAAAAAAAAAGAGAGATCTATAAACATACTCAAGTCTTTATATATATATATATATATATATATATATATATATGTAGTCGGATTTGGTCTCTTTGGGTTGATTAGTACGACAACCAACTATCTTGTTGAAGGTTATGTACCCCAAGCTGCTGCAAGTATGTATTATGATAATAATATTTGTAGATTCTTATACTAATGTATTATAATAATAATAGTGACATCTGTTGGTAATTTCACTCGTTGTCTTCTTGGTATGGTCTTCTCCTTATTATCCTCCACCATTCAAGCATCACTTGGAAATGGATGGACATATACTTTACTCGCTCTTATTTTCTTGGCCGTGTCTGCCATCTGTTTACCATTGTTGATGGTCTTCGGTTACAAATGGCGAACCAATCCTGTATGGCCTGTGACAAAATAAGGTACTTTTGTTAGATTATCTTGCATTACCTCATTAGACTATCATACATTCTGTTATTATATATATATATTTGATACATCAATGATTTTTTTTTTTTTGTAATTATATTCCATAATAAAGAACTTTTATCATCATCTATGAACGTATTTACCTCTGTCAGTCATTATCACATTGCACTCATCTTACTGGAAATTCTCTTTTTAGGAACACATGGTAATATCATCATGACTTCTACGCATAGGTACACATTTTTTTTGTTATTGATGGATTTAGGATCAATGTGGATTTTTTTTTTTTTTTTTGGATTTTACAGCCAAAATTTGAAACTCCTCAGCCAAATGTTGGCTGTAAAAACAAATCGTCAGGGGATGGTCAGGCAATTTTTCCAAATAATGGAGGTAAGCGATAAAATGATATTAGATCCATTTTTTTGGAGAACATTGGATGATGATTGGGATGAAAATAATTCTTTTTTTTTTTAATTTTACTCTCTAGATATATCAAATGAAAAAAAATCATGATGTTCGAATTTGGTACGACGATGATCCTTTTTGAATGAATTGCATATATAAAAAAAAAATCTGATGAATTTTTATCAAAGGTAAATGGAAAAAATGAAACTGTCGCAGCTAAAACATATTCAATCTCTTCCCAGATTTCGTAAGCACGGAAAGAAAAGCGGAACGTACAGATTTCTTTCAAAACGATGCCAAAAAAGGATATTAGTTACCAAACAAAGTAATTAGTGAAGGGTTTCCCGTTTGAACAAAATCGTAATTCTGAATAATCATCATAAAAAAACTGGAGATCCATTTTTTTTTTTTTTAAAAAAAAAAGTAAAGCTGTCAATCTCGATTGGCCAGGATATTTTATGAAAGTTAGTGCAACGATAAAAATTATCCGCTAAGGGATCTTTCAAGAACAATATTCGTAGAATTTAATTGAAACTCAGGGACACTAGAAAAAAACTATATAAAAACAAGGTAGACAAACCTTTTTCTTTTCTTTTTTTTTTTCTTTTTCTTGACAGATATTATTTAAACATGAGCAAGACTTACATTGAATTGAACCGTACTGGCGACAAGATGCCTTTGGTTGGTTATGGTTGTTGGAAGGTAGACAATAAGGATTGTGAAGAAACTATTTATAATGCTATCAAGACTGGTTATCGTTTGATTGATGGTGCTGCTGTTTATGAAAACGAAGTAGAAGTGGGTCGTGGTATCAATAAGGCTATCAAGGAAGGCATTGTCAAGCGTGAAGATTTATTCAGTAAGTTATGAACAATATGATTCATTTTTGTTTATTTTATTTTATTTTATTTCAGTTGTTACCAAGTTATGGAATACTTATCACCACAAGAGTCACGTACGACCCGCCTTTGATCGATCTCTTAAGGATATGGGTTTGGATTATATTGATTTATATCTTATTCATTGTAAGTTATTGAAGGGGGGAAACGCGTATGACAAGTATTAACTTTTTTTTTTTTTTTGGATTAGTCCCTGTTCCTATCAAGTATGTTGATCCTGCTGTCAAATATCCTGGTGGATGGATTGAAGAAGGTGCCAAGGATATTGCTTATGAACGATCCCCTATTCATGAAACTTGGGCTGAAATGGAAAAGTTGGTAGATGACAAGGTGGCTCGTAATATTGGTGTTTCCAATTTTAATGTCATGGCTCTTTTGGATTTGTTTACTTATTGTCGTTACAAACCTGCCACTCTTCAAGGTAAAACAATCATCATCATGAATGATGCATAGGCTCATCTTTTTTTTTTTTTTTTTTTTTTTTGGTAGTTGAACTTCATCCTTATTTACAACAAAAACGACTTGTGGAATGGGTTCAAAAACAAGGTATTGCTGTCACTGCTTATTCCTCCTTTGGTCCTGCCTCTTATGTGTCCTTGAATGAAGAAGGTAAGACTGCCAAACCTTTGTTGACTCATGAAGTGGTGCAACAAGTCGCATCCAAATATGGAAAATCTGCTGGTCAAGTCCTACTTCGATGGTCCGTTCAACGTAATGTGGCTGTCATTCCCAAGAGTATGAACGTTGATCGATTAAAGTCAAACTTGGATATCTTTGATTGGACTTTGGAACAACAAGATGTGGATGCTATCAACCAATTGGAAATGGGTGCTCGATTCAATGATACTGTCACCTACGGTTTCGACTTGCCTCTTTTTGACTAGTATTATTTTTGAATAGTTGTATAGTTTTTTTATGTATTTGCTTTCTTTTTGTATCAATAAACTACTTTTTTTTTTATTATTATGATCCATAAAATCGAGAATAATTACAAGTTTATTAAAAAAAAAAAATAAATACTAATGACTAAAAATTAAATATACAACTTGTCAATTTGATCTTTATATTCCTTTTCGATATCAAGTCTCTTGATCTTGCCACTGGTGGTCATAAAATGATGGATCCAATCAACATGAGAAGGAATGACCTTTTGAACCGTCTCGGCCTTGTTCATACCAGCAGAGCGAGCGGTGTCTTGTAACTGTTTGAGTAAAACCGTAGCATCTTGATCTTGTTCAGGTTCAACGACAGCGATGATATAGCTCTTGTGACTATGGGCTATGAGACAAATGTTCTTGATGGCACGACAATCCCTGTATTTGGATTCCAAGCTTTCCAATGCAATGTATTCCCCATGACTCAACTTGACCAGATTCTTAGCACGGTCGGTGATCCGGATGGTGCCATCTTCTTTGTTCAACGTCGCCACATCCCCTGTACGGAACCATCCCTCCGAAGTGATAGCTTGCTTGGTCAAATCAGGTCGTTTATAATAGCCTCGCATCAATGATGGTCCTCGTAGCCAAAGTTCTCCAATACCATTTTCCGCTTTGTAATCCGTATCCGGTACATCCACCAACTTGAATTCAATCGAAGGTGAAGGTGGACCAATCGAGTCCATCATTGGCCCAAGAGCTGGATACGTTAAGGAGGCAAGTCCACAACACTCTGTCAACCTTTTATTAAAAAAAAAAAAAAAAAAAAAGGTGAATCAGGTTGTAAATATATAACGATGAAACTTTACCCATAACCTTGAACCATAAAGCAAAGTGTCGATGCAATGAATTTATGCGTTTCATAAGAAATAGGTGCACCACCACTGAGTCCATAGATAAGTTTGCCACCTGTCACCTTGTTAATGGGAGCAAAAATCGTCTTGTCAAAGATCCTTGTGATTGAATTTTCTTTTCCAAAGTAACAAAGGAGTCGCCATTTTGCTTCCACCGCACCTATAGAATTTTTTTTTTTTAATTCCTCATATCTTATTGAATAGATATTATTATTATTATTATTATTTTTTCTTTACCATAAAAAGCCGATCGAATTAAAAAATGTTGTTTGTCCAATTCCTTTTCAATACCAGCTTTGATCTTTTCCCATATTGCCGGTACACCTGCCAAGATGGTGGGTTGTAAACATCGAAGATCCCCTATTCCTTTACCTTGTCCATTTGGTCCACATACATTATCATCCATCAATGTTCGTACACCTCCATACCCAATAGGAATAGCCTACATTATAAAAAAAAAAAAAAAGATGATCTTCAATTGAATGCTATACAATTTTTTTTTTTTTTTTTTACCAATGAAATCATCACTAATTCAACTAGGAATTCCAATACATGAGCCAAAGGTAAATACCCAATATATGTATGTTTGTCTTTTAATAACCATTCCATAATCAAATGTTGTCCACCACCAATAGCTGCCAAGATATTTTCATGTGTCAACTCGACTCCTTTGGGTGTACCTGTCGATCCACTGGTAAACATGATCAGAGCCAAATCGGATGGTTTGGGTGATTCTTCATCTTGTTGATCGTTGTTGCTATGGCAAATATCTTGAATGTGTTGCATAGTCACATCATCCGGTTTATCTTGCTTGAATTTCGCCAAAGCTTCAGGTGCATCATCATCTCTACCAATATAAAGTACTAAGGATGGTTGTTTCTTATTGGTCAATAATCCATATGCTTTGTTAACCACTTCCATCAACATTGTCTAAAAAGAGAGAGAGAGAGAGTGAATTGAATTTTCTTTTTGTTTTCCTTTTTGTTTTTCTTTTTTAGTATCTTACTTCAGTGAAAATGGCTTTTGGTTCTGTTTGATCAATGATACTTGCGATGGCATCAGCTGGCATGCTATCATATCCAGTACTAATGGTTATGCCTAATTGGAAACACGCTAAAAAAAAAAAAAAAAAAGGAAGGATCCGAATAAGAAATTGACATACAGATATGATTATGCAAAGACATATTCCGATCCTTGTTTTCTTTATCTACTTACCCATAGAAGTGATCATCCATTCAGCACTAACACATACATAAAAAAAAAAAAATGAATAACGCCTGTAGATCATCCATGTGGATTTTTTTTACCTTGTTTTGGCAAAGAAAAAGACACAATCACCAGACTTGATACCATGCTTTTTTAACACAGTAGCCACACTAAGAGAGTATTGTTTTGCATGTTTATATGTCCACCATTTATAATCATCCAATTCATATGTTGACCATTTCTTTGTCCTATTCTCCTCTTGTTTTTCATGGGTATGTATCTATACAAAAAAAACAAAATGTTGATAAACAAATAATAAAAACATTTTTCTTTATACCTTGATCAAAGGTCGATAACCAAAAATACACTTGTCAGCATTTTTTTCAACAGTCTTTAACCAAAAATGTTTGAGGGTCAATTGGTTTTTTGGAAGTTCTGGAACAATGGGTTGCGAGACAAGACCATTAATGGCGGGTTGTGCTCGGTAAATGTGTTCGTCTTCATTCACTAAAGTAGTTGCTCTACCTACTGGTTGCAAATACAAGTTTTTCACAAGTTCCATCAATGTCGAAATTGTTTGCAATGTTGGAAATAAGAGAGAGATAAAAAAAAAAAAAAAGGTAGTTTATTTCGTCCGCTTGAAAGGTTTCACCGCCCATGTAGGCTAATGTTTCATGCGTATAAAATTACAAAAATAAGAGAGTTCCGACAAGGGAAAAATAATCGTGGGGAATAACTTGAAAATGATATAAAAAAATAAAATAAAATAAAAAATCAAGTAATAAGATATATTTCTATGAATAATATTAATATGAGACTGGATCAACCAAACCATTTCTTGCCAAAATTTAAGACAGCACCTTGTATACCGGATATTGACGTATTGTCTTCTTGTGTATCATTGTTCTTGTCTTCCTCATCCATTTGTTCAGTGAAATATGAAAAAGGATGAGTATCTTTGGCATAAGTTGAACTTGATGTTGAAGATTGGACAGGCATTACCAAATCAGAAGTAACATTGGATGAGAATCGTCTGTTGTGATAGTTGGATGTGGTGGATGTATCATACGTTTGAGTTGTATTTTCATATTCAAGTAAGGCTTCAGATGCAATAGAATCCATGTCAGATGATATAGATAATCTAAAATATCGAAAGAAAAAAAATATATATATAGTTGGACAAAACCAACAAATGGCGTGTTACCATAAAAGTGAGATAATAACGAGTTCTTTTTTTTTTTTTTTCTTGTTTACCTTTCAGATGAATCTTTCTTGGTTATTGTTTTTAGAGTGTGTAAAGTGGCTGTGTCATCTTGATTATCATGGTTTTCTGGTGTTGAAGATGCTCCAATATCCATCATATTATTTCGAATATAGACCAATTTTTCAGTCAAATCTTCCAAAGTTTCACTTAAAATCGCTTGTGCTGCCAAGGCGGCCGTCGTCGGTGAAGAAGGTGGTGGTTGTTCTTTTGGCATTTCATTTGTTGTTGTTGTTTCATCATCATTGTCATCGTTGATCAAAAATGGTATAGTTCGAGGAGCATAAAATTCTTGATTATTCTGTGGTTGTTGTTGATCATAATGATTGACCATCTAATGAATAAAAAAAAAAAAAAAGGTAAAATAAAATAAAAAAAAAATCAGGTCATGATAGTTGATTATGTCTTTATTATTGATATACCTTTGCGATTTCATCATCTTCAAGGTATACAGCGTCTTGATGTTGATGATCATCCTCATCCGAGTGAATTTGATATACAGTAGGTTCCTGTTGATGATAATCGTAGTCATGATAATCATAGGCAGAATCAGTGAATTCGTCTTGTTGCTCATAATTTGGTTTTGGTAATAAACGTTGTTTTGGATATTTTCTTCGTTTCGAGCGTTTCTTCCATTTGTTATTTTTCCCTGGTTGTTGGTCGTTAATAGATAATAAATCGTCAAATTCCCTGTCCCGAGGATTGTTGAGATATCCATGAACAGCATTACCTTGATAAAAGTCGTTGTAATAGGATGGTGAATCAATTAAATGATTGTCGTTTTCATCGAGAAGAATTCCTTGGCGTTGTCGTCCTAAACTTGGAAGGCAAAGGCAAAATTGTGAGGTGGAGGGAAGATAGTTTCGCCAAGTAAGGTCAAAAGCATTGGGCTCTTCGTTGTGTTGTTGTGATGACGATAAACTAAACATGATACAAGGATATAATATATTATGTCTTTTCAACAAAAAACAAACATTAAGGACTTTTTAAAAAAAAAGGAAGAAAGGGGAAAAAAAAAAGGTTACAAAGATTTTATTGAAAAAAACGATGGTCAGCGGGATATGAAGATTCATTTTATTTATTGAAAAAGGGAAAAATACCATTTTTCACATGCCACACAAAAAAAAAAAAAATCCAAAACTACAATTTGTACTATGTAAACTACCTATGATGATGTTGTCGATTAGTTTTCTTGTATTTGACATTATTATGATGTTCAGCAGCTTGCTTCGCTCTACGTCTGTCCAATTCATGAGAGGCTTCATACTTGGGTAGACTATTGAAAATAAAAAGTTGTGAGGCCACAATATATCTAATAGAATGAATACTTACTCTCCAGGTTCAGCAGGTAAAGGTTTTGTATAAAAATAATCATGATCCAAAGCATCTAAAGCAGTAATCCTTCGTAATGGATCCAAAGTTAAGAATTTGTCCATTAAATCAGCAGCTTGTATATCGAATTTTTTAAATTCTTCCACTACTCGTCTTGATGAAGGTTCAAATTTGACATTTCCAGCATCTTGTAATTTGTTCCATCCAGGCATATTTTCTTGAGTAGGTGATCCACAAAGTAAAAATATACGTTTCAATTGGTCTAGATCATCTAAACCCTGTAATATCGGTTTCCCTCGTAATAATTCACCAAAAACACATCTAACAAATTTATTGATAATAACTAAGTAACATTGTATTTCTTTTTTTTTTTTTTTTTTGTTATATTACCCTATTCCCCACATATCAATGGCAGTTGTATAACGTCTTTCACCCAAAAATAGTTCAGGAGGTCTATACCAGCGAGTTACTACACAACTTGTATATTCTCTATTTTCTTCTTCTACTCCACGTGCCAAACCGAAATCCGCTATTTGTAAGATTCCTTCATTGTTGATCAATAAATTGGCTGCCTTCATATCTCGGTGTAAGATTTTGTTCTAATAACAAATAACAATAATAGTAGAAATGGTGAGAACACAAAAAAAAGATAATTTGTTGTTATTTTACATGATGTAGATAAGCAGTTCCTTCCAATAATTGTTTTAAATAGGTTTTGATTTGAGGTGTTGATAGTCGTACAGCAGGATTATCCAATAGTCCAGCAAGATCATGATCCATGTAGGGAAACACCATATATATACTACCACGTTCCTTTCGAGCCGCATCCCCTAATCAAAATAAGATGAGTACTCCATTCATTCTTTGTTGATATAATTACCTCTATCCACAGCGATATCAGTAAGAGGAACAATATTCTTGTGTCGTAATTGTTTTAAAATCTTGATTTCTCGGATGGCTGTAATAGGTACCTAAATGTAAAAAACACATAGAATGTTAAATGGTTTCTTTGATTTAGTATTTCTTATAAACTTACCCCTTCCTTTTCATTATGCATCAAAATCCGTTTAAGAGCAACTAATTGACCATTGATCCTATTTCTTGCTTTGTGTACTTCACTATAATATATATATGAGAATGAGTGGATGATGTCCATTGTGGAATGCTTTACAGAGTTTTCAAATGTATCTTACCCAAATGTACCTTCACCAAGTTTATCTTCCATATCATAATCAGATAGTTTTGAACAACCAGCATAGTTTCGAGAGATTTTCGAAGGGTATCTATAGGCAGGAGACGAAGAATGGATGGAATAAGCCGGAGATGCTGATGTACTATTTACTTCGTCATAGGTAGTTCGTCGAGTTTGTTTTGAGTGTCTATCGTCACCCCATTCTTCGGTAGAGATGCGTTTCATTGTTTTGTACGTAATAAGTTTAAAGATAGAAAGAAAATAAAGAACAACAAATAGAAATTAAAGAGTGGAAGAAAAAGAGAAACAAGAGAGAGATCTAACAAAAGAACAGTAGGTTATTGATAATAAGAATAATTAATAAGTTGATAAAATAAAAGACTAAATATATTTATATAAATATATAAATATACATGAAAAAGGTGTATATGTATAATTTATGTTATCCCAGAAAAGAAAGAAAAAAAAAAAGGAAAGAGTAACAAGAAAAAAAAAGGTGCTTCGCGATGTCTAACGAAAATGGGAACCTTCACCGGAATTCAAAAGTCACGCAAACTGGTTCTTTGATATTCATGCCTTTTTTGGCCAAAAAAATTCCACCTTCCGATTTCTTTTTTTCTTTCTTTCTTTCTCATAACATCATATTATACTATGACCAGAAACACTACAGATGAAGACTCTCATGATATCATAGAAGAAGAACATGATAAACCAAGTTTATTCGGGCACCAATTCACCATACATAATTTAAAAAGTGAACATAATGGATATCAACTTTGTTTCCAATGGTGTAAGCAACAACAAGAGCAAGAACAAGAACAAGGACCTACAAAGAATTGTACCATGCTCTGTTTCAAGCGCAAAGTTAACGACATGAGTTTGAATTCATCAACAACTGATACCTCAAACGCAGATACAACATCTACATTGGATACAACACCAACAACATCAGCAACTTACTTGACAGATACTTTTACCAAGGCCGGTTATGCATTCAAGGATATTCTATCAAGTTATGTAGCCAATCCTTTGAAGCGTTATTCCATTATAACTGTCAAGGGAACTGACATTACGACTTCAGACTATATCAATGGTAAGAGTGAAATAATCAAATTTACAAGTTTTGTATAAATTGATATAATATATATATATCCCTTAAATGTAGTACAACAACATGAACAACAACAAGAGTTCCAAAGGTAACGTAAAAAAAAAAAAAAAAATTATACTAATCTCTCTCTAATTTTTTAAAAAAAGGTATCCAAGAATCATTCATGAAATCAATATTGGAGAAAAAACTGAATCTGCCTTGGATAATGGTAACGTTGGATGTATGTATATTTACTTTATACGGAAACTAAATGTTCTTTTTTATTTATATATAGCGGAATGGATGTTGAAGAAAACTCATCAACTTTCCAAACAATTGATAAACACTTGGCAAACTAAACATTCTACCTTTTACAATAAATGGATTGGTGATTTCAATTATAGTGATACAATTTTTATTGTCAAGGACCGTGCTAGCAAGATGATGGATGTTGCAAGGGGGAAATACGATGATCATGACAACAACAACAACAACAAAGAACATAACAATGACAATGACACTTCAGATATTATAAATGATTCAGATAGTGACCCCTCTAAAAAGGATTCATAGGATCTCCCTCTTACATGCACACATATACATACGACTTATTTTGTACATATTTTTTTTTATGCGTCTATCTGTTTTATATTTCTGCATTTTATTTTTATAGCATTTCTACCTACAAATAATTTACTCAATCAATAAACAATGTTGATGAATATGATGATAAAGGGTGTAGTGATAGTGAATTGTATGGCAGTGGTGAATTATATGGTGATAACGATAAAATGAATACCCAAAATTCAGTTCGATAGAAAAAAAAAAAAGCACAAAGTTCATCTAGAGTTTTTGGATGATAAATAAATAGATAAATAGTTTATTTCAGTACAATATATAAAACCACATTAGGCTAGATAATCAAGGAAAACGTAATTCAAATACCCAAGCATGTTGTCCCAATTGCACCACACGATCCGGTACTTCAATGATTAACCTGCCATTATCCCATACACGCCAGTCCAAGCTTTCATGCAACGGATCACCCATCAAACGAATAAACGCACGAGGATGCAATGGGATGGGAGATTTGATGATGACTCTACCAGAGATAGGTTTTTCCAGACAAAAGATATAAAACGAAGAGCCCAGACGATGATAAGTAAACAGGATGGTTTGAGACGGTGTGGCAGTATCCTGTGGCGTTACCCAATAAGGTTCATCGGTTGCTTCAAAAATACTTGGCCCTACTTGATCCAACCATTTCCCAATAGCCAATAATCGATCCCGCATCGGTTCAGGAATACGTCCACTAGCATCAGGTCCAATGTTCAGTAAAAAATTTCCACCACGTGCAACCACATGGATCAGTTCATGAATCAGAGATGTCGTCGATGCGTATTGTTCTGGTAACGTTTCGTGATTATATCCAAATGAGTATGGATCAACTCCTCTTGTTGCTTCCCAAAATCTTGAGAATAATAATAATAATATATATGAAAAAGCAGGATGAGAATTTATTGACTAAATACACATTTTTTTTTTTTTTTTTTTTTTTTTTTTTTTTTTTTTTACCTTGGTGGAATGTTGGAGACATCTTGATATTCAACCGTTGTAAAATCAGACACACTATTACCACATCGATCATTGATTGCTACTTGTCGACCTTGTGCTTTTGCTTGATTAAAGTATTCTGCCTGCCATGCTGTTGAATTGTTGATGCCACCAATATCACACCTACAATATCCCATCATTAATAAAATATTTCAGTCGTTTTTTTTTATTCTTACCATATAATATCGGGAGCATAATTGTTGATCAACTCCAAGAATTGAGGCACTTGCAATTCATTGACAAAATCATTGATGGGAGTGCTTGCGGTATAAGGGATAATGGAATGATTATATGCGTTTCTAGGAGGACCTTGCCATCCAAGCCAATCATCATGATATTTCGGATGATACCACTCTGGTAAGGAAACTTGAAAAAGGGGTTTCACAATTAGTATATACATGTAGATGGATGAATACAAATATGCCTCTGCAACTCTTTTTTTTTTTTTTTTTTTTTTTATCATAACTTACAATAAAGACCACGTTTAAGGTGAGGATAGGAAGTTTGAGATACATCCATCAATTCACGAACAAAATCACGCTGAGGTTTCAAATGGACAGACGATCGTTGGCTCACTGATAATAAAAATAAAAAATAAAAATAATAAAAAACTAGATACACCCCTTGTCTTTTTTTTTTTTTTTTTTTTTTTTTTTTACCTTTTGTATCGAACAAGGCAATACCATCATGATGTTTGGTAGTAAAGACAAAGTATTTAGCATTGGCTTTATCAACAACATCCAACCACTGGTAAGCATCAAAAGATGAAGTATTCCATTGATCAATAAAATCATCATATTCAAAATGTTCACCATAGGTTTGTCGATGATATTCAAAAGTCGGACTATCACGTTGCATCAATTGCCACCAATACCATTCTGCATAGGATTCACCCACTTTAGACCATGAAGGAACAGAATATACACCCCAATGAATAAAGATACCAAACTTGGCTCCACGTAACCAATCAGGAGCTTGATGATGACCCAGGGAACTAAATCATGCAAGGGAAAAAAAAAAAGAGGTTACACAAGTCTAAAAAAAAAAAGAGAGAGAAACAAACATTCACTTTTTTTTTTTTTTTATGTTTTACCTTTCATCTTCAGTAAAATTACTAATGCCTCCTAGATCTAATGTCAAAACTTCTTGTGCCACAGTGGTTTGAATACCCATTCTTGATTTTGAAGTAACTGATATTAAAGTCGATTCAGATGATAATGATGATGATGATCCAAGACGAACAGCCACCTTGACAACTGCTATTTGTCCCGAAGCAAATCGCTGTAAATGACCATGTCGAATTGTCTGAATATCATTCTCTTGTTTCCCATGATTGTTGCTATTGATCTCGACTATGACATTGTCAAGACAATAAGGACTAATGTTGTGAATCCGTACTTTAATCCATTGTGATGATTCTTGTTGTATCCATTGTAATGTTGGTGTGGCGGAAATGATATGTACGGCATGAGAAGTAGAGGCAGGGAAAGCAGTGATGGCGAAAATATGTAGAGTTTGGGCAAATGAGCCAACAGGGTAAGTATATGGTAGAGTCAAATGAGAAACAGTCTTGGCAGGATCAACATACAGAGGCACCAAATAAAGAGACCCGTTCACTTGTGTGTTAATTTGACATGATGTACGATCAAGACGATGAATATGTTCAGGCTGAGCTACTTGCCAATCAGGGATATCCAATATAGTGGAGGAGATGGAACCATCTTGATAGGTCACAGCAAGATGAGAAGTTGTGACTGGACCATGGCTTGCGGAAGCTAGTAAATATAAAGCACCCAGTGTACGTTTGGGTAACGTGATCACCTGGCCACGTGCAGTAGCATCATTGAATTTGTTGCTGGAATGAATAGGCTGGAAAGGAATATTGCCAATATACATAGACGGTTGCTGTTGTGTCAATATCGAACAGGTGAAATATTGATCCAGTCCATCAAAATTGCCGTCATGAATGCCAAATCCTCGATTATTGACGACTTTGGTCAAATCAATAAATATTGGTGAAGGGTCTGGTGAAGGATGAAAAAGTAAATAATAATATATAATGATGTTGATGATAATAAGGATGAATATAATACTGCCATAGAGATAATAAGAATAGTTGAAAGGTTTTCTTCGTGTAGGGATATCGAGTGTAGTATAAGTTGTAGAAGACATACAAACAGAAAAAAAAAAAAGAAAGAAAATGAAAGAAAAGGAAGAAAAAAGAATCCCCGACTTCCCACCCCTTTTATTAGTTTTTTGGATTTTGAGTTTAAGCCTAGCATGGAATATCCTCCTTGTTTACAATGCTTTAACTCCGTCCTTGTATAAACTAGTTAAAGTTGAAGAATGTGGTTCAAAGAAAAGTGTTGGCTACATATCTAATAAGCATTGACAAAAAAAAAAAAAAAAAAGTACCGCTACCATTTTGATCAAGCCAATCAAATGGCGCCTTTGAAACAACCCCATTATCGTGTCAAAAAAAAAAAGTTTTTTTTTTTCTTTTCTTATCGCTTTGTTCAGGTCTTCTTTTTTTATTATTGTTTTCATCCATTGCAATGCCAGAGACTTCTTCTTCTTCTTCTAGAAGAGCTCAAGCACCTACTCAGCAACAGCAAGACGAAAACCAAGGGTTCCTTGCTAAATATGGTGGACAAATCTTTCAAATGTTTATGATATGGTTGGTCATGAGGTTATTGACTGGAGGTAATATATTAAATAAAATAAATAAAAAAAAAAAAAGTAAACTCATTTTATTCCTTTTTTTTTTTGCGATAGGTCTATTCCCTAATCAACAAAATAATGTACCACCACCGCCATCTCCTGGTACTGGAAAAGATCAAACAACAGTCTTGAACAATGTAGGAACCACCATGCGCGATTATGCTCCTCACGTCCCTTCCTCTGTTTTTTACTACCCTCAACCTGAAATCCCTTTGAATCATCTTGCTGATAGTTTTGCGCCATTATGGCCAAAAGATACCAAGATGGATCTATCTGTTTACACTAATCAAGATGAATATTTCACTCGTTATCAAGACACTCCCGTATGGCAAGCAACTGATATTATTTATGGTGGTAATAGTAATGACCGTCGTGAACATCATATTGATATCCCTATTACCAAGGTAAAGATGATTTTGATTGCCTTTTTTTATTATTAAAATGACTCATTTAAATTATATATTTGATCGACATCGCTGCTTTCTTTTTTTTTATTTATTATATAGTCTTTACAACACAATGGAACTTTGTACGCCCATATCTTCGTCACTCCGCAAGGTGCCACCATCAATCCCAAGGATCCTTCTTTCGTTGCCAACAATGTGGTATATCTTCGTCATAGTAATAAAATATATGATTATATATATATATATATCTTGATTCATATTTATTTATTTATTTTTTTAATATTTAGCCTTGACCAAATTCTATCCCAAAAAAAATATCGTCAAGCAAAAGAAATTATTGGGCAAAGATGAAAAAGAAGAAGAAATGGACGTCGAAGTGGATGAACAGGTAAAGGGGAAAAAAATAGTAATGTGAATCAATATACAATTCAATATACATACCTTTCTCGTTATATAATAGATGGAAGATCAACAACAAGATGCTTCTGGATTGGGTGGTTTTGGAATGGGTTTATTATCTAATCTTACTCGTCAAGCACCTCTGGTGGCTTACTGGCATGAAAATGTGACTCTATCCGTGATTACTGAAGGAAAAGCAATGATTCCTAAGGCATCGATGCAACCTCCTGTGATCAAATGTAAGTTACTTATATATAGATATATATATATTCAAATGGAAAGGACTTATTCTTTTTCTTATAGACATTCCTTTTGATGAAAATTTGGTTCGTGATGCTACTGGCAAGGTTGGTTACTATAAACCTATTGTTTTTCCCAATGATTTTTGGTTGTTACGTAAAAATGCTTATCCTGTCAATGAAACTATCAGGTAAAGGAAAAAAAAGAAGGATTTTTATATTCTAGTTTGGAGAAACAAAACTCATCATCCATTTTTATTTATTATAGCTCATTACCCTTGACTATTCATTTAGAACCTTTGTCCATGTGGAAATTTAGTATCTATGCAACAATGACTGAAATGATGAACAATCAACAATCTTCTAGTCCTATGGGTGGTATGTCTTCGTCTGAAACGGATGAAGTCAAACGTATGTTTTTGGAAACAAACCCTATCCTTTTAGCGGTGACCATCTCGGTCAGTTTATTACACAGTCTCTTTGAAATGTTGGCCTTCAAGAACGGTAAATATATATATGGTGCTTTTGAATTTATCTGAATTCAACATTTTTTTTTTTTTTTTTGGATAGATATTGCATTCTGGAAAAAGAAAGATAATAGTACAGGTGTTTCAGTGCGTAGTATCATTGTCAATATCTTTTTCCAAATAGTGATCTTCCTCTATTTACTGGATAACAATCAAGAAACATCCTGGATGATCTTGATGGGTCAAGGTGTGGGTCTTTTGATTGAAGTATGGAAGGTGTTCAAGGCATTGAAATATGAATTAATCTGGCGCCCAGGACAACTTTTTCCTACTTTATCGACACAAAACGCGAACAATACTACGGAGGAAGAAGATGAAACGTCTAAATACGATGCGATTGCGTTCAAATATCTGACATGGATTTCTTATCCTCTTTTGGCCGGGTATGCTGTGTACTCCCTTTTGTATGATGAACACAAGAGTTGGTATTCCTTTGTCCTGAAAACTTTGGTAGAATTTGTTTATCTCTTTGGCTTTATCACTATGATTCCTCAACTTTATATCAACTACCGTCTCAAGAGTGTAAGTTTAGAATGACAAAAAGAAATGATAATGGATTGATTTTTTTATTCTTTTTTTTTAGGTTGCACATATGCCATGGAGAACCTTGATGTACAAATCACTCAACACATTTATTGGTAAAAAAAAAAAATAAATAAATAAATAAAAAGGAACCTAACTTGGTACTTTTTTTTATATAGATGATTTATTTGCATTTGTGATTAAAATGCCTACTCTTCATCGTATTGCTTGTTTACGTGATGATGCTGTATTTATTGTCTATCTCTATCAACGCTACAAATACAAAGTGGATCCTACTAGGGCAAATGAATATGGTCAAGTCGGGGAACAAAAGCAAGATGCTGACAAGAAGAAATCAGTGGAATCAAAGAAAGATCAATAGGTTCATCCAGTATAATTTTAGTTTATTTTTGTTTTTATTATATTAATGTATAGTTTATATTTTTTTTTTTATCAATTACTATCATTTATTAAAAGTCATCCATCAAAAGCGTACTATTGATTTTTTTTTCTTATTTTATTATTCATTGAAGAATTGGAAAGGTGTATTTGGAATGAGTCAAGAAAGAGAATGTATACAGAGTAAACTATGACTAAAATAGATCTAGACTAAGATTGTGAATGTTGACTAGGATCAAACAAAAAAAAAAAAAAAAACTGTGGAGGGTTGAGAAGAGATATATATGTGTGTGTGTGAGAGAGATGGCATGTTGAGATAGGATTGTTTGTTTTTTTAAATACGTTCGAGAGATTCCATCAAGGTGATACTGTTACCACGAATGACCTAGAAAAAAAAAAAGGTAAGTTTATTTTCAAAATCAAATGTTATCAAAGTACTTACCACCATGCCAATCGCGTTCTTTTCAGTTGCACTGACTTCTTCCATGGCTTCGTCCAAGACAAGATTCATAAAGGGATCGTAACCACGAAGAATACCTGTCACTTTTCGGTTGTTGTTCAATTGAAGTGATAATTGTTTATCCATATACCTATCAAAATAATTAAAAAGTTTGGTTGTTTTTATCAAAGTCAATAAAGAAACAAAAACTTACATTTTCAATTCAGGTGTAGCTGTTTTACCCATGATGTCTATGAATAATAACTCTATCCACAATAATAATAATAATAATAAAATGATGTTAATAATTTGATATGAGTCATTTGGTTTTTGATATATACATTCTTACGTGGAAACAATAAAAAAAGAAAAAGTCTGAAAGAAAAAAAAAACTAACAAAAAGGAAAAAAAGACAAAAAAAAAAATAGTTTTTTCATAGTGATCGGAGTCTGTGACCGGCCAGTCCATGAAAAGCATCATCTTTGATCATCTATTCCCTTTTCTTCTTTTTTTCTTTCAAGAACGACAATGGCAAAGGCGAACAAGTTTTATATCTTCCTGACTCTTTGTTCTGGTATGGCTATTGGAAGTACGATTGTAAACAAGGTAAGAAAATGTTGATTCATTATTTTATTTTCGCTTATATTTAAAATTTGTTTCCTTTTTTTTTTGACACACTCTCTCTCTGTTCGCAATACTATATGATGAAATAGGTGATGAAGCCCGAAATGGTAAGGATCTCCCTTTTACATACTTTCAAAAAAGAAAAAGAAAAAAAAGAGATATTTTATCTAATGACTTTACATATTGATCCCATAGACCATTCCAACCCCTCAACTCAAGAAACCAGAATAAACCAAACTTGATTCCAATTCACTCTTTACCTTTTTATATATTTACAAACATTGATCTTATTTCAACCCCCCTCACTTTTTCCCCTTATTCATATATAACTAGATAGACATACATATAAACTACTTTTTTATTACTATTATTATTATTATTTCATATTCATTCATTTGTCAATAAACACAACTACATATATACATATACAGATTAATCTAAGTACCTCCATAAGAGCCAGAATGCTTGATAACTTCTTCAGGAGCATCATTGGAAGGAAAGATGATTTCCAAAAAGTGAATATGATCTGGTTGAGCAATAGCTTGATGCATAGCACTTTCAAATTCTTTACGAGTTGTGATTTTATTTTGAACACCAATGCGGAAAGGTCGAGTGGCACGTTTCTGATTGATGGCCAGGTTGGCACCCATGTAGTTGAAAGTATTGGCGTATTCCCACATTTGAAAATCATTGTACTTGCGTCCGTAAGCATGGAGTAATTTTTCAATCAGATAACCATCGTTGTTGAATAAGAGAATAATAGGACACACACCATGATGGAGCATCACAGAGACTTCTTGTGCTGTCAATTGGAATGAACCATCACCCACCATCAAAAATACTCGTCTAGATCGGTCGGCCAACGCAGCACCTAGTGTGGATGGAACTGTATATCCAATGCTACCCCAGAGAACTTGACAGATGAAGATGCAGTCTTTCGGAATAGTCAAATTGAATGCACCCAAAGCAGGGGTACCTGTTTCGGCAATGACCACTGATCGTTCAGGAAGATAATCCACAATCTTGTTCCAAAAATAATCTTGAAGCATTGTTTCACCTGGTGGCGTGATTGATCGTTGTGCTCGAGGACCTAAATCCTTGATGACTTTCTGGATGTCGCGGGAGGCTTGTTTTGGGAAGTACTTGATAAGTAGTGGGACGAGTTCTTGCATTGCCACCTTTTCATAAGTAGAATAGAATACCTTGGTAGAGAATGTATGGAATTCAATCACCTTGGATGGCACTAAACCATAAGTAAATCCACCTGTGTTGACATCGGTTTGTTCGGAACCCAATTCAAGAATCAAATCGGAATGAAGGACTTCTTCTTTCACCTTATCCAAAGAGGAGGCACCACTATAACAACCACGATAATTGGGCAAATTATGATCTACTACATCGATACTCATAGGAGCTGAATAGACAGGAAAACCAGATACCTTGACCAATTCAGCCACGTCTTTATGCATATGATTTCGTACAACACAGGCATCAGCAATGATGATAGGATGTCTGGCTACTTCAATGGCTTGAATAATCGCTTTCAAAGCTGCTTCTTGAGTTTCAGGAGGATTTTTTGGGATAGAATAATCCAATGGAATATCTTCAACCATAATTTCATGATTGACAATATCAGCAGGAATACCAATGTAACCTAAAAAAAAAAAAAAAAAAAAATAAGTATACATTTTTATATAAATAAATAAATGGATTTACCTGGACGACGACGACGTAAACATGTAGAGAGAACTTCATCAATTTGTCGAGCAGCACTACCAGTAGTAAGATGGGCACTAGCAGCAGTGATATTGGTGTACATATTGATAAAGACAGAGAAATCACCATTACCTAGAGAATGATGTAATAACGCACCAGTTGCTTGAGAGGAAGTACTTGGTGTGCCAACAAGATGAATCACTGGTACCATTTCAGCGTAAGATCCGGCAATACCATTTGTAGCAGATAATTCGCCCACACCAAAAGTGGTCAATACAGCACCTGCACCTTTGACACGAGCATAGCCATCAGCGGCATAAGCAGCATTCAATTCATTTGCATTATTTCCCCAAGTAAGTTCTTTGTCATCTATTATAAAAGATCGTTGTTAGTTTTATTTTGTTTGATCGCGTTTTCCATTGATTGAGAATGTTTTTACTTTCAAGTATATCTAAAAAGCTGAGATTATAATCACCAGGAACACCAAAGATAGTATCAATACCAACTTCTTTAAGTCTTTGAAGAAGATATAGTGCAATTGTTGTTTTTCTTATTCCACCCATATTTTATATAAGAATATGATTATAAAAAAGAGAAAAGAAAAAGTAAAAAAAAAAAAAAAAAAAAAGAAAAAAAAAAAAGAAAAGAAACGTTTCGCATATGAATGAAAAAAAACTGGTAGTGTGTGATTCAAGAGCCGCTGGTTTTGAAAATCCCATGCATTGATCTTAATCTTTACTTTTTTTTTCTATTTTAAAAAAAAAAACACCCTTGCATAGACTATTATCTATGATCCTTTGATTATTTTAAGATCACGTCGGGAATTAGTTTTTTTTTTTTTTTTTTGACTTTTCTTCAAAAGAAAAAAGGATGAATATTTTTTTTATTTTGATGTTTCTTTTTCTTATCAAATCATCATCTATAGAGAGTGTTTCATTTATTTTATATGGATGAGTCATTTCGAAACCGACTCGGGTAATGCAACGTCTCTACCACCTGTTCAATTTAATTTTACACCTGAAGAATTCGATCATCTACAACTGGCATCGGGGATTTGCACGTATATGAGTATGATCAGTATCGCTGTGGTAGTAGCTGTTTATTGGTATATGCTTTATCATCATCCTCGTGACACAAACAGAGTATCATTGCGTTGCGTGATCGGTGCAAATGTGGTATCGTTCATGGATCATTGTATGGCTCTGGCCGCCGCTGAACAATCCATACATACTCAATTTTGTTTTAGTTGGCGATTTTTAAACGGGATTTTTACCATGATGCCCATCTGTTTACTTGGTTGTGTAGGTGTACATCTTTTCTTAGTCTTTGTGTATCGTATTCGATGGCCCTGTCGACCTGAATATATCTTGATGCCTGCTGCTGCTGTTTATACCGGTATTGCTAATATCATTCCTTATTATGGAGAAGAATTACCTGAGGGAATCGATCAACTCATTAATCCTAATGCTGAACTTTGTTGGTAAAAAAAAAAAAAAAAAAAAAAAAAAAAGATTCCTATTTGACATGTTATTTTAATCATCCTTTTTTTTTTAGGTACTATAATGGATTTGCTGATCGAACATATAATAAACCAGCTTGGATTTATTATTATTCTTTTATCTTTCTCGTCATTATCATTTCTTCCTTTACTTCCATTGCATCCATGTACAAGGTATTTTTAGATAAAAGAAAAAATACAAAATTGTTATTAGAAATAGCAGAACGAGGTTTGGGAAGTGCATCAACCAGTCAACAACGTAATGAGGCATCATCATCCACAAGAGGTCGCTTATCTCCAGCATCTGCCATTGCACCAAAACCACCTGCCTGGTGTCAAGTGCAACAAACTAAAAATCCTTTTAGAAAGGTAGTGGCTCGTAGTCTATTGTATCCATTAAGTAAAAAAAATTTTTAAAGAAAAGATCATCTTTCAAAAAAAAAAAAAAAAAAAATGTTTTATTGATATCTATCTTTTTTTTAAAAAAAAAATTATAGTGCCTGCAGTCACCTACTCATTAGGATTTACATTACAAATGTATTTGATTGATCCAGAACATCAGGCTAATTTTGTGCTTGCCTTGATGTCTGTCATCATGGCTCGTTTGGCTGGTGTTTTCGTCGCCGGTATTTTTTTCAGTGATCCAACAGTGCAAACAATCCCAGGGGAACTTTGGAGAAAATGTACAACAAGAAAACCCGAAGTGCCTCAAATCAGGAGTACTGCACCATCAGCCCGCACATCCACGCTAATCGATGATCATGTATAACTATTCCTTCATCACCTATTCATACCTGTTCAATTATATACCTATAAAATAAAGAATATGCACTAGTGTTTTGAAGTTGTTCATCAACGGATGATATACGTACTAATCTTTATTCTATTTGTTTGATAGAAGGAAAAAGAGCGTAAAGGAGAGGAAAGATAATATGCATTATATAAAAATAGGAAATAAACATGAATCATGGAAAGAAAAGATAATGATGGATTGAATGTAAAAAAAAAAAATAATGAATATATAAAACTAAGGGATTTAAACAATAAACTGGGATTCTTGTTCCGTCAAGTGCTTGGCTGATTTCTTGGCATCAAAGAATAAATCGTCCACTTCCTTCACATCATCCAAAGTAATACTATTGTGTCCATTGATTTCAGAAAGAACGTTCGCTGGAGTAAGAAGTTGAACGGCATAACTATATATAATACATCAAAATTAAAATAAAATAAAGTAAAAAAGTAAGCCCACATTGTCCAGAAAAAAAAAATGTCCCTTACCGTAAAGATGTATTGAGACCCCTATCAGAAATATGATCCACTGCTGCATCATCTACAGTCAAATTTTCTGTCCTAGCACGAATCTTGATGATTTCCTTGATTTCATCCAGTGAGTAAGGGAGAGTACGAATAATCAATAGACGATCGAGTAAATCAACAGGAATACCATGTGGGGAGACAATATCATCGGTACCACTATATATATATGTATAAAAGTAAGAAATACATTATTGTTGAATATTATTTAATTCAAGTTCTTACCGAATAGTACACATGCCTCGGTTGGTTGCAAAAATGACAATTGGTGACAAAGAAGATTCAAGGGCTCGGTTCAAATAAGTAAAGCATTCAATATCAAGCATATGTACCTATCCAAAAAAAAAATGTATTGAATAAAAAAAAATATTCATCATATCCTATCCTTTTATTACTTACTTCATCAATGAATAAAACACCAGGTACTAATTCAGCCACACCTTGATCAATATATTTGTTGACTACCTTGTTGATTTCTTTTCGTAACTTTTCGGTGATTTCAGTTTTCTTGGGTTTCAACATTTGGCTCATCATAGACATAATATCTTGTCCACCCTATAATGATAATGTTACAAATCCTTATTTTTTTTTTAATTTTAATTTCATTGTTTTACCTGAGGTCTAGCATTGGCAACATCCAAATCATGTAATGTCACATCTTGAATCACTTCCTTTTTCTTATGTACTTCACCCTTTGGCAAAGGAACATATTCTTCAGCCTCCAAATCAAATTCTGTAGCAAAAGCATCCGATCGACCCACGCGCTATCATAACAAAAAAAAAAAAAATGAGATCATCTGTTTCTCTTTTTTTTCCATATCAAACTTACCTTGACAGCACCAGTATTTGATTCAATATAAATAACATCACCCACCGTGACATTTTCCTTTTGAATAGATTCAAAGATACTAGGATCCAATTTGAGTTGTTTTGTACCTTTGACCGTCTTGAGACCAATGATGACATGAGATACAGTCTTGCCATAACCACCCAATGGATTTTCTGTTTCTTCAGGAGTCAATTCAGTCACTTCACCTTCATAGACTTCCTTGGATTCCTTGATACGTAAACCAATAGCGCGACGAAAGTTTTCCATAAGTACTTCGGTTTTCTTGATTTCAGATGAATACACTTCAGATCCAACAATAGGTCGAAAAGGTACTTTAGGTCCAAGTTCTTGAGAGATCGCCATGGCAATTGCGGTTTTACCTGTACCAGGTGCACCAGCAAATAATAAAGCTCGACCTGCCATCTTTTTAGATTTGATAAGTTCTACAACAACTCCACTTGCCTAACAAGTTTTAATCATGTCAGTTTCCTTTCTTGAATGATAAAACATTCATTTTCTTTTTTCATTATTTTACCTCTCTCGCATTTTCTTGACCAACAAAACCTGATTGAATAGGTTCTGCAGTACCGTCTTCAAGTAAACCTAATCCTTTGATGTGAGAGTGAGCTGCAACACGTTTTTCACGGGTGGCTGAACTAACTTGTTCAATACGCATATTTGATGAAGATCCAGAAGTTGCCATGATTGATTATATATGTATCCGATGAATGGTGACTATAAATAAAAAGAAGAAAACAACAAAAAAAGAAAGAAAACAAAAAAAAAAAAAAAAAAAAAAAAAAAAAAAAAAAGACAAAGAAAAGAAAAAGATCGCGCCTAGTTGATTTTTTTTCAAAGCACGCCTGTGACGGCCCAGCCACTCATCATTGAATATCCCCCCAAAGTGTGATCCACATGTAGATACATACATATATATATATATATATATATATGTATAAAGACAATAGAATATTTTTTGACAAAAAAAAATGTAATCATGATTTTTTTTATTAGATGAGAATGCAGAAAGTAGAAAGAAAACTCAAATGAATAATTATAATAATGAGATTAATATTCACTATATAATGACATCCATTGTTTAATCAAAGAGACCGAAACCCATATCCTATTAAAAAAAATAATAATAATAATAATTAGTCTAACATATTCCTAATAATCATCCAATAACATCAACTTACTTCATCTTCAGATTCTTCTTCTTCAGCAGCAGCTTCTTCAACAGCAGCTTCAGCACCACCAGCAGCGGTAACAGGGGCAGCAACAGCGAAGGCTTCAGGGTTTTCAAGGTATTCCTTCATCTTTTCAGAACCAGGGAAAGTGTAGTCGGAAGCAACAGAGACAGCCAACAAATTCTTGTAACCGTTGATAAGAGAGTGAGGAACGGAAGCCAAGGTAGGATAACCAACAGCCAAAGAGATGGAAGCGACTTGACGGATAGCAGCCAAAAGGTTAGCAACCAATTGTTCTTCACCAACATCCAAAACTTCAGAGGAGAAAGTAGAACCTTCATCATAAACTTGGACAACAGCCATACCGTAGGTGAAAGGAGAGATACCCAACATGTTCAACAAAGCAGCTTCGGAAGGACCAACCTTTTCACCAGCTTGAACCAAGTTGACATCGGAAACAATTTCAATGGTACCACGAGAAATCTTGGTAGGGATACCGAGAGCTTGGAAGAAAGAAGTCTTACCGGGTTCCATACCAGTGTTACCACCAGGCACAATCACATCAGCAGGAGCAACAGCATTGGCACGAGCAGGAGCAGCAACCTAAAAAAAAAAAAAAAAAATTATTGAGTATCACCAATATACATATATATATTTATATAAAATATCACTTACACGGTTGGAAAGAATCTTTTCACGGACTTCCTTCAAGTCACCATTGGTGAAGACGAAACCAATGTTACCACGGACATGGGGCAAAAGACGTTCGAATTCGGGACGTTCAGCAACGAAGGTCTTCAAAGCACGACGAACCATGGTGTTCTTACCCATAAGGACAACACCTTCACCACGGAGAGAGTGACGGATTTGGTGCATTTGGTTGGAGCTGACATTATCGACATTGACAATAAAGATGGACTTGTAGGTATCCAAGTATTCCTTCAAACGGAGGAAGTAGTTTTCTTTGGCTTCTCGCTTCGACATGATGTGTATACTGTTCGAGGACTTTTAAAGAAGCACTATAAAAAATGGATAGAACAGAAATTTAATAAGTACGATAACATTGTTTGATAATATTGGATGGATGGATGGATGGATGGATGGATTACCTTTTTCAGTTGGGAAGAAAAAAAAAAAAAAAAAAAAAGAGGTTCCATTGCATCAATTTGGTGAAAAAAGAAAAGAATTTGGCATTCCGCTTGTATAGTGCTTTCATTGGATAAAGATATATGAAAAAAAAAAAAGTATGTACAGCCGATTTATTAATTGTCAAAGATATATATATATATTTACTAGCATCACTAATACTACTGGCACTATTTATTAATACTACAATACCATAGTATTACCGACAGTTCTAATACTAATACTGATTATACTGATACCAATGCTACTTGGTTCCTTTTATATAATTGATCAAGCTATCTACATCCTTGTGAAATTCCCTTGATGCGATCCAATCCGATAAGAAGCCAGGCACCCATCCGCCAGCACTTGATTGTTGTACGCAAGTCCATTCCACTATTTTTGAATCACTATCCATTTGTTGTTGTTTTTCAGAAACATATTCCCAAGAAAGATATTTACCACGAACATAACTTTTCTTTGCATATTCTTTTGTTGCCACGGGTTGAGAGACCACCAAGAAGGAATGAGTGTTGGGTAATTCACGTGTTGCAACCAATTCCACAAATTCCCGAGGAGAAGCCATGGATGCCTTGAACCCAAGCCAATAAATACCTGCTTCTGTTGTTGTATCTTTTACTAATAATTTGAGTTGTTTGGCTTCTTCCAACATGACCACATATTTGGGTTCATTCATTGAATGATTTTCAAACAAGACTTGTCGTATTTGATCGTATGTAATATCAGCATGTTCACTATGTCTTTGGATAAAATAATGTCGACTGGAAGAAGTTGTTTTCCTATTCAATGTCGTTCCTTGTTGTTGAGTGGGTGGAAGTCGTTGTCGTCGCGTGGTAATAGTATCATCCTGACGAAAGATAGGCCATTGATGAGATTGCTGAATAATATCCAAAGCTTGCTCAAAAAGAGAGTCTAAATAGTGTTGTAGTTCTGGTTGTGTCATAGCAGCTAATTCTGCTTCATCAATAGATTCAGTCATTGTATAAAAATGTATACAATTAATAAAAAGAAAAAGAAGAAAAAAAAAATTTAGTAGTTCCTCCGCGGAAATGGGAAAAAATTGTCGGTGAATGAACTTTTTGCTTGTGTAGTTCATGCTGAACCGTTTTTTCAGGGGAAAAAGAGAGAGAGAGAGAGAAAGCGATCGACAGAATTTGGAAGGAATGATGATGATTTAAAAGGGTCCAGTTGTGATTGAGTTTCTCCGTAGCATCATCACTTGATGTCACCTTTCCTTTTTTTTTTCTATAATTAAAAAAGAATCATTTGAAATCATTCAAATGAATTTGGTTTTCAGTACTATAAAATTAGCATCGGATCATTAGTGTCAGCTGTATGACAGCGCTGAAGTTTACGTAGCATTGGCTGATATATGTACACAAAATATTCTTGTATAAACAGAACATTATAGTTAATAATGATTCAGACACCGCAAAAGCTTATTTTGGTTCTTTATTTTACATAAAAGCTAGCTTTTTTTTTTCTCTCTTTTCCTTCTTCTTTTTTCTTTTTATATATACAACCATGACTCTTGAATCAATTCCTCCTCCTGGTTATTCATCAACATCAACTCCAGCAAAATTCAACAAGGACCCACCTCATGAAGATACTGTTGCTTCACCTACATTAAACAAAGTTGTAACAGTCACCAATTGCTTTTTCTATCTATCGTTGATAGAACGTTTTTGGCGCAATATGGATAGAATGACACTCGATCAACAACGTTTTTACTTGGCTCGCGCTGAATTTAGATACGAATTATGGGTTCGTTATTCAAGCGGCAAACATGCGATGCCTACTCCACCTTTAGGTAAGTAGATCACAATATATATATATAAGTATATGTATATACTTAGAGCTTTTGGATCGCTAATCTTCATTCTTTTTCTTCTTCTTAAGATATTGCATATGTATGGCATGCTCACTTGTTATCACCATTCCGTTACTATGAAGATCTAGTTCTTCGTCTTCCATTCGGCAAAAAGACGTTTGAAACTCACTTACCACTGAGGTCTTTGGTAGGATACTTGAAATGGCAAGTACTCAAACCTATATCTAACTCCCCTCTTTTTTTTTTCCTTGGTTTTTACACGTTAGCATTATGGTCACGGCTCGGAAGAATCACTCAAGCTATGGAACTCCATATTTGGATCAACAGGCGAACCGTATCATCTGAATATCGATAACATGTACGAAGGTTTCTTCCATCGCAATTGTTTGAAATGTAATAATGAAATTAAAATTCCTTGGTAAGCCCAGTACAAAAAAAAAAAAAAAAAAAAAGAGAGAATCTATAAACTAACCATTATTTTATCAGGACCATGTATGTAGATTATCGCTATGGAAAAAACACGACACCTTTTGATCATCCATGTGGAGTGAACGGACAAATCAATTTCTTGGATGTGGCGCGAATCAAGTTGGAATATGACCTAACATTCAAAAAAAATAAAGGATCAACCGTTGCGTAAGTATTATTATCTTTTAATTTGCTTACGTTGTCAAACGCTGATTATTTTCTTTTTTCTTCGCATGTGAATTGGATGTTATAGAGGAACTCTTCTTGGACCAAATGGGAAACTAAAGAAAAAACCAAACAAGATGGTACCATTGATTCAACCCATTCAATATATCGATCCTCAACAAGAATTGGATTACTCTTATGAACTTCAAATCGAAGATAAGCTTAAAACTCTTGGAATGAAATATGAACACGATGCAAATGGTACGATAAAAACCCAAAAAAAAAAAGTAAAATCACATCGTCTCTGATCTTTTTTTTTTTTTTGTAATTTATCAATTAGAACTACTATATGCCATCCGAACATGTTATCAAAGTAACCCATCACCATTCTCAATCGATCTGATTCATGCTGTAGCTCGTCAACGCAAATTCTATGATAGTGCCATGGCAATTGATTGGGCTCCACCTAAAGGCTTTATTTCAGGCATCCGCCGGTACCATGACTTTATGCTATTGATGAAAGACAACCCTACATTGATTGCTGTGCCTACTATGGAAATTGATTGTGCTTGGCATCTGCATATGCTCCATGCTTCTTCCTATCGACAATTTACTCTCAAGTATTTAAAACGTGTCATTAATCATGATGATACAATCCCTGAACCAAGTTTGAAGAAATTTGCAAGTGATACCAACAAGGCATGGCTCAGATTCCCAGTCACTTACATGATTACGGTAATAGGATATATATTTATTATTAGGTATCAAGCAGACGAAACTCACTCCCTCTTTTTTTTTTTTTTTTTCTTAACCGGAATTCATCATCTTAGAAACTTCAACATGTGAAAGAAACAGATACTTATCAAGCGAAATTGACTATTCATAGAGTAGGATTTGGCTTGGAATTCTATCCTGGAACAATTCAAGTAGAGGAACGTGATCGAAAAAAAATAGCTACTTTGATGAACGAAGAGTATGTGATCAGAAAATGATATTTAAATCATGGATACCATTGCTGATATTTACTTACCGCGTTGCTATATATTCTTTTTTATCAACATGTAGGCTTAGCAAGGAAGGAGGTAGCAAATCTGTCAGTATCAGTGCACATTGTCATGGTAAGGAAGCAATCATTATCATGACATATTTTGGTTGTTTTCTTACAACGTTTATTCTGTATTTTATAGATGTCGCCAAGTCATTCTATAGTGATGACAGTAATATTGTAAGTAAACACATAGTTATTATTATTATTATTTTTTTTTTTTAGTATGGAATTGATTCATCCTATCATGCTGGCACTCACCTTTCTTCTTTTGCATTCTTTTTTTTTTTTTTTTTGATAGGATCGATTGAAAGATATGCAAGATTTTATTGCAGAAGGCATGAAGAAGACATCCTATGGATATATTGGGTACGTAAAATAGATAAGCTAGACAGCAGAGCTCAAAACTGGAATGAAAGACATATACTATAGAAAAAAAAAGGTGTTAATATTTTTTTTCTTTTTTTTTGGATTTATTTGGTGATATCAAATAGAACGGTTAGTTGTGGAACAGGTGGAAAAGGTGCCATCTACTCAAGTGATGATCGGAACTACAGTGGAGCCAAGATCACCAGTTATAAGGACAAATGGTACAAGTTAGGCGATGGCAATTCAAAACTTCAAAATCAATATCGAGATCTAGATGGATCAAAATGTACAAGCGAGCGTTTCAGGGACGTTGCCGCTCCAGCCTACTCGCTACAACGTAGAAGATCTCGTGATGATCTGGATATTTATACTGGTGTCGCTGCTGGCATGTTTATCTCCTACCCAATCGTTATGTTTGGCTCTTATGGCGCTGGCGCTTGTGGTGGTGGTGGTGCTTTTGGTGGCTGCGGTAATGGTGCTGCTTGTGGTGGTACTGGCGGATGCGGCGGTGGTGGTGGATGTGGTGGTGGAGGATGTGGTGGTGGAGGCGGAGGATGTGGTGGTGGTGGAGGTTGCTAGTTTACCAATTGCCACCAAGAATCAACGGATTGCCATATCTGATTATCCGATCATACATATTCATTTGTATCAAAATATCTAGTCTGGTATCTATAGTTTAATACAATCTGTATTTATATATTTTATATCTATCATTACTGCTACCTAATAATAAATATTTATGTTTAGGCCACTTGATTTTATTTTTATATCATATTGTTATTATCATGATGTTGTACACATTTGAAAATATCTATCATTAATATCCTTTTTTTTTTCTAATTCCATTCTTCATAATTCGTCTTTTTTTAGGTATCTAATTATTTCGACTTTTTTAGAAATATATGAGAGTTGATGGTGCTAATTATTTCATAATATTTAAGTGATTTAGTGGAGACACGGATGTTGGATTGTTATTAGTTTACGAGAATAATGATGATGATCATATATAAAACGTATTGGAATACCCAACGTAAAGCTCAATTCCTCAAAAATTAAGGATGCCCTCAGAATGAGTCATTAGTAGAAGAATAAAAAAAAAATGTCCTCAAGTCTGTGTCACTTTATAATTATGATTTGATGGATGTGATGATGAATGATGGATAGTTATTCACTATAATGACGGATGACATGTGATGATACATGACGACAGAGAATGAATGATGGATCATGGGCCATGGATGATGGATAATAGTATGATATACGAAAATCTCTTGGGTGACACCTTAAGAGATAACTAGCATCCATCCAATACGGAAAAAATGAAGAATCCTTTTTTTCTTTTTCTGTATTTCTTCCATTTCATCTTTTGAATAGATGTCGATGAAATGAATAGAAAATAGAAAAAAAAAAAAAAAAAAAAAAAAAAAAAAAAACTAAAAGCATGCATATCACATAGAATAATCCAAAAATAGACACGATCACTATAGAAACAAAAAAAAAAGGAATATGAAGGACATATTTGTTTTATTAAAAGTGATGATCCATTGAATGAGAAAAGGAGGAAAGGATCAAAAAAAAATGTATATAGAATATAATAGATAAATAAATATAGATTCAAATAGATATAAAAATGGTATAGAACAAATTGGGAGGGAGAAGAAGAAGAAGAATACTAAAAAAGAAAAAAAAAAAGAAAGAGAAAGGGAATAACACTATGGATGGAGATCAACCGTCTCGTCGATAAGCTAATTGAGGTTGAATACCAGTTGAAAAATTCATAGTAGAAGGTTGCATCATGGGAGGTCTTTGTTGTTGTTGCATATCCAGGTTCATATCATTCAATGTACCACCACGTATTCGGTACATTCCCAACATATTTTCCAATTCTTGAATCCGATGTTGACATTTGTTGACTTCTTCATGTAACATACGTATATGTTCGACTGATTTCCTCAGGATGGTACCTTTGTTATTCTTGATAGCATCTCTTTCCGGTAATAATGTTGATAATTCAAAAATCCGTTCATTGATATTATCCCTTCGTCGTCGTTCCACTGCATTATGAGATTCTCGTCGTCGTCTTTTCTTTTCAAATAATTGTTGCATACTATTATTAAAAAAAAAAAAAAAAAAAAGTTTCATGAGCCGAAATTTTCAACGTCAAACCTTAAAATCCCATCACTTATTCGATCATCTTATCCACAAATTGCCCTTTTTTTTTTTATTTTCCCTTCTCTCACGTGTTCCATATAAACACTTTCTAGTGTTGGCCAACTACGCTGAAATTCAAATCATCCTTTTTTTTTTTACTTACTGTTGTTGTTGTAATTCGTCATCCAATGTACCAGAATTGGGAGAAACTACATAATCACCATTATCATTGAGATCCTGATCTAAATTATTGGAAGCTGTGGCAGATGAGGATGGATGTGGTGAAGGAGCAGATGAAAGAGTCCAATCATCATTGTTTGCATAATACGCATTGCTACTTTTGGATGATGATGAAGTGGATTGTTTTGGGAGCGGTGATTGTTGTTGTTGTTGTTGTTTGTAATTGGAGGGAATAGGTGTTGTATCATACATATCATAAGGTCTTCCAGGTGTATTGATGTTACTGGTATTACTTATTGTTGGTATTTTGTTACTGGGGGTTGGACTGACTGAGTTTAAAGGGTTGTTAGTATAGCTTGGCGGTAACGTTGGATACGACGAAGAAGATCGGTCACTCGTTTGTTGTAGCATATCAGTGGGTATAGGCGATGAATCCAAAGAAGAAGTTGTTGCTAAAGGTGAATTAAAAGGTTTACGATCCATACCAACACCAGTATTCGGAGGTTGTTGCTGTTGTTGTTGTTGTTGTTGCTGTTGCTGTGATGACTGTGGATTAAAGTTGGAAAGATGAAACGGAACGTTATACATTGAATATCTATTAGAATGATACAAAGTAGATAATAAGAAGAATAAAAAAAAAGAGGTAGATAATAAATAGATAAAAGGAAGAAAGAAAAAAAAAAGAAAAGAAAAAAAAAAGAAAGAGAAAGAGAAGAAGAAGAAAAAGAAAAAGGGAACAGGAAAAAGAGACAAAAATAAAATAAAAGAAAAAGAACAAAAGGGTATCAAATTTTTTTTTTATTTAAAAAAAGAAAAAAAAAAAAAAAAGAAAGCGAGGGAAGTGGAGTGAGAGCTTCTATCCTATGACGTACTAAAAAACTATAAAGGTTTGTACCAAATAACAGTTTGCCCACGAGAACACTTATTTGGTACAAACCTTGTGATCAGGATCACGGGCTGACCCTTATACTACTGCTTTTCTTGAATATTCATAGTATCTAAATTAAGAAGATCAAAAAAAAGTGTTTAGTGCTTAGTATATATTATATGTGTAGTTTAGTGTTATTATTTGTTTATCTATATCTGTATGTATGTATACATATTTGTGCGTTTACCTATATCTAACAATGCCTTCATCTTCTTGAATTTCCTTGTCTTCAACCATCCGTTGTATTAGTCCCACTTGTATCATTTTTTCTTCAAATCGATTCACTTCTTTCCAATGAGTATCACGTAAAGGAATCATAAAATAAAAATCGTTTTCCATAAGTTTTTCCACTGCCACAGGTAAATATTCCGCGTGTTCCATTTCATAAAGCAGATCACTGGCAATCACTATACTAAATGTCCTATTGTTCCATTCCGTTTCTTCTATAGAGGTTGCCACCTGAATAAAGTCCAGTTTTGATACTTGACAAGTAGAATGATTGAGTTCCACATTGATAGCCACGTTTTTTAAGACACTTGGATGATAATCAGTTACCGTCACTTTGCCTAATCCATCTTTTAACTTTTCACATACAAGTCCAACAAGTCCAGTTCCTGTACCAAGTTCAAGTACTTCTCGATGTTGTATGTCAGGTATGATATTTTGTTGCAAGAGTTTCCTACATATATAAAGTTGAGCTTTCAATCAATATCAATAATAATTGTTAACTTACTTTGCTAATAAAGGAGCAGCACCCCAAGTTTTGAAACCAATATCATTTCCTATATAACTTGGTTCATGAAGTTTAATTTGAAGTTGGTTCAAATCACCATTAGCATCAAGGAAAGGAAAGTGCCAAGTTCTTGTCAAAGCACCAGCAGCTTTTTAAATAAAAAAAATGAAAAAAAAAAGAAAATTCAATGTCCGTTTTTGGCAAAATATATATACTTCTTTGAAATTTTTTTTTTTTCTACCTCCTCTACCAGATAAATGAGCCAATAATCTTGCAGCCATTTCCATTCGTTCATCATCTTGTTCATCGTTAGCCATTAATTCACCAGAAACCATTCTTACCAAAGTAGATCCCACTAATTGATTTGCTCTGCTGATATCTCTCCAAGTCACCCGATCAGGGAAATTAGTTTCTAATCCATCAGGCAACACTTCCAAGTCGATATATTGATCATATGATCTTGATACTAATCCATCCACTGTTTGAAGCATATCTGTCATTATCTTGCCCATTGTATTGGTATCACCATTTTTACGATGGATATTAATATTCGTTACTTGATTTTGAATGGTTTCAAGTATTTCATAAGGTAACACAAGTAATGACATAAAAAAAAAGAAAAGAAAAGAATTATCAGTTAACAAAATAAAATATAGAAAGGAGAAAAGAAAAAGAGAAAATAAAAAATATTTTCCCCTCTTAGAGGAAGTGACCGGAGTTTGTTAATTACTTCTTCTTTTGCTCTGATTGGTTTGTCCTGTTCACTGGCATCCAACTGTTGCCCAGCCACTGAGGTCCAATCAAATCAAAGTGTTCTCCTTTTTTTTTGCATGGTTGACAAATGGCATCATCATAAGGTAACATCATCATCGTATCGCCATAGAGGTATCGACTTCATCATAATCTTATTGATTGTTAAACCACAAAACAAATAAAAATAATAATGATACTGTGAGATTGTATCTTCTCTTTACTCTTTTAAAAAAAAATGGCACCATGAACTTTGTAGGTCTCCTAACCGATCATCATCTTCTTCTTTTAAAGATAATATATACTACAGTATCTATTTTTTTTTTCTTTTTTAATCTACACGGAAAAAATGATTGTCAAAAATTAATATTAAATTAAATGCAGAAAAAGGACACGATTTGAAACAATCACGCTTTCTATTCGTTGGACAGGATTTGCGGTTGTAGTGGGGTACAAGTATCAAAAGTCGGTTTTGACTCCGCATGTGCTGCTAAGATAAAAATTTCCTTATTTCCATTTTTTTTTTTTTTTGTTCCCTTTTTCTTTCTTTCTCGTCTTTCGATTTTTTTTTATTTTGGATACCATCACCGAATGACGGACAGTACAGAAACAAACAATATCGAAAATACACCTAAAGGACATACCCCTGATCCTTTTACCGCTCCTCAAGAACAATCTAATGTCAACAACTGTGGCTGTTGTGGTATATTCATGTTGCCTTTGGCTGCTCTTGGTGGATTCTTTGACCAACTTCTGCAAAAGGGATCACGAAAATCATAATGATTTTATTTACAACTTTTAGACTTTTTCTTCCATCTCTTTTTTTTTTTTTTTTTTTTTTTTGTCTTAGACAACTCATATAGTATAGATACCCTTCCCTCTTCCACTAATGTTACTTTTTTTCAATCTACTCAATATGATGATGCCATGTTTGCCTTTCTATATCATTTTTATAATTTCGATAATAAAATTCTATACACTATTTTTATTCAAAAAAAAAAAAAAAAAAAAAAAAAAAACTGACCAACTAACCCTGAGACCCATTTTTTTGTATATGATATCAATCAGAAAGAAGGAAGTGTATATGCATATAAGATGGATGGAGTGTGTGTATATATATATTAGAATATGAAATGAAGATAAAGTAAATAAAACATAAGTGTAGGGATAAAGAAAGAAAAAGCCTAATATAAATCGTTGGAAGTATTGTCTACACAAAAACCTTGACCATGTAATACCTTGGACCGAATCTTTTCCAATTTTTGTCGTGTTTCCATTTCTTCTCTTTGAGCCATCAGTATTTCTTCAACAGGTACCTGTCGTAAACCTGTATTATCTTCTTTGTCTTGATCCTATATTTTCAATATATATATAATTAACCAACAAGTTCATCTTACTTTTTCAACACTTTACCACTTCGCCTAATAGTACAACATTTTCACCACGAATCAAAAAGATACCCCGAGGAATATCACCATAACAGTTTCTAACATATATCCTTTCGATAGTATCCTGTAATACCAAGTTGGCTATAAAAAAAAAAAGAGTAATATTAACAAACGCGATGACATTATCCATCTATAGATTCCTTTTCCCATTTTTTTTACCAAATTGATCAAATGACCGTAAAGTACCAATAAGTTTACGTCCATCTCGTAGAACAACCATAAGTTTTTCTAGTCCAAATAAAAAAAGATGTGTATGTTTGAATAAAACTGTTTTCCTTATTCTGTGTCACTACTATCATAGGTCTATATTCAACCACAAAAAAAGGACTTACTATCAACACTATCAATCAATCCTGATGATGTTGTAAAAAAAGGACCACTACCAAGTTCCATGTTGATATATATATTAATTATAAAATTCGTGTACGTGAAAGAAAGAGACAAAAGAATGAAAGAGAAAAAAAAAAAAGAAAAAGAAAAAGAAAATGTTCAAACCCTTTGTTCCACTCTAGACGAAAAAAAAAAAAAAAAAAGTTCAATGTGTGACTTGTCGGAATTCCGAAGCATATATTACTTTTTCTGAGCAGGACAATCCCTGATTGCTTGATTATGTGCATCTACTTGTTTCAGATGAAGGATAGATTTTATTTGTGTATGTGCATTTACCCAAAAAAAAAAAAAAAAATCCAAACAGCAAGGAAGACAGACAACCAGAAACCAGAGGTACAACAAGATCAAGAACGATGAGGAAAATGTGGAAATAAGAATCAATATATTCTGTCGCGTGTGACTAGATGAACAGAAAGAAGAAGATACCAACAAGGAAGCAGCCAAAAAGAAGCAAATGATTTTTTTGTAGAAGAAAGAAAGAAAAAAAAATAAAAAGTGTCTTTTATATTATTTTTTTTTCCTCCAATCACATTGAAAGTATCAAATAATGATGATTATTCTATTAAATCAAATGAATGATCCAATCATTATATGTCATAAAATAATATATAGAATTCATATATCACAATATAAAATAAAAAGGTCGCTTGTAAAAGTAGATTTTACTAAGAGCATAATAATAGATGATCACGGAATTCTATTAGTGAATTGGCGGACGTGGAAATCATCACACTGTGGATTTTTCCAATTGGCTGGTGTTCTTTTGCAACGCCAAGTCCCTTTGTTTTTTCTTTCCTTTTCTTTCTTATTACTTTTTTTTTTTTTTTTTTCATCTGAACAATGTCACAACCTGACTATAGTAATATGCGGAAAATCGTTACAGGAGACATTGTGATCAAATGTAAGTTTTTCTTTTTGTTAATATATCAGTTTTATAACTCTTCACATCATCCTATTCTGAAAAATAGGTCGTTTTGGCAAAGATATCCGTCGTCTCACTATCAATCAAGCGCCAACTTATGACGAGTAAGTGACATATTATCAACATGCTAGAAACCTGTTCTTATCCTTGATATTTGATATTCCAGATTATGTCTCATGATGTGCCGCATCTTTAAGCTACCCAATACCGAAGATATTACTCTCAAGTATACTGATAACGGTAGGATACTCCATATACTCTAAATTGCACAAGTCATTCTTATTACTGACTATATTCTTTATTATTATTATTATTATTATTATTGCGATAAAATAGAAAACGATCTGATCAGTCTTATAGGTATGTTAGGGAAATGTGAGAGAGAGAGAGAGAAAGAAAAGATAATATATGTGAAAGTAATAGCATTGACCTTGTTTTTTTTTACCTTTTTTTTTTTATTATTATTAGATGACAATGATATTACGCATGCTATTTCTCAAAGCAACCTATTGAAGGTCACCATACTCGACAAGGTAATGATAGAAAAGAAAAACAAAACAAAAGAAGGATATCTATAGAACGGGAAACACCTGACTATGTTCAGTATAGGCATCCTTAGATACCGTGGCACCAGGAGTTCTTCCAGAAGATTTGCGGTTACAATTGACATCTCTACGTGATTCTTTGGATTCTATTCTTCGATATGTACCTGACACTAAAAGCGGTGGTTCTCAAGCCCCTCAACCAGGTAATAAAAAAAAAAAAAAAGAAATTCGAACAACAAAGTGATGAAACAAATAACTGGTTTTATTTTTTATTATAGCGATTGATCCCAAGTACAAACCTCTCTCTTCTGCTGAATTAGGTAAGGAGAAATGAAAAAAAAAGGCGATGAATGATGATGACTGGATGGTGGTACCATTCGAATTTCATTTGTTCTTATTATGATGGTTGTACTTAGCTCGCTTTTTAGATGAATCTAATGGACCTAGATCGAATCTTGCTTCAAAAGGATCAACTGACGCGTTGAGTACTAGTAGTAATGGAGAAACTGGAAAACAAACACCTACTATCAAGAATAACATGTACTTACCACCAGGAACACCAAAACAAATGCCAATGAAATCACCTGGTCTTCAATCAATGCATCAATCTGGACAATACGGTCAACGACCTTCTCCTTTGAACTATCCTTCTTATGGTCCTCCTCAAGGTTCTCCTTCAGCACCTGCTACACCTCAAAGTGGATTCCAACCTAACAATGTCAATAATAAACTTGCTGGTCCCTTCATGAATACTCGTCCTCCTCCTCCACCTATGCAACAACAAGGTCAGCGTCAGCAAAATGGATATATTGTTCCCGGCACTCCTCTTTCACAACATCAGATTCCTCTGCATCCTCCTCAACAACGTCCTCCTCCTCCTCAACAACAACAATCCACCTCTACACCTCCTCCTCCTCAACAGTTACAGTCTCAACCTCAAGTCCAAGGTCAACCTCAACCTCAACCTCCACTTCAACAACAACAACAACAACAACAGCAACAGCAACAGCAGCAGCCTCCACTTCAACAACAACAACAACCACAACAACAACCGCAACAAGCCCAACAACCTCAACAAGTTTCTCAACTACCACCCCAAGGCTCTGTGCAACAACAACCCGCTCCATCATCGCAAATCGCTCCCCAAAACCAGCCTCCAGTACAACAAGTGCCTCAACAAGTGCCTCAACAACAGCAACAACCCTATTATTATCAACCCAACAATGGACAACAACCCCCTCCTCCACAGACACCACAACAGAATTATCGCCCTGCACCAGGACCTGGTAATAGATGGTAGACCATCGTTTGTTGGATCCAGCCTAATCTCAAATGGAATGATGGACAATTAGTTAGATATTTATATTTAGTTAGTTACTATTCTTTTAATGATATCCACTTTATCCTTCATTCATCTATCTCTATTATTTTCTATATATCTAACCAGTGTATTGTGATCTTTTTTTTTTAACTATAATTTTGAAATAAAACACTTTTCTTTTTTTTTTTCCATGATCAGTTGATCTGTTCTTTCCTAGCTTTGATGTCTTTTTCAATGATATAAACAAAGTCTAATGTCATTCATGTTTTTATTATTATCCCTATTTGTGATTGTCTTTTCTTTATTATCAGTAAGTGGCATCATCACTCTATATCAATCTCACTATGGAACATATATGATCGGATGTTAGTTACTATTCTGTCGAAACAAAAAAAAAAAAAAAATCAACCCCACTTTATGATCCATCCCTCCATTTTTTTTCGAGTACATCCTATACATCATTGTATCCATTGAATGACTGATTGAATAAGAACAAAAAAGAACACGCCATCTTTTTTTTGTCATATCACCTAAACGATCACTGACTTTTTTTTTTGAATCATCACTCTAGGCAACAACTATCAAAATTATATATATATACATAAAATAACTTTTTTTATTGGGTAACAAATATACAAGACATCAAAAAAAAAAAAAGGTAAGTGGAATATAAAATAATAACTATATACAATATATGAAAACACAGTGATTACGACCAAGAGCTTGAGAGAAGATCCTTTTGCATATAATCATCCGCGGAATTGGTGGAATAACCAAATAAGCTGGAACGTCGTCGAGTATCAATATAAATGGCATCCGTCAAAGAACGACTACTATCTACTGTCTTGATACCCACGGATGTTGTTGATGGTGATGTTGGCATGGATCCGGTGGAATATGATTTTGATAACTCTTCATCACTGGTTCGTACATCGATCTTGGGTACACTACGACTTCTTTCAGTATTATTATTATTATTATTGGTATTGGAAGTGTTGTTACGTAAAGTATCAATGATCTTTGAAAACATAATATAAAAAAAAAGAGGGGAGGAAAGAGAAAAGAATAGAAAAACAGAAAAAATCTTTCTAAATAAAGTATTAAAAAAAAAAATGAAACCCCACTGCTGAGGTTCAAGTAAAACTGAACCAATGTTAATGCTTCCTTAATGGTTCTTTATCAATCGTTTGCACCGTTAATGCAATCATGTGGAACAAATAAAAAATCGTTTAAAAAAGATTACCTAAATTGGGATTTTATTATTATTTCTATTCTATCATTTGATCATCTACAAGCATATTATTAGGATTCCAAGCTTCACTCCAATTCGATACCACGGAGGCTTCAATATGACTTTGTTTGGAAGAGGGAGGTACGGTAAAGAAGGGGATTTTGCCACTGTTCCAATCATTCAACACATGTCGAGCTATTTGATGTATATCGGCCACACCACCTTTTAAAAGTTTCCCACGTTGTTGAGCCAAAAGGACCAGGAATTCATGAGCATTGTTGAAATAACCAATATTGTAAAGAGCCATTAAACTAGCTGTTGTACATCGACTAACAATCACCTCCACCGGCGTCACAGGATCTTCCAATAGTTCCACCTTGATACAATTCCGCAATGCAATTTCAGCATCCGTCTGACCATCTTGTCCTTGTTGAGCAAATACAATCCCAGGACAATCTAATAACTTGATATTTTTATCCAATGTAATTTGTTGTGCCACTTTGGTAAATCCAGGAGTAGAACCTACACCACATACTTTGGATCGTTTTAAAGAGTTGATGACGGATGACTTGCCTACATTTGGATAGCCAATGATCCCAACCGTGATCGATGTTTTGATGTTGATGTTACGTGAGTAATTCTTGAGTAGTTTGACCAAGGTATCTGCACCAATACATTCTGATGAATTCAACAAGTTTTCCGTGGCAGTTCCTGTGGATACTGATGATTGTCCTAAATTGCTACGTTGATTTTGTGTCGATGCTTTAAATGCAATGGCTGGATATTCATTTCGAAGGTATTTTAACCATGCTTCCACATTTTCTTTAGGTACAAGATCTAGTTACAAATATAATCCCACTTTAGTCTATCTCTTTTTTTTTTTTTTTCTTTATCTGAGATTTACCTATTTTGTTCAATACCAAAATCACTTTCTTATCCAATCCACTATCCATGATCATTCTTTCCACATGTTTTGTTCTTGTTCCTAAAGGATCACGAGCATCCAAGATTTCCAATACAACATCAGCATTTTCAAGCACTTTGCGAAATTCACGGAAATAAGCCTTTTTCGAGTTATCCTTTTGTCCAGTCGCTGCGGCATCCATTTGCATCTTTTCATCCATCAAAACTGGTGTAGAGTCATCAAAAGCTTGATGTTGACGTTCGGCATTGGCTACCATATCTGATAAAGAAATATTACGTTTTTGTTGTTGTTGTTGTTGTTGTTGTTGTTGTTGTTGTTGTAAATGTCGTTGTTTCTTTTGTTCCATACGATCTTTTAAAGACTATAAAGAAGTGTGAATGTTTTAAACTTTACTAACATGTCATTCTATTACCTTGGCTCTGGCTTCGTCCTTTTTGATCTTCTTTTGTTTCAAATGAGCAAGATTGGGAAGTCCAGGGTCTTTCTTTTTCTCTAATAAAGGATACCCATGGATTTAAAAAAAGAAAAGATCAATCAAAACTATCAATATATATATATTGATACTTACGAACACCATTGAGACGTTTATCCACTTTTTTATCTAAAAGATTGAAAAAGAGAAAGAGGTGAATATATTGATCTTTTGATTCATTTTTCTTTATTTTACTTAAAGCACCCATAGTGTGAATAATAGATTGGAGATTGGATATAAAATAAAAAAAAAAAAAAAAAAAGAAAGACAAAAAAAAAAAAAAAAAAAAAAGAGACAAAAAAAAAATTCAGTGGCTGGCATTGAAAGTAAGAAAAAATTTCATTTTATTTTGACACTATTTACAAAAAAAAGAAAAAGGAAATCAAGTATAAAAAAAAAAGAAAAGGATATATATCAAACAATAACTACAATACTAAATAAAAATAAATAATAAATAAACTACGCTATATCATCACTAAAATAAGATTCCAAGCTTTTCTTGATTTCACCATAATAAACTACCATAGGAGATAGATCAGTAGATAGATCAAGAGAGGAAGCCTGATCATGATGATTCCAATCCTCTTGTTCATCCACTTCATCCAAACTATCACTAATAGTACTTGTTGAAGAATTACCCGGTGATAATCCATGATTCATATTGGTAAAAGAAGAACGACCTGTCGAAGAAATAGATGGTGATGGAGATGTTGTATAATATTGAGGTTTAGGTTGTAATTGAGACATGAGAACGGACAAACAGATTCGTAGATTGTATTGCGCTCGATTCCGAACAGAAGTATTGGCAGCTTTGGTGAGCATTCTTAAAGCATCTGTAGTGACTAATAACCAATGAAGCTCAAGCATACAGGATTCATTTTGATGTAAGACTTGAAATATATGTGTCAATGTGTCCGCACATACAGAAACAATCAATAGAGCCCGTCCACCATCTAGTCGTATCCAAGTGGTATCTTTCAAATCTGCTGTACAAGGTGTTTGCATCAACCGAGTTTCCAATGTCAACCACTGACTATAATACATCTGATTGAGATATAAGATATGAAGATCTTGACAAGTATAAATCGAGGCAGGATCCAAATATTCCATAGGTGTTGTGGTAAGTCGAAAATCACTAGGTAAACTTTGCCAGAACGAGAAGAGTCGATGTTCTATATAAGAAACATCATACAAGCGTACCTTGTCTAGTTCACCAGCAAATAATCGATAACCCATTGCATCCACATTGCTTGAGATATAACAGTCATCCAGTCGTACAAATAAGTTATAAACTTCCACCATTCGTTTTCTTCGTTGATTCTCCATTTCACAAAAGAGTGGTCGAGGATAGCCAATATTGCTTTCTTTCAAGAACGATCCGAAATCCACAGTATCCGCTTGAACTATACGAACATGGATGAGCATATACCGTACACCATAGAACAGTCGTCTCCAAGTTTCTGCACGTGCCAATTCAGGAGTTGTAGGAGATGTAGCTGATGTTGCTTCAAATTTTCGTAGAATAGCCGTACAATCATCACGCATGGCAAGCAACATTTGCCAAGCCAAATGGATGTATAGTCGAGTATCATCATTTCGTAATATAATCATGGACGCTTGAGACATGGTCAATAGAGCAATGATTGTTTCTATCGAATGTGGTTCATCAAACACATCATCGCGAAGCTTTTCATGGGCGGCTTGATAGAGATAAATCCCAAAATCAGATCGATGACAAGGTAACGTCTTTTCATCCACATGAATCACGCAAGTAGAAAGTGCAGTAAAGCATGCCAAGGAGTACGCCAGCGTTGAATCCGGTTGCTTGATAATAAGAGGGTGATAATAAGGAGCCACAATGGGTATCATATTGCGCACACAGTTGAAAAAACTATCAACGAGATAAAGGACAGATGCACGTCGGGTATGATCATAAAATGTTGAATCGTTGATGACAAGCTGACTATGATTGAATTGCTTTTGAGCTGGTATCTTGCTAAATATCTGTCGAAGACTTTCTTCTACTTGAAGCATTTTTAAAGTCACTTTCATTGTTTGTTGAGAATGATTGGAATAATAGTTAGGTGTTCGTTGTGGTGTTGAGAAGCATCCTACACTTTGAGTTAAAAACTGAACAAGTTCGCTAACAGTGTGAACAGATGTTTGTAATTGAATTCCATGTTTGGTTGGTTGAATAGTTACTGTCCATTCTTCTTCATTCAGAGGTGATATTGATTCAGAGTGGTGTATTGTATTTTCAGTATTATCCAGTTGTTTTGGTGATTCATCATTGTTATAAGCGAGTATCAAATGAACTTGGTCTTCCAGAGCATCCATAGTTTCTTCCATATCTCGCACCTGATCCAATAGACGCATACGTTTTGAAGCTGGAACAACATTTTTGATCATTGTTGGTTTAACAGTAAACTTGTAAATACATGATAATTTCTTTTTGGTACATCGTTCACATTGAGGTGTTTGAGTTGGTATACATCGTCGTCTATGAGCTCGACAATTTTCACCTAATAACAGATATCGAAAAGTTAATAACGTACCAGAAAAAAAACAAAAGAAGAAACGTAATATAAACTTACAAGGTCGATTTCGTTTTTGTTTTGTTTCATCAGAGGTCATCACTGGCCATAATTTATTTTAGAAAGGAAAAAGGAAAAGGAAAAAGAAAAAAGATAGGAAGGAAAAAAGAAAAAAAAAAAAGAAAGAGGTAAATTAAAAAAAAGGGGGGAAAGACGCCCAAAAAAAAAAATCATACTAAATCAAAAAAAAAAAAAATGAAGACGGAATACAAAATTCGGCGTAATTTAGCCGATTACTCTTTTCATTGGTCAAAAAAAACAGTAACCAAAAAAAGGTACAATCAAGATTTTTTTTATCTGGGAGAAATGATATATGTATACTTCATACAAAAGAAAAAATAGACAAATAAAACTAGAATAGATATATATAAGATGTATTGATAAATAATAATAATAATAATAATAATAAATAATAAAAAAAGAAGAGTGTGAATAATGTAGGACAAAAAGGACAGAAAAAGAATGACGGTTTGGTATGGTGTTGATGAGATGTAGAGTAACAAAGAGAGACTATCTAGGGGGGAAAACTAATAATGATATTGATTATATCCTTGATTGGCATATCCACTACTAGCATTATTGTGTCTATACATATCATAACTATCATATCGATTCTGAGGACTATTATCGACATAATATCCTTTTTGTTCGTATTGTTGTTGATGCATTCCATATTGATTATATGATCCAGCTGTAGTTGGAGTATCCACTGTCATATCATCCAATCGAATCCCTGATTTTCGATGTTCACGTCTTTCGTCTTCATATTGATCACTATGTATATATCGACTACAGATCATGGTCATAGCGTTGGATATGGCTAATAATTGAACGGCAAGAGCAGCAAATGTAATCAAATATACTTTTTGAAAGGCGTTTTGTATATATGTTTGAAGACTATCGAAACAAGGAGGTAATGAAGTTGGACATTGATTGGAAGTAGAGCTTTGAATACCATCATAACCACAACAGGAGAACTAAAAAAAAAAAAAAAAAAAAAAAAAAAAAAAAGATGAGAATTTCGTAAAAAGGTTAAGATCATCCTCCTTTTTTTTTTTTTTTTTTTTTTTTACTTCGTTTTGAAGTTCGGTTTTATCATTATCAGATGCTGAAGCCCAAAAATTGACAAGATATTGCTTTGTATTAGCAGCACTTTTGTAAACTTGTACACCAATTACAACTTGAACAGCCAAAGATATAAGGATCACCAATAGGTATAGGTAAATGAACAATCGTCGTCTACTGAATGCAGCAGTGAATCCAAAAATGGAAGCTACGATGATAATGGCGCCCAAGATAGCAGATACTAAAATATATGTATAAAACATTTAGTTTTTTTTTTTTTTTTTTTTTCTTATTTTATCCTACAATTGAATAATTATTACGTTTAAATACTAGATCAGGGAATAAAGCAGCACCAAGAAACTTATTTCGAGATCCAAGTACACCAAAGGCAATATAAGCAGCACCAAGACAAGCAAAGAGTAAATTGGTGAGAATCACATAAACTTTACTTAATCTAAGAAAAGTTAATTAATAAGTATTATTTAGTATATTGAAGACTTAAAGTTTTTTTTTTTTTATTATTATATACCTTCCACAACAAGTGGTCATGTTATATATATGTAAATAAAATGTATATTATTTTATTTTATTTTAATTCAAAATAAAAAGGAAAGGAAGGGGAAAATAACTGATATTTTTTTATTTCTTTTATTCAAAGAGTTCAAGACTACAGAGAATAAGAAAGAGAGAAAAGAGAAAAAAAAAAAAAAAGCAAACTTAACAAAAAGTGGTGTGGAACAGCATATGAAGATTCAACCCCGACGTGCTTAGGCCAATAAGATGCTTTGATTGGTATTAAAGGTACAAATTTAGGAGCAAAAATTATAAACTAGATCAAACTAAAGATTTCCTCCTATATTTCTTTGTTATTTCTCTCCCATAATAGATTATTATTTTAATTTGATATTAGTTAAAAGTTTATATAATTTTAACTATAATCATTTTCAAAAGAAAAATAAAAAAAAATAAGGATAATGATCAATATATATATATATATAGTGATTTTTCAATGTCTTACCTGTGTGATTATAAAAATCTTGCGTAGTTAGTCAGTTGATTTTATATGATGATATTATTCTAATTGAAAAGAAAATTCCAATCGGGACAAGGGATTTCTTTTTTTTTTTTTTTTTCTTTTTTTCTCTGGCGCGTCACTGGTTGAATTACCGCGCATTTGTTTTTCATTACAGCATTTTTGCCCAAAGAAGAAATCAGTGCTCTTTTTCTTTTTTTTTTTTTTTTTCATATATATCTCTATGACTGGATTTGACCTCAATACAACAACTCTTCCTTCACGTTCTGAATCACCCAATGAAGGTAAAAAAAAAAAAAAAAAAAAGGATATATATATACTTAAATCTTTATTCTTATCTTCTATTTTTTTTTTTAATTCTCACTATAGTTATAAACAGGAATAGAACCTCACAACAACATCAAGATACTCCTCGAGCTAGACGGTTTTCAGAAAAACTTATCAACGCAGCAAAAAAGTCTCCGTTGGCAAGATTTCCACTACAAAGGCCTACTCCCTCTACATCATCTTCTTCACAATCTCCACCATTAGATTATGACAAGGACGACGAATCCATAGGTGAATTAAGTTCTTGCTTTTCTTCGCCACAACGTGACGACCAAGAACTCAATAGACATTTACAAGACTTGATGTTATCTCCTTTCCGTTCCGATAATATCAATGACCTTGCATTATATCGAGCCTTATCACCAGAATCATCTACTTCTACCAAAAACTCTACCACTCCAACTCGGCGGAAAATACGCGACAAACGATCGAACAAACAACAACAACATATTTCAGATTCTCCTTCACTATCAGCAAAACCAAAAAGGCGCAAACTGAAACAACAACGAACCTCTTCATGGCGAATGGGTGCTGATGCTACTTTAGATACTACGACTGTACACTATCCATCTGAACAACATCAGTATGATAATCAGGAACGACAGAAAGAAGAAGAGGAAAGAAAACAAACTAGACGAAGTTCAAGAATTGCATCTCAAAAACAAGAAAAACGGTATTCGGATGATGATATTAGAAGAACTCCCAAAACTCCTGTAGTACTTGGAACTCCTGGTGGTGTCAGATCTGAAAAAATGGAAACGGAATGGATACCTCAAGACGGAGATGATGATGATGATATTCACCCCCATCAACGAACACGAAGGTTACGGCGACGAACTGATATCATTGAAGAACGTCTCGATAGACTCATCACTGCACGGGATCCGCTCGATCTTAGCCATCATTCTGTATTACCTAAAAAATCATCCTCTCCTGTCATGATTACACTTGATGATAGCGATGATGATCACGATATGGGACTCAAGAAGATCAAAATGGAACCAACCGAAGTGTTTATGGACTTGTCATCACCACCTCCTTCTTCACCCTTGGAAACAACGGCAACAAAATCAACTGAACGATTCGAAAAGCCTTTAGAAACAACCGTCGTAGATTTGATTGATGTGGATGAAGATATAACCTTGACTCCAGCACCACTTTCAACAACTGTCAATATTGACGAAGAAATTCCACCAAAACAAATAGAGAATATTCAACACATCGAAGTGGCAACTGAAACATCACCTGTATCAAAAACAGCACACCTGATGGACGACAATGACAAGGACGAGGATATGATGGACACTGATATATTAACATCACCAACGACACCCTCTTTGACCGGTAATGAAATGCAACAACAACCACTTCTTTCGACCGAAGACCTCTTTATAGCAAGTAAAGAAACTCTATCAACAAACGAAAATAAAAATAATCCGAGTGATCATACAACTGCGACTATACCCAACTTGTCATCACCAACATCTCCAGCGTTACCTGACGAAACCAATCATCTATCTTCAACCACTTGTAATTCTACTTCTGTTGATGATTTGGCTAAACAAAATGATCCGATACCAGAAAATTCGAATGACCAACATACAACAACAACAACAACAACAACGACAGCATCATCATCATCATCATCATCGTCATCATCATCGCCATCATCATCGTCATCATCATCATTATCATCATCAACATCGCAGATTCCTGCACCAATAGATACACCAAACACTATGGATACGAAGGATGGAACAAATAGGACAGATCAAAAAATACCAACACCATCAGTGGAACAGGATATCAAGAATGATTCAACAACAATGCCAATATGCTCTCCGTTACCTTCCTCTTCCATTGGCACACCAACATCATTGGCAGCGTCTGTATCGTCAATACCATCGTCTTTGTCAGCAGCAATGGCTCCTTCATCACCACAGCAATCAACCGGTCATCCATCATCAGAGGATAAAAATATTACCACAGTATCCACTACTACTTTTGAATATACCAATAAATCAGCCATTCACCATGATCATCCCAAACAAGTCAAAGATATGTACTCATTCTTAGCAAACGATGCCACAGTAAGCATAGATACTACAACAAATCTGGATAAGCAATCATTGGAGGATAAAGTACAGACAAATGAACACCAAGGGGTGCCAACATCTTCATCAACGGATACAACGGTAGAAACCAGCAACAAGTCGTCCATAGGATCCTCTATTTTTGGTCAAATGTTTGATTCCGTATCTCATTACTTTTTGGGTAATTGAAAAACAGTTAGATACCATTGCATTCTTTTATCTTTTTTTTTTTTTTTATGATTATTTTTCTTGAATAAAATCATTGTGGATACTATTTGATCTTGTACTGTTATATCGACCATATCTTCCTCCTTTTTAGATTTATTTCAAACTGACTCTGCATACATTCATGGTGATGTATACAAATCATTTAATGCAAATCTACTATAGAGCATCTTTATTAAAAAAAAAAAAAAAAAAAAAAAAAAAAAAATAGAGCATCTTTATTAAAAAAAAAAAAAAAAAAAAAAAAAAAAAAAAAGAAGATACATCATTTAATCAGTACTTAAATGCATCCTTTCGAAGTCATAGGATAGAGATGAACCGTCATATGTCGAATCAATAAAATAACACTATTGCATCAAAAAAAAAAAAAATAGTATACTATTAAAGTAAATGTTACCTTCATAAAATAAACATTTTCAACCAACAATTCCATAGGATTGCTACCTTTATATTAAATTCATATCATTGTAAACAAAAAAAAAAAAAAAAAAGGATGAATTCAAATATATTTCTTTATTTCAAATGATGCTAATAATATGTAAACATAAAAAAAAAGGAGAAAGGAATGAACTATACTAAAGTAAGTTGAAACCATATTGATATACACGTATTTATATATATTTTTAGATCTTTTGCATAGCAGCAACATCAACGGATTGAACGTAATCTTCCAAGGCTTCAATTTGTTCAGTCAAGTCATCCATGGAGACCTTGTCATCTTCAACCACACAGTTGATTTGGAGCTTCTTGATACCGAAACCAATGGCAACCAATTGGTGACCACCCCACAACAAACCGTCCATAGCAATAGCCTTGACACCTTGAGTCAATTCGTCCATGTTGGTTTCATCATCCCAAGGCTTGACATCGAGAGTCACGGTGGTCTTAGCAGTAGGCTTGGGCTTGTTGGCCTTACGAGCGTTGTATTCAGCGACACGAGCAGCCTTGATCTTTTCAGCTTCTTCATCAACTTCTTCATCATCAGAACCAAAGAGATCAATATCATCTTCATCAGCTTCAGCAGCAGGAGCAGCAGCTTCCCTAATAAAAAAAAAAAAAAAAAAAAAAAAAAAAAAAAAACTATTAAGCATTCTCTATTTTTTTTTTTTTTTTTTTTTTTTTTACACGAGCGCGTTATTTCAACTTACTTGTTCACTTCAGCAAACCACTTGGCAGCATGAGCAAATTCAGCAGCAGGAGCAGCACCCAAAGCCTTAGCAACAGTAGCATCAGCAGCGGTGGCCTTGTCACTATAGAAAAAGAGAAAAGGTTTTGTTATCTACATTGTTTTCCTAAGCCACTTGGAAAGAGACAATCATTCTTTTTTGTTTTTTTTGTTGAAACAGCTACTTTACGATTCAATGTATTTGTGTTCAGCCAAATAAGCGTCGATGATGTGAAGAGCCAAAGATTGTTCCAAGGAAACAGACATGATATATTTGAATGAAAGAAAAATAAAGTAAAAGAAAAAAAGAAAAAAAAAAAAAAAAAAAAACTAAAAAAAAAAAAAAAAAGAGATAGAGGTCAAAAAAATTTTCAAACCCCTCACTCACCCATTGGCCAATCAAAATTTGTTTCTTCTACATTCGGCACACTTATTGCTGCCTATTTACTTTTTTTTTAAAAAAAAAAAAAAAGAAAAAAATGTATCAACTGTATGTACAGTAAATACAATCATGATTATCATTCATCATTACGTATCATCCAACGTTCATCTCCCATTATTATTGAAGAGAGAGGGAAGTAAAGGAGAAAAAAAAAATACCAAAGACTTTGGCTATACCCAAAACTTGAAGAAATGCGTGTAACCAAACAAAAATACTCGATGCTGATTGGCTGAAATTAAGATGTGATTCATAATGAAGTTTTCGGTCTAACAAAGCGTCTACGCCTTCTTGGCTCAGTTGGCAGAGCGTCTGCCTAGTAAGCAGAAGGTCGTGAGTTCGATTCTCACAGAAGGCAATTAGTTTTGCCTTTTTTTATTTTCGTCGTAAAGGACCACGTGATTTGGTGGTATTTAGTTAATTTTTTTATGTTGAGGTCTTTATTTCAATTGTTCTTTTTGCTTTTTCCTTTTTTTTCCGTTTTTTTTTCCTTTTTTTTTCTTTTTTTTTTTTTTTTTTTTTTTTTTTTTTTGTCTTTTACGTGTCATATTTTCTTTACATTCAATTATATATATCTATTGGTGTCATGTTATTCTTGAATCTCTTGGAAAATAGTAAGTAAACATTCAAGGGAAAAGAAAAAAAAAAAATGTCGAAATCGATCAGTTCTGATGAACTATTTGAAACAAAGACCTATTAGATATTCACTCTTTTTTTTTTTTTTTTCCTTTGTCTTTGGTTTCGACGGTATACGTGACTCCAATTAATCAACTCTATTCATTCAACAGTACGTTACAGTATGATAATTATGCCAATACTAACGAGTATCTTAATATCGCATAAAGCTCGCGTTCAACAATGAATTCGTCTGTACAGCAACGCTATTATCACTCATAAACTTACAAGGAACGTTACCTTTGTCGAAATCTACTTACATTGCCTCTTTGAATTCTACATCATCGACTATTTGAATCTACGTAAGTGTATATATTTACTTCTATCTGGCTATCTGTCCGTTTATAGTGATATTTATACCATTTATCTGTCATGACAAAAAAAAAAAAAAAAAAAAAAAACAATCACACAAATACTCTCTCTCTCTCTCTCTCTCTCTCTCTCTCTCTCTCTCTCTCTCTCTCTCTCTCTCTCTCTCTCTGAACGAATGGATTCAAGGAAACAACGAGTGTGTCCTTTATGTGTACCCAACAATGACGAACATGGAAACTTTTGAAGGACATTATCAGTTGATGGATTGTACAGCAGCATGGATGCAAAGGCTGGATGGATAGTTGTAGGAATGGATGGATTCAAAAAAAAAAAAAAAAAAAAAGTCATGATGTCACAGGTCGATTTGATTCAAAAGGATGTTAAATAGTTTAGTTACATATGTGAATTATATTTTAGTTTAGCTATCCAATGAATAAAATAATTTTGAATCATTTTTTCTTATTGGTCTTTACTGTTGTGTTTTATTGAACGGCTGCTTCCTTTTATTTTATTTTACTTTTTTACTGTCATTTTGTGTCAGCTTTTTCTATTGAGATGATGAAGTACAAGTAATTTATTTCTCTTCTCTTTTTTTTTTTTGCATCATGTTGAATGATGTTACGCCAGTCAATGCTATGCTACTAAAATCATATAGTACACTCCTTCACCTGGCAAAAAGAGATGATGCTTTATCGTCTAGTTACAAAATGGGTTTCCTTATTTAGCACTGCCAACTCGTATCTTTTGGAGAATTGTCTATTTGCCCATTCATCTCATTATCCAATCACCCCCATCATTTGATCATCCAATCGTCCGAATATCTGTTTATCCATGCAATCATCTACAATGTCTTTGAGAGCCAAACTTGATAATAAACCAAAAAATGGTATATATATATATATATATTTTATTTCAAATAGGGATCAATCAAAACAATTAACTACATAGCGGTGTAATAGTGATATAAAAAAAAACCAAAAAAAAAAAAAGATCACGACAAGGGGATGTATGTGAGAGAGATAGAGAGTGAGAAAGAAAGGAATCGACATGACAGATCATTCGCCAAACAATCTTCGAACACGCTTCAAAACACTATCCTTTTCAGGGTCTACAAAAAAAAAAAAAAAAAAAGATGGATTAGTTTGAAGATAACTAATTTTTCTTTTTCTTACCATAAGGGTGATCTTTAGAGGGTATTTCAAGTACAGTGGGGAAAGCTTGATTATGACCATCAATCAATTCTCTAATATCTTCTGCAATCTAAGAAGTTGATAGGTGGAAATAGTTATTTATTATTATTTTTTTGGAGATGAAACTTACGTGTTGATTGATCAAGATGATAGCAATATCCTTTCGTTTGGTAAATTCTACAAATTGTTCTTCAATGGTTGATAATGGCGTTTCTATAGATAATATATATTTGATAAGAAGAGATATTACTGCTATTAGTCGTTACTTACTGGCATCCACAACGAGGAAATTTCGTTTTTGTTGTTGATTCACATGTCCAATACCAGCCAGTAAAAGACCAGTTACAGAGTCCTATATAAAAAAAAGAACATTAGAATAAAAAAACATTATATGAAGATATTATTAATTTACCTCATCTCCAATCACGGCTAAAAAGTTTCTTTCCTTTTGTGTTGTCTTTTCAGAGGACATATCGCAAAATAATAAAAGAAAGAAAGTGAAACGTAAAAAAAGAAAAAAAAAGAGCGAAACCAACGAGGGGTGAAAAAAACCAGCAAAAAAAAAAAGTCGAAACGGACATTAAAAAGTACTCTACAGAATTCTCATTGGTGAATTTTCAAAAGATTAAAAAAAAAGCCTATGCTTAACTTTTTTTTTTTTTCCTCTCTCTCTTTTTTTTTTTCTCTTTCTGTCTCTGTATCTCCAACACTTTCATTCCCCCTCTTTCTCTCTCTTTCTTTCTCTCTCTCTCTCTCTCTCTTCATTATATCATTTTATAGAGAACAACATGGGTTTAGAAGAAAATCAATCACAACAGGCCAATAATAACGACAAGGATAAAACAAAGCAGGATAGAAAAAACAATGATATCAATGCAGCCATCTCAACAGCAGCAGCAATAGCAGCAAAATCAAAAGACACTACAGATACCCTTGAACTTGTTCAAAACAACCATGGTGACAATCATCCTATACCTTCTCTTTCTCCCGTACCTCACCATGCTCCACCACAAGATAGTTCGGAACTACTATCACCTTGGTGGTCCGAAGAACCTCCCAACGACACAGAACCTGAAGGTAAAGCCGAAGAAGAATTAACACATTTCCTAGTCAGATTTTCTCGCCAGGCTACCAAGAATGGTGATGATTTATGGAACGAAAGATGTTACATATGGACCAAAGAACCTAGTCGACAAAAGGAATCTAATCTTGTCAATGAAATCAAGCAAATAAACAAGGACGGACAAGCTTCTCCAAAAAAGACCTATCCTATGAATTCACAATGTACCATGGTTTGTCTCTTTCGTGAAAGTCAAGCACGAAGAAAGAAGAAATTGGTCGATATGAATCTTTCTTCTAGTTGGAATCCTTTTTATGGTAATTGGCTAGTCGTCTCCAATACTCGGTCTGGCTTTACTGAACATCTTCATGGTAAAAAAAAAAAAAAAAAAAAAAAAGAAGGGGGGGTTGTGATGATAGAAAAGGGAGTAACCTTTTTTTTTTTTTTTTGTATACAACAAACTGATTGATATGATCTGCTCTTGTATTCTATAGAAACGGATATTACTAAAGCAAATAGGTAAGAAAAAAAAACAAACATGATATGAGAGGATCAAATAGTTTACCCTTTATCTATTCTTTTTTTTTTTTATGGAATGATATTAGTCCTGACTATTATACTGTGGAATTAGGTGAACGTTTTGGTAGAACTGGAGAAGATGGTATAGAGAATTATAAATATTTATCGATGATATATTGATTTTTTTTTTTTTTGGATAGTGGCCAAGTTTATGAAAAAGACATTTAGTCCAGTGCAAGAATTAGGTCGACGTTACATTGAATCATGGAAAGATGGGACTCAAGTTGGATTCTTTACAAGGTTTTTGGAAAGTGCCAAACGAGGAGATGCCTTCTTTTTGTTACGTGATAGTGCTCGCAGAATTGTTGAAAATATGGCTAATGACGAAAAGAAAAAGGATGATGATGATCATAAACGATGATTTTATTTATGTAGTATTAGTTATTTATACCAACAATAAACATTTGATGTATGATGAAATTGATGAATGAAAGATCTTGATGCAAAAAAAAAAAAATAACTAGATAGGGCATGACCAGTAAAACGAATTCGTAGTACAAGTCAATGGGTATAATAAATAAACAAATGATAGGATACCAATGAGGAAGCTTGACCAGATGACTAAAAAAAAAAAATATGGAGTTTAATTTAATTTTAATTTTTTTTTTTTTTTTTTTTTACCATAACGATGATGATCAGGACGATGTGGTATATCATTGATATCAGGAAATCCCATCATGTTACAAAAGGAATGACACAACACACAAGTCCATAAACTACTAGTTCGTAAGAATATAAAGCTGGCATACCATCCAAACAAACTAGTAAATCCAAACTGAAAGAAAGAGGAGACAAGTGCTGTTTGTAAAGCTTGTTTTGTACGTCCCATTTGATGATACACTTCCCAACCATGATGTAAATGAGCCAAGCCAAAATAAAGAGGGGATATAAAGATCAACCAAGTATAAGAATAACCAGCTTGATAAAGGATAACAATCATACATGATCGAAAAACAAGTTCTTCTGTCAATGGTGCCTACATCATAAGTTTTTTTTTTTTTTAAAAAAAAAAATCATTGTAATGTTTTGGTTTACTTACAAACACATAGTTTCGTTGTCCATACAATGAACTAATCACTTGCATTACATCTCTTTTCCAATAAAAGTCGACTTGGCCAGGTAATTGTTGGTCAAAGTATAAAATAGTTAAAGGGCCAAGAAAAAGGACCATGGTCAAAACAAGAGGTTGTAACAAGTTCCATAAAAAAATAGGTTGACAACCCAAACGTGTCAAGAATGTACTAAAAGTCATCTATAAAATATATATATAAGACGATATAAACTTGAAAAAAATAAAAGACTTGCCTGATCAAGAGAATAAGACAAAACGATATAAACTAAGAATAAGATGACACAACAGGATAAGGTCACTGCCTTCATCCGTGACTTGATGACAGTAGGATGTTGACGAGATAATTTCAAACCATTACTTCTTGTTTCTTCAAAGAGATAAAATCCAGCAATATAAAGGAGAGTGAAGGAAATACAAGTGATATTGGCAATCCCACTTGAAATGATCATGACCAAGAGAAGAAATATGAACCAAAAAAAAAAAAAAAAAAAAAAAAAAGTGAAAAAAAAAAAATTAAGAAGCCGCAGTGATCATCCTTGTTCCTGGGTTTATTGTTTGAGAGAATCAATGTTGACAAATACAAAATAGAGGTGAGAAAAGCCATTTGACTATCCTAAATCTGTGTTTTTTTCTTTTTTTTTGGTCTTTACATTTTGGGGCGAAATTAAAGTTTCGGAGAGGAACTAAGCAAAATAATTGTATAAAAGAAAGACAATTCTTTTTCCCATTCTTTTATTTCTTTAATTACTTTTTTTTAACCATGAAGTATGAATAAAAGTTTTATGATATGATGTTCATTTTTTTCTTTTTTTTTTTTTGGTAGCGATGAACTTAAAAAAGCAGCTATTTTTGAACGATCAACTCGTAAGGTGATCTTGACTGGTAGTGAAACGGCTGAACAGGCAAAAGAAGCAGAAGAACAACAAGTCATGATCCCTCGTCCTCCTACTTTTAAAGATGTTCATCAACAACGCATTCATTTCAAACAACGGTTGGCGGCTGGCTTCCGTTTATTGGCCAAGTTTGGTTGGGTAAATGATTTTTCCCTTTCTCTTACATCATGATCTCATTTTTTTTTTCTTTAAAAAAAAAAAAGGATGAAGGCGTAGCAGGTCATGCTACTGTGAGAGATCCAGAATATCCTGATTTGTTTTGGTAAAAAAAAAAAAAAATGCTTTGAAAAAAAACTGTTCATCATCTTTTTGTAAATAGGGTTAATGCGTTCGGACAACATTTTGGAACAATCAAAGCAAGTGACTTGGTATTGGTGGATCATGATGGTAATATTGTACGTGGTAATCGATTTGTGAACAAGGCAGCGTTTGTCATTCATGGTACTATCCATGCTGCACGTCAAGATGTTCAATGTGCTGTTCATACGTAAGATAGAAAGAAAGTTTTTATTACGATCAATAACTTCTTTATATATATATATATATATAAAGACATTCTATGTATGGAAAAACATTTTCAAGTTTAGGTCGACCTTTACTCCCGATTTCTCAAGATGCATGTGCCTTTTTTGAAGATCATAGTATTTATGATCAATTTGGAGGGGTTGTATTTGATGCTGAAGAAGGAAAACGTTTGGTGGCTGCATTAGGACCCAAAAACAAGGCGATTATTTTACAAAATCATGGATTATTAACAACGGGTGAATCGATCGATGCTGCTTTTTGGTGGTTTGTGTCTATGGAACGATGTTGTCAATCTCAATTGTTGGCAGAAGCAGCGGCTGTGAATGGATATCATGATTTGAAAGTGATTCCTGATGATATTGCACGAGGGACTTATCAAAAGGTCGGAACACCTTTATCTGGTTATGCACAATTTCAACCTATGTTTGATATGATTATCAAAGAACAACCTGATTGTTTGGATTGATTGAAATAAAAAATAAATAAAAATTGTTGTATTTTATTTAAATAATATAGAGAAATGTATATTTATAGGGGAATATGAATGTTTCATCTTTGATTAATATTTCAGAATAATATACAACGCGTGAACTATAATAATTTCGGAAAATAGGAAAAAGCAGTATATATTAGTTCTATCCTATTTCCTTCCTTTTTTTTAAAAAAAGACTACTTACTAATACCAGGAATATACCCTAAACAAGTCAAAGCAATATTGATTAACAAGTCGCAATTACATCCTCTTTCAAAGAATACACCCAATGGAGGTAAGATAACAGCTAGAAAAAAGTTGGAAAAAAAAAGAAAGAAAGAATTGTGAATGAGTTTTTCCCTTTCATTTGAATATATTGTATGTTACTTACCACAAATGATTTTACAAATATCAGAAGCAGTAAAGGCCATTTTATATATGAAGTTCTTGTTATTTAAAGATAAAGAAAGAAAAAAAAAAAAAATAGAAAAAGAAGGAAGCGAAAAAGATCTGTAGAAGAAATATATAGTTTTTTTTTTTTTTTTTTTTTTTTGTTTTAGATTCAGCTTATCCTAAAAATAGAAAGTGAGATCCAAAGAAATACAAACAAAACTAGCTTGGCAAAAAGGAAGTGGCTGGTTTCTTTTCTGTCATGATCCTTGGCAAATGATTCCTTGATTTATTATCTAAATTGTATTATAATAGTGAATCAGGTTCCGATGTCATTACCTTTTTCGATCAAATTTCCTTGGATCAGTGATATCATTAATTTTAGAGTGAAACAAAAAATGAATGATACTTTCAATTGAAATTCCGTAATCAATCAATACCATTGATACAAAATGAATTTTCATCATCATAGAAGAAGAAGAATAAAAAAAAAAGTCATTGATAAAGAAAGAGTATATTTACTTTATTTTCAAATCAAAAAAAAAAAGTTAAGCTACACTACACTAGAATCAATGGATCTATTATAAGCGTAAAGCATCGGATATATTACCCGTCGGTTCACACATATCACTTGGGAAATACTTTAATAATTCAGTGTAAACACTAGTTCTATCCATATAAAAAGTGTCTAAATATCAAAAAAAAATTCAGTGATACACGAACCAATAAATTACTTCATTTCCTTTTTTAGATAACATTTTTACCTATCGACTTGTTCAGCCACTTGTATTGTTCTTTTGGTTGTAAATCATTTTGTTTGATTGATCTGTTTTCATCACCCAGTAAACACAGTCTTGCACATAAATGACCCAAAATCCTATTTTCTTCATCATCTTCTTTGTCTACCAATGGAGTCACTTGTGTTTGTAAATAATTCAAAGCTTGAGATATCATATCGTAATGCTTGTTCTTTTCAATGTTGGCACAAAGTTCTTTGAATTTTTGCACCCTGATAAGATACTTGCATCTCTGTGCTACACTATGCACATCGGGTCTGCAGTATATAAATAAATAAATAAATAAAAAGAATCAGTACATTTCATTGCAAAATTTGATTTTGTTACTTTATCAGTTTCAATTTCCATAAATCACCCAATCGACGATCAGAATCAGTATATTCATGAGGATCACCACCAAAAAGATAATGACATTTCGAAATTGGATCATAAATCCATTGATATGAGAATCTAGGTGTTGGATAATCAGTAGCTGCATCAATAATATCAGAAGACGAAGAGTATGATCCAATATTTGTTGTTGTTGTTGTTGTTTTTGCTGCTGTTGTTGTTGCACCGCCGTTGATATTACTTCGACCAGTAAAGAATGATTGTTGTTGTTGTCGCTGTGGTCGTGCAGGTGGTATAGGTACAGATGATGATTGGTGACATCTTTCATTGGAATAGATATCTTCCCAAGTATTACGATCTAAATGATAAATCCGTAACACATTTTTCACCGTTTTACAGCCCATATTTCGTAAATAGCCAAAAAATACATATATTTGACCCAGGTTTTCGTCCATAGTAGCTCGTTGTGTATAACCCAAGTCCGATCCTACGCTGGGAGTTGCCAATCCAGAGCTACCATCACCACGGTAGTAACAATATGTTGTACCATTGTTGCTGTCATAAGGTGTATCGCTTTCTCCAGTGCCCATTGTTCCAATATCATCATCATCGCTGTCATCGTCATCATAGTAATCATTTCCTTCACTTTCGCTGCTGTTTATAGGACGAGCATCATCACATGATTGACTTCGCTGTTGATGAAATTTCCTTTGCTTTTGCCCATGACGTGGAGATATACAGACTACTGTATCGGTATCGATGTCGTACTGATGCAGATCACAAAAATGGTTTTCAGCACATTCTCCTCCGAGTATATATAACTGATGACGGTCAGACCCTGATAACATAGAATGACCAATTCGAGATTGTAATGGTATGTTGAAAGGATAACGATGAGGTTTTGATATAGGTGAAGAATTTGCTGAACTATTTGCTGATGATGATTCTGGTGTCAATGGCATATGATTCTTGTTCAAATCATTCCTATATGAAATGTCCCCAGAAAAAAAGAAAAAAAAAGGTATTAATAAAACAAATGAGAATGATCTTGGGTAAAAAAAAAAAAAAAATCAACTATTCCTTACCGTAAAAGCTTCCAGGTGCTATTTTGAATATCGTAGGAATAAAGTCCACTATATTGATGTAGTTTGCTACCAGAAATGGATCGACCACCAAAAACGTACAACTTCCCTGCAGATCCATCTACACACATTTGATGATCAAAAAGAAGTTCAGGTCCTCCGTTATCCTAAGCAACAAAACATATATGAATGAATATGTCGTATAAAAAGTGCTTTTTTTTTTTTTTTTTTTTTTACTATTTATATTACTTACAGCAGTATGATCATCTAACTTTTCCCAATGGTCAGTTTCAATATAATATCGATAGAAATCCGCTTTCAAATTATCCTTCTTGCTTGTATCCGAACGATTGGCATGAATGTCTGCTACACGTCCAAAAACAAATAAAGATTGACTTGATGTATCTAAACATATTTGATGACAAGATCTTGCTGATGGGCCCCCTTGTCTTTAAAAAAAAGTATTTCACATTAAAATCCAAGATGAGTCATAACTTTTTCCTTCCCTTTAAAATAGATTGTGATATTACCTACTGGTATCATTGCTAATAAGGATCCATCTGTTTTCTTTGATAGAATAACACCAAAAGTCAGCCAGATTTGTTTTCCCAGTCCATCCACCATGTAAATAAATCAATCCATTTGAGGAATCAATACACATCTGGTGACCACCACGGGCACAAGGCATATCACCATCTAAGGAAAGAGATACAGAAAAAAAAAAAAGATATCAAACGAGGATAGCATCCATTTTGAATTGTTATGATTTTTACCTGTTGTTGGAATAGGATGTAACTCTTCCCAAGAAGACTGATATTTTGTCCGTCGAGTGAATGATTCAAAGATTTGATATTGCTGATCTATTTGTTCCACCAAAATTTCAGCCAATTCAAAATCACCATCTTTGACCAAAGCAGTATGTAGTTGTGTCAAAAGAGGATTCTCTAATTCGATTCCAGATTGTTGTTTGATCAATTGAAAGATATCCACCATGTTCCTTTGTCGAAAATGTTTCATACAAAGACGTATCGTTTCTTTTTCTCTAAACTATTAAAAAAAAAAAAAAGGAAAGTTACATTAACTTTTTCTCTAAACCTATATAACCTTATTTTTAATAGAAGATCTTACATTTTCATATTCATCCAAGGCACGTCGGATAATGGAAGCATCTGTAATACCGTGTATTTCCAAATACCAAATACTATAGTTGAAATTGGTGCTGAATGTCGAAATGGGAACAATCTTGATATACTGAATAGGAATAACCTAAAAAAAAGGAATAGTTGGATACATATCATTTTTTCTTTCATTTTTTTTAACTTACTAAACCATGATATGTATGCCTAAGTTTGAACATTTCAGGCTTACTATGGTTCTGTAGAACTGTATATGAGTTAAAAAAAAAAAAAAGATTAAAAAGAAGTGTGTGCTTCGCTTTATCTTACCTTGGAATAGGAGTTCAGACATATTATTCGGATCTAGACCACCATAAACCTTGAATTCCTTGACATTACAAACATGACCTAAATAAGAAAACCATTAGAAAAGAAAAGAGAGAGACTGCATAAAGATGAATAACTTACTTCGATGAAACTTGCCCCATAGGATAGACCCTATACATAAAGATAAGAAGATGAAAGATTAAAAAAGATGTAGTATATATGATATGCTGAATCTTACGTGCAATAGTAGGTTGATCTAGTCGTAAAGTAATGAATTGAGTTCCATCATGAGAGCCACTTGACCAACGTGAAGATTGATTTTGGGGTGTATCAAAATAAATGTTGTTTGGGTGATAGGTGCCAGAATAAGACGAGTAGTCATATATAGAGTAAGGAAGAGAAGTACTACGTGTTTCTGCTAGTAATGTCGCTAATTCTGACGGTCGTTTTTGACTATTACGTCGCTTAGGCATAATTCTATAATATGACTAAGTATATATAGAGGGAGAGAGAGAAGAAGAAGAAAAAAAAAGAAAAAAGAAAAAAAAAAAGAGAGAGAAAACGAAGAAAAAGCAAAAAAGTGCAGAAAAAGAGATAAAAAAAAAATTATAACTGCAGGAGTTCCAAAAAAGACTATTTTTGCGTTACGCCTTGCATTGTTATACTTCTTTGATTGGAAAAGTGGGAGGTATCAGAAAGCGGGCGTGAAACCGATATGATACAAAAGTTTTTTTTTTTTTTGTTTTGTTTGATATTAAAAAAAGAAAGGTAGAAAATTAGATATTCTATTTAATATGTATAAATATATATTATGATTTTGAAAAATATGGGTATTGCTTGATTTTCCTTTTCTGTACATGTTAAGCTCAAAAAGAGGAGAACATCCTTTTTTGCTCATTGTCCAATCAACTCTCTTGGTATATCTGACTTTAAAGAATAAAAAGGAAGGCGACCATCCACAAAATCTCACATTCTGTCTTTCCTTGTCTGTTCTCCTTTATTTCCATTTTCCCATTTTCTCAGATTTTTCCTTTTTTCTTCCGCTCTTTCTTCATTTTTGTTTTATATACATTTTTTTTTGTCTTTTTTGTCTTTTATTTTTTTTTAATTCTACTTAGACTTTATATATTATAAACTTTCATTCTACAATTTAGTTACTATGGCTACCAATGAACCTCAAATTAATACACCACGCAAGAAACGAGTCAAAATTGTCAGTGCATGCGGTGAATGTCGTCGTCGAAAAACCAAGTGTAATGGTGAACTCCCTTGTCGAAGTTGTCATAAAGCCGATGTTCCTTGTGTATATCCTGCTGTATCTCATGCCGAAGACAAAAGGAATCATATATCCAAAGCTGCTCTGGAAGCCATTGAAGATAGACTGAAAGCTATAGAAGATATGCTCCATACCATACTACGATCACAGTCTTTTGTTGCCGAACTACCAGCCGCTGCTGTCAGCCAATTCCTTAACAACAAAGAATCTCCGTCTTCTTCTTTATCCTTACCTCGATCATATGATCAAAAACAACCTCAACAATCATCATCATCTTCTTTTACTACTTTAACTTCAACACAACAACGATCACATTCATCATTATTACGTTCTCCTCCTACACAATTGAATAATACCTCCAACAATGAAAAAGATACCAAGGATGATGATGATTCTAAGAACAATAAGAACATCTCAACAATAATGTCTTCACCTGATGTCAGATTACCATCTATTCATGATTTATCAGTCCATCCAATCTATTCTGCACCATTGGCCGAAATCAAACAAGAAAAAGTCTTTATCACGGATTTGCCACCGCCTTTGGGATATACGTCATATTACAACTGTCGTTCTGAAATTGGTTCCGATGTTTCCAATGAAACTATTTTGGCATCCATCAAGAAAAGGAAACGATCATGAAACTCGTTAATACTCACCCCTTATTATAATTCTTATTCTTATTTTTATCATCATCATCTATCATTTTATTTTTATTATTTATTATCAGTTATTTTATTAGTATTTAGTCTCCCACATTGTTATATTGCGTTTTTTTAATACTTTTTCCCTCCTTCACATTATCAAACAATAAGAAAACATTCAATCATTGTTCCCCTTGCTTCCTCCCTTCTGTAGTACTTTCTCTCCTTTTTCAATAAAAAAAAAAAAACTCTTGTATTAAAAAATATCTATCGAAGAATGTATTTTTTTTTATTATACTATGCCAAATGCATGAAACAATCGACAATGGTGTCATCAGAACTCATATGCAGAGCGCCACATAATTTACCCAAGCCAAGCTTTTTTTTTTATATATAAAAAAAAAAAATTCGACTTCCGGTTTGGGGAATTCAACCCTGATTTCCTTTCTTTACCATCCATCCTTTTTTTTTTTTTTTTTTGGTTGATAAACTTCTTGATCACGAGAATCGAATCCAACCGAGTCAAACTAAAAAAAAAAATACCGAATAGCGCGCGAGAAGATGATTTTTTTTTTTTTAGGATGGAGCAAACCGGCTTTTATCGCTCTTTTTTTTTTTTTTTTTTTTTTTTTTTTTTTGTAATGATTTGGTGAACATAGATTGGTGTCTATTTTTATACAATCAACATACATACAAATTATCATGAAAAGATAGATCATCCCATCATGCCATATATCGCTACACACACACGTATATATAGACAATAAACTAAACGTTAATCATAAAAAAAAAAAGTTTATTGACTAAAAAGGAGGGGGAAAGTGATTCTAACTAGGAGGAATAAACTTGATCCATCACTTTTGCCAGACACATGACAGCACGGTATACATCAGCAAAGGAGTTGTACAGAGGTACAGGAGCCAATCGGATAACAGTAGGTTTTCTTTCATCACAAATCACACCATAAGCATGTAAACCATCAAACACATCCATCATTCGTTCAGGGAATTCCAAAGACAATTGACATCCACGTTGTTCAGGATCGGCAGGGGTTAAAATACGGATATGATCGGCCTTGAAATGGGCATCTAGCACCAGATGCAACAATTTTTCCAGATACCCGGTGAGCTTCAATGATTTGATACGCAAAGCTTCAATACCTCCAGCTTGTTCATAAATTTGTAAGGACGATAATAATGCAATGGTTGCCAATACATTGGGATTACTTTGTTGATATCCAGAAGCGCCTTCACTAGGACGGAACTCTTTAAAAAAAAAAAAGGTATTCAATAAAAACCATAGTGTATAATAAGAATTTAACTTACCAGGAGACATATCAAATCGATTTTCCTTTTCATTTCCCCACCATCCAGCTAATCTATATATAAATATAAAAAGAGTAAGTTGAATGGAACTATATATTTCAAAATAATCTATTTACCTTGGTCGAGAAGTATCCTTTGCATATTTTTCATGAATAAAAAGACCAGCAATACCACCAGCTCCAGAATTCAAATACTTGTAGGAACACCAACAAGCAAAGTCCACTTGCCATTCATGTAGTTTCAAAGGTACATTGCCAACAGCATGAGCGAGATCCCAACCTACTATGCAGCCCTATTTGAAAAGAATTGAAGAAGTTCATATATTTAGTTTCATATTCATATATATATATATTTTTTTTAAAAAAAAAAACCTTTTCTTGACCAAATTTGGTGATTTTGGGAATATCAAAGAATTGACCAGTATAATATTGTACACCACTTAACATCACCAGGGCAATGCTCTTATCACCTTCAATTGTATCCAAAATATCTTGAGTACGTAAATTCAATTCACCGGCACGAGGAGCAATGGTAATCAAAGCAGTGGCAGGATCTAGACCTCTTGATTCTAAATGAGAACTGACGGCATACTACAACAATAAAAAAAAAAAAAAAAAAAAAAAAGAGAACCGTGAGAAAATGATGCACAGATAAGCTTCAAACAAAATCATCCAAAAGTTGCACGAGTCAAACTCTATTGTGTATATCTTACATGATCGGATGGGAATGCTTTTGCTTCAATCATAATCTTAAATCTATCCTTGGTAGGTCGAAAAAATGTGGTCATCATAGAATGTAAATTGGAAGTCAATGTATTCATTGCCGTTACTTCAACAGGCTTTGCACCTAATAAGAATAATAAAAAAAAAAAAAAAGTTAAGCATCACAGTTTGGTTTAATATTCATTCATCTTGACATTACCAACAAGATTTGCAAGATGTTCTTTCACTTGTTCATCAACAGTAACCCAAGGTCGATTATATGGATGGTTTCGGTGTCCTTCAACGCCTCTTTTTTTTTATAATAAAATAATAAAAGTAGTAAGAAATGTATTCAAGCTAGTGATTCTTCGCGCTTTTTCATTCCTTACCGACGACTCCAAGCATCGAATTCTTGATTCACCAGAATGGGTGTTTGTTTTGGCATCAATCCCAACGAGTTCCCACATAGATAAGTACATGGTTCTTCCAAATCAGTTTCTTTTTCTATTTAAGATTAATAAAATGAGTCAATTTCTTTGTTCGTCTTTATATGCTTTCAATATTGTGAATAATTTACCCACAATAGGCTTGTCACCAGCAACATCGCCTCGAGTAGGAATGGCAAATTCTTGTCTAAATTTGGATAACGGATCCTGCGCATCCAAAGAATTAGCCGTGTTTCTATCCAAAAGTTCTTTGTCTCCAAGTTGGTGAATGTCAGTCATTGAGAGTAATGTATAATGTACAATAAATAAAAAAAAAAAAAAAAAAAGGAAAGGGAAAAGAAATGAAAAGAAAATGAATTAAAAGAAAAAAAGGCAAATTATAAGAATGGGCGGGGAGGAACATCCGTAGGTCATCCTTAAAGTTGAAAGAGCGTCTTTTTTTTTTTTTTTTTTTTTTGTGGGAATCTATAGAAAATAGTTTTAACAAAAAAATAAATCATGAATCTATGATATAAGTAGATGCTTTACATTGTATTAACTAAAAAAAAAAAAAAAAAAAAAAAAAAAAAAAAAAAAAGCCAATGTAATAATGGATGATGAGGTCTTATACTGCATGCTCAGTGATAGATGAGAATAAATATAAATAAAGAAATTCGAACAATGGATTGCTGAGTCATTAAATTCTGACCAATCAGAAGCCTTGATTTTAAAATTAGGTTTTTCATACAGTAAACGGTCTAACGGTCAGTTATGGTGAGATGGCCGAGTTGGTCTAAGGCGTCACGTTAAGGCCGTGATCTCTATCGGAGGCGTGGGTTCGAATCCCACTCTCATCATTGTTTTTTACTTTTTTAAAATTAAATTATGTTTTTTTTTGTTGTCGTAAGGAGGATGTAGCAGATTTACTAGTTAATCAACGACTTTTTTTATTATTTTGTCTATTTGTATGCATTTAAAAAACTATTTTTTGCTTCTTTGATTACCAAATTCTAACTCAGATCTGGGCAAAATTTATTTTAAAAATCTAGACTTTTCTTTTCAACCCCCTTTTATTTTTCTTGATCACTCTTTTCTTCAGTCAATTCTACCCATTACATTGACTTATCGAATCTACAGCCAGTAACCATAATGTTTGTCCTCCTGTTACGTTATTGACACCCAATATGCTTACAATATAAACATCAATCCACTTATACAGACCACAGTAACAACTGACAATGTAGAAACAAGTATTCAAATGTGCAAAGGAAATGCTATTGTTTAATATCGACAAATATTATCTTTTCACACAAGTATTGAAGTTTTTTTTTTTTTCAACCACTGATTGACCTATATTTTAACAAACTTATCAACAAGTGTTTAGTAGCTTATATTAGTGAAGCATTATACAGTTGGTAGGAATAAATAAAAAAGGACGCGGAAAGAAGAAATCGTATACTCTGATATACTAATTCATATTTTCCGACTTTTCCACATTAGAAGATCCTCTCAAATATCTATGGATGGATTCACTTTCGCCCTTTCTATAATCCTATCATTTACTTATCTTCTCCTTCTGTGATCTTATTCTTACCACCAAAAAAAGAGTCAATAAAATATGTATTTTTTTTTTTTTTTTTTTTTTGGAAAGAGCGTGTATATAAAAAAAAAAGGTCGTTTATTCAGTAAGAAATATACAAATCAATTTTTATTGGAATCTCGCATACAAAATATATAGAAATACAACGGAATCTAGCTACTACAACTAATCTACATTGGTGTTAGTCCATTACCAGCTGAACCATATTTCAGTTAGTATCCGACCAGAAAAGCAAAAACTAGTGTAAGAGTCCATTGTGAAATGTTTCTAATAATAAAAATAAAAAAAAAGTGAATAAACTACTATACATCCATCATTATAAAATATTTGTTATCAACATCACCTATGATAATAGGCCGATCAAGCGTGTGATTATAATGTACCAAATTATATTGTTGGGGTAGATTGTGTGGTTAAAATAAAGTAAAAATAAAAAAAGAGACGAGAACAAGTCTGTGAGATTTCTTTTTATTTCGAAGATGATTAAAAAAGAGACAAAGTATCTACACAAAAAGTTTTGTTGGTCTTATATATAAGTACGTAGCGAGTGATACGTAATACTGGCATCATTACACCATATTTAAGATTGATGACCAAATTTTCTTTTCTTTTCTTTTTTATTTTAGTTTGTAATGCTGTTATACAGAGAATATAATTTTATTAGTATTTTATTTTTTCATTGATGTGATGTTATCATCATATGTGTAGTGATTCATTATATTAGTTGCCCTGGAACGTTTATACATTGATATGTATCTTTCTTGATAGTACCAAAAGATCATGAGCATACTAACTTTCAAAGTCAGTATTTCTATTTTTTATTTTTTTTAGATATGCGATAATTTTTATTTTCTTTCTATTTCTTTCCTTTCTTTATAACAATTTTAGTATAATATATCAATTACTAGTCTTTAGTAGTTATATTTTTATTCCAACTACTTTGTTACACGTCAATGTACTACATTCCATCTTACGATGTATTTTTTGTTCTTTATTTGTGAATGCATTCTTTATTTTTATTTTATGGATATGGTTACGAAATACACTGATACGACAAAAACCTACAACTTCCACCCTCCCAACATGATGCCCTCTGTCTCCACAAACAAACCAAGGATCAATGACGATGATGCGAAGAAACTCAATGATTATTTAGTAGTGGTGATTGATCCCCATTCTCGCGATGACATTTTGGACTGTACTCGACAAGAATATGAACTCAACATGGAAGAACAACGTGTGCTACATCGTTTCAAAAAGGCCAATATATTTGATCTTTTGAACTTTTGCTTGGATGGCACTTTGGATAATTTGTTGGATCGCATGGATGATATTAAGGCTAATACTGGCGATAATGATGATGAACAACAAGACAAACGACTCCTCCGTTACATTCTGTCCGATTATCACGCGAATTGCAGCAAGCCATCTTACATCGTACTTCCCAATGAACGTACTCCTTTTGCTGAATACGTCATTCCTATCTTCAAATATTTCAGTGCATCAACAAAACTGTTATCTTTTATTTGGTAAGGAAATGATCTGTTCAAGTGCATACGGTTATATTTTTATATTCCTTTTTTTTTTTTTTTTTTTTTTTTTTTTTTTACATCGATATGACATCACTGTATATGAAAAAGGTATTGAATAGCTCATGTTTTTAACAAATGATAGATCTTATCCATTTTGACTGACAACGCTCGTAACATGGACACGATGATGGTGGAACTGGAACAACACTTTCGACGAAATTCGATTAATTTCAACGCCAACCAAAGACGTATTCGATGTGCTGCCCATTCTATCAACCTGGCTGTGCAAGCTGCCATCACTTCTTTGACTCCTGTACCTCGACAAGAACAACGACTTGCAAACGATACTGATACGAATGATGATTATGGTGATGAATTGAACAGTGTTGAAGGATCAAATGTTGTTGTGGTCATTGCGAAGGTAATAGCAGTATTACAATAAATGATACATACAGAAGCGGACGCTAACGCACAAAATACGTTATTGTAAATCATTATTTCTACTACACAATTTAATAGATACGAAAAACTGTAGTCATGGTACGTCGATCAGCCCTCTTCCAAGAACGCTTACGTGATGCATGTGGTAGTTATCAAGTACCTTATGTCAAGCCTATCATTGATGTCAAGACTCGTTGGAATAGTACGTATGAAATGCTCCAGGTTGCCCTCTCGATGAAGTTGCCTTTCTCTTCACTTTCTATTTACGCTGAATTCGCTGCAATTCATCTATCACCTGAAGAATGGACAACTGTTGAAGAATTATGTGCTTTATTTCGAGTAAGTTTTTAAAAAAAAATATTGAATATACTGTTAGAAATATTGTAGTGCCAAAATATTAATAAAATTCCATTCACTTGTAGTCATTTCAAAAGATCACGACCGTATTCTGTGCCTCCTCGTATCCGACTTTAAATACAGTTATACCATTCTACAATCATTTGTTGGACGTTCTGGAACAATTTCAAACCAATGATAGGGACATCAACAATGCAATCTCATCGTGTCTCAGCAAACTCAAGGCATACTACCGAAAAGTTGATGATGGACCTCACGCTAATCTTGTGTTGGTGAAAAATCCTTTTCGCCTTTCTAATAATTTTTTTTTTCTCTCTTCCCCCTCTCACACTTTTTCCCTCTCCCACACTTTTTCCCTTTCTCAGGCCCTTTTTCCCTCTTTTTCCCCTTCTCAGGCCTTTTTCCTATTACACATTTCTTTTTTTGATGATTTCAATTTTTTATAAATAGTGAAGACATTTAGTTTTTTTTTGTTGTTGTCAAATTTTAAAAATAAAAATATAATTTTAACAATTATAAATCACTTTGGCCACTCTATTGGAAATAATCATCCATTGGTTTTAATTATCGTAACAATCATCACACTTATTATTATTTTTTTTTATTTATACACCAAATCATCAAGTCATTTGGTATCTTTCATTTATTTTATTTTATCTGATCATCATTTACTGTTATTACAAACATCCATCCATTTCCTTATTTGGATCAATTTTATTTTTTTCATAATACGTTTTGTTACTTTTTATAAAAAGTAACTGGTGCTCACTACTAACAATCATCAACAATATTATTATATTAATAATAATATCCATCTATCAAGATAATCAATCATCCATCCATTTACGAAAAAATACTTAACACTTGCGCTCGTGCTAGATCTAAGTTGGAATATCATGTTAAAAACAGCTGGGATGCAGTATAAATTGAACAAGCGAAACAACACTGAACGACGAGTACGAAGCTTATCTTGGAAATGGGACATACAGTTAAATCACTTCCTCTTTACCAATAACAACAACTGCAGCGGTGTGCCAGGTGATAGCGGATAGTGATATGACTTTTTTTTATTTTATGAAATTTATTATTTATGCCCAATTTTTTTTATGCCCTTTTCTTTCCTTTTGTCTTTCTTTCCTTTTATTTTTTTTTATTCTTATTTTATTTATTTTTTTTTTCATTTTTTATTTGAACCGTGTTTATCACGGTAAGTACATTCCTTAACTTTTTTTATGTTTTATTAACTATGACTCTTATGCTTAAATGAAATTATAGGTTCTTTTATGCTTCAAATATTCTTTTTATTGTCTCGTCTCATTTCACCAGGTAATGCTTTTTTTTTTTTTTTTTTTATAGGTTTGAAAAAGGTTCAGTCTCTAACAAACAACTGATGCTCTGTCTTTCTGAAAGTCAACGGAAACTGCTGGATGGTATTGGGTTTAGTGGCAAGGGCAAAATTGAACGTGTGATGATGGAATGCTCAGGGTATATATGATATCATACAAGCTATTGTACTAACACCTTATCTTACTCACTCACGCTTATAGGGAACAAGATGGAAATCATACCGAAGAAGATACTCTGAAGTTAATGGAATATACCAGCAACTGTTTGAAAAATGAAATGAATCAGTATCAGTATGCATCTTGGACGACGTTTGGAAGACGACGTATATTTGCCTGTGCAATGTATTGGGAACAAGCTGACTTTACTATCCACTAGTCGTATGGGAATTGGAAAATGGTGCTTTGTGGAGATACTGTCTGCAATTGTACCAAGGGATTGGGAAGATCGATACTATTTGAATCGTTTAATGGAACTGTTGATGAAATTAAAGGTAAGATGATCATCATTGGAATCAAATGACTGACAATTAATGTACATATTAGGAAAATGCTACGTGAACAAGAAGTAACCATGACTTTGAAGCCAGAACAATCAGGACGGGTTCCGTGGATGCCAAGGATACAATCAAAGCGGTCAATCGATTAGGCCAAGCAACAAAGTCATTATAGTCTTATTCTCTTTATCTAATATGTATGTTATTCTTTCTTGTATATCATTATCATAGTATGCCCTTTTTACAATATCCCCAATACCAATAAATATTTGATTTTAGTCAATCCTTTTTTTTTTTTTTTTTTTTGTGTCTATATTCACAGCCAAAGACATGGTCATCAAATACAGCCGAATCAACATAATAAAAAAAAAGAAGAGAAAAGAAAGATTATTCCTATATCATCTTTATATGACTTTATGGAATTTATAGTTTACTTGACCTAAAAATGATGATCATTAAACCAGATTGGGACTGAACATAGATCAAACATATCATTCTGTTTCACTTGATGCCATATCTCCCAATCTATAGAGTAAGTTAAAGTAAGGAATAATAAAGATTTAATTTCGCCATCCTTCTTCCAGAAATGATCATCATGCAATACCACCACTCAGTTCCTATCGTACTTATAATAGGATTTTATCTGAGATTATCAAACGATGATTAACACGAAATGATACTCAATGTATATATGGATCGATGTTTTTTTTTTTTTTTTTTTTTTTTTTTTTTTTTTTTTTAAAAAAAAAAAAAAAAAAAGAACAGCTTATTGATATTTTTTATTTGTATAACTTTACAATTCTAATAACGATTGATTCAATAAAGAGTGGGGTTGTGATATGTAAACTAGAGAAATAGGAGAAAAAAATGTATATGTGAATGATAATACTACAAAATAAGAAAAAAAAAAGAGCGAACTAGTCTTTGTTGGTTGTTGATTTTTCCTTGCTATCTTCATCATCTTTGAGAATATCCTTCCAAACATTTTCAGCTTGTTCCTTGCTAATTGAATCAAAACAGACCTTGAAAACATCATCATAAGTATCCACAGGAATACCAGTCATTCCTTCCTTGATATGATCGGGAAGATCTTCCCAATCGGCCTTGTTGTCCTTGGGGAAGAGAATAGTGTCTACTTTGGATCGTTTGGCGGCAATGGTCTTTTCCTTCAAACCTCCAATTTGTAATACCTTTCCAGTCACAGTTAATTCACCAGTCATGGCAATGTTGGGCTTCACAGGTTGATTCAATGCAAGTGAGATCAAAGAAGTTGCCATAGTAATACCGGCAGAAGGACCTATTTGTTATATTTTTTTTATCATAAATAAAATATCAGTATTACATGGTATTTTTTTTTTATCTGTTTCTACATACCATCTTTGGGTACAGCACCAGCAGGACAATGAAGATGTAATTTAGCCTTCTCAAAGAATTTGTTATTAGGATAATGAGTGGCCATAAGAGATTTGGCAAAAGTGTATGCAATACTTGTTGATTCCTTCATAACATCACCAAGTTGACCGGTTTTAGATAGTCCAGGCGTTGATTTGGGAGTAAGAGAGGATTCCAAAACGGATTCAATATATAACGATGATCCACCTATATACAACAAATATTATTATTTTTCTTAAGAAATGACAACCTCTATTTCCTTTTTTTTTTTTTTTTTTTTTTTTTTTTTTTTTTAATTCTTACCCATACTAGTCCAGGCTAAACCCATAATCACACCAGGTGGAGTCTTTTCATAAAGTCGATCAGATTGGAATACAGCAGGACCCACATAATCACGTAAATTATCACTGTCAATGTTGATGTTAATGTTACCAGGGATTTCCAATGGTTTACGTTCATCCTTTGGTTGTTGTTCTACGTTATCAAGTTCTTCAGGTTGATGAGCATCGGCTTTTGTTTGATCTATTTCTTCATCGCCAACTTGTTCCACTACATTAAGAGCTGCCTTTCGGAATACCTTGTCGATTTGTTTCTTCAAATTTCGTACACCACTTTCACGACAATAATTCTTGATAAGGGTGTCAACGGCCGCACTGGTAAGATTCACATTGACATGTTCCAAACCTGAAGATTTCTTTGCAGCGGGGGCCAAGTATTTTTCAGCAATGGCAGCCTTTTCTTCGGCAACATAACCAGAGAGTTGAATGACTTCCATACGATCCAAAAGAGGCCCAGGAATGGTGTCGAGTACATTGGCAGTACATACAAACAATACCTTGGAAAGATCAATAGGCACATCCATGTAATGATCCAAGAAGCTTGCATTTTGTTCAGGATCCAACAATTCTAGTAAGGCAGAGGAGGGATCACCTTGATGACCACGACCAACCTTGTCAATTTCATCAATCAGAATCAATGGGTTTTCCGTCTGTACCTTTTTGAGAGCTTGAATCACTTTACCAGGCATAGCACCCACATAAGTACGTCGATGACCCTTGATTTCAGCCACATCCGTCAATCCACCTACAGAGAAACGATAGAATTCACGATCCAACGCACGTGCAATGCTTTTTCCAATGGAAGTTTTGCCAACACCAGGAGGACCAGATAAACATAAAATCTTGCCTTCCACTGATCCACGTAATTTACTGACGGCAATGAATTCCATAATCCTATCCTTCACATCCTTCAATCCATAATGATCTTCATCCAATACAGTTTTGGCGTGATGCATATTGTAATTTTCACGAGAACGTTGACCCCAGGGAACTTGAGTTAACCAATCTAAATAGTTTCTTGTGACATTGAATTCAGATGCAGCAGGTTCTAAATGGGCCAATTTGTTGATTTCCTAATCATAAACTAATTAGTTGATATTTTTTTTTTTTTTTTTTATTAGGTACTTACTTCATCAAACACTTTCTTTACACCTTGAGGCATAGCTAGTTTCCCAGCCTTTTCTTTGAATCCTTCTACTAATTTATCTTTGCCATCACTTTCCAAACCAAGTTCCTTTTTGATCCCTTTGAGTTGTTCCATCAAATAATATTCACGTTGTCGTTTGGCAATTTTGCTTTCTACTTCCTTTGAGATCTTATTTTGTAATTGAGCATTCATCAGTTCCTTTTTGAGCACCAATAAAGATTTTTGTAATCGATCATCCACAGCCAATGTTTCCAAGACTTCTTGCAATTCCATAGGTTCACCAGCAGAGACAGCAGCTGCAAAGTCAGCAAGTTTGGCAGGTTCTTCAAATACATTTCCAGCAGATTGAGACATGGAGAAACTAGCAATTTGATCACGGAACAAAGGATTCAAAGAAGCAATATCCTTGAACACTGATACAATTTCTGATGTGACAGCACGTACTAAGGGACTTTTCTTCGAGTAAGGTAGATCTTCAAGGTTTTCCACGTTTGCTAATGACACATGATAATCTCTTGTCAGGAATGATGTTGCGTATTGTTGCGTGTTTTCCTTGATATTTTCTTTCTCTAAAGTAGATGATTCTAGTTCTTCTTTTGCTACTTTGTCACCTAATGTATCTACCAAAAAAAAAAAAAAATAGATTAGATTCCATTCCTCTCTCTCTTTTATTTATTTATTTATTTTTTTTTTACTTGTGATCATTCATACCTGACATGAGTTCTTCACCTGGTACCACATTTTCACGTTTTACATCATGTTTTGATTCTATTGATTTTTTGCTGTCATGATCATGTACCAAGGCATCTTCTTCCAATTCAATTTTTGCAGTGGTAGGATGTCGTTGTTGTTGAGAGGAGGTAGAGAGAGGTAAAAGTTCTTTCATTTTGATCCGACGGTGAGGATACAATACAGCGGTCAATCCAGCATCTTCTTCCTTGCCATCTTTTCCAGCACTAGCAGGGAACACACTTGTAATTTGAGCAAAAACACCTACACGATGTACTTGATCCATACTAGTAATAGTGTCTACATCCAAATCTTCATCCTTGAGTAAAAACGCACCAACATAAGGCTGACCTCGTTTCAATAATTCCTTGATAGCAGCTGTCACATTAGGATCCTTAACTACCACGGCTTTATAAAATCCAGGGAACAGAGGACGTCGAGCAATAGGTAACGCCAATACTTGAGGATAAACATCAGGTACAGAAGGTTTTTGTAATTGATTGTCAATCACCGTACTATCGTCATGTCGAGGAGGTTTGCCGTCTCTACCACCACCACTACCATGTTCATTTCCATCACCATGTCCATTATTGCCATGTCTACCGTCGCCATGATCTACAGGGTCGTCATTGGGATCACGTTCACGCAATTGTAAGCCAGCTTGAGTAGATGCAGAACGGAAAAACTGTCGTTTCACGGAGGCTGCGGTTCGAAGAGGTTGAAGCATGACCAAAACAGAATTGGAAGGACTTGATTGTAAAGATTGTCGCAATACATCACCACCCCATAAACTAACCCCAGGTGCTGCACGTGTAGAAGTAGATGTTATTGTCCGTTTTGCTTGTTGAGTTGGTGTTTGGAATTGTGTAGCTAGAGTTTGGTTGAATTTTGACCGGGAGATTGTTTTTGAGACGTGAACTAAAAACGAGTGACTCATGTTTCAAGTGTTTTTTTCTGTTGAATAAAAAGTAAAAAGAAGGGATCAAGTTTTCTTTCTCTTTATTGGTAGCAAAAAAGGAAGACTGGGAGCTACTCCAAAAAAGAAAAAGGAAACAAGTAAAAAAAATATGAGAAAAAAAAATAGATAGGAATGGAAACAAGTGGAAAGAAATACGCAACACAATTATTCATCATGAATTTACACCCCGCAAACTTCAACTCTTTTAGGTCGACTGCTTTTCTTTAGTAACTTCCGCTTTGTCTGTGCATTCCAAAAAAAAAAAAAAAAAAAAAAAAAACTCTCTCCTTCTTTTACTCTTTCTTTCCTTTTTTTTCAACTTAAAATCTTCTTTTGTTTGAATATGCCTCTTCCTAAAAAGAAAAACCATGGTACTCTTGGTCGTGCTATGATCAAATCTCGTTTTCAAGGTCAACGCACTTTTGCTGTCGATGAAGGAAAATTGGTAGGTTGTTATCTTTTACCGCAGTCTCTCTATTTTATTATAAAACTAATCGTAAATCATATTAGCATACAACCGATATGGAAGGGGAAGGCGATAGTTGGATGAAGATGCGAAGTATTACTCAGGAAAATGATCTGGAAGCCTTTTTAAGTACTGCAGAACTTGCTGGGACTGATTTTGCTGCTGGTAAGTAGAAACATGGATATAAAAAGGGCAAAATCTAAGAAAAATGTGGTTCAAATGTTGATCTTTTTCATTTAGAACGTCTCAATGTCAAGGTGGTCCAAGATACATACAACAATCCTTTCTTATTGTCCGATAAAGAAGAAAAAGAACGTATTGAAAAACAAGAAGCTAATGTTGAAAGGTTATCCATTCCACGACGACCTCATTGGGAAAAGACTATGACAGCAGAACAAGTACAACGAAATGAACGTGAAAGCTTTTTGAACTGGCGACGTGGCATGGCTCAGTATGTTAATAATATATATATACTGAAAATCATAATGATATTTACTCATACCTTCTTTTTCCTTTTATTACTAGACTTGAAGAAGAAGAAGGATTATTATTGACACCATATGAAAAGAATTTAGAAGTGTGGCGACAACTTTGGCGTGTTATCGAAAGATCAAGATTGGTGGTACAAATTGTCGATGCTCGAAATCCTCTCTTGTTCCGTAGTGCTGATTTGGATAAATACGTCAAAGAAGTGGATCCCAGAAAGAACAACCTACTTTTGATTAATAAGGCTGACTTTTTGACTCGTGATCAGAGGTAAGATAATATATATATATATCAACATGATCTGATTTGTTTTCGTTATAATTAGATTACAATGGGCGGATTACTTTGATGCACATGATATTCGATACACCTTCTTTTCAGCAAAGGCAGCAACTACAGCACAAGAAGCAGCAAAGGCAGCATTACAACAACAAGAGCTTGAATCATCTTTGGAATCCAAGGATAGTAGCGATGATGATAATGAACAACAAGAGGAAGATCAAGTGACTGATACTTTAGCCAACACACATATTGATGACAAAAATAAGTCTCAAGAAAAAGAAGAAACAGAAGAAGAAACAGATGATCGTATCCGTATTCGCACCACTGGCAACTTGCTTGATCTTCTTATTTCAGAAACACCCAAGATGGATGACGATGAAGAAGGTGATGATCAGAAAATTGTGATCGGTTTAGTTGGTTATCCCAATGTTGGTAAATCAAGCACAATCAATGCGCTTATTGGAGAAAAGTGTGTATCTGTTTCTTCGACTCCTGGCAAGACCAAACATTTCCAAACCATTCATTTGACACCTTCTCTGATTCTTTGTGATTGTCCTGGTCTTGTGTTTCCTACCTTTTCCACCACCAAAGCTGATCAAGTATGTAATGGTGTTTTACCAATTGATCAACTTCGCGAACATACTGGTCCTACTTCATTGGTTGCCCGACGTATCCCTCAAGCTGTGTTAGAAGCTACCTATGGTATCAAAATAAGAACAATGCCAGTTGAAGATGGTGGTTCCGGTATTCCCACAAGTGCAGAATTTTGTTCTACTTATGCTAGTAAGTGAAATATATATATATATATATATCGATCATGATTGACTGATTTTTTTTTTTTCTAAAAGTTGCCAGAGGTTATTTCCGATCAAGTCAAGGGAATCCTGATGAATCACGTGCTGCAAGATATATTTTAAAAGATTATGTCAATGTAAGTACGATGTTTAAACCAAAAAAAAAAGGTACTGACAGAATGATCTATCATATAGGGAAAACTTTTATTCTGTCATCCTCCTCCTGGTGTGGATGAAGATGAATTTAATAAAGAGATTCATGAAGCAGCTCTCAAGACTCAAAAGAAACTTGCACCTACAACAAGAGTTCCTGCACATGCATTGAATTATGTCACACCTGCGGATGGAACAACGACACAACGAGGATCCAAAACCGAAGCTGTAGATAATGCTTTCTTCCAGAAACATATTGGAGCACCTAGTATTCGTGGCAAATATGCTGGTGGCATGCGTGGCGGCTTTTCACGAGTCAATTTATATCCTCATCAACAACGTACTGCGGAAGATGGAACAGTGTTACCTCAATCTCGACGTGAACGATTGGCTATGGTGCAACAAAATCTAGCAGATGCTGGCATGGGAAAGAAACACAAGAAGGGAAAGAAACATGTCAAGGTACGAAGTGGTGCTGGTTATGATTACATGTAGTTCTTTCTTCCCAATTTTTTTTTTTATATGTACATTTTCATCATACTTTTTATATATGCATTTGTTATCCCTCATTATTAGATCTTTTTTCTTTTTTTTATACATACATCGCCTTTATATCAATAAAAAAGAACAACTTTTGTACACCCTATGAATTTCTGCTTGATAAAAAAAAAAAGGTCTATAGGTCATTTGATTATATATATATATAATTTATTGAAAATATAAATACAAAAAGAATGTACAAAAAAAAAAGTCCAACTAAAATCTAATCCATTATATAACAAAATCTATATCATTTTCTTAAATCTTGCCAAAAAGAAACCACTTGTACGACTAATAAGAGGATCAAATCGTACACAATACTTTTCCAAGAGTTGTTGTTTATCGTCGTTGATTTGTTTGATGGGTGCCAAAGGAATATCAAGATCGGATACCAAAGGGATTTCTTCCAATATCGCCTCTGGATGTTGTTTTATAAACCATGCTACATTTTCCTCGTTTTGTTTGATGGTCAGAGAACATGTACTGTACACCATATAACCACCTTTTGACAGCAATGACCATCCACGTTCCATCAGGTCTCTCTATAAAAAAAATGATCAAGTCAGTCATCACCTTTCTTTTTTTTTTTTTATAGCGAACCTGTAATTGACAAATGGTATTCAGTCGATGTGTATCCATAAAGTTCTTTTCAAATGCATCCCATCCCCATTTTTCATACTGTTTCAATAAAAATAATAAGAATAATGAGATAATCTATTTTGTTTCATATATATATATGTATATTTACCTTGAGAATATGACTGATCGATCCATCATGAGTACATTCAGCATCCACCAAGACCTTATCATAGAGTCGATGTGTAGTGGAAGCATCATGTCGCAATGTTTTAGGAGCCCAAAAAGGTTTTTTCCAACCAACATCCACTTTCCGTTTCTTGTTTTTTCTTTCATCTTCTTCAAATAGAATAGAGCCCAAACGAGAAGGTGCAGGAACATCAAAAGTAGTGCCATCCGCTTCATACAATCGAACGCGAGAACCCACACGATACTTTTTCACCAAAGAACGACATGTTGCCAATCGATGACTTGCAATATCCACACCCGTTACTGTCCCTGTTCCTTGTAATCCCAGTACATTGGCAATCATACATAGTTTCGCCCCTGGTGCACAACAGAGATCAAGCACATGATCATCAGGTTGTAATTCAAGAGCTTCCACCGCTATTGCCGAACTTAAATCAATACCAAAAATTGTATGTTGTTGATATCTAAATAAAAAAAAAGTGATCAGTTTTGCATACATTTCTATTTTTTTTTTTTCTTTGTTCACTTACGCTGCAATGTCTACCAATCGAGGTAAATTATCTTCCAATTGAATACCAAAAAATCCTTTCATTGCTTGAACTTTCCATACATGGTTGGTTTTGAATTGTGTCTTGAGTTGGTCTAGAGTAGGTAGTTGGTCCAGTGGTAAGTGAGTATTCCAGCGTATATACCGAGGAAGTTGATCTACAGTGTAAATCTTGGGATCAATAGCATTGTCTTTCAAGAAAGATTGGAAAGATACTGGAAGTTGACTAATGTCGAACGTTGATGAGGATAACGTTGTTTGGTCATTAATGTCATCCAATTCATCCATATATCTATAATATAAAAGAACAAAAGAGGAAAAAAAAAAGGTAAAGACTAAAAAAAAAAAAAAAAAAAAAAAAAAAAAAAATCATCCTCCGACATATGGAAAGAACAAAAGCTTTTTATTGGCCATCAAGTAAAATAGAATTTGATTGGGATGGTACATGATAAATAATATATTCTACTTCACGTTTCAAATCATCACAATATCTATTCAAAGGTAAATCATTGTAATCATAACCAACTATGTATATAGAAAAAAAAAAAGGTCATTTGTAAGTGAATAGATTCTTCTACCTTTTTTTTATAACTTACAAGGATTTTCGATTTCTTCACCAATAGCGAGGATACCAAATAATGTAAAAGTGACTAGAGAAACAATAGGAATTACCAATAATCCAAGAGATTCAACCAAAGAAAAGGGTAAAAAGAAGATATAAAGTACTACACCTTGTTTTCTATAAAATAAAAAAAATATCAATAAAATTACATAGATATATATATATATATATATATATACTTACAAATGGATATTATAAGCCTTGGGAATAGGTGTATGTACAATGCGTTCAAATGCAGTCAAGGTATTCACGAGGGTATCCAAGGAACTGGTAGTAACAGAAACAAAATTGGATTCAATCTTGCCAGCGGCCTTGGCAGCATTGATATAAAGAGCAATACGGTATAAGATTTCCAAAGGTAACGAGATATCACCATCACCATTGTCTTGAAGATCTTCTTCAGAAGTAAATGGAGATCGATCACCATGTTCAGGAGGAGGCGATGATAATGACGATGATGATGAGTTAGATGATGCATATGTGTTGACAGAGGTTGGTAATAAAGGTTGCGTTTCAGATGATTTTTGTTTTTTACGTCGTTGTTGTCGATCTTCATCATGAGCCATTTTCACTGCACTTTTTTGAATGGAGGCAGCAGAACTATCAGCAATATCAGTGTCTGGGAAGAATTGTTTGATCAAGGAACGACGCATATTATGAACATCGTTGGGATGATCAGGATTCAATGAACCTGTACGACTAAGAGGCTTGATTGTATCATGAAGAGAGACCACCAAAGGTGCAGATTTCATACCATGAGCAATATTATGAGCAGTTTGTCTGATATTCAGTTTCGAGATAGAATGAGTTCCTTTTCTAGTAACGGCCGGTTTAGCACCATAAGTGACACTAGCTGGTACCCAATCTCGGGGTAAGAGTTCCTGCACTAGAAAGAAAGAAAAAAAAATAAATGTTATATTTATATATATATATATATCTAGATATAATCCCCTTACAGTCATAATAATCCGTTCCATATTCATGTCGTAAATGATGTTTAGTAGCAACAAAGAAAGCCAATAATAACTTGATACAACGCATTTTTTGAATATGATCTTCTTGAGAATTTTCAGGTACGTTGATCCAAATTTGACGAGAGAGATTACGAATGGTAGCAGTAACGGTTTGAATTAAACATCTTCCATTGTTGTATCGTTCATAAGCAGTATTCACTCTGAAGGCTAAAAGAAGACCCAAAGCCACACTAACCGAACCCACTATATCGGGATCAAAAATAAGTAAACATTGTGTATTTCCATTTCTGTCTTTTTTTTTACTTACATACAGAAAGTGGTACACCCACTTCAAGTTCAAGTTTTTCATAACAAATATAAATGAGTAAAGAGAATAGAGACATACCCATCACAGGTGCTAAGGTAGGAAGTAATACAGATCCTTTCCATCTTAATACATCTGGCCAAGATAATTGATGATCAATATAACGCGCAAGACTACCAAAGAATCCAGGTCTTTGAATAAAAGGTATATCTATTTATATATAAGAAAGTCAATTCGTTTGTTTTTTTTTATTTTTTTTTTAAAAAGAAAAAAAGAAATGATATTACCCTTTCCCATAATAAAAGAAAAAGAAAAAAAAAAAAGACAGAAAAAAAAAATGACAGCAAAAAAAAAAGAAAGAAAGGGAGAAATAAGAAAAGAAGGAGTCTCGTGAAAATGTAAGCATCAAAAAAAAAAGTTTCATTGACCGATTATCTCCTTTTTTGGGATTTGGCAAATGCTTAGGGGGACACAGAAAAAAAAAAATTTTTTTTTTTTTTTTTTTGATGCATACTGAAGTAAAAAAAAAAAAAAAAAAAATTGACTGTCAGACCACCCATGTCTCCCTTTTTTCCGGCGTAGTCATCAAAAAAATATGTTTATCATCATCATCATCATCATTATTTTCATTTTTTTTATTTTATTTTGAATATTTGGCCAAGTCATGAAACCTCAAATGAACTGATATCATTTTCGGGGATTATCTTGGCTGTTTCTTATTCCCAACTCTTTCATTGATAATAAAGAATCCCCTTTCTAGAATGGAAATCTAGTAAAAGATGACGGTAGCAGGGTTTTATAATTAAAGAAGAAAAAAAAAAATTATAATTAAAAAAAAAAATCCACCCTTTTATCTTTTTTTTTTAGGTGTTTCAAGGACCACTTTTTGATTTGCCCAATCAATGTACACCGGAAATACAATATCCCAGCTCCGTAAAATAGAGTTCAAAAAGTTTATTATTTTGACATTTAAAAGGTTGTAATATAAAACGAATAATAATAATAATAATAATAAAAAAAAAACTAATCTAGTCCATTGTACACCTATGCATCATCTTTCTCTTCCAATTTGAGTTTATCCACCCTTGTTTTGAGATCATCAATGACTTGTTCCCTAAAGAAATGAAATGTGTTTATATATTTATATTATATATATATATATAATACTTACTGTATATCCAATGTATCCATAACAATCGCGGCTTGTGAGGTTGAGAGTCGACTTTTAATAGGTTTCTTCTCTTCTTTTGTTGATTTTTGATAAGAATTGATTTGTGATCTCAGTTTCTCCATCCTTTGTAAATATCCCTTGACTTCTTTGTCCATACTATCCACCTTGTCAATCCATTCCTTTTCCTTATATGATAATCCTAATTGTTTTGCATTGGAAATATCACATAGCATCCGATCAATACGTAAAGAGATTTCAGTATGTTTCTTTTGTGCTGATTTGATCTTGTTCATGGCTGTAGAATCTGATTTGTATAGGGATGCTCGTTCATAAAGATCGGATAAAGTTTCAATTTGTCGTTCATATTCTTGTTTTTGTGTTGCGAGTCTATAAAGACATAAAAGGATGAGTTTGGAAAAACGATTATATTGAATGAAATAATCAGTTACCTGGTATTCATTTGAGAAACACATTTTGTCACATCACGGATATCTTGTCTGATTTTGGTAGCAGTAGACACTAAAAAGTTCAATGTTTCTTTTGTAATCACCACTTCTTTGTTGCCACCTAATTCGGGAGGAATGACTACCTTCGCATTGGATGAATTGATCAAGTTTTGTAAAGTCTTGGGAGGTTCAAATTCAGAAAATGACAGTAATGGTTGATAGGATGTAAGAGAATCGTCAACAGTGCTTTTCATGACCTTGTTGAGTTCCGATGACCGGTTCATCACATTGCGAAGATTCATATCAACACCAATCATACGACAATTTGCATCCAATGAGAGTAAGGAATAAGATAAAAAGGTATCACTAAGAACCACCATACCGATGATAGGATCCACTGTTCCTCTAATATAAAAAAAAAAAAATTAGATTATCACATTTGACCCCTTTTTAACTAATCACTTACGTTTCAAAGGGAGCTGTGTTAACTAGACATCGAACTTGTGAAGTATTTTCTTTTTGAATATAAGAGGTTAAAACTTCATCCCCATCCTGTGATTGCACCTTTTTCTTCAGTTCCAATAATTGATCCATCCATTCCTTTGTTGAGATAGCATGTACACCAGCAGCATGGTAAGCATAATACGTATCATTATAAATTGAGTCATTGACAAGCCATATAGGAGCATTGTTGAGTTGTGGCGTTTTGAATTGAATCGTTTCGTGAAGAGTGGCACGAGGTAAAAAGGCTACGGAGGATTGAATCATTGACAACTACTCAATATGTACATATAAGTATAGTCAAACATGAGTACGTGCAACAGAGAACGGATCAGCAATCTTTTTTTTTTTTTTTTTGTTTTACCTCCTTGTACCAAGATTGTTGGACACTTTTTCCAGAAGGTAAAATCCACTGTCCACTGATACCACCTGCCAAGAGATAATTTCGTACAATTCCATTTGTAAATCCGAGAGCAATCACATTCAAACCATTTGATTGTACAAAAAGCATATCGCTAACTTTGGTCGGGGATGTTTTATCTTGCCATTGATTCTGTTTGATGATAAAAGGTCCTTGAGGTTGTACTTGAAGAGGTGTAGAGGTTGGATCACTTTTAACAAAAAGTTGACCTCTGTCCATCATGGCGAGTGAGGTGCTTTTCTCTTGTTGAGCCGTTTTGATCAAGTCGCAAATCCATTCAAATTGTAGTCGGAAGTAATAGTATACTGGGTTTACTGGATCATTGTCATTTTCTTTACTTTCAGAGAGAATTTTATTGCAATTGGTGATGGCCATACAGGCAAGTGATTCTAAATGTTGTCGTCGAACCATACTACATTCAAAAGAAAGCAATATATATATATATATATATATATATAGATATGTTATAAAATTTTGTTATTGATCTGTAGTTGTAGGTGGATTCTTTCTTTTTTTTTTTCCTTACCTTTTTGATGGTAACACTGGACAAAGTGCATACATATGACCATTCTCCAAAGTATAGTAAACTGTAAAAGGTTCCCATCCACTAGAATCGTGACTGATTCCACCCAATGCAAAGGTCGATACTTCTTCATCTTGTTCCATTTCATCATCCACTGTAATACTAGTTTGTTGAATTTTTGATGACGATTTTCGTTGTGATGATGTCAAATCAAATTGTTGTTCAGGATCATCGATATTTGTACTAACATCAAACATTCTATGTAACAAATAATAATTAACCTTTTTATCAATCCACATTTTTGTATACATCTTCTCTATTTACCGAAGCATGCTGTCACCGGATAAGACCATTAAATGAGTTCGTGTTTCACTAAGTGGATGCCAATCAATTTTTAATAGACGTGTTGAAGGTGTATACAAGTTTTGACCAATGATTAAAGTTTTGCAAAAGACAGTTTGGTTGGAAATAACAGCCATTGAAGGATCAGATTGACTTGAGAATCCTTTACGAGGTAAGCACACTACAGCAAGTTGATGTTCGCCAGCCACAGCAAGAAGAGCTCCATTGGAGTTTGGTAAAATGGTGTCAATATCGAAATCAATACCAGGTGTTTCAAGAGTCTATTCCAACAAAAAAAGAGTTAGTTATTGCAAAAAGTTTGTCATATTAAATAATATTTTACCTTGTGAGGCATATTCAATAAATGTGATACTTGTATATCATTCAGATCAGATTCAATAAGTTGTTCAGTAGTATCGATCCACGCGTTCTTGAATTCTGTCAAGTTGAGTACTCGAATGCAAGATCCAACAGCAAGAAATAAATCATTACCACGTAAAGCCAAAAGACGAGTACACCGCTGTTGAGTGCTTCCAAAACCAATTGTAAAGTTGTTTCCAGGACGTTGTTGTGCTGCGTTTCTAAGGTCGCGAAGTCGTTTACCTTCTGCTACAGAAAGTTGAAAGATTCCATGGTTGCTGAGTTGATCTAACCAATTATCTTTGAGATTGGATGTATCTGCCATGATGTTGTATTGGTCCTGTATATATGAGTTTGGATATAATATAAAACTATTTCCAGTGAACGCTCAATGCAAAAATGGAAGTTAAAAAAAGAAAAAGAGAGCGAGAAAAACAACAAAGGAAAAAAAAAATTGACTGCGCGTGAATTTTCATTTGCCTGCCAATCCACACATGCGTTTCAGATACCGATATGCTGGGGCGACCTTTACATAAAATGTGGTACTCGTGCTTTTCTCTTTTTCTTTTTCTTTTTCTTTTTTTTTTTTCTTTTTCGCATATACACATTCATATATATCTAATCTATTCAACATGCCTATTCTTGAAGTCACCTCTCAAAAGTCCCCCAAAGATTTATCTGCCTTTATCAAACGATTATCTGCCGTGTTCGCTGAACATATTGGAAAACCTGAAGCTGTATGTTTGGTGACCTTCACCAAGGCCGATGATGTTTGTTTTGCTGGAAGCAATAATCCTGCTTATCTTGTCCGTGTCGGTGGTATTGATGTTATTAGTGAAGAACGCAACACAAATGTCACCAAGGCTGTCACTCACATTCTTGACGAAGAACTTGGTATTCCCAACGACCGTGGGTTTGTCTTGTTTAACGAATATCCTTCTGCCAACATTGGTTTCAAAGATACTACTTTCCGTTCTATTCTTAAGAAATAAATAAAAGATTTATATCCTATTGTCTTCAAATGTCATCATGTCCTTATTTTTGATTTTATCCATTGTTGTTTGGTGTATTTTTTTTTACGGTTATTAGTCATAGTATGTTCCCCAAATGTTTCTATTTTTATTTTTCTTGCTGACTCATGATATGACCTCAATGTATCATTTTTATTTAATATTAAAACTTTAAAAAACTAAGATCCCTTTTAAGGTCTCAAACATTTTTTTTTTAAAAAAAAGAAAGGCTTTGACTCTTTTTTTTTTGTCTTACGACAAACCTGTTCAAAATTTGGATAAACTGCAACATATTCTTGACGATTTCCCACATCAAATCTTATTTTAGTATTAAAGCCTAATCCTTTTGTGATGTATATCATCATCTATATGTCTATGAAAAAAATTGTTTGGTTTAAAAAGAAAAGAGAAGCATCGTTTATTGGGTAAAGGAATAAGAATAATAAAAAGAGATAATGACTATAAACTAAGCAGTAGATTCTTCTTGGTTGTCCTTCTTCTTCAAAACAAGAGGTACACCAGTGACGCGTTTCCATAAATCTTTTACATCATCACATACAGTTTCAAAGTGGGAAGTAGCATCATAGGATCGAGAAACAAAGACTTGATCTTGAGTACCATCCTCACTAGCAATTTCCAAAGGAGATACAGACACAAATCTATGATTTAAAAAAGAGAAAAAAAAAAAAAAGAACAAGATGAGAAATATATCCTTTTGATTTATCATTTTTCATATATATTACTTGTCTACAATAGGGCCCAAAAGTTTCAATCCTTCTTGAATTTCCATTTCAGCGGGCTTATCGGTTTCAACAATAGTAGAAACAATAGCCAAATAATAATCCTTTGCACAGACATTGTGAGCACTACTGACACATGCCACATAAACATCATGCTTGCGACCAATTTGATTTTGAGGAATGACGATTTGTACAGAATCAGCATCACCAGTACCAGGGATAGGATGGTTGAGAATACAGATAGCACGAACAACGGAACCAATCTTCTTGGCTTTGGTAGGAGCATAAGAAGGATCGCAAATGATTTGTTTTGCACGAGCAATACCTTCAGCAGTCTTGACACCAATAGCTTTGCCTTGATCATCATATAAAATTTCTTGAGCATCCATATTAAGCATGTAAGTACCACCATAAACGGCACTCAAACGAGCAAATGCTTGAGGCAGATCACCAAGACCATACAAAGGATAGATATAAGGACTCTTGCCATAACGAAGGACAGAAGCAGCATACAAACGTACCTTTTCCACAGTATCACGAGCAGGTTCGTTTAAGTAATTATCATCCAAATGAAGAGCCATAGCATGACCAATGAATTCTTGAGTATCAGCAGCCAATCCGAATTGTTTGAAGACTTCAGACATTTGAACAGTGGAAATGTTGATACCGTTGTGAGTAGAAGGATCAGCGTCGTTATATTTTTGAGCCCATTCCAAAAACTTCTTCATACGTCGCTTTTCAAAGATACCCATCAAAGGAGAAGATAAAGCTTCGACTTCATTGGATGGCACTTTAGAGATCTTGGTACCCTTGTTGTAAACCACAAATGAACCAGCAATTTGCTTGAATTCCAAATAGCGAGTAACATCAGTATGTGTCAAGAATCGAACAATTTCACCATTGGCCATCATAAACTTGGGGATAAGATCAATGTTCCAGTCACGGTCACGACCCAATGTAGGAGGTACTTCTGTTCCAGGTCTAAACTTTTCAAATAACTATAGTATATATATATATATAATTAATTATCATCTCTTCTTCTTTTTTTTCTTTAGATGATATTCCCTTTTTTTTTATATATGTATATGATCTTACCTGAGTCAAGTTCAAAGAAGCAGATTCAGCACCATAATAACTGTTTCGGTCCAAATGTAACACTTTCTTTCCATCAACTGATAATAAACCTGACAAGATACATTCGGTCAAACCAGTACCTAGAACAATAACATCGTAATCTTCATCCTGGACAATATTAAAAATAATGAGTTAAAAACTTAATAACAAACAAAAAAACAAAAAAAAAATAAAAAACAATACAAAGACTTCTATTTTTTTTTACTCTTTCTTCTCATCCTTACCATGATATATGTATACGCGCGTCAACAAAAGATTAAAGAAAAAGAAAAAGAAGAGATCCAACTTTTTTTTTGTTGGCTCCTTTCATTCATCATCCTATCCCGTGCACTCTTTCAAAGACCGATAGATATTTTCAACCAATCAGCTACTTGGAAACACATGTTGGGTTTTCATTCACTTTCATTATTTGATATTGTTAAAAAAAAGCAAAACAGAAAGGGGGAATGTTAGTAGCAGTACAGAAATAAGATGATTATGAATACTGCGTGTATGATGTATGTATGTGAGAGTGTGTGTGATACAAAAAAAGAGAAAGGGACAGGAACTGAAAATGGTAACTTTCAGCAGGCTACTGGCGCCAGTTTAAAAAAAAAAAGGGAATTTCTATTTTTTTTTTTTCTTTAAACTGTTTCTCTTTTTTCTTTTTTTTTTTTTTTTTTTTTTTTTTTTTTTTTTTTTACTACGATGGAAAGTAAATTGGAAAGCAAACTTAATGAAAAATATGTCCGTGGTGTATCTTTTGATGCCATGAACAATGCCGATCTTCGTCACTATTCATTTACCTTACGAGGAAAGACACCTGGTTACAAAAGAACAAGAAGATCTCGCACTTTTATGATGGCAACAGATTTAGCAAACTATAGTGAATATGCTTTAAACTGGGCAAGTGATGTAAGTAAATATAAAATAAAGTTTAAAGGTTGTTTGTGTTGATGATTGTTATTATTATAGGAAGTCATGGACGATGGTGATGAATTAATTGTACTTCGAGTGGTTACAGTAGATATGAGTGGTAAGTATCAAAAAAAAAAAAAAATGATTACAGAAATGTTTTTGATTTAATTATATTATTTTTTTGATCTTGTAGATAAACGATCCATTATTCAAGCTCAATTAGAATATGAATCAAAGCAAGCTAGGGAAAAAGCGAACAAGGTGATGGAACGAATTATGGAAAGTAGTGGACCTGATTCAAAGGTATAAGAGAGAATAATAAAAAAAAATCAAGATAAGATATTAATCATATTTATATATAGATTAGTGTCATTATTGAATTCGTGATTGGCAAAGTACAAGAAACCATTCAAGATATGGTAAGCTTATATATATATATATTATTTTTTGAATTCATTATTAATGAATGATTTTTTTTTTTGTTCATAGATATCCATGTATCAACCATCCTTACTTATTGTTGGTACTCGTGGACTTTCAGAATTTCAAGGTATGCTTTTAGGTAGTGTATCAAAATATTGTCTTCAACATTCTCCTATTCCAGTAACTGTGGTACGACCTGTGGAAGATAAGTCAATAAAGAAACACAAGGCCAAGAAGAATAGACTTAGTGCAATGATACGATTAGGTGGTAGTCGTCCTGGAAGTGAATCAGATAGTGATGATGAAAAACAACAACAACATGAAGAAAAACAACATCCTGAACGACCTACTCTTGACAAAAGATTTGGAAGACTTTCTTTTATTGGAAGATCTAGGTCTCCTTCTCCATCACCTTCAAACAGTAAATCCCGATCGAAATAGATTAGATTGTACATTTTTTTATATATTACTTTTTATTTATATACAAACCTATCTCTTATTATTTGAATTTCTTTTTCTCTCTCTCTCTATATATATCTCTAAAAACTTTGTATTTTATTTTTCCTTATCTTTTGTTGAATACTATCCTTTTGAATACTATCCTTTTGAATAAAATCAATATATGAACTTAAAAAAGTGACGCCCGCTGTCCTCTAAAAAAAGAATGCAACTCAATTTTTTTTTTTTTCGTCTTCTTCTTTTCTCTATCACGTTTTTATTCTTTTAGTATAGGACCAATGGCTCATGACCCGTATGTATTATTTAGTATTTCAATTAGTATAAACAGATTTATTTTATATTGACCTAACTTTATTCATCTTTTTATAGGAAACAACAACAAATAGCTTCACTTTTTGCTCATAATGGAGCAGTTATAGTTATCATTGAAGGACAACAATACGAAATATCTTGTTCTAGGAATGAAAATATTCAATTACTTGTCAATTTACCTTATACTTTTCCAGACGAAGCTCCCGTCATTACTGTATCTCCTGCTGGTATGACTCACCCATGGATAGAGTCTGATGTTATTGTTAATGATGCCTTGACTTGTTGGTCATATCAAAGTAACCTCGGTATGCTTGTACATGATATTTGTGAAGAATTCCAACAACGTCCTCCAAGCAAGAGAATTAATGGTACTGAAGAAAGGTAATATTTAAAACTATTAAATCACTTTTTTTTTCTTTATTGATATATCCTTTTTTTTTTCTTACAGTTATGGTCATCGTCCTCCTCCACCTATTCCCACATCAACTGCTACTACTACAACAGCAACTAGTACTACTACTATTGCTACTCCTCCTCCTCTACCCACTTCAAATATTCCCCATGCAACTTCTTTACCCAATTCACAGACACTCAACTCTGAATATACGGCTATCATGAACAAAAGGTAAAAAAAAAAAAAAAAAGACTTATATTATCATATATATAACTTAACACTCGTTTTGTTCGATCTAGTCCCGAGGAAATAGAAGAATTATTATCAAATGAAACAGCATTTGATTTATTTTTTAATCATTTGGATAGAGTCAAGAATTTGAAAACGGTACAAGAGGAACTTCGGAATGGAAATGAAAATCTGGCACGTAAGTTTAAAATCTATTATCTATATGAATCATTAATATCTTTTCTATTATAGACAAGAATCTTAGTCAAGAAGATGCTTTAATAAAACTTCGATCTGAAGTACAAGACCTGAATAATGAATATACTTCACTCAAATCCATGTTTACAGAAAAAGAAAAACAACAACAAGAAGCATTCAATGTAAATAAAAAAAAACAATAATTCATTTTATATATTTCTAATGATTTTTTTTTGATCAATAATTATAGAGATTCTCATCATCAACAGTACTTACTCGATTGAAAGCAGGTGTTTATGAATCAGATGATTTATCAGAGTCTGTAGCACAAAGTTTTTTGGAAGGAAGTTTGGATCATGATAGTTTTGTCAAACAATTTAGAGAACTTCGAAAAGTATATCATTTACGTGCTAGCAAATTAGAAAAGATTCAAAAAGACAGTTTATTATTTCCTAGTTAGAGATGATTTTCTTATAATAAAAGTATCTTTTTTTTTTCTGTATGTCATAGTGTCATTGGACACGCGGAGGATTGAAACCCAGTTGATCTTGGGACGCATATTCAAAAAAAAAAAAAAAAAGCACTCGGATCATATACTCTCTTCTTTCTTTCTATTTAACTTTTTTTTATATATATATATGAAACTTTATGAAACTGATTTTTGCAGAAACTGGTCAAGAGACTATAATAGACGACAATAGGTAATATGAAATAACTTGAATAAACATCTCATTGACTGATGCGTTCATTCTACTTCCATAGCTGTTCGACATTATCTCGGTTGAAACACTATTTATACACAGTGACTGGAATCCCAATCGACCAACAGATTCTACTATCTACTTCCGGGATTCAACAAAAGGATGTTAACTATTCAACGACACATCCGGACGACACTCTTATTTTATTCAACCGTCAGCATTTGGAACGCAACAACAATCAACAACAAAATGATACAGATTCTTCTTTCAAGCACCTGGTAGATAAACGCATGCCTAGTGTGGATGGACTTGAAAGATTGACTGATCTTCACAATACCTTGGATACTCAAGTTGAAATATACCGACGTTACAAACAACAACAACAGCAACAACCAAAATGGACATTCTCGGAATATAAGGATTATTACAAGCAATTAGTCAAGCATATGCGACTTTCAGCAGATGTAATACACATATATATCTATATATGTAAAAGAAGGAAGTAATTAAAAAGAGTGATACTTACGTTACCTTTTATCATATTTTATTTGGCTTCTTTTGAAGGTTATCTTGGAGGTAGCTCAGAGGCATAGCAAGCTAGCAAATACGATGATTCAGGAACTCAAAACACAATCTGTAGCACTCAATGCAGCTCTCATCAACTTTGAAAATCATATAAAGTAAGTTTATAAGATTAGATTCTAGATAGATCCTTTTTTTTTTTCCCACTTTAATCATCGATCTTTTCTCAACTCAACGGCTCACCATCTCTCTCTCTCTCTCTTTTTTTTTAATCTATATACGATATTTCTTTTTGGGTACTTCCAATAGAACCACATATTCATCACAATCCAAGCTCGAACGTATTGCAAAAAGGAAATTGGCAAAACACACAGACTCAGTAGCAGATATCGACAAAGATATTGCATTCATGCATAAGATCCAACTTCACCCTCATATTCAAACTCAGCTTGGACGGTCCACTTCTTTCCTAGTCGATTGCTTTTCTGTGTCTCCTATGGAAGCACTCAAATCCCAACTACAAAAAGATCATTATCGACTTGAAGCAAAAACAAACAAATTGACGACTAAAATGGGCGACATCTATCAAGAATCTAGTCATATTTCTATTCAACGATCCGGATCAACAGCTGTGGTGAACAAGGTCATGCGTACTCTTGGTGATATTCAAACTTATTTGTCTTTGATCAACAACCTTTGTCTTCATCTCCAACAAAGATGGGAAAGTAGAAATTTGGATGACTTGAATGATTCCGGTGGTGATCCTGCAGATGAATGGATGATTGCCATTGTAGATACGACTCATTCTACTAATAATAATGACGATGATGATTTGGACAACAATTTGGAAACAAATGATTTTATGATATCCGATGATCCTGACAACAAAAAGAATTATATGACGGAGAACAATGATGAAGATACTAAAACTGACGATGATACTGACAACAACAATAGCCCTATGGGTTCAACAATAAAAAGGACACAACTTCAAGAACTTTGTGATGACAAATTGATGCAAAGGTTATTTTTGTATGAATCGCAACTACGAAATTCAATAAACGTCATTATGGAAGAAAAACGAAACGCCATGTTTAACTTTTTCCAGTGTTTACAAACCATCAGCTCTTTAGAAGAATCTATTTCGAATCTATTTTTATGTCTTCAACAACTTGGGGGTGATATCAAACATCTTGGAAAACGTATCGATCAACTTGAAACACTCTCCAAAGGAATTATTGAAGGTTATGTAAGTAATACATTGTATATGAGTGTATGGATTAGGAATAAGTAGGGAACTTTATTGTTGCATTCTATTTATTTATTTATTTATTGTTTTTTTTTTTAATGATGATGCGGCAACTTCATCTATAGGGAATGATGTTGATTGAACTTTGGAGGAGAGATCAATATAGACAAGTAAGTTTTTTCTTTTTTCTTAAAAAAGACGAATAAACAAAGAAGCACTTTGGTTACCTTTACTGATGATACGTAATTTAGATTGTTACCAAAAATGCGGAATTATTGAAAGACCTATTTTCTAATTTTGCATCTTCTGAACAACGATATCGTGACCAATTTCAAGCTGATTTATGGATGACGAGTGATATGAATACATTACTCTTCGACAATAAGGGCAAAATCAAGGAAGATACATGTATCATTCCATTCATTTGGAAAGGTAAAGAATATTAGAAATTTCTTTTCTTCGGATAGTCTAGGATAGAAACGGAATGAATGTTTTTCTTTATTTAGAATTTACCAAGGAAGAACAATCGTGTACTACAACTAGCTTGGGGATAGAATTATTACCAAACGGTCGACATCAACAATCAAATTACGACTTTCCGATGGAATCTAATCTCCTGATATGTAAGAAAGATGTTCAAGGCAAGTATATAAAATAAAAAATGAATTATGATTTTTTTTTTTTTTAGATAGAATATTTCATATATTTTTTTTTCTTTCTTAGACTTTCTTGATCTGATGCAATCCTATTATACCTTCCAGGGGATTCAGGGGAAACAAGATGAACGGCCTACCAATATCAATACTATATTACAAAGACTTTCTGGTAAATTGGATAGAGAATCAAAAAGACTTACACATGGACTGGTCAAATTAGGTAAAGTAAAAAGAAAAGAAAGATGATGGAAAGAAAAATATTATCTTGTTACCTTTAATATCTAATACTTGATCCTTTCTTTCTTTCTTTTTTTTTATTTTTTTTTTTTATTTTGTCTTACTTAGGTTTACCGAACAACAAAGCAAAAAAGGTATACTATTAATTACAGGAGGGCTTGGGAGTGAGGAGGCGGAGAAAAGATGAGAGGAAAAAAAAGGGGGGAAATCCATCATCATGTGGATCACTCATTGTTATTGTTTATTTTTATTTTATTTTTCTCGGTTATATCTAGGAACGACAATCTGAAATTCCGTCTTTTGCTATTTCTTCTACTTCTTCTTCACCACCTATTTCTACCACATCAACCACTTCAGCAACTTCTACTTCTTCTATTACTCCTACAATGGCCACTGCAACTTCAACTCAAGTTCAACCTTCATTCAATTTACCTTTTGTACCTTCACCGGCAAAAAAAGGCTGGAGTTCTTCTGTAAATCAAAGCAAATATATATTATATATATCAGAAAAAACGACTAACTTCTTTTTTTTTTTTTTTTAAAAAAAAAAAAAAACAAAAACAAAAAAAGATCTATGCCCAGATTCAACAACAACAAGAACTCAAAACTAGAGTTGAAACCTTGGAATCACAACTGAGACGTGATCAACATCTCTTTGAAAAACAACGATCAGTTGTAAGTACAGACACGATTTACATATAAAAAGATTTTATAGTCTAACGATTTATTTTTCCTAGTTATTACAAGAGATCAAGATGAAAGACACGTTATTACTTGAAAAGGACCAACAATGGGAATCCCGATGGACAACAAAGGTGAGACAGAAAACAAATCATTGTTTATATTCCCAAAAAAGGAGTTCATCCTTCCAAACCCAGAAAATACTCACTTTTTTTTTATTTAAGGTTCAACAATTAGAAGAACAATTAGATCAAGAACGACAAAAGCATGAAAATGATATTTTGGACTGGAAAAAACGATATGAGGAAGCTCTTGATATTGAACAACAAAAGCATCATCGACGACTTGCTTATTTTCATGAACGATTGACAGCTAAAAATATGGAATACGCTGAATTAGAACGACAGCTTACGACACAAAGTGCACCTTCCTCACCCACACAACCTTATTATAATTCATTACAAGAACAATCACCACGATATCAACGTTCTGCCTCTTTGGACGCCACTGCTATGGGTACTGGTTGGATGAATCGACCAATAATGAGGATGGTAAGATCAGCGACAAGAAGGACAAGTGGAAGTATATACCAACAACAATTACAGAGACAAAACGATGATGATGATGTAATCCATAAAAATGATATGTATATCAAGGAAATTCAAGATTTGACTTTACGACATCAAGCATCGTTGGATAACATGATGGCGGAATATGAAGAGAACAGGATGGAACTTCAGGCGCAACATGATCAAGAAAGAGAAGTATGGAAAATTAAACATACTGCTGAATTGGAAGAAGCATGTAAACGATTGGCTCAAGAACATGAAATGATATTAGAGGGAATCAATACTTCATGGCAACAAAGGTGGGATAATCTCATGACACAAAACAAGATGGAACAAGCAGCTCTAGAACAAAAATGGGATCAACGATTGAAATCTGAAAAGGCTTCATGGCAAGAACAACAAAAGAAAGAATATGCAGGTCTAAAGAAAGAACTCTTGTGGTCCAAAGGGGAATTATCCATGGTAAATAATAATAATAATAAAGGAATATATATTGTTCATTCATTCATTTGTTTTTTTTTCTTCAATAGGTACTCAAGGAACATGAAAATGCAACACGTTTAGCCAAAGAATTGAATTTGGTCATTGATCATACTATTGATCCAGATGAACTATTGAAATATACTCTAACTGGTTTATTGGAAACTGGCATTCAAAATGCAGCAAGATTACACTCCCAACAATATCTTGATGAAAAAGTAAGTTTTTTTTTATTTTTTAGAATATATAATTGTCTTACTTTTCATTGAATGGATTATTTTGATGACCATTTCTTTTTTTTTTTTCTTTAACTATGATCTAATTCGTAGGCAAATGAATCAGCATCACCATTTGGATTTATGAATGTTTCCTTCTTTTAATGGCTCTATTTATTGTGTACATTTTTTTCAACTTATATATATATCTTACTCTATTCTGTAATATCTATTATCATATCATACATATTATATATTATATCTTTATATATTCTTTCTTTTTTTTTTTTACATATATTTTCGTAATAAAAAACCACACTTTTTTTTGTTGTATTCTCGTTTTAGGAAGTTCCCGAAATGGAAATCATCGTGACTCGGAGGCTCAAAAACAAAAGAGTGTGTATATATTTTTTTTTTTTCATTTTCTCTTTTCTTTGTTTCTTTTGTCAAATTCAGTACATACCATTAAATAATGTCCTATCGACCTCAACAACGACAAAAAGGACCAGCAGCACCAGTGAAAAGATATAGAGCTGGTGTTCCTAAGGGTTATGTAGAAGAATCATCAGAATCAGATGAAGAAGAAGAACAACAACAACAACAACAACAACAACAACCAAGTGAAAAACCAGTGGTACAATTTGCTCAAAAGGATGTAGTGACTGGCATCCAACAAGTCCACATCTCTGAAAAGGATGCACAATCAGATCGTAGATTACGACGATTACAACAAGTACAGCAACAACAACAACAACAACAACCAGGAATACGACGAAGAAGAATGGTAGAAGAAGAAGAAGAAGAAGAAGAAGAAGAATCGGATCAAGAAGATAATGTGGATGAAGATCAACAAGCAAAACATCGTGCCTTGATGAAACAAAAGGCTCTACAACGTGTACAAGACGAACAACAGTTTAGTACAAAAGTAGAGATTTCTGAAGAAGAGGCATCAGAAGAAGAATCTGAGGTAAGTTTTTTAGATCATTCTTTTTTTTTTTTTTTTTTTTTTTGCTTTTCTTGTTGATCAATTATTTTTTTTTATTAAACATTAGGAATCAAGCGAATATGAAACGGATAGTGAAGAAGGAGACACACTACAACGAATGCCTAAACCAATGTTTGTACCAAGGTAAGAACCAGGAAAAAAAAGATCTATTAAGTTGAAGTACTCATGACCCTTTCCCAATTTTTTTTTTTTTTTTTTTTTTTTTTTTTTTTGCGCTTACAAGGAACCACCGAGCTACCATCTTAGAACAGGAACGATTACAACGTGAAGCTGAAGAACGTGAACAGCGATTAGCAGATGAACTTGAAGAACGTAGACAACAATCACACAATTTGTTAGCTGAGGAACTCAAACGTGAAAATGAAAAAGGTATTCAATATCATCATATAATGAGGGAACTAACATTGTACTTTTATATATATCTTTATAGCTGCAGAATCAGATGTGGAAGATGATGTGGATGACACAGATGGATTGGATGAAGAAGCAGAATTTGAAGCTTGGAAAATTCGAGAATTGATGCGTGTCAAACGAGATCGAGAAGAACGTATTGCGTAAGTATTTTTGATGAAGGTTGATGATGAATAGAACCACTGACTCTTTTTTTTTGGTATTATAGTCGAGAAAAGGAAGAAGAAGAATTGGAACGTCGTCGGGCATTACCAGAAGAAGTACGACTTAAAGAAGATATGGAACGTGCCAATGAAACAAGAAACAAAGAAAAGGGTGAATTCACATATATGCAAAAGTATTACCATAAAGGTGCTTTTTATCGAGTAAGTCATGCCACCAAAAAAAAAAAAAAAAGAATTTATAGTAGGTATTGATCTATCTTTTTATTTTATTTCATATTTATAGGACGAAGAGGATGAAATCTTTAAACGTGATTATTCTGCTCCAACAATCAATGAAGTCCGGAAAAAAGATCTTTTACCCAAGGTGATGCAGGTCAAGAATTTTGGTTTGGCTGGACGTACAAAATATACCCATTTGGCTGATCAAGATACAACGGACAAGGATTCTCCCTGGAATCAACAACCTTTGCCAAAACGAAGAAAACATGGGTTTGATGATAGGAAATAGTATTTAGTTTTTATTTAATCGTTGTACATAGTTTATTGTTTACAAAAAGAAATAAAATCAAGAAAACACCTATTGTGATCCTTATATGGAAAATTGATAGATAAACTTTTACAATTGCTTCACAGAAAGGAAAAAAAAAAGGGTTGTACCAACTCATGTTTTTTAGCATGCTGGCTTTTTTTTTTCATAGAGTCAAGACTTTTTAGTGATGATGGTTACCTTCTTCATAACATGTTATTTTCATTTTTTTTTTCAAAGGAATCTAATATTCTTGTTGTTGTACCATTTTCACGATGAACTATTCATTTTCCATATGACAGGGTTTTTATCATATAAATGAATTTCTTTTTTTTTTTTATTGTATATGATTTAAATTCAGCAAAATGTCATATGAAACCTTCTTTTCATATCGGTGATGATCTTTCTTACCTAGAACAAAAAGAATTTTATTATCCTATTGTTCCCAATGTCAAGAGGGTAAACGGGGTGTAACTTACTACTTTGTACTACCCATACGACAACTTGCAATGCGATTCACCGTGCGTTCTCGAATCGGATTTTGAATTGTGTCTTGTTCCTTTTTCTATATCTTTTAATATAAAAGGTAATGTCTTTTTTTTCTTCCTTTTTTTTTAATTTCCCTTTTCTTTTTTTTTTAATTTCTCTTTATTTTCTTTTTATATACCCCATCAGTGTTTCAATAAAAATGAGATATATGGAACAATTAGAAGAAGAATATCCTGTATATCCTATTACTGCTACTCGTATCATTGCTTGGGATTCTCCTTCTAGTTGGATCGATACAACTCAACATAGTGATTCTTCTTCCTTGGACGCCATTACAACAACAACAACATTTCAACCATTGACGTCCAATAATCTTTCAATTTATTCACAATCTTCACCAGTGGATTCAAAAACGGAAATGCTTGCTCGGTATTATTCATCTATGAGGCATATGGATGGATCAAAAATAGGCAACAACAGTAGAAACAACACAACAACAACAACAACAACAACGAAAAATGTGGCCATTGATGCTCATCCTTTACCTTTCCCGTATCACAATGATAGTACTTTTTTACCTACGGTTGAAACTGGTCGAACTCGATTTGATAGTGAAAGTACTCAATCATTATATGACAGTCAACCTTCCAGTCCCACTCTTTCTGTCTTTTCTTCATCTAAAAGACATCTTTATACCGCTACTCGTGGACATCATCAACAATCACCAAGTTTGTCCCCATCCAATCATCGCTATCGACGTGGAAGTAATGTTAGTCATTATTCAACTGCAACAGGTCGTCGATCCAGTTTTCAGGCCACCCGACAACAACTTCATTCTTTGCTCAACAAGGGACGAGTCAATAATGTGCAACGACGATTATCCTTTTTATTACCTGGTAAAAAAGAACCATCCTTACAACCTAATTCTATTATTCGACAATCATCTACGGACAGTTGCAGTGAAAAAAACAACAAGAATCATCATGCTTCCACCTCTGCTTCTACAACAGGACTTGATGATGATTATCATCAACAATCAACAAGGAAAGGTATATTATCATCTCAACCTACTTGTTCCTTGGATAGGACGACAATAACAACAACACCATCACCTCGAACAACTTGTACATTTACAACAGAAAGTAGTGATACACCCACTGTGATTTCTTCATCTACTTTTCATGACGCGTCTTTTTGGCAACCATCCATCTACATGGCTTCTCCATCCAGTGAATATCAACAACAACAGCGATATTCTTCTTCTCCTCATCGAAAAGATGGCTTATTTTCTCGTTTTGCTAAAAAACTCTGGCCTTTCAAACATGTTTAAAATAGTTGATCTTATTCCCCCTTCCTTTCTTTAGTTTATATCCCATCTATATATATTTTTTTTGTACACTTCTCTCTTTTTCTCTTTTATATATCTATTTATCTATATATATACAAATGTCAATAAATTGTTTTATCTTATGCATCAATTGTTTTTTTATCTTCATATGGATCATCATGCATAAATATATATGCAGGATTGTTCTGAACTTACATAGAAATATGTTTGTTTGTTTCATATATTAAGGAATAACATAAATGAATGTTGATTGATGAAATGTACAAAAACTTCCGTGTTCCCGTTTATTTTTCAATTTCATCCAAGATGATGAACCGGACATTGAATTGTATTCAAGGAAAAAGGGGGGATGTCAGTAAGGAGGAAACAAAAAAAAAAAAAAGCGCATAAGCTTTTCGCCATCCACTCCTACTCTTTCTTCCCTTTTTTTTTTGTTTACTTTCTTTTCCTCACTTTTTATTATTATGGGACTTGTTGAAATGGACCATTCAGCCAAGTTGAATGGTGATAATGTCGTGACTGTATTACAACGTCAATTGGATCAAACTCAACTTGACAACCAACATGTAAATGATAAAAAGTAACATACTTGAAACTCATTTTTTTTATTTTTATTTTTTTAGTTAAGCCAACTACTTTATGAACAAAAGGAACAATTTATCATGTATAAGGAGAATATGGAAATGGTAAAAATCGATATAGAAGAATAAGTTCGTGAAAATAATTTCTTTTTTTTTTTCAGAAAATGAAAGATGTGTTACACGAACATGACGCGCTTTACAATACGCAAGAAAGATTAGAGACTGAATTGTATACCAAAGGACAAGATTTGGAAGCTCTACGCAAGGATAATCAGTATTGGAAACGTTTACATAGAGATTTGGAGAGATCTTTTAATATGGAGGTAAAAAATAAAATAAAATAGATACTTTATCCAATTCATTGATATTTTTTTTTTTAGCGTGAAGAATTTGAAAAGGAAAGATCTTATTGGCACCATCGGGAAACGACATTGACAAAACATATTCAACAATTGAAAAAACAAAATGAAAAACAGCATCAACGGATCGAACAACAACAACAAGAAGAAGTTCAACATGTTTACTCTTTTAAAGGAAGAAATGGGTTGACGTATTCACCTTCTTTGATGTTCAAACAAGATGACATCCATGATAGTAAGTACCAAAGGAAAAAAAAAGAGAAGGAACTAATCATTGATGATCCCTTTTACTTTTTAAAAGTGGTAACGCCTCGGCATAGTGTGGAAGAAATGGATACACAACATACTAGTAACGCTTCTCCTATATTGGATGTGTCCATGGAAACTAGAATATTGCAACAAACAATCAAAACTCAAGCACAAGATATATCGCGTTTAAAGTTGGATTTAGAACAACAGACAAACAAACTGCAACAACATCTTTTGGAAACGCATGAAGCTTCGTTACAAATCAAACACTTGACCGATCAGATAAACAGTGTCCAAAAACTCAATCAATCCCTCATGGAAGAAAACGAAAGTTATCAAATATTATTGCATGAAAAGGCCATCAATGGTGATTTTATTTCTGACAGTATTGTGCAGGTAAGACCATATTGCTCTTATATATACCTTTTCATCTTTTTTTTTTTTTTTTTTAAAAAAAATTCGATTTAGGTCATTGATGAAGTAGACGTATCTGATAGTGACAAGGATCAACAGACATCAAGAACATCCAAGAACTTTATCAACTTGGCAGATGAATTGACAAAAGCTTCATCTATGGAATCTATCACGAACGAAAAAAGTAAGTATCATAGTTATAATGGGGTAGATAACAACAACTATTATTATTATTATTATTATTTTTGTTGGATAGGAATGGAAGATGAAGTGAAGACATTGCAAGATGCCAATCGTGCCTTACAACTTTATATGAACAAGATTCTTTTACGTATTGTCGACAACAAGCATTTGGAAAATATCCTTAGCATAGATGAGCCAAAGAAGCCATCAAAGCCCATCATCATTAAGCCTTCTATATCATCGTCATCATCATCATCGACATCTTTATCGTCATCATCATCAACAGCATCATCAAGGTCATCCATATCAACGACAAAAGGTCAATTGCATCCAATGCAAACAAAATCGTGTTCTTCCTTTAATAATGATATCTCTTGTGGTGAATCAAAGATCAATACCAACAACAATGATTCATGGTTTCAAGTATTTAGGCGGATGAGTAGCGGATACATTCATTAGATTTATTATTATTTGACATTTAATGAGAATTGATATAATATAATAAAACCGTTCTGACTTTTAAATCGTATTTCGATAGATTTTTCTGTCCAATTCTGTCACCTCTTTTTTTTTTTTTTTTTTTTTTTTTTTCTTTTCTCAAACTCACTCTTCTTCTCATACATTGTTTGTTCGCATTGATTGCTTTCATACATAATGCATTCAAGGAATCTCGGTGATGCACCAGTCTCTAATACATCGCGGACAATCTCACCGGTATCACCTCGCCTTGAACAACTTACTCAGCCCAATAATAGTTTAAAGTTGTCATCTTTGGCATCGTCCTTGTCATCTCCATCCCCTCATACCATCAGCAGTAACAACAATGGCAATAGTATCGGAAATAATAGTCCTCCACTCATGACTTCATCCTCTTCTCGTGGTTCTACGAATATCACCAACGGTACACCAATGCATAGAGAGCGATCTTATCAGCGCGATGACACTTTACCTTTAGCGTCCTATTCTACTCCTTCAAGTCGCCCACCTTCTATTCGGTCTACTTCATCTTATGGTCGCCACTTCACCAACAATCGGTTTATACATAGTTCTGGTAGTGGACATCATTCTCGTCGACATTCCAATTATTCCAACTTTAGTACAATGAGTGAGACATCATTACCTTGGACAACAAAAGATATTGGTTTCAACGCCATCTCTGGTAAACAATATAAAAAAAAAACAACAAATAAACAAACAAACACATAAAAGTGAACTCATATATATCTTTTATTACTATTCATATTTTAGGTGTTTTGAACGACCCTGCCAAACGAGGTCAAGGAACAGTGAAACCAAGCAAGACTGATATTGCACCTGTACCTCAAGCATCTATTCCTCGGATTCGTCCTACTGATTTCGACGATTATATTACCCACATTACGCCTGTGTTTGAACGATACCAATACAATAAACTCACCAATCATGATGATGACAATAATAATAATACTTCATCTACTTATGGATTACAGCCTGATACCACTCCTCATATTGGCGGTTTGGAAGATATTAATGTACCAGCACATCAACGTCAAAGCAGTCGGAATCCTTACAGTTTACCTCCTCAACATATACTTTCATCCGATTCTCTCGTCAGCATGGATTCTTCTTCGTCACCACAACAACGCGATCTGCCCATGCTTGAAAATGTGCCGTCCATCTATTTTGAACAAGACTTTCACCTGGAAAACCCACGGACATTTGACACGGTATGTGAAGGTGCAGATATCATTGGCCATAACAGCAACAATCCTCCCGTCTCCACCAATAGCATCTTACAAGAAAAGTTATCTTACTATCTAGATACCGTGGAAGTCCACTTACTCCAAGAAATCGAAAATCGCTCATCCTCCTTTTTTGAAGCGTTATCCAATCTACAAGCTCTTCATCAACAAACACTTGACTGTATCACTCAAATACATACCATTCGAAGCAAGATGAAACAACTGGAAAAAACGGAATGCAAGGACGGACTTGATGTGATTCGACTTCAGGTGAAAAAACGCAACCTTGAACGACTATATTGCACGATTGTAACCATCAAAGAGATTGTCTCAGTACAACCAACCATTCAAATTTTACTGGGTCATGGTGATTATTTTGGAGCTTTGGATTTGATTCACGCAACACGATCGACGTTACACCAACAAGATACAGTGGATTGGCATTCTATTCATGCCTTGGTGAATTTATCGACACAATTGGATGAAATGGAGAAAGCCGTGTCAGCCATGATGCAACATGATTTCTTGTCCATGCTATTGACTGATTTGACTCAATTTATGAATGATTTAGATGTGGCATTGGTCAAAGGATCCTTTTTATCACTATCTATCACTGATGATGATGATGATGATAATGACACTACCTCTGAACGTCTTCAATTGGATGATGATTTACCTGTTGGATTCAAGGATCGATTGACTTCAAGTATGATGGGTTTGATTTCAACCAATGCATTGACCACTTGTCTTCAAGATTATAAGGATCAACTTTGTGTTGAACTCACAAGTACTATTCGTAAGGTAATATTGGAATTTATTATATAGAGAAAAGAAAAAAAAAAAGAAGAAGAAGACGTTAACCCTCCTTTTTTATAAATATATATATATAATTGTTTTATTAGCATTATCCATTGGTGGTATCTCAAGATGATGGTGATTCTCAAGGTAGTGGAACGGGACTTGCCAAACGATTGAAATCCATGCCATTTGATCAATTTTTTCAAATGTTACTGGCTATTTTTGGTACATTATTACAAGTGATTCAACGAGCAGCTGTGTATGATCAATTGATGATGCAGATGATCGATACGTGTTTGGAACGCCTCAATGATCAACTCAAGGAACAATGTGAATTGGCCAAAAAACAATCCAATGAAGTGGTATATACAGTGTCGGATCTTGCCCATGTACGATGTGGTAAACTTATTGGTTTTCGTGGTGATCAAAATGCTTTATTGAATCCTACGGATTTTTATCGTCTTTCCAATGTTCTCAAGACTTTTATTCGTCAATCTGAAATGTATTGTGGACGTCCATGTTTTGGATTACGTGGCACTGTGCTTTCTCAGGTATATTTATCATCATTTATCTAATTATATCTCACATTTTTTTTTTTTTTTTATTTAGCAAAAAGCATTTGTGGATCATTTTCATATGGAACGTGTCAAACAAGAAGCTCAATTGATTGAAAATGATCAATGGATGGCAACTGAAGTACCTTTGGACTTCCAACGGATTGTGGATCGTATCTGCGATAGCAATAGAGAAACTACATCTCATCAAGAACCGGAAAAAGCAACAAAACTATTGATGATTCATGGACAGTCTTATTATGTGGTTGGATGTACATTGTTGATCATCAAGTTATTTGAAGATTATTTACAGTGTGTTTTGAACTTGAAAGATATGGCAACGGATATCATGCAAAAATTATTGGAATTACTCAAAGTAAGTTTTTTTATTATTATTATTACTCATTATTCTCATTGTCTATTTTTTTGAACAAATTAGCTTTTCAATTCTCGAGTATGTCAAGTTATTCTAGGTGCTGGGGCAATGCGATCTGCAGGATTGAAAAATATATCTGCTAAACATTTGGGTAAGTGACAGAGAAAAAAAAAAGAAAGAGATGTTGATGCCTTTTTTTTTCGATGTAGCACTTGCATCACAATCAGTAGGTGTGATGATGGCTTTGACTCCATCATTAAAGGATTGTATGGCTTGTTACGTACCAGCAAAACATGACATTTTATTATCAGAATTTGATCGTGCCGTGAATGATTTCAAGGATCATCAAAAGGAAATCCATGTCAAACTAGTGGCGATTATGAATGAACGATTCTCAGTGCATATCAAGGCGATGCAGGTCATCCAATGGGACACTGATGAGATTTCTGGCAAACAGGCCAATGTCTACATGGAGACTTTGGTCAAGGAAACAATGACTCTACATAAAGTGTTAAGCAAATATTTACCATCGACCGATTTACAGGTAAAGATTAGAAAAATAACTAATATATATATATCTTGATTGATCTATTTTTTTTTTTTTTGATAGTTTATTATGGATCAAGTATTTGAATCATTCACTACACAATTGTCTCAAGTCATTCGACAAACTCCTATTCATACTGAAGAAGGAAAAGCCCGTATCCACAAAGATGCTTCTTACTTCACTCGTCGATTATCCTCTCTTCAAGGCGTCGATGGTCCTTCTCATCAAGTTTTAGATGCTGTAGAATCCATTTCTATCTCTCATGAAGAAAAAACAGATACTACTTAGATTGTATGCTCTTTATTCTGCACAATATATTCCCCCCATTCATTCATCAATAAATAAATAAGAAAAAAAGTACTTGTTTATATCATAATATATAATTTATTCAATACATCTTTTTTTTTTTTTATTCAATTCTATACTATTTCTATATTATGGTTCAATCTATTATATTAAAAAGAGAGAGAGAGAGAGAATAGAATGAGTTCTCATTGTTCCATCCATGATATCTATCCATTAATAAAGATGAAAGAAATCCATCAGCAAGTCAATTTAAATCCTTGAAGCCACAGAAAAATGCTGCCGCTTTTTTCCAATTTGATCATCGTACTAGAAGCATGATTAAGCAAACATTCCCACCTTTCACGGTTGGTCCATTGCCTTTCTCATCATCCCAGAGAACCCAAGATAACAAGGCGAACAAAAGCCCAGGTGTAAAAGATGTGGACCACCATATCATAGAATGGATATAACTTTAACTCATCCTTTTTGATTTCTTTCACCTTTTTTTTTTTTTTTAGTGTGTCTATTTACCTTCAAAACTAAAGTTTCATACCAAAAAACGAATATCTATTGAACATTTTTTTTTTAAAAAAAAAAAAAGAAGGTAAGATGAAATGTTTTCATCATGATAATAAAAAAAAAAAAGTGGATGATTTGAAGAAAAGTTCAGATACGAGGAATTCCATTGTTTTCCATCCACAATGCCAATCTTTATCACCCATTACGACATGGTATAAAGTGACTTCAGGACATCAGCAATGTTTTTCATCATAATACTTCAAATCATCCCATTCTTCTCCAACCAGTCTGTACACTTACATTATAAAACGAAATAAAGTAAAGAAAAAAAAAAAAAAAAAGAAGAAAGAAAAAGATTGCTTTTAAGCCTTCATGGTCAGAAAATTTTTTTGGGTGCTGTGACGATGATTGTTGTGCTCCCGATCCCCTCCCCTTTTTTTTAGCGGAGACATTGGGAACAAAAAGATCTGAAAAACCTTAAAAAGGTACACTTCCATATCCATCATCACTTCATCTTAATCCAACCATCAAAAAAAAAAAAAAAGATGTAGTGTCCGTAATATCCATCATCTATGATCACAGATCTTCCATTTTTTTTATTACACGTATATCAAATAAAAAAAAAGAAGTTGATAAATACATTACTATGCTATATGATGATAATCAGATCTATTGATAATGAGTAAAATCACGATGATCGAATTTCATATCCAACCAAAAGGAAGCGACAGTGCCAGGCCATATCGCAAACACCTAATCAATATATAAGAATGAATTATTGAAACAATATCCACCATTTTTGATTCCAAACTTACATCATCACCTGACTTGTAATAAGAGCTACAACCTCCATTTGCCCATGTTGTTCCTTTTAAGCCATGCTTTACTTTGCTGACGTACCGTGATTGTGCTTCTAATGTGGGGTCTAATGCCTTGATATTATTGCGTATCATATACTTGATGCATTGAATAGCATAGTCCACCTGACATTCAATCATAAGAATCACACCTATATTGAATACCATCAAAAAAAAAAAAAAAAAAGAGATAGATCAATAAAAAAAAATGTCAAATAGGACTCCAAAAAGAGTAATCACTTACTACTGTTGAAATAGAGAAAAGCAAGAAAAAAAAATGAGTTAGTCGATGATGAAAACCCCCATTTCAAATTATTCCTTCTTTCTTTCTTTATTTTTTTTTTTTTAAAAAAAAGGGGAGAACTTACTTGTGACCAAGACCAGAATGAGGACCTAATAATAGGAAAAAGTTTGGAAAATCCTTGATGGTCATTGTCTTGTATGTATTTGGATAATTATTGCCAGTCCATAGATCGTTCAATACAGTACCATGACGACCTGTGATGGTCAGATCAGATAAAAATCCAGTGACATTGAACCCAGTAGCCAAGACCAAAATATCCACGTCAACAGACGAACCATCTTGATGTGTCAATGTACAATCTTCCACATGGATGATGTTGCCCATTTTCACCGTGACATTGGATTCACTCAGTGCTTCCAGATAATTTTCAGATCTTGCTATGCGTTTACAACCAAGAGCATAGTTGGGAATCAACCAAGGAGCCAAATCAGCCCTGCCTTTGCGTTCTAATCGTTTCATCATGTCTCGTTTAAACCACCATCGAACAAAATGTGCAAAATAAGAATCACTTTTCTTGAACAGAGGGAAGGTCATTTCATGCTATCCATTTTTTTTTTAATATTAAAAAAGAGTGAGTTGATTATAATGATAAGGATAGAATATCATTTTTTTTTTTTTTTTTTTTTTTTTTTTTTTTAGTTACCATGAGATAGAGAAGTATTCTTTGTAATCGCATCAAAAATGGAATCCATCGAAATAGTGCCTTGATACCATTAGGATATTTCAATTGATATCGTGGTGCCACCCAAGTTGGAGTACGTTGATAACTATACAAATGCTTGACCACTTTTTGAAGTTGAGGAATAGCCTGGACAGCACTGATGTTTTATATCCAATCATATATAACCAAAATGAAGATTAAAAAAAAAAGTAACGGAATCATTAGTATTTTTTTTTTTCAATAGATGATCATAGATTACCTTGCACCATTACCAATGACTGCTACTCTTTTCCCAGTGAAGTCCACATTTGAATCCCAAGCACCTGTATGCATGATAGTGCCTTTGAAAGCTTTATATTGTTCAGGTACACTGATAATTCGAAGAGGACCCACCCCACCAAATCTAAGTAGATATGAATCATTATAACTCTGTATATATATTTCATGATTTGACTTACATAATATCATAGTATTCGGATTGGATATGATCTATTCTACGATAATCCACTTGCCATTGATGCCTCGATTCAATCCAACTAACTTGTACCACTGCTGTATTGAAATAAGTTTGTTCGTATAAATTATATTTTTTTGCTACACGTTTCATATAATCATGAATTTCAGGTTGTGAGCTATAGGTAGTAGTCCAATCTATTCACCAAAAAAAAAAAAAAAAAAAAAAAAAAAGAATGAATAATAATAAGGGTAAAGTGTAACTTTATCACACCTGGATTCTGTTCAAAACCAAAAGAATAAAGTCCACTAGGAATATCACAAGCACAACCTGGGTATGTATTTGCTAACCAGGTACCACCTATATCAGAATTCATTTCAAATAGACGTGCACGAATACCAAACTTTTTTTGAAGTTGAATGGCTGCTGTCATGCCACTGAATCTACATGTAACAAAAAATATAAATGAAAAAAAGACAAAAAAACTAAAAGAGATTTGTTCTTTTGTTACCCTGAACCAATAATGGCTATCTTGGGTTGATGAATGACCATGATTGAAAAAAAAAAAGAGAATGAAGTAATAACGGAAAAAGAAGTCAGGGACAATAAAAAAAAAAAAGAAAAAAATGAAAAAAACTTAAAAAAAAACTTCAGATTTTCCAAAAATAGGTAACGCGCCACTATTGTCAATAGTCAAATCATTATTATTCCAAAAAAAGACACTCCCTATCCACACATGTTATTTTTTTTTTCTTTTCCCCATTTTTTTTTTTTTTTTTTTTATAAAACAGCAGCAATACATAGAGAACCATCCAGCAGTTTCACCATCATTCTTTTATTATCTTTATTGTTTTGTTTTTTTTCAATTTTTTTTCAGTTAAAACTATCATTTAAATATAATCGTCATCACTATCATAGAATTCATCCGATTCATAGTTAAGTTGTTCAAAGTTGACACGGTATCTAAGAATGCCACCAATACCACCAAAACCACGGACGAATTGAGCACCTTCTTGAGAGCGGTTTGTAACGAATTCCAAATTGGCACCAAAATCCTTGTAACGATCGGCGAACCATTCCAATAGAGGCTTGACTTCAACGACTTCCATTTCAGCATTAGCAGAGGCAGCTTCAGGAGAACGATCGATCATGAACGAACGATCCTTTTCTTCTTCCTTGGTAGGATGTACGACAATTTCAGTGCCAGAGGCATCACGTAACACATATCGGTTTGCTTCCAAACTTTCCCATACAATCAAACTTTCCACTGCACCCAATTCCAACGCCTTGAGAGTATCTTCAATACCAAAACAGTATTTACCAGTATCTTGAGAGATTTCGTCAAAGTATAATTGAATCAATTTCTTTTCTTGCACAAATTTCACATTGGAGAGAGATTCTGCTGATAATTCAATGGCTTGATTGAATCCATTTTCACCACCATAAGATACATCTACCACCTTGACAATCTTGGCTTGTAAACGTTGATCAAACATATCAGATTGAGACAATTCCGTTTTGAAATCGGCAGAACCAGCTAATACCAAACCTGCCACATTAACCTAGAATATATAATATTTCAATATCTCTATTCCATTTTCCTATTTTTTTTTTTTTTTTTTTTTTTACCTTGTCATTGGTAATAAAAAAGTTGACGGCCAATTCAGCAATCTTACGGACATAGTTATGACGTTTTTCTTCACGAAGACGAGAGAAACGTAAAGCAGATTGACCACCACGACCGTGTTTCTTGGGTAAATCGACTTGAAGTTTATGAATCACATCACGAGTATTTCCAGATAAAGTACCAAACAAAGCACCATTACCATCCATAATAATAAATCCAAATTTGGCATCCGCTTCCAACAATTCAGATAAGGCTTCAGTATGGAATTTATTGTCGCAAAGATAAAGTGATGTGTTGATTGGTTTATGAGGTTCAAAATCAATATTGACCTTCTTTTCTTTGCCTTCGTCCGTTACAATTGTACCGCAGTAAACCACAAGACCATTGGTAGGAACTATATTGATTAAAAAGGGGTAAGTAAAAACCTCACATCTTTGATTTTGTTTTTGTCATTACCTCGGTTGTATAATTTCAATCTTTGTTGGGTAGAAGTAATAGCAGACAATACAGATAAACGATTCACTCTAGACTTGATGTTCGAAGCAGTACCATATTCATCAGCCAACATTTTGGCAACCATACTAATTTGAGATTTGGGAGCTACAAATAAAAACAAAAAAAAAAATGAATATATTTGTTTGATGAATAAAAAAAAAATAAGGTATACGTACGAATAATAAGAGAAATCATGGAAGTACCGTTACTATTGAAATATAAAAAAAAAAATAAGTTATCATTTATCAAATAAAAAAAAGGACAAGATTTGTATTTTTTTTTTTTTTTTTACCCTCGAGCAGCTTCAAGGTTCTTGATGAGTTTCTTCATCTTCCAGATTTCAATATTTTGATCAGTTTCATCAGGTGGAGCTCCAGACATGGTGTATATTAACAGATATGTATATGATGACTATGTAAATATATATATATATAAAAGTTGGGACCGTCTAAATAACTGTGGTCTCGTATATGTTACTGATATGAAAAAAAAAAAGAAAAGAGAAACAAATTGATTTCTAAAAAATTATTTTTTTTTTCTTTCTTTCGAAAAGCCACTTCAGAGCCAATCACAAGAAAGACTAGAAAAGTTTTAACGACCGACCCTGAAAACTGCACTAAAAAACATGTAAGATCAAAAAAATCACATTGTAATCTCAGTACAGTCATTGGATTGACTCCTATGTTTTTCATTAAACATCATAAACTGACAGTACTATGTTAAATAGTAATGACGGTGTTTGAAATCATGTTTGACGGGTTAAAGTCTTCTTATAAAAGGTCTGTCAAAACAACAGTAGTGATTAAAATAGAACCATATAAATCACAATGATTTTATTTACTCTCTAACTAGGTAGAGGGAGGGAAAATGACATATTATGTTATCAATGACAGTTTCTTTCAATAAAAAGTTCTTTTTCTATCATAATAATCTATTTGTTTTGTAATATTTTTATTATTTATTTTTATATTTTATTACAAATGGACTATGAATAGTGATTGTTTATGCTACTTGATTTGTATATGCATATACAAGAAAAAAATAATGTGACTCGCTCAGCTTCCATTTTTTTTTTTTTGGTGCCCCACTCAAGGAGTTTGGGAACCACCTGTCAATTTTTTCGGGAGAGGAAAAAAAAAAAAAACAAGTCGTGGGCCTTACCTTTTTTTTTTTTTATTTCTTTCCCTTTCCGCGATCTAGTACATTTCATCACTTTTTTTTTCTTTCTTTCTTTTTCTTACTTCAAAACAAGAGAAAATGTTCCAAACACCACAAAGCAATTCTCTTTTTCTTGGAGGTGAACGTACAACTGGTCAAGATGTGAGATCCAGTAATGGTAAAGAAACTCAAAATAAATTACTGTTTATTGGAAAAACGTCATCGTTTTTTTTTTTTGACATGTACTACGCGTTTCTAACCTTATCTTTTTTTTTTATCTTCTTCTCATCTAGTTCTTGCTGCTGCTTCTATTGCCAATATTGTGAAAAGTTCTTTAGGTCCTGTTGGTTTGGACAAAATGATGGTGGATGAAATTGGGGTAAAGGATAAAAGTTTCATCTTTTCTTTTTTTTTTTATTAATATATTATGATATTATTTTATTATTATTATTATTACTATTAGGATGTGACGATCAGTAACGATGGTGCTACTATTCTTCAATTATTAGAAGTCGAACATCCTGCTGGTAAAGTACTTGTGGAACTTGCTCATCAACAAGATCGTGAAGTGGGAGATGGTACAACTTCTGTGGTGATTATTGCTGCTGAATTATTGAAACGAGCCAATGAATTGGTGAAAAACAAGATTCATCCTACCACCATTATTACTGGTTATCGTTTGGCCTCTAAAGAAGCGTGCAAGTTTATTGCTAATGAAATGGCTATCAAAGTAGATACTTTGGGTAAAGAATGTCTGGTGAATGCTGCTAAAACTTCCATGAGTTCAAAAATCATTGGATCGTAAGTCTAGAATATTGGAAAAGGAAAAGATGTACTCAAATATTTTTTTGTTAATAGTGATTCTGATTTCTTTGCCAATCTTGCTGTTGAATCTATTTTGGCTGTCAAGTCGACTAATATTCGTGGTGAAACTAAATACCCTGTCAAGGCTGTCAATATTTTAAAGGCACATGGTAAAAGTGGTCGGGAATCCGTATTTGTTCGTGGTTATGCTCTGAATTGTACTGTGGCCTCTCAAGCTATGAAGACTCGTATCACTGGTGCTAAAATTGCTTGTCTTGATATGAATCTTCAAAAGGCTAGAATGCATCTTGGTGTTAATATTGTTGTAGATGATCCTGACAAACTTGAAGATATTCGTAAAAGGTAAAAACTATCATTTTTATATTGTAGTGATACTAATGACATCTTAATATATTAGAGAAATCGAAATCACAACTGAACGTATTCAAAAGATTCTTGCTACTGGCGCTAATGTTATTTTGACCACTAAAGGAATTGACGATTTATGCTTAAAGTTATTTGTTGAAGCTGGTGCTATGGCTGTACGACGCTGCAAAAAGGATGATTTGAAACGTATTGCCAAGGCAACTGGAGGTAAAATAGAAAGGGTTTAAATGAAAGGTTATCTCATATGTTTTATATCTAGCTACTATGTTGTCTACTTTGGCCAATTTGGAAGGTGAAGAAACTTTTGAAGCATCTTATTTGGGTCAAGCTGAAGAAGTTGTACAAGAACGTATTTCAGATGATGAATGTATTTTGATCAAGGGTACCAAGATTCAAAACTCTGCTTCTATTATTTTACGTGGTGCCAATGATTATATGTTGGATGAAATGGAACGCTCTTTACATGACTCATTGTGTGTAGTTAAACGAACTTTGGAAAGTAACAGCGTTGTGCCTGGTGGTGGATCTGTTGAATCAGCTTTAAGTATATACCTTGAAAACTTTGCTACAAGCTTGGTAAGTGAAATAATAATAAAAAATAATAATGATAATACTTATTTTTTTTTTTGTATTTAAAAAAAATAGGGCTCCCGTGAACAATTAGCCATTGCCGAATTTGCCAACGCTTTACTTGTGATTCCCAAGACTCTTGCTGTTAATGCTGCAAAAGGTAAATCAATGTCATGTTTTATTTCTAATCATATTCACCCTTTATTGAATTGTTTTAGATTCTACTGAACTTGTATCCAAACTTCGTGCTTACCACAATGCTGCTTTGAATGCCAATGCGGATGATCAAAAACGTGCTTTGAAGTATTATGGTTTGGAATTGATTAATGGTTCTCTTCGTGACAATCTCAAAGCTGGTGTTTTGGAACCTGCCATATCAAAAATCAAGTCTCTCAAAAGTGCTACTGAAGCTGCCATTGCTATCCTAAGAATTGATGATATGATTAAAGGTAAATAACCCTCTATTGTTTGTTTTGTTTGAAGATCTAATCACTTATTTTGTTATTGTAGTGGCGCCTCAACAACAAGCTCAAGATGATGGACATGGTCATTAAATATAGATCCCCATTTTTTTTTTATTGTTTTCAAATTTTAGTTTTAGTTTTATAGTCAACTCATCTATCAAATAAAAAGAAAAATTCCTCAATTTCACATTTCTATCCAAATTTTTCTCCAAAAAAAAAAAAAAAAAAAAGAAAAAGAAAAGAATTTTATTCTATTCTATTATCAAATAAAAATCTATCTAATGTACAAAGCAAATATCAAATCTATGTTACAAAATCCTATCATATCTATGAGAAAAACTGAACTTCCATACCCATAGTTCGAATAGGATTTGATTGATTGGAGAGATCTGCCGTTAATCCAAGGCTAAATAAAGTATTCTTGTACCGTCCTTCCCACATCAAAGCAAGTCCCTTACAAAAGAATGAATTAAAAAAAAAAAAAAAGATGAGATATTATTCTATACCAAGACTTTTTTTTTTGACTTACAGATGAGAATCCTAATCTAACTTTGATCAATCCTTCCAATTTCTTTGTACTTGTTGCAACTGTTGTAGTCGTTTCATCCACAATCAAGTTTTTCTCCTTATCTTCTTTGTCGTGGTTATTATTTTTGGTACGATATTCGAACCCTAATGCCAAATCACTTTCATAAGAATAAATACTGAATTCAAACCGAGAGCACATCACCAAGTTTTCTGCCACTTGGGCGACATAGGCAGTAGTCATATGACCAACAATAGGATTCAAAGTGTAGGTGACATTGATAGGTGAAGTTGAAGATGGATGAGTGCGATATCGTAAACCAGTAGATACTATCATAATACAAATCATTAGTTTCTTTCTTTTTTCCTTTTTTTTTTTTTGATTATATTTACATCCACCACTCTTGTCCAAAGTGCCATAATAAACTTCAGTTCCTAAAGACCATTGTCCATGTCCTTCTTCTGATGGTTTCCCAAAATTGTATAAAGCACGTAGTCCCAATAATCCATCATCCGTCGTATAAGAGCATTCTGAACACCATTTGCCTACATCGTATTGTAACTGAAAAGCCATCTAATGACATAAAATTAAAAAAAAAAGATCATTGTTAACAATCTTTTATGACTATTCTATGTTGACTTACTTGTGGTAAGCCAGTATCACGTGGATGATTGACAGCAGTAATCAAGTATTGTAATCGTGGAGATAATCGTCGAACGTACATGGACTCCAACGCCGCTCCAGGGAAAAACATACGTCCATATACCAAATAACTTTTATCTCGTATTGAGTCTAATGAGGAGATATTTGTTCGTTGAAGACAAAATTGATCTACCATATCTTGAAAGTCAACTGTACCACTAGTGCCAACATCCAAAGGTTCAGATGTAAATAAATAACCAATACTACCATTCAAAGAAGGTAATGCATTCATTGTATAAGAAGGTTTGAATTGAGGAGTAGGTAACTTGGCAAGGTGAAGTGAAAGTCCACGAGGGGTATAAAAATCAAGTAGTGTACGTGACCATGAACATAAATTGGAATATTGATTTTCTTCATTCCATCCAGACGATCGATAATAACGTCGAAGACAATATTCCATAAAGTCATACATAATAAAAAAAAAAAAAGTGTTGAAAAAAAAGAAAAAAAAAGAATTAGGTCCTGGTTTTTTTTTTTTCTTTTTGGATGGTTTTCTTTTCATAGGGGATTTCATATCCCGCCTATGTTTTTTCATTTCATTCCAAAAATTTTGCCTCTCTCTTTCTCTATTTTTTCTACTTTTAACTTTTTTTTTTCTTTGGAAAAATATGGACTCACAACGTTGGAACGCATTGAATGTGTTGAAGGTAAAGAAGTGGTTACAAGAAACCTAAATAGGGTTTAATCAATATATATTATCTTTATAGGGTGAAATTCATGACAAATGTGTCTATTATGAATATATTGATCAAGAAGGTAAGATCATGAGATCCGATCTGTACCTATTTTCAACTTTTTTATGCTAAAGTTTTTTTTTTCTTTCTTATTACTATTAATAGACACTTCTCTCGCCGATTTTATTGTGGATATCATTCAAATGGGCAAATCGTCTGAAGAAGTTTCTGCAGAATTGAGTGCTTGTAAGTTGATCAAATGCACTTTGTTGTTAGAATATGTTGACATTTTGATTCTTAACTTTCTTTATTATTATTGTTATTCCCATAGTAATCGGTGATGACTATGGTAAAGTATAATATTGGTTGCGTAGAAACTTTGATCTAACTTGTCTTCTTACGTGAATAGATCAAAACCTCACGCAATGGATGTTTGCTCGATTGGAAGAATTGAACAAACCAGTAGTTTCCACCGAGATCCATCATAATGAATCAGAAACGAATGGACATACTGAAGATAATAATATGAACTCAACAACAGCATTAGAACCAATAACAACAACCGAAGAAGAAGCAGCGGCATCAGAAAGACGGAAAGCAAGAAAGAACCGAATGTTCACTAAAGCACTTACCGGATTAGGAGAACGCCAATCATCTCACCAGCAGCATCAACAACAAGACTCCTCCATGTATAGAACATCAACAATTCAACGACCGGCTTTGAATCGTGAACAGCATGGTGATCATTATTATCGTCATGAACGTGGACGTCCTAGATCTAGATCTCGATCTCGATCTCCTATACGACAAAAAGAACGAATCGTTCACCGAGAAATGAAAAAAGATTCTATATTCTCAAGACTAGGAAAACCATCAAACGAATCACCCAATGGTAAGTTTATAAAAAATAACAGGAACAAAAAGTCTCATCCTTTTCTTTATATATATAGGATCTCCTTCTGTGTTTGATAGATTAGGTATCAGCAAACCAGAAACTGTCAATGATGAATCCGAAGTAAAACGATGTAAATTCTGGCCTTCTTGTGATAAAGGTGAATATTGTCCTTTCTTCCATCCTGATACCCTGTGTCCGTAAGTAAAATTATCAACTATTTTTTTTTCTTTTTTATCTCATATTATCTTTATTTTTTAATAGTGATTTTCCTAATTGTCCCAAGAAAGCGAACGAATGTATGTTTATTCATCCACAAACTCCTCAGAAAAAGCAACGCCCCATCACTGATAGTACATTGACAGAAAAAGCGATTCCTTGCCGTTACTTTCCTCATTGCAACAATGATCAATGTCCTTATTTCCATCCTCCAGCTGTACCATCTTTCTATGAACCTTATCCAACTTTTTCACCTTATCCAACCTATCCATCCTATCCATCGGCTCCCAAACGTGTTCCAGTACCTTGCAAAAATGGTGAACATTGTACTCGACCTGATTGTCACTTTTTACATCCAAAAGACGAGAATCCAAATGAAATCATTGTAAGTAGAAAACAGATCAACAATATCATATTGATCATTCATTGTTGTTTCTTTTTTTTTTGTAGTGCAAATTTGATGGTGCATGTACTAGACCTGGTTGCTTTTATAAACATACTGCTCAATCTACTGTAGAATTTGGCAAGCCTCACAACAAATCACTGGTGGTGAATCATCCGACCAAAAGCGAACGTGGATTTGCTATAACCGATGATAATCAAGTAGAAAAAATGACAGTGGGTGAAAGTGCCGATCTTATCAAGCAACAACCTCAAGATGTAGAAATGGATTCATAACTATAGCATTTAGTTGTATACATATGTTTAATAAATTCATTCTCCGGTCCTTTGGTTTTTTTTTTTTTTTTTCCTGCGTGGCTTGAAACAAATGTCATTTTCTTTATCTTTTATATCTTTTTTTTTTTCTTCTTTTTATCTTTCTTTATCTTTGTATCCTTTTTAAATATAATAGATTGAACTTTATATTTTATATACCACTATGGATTCTCCAATACAGACATTCTCTCAACAACCTGAATCGACTCTAGATCATACATCACTTACTCCCGAGCATTCTCCTACTCATTCCTTTCAAGATAATAGAGAACAAGACATGGTTGATAACAAACCCAATGATCAAATAATACTAGGTAAGGAATAAAATATTACCTTATCAATGCATTGAATGGGTTAAAGTTGTTGTAGTTTAATCTCACCTTTTTTTTTTTTTTAAAAAAAAACATAGATTCCAGTGCTAATACTATCACTCGGATCAGTTCACCATCTTTATCAGTCTCCAGCAGTACCAAGAAAAGTGGGTTACCAGCCAATTTTTTCACACAATCATCGCCACCGTTACCTATCAGTCCATTATCATCCTTCTCATCACAAGCTACAAACTCAAGTATCGCTACTTATTCTTCTCCAACTTCAGCACCATCCACATTAGAACATATTTCTCCACCAAGATCGTCATCACCACCTTCATCACCGCAACCATCATCCAGCAGTCCACGACGCCAAAGACGTTCTATCTCTGTTGATCGGGATATTCGTAAAAAGCTTCAACATATGAAAATGACATCGACTTTATGTACCCATGATGATGATGATGATGATGATGATGATTCGATAGGACGTCGTCGAGGTCAATCTCGTCGATCTAATTCAATGAACAAACCTTTGGGACGTCATAAACTTACATTGAATGATTTTAGTCTTGAGAAGACGGTAGGAACTGGCTCATTTGGTAGAGTACATTTGGCTCAAGGTCGAAAAACTGGTCGATTTTATGCAATCAAGGCTTTACGTAAACAAGAATTGGTGGATAAACGACAAGTACAGCATGCCAATAATGAACGTGTTATTCTTCGATCGGTGGATCATGTGTTTGTGGTTAAACTTTGGGATACATTTCAAGATGATAATTATGTATTTTTTGTGATGGATTATTTACCTGGTGGAGAATTATTTAGACTTTTAAGAAGAAACAAGGTAACCTAAAAAAAAAAAAAAAAAAAAAAAAAAAAGAAATTAATTTTTTTTTGGTATAGAAATTTTCTGCATCTGCAGCAAGATTTTATGCCACTGAAGTATTATTAGCCATTGATTATTTACATAGTTTAGATATTGCTTATCGTGATATTAAACCGGAAAATATCTTATTGGATGCTCGAGGACATGTCAAATTGGCTGATTTTGGATTTAGTAAAAAAGTGACGGATTTGACTTGGACAGTGTGTGGTAAAAAAAAAAAAAAAAAAAAAAAAAAAAAAAAAAAAAAAAAAAAAAAAAAAAAAAAAAAAAAACAGAAAACAGAAAACAGAAAATAAAAACTCCCTTCATTAGGTACTCCTGATTATTTGGCACCAGAAATCATTCGATCTCAAGGTTATACCAAGGCAGTTGATTGGTGGTCATTTGGAGTACTGATATATGAGATGGTGATAGGGGAAGCACCTTTTCAAGCTGTGAATCCGGTGGACAAGTATCAAATGATTTTGGATGGCAACGTCACCTATGCACGCGATAAAATGGGGAATGATCTCATTGATTTATTGGAACATTTATTGGTGGTCAAACCCACAGAACGATATGGGAATCTTAAGAATGGTGCCGATGATATCAAACAACATCCATGGTTCAAACATATCAACTTTGATCGTGTTTTACAATGTCAAGTCAAACCTCCTTATATTCCTAATGTCAAACATGCTGGTGATACATCTTGTTTCCAAACATATAGTGAACCAACCACACCTTATGGATCAATTGTTGCCGATTATACCGATGATGATGATGCCGACAATGACAATGACAATTATGATACCACCAATCTACCTACTTTGGAAAATCAACGTACCTCGGTTGGGGACCCATTTGCTGAATTCTAAAAAAAAAAAAAAAGATAGAAATTTTTTATTTTTTTTTTTTTTTGTATGATAGTTATTCATATTTGTATATAGTTTATTGTTATTATTATTTATTTGTCCATACCATGAATAGAACTTCTTTTTTATCTCTCTTATACATCATATCTTTTTTTTTTTTATTTTTATAATGTTTTTTTTTTTTTATCTTACCAATCTTGATAGTCGGTTAGAGAATAAAAATAAAAGTTTCCCGAGTCTTCCTTGATATGGAAAGATCTGATCTGTGGTTGAATGCCGATATTTCCTCATTTTCCCAGATAATGCACCTAAAACGTGCTTTGATTTATACATCATCTTATTGTAGCACATATATGTATCCATGGCTTTTTTTTTTCTTATTGTAGCACATATATATATATATATATATATATATATATATATATCCACGTTTATCCTTTTTGTTTGTCAATTTATGAACCAATCGTTTATTTATTCATTTTTGGATCATCTGAAGAAAATATGGAAAAAAAAAGTAGATGCCTTCAAATATGACGTATATCAAAAGAACCCTTAAAGTTACACTAAATGCGGGAGCTGGCGGGAGATGATGTTAGTATTTTTGTTGTTGTTGTTGTTTATAATCCCCCCCCCACATATATATTCATTTCATTTCTTCCTTTGATGTAATGACGTTATTTAAAAAAAAAAAAACGAGGAGAACCATGTCAAACCAAAAAAAAAAAAAAAATTTCAATCAGATTGGAGAATAGTAAAGAAAACTGAGCTCAGATGAAAGTTTTTTTTTTTAGTGTGTTTTTTTTTATTTTCATTCTCTCATTTGTTCAATGATTAAAACAAGTGTTATGTTAATGAATCATTTCTTTTCTACCAATAGAACAAAAAAAAAAAAAAAAAAAAGAGTGTATGTTTCTACCTAATACAAAATCAATCAATGTATGCTTTTTTTTTTTAGGTTCTGTACCTGTCATCCATTTGCCCAGTAAAAAAAAAAAAAACACTTTATACTCCGCAGACCTTTCTTATTTAGATCTTTTTTTTTTTTTTTTTTACTTCATTTCTTTCTTTCTTTCTTTCTCCATCTTTTTTTTTTCTTTTTTCTTTCTTCTTTTTTCTTTTTTTAATTTCATATATCATCATATAGACCTTGATATATGACCCATTGTTATATATATATATAGACGACATTAATCAACATGGATTCTAGAACCGCACCTTTACGACCTTTTGTACTTTTCTGTGTAGTAATTGCATCGTTGGGAGCTTTGAATAATGGATTTAACACAAGTGCTTTGAATATTCCTGGTGACTATGTCAAGCAATGTCCTGGTGTTCCTTCTGGTGTCATTACTTATTATCCAAATTCAAGTTTACCTCAATGTATTCCCATGGATCCCTGGATTTGGTAATCATCTTTTTTTTTTTTTTTAGAAAAAAAATAATCTTTTTTTATTTATTTTTTATTTTATTTTATTTATTTAATTTTTAATCATATAGGGGTGTGGCCACCGGTATGTTTGCAGTGGGAGGTCTTCTTGGAGCTATTTTATCAGCCCCATTGGCACGCAAATTCGGACGACGAGATTCAATGATGCTGATGAATGTAACCTTCTTTATTGGGGCAGTGCTACTTTCAACATCGACGACGAGTGCACAATTTGCGATTGGGCGAATCTTTGTTGGCATGGGGGCGGGATTTATGACGGTAGTAGTATCCTTGTATATTGCTGAAGTGTCACCTCCTAAATATCGTGGTGCTCTTGGTTCCGTATTACAACTGTTTGTGACGTTTGGGATCTTGATCATTGAATGTATTGGTCTGGGTTTATCCTCCTCAATCGGTTGGCGTGTGGTGTGTGTGATGACAGTGGCACCTGCTATCATTCAAATGGTTTGTTTACCTTTCTTACCTCGATCACCTCGCTGGTTGGTCACCAACAATCGTGTGGATGAAGCTCGATCAGAAATGCTCCGGTTACGTAATGGCAATATTGATGAAGAATACAATGATATGTTGGCTACCTTGATTCAAGATTATGATGAAAAGAATGTTTTGGAAAAGGATTCCGTTACTGATGTACCCCACAACAACAACAACAATACCACCGATACCAATCTATCCATTTTACAACTCTTGTCTATTCCCGTCCTTCTTCGTTTAACATTGAAAATGATGGTGGTTCATGCTGCCGGTCAACTCACTGGGATCAATGCCATTATGTATTATTCAACCTCCATCTTCCAAAACTCATTTGGTGACAATGCTCGGTATGTAACTGTAGGTGTGGCGGCTTTGAACGTGGCCTTGACCATCTTGGCTCTTGGCTTGATTGATCGATTGGGACGCAAGATCTTATTGTTTATCTCTGCTGTGGGTATGTGTTTATTCAGTGTCTTGATGACCATTGGTCTCAAGTATGAAATCTCTCCTTTACAAGTCATTTGTGTCATGATGTTTGTTGCCGCTTATGCTATTGGTCTTGGTGTGATTCCTTTTGTCATCACTGCTGAAGTATATCCTACTTATGCCGTTGGTACTGCCAGTTCTATTGCTTTGGTGATTAATTGGGTAAAAAAAAAAAAAAAAAAAAAAAAAAAAGACATCATTGAACTCACTTTCTATTTTTTTTTTTTTTTTTTTTAGTTATGTAATTTTATCATTGGTCTCATCTTTCCTACACTTCAAACTGCTTGTGGTCCTTATGTCTTCTTGATCTTTGCCGGTATCACTTTTGTCGTTGCCATCTTTGTCTTTGCCTTTGTACCTGAAACAAAACAAAAATCCATCGATCAATTGGGTCATGAATTGGGCTGGGCCGATTTGGACCTCTCTACTTATTTCGATAAAAACAAACAATAGTATATCATTATATAGATTTTCTTTAACAATCATTTCAATAAATATTTTTTTTTTTTTATACAACATCAATATTATTTTACATGAAAAATAAAATCTCTTTATTATATACATCTACATTAAATAAAAAATATACTACATGGGGGTTTGGGTACTTTGTTGTTCAAAGGAGGCCAAAAGAGGAGATAACATCAAATCCACATTTTCATAATTGACATTACAACACATGGATATCAATCGCTTGTAATCTTGATACTTCTTGTTGGGCATCTGTGCTTGCAATTGAACAATATCCTTGACCAATTGTGTCCTTTGCTGTATAAGAGTAGACCATTGTTGTTCCAAAGCCTGTGGATTATCATCATTATTATTATTATTACTATTTTCGGATTGGTCGGTTGTTTTGGAGGTTGGTAAAATGGAATGTAATGTCGAAGTTCTTGCTGATGAAGTACGATTGTTGATAGATGATGATGATACTGATGTGGATAAAAATGAAGAAGATTCTATGGATGATGACCTTGATGATGAGAGTCGTTGTTGCACAAGTCGTTGTAATTGGATCATTTGCGTATATTCAAGCACCTTGTGCACTTGATCTTGTAATAGACTTGCTTCCTTTTCCACCGTCGTCATTGCATTTTCATCGTAAGCCAATTGATGGATGGTTTTGTTTGTCATATCTAGCCGTTTCCGTACCATTTGTAATTCAATCGTAGCTTCCCGTAATACTTGATCCTTGTGTTCTTGATCTCGTTCAAAACTACTGATGAATTCGTCAACTACTTTGGCAACATCTCGTATCACCGGAGAAGAAGATGGAGATAATCGTTGTTTCTTTGTATTGTCGTTTGATGATGATAAGTAGGAGTCATCGGTGTCATCCATATTTGTTTTTAAAACATCATCCACTCTTTTCCTTGCCCTTTTCCGTATATTCTCATCAGTGATTGGTTGCTGATAAGCATTGGAAGCATGTCGTCCATAGTATTCCATAATATAATCTTGAGAGGTTTTGCCTTCTTCATTTGCTAATTGGGGATTCGCACCAGCTTCGACCAGAAGACGTACCAATTTCTTGTTACCAATACGAGATGCGATAGTCAAGGCCGTATCACCATAAACATCTTGTACGTTAAGGATTTGCACTAGATCTTCACGACGAGATCGTATCTTTTCCATTAAACATTCCATATAATATCTTGAAGCATGAACCTTGCCCTTCCATCCAGCTGTAGATGCGATATGGTGGAATACCGTTTGATCTTTCTTGTCAATATTGAATATGGTTTTCCGCAATAAGTCCAGCATGTGAAGGAAACAACGTCGTTCAAAATTGTTGGTGAAGAGAACCGATCGTATCAAAGCAGTTTGTCCCTTGTAGTTGACCCGAGACACATCCGCACCGTGGTGTAATAATAATTTCACAATCTTCAAATGTCCCATTGCTGCTGCCCAGTGAAGACTCGTATGACCTTCGTCGTCGATAATAATGTTAAAGTCCAGGTCAGAAGGTGGATGAATCAATAAACTTGGTACTCGAGGATCGCCTGATATAAAGTGTCGTAAAAGTTGGACATCATATGGTTCTTCTGATTCATATAATTCATCTTCCATTTCATCCATATCGACATTGTCATCATCATCATCATCCTCCAACATCTCTTCGTCTTCTTCTACCGGTGACATTGTTGAATTTCGATTTTGATGATAATTGGATGGACCAGATGGAGGAGGTTGTTTGTATCCTGCATAAGCGCGAGCTCGACTGGCATTTGACATGCCTGCATGCCATGTTGATTCCTTGTCTTTGTTTGTTTCCAAAAGTTGTTTTTGTTTCTTTGTCAGTTTGGGTTCGCGAGGCATCCTTGGTTTATAAGTGGTTGCAGTTGCATGCTTAGGTGCCAATGGAGGACTTTGTGTACCTTCTTGAAACATGAGAAGCGGTGAAAGAAGTTCAAATACATCGTAACGTCTTGCTAATTCTTTTCCACGTTCAATAGGAATCCAGGTACCTATAATATATATAAATGAGCATTCATGTTTGGAAGATATTTTTTTTTTTTCATTTCGTCATTACCTTGGTATTTGCCATAACCACCTTGAATCTTTTCATGAGTACCAGTTTGTACTTCCCTTTCAAGAATACGAGTACGTTGAGGCTTACCAAACTCGGCCACTTTGAGTATTTGAGTCGCGTTCACATAACCATCATCGCGTCGACGCATCACAGCAATGTTTTTACACATGAGTTCATATACTGCGACACCTGAATAGGTTGCTTTGAAAATTGTAGGATGATCAGTCATGATGGTGATTGATCCATACAATTCAGAAAACAAGTGATAAAAAAAAAAAGAGAGAGAGAGAGGGGTCAAATAAAATGGATAAAGAACTGAAAAAAACCAAAAACAAAAAGAAAGAAAAAAAAACAAAAAATAAATGGACGGAGATGGAAATTCATAGACCCACATGGTCAAGCTTTTTTACGCTCTCCTTTTTATTTTCTTTTTTTTTTTTCTTTCTTTTCTCTTTTTTTTTTTTTTAATTATTTACTTATACATCTTAATCAATCATGTCAGAAGCAACTACTGCTGCTACTACCACCAATACTACTACATCATCAATCATTCCTAATACTGGCAAGGCAACAAACGTGAAATTAGTTCTATTAGGTATGGCTTGGCATTATCACATCGTTTATTCTTTTTTTTTTCTTTTATATTAATTAATATTCCTTTGTTTTCTTTTCAAAATACATTAGGTGAATCTGCTGTTGGTAAATCAAGTCTTGTTTTACGATTTGTGAATCGAGAATATTCTGAAAATAGGGAACCTACTATTGGAGGTATTAAAAAAAAAAAAAGATAAGTTTTATTTTATTTAAAAAAAGTGCTATGCGGGGTCATCATCATTGATATGACTGGGGGGGGATGATTGCCACACAAGAAAGATTACTAAATTCTTGTTTCTGCACCTCGTGCTTCTTATTTATTCTAGCGGCATTTTTAACTCAAAAATGCCATTTGAACGATCGTACTATCAAATTCGAAATTTGGGATACTGCTGGTCAAGAACGTTTCCATTCACTTGCTCCAATGTATTATCGATGTGCTCAAGCTGCGGTAGTTGTGTATGATATTACTAAATCTGTAAGTGATATGAAAAAAAAAAAACAATGGGTTATTTACCTTTTTTTTTTATATATAGGCTACCTTAGACAAGGCCAAATCATGGGTGAAAGAATTACAACGTCAAGCAAATCAAGATATTGTCATTGCTCTTGTTGGAAATAAATTGGATCTTGTAGAAGAAGATGAAACTGAACGACAAGTGCAAACTGAAGATGCTAAAGCTTATGCTGATGAAGCTGATTTACTTTTCTTTGAAACTAGTGCGAAATCAGCTCAAAATGTGGATGCTGTATTTGCTGCTATTGGTAAAAAGGAGAGAGAGAGAGAAAAAAAATGAATAAGATACTGATTTCTTTTTTTTTTAATCTATAGCTGAAAAGATTCCTTTGGAATATATCATGTCGAATCGTAATGCAGCAGGTCGTCAATCTGGTGCTAACCGTGTGGAACTTTCTCAACCTGGACCTCAAACTAGTGGATCTTGTGCTTGTTAAGATAATATTTGGATACTCTTTTCTATACTATTCTCTTTTTATTTTTATATTTTGTTTTTCATACCCCCTTCCAATCTTTTTTTTTTATCTATCATCTCTCTCTCTATCTATTCTAGTTTTAAACCCTATTCACCTTCCCCCCTCCCCTTTGTTCTATAGCTAGATTTCCTGCTTTGTCGTAAAAAAAAAAAAAAAAAAAAAAAAAGCGAAAAAAAAACTCTCATCCAATAAATTTTCGACTCCGTTCTTCTCTTTCTCTTTTGTTGATCATGGAAGATAGCAATGAAACCACCTTTTCACCAGTATGTCAATCAATGTTCTCTCTTTTTCTTGGAATGAACTGATCATATAATTTTTTTTTTTTTTTTTTTTCGTTGGTAGAATACGATTCAAGCTGTGATCAAACATGGTTGGAAAGATACGCGTACAAAAGGTAAAGAAAAAAAAAAGGTTACAAAAACAGGTTACCTGACGGTCCTATTTTTTCTCTTATCATAGCAAACGCACAGGCATTACAATTATCAGCCGAGTTCTTTAGACTTTTCACCATAGGTAAATAGAAGAAGAAGAAAGAAAGAAAGTAAATACTGACTGTATATTTTTTTTTTATAGAGGCCATCCACCGAGCATCGGAAGAAGCAGAAAGATCAACAGGATCAAGTGAACATGACATTCAAGTGGAACATTTGGAAAAGATATTGACACAATTAATGTTGGATTTTTGACCTCTTTTGCACAAGTCTAGATATAGTCCTTTTTTTTTTTTTATTTTTACAGGCCCTCATATACCTCTATTGATTACTATTTGGATTTTGATAGTTGAAGAACTTTTTTAATATATTCTTTTATTGATATTCAAAACAAATAAAATACTATACTAACGTCGACGTTCATAAGACGGTTCTTGTCCATAAAATAAGGGTTGTTGCGATGACCTAAATGGTCTGTTGTAAATGTCGGCGCTGTGAGGATCATCAAATACACCATGTTTGCTAGCTCTGCTTGTATTGTGTCGTTCCATAAGCCATTCTTCATTTTGTTGACCAGAATAATAATCATCATTTTCACCAAAAGAAGGAGGATGTTGATGGAAAGGTGGATAAAAAGCATGAGGTGGAAAAATTGGATTTGTCTTAAGTCCATAAGAACGTTTCTTTTGTCCTAGAAAATCACCCAACTCTTCCGAATCACTATCATCATTGTTTTCCATATTCATTCTTCCTCTTGGTAAATGTTGTATAGGTGGTCTTCCAGTAGGTAACTTGTTCATCATAGGAACAGAGGGTGGTACAAACATAGGAGGTTGAAACATCATAGGTTGTCGAATATAAGGTGCATCATCATCTTTTTCGTTGTCACCATGTCGAGAGATATTTCGAGGTAGACTTTTGCTTCGATGTCGTCTTGCCCTTCGATTGCTGTGATGGTTGGAGATATCAGATAGGTTCAATGAAGACATCATGGGTGGAGGAAAATCCATCATCGTAGGAGGACCAAAAATAGGTAGTGAAGGAGTGAAATAATCGTGATATGAATAGGGATATGGTGGTCTTTGTTGACGTGCTGCGGAAGGAAGAGATTTATCATCCTTAAGCTGAGAATAATAACGTTGCCACATATATTCTGCATGTTGTAATCGATATTGTAAATGATGAAGATAATATTTGAGAGTCGAGTTTTCTTCCACAAGTTGATCGCGTTCTCGACACGTATGATTCAATTGTTCCTCCATTATAAATAATTCATCCATGTGTCCTGGGCGCTTTTTGATACTTTCAGCTTGTAGTGCTTGTTGATGATATAGATATTGATCGTAATCATAGGCGTTATTGGTTGATTTTCCAGTGTTCCTATTGTTACTAGATGATTTTGTGATATGTTGTTGATCAGTGACTTTGCTATAATGTTGGTCACTTGTATTATTACTGCTCTCTTTACGTTGTTGTCTCGCTTGTTTCCAGGCAGGCATTGATTGCTTTGGTTTGGGTGGTGTAGGAGGTCTCATTGTCTCAGTAGGTAGGTATTGTTCTTGTTGTTGTTGTTGTTGTTGTTGGTGTTGCTGAGAAGGATCTTCCAAGGAAGTTGGCTGGAATTCATTAGTACCGTCATTCAAACTGGCTAGTTGTACAGGAGGTGAAGAGAGAGTTACTTTGCTTGGCATCATACATGTAAAATACCAATGCTTTTCAAAAAATAAATATGAAAAAAGGAGAGAAAGATATATATAATAAAAAGTGAAGTTGGAAAAAAAAAGGAAAGAAAAAAAAAACGAAAGAAAAGCCAAAATCCGTTTTTTTTTTTTTTCTTTTGTTTGTTGCATCATATGGTTACATATTTACCTTTTTTAGTTGACTTTGGTTTTTTATCATTCTTTCCTCACCTGTTCGATACCGTGTTCTCATTATTAAGCCTTTTCTTTTATAGTGATATACATATGCACGTGAACTAGTGTAGACTATATCTTTCTCATATAAACTGTAGACTTATGCCAGGAACCGTTCCATTATGCCTTTTTTTATAACCCCGCTAAAAACGAAACAGAGGTTTCCCTCCGTGAACTTTACTTTATACAGGTGATTTCATGTTTGATTCAAATGATTGAAATGTATATTATAAACAATAGGTCCTTTTAATTAATCGTACCTTTTGATGACGATGATGATTCTTACGAATTCAACGATATAGAATGAATGCTGATTTTTCTATGCATATGATTCTAAGCTGGATGGTCATCATCATGATTCATCACTATATGTATGTTAATACAGAGTAACTGTATGATTAAAAAATGTTAAACAAATGACTTGCTCACATCATCCCATCCTGTAATTAATAATAATTCAATTCTATCATGATTCGAGTATACACAGATATTTTAGATAATAAATAAATTGTTCATGATACAACTTTATACCCACGATGATAAAACCCGGGTTACAACATAAAGGATAAACGGCCAAGGAATGAGTGAGGAAGGATGGATCATGCATTTTGATGCTCCGACAAAAGCCACCTCAATGGATTTTTTTTTTTGTTTGAAAAAAAAAAGAGTGGTATTTCCTTTTTCTTTCCATTCCTTCCCCCTCCGCTTCATTTATTTTATTTTATTTTTTTTACTTGATTGATACGTTACTGCTATGCCCAAAAAGAGTTTTATCGATCGCAAAACTGCCAAACATTTCCATGTTGTCCATCGATCTCAAAAGGATCCTTTGATCAATGATTCTGAAGCCTCTGCACGAGTATTACAAGAAGTCGTACCTCCCAATTTACTCAAAGTATAATATAATACAACAACTGTACATTATTAGACCATTGACATATTGTATTTCATTATAGCACAAAACACCCGAAGAATTGAAAAAGATCAATGCTAAACCTACAAAGATGACTCAAGATGAAATCGATCAGTAAAGTTGAAAATAGGAAATACATAATTTTTTTTTCTAATAATCATATCTCTCTATAGACGAGTCGGACAAGCTGCTTTATATGGTGTATATTTTGATGATGCCGAATACGATTATATGCAACATATGAAGCCTATTGGAGCTGTCGATGCTGTCTTTTTGGAAGCTCCTGGTACTCGCAAAGAAAAATCCAAAAAAGGTGGTGATGGATTATTGCTACGAGAGGATGTGGAGGAAAAAGCTGATATCTTTGAAAAGGTGAACGACAAGAAGAATCCCAATTTGTTCGAAATGCCTTCTGGTGTTCTTCCATCAAATGTTGAATTGGAGAAAGGTGTGATGAATCAACCCACTGGTTTGGAAGGCGGCTTACAACCTGATATGGATCCCCGGTTACGTGAAGTACTTGAAGCTTTGGAAGATGAGGAATATGTGGAAGATGATTTGGATAACTTTTTTGATGACCTCAATGACGAGACTTTGGAACCTTATGATCCTGATGAAGAAGAATATGAAGATTATTCTGATGAAGAATATGAAGATTATGAAGAGGATGGTCCAGTAGATCCTGAAAATTATGATTGGCAAGCGGCATTCAACAAGTAAGTACTAAAAGAAAGATTGAAATAAAGAATACTAATTATATATATTAACAACAAAATAGATTCAAGCGAAACCAAACACGAGCGGGATCTGATGATGAATTTGATGATATCGATGATAGACAATCCAAAGGCACTGGCTTCTCTATATCCTCTTCAGCTATGCATCGTACAACTCAGCTACGAACTTTAGATGATCGATTCGATAGGGTAAATGAATCTTATAAAAAAAAATGAAATGACTAACATTCATTTACTTTATAGATTGAAGAAGAATATATGCAAGACGATGACGATGACGATGAATACTACGATGGTGATGTGATGGAAGAACGTGAAGATTTTGATGCTATCTTGGATGACTTTTTGGAGAAATATGAAGTAGTGGGAAATAAATTGGCACCTCGATTGGAAGGTGATGATTCGGCACAGAAATTGGATGCTATTCGTGGCGCATTTGATACCCTACATATCTTGGAGGAAGAAGAAAAACGAGAACAACAACATCAAGAACGAAAAGAACGTGGAACATCGAAAACACGGGAACCAGCTGAACTATGGGCTAGACCTGAACAACGCAAACGTCAAACATGGGACTGTCAGAGTGTAATATCAACCTATTCAAACTTGGAAAACCATCCTCAACTGATCTCTGATCGTGGACCTAAGAAGAAGATCTCTATTGATCCCAAGACTGGTATGCCCATATTGGTAGAAGATGATCGCAGGAAACAAAAAATCAAGAATAGACATCATTATACCCAGTCGGATGAAGAAGATCTTCTGGAAGAAGAAGAAGATGAAGAAGAAGAAGAAAGAGTCAATTTGGGTGAACGACGTTCCAAAGCGGAAACCAAGGAAGAAAAGAAACAACGCAAACAAGCTATCAAGGATGCGAAAAAGGTAAAATAATACTAATAAGAAATAATACGAAACAAAATAAATATACATTTATATCTTTATATAGAATCGTCGTGAAGAAAAGAAATCAACCAAGGCAGCCTTCAAGAATGAAGAAAATAAACAACGACAAACTCTTACTCAACAACGAAAAGCAAAAGGTGTCCAGCATATTATGTAGTTTATTCATTATTTATTTATTTATTTATTTATTCATCATGCATATATCTTTTTTTTTTCTCACATTTCCCCATTCATAGTGTATAGTTTCCCCTCTTTTTTTTCCATGACATTCTTACCCTTAGAACATCATCTACATACTATTTTTTTTTTTTTTTTTTTGTACTTTACTCCTTTTTTTTTTTTTTTAATAAATTCTACAAATGGAAAAAAAAAGATTCAACACTTTTGTCCTGAGCCTATCAAAATGGAAATGCATTATTCTATCGTATAGCATTGAAAGGATAAAAAAAGACAATTCCGTGGATGATTCTTCGGTATATGACTATTTTTGTTTTATTATTCTTATTTTGCCGTGGATGAATTCCTGACCGCTGAGATACAAATATAGATCTATAAAAATGCGAAATTGGGTGATTTTGGGCTTCTTTCTTTTTTTTTATATATATTAATGATGCTCTCATCTACAAACGCTAAAGCCAAAGGCAATATATCATCCGTCTTTGCCCACTTGGGTGCCAGTACCACAAAGTTGGATCCTCGATTTGTGACATTGAAAAAGGACATTTGTAAGACAACCGACGTGTTGCAAGCAAGTTATGATCGATTAATCAGCAAGTTTGAAGAAGAAAAGAAAGAAATCCAAGCAAAAGGATCGTCGGTGATCCCCGAGATTCATATCAATGATATCAAGAACAATGGTGGCAGATTACCTGATGCGGTGGCAGCCTTGGTCAAGAAACGAGGATGTTTGGTGGTCCGTGGTCTATTGGATCGTACTGTGGCCATGCAATACAAGGCAGACATCAAGCAGTATATTGACAACAACCGTGATGTCATGGTGGGTTATCCTCAAGATCAACCTCAAGTGTGGGAATTATATTGGACAAAGGCTCAGGCAGCTGCTCGTGCTCATCCTCATTTTGATATCGCTACTTTGGCCATCAATCAACTCTGGCATGGTCACCCTGATACTCCCATCGATTTGTCCAAGAATCTGACTTATTGTGATCGTCTTCGTATTCGTGTTCCTGGTGATGAGAATTTTGCTTTGGCTGAACATGTCGATGGTGGCTCTCTTGAACGTAAAAAAAAAAAAAAAAAAAAAAAAAAGAGGATGACTGATCCTTATGTGATATATTTTTTTAATAGGTTGGGAAGATCCTGAATATCGAAAATGTTATGAAGAAATATTCAAAGGACACTGGGAGGTAAAAAAAAAAAAAAAATGGAAGGCGATCATTTCTTTTCTTTCTCACTTTTTTTTTTTTTTCTTAGAACTTTGATCCTTTTGATGTCACTCATCGTATTGAAGCTGAGATGGATTTATATGATGCTCCTGGAGGGTGTTCCATGTTTCGCTTATTCCAAGGCTGGGTATCTCTCTCTGACATTACACCCGGTGGTGGCACGCTCCGTGTTTGCCCGTTGATCAAGGAACAGACGGCTTACTATATGATGAAACCACTCCTGGAAGACCATAAAGACCAAGCTGATTTCATGGGTGCCTGGCCCGGTCGGTGTCAAGACATTAGTGCAACCCATCATCGTCCTATTATCGACACCATGGTTTCTCTTCCTACGATGCAATACGGTGATGGTGTGTTCTGGCATTGTGATCAAGTCCATGCTGTGGAACCTAAGAATGAAATGAAGACGGAAGATTCCTCCGTGCTCTATATTCCTTCCACGCCAATGTGTCGAAGAAACACAGAGTATCTTAAACGTCAACGTGCCTGTTTCCTGGCTGGTATCACGCCTCCTGATTTCCCTGGTAACAACACTGAACAGCATATAAATGAACGTGCCACACCCGAATCCTTGGATACCAAACAGAAAATCGGTATGGGTCTCCTTCCTTTCTCTTCTTCTTCTTTGGATGACAACTCAACACCTGGTCAACGTCAAGCTTTGAAACAACACAATGATATACTTGGATTTTAAGCTATGGTATCTTGATGATCTTTTTTTTTTTTTTTGTGTAGTGTAGTTTATAAGTTTACAGTGTTTTTGTATCATTTTAATAAACATTCTGACACTATTGAAGTATAAAAAAAGATGTTCTGTTGATGGTTTGATGAGATGATTAGAAAATTTTGGATCATTTCAGATGCAGAAAGACGAGTATGGGGTGACAATGATAGTGAGAGTATAGACAAGCATAAAATGTAAAAAAAAAAAAAAAAAAGTTTAAAAAAAATTGACTATAACTTTATTGAAAAACCTTTTTATATATATAATATACGATATAAGGCTATAATTGATAATAAAGGAAGAGAAAGGATGGGTTGGTTAATTTAACAGTAATGATGATGATGCACTAGATAAAGAATCCTGTTATTATAATGTAGAGTCGATAGATACAATGCACTAACTGGATGTATCGAAAAAGAGAATAGAAAAAATGAAATTTCATGACAGAGGATTTTGAACTCCACACAGATTTCCCAACTTTTTTTTTTAACCCTTGTGTCTTACATTTTTTTTTTTTTTCTGTGTCTCTTCATTTTCTCTCTTTCTCTTTTTTTTTTTTTTTTTATCGTCGTATAAAATGATGATTTCTAGTAGGATATGGAGTTACGGTAAAAGATATATACAACCATCAGTGATACGATGTCCAACAACAACAACAATATTACGACCAGTTCGACAACAAGTACGATCCATGGCGACGATCCAAACAACCACTGATGTACAAACAGCAGCGTATCACTTTAAGCAACAGAAACATTTACCTTATGTACTAGAGTATCTCATGTGGGTTGTGTTTGGATCTGAATGTCTCCACTTGATCTGGCTGAAATCGGAATACAAGGAATACAAGGAACACTCACAACAAAAGATCGCCCTGTTCAAGGAATTACTGCATCTGTTGGAATCTGGTTCTCCTGTACCTGAATCTCTTCGTGAGGAAATTAAAATGTTGATGTTGGATGAGAAATTCAACAAGAACTTACATCAAGATATTGAAGATGACTATGTGGAAAAATGTAAGGAACATCAAAGATAAAAATGATAATAGGTTGACCTTTTTTCTTGAATGTTAGGGATTGCCTTATCAGAAGAAGCAGAAAAAACTTCTACAACATCCATGGATACCACCCAACAATCACATCAAGTGACCGAGGAAAATACCAAGGCACCGTCAAGTGAAATCAAACAACACAAATTCATCATTTAGATTATAGACTAGACTATTTATTTAGATATTTTCATCAAATAAAAAGTGACATTTTTATGAATTGATCGAATCTTTATTTCTTTCAACTATCCACAATCACAAACAATTCAAAAATAATTTTTATTCACATTGTAAACTATCTATTGAACTATAAATTCACTAAATCTAAGATCTGCTTCATCACATAACCAATTCATCCAACGTTTCAAGAATCCACCATCCACTCGTGAAGAAGTACTGTTTCCACCTTTGTTTCCCGCCAATGTTTCTGAATCACAAATCACGCACAAATGACGTTTGGCTCTTGTCATGGCCACTGTATCAATAAAAATAAAAAAAAAATCAATAATGTCCCCTTTTTTCTTTTTTTTTTTTTTTTTTTTTTTTTTTTTTTTTTTTTACCATTCAATCGTCGTTTTTCTTGCAAAAAGCCTACTTCCCCTTCATCATTGGATCGAACTAGAGATAACAAAATGGCTTCCTTTTCCCGACCTTGAAATCCATCCACTGTTCCTACTTCAATATGAGGCCATCTTTCACGAATATCACGGATCAATCGCGATACTTGAGCAGCATATGGGGTAATGACACCAATTTGTTCTTGTCCTAATCCATCCTCCAATAAAGCTTCAATATGATGTACTGCTAACGAGACTTCCAACTCATTTGCTTTACTTTGATCATCAGCCATATCACCTTCATCCGTGATTTCGTGTCCAAGTCCAGTATCGCTTGTATCCAACATCACCACAGGTACCTCGGTGTTTTCAGTCGCTGCCACATCGGGAAGATCTTGAAGTAAATGACTGGCCACACTGTCGTTCGCTATCAATAAGTTGTCATAAAGTTCTTTTGAGCTGAATTCCATGATCTTTTGATGCATTCGATATTGTACAACTAGCATTTTCTTGATACTATTTCCATACATCGCCAATAGTCGATCAAATAGAGTAGTTGATAAATCCGTATTTGTTGAGAGTCCATTCTTCTTATTAGATTTAGGATTTGTTTTCATTATTTTTGTTGGGGTTTTGATGGTCGGTGGTAATTGTAGATGATCTCCCGCCTAATAAGAGAGAATTAGTCTTCAATATATGATATTATTCTCTTTTCTCTTTGACAATTTACCAATATAGCCTTCTTTCCTTTTTGTAAAGCAATCCAACATTCAGCTAAGTTTAAAAAAAAAAAAACAGGGATTTGATTAGATTCGTAAAATATATATTCTATTTTTATTTTTTTTTTCTTTACCTTCCAGCGCTTGAGTTGCTTCATCAATAATGACAATATCAAATTCCCTTTTCATCATCGTCCGACTTCCACACCTATGTTGCACAAATGAAAAAAAAAGGATTGAAAAAGATGAGTTTATACAAACTTGATTTTTTTTTTTTTACTTACCCGTTCAAAGTAGAAAGTACAACTTGAGCACCAGAAATCACTTCATCCACCACTTTCCTTTCCCGTACCCGATAATCCTTTCGTAGTTCCTTGATTTGTCCATAAAGTAATCGTCGTTCTGTTCGATTTTTGGATTTCCCAATCTTGTTCAATGTTTCATCCATTTCCTTGCGTACATCCGCTACGATTTGTCCAGAATCACAAGTTCTAGTGATAATATCTAAAGAATGTTCTAATACAGTAGGCAAAATACGTGCTGGATGACCAACACGAACAAGATTCATTCGATGACGGGCTAATCGTTCAACCAAGTTATCTAAATAAGACAAAATTATAAATAACTTCAATCTTCATTTTTCAAAAAAAAAAAAAAAGTTATTTACCCACAGAAATATTAGATGGACCACACACCAATACTTTTTTATTTTGTTTCACTGATAGCTGACGAATGATTTCAACCAAGGTATATGTTTTTCCTGTCTAAAAAATAAATAAATAAATAAAATAAGTACTTTATTATACTAATAGAGAATCTTATCATACCCCTGGAGGACCATGTATAAGAGAAATATCTTGAGCTGCCAAAGCAAATCGTACAGCATCCTTTTGAGAATCATTCAAAGTGGTATCATAGAATTCTAAATCAGGTATATCATCATCCACAGTTGCAGGTTTTTGTTGTCCTAGTAGTACTTGAGCTAATCTAGATGATCCATCTGATGCATTGATCTTCAACTGTTCCAATCCCTTGATCATTCTTTCGTATGTTACATTATTGGCAAGTTTGACACTAAATTCAAAGAAAAAAAAAGAGAGATGATCAATCTATCTTTTCTTGATGATATATATATTAATTACATTTGACATCGGTCTTGTACTTCTGGAGGCAAATCTTCATCCATATCTTGCGAAAGCGCCAACGTGATTCTTGTATCCGTGACGCGTAATACCACTCCTGACCATGAGGATCCTTTTTTCTTATTAGGTTTGTCCTTTTTGTATTCATCCAGTCCAACAATATCACCAGTTGTAATCTTGTGAGTAGGAAATATCGGTATTTGTTTATGCGATTGCCCAAGTTCAAGATCTATCAAACTAGCATGGAAAAACAAAAGAAAAAGAAAAAAAAGAGTAAGAAAGATAACATGTCAAATATTTATTTCATATATATACCTCTTGCCACCTAACCCAGTACGCATAGCTATTCATTATTAAATTATAGATAATAAGCCAAGTCAAAATAGTCAACCATATGATATGTTTTTTTTTTTTATATATTACCAGTAACTCGAAGACCAAGTAGAGCCACACCACGTTTTTGAAGTTGAATGGGAGTATACGATGATAACATTTTTTGAGTGTCTTCTACATCTATACGCTTTTCCTCCTGGACAAGTTGAACTTGATGATCAATAAAAGCTTCCATTTTACCCAAAGAAAATAAGAAGAAAAGAGGTACTTCATGGGGAAATTATTTTTTTTTTTTTTTCGTTTTGGGCCGGACATTCAATTTTGTAACCAAAAAGGAAATGAAAAGTATAAGATGGATTGATTTATTATATAATGTAGAAAAAGAGTTTTTTAAAATGAATAAAGTTTTGTTTAGAAGATATCTATTTATAAGGACAGGGTAAAATCTTGCCATGACAATCACCAAAACCAATACGGTAACCTTCAGTAGATTCACAATAACCAGTCAAGTTGATTTCATCACCATCTTGTAAGAATACACGTTCAACACCATCTTCAAGAGTAAGTTTCTTTGTTCCATTCCAAGTTAATTCCAAGAAAGAACCATATTCAGATTCAGCCTATATAATAAAAGTTTAATTCATCTTATTCCATCAAAATAAATTAAATACTTACAGGTCCAGAGATAGTACCAGTACCACACATATCACCAGCACGCATATTACAACCATTGACAGTGTGATGAGCTAACTGTTGAGTCACTGACCAGTACATATGTTTGAGATTTGATTTTGCCACAGTTTGGAACTTGGAAGATTCAGATGCTAATAAAAAAAAAAAAAAAAAAAGAGAATGTATTAGCCCATCATTCATTTTCTTCTTATATTCACACTTACGTTTCAATTGAACTTCAAGTTTAACATCATAAGCAGAAGGTTGGGATTCTTTCAAGTAAGGTAAAGGTTCAGGAGAGGTTTGAGAAGGACCATCTACCAAGAAAGGTTCAAGAGCATCCATAGTGACAATCCAAGGAGAAATAGTAGTACCAAAATTCTTTCCCAAGAAAGGACCCAAAGGAACGTATTCCCAAGCTTGAATATCACGAGCACTCCAATCATTCATAATCACCATACCAAAGATATGATCTTTTGCATCGGCCACTTCAATTCGACTACCAAGTTTATTACCAGTACCTACAAACCATCCCTTTTTCCAAATATGACATCAATAAAACATTCTTCTATTTTTTTTTTCCTTAAATCTATCTTACCACTTCAAGTTCAATATCAAGTTTTGCACTGGGAGCGAAAATAGGTTGGGATTTATCTGCAGGTGTAATACGTTGACCAGAAGGACGTACAATATCAGTACCGGACACAACTACAGAGGAAGCACGACCATGATAACCAACAGGAATATGAAGCCAATTGGGTTGTAAAGCATTGTCCTTACCACGGAACATAATACCAACATTAGTAGCATGTTCACGAGAGCAGTAAAAATCAGTATAATCACCAATTTGAGCTGGAAGGTGAAGTTTGGCACCAGATTGAGGAACAAACGCCTTAGCACGGAGTTCTTGATTATCACGAAGTTGAGATTCATCAGCACTCAATAACTTTTGAATTTGTAAACGAGTGTTCTTCCATACAGGACGACCTAATTCCATGAATTCATTTAAAGTGGACTAGCATAATAATAATAAAAAAAATAATAAATATTCTTTTCTCTCCATTTCTAAACATCCTAATTACCTGAGCAAACACTTTAGTAGCATCTAATCCTTGTACACTTTCAAAAAGACCAGCTTTTGCAAGTTCAGACAAGTCAAGAATTTGATCACCAATAGCAACACCTACGCGAGGTTGAATCTATATATTATGTAAACAAGTTTTCAATTCCTTTTTCTATGTTTCAAAAAAGGAAGGTTTACCTTTTCGTTTGTGGAGAAGATACCATAAGGTAAGTTTTGAATAGGAAAGTGAGAATCCTTGGATACGTTGATGAAGCTAGTAAGAACCATGGTTAATTGAATATAAAGAAATGTGGAGAAGAGGAAAGGAGAAAGAAGAAGAAGAAAAAATGCCACTTTTTTTTTTTTAATAAATATCGTGAGAAAAAAAAAAAAGAAAAAGAGGTGCAGATCAAAAAAGAAACGACCATCAGAGCTTTTAAAGTACCGTTTCCGGAAACACTCATCGGTAATTCCGTCCCTAATCTTTTTTTTTTTTCTGGAAATGTCTATATTGTATTATATAATTATAACCCTGAATATTTTCTAGTAATGACATATTTTTTTTTATATATCAAGTGTTTCATATTTTAGATGTTTTTGATATTTTATTGCATGGGGAAAGGATGTTACTTGTATATATGATGATTTGTGACATTTTCGGATTAACTCCATTCACGGAGGAAATATAAACTTACAGTTTTGCCATTTCAATATCCGATATCAGTTTTGCCTTTTGATTTCTATTTATCCAAACTACTATCATGATTTTGTGCCTTGTCATCCATTCCATCATCCACTCAATCACTCCAATACAAAAAAAAAAAAAATTCTACTCATTCAATCATTTATTTTCTCAACGATCCATTCAAATACTACAGTATGTCTTTTACACGAGTCATGCGCATGATAGAGATATTGATGATGATGGTAGTAGTCTTGAACGATCTCTACAGTATCAGTTGTAATAATGAATTGAATCACTGAATCATCGTTCAATCACATCTATAATCATTGTAAAGCATATTGTATCAAGTGTAAATAAATTGACTATAAATGGTAACACTGGCACAGTCTGACAAGATTCTGATTGGATAAGAAAAAAAATATTTATGCCTCCCTTATTTTCTTTTTCTTTTTCTTCTTTTTCTTTCACTTTTACTTTTATTATTATACTTCTTCATTAGAATTTATCACTGTTAATTATATAAAGGTACTGTTTTATTCCTTCTTGTTGTTTTATTAATGTCTTTGGATATTGTTGTTGTTGATTCATTGTTTTCTTTTTATCATTGGGGCTTTGGAGTTCGAGTCGCCCAAAGGATAACGTAGAAAAAGTATGCGTAAGCATATGACCATGGAAAGGTTCACCTCAAATGATATGACTGATTTTATTTTATAATTTAAGAGGGAAAAACTATTCAATTCTTCATTATCACCTTTGAAAATTCGTTGATGTCCAAGTACTTCCAACACAAGGAAAAGATCAAGAAGTAAAATATGTAAGTATTCTTCATGATTTCTTTTTGCATGCATTAATTTTCTTTCTCTCTCTCTCTTTTTTTTTTCTTTCTTTCTTTTTTCTAGGAAACTATTGGAGCACAGAGAATGATCATCTATGAGGCAAAACGAAAGTGTACGACCATGGGCATCAAATGACATGACTGATTTTATTCTTTATATGGTTAAAACTCATTGAATTTGTCAAGGAAGAACTGGATCTCGAGATCAAATACACTGAAGGAACTTTTGGCTGATTTGGAAGAGAAACGTCAAAAAAATTAATAACTTGCTTGTATGAATACCTTTGATGACCTCTGTATAATAAATTTGATCAAAACAATTAAAAATAGTTTATAATTAATTTTTCTTTTCTTTTTATTTCTTTTTTTTATTTCTTTTTTTTTTTTAAATTCTTTTTAAGAAAATAAACGCACTGGTATCCGTTTGAGTTTTTTTGGTTGGAAAAAGGCTATGAAAAAGTCGTGTGGTATCAAAAAGTGGTGGAAAAAAAAAGTCAGAAAAATCGTTGAATGGGGAAGCAAACCCCGTTCTGAAAATATTTTTTTTTGATTCGTGCCGCGTTTCTTTTTTTTTTTTTTTTTGTCTTTTCTAGAATCATGACCATACATGACACCAATACTGAATCTATACTTTTACCTTCAGTAAAGGTACCAGTTACCCGTTCTTATACATACCTTCATCCTATTCCACCTTCTCTTATTGAAAATCTTCCCAACAAAGTGAATGAACCTTGTGTTTTAGGTGTAGACGAAGCAGGTCGTGGTCCTTGTCTTGGTCCTATGGTTTATGCTGTTAGTTTTTGTCCTTTATCAAGATATGAAGAATTCAAAAGTTTAGGGTTTGATGGTAATATGTTCAAGAACATTCATATTTGATCTCAACTTTTTTTTTTTTTTTAATAGATTCCAAAAAGTTGACTCATGAAAAAAGACTAGATCTTGCCAATATCATTCAACAAAGTCAAGATTATGTTGGTTGGGCTGTCAAAGTGATCTCACCTCAAGATATTTCAACAAATATGTTCAATCGGTAAGAAATAATGAAATAATAATTTCATATTGAACTAACCACTGTTTTCTTTTATGTACCAAAAAAAAAGGGTGAATCCTGTTAATTTGAATCAACTTGCTCATGATGCTACTATGGAACTTATTAGTCTTGTGATTGACAACAAAATCAATTTGACTGAGGTTAATCTTTAAAAAAAAAGTATTAATTCATCCAATGAATCATTCTCATTTTTTTTCTTTTTTTAGATTTATGTAGATCCTGTGGGTCCATCTATCTCATATCAAGAAAAATTATGCAAATATTTTCCAGGCATCTCCATCACTGTGGAACCTAAAGCAGATGCTCTATATCCTATTGTTAGTGCTGCAAGTATATGTGCAAAGGTAACACGCGATCAAATACTCTCAGAATGGATTTGGATAGAGAAAGGATTGAATATTTCCAAGGCATTTGGATCAGGTTATCCATCAGGTAATGTGCATCTTTAAAAAAAAAAAAAAGAAAGGGATATGATTTTTTTGGTGGCTAAAAACAATCAGGTTTTATTGTTTCTTTTTTTTTTTTTTTTTTTTTTTTGATGATTAGATCCCAATACAGTTACTTGGTTAGATGAGAATGAAACCCCTTTTTTTGGTTTCCCTAGTATTATTCGATTTAGTTGGAAAACAATTACTCAGAGAATGGATAAAACAAATGGTTGTGAATGGTAATAATTCGTCATACATTTTATATATAAATTGCTCATTCATTTATTTTCTTTTTTTTATATATATATTTTTTTTTTTTACTATTTATATAGGTCGGACGAAGAAGATGTGGAAAAGAAACCAAAACGATCCATTAAGAGATTATTAGAAGGGAAATCAAAGAAAAAGGAAGATTTATATGAAAAAGGGCGGTTTTACAAGTCTTTCCGTGTGGTTTCAAGTAGCAACACTAGTTTATAATATTATAATCACTTTTCTAAATAGTATGTTAGTTTAGTTATAAAATCCTGTCATTGGACGATCTCCCCTCCTTTTTTTTTTTTATCTCCTATTTATATTAATCATTGATGAAGAACCAAAAATAAATAAATAAATAAGAAGATATAATACATATAATATGAATCAATAAAATACATTTAATACATACATAGTGTATGAGTTTAAAACCATCTTCCCTTGGTGTCTGTTCACGTTTCTTTTTGATTGTTCAAAGGGATATGATGCAACTTATTCTTTTTTTGGCATAAGCACCGTATTTTCGTTCTATACCGGAGATTTAACCGTTTTTTTTTTCTCGTACCTGATTTGTTCTTTCAGTATTGGGAGTTCAAAAGATTGAAACTAGTTTTATTATATAATTTTTCTTTCATATATCATAAGCATTATTCAATATAAGAAAAAAAAAGAATGAGAAAGAGAGAGAGAGAATATACAGTAATGATGATCTTTTTACTGTTTTAATAGAATAGGGAAATTGAGTTGAGTGATACAAAGCTTGTACAAGGAGAAAATGGTTTACCGCCAAAAAAAAAAAAAGAAACTATTAAAAAGAGGAAATCATCTTCATGATTTTCTTCCCTTTTCTTTCTCTCCTTTTGTGTATTTTTTTGATTGTGTGAAAGAAAGAAAAAGAAAAAAAAAAAAGAGTGTGTGTGTGTTATATATTTTCCTTTTTTTTTCTTTCCCTCTCTTATTATTTTTTTTCCCTCTCTCCTCAATCTCATGCTATGGCAGATAACAATAACGACGATATATTTATGGATACCTTACCGCAGTCAACCAAATTTCATCAACGAGTAACACATTCTCTTTCGATACGACCATCCACTAGTAGTCAATTACATCGAAGTCAATCATTAGCTTTGGAAGATAAAACTCGTCGTTTTAATATACGTTGGCGTCAACAAAGAACGAGTGATGATATCACTATTACCAAACCTACTAACATTTTTGATAAAGAATTACCTCGTGTACCTTCCTCTCATCGATTATCACCTATGGATCGTCTTGCATCCTCTTCTTCTTCTTCTCCTCCTACATTAAGGGAATTCTATACATGGATTAGTGATTATTTGACTCCGCTAACCAAGGCGAATCATATTATTTCAATTACTAAACTCGGGTTGGCAAAGGATTGTTTATTTCATTTACTGGATAATGTCGATGATGAAACATTTGAATCCAAGTTCACATTGAGGGACCAGTTACAAGCGATTAAAATTCCCACTCCACCTTCCTCATTCCCAGTTTTGGCTGAGATTTTAAAAGTAAAAAAAAAAAAAAAAGAAAAAAAAATCACTCTTTTTTCTTTTTTTCTTATTATCTTCTTAACTAATTTTTTTTTCTTTCTTTTATTTTTTTTTAAAAAAAAAGTCTTTATTACGGATTCTTGCTGCTTTAAAATCAACAACATATTATCCATTCAAACTGATCGACTCTACAGGAATAGCTTATACCTTGGAACCACCATGTATGACCACTATCAACTCTGAGCAAGTTTTATGGCCGGACCATCTTACTAGCAATACTCATTGGTTTCATACCTACTTTTGTGGAAGGGATTATACCACTTTAATTATCCCAATCAAATCTACTATTACTTCTACTACTACTTTATATGCTATTGTTACTGGGATTCAAGAACCAATGGATAATTATGACAATGAATCTATTCAATATCGTTTAATCATTCGACTTCCAAAGGTAAAAAAAACAAAAAGCAAAAAAAGAACCGGAGATATATATGTAAGGAAACAAAAATTTGATCTTGTATTCTATTTAGGAAACAACAAAACGATATCTTGTTTCTGATACACAAGTAAATGATTATCTAGCGAAAAAAGAAGGACGATCCAATGACGATTTACAGAAACCAATCAAACAACAACGTCGATCATTACGAGGTCATGTTAATTTCACTAGTAATGATTCACAATATAAGATGATGAAAGCTGCGATTTTATCTGTACAACCTGATTTGGATATGACGAAAGCTATTTGTTTATCTGCGACTACAACATCTGCCTGTAATCTTGAAAAGGATTTATTACGTTTGGATGGAATAGAGGTAATAAATCCAAAAAAAAAAAAAAATATGGAACGCATGAGAAAAAGGAGAGATATGAATGAATTTTTTGATTTTTCTCTCTTTAGGTCCCTCCTGCTTATAAATTTGGTGTTTTATCCATCTTGAACAATCAAACAAAGGAAGAAGATTGGTTCTCAAATACTGGATTATCATCCTCTTTTGATCAATTTTTGAATATCCTTGGAAATCGAATTCAACTCAAAGGTTATAAAGGATATGCAGCTGGTCTGGATACAAAAAGTAAGTGGATAAAATGACAATAAAAAACAGTTGGATTCATTATTTTTTTTTCTTCTAGCTGGTGAAACGGGTGATACTTCTGTTATTTCCAAATGGATGAATTATGAAATAATGTTCCATGTTGCCGCATTGATGCCATTTCGGGAAAATGACAAACAACAAGTACAACGTAAACGATATATTGGAAATGGTAAGAATTTTGTTTTATATCAAATGAGTTTCTCATTTATGTTATTATTTTTATTAGATATCGTATGTGTAGTATTTCTAGAAGGTGACGCTATCTTTGATCCCAAGGCAATTCGATCCAAATTCTTACATGTCTATATTGTGGTACGACAAGAAATAGCCAATCAAAAACGGAGATGGAGGTAAAAAGTATATAAGAATGATAAAATGACTTTAAATTAACTGATATTTTATTTTATAGAATGGAAGTCGTACGAAAAAGCAATGTCCCTTATTTTGGTCCTATTTTACCGAATCCACCTTTATTTTATGATGAACAAACTTTACAAAATTTTTTGACCGTAAAATGTAAGTTGAATGAAAATAAAGATAATGAATAATAATTTTTTTTTTATTAGTGATCAATGCTGAAAATGCAGCTTTGAAATGTGATAATTTCTCAATACCAAACAATCGTGCACGTGCAGGCATTTTGGAAGGCATGGTTGAAAAAGGTTTGGCTCAAGAAGATGAATCTTTCAAAAAATCAACAATGAAACGACAACCATCGCAAAGAACACCACCATCATCATCATCATCTGGCAATCGATTGTCACGGGGTTCCCTTCGAAGTATTCGATCTAATCCTGATAATACAATGAACAATAAGGTTGAAGCACCTCCATTACCTTCACCCACGCGATCGACCATGTTACAAGATTTAAAAAACTTTGCCTTACGACGAGCACCAACATTTACACAAAGGTCTTCAACCACCAAGGAACAATCGATCCCTGAAGAAGATGGCAATGGTGATGATGAACAACCTCCTTATACGAATTCACTCCCATCTGCAGCTCCAAATACGTCTGTTCATCAACCAACCAAATCCAACGGTAAAAAAAAAAAATATGAGAATTCAATTCATGAACTGATTTTTTTTTTTTTAGATGATTCTCTTCTTCAAAGATCCATCTTAGCAGCCAAATCCAAATCTCAATTATTCAAATCAACAACAAACTCACCACCATCACCTCGACCCATTGGCACCAGTTCTGTTCAACCTGATGGACTTCGATACAAAACTCAAAATTTGATGATTAATGTTGTCGCAAAACGTTCCTCTACTCGACCTATGACTCCTACTTTGGCAGATGGTTCATCTTAAAAAATGGCTGGTCCCATTGGCATGATCTCTTTTCTCTTTCTCTCTTTTATCTTGCCCTTTATTTTTTATATTTCTTTTTATCCTCTTTGTTTTTACCTTGTATCTCTCTTTACTTTTTATTCTCTCTGTGTGCGTGTCTTCTTTTTTAATATTTTATTTTTACTTTTTTTTTTTTATTCTATTGTGAATAAACATTGATATTCTTCCATATCATCACCATCAAAAAGGGATTGTGTCTGGATTTCTTCAGGAGAGAAAGAAAAAAGAATTCATCAGTTCGCTGAAACGTAGGATAATTGTGATGTTCAAATCATAAAGCTATAATATAAAGGATATGCCTCTATTTATATTACGATCATCGTCCACTCATGAGAGATGGCTGGCGATGATGTGATAGTTAAGATGATGATGGGTGATAACGTTAGATAATGGGACAGTATGATAATAATAATAAACAAAAATGGATTTCTCTAATCCTATGAAAATCTCCTCAAGCAGATAGTATTTCTTTTTTTTTTTTTCTTTATGGATGGGAAAAATAGGAATAAAAATTCAATAATAATAAAAAAAAAGATGTTTTGTTTAAATTTTGATGATAGAGGAAAAGGAATGGAAAAAGCGATAGGTGTAGAAGATGAATAAGAGTTATCTAATATATACGGAAGAGATAGTCAATCGGAAAGGTAAAAAGCAGCTAATTCATATACCCTTTTTTTTTTTTCTTTATTGACATCCAGCATGATTGTCCTGGAAATCAAGTGGAATATGACACTGACAGAGAGCATGATGAGAAGATATGATAGGGCAAGACAAGATGATAGGTCCAATGTATGATTTCGAAACCCGCATCCTATAAATTTTTTTTTTGTTCTTATCCTTTTTTTCTATTTTTATTCTTTTTTTTCCTTTTTATTAACATCTTTTTACCTTACTCCCTCTTTTATTAAAAAGTATGGCCAAATTACAAGTGAAAGTCAAAGATGCACCCAATAGACCTTTTGTATTTTGTTTTTATGTATCTGGTCATGGTAAATATATTATTATCTTGAAATTATTCATATAATGTCCCTTTTTTTTTTTTTTTATTATTAGGATGGGGACATGCCACTAGAGCCAATCAAATCATCAGTGACATCTTGCGATTACAAGCACAACATCAAGTATATGTTATTTCCAATGCATCAAGTTTCATCTTTCAAGGAGTGACCAAAGTAGGAGCCATTTATCGTCAAGCCAACATTGATGCTGGGGTGGTACAACCGCTGGCTTATACTGTCGATCGGCAACAAACTATCAAGAATCTCAGGCAATTTATTGATCAACGGTCCAATATTCTTTTGAATGAAGTTGCATGGTTAAAACAAGTTCAAGCTGATTGTGTTATTTGTGATGCTCCTTTTTTACCATGGTAATCAATAATTTAAAAAAAAAATTATGTGCAACCATTCATTTTATTTTATTTTATTTTAGTGCGGCAGCAGCAGGAGCAGGGATTCCAGCAGCCATTGCAAGTAATTTTACATTTGATGAAGTGTATACTGGATTATGTGAAGGGGATGCATTGGATGAAGAAATTCGACAATTGGTGAATGTGGTGATTCAAGATTATAGAACGGCAGATCTCTTGATCCGACTACCTGGGGCCATACGCATTCCTTCATTTGATGATGCCGTTGAATTAGTACCAAGTACGCCCGTTTTGTGTAACTCCAAAGGGATTGTCAATGGTAAAACTCAACTTCCATCTCATAGTGTTGCCACCGTGCTTTCCAGTCGACTGTCATCCAAGATAGAAAGACGCATCATTGATATTCCTTTGGTGTTCCGCAAATATCATAAAGAACGAAAACAAGTCCTGGATGAATTAGGTATTCCTTGCTCGATTTATGATACCCATCAAATCCTTCTCTTATCGTTTGGTGGTCAAGTGCTTGGTCAAGAATGGAAACATGAAAACCCTTTGCCTCCTCAATGGATCTGTATTGTCTGTGGAGCACCCGATAACATTGATTTGCCTCCTGGATTTTATCGTGCTTCCCGTGATGCCTATGTGCCAGATTTGACAAATGCTGTGGATGTTGTGCTTGGAAAATTGGGTTATGGAACATGCAGCGAATGTATCGGTCATCATACTCCTTTTGTATATGTGCCTCGACCTCAGTTTATTGAAGAGTATGGTTTACGAAAATTGATGCAGGATCAAGGAAGTGCCGTGGAATTACATCGTGATGATTTTGAGGCTGGAAAATGGGCTGATGCTATTCAACAAGCATCCAAGTTATCTGGTGCCTGTGATGAACCTGATCGTTTGGTCGGTCACAATGGAGGCCAGGTCGCGGCAAAAACCTTGGAACAATTTGTCATTGAATGGAACAGTAAAAAAAATCAACACAACATTCACCAAAAACAAACAACTACACAAAATTCAGTAACCATGCCAACTCGATTGGATAATTGATTATTTTAATTTAGATTTCTTTGAATTTTTTTTTTTTTTATATCATAATAAAATATATATCCTATCTTAATTTTTTATTATATATCCCTCAATATTATCATCCTCAGATCGATGACACATTTAGTGAAAGACTAGCTTCTATTGGATAAGCTTTTCCCCTTTTCGGTACCTTGAAAGACCAAATATAGTAAACAGTCAGCGGAACAAGGATAAAAAAAAAAAAAAAAAGGTTTCGGTTGTTCTTTCACCCAATCAAGGATGAAGGTCTTTGAAAGAATGAATCTTTTTTTTTTTTATATCTTTTTTTTTTTTATATTTTTCCCTTTTTTTTCTTTTTCAACCCCACTTTTTTTTTTTTATATATATATCTATTATTTTATGGCTAGTACCAATACAACGAAGACGACTGCTATCCAGAAGATACCCAACAAAACAAAAGATACAGCTATAGGCTTCGTCATTGGTGGTTTAGCTGCTTGTGGGGCTGTTACGTTTACCAATCCTGTTGAGGTAAAGATATTATTATTTTTTATTATTATTATTTTTTATGAACATTATGTTTTTTATTTTATTTTAGGTTGTCAAGACTCGATTACAGTTACAAGGGGAATTAGTACGAGCAGGCACATTATCTGCTTCATCACGACCTTATCATAATAGTTTCCAAGCACTCAAGGTAGTATTCCAACATGAAGGCATCAGAGGATTACAACGAGGACTTGGGGTAGCGTACTTTTATCAAGTGTGTCTGAATGGAAGTCGGTTGGGGTTATATGAACCAGTGCATTCGTTTGTGGTCAAGACCAGTGGCTGTACGACACACAGTGGACAGTTAGCGGCTGGGGTATTTTCCGGTGGATTTGCTGGTGTGGTAGGAGCATTACTGGGCTCTCCGTTGTACTTGATCAAGACTCGTCGTCAAAGCTACTCTCCGGTATTCAAGCAGATTGGTTATCAACACAAGATGGCATCCAGTTGGTCAGCGTTGGCTCAGATCTATCAAGTCGAAGGTGTACAGGGCTTGTACCGTGGTGCATCGGCTGCCATGGCGCGTGCAGGTGTGGGCTCGGCCGTGCAGATGCCTTCCTACATGTTTGGCAAGGAACTCATGATGACTCGCTTTGGTTTGCCTGATACCGTCTCCACTCATCTGTTGACCTCCATGTTCACCGGTTTCTTGGTCTGTATCGCCATGAACCCATTTGATGTCGTGTCTACTCGTATGTACAATCAAGGTGTCGATTCTCATGGAAAAGGTTTACTTTATAAGAACCCACTCGATTGCTTTGTCAAGATGACTCATACTGAAGGTATCCGTGGATTATACAAAGGTTTCTTTGCTCATTTCTTACGTATTGGGTAAGTCATTTGGACATGAAGGTGACAATGTACTAATTTTTTTTTTTTTTTTTTGTAGCCCTCATACTACATTGATGTTTGTCTTTATGGAACAACTCAAGGCACTTTATGGTCGTCACTTACAATAGGATGATTTTTTTTACAATTGATTTTAGAATAGATGTATAGAACTTTTGTATGAATAAACTGGTTTTTATTATGATATCTATCTAAGGGGATTTGGAGGATCTAACATGGACTATATGATAAGATGATTTGCCCACACGTAATAAACAAATAGTATTATCGATCAGATCACCAGAAGAGATTTTTTGTCTTGAATCCATGACTCGCACATTATTGATATACATGCCACCTGCTTTGATGAGTTTCTGAGCTTCAGCTACCATAAGTAAAAAAACAAAAAAAAAAAAATGAGTATAATTTTGTATTAAATCATTTTGTTCTTACATTTTGATTTGGTTGCCTTGATCATCGTAGCCAATTGATCAATACCAACACCAACCACTTTATCCTGTTCTAAACTGGCAAATCGACTATGATCATGTTCGAATGCATTGAGAATATCTTGTCCTGATACATTACTAAGATCTTGTCCAAAAAGAACCTTAGTAGCTACCTTGGCCTGTTGAACAGCATCCACTATATATATAAAAAAAGAATGAATCCTTGTATATCCTATATGTTTTTCATCACTTACATCCATGTACTAATTCAGTCACTTCTGATGCCAATGATTCTTGTGCCAAACGTAATTCCGGATTTTTCTATGTCATAATCAAAAAATATGATTTAATAATAGTATATAAAGAAGGTAAACAAAAAATTGATGTTTTTTTTTTATTACCTTATGTTGTTGCAACAAGTCTTGAATTTCGCCGTCATTGAAAAGGGTAAACATGGATAAATATTTGCCAACATCATGATCTGTCGTCTTCATAAAAAACTATGATAGAAAGAAAAAGTAAATCAATGAATGATCAAATGATTTTATAACTGATCCTTTTACCTGATAAAAATCAAATACACTTGTCATGGACTTATCCAACCATACAGCATTGCCAGCTGATTTCCCAAACTTTTCACCAGTTGAAGTCAATAATAAAGGAATAGTGATGCCATATGCTTTTGGAGATTCTTGATCCATAGGATTACGTTTACCAATCATATCAATACCGGCTGTAATATTGCCCCATTGATCACTACCACCCAACTATACATAATCATGAGTAAATCTACATATATCTTTTTTTTTTTTTTTTTTTTTTTTTTTTTTTTTTTTTTTTTTTTACCTGAATGCGACAACCATGATGGTTATACAAGTACCAAAAATCATAAGCTTGAAGTAATTGATAAGAGAATTCCGTAAAGCTAATACCTTGGGTACTTTCCAAGCGAGACCGTACACTTTCCTTGGCCAACATGGTATTGATACGAGCATAACGACCCACTGATCCCAAGAAATCCAATGCCGTCATGTTACTAAACCAAGTGTAATTGTTGAGCACTTTGGGTTTCAGTTGAACATGATCATATCCTCTTCTTTGTGCATACAGAGCCCCATGATGGAAAAATCGATGTATTTGTTGATCAATCCCTGCCACATTTTTATCCAATACTTCACGTTCCAATGGTAATCGTTCTGAATTTCGACCTGAAGGATCCCCAATACTACCTGTAGCTCCACCCACCTAGAAAGAAAGTGAGTTATGATATACACATCCTATACCTTTCACACTTACCAAAGCTATTGTTTGATGACCACGGATATGAAAATGAAAAAGTCCCATCAATGTCAATAGATTACCCAAGTGAAGTGAACTAGCCGTAGGATCTACACCACAATAAATCGCTGTAGGAGTGTTGGTATGTTCAACAAGATCAGGACTATGAATTGTTATAAAAGCATGATCAATATCCCTAAGAACAAAAAAAAAAAAAAAAAAAAAAGGTACCCTTGACTATAATTACCTGGTCGTATTGGCGATTAGGCCACGATTCGTCAAATCCGTCATAACATTGGGTATCCGTGTTGAAGAAGCATATGATCTTTGGAATAAATGGTAAGGGATCACTGTAGGTGATCGACGAAAGAGTAACATGAAGAAACGAAATAAAAGAAGAAAAAAAAAAAAAAAAGAGAAATAGGAATCCAAAAAAAAAAAAAATATGATTTTTTTTTTGTTTGACATCGGTGTAGAAATCCCGACAATCTGTTGTTTGCTTGCACGCAAAGATACAGTAATGCAAAATTATATAAATTTTTATTGAATGGAATAAATGATATATCTAATTATATTAATTTCGTAAAAGAGATTGGACAATATGAGAAACACGAAGGTTTTTGAGATCAACTATTAAAAAATAAAGGTTAAAATGTTTTTCTTTTGTATCTTGATTTCTTTTTTACACTTACGATAGGTTTGTCCACAACCAACAAAATAGATGGGTTGTCCAGTGATGTAAGTCATGGTAAGTGCAGCACCCACCTTATCATCGATGGTATCAAACTTGGTAAGAATCATGCCGTCAATATGTCGAGGGTTCTGTAAACCGGAAAAGTCCTTGAGAGCATTGTTGAATTTGGTAAGTTGATCTACAGCTTCATTTCCTACAAGTGCTTCTCCTACAAAGATGATTTTATCCGGATTATTGACTGATACCAATTTCGAAAGTGCACGCATTAAAGGTTCATTATCTTGCATTCTTCCTGCTGTATCAATCAATACAACATCAAAATTGTTTGCACCAGCTATATATATATATATATATATATATATCAGAAAAGTTCCATCAGAAATAAATACTATAATACGTTATAAATATATATGCTTACCATAAGCAATAGCATCCTTGGCAATACCTGCAGAATCTTTTCCATAACCACGTTCAAATAATTCTACAACACCACCTCCACTAGTTTGTAAAGCACGAAGATTTCTTGCATGTACACGTAACTGTTCCACTGCACCACTTCGGAAAGTATCACAAGCAGCGATAAGTACTTTGATATTGTTTTGTAATAACCAAAAACACACCTTGCTCAAATTAGTAGACTACAATAAATCAAAAAAAAAAGGTATTAGATGACTCCTCTCTTCTTAAATCTTTTTTTTTTAAAAAAAAATTACCTTTCCAACACCATTGACACCAATAAAAGTAATTGTATATGGTCTTTTTTCTGATTTGGCTTGTTCAATATCTCGTAAGATATCCAGAGATGTTTTTGGGGTAAGAATCCGTTTCAATGCTTGTTCCATACTTGTACGTACAACCGTAGATATACCTATTCATTCATACATATAATAAGAATAATAAAAGTTAGAACTATTTTTTTTTGTCTTTATTCATCTCATTTGCACTTACGTTCAAAACTACCCAATTTTTTCCCTAATAGACTTTGCTTGACACTATCACATAGACGATCCGCAATATCCTTGGCTACATTCTTATTGATCATGAGTTCCTTCATCGAGGCTAAAACAGGATCCAGAGTTTCTGCCGTCATTTCACGTTGATTGGTGATGGATTTCAAAAAGGAGAACATACCTGCTGATTTGGGTTGATCATCGTCTCCTTCATTATCTTCATCATCTTCTTCTTCATCCACCATATCGACATCTTGTACTTCATATATACCTTGCTTATTCTTGGTACCAAGTTTCGTCTCATCCAAATATTGTGCCTTGAGTGTATCCGCATCAGTAGTATCTGTTTGACCACTACCACTGTAATCCAATGCTTCCATTTCCCCTTTAGAAATTTGTCCATCCCATACACGCATTTTCTTCTGTGATTTCTTCTTTTCTGTGGCGGTGCTAGGTGGTGCTGATGAAGAACTGGTACGTGATGATGTTTTGCGACTACTTTTGCCTGATCCTCTTGGGCTTCCTTGTAATTTAAGTGCCTTGATATTTTTAGTGATTTCATCATCATCCACTACTGATTTTCCACTTGCTGCTAACAATGCTGATGATGACGATGATGTATTGATTCCTGTTAGTATATAGAAATAAATATATGATGTTGTTAATTTGATCCTTCTTTTTTTTTGCTATTCCAGATCCTTAGTTATACCTGGTGTTTGTGATCCCTTGAGAGTTGTTTCAAATTTTTTGGTATTTTCGAATTTCCTTGGTGCACGGGCTCGATTCTATATCAAAAAAAAAAAAAAAAAGATCATTTGATTTAGGACACCAACAGTAACTTTTTTTTTTTCTTCGTTGTCCTTTTTTCTATGAAACTTACAGAGAATTTCTGTTCTAGAGATTGTAAAACTTGGGAAAAGATAGGATCGAATTCAGAATAGTCACCATTGATACCTTGATCAACCACTACGGTATTTTTATAAGTGTCAATAAAGAGGCGCTTGACAGTCTCCAGGAGTTCATCGATGTAAGGAAGTTGAAGAATTTTTTGATAAGCAACCTAATATGTATATAAAAATATATATATATATATATATAAAATGAATAAACAATAACAATCATCATCATCATCATTCTTACCACAAAGACAAGATCCAGTTCATTGGCAAAAGACCACTTGAGAGCATAACTATCCTTGATATATGTGTCAGTGCCACTTCGTTCCTCAATCAAAACGTTCTTTATAAGAGCCTCCACCGGGCTACCAGATAAAGGTGTGAAAGCATGTTTCCATAATACGAGACCACCTTTATTTATAATAGTGAATAAATCAAGCATGATAGAATGAATAAATATAAAGTAAATATGGAAACGAAAAGAATTTGAAAGAAGAGGAATAAAAGTAGAATGATACCACAGTTTTTTTTTTTTTTTTTTTTTTTTTGTATCGCCGACCAGTGCGTGTGGATCGTTCTTTGCCAACCAAACCAAAATGAAAAAAGGTAGTTGGCATTAAGCGTAGAAAGATCTGATTGGCCCATTTATAGCATTCAAGCCCGACAACATAAAGAAAGAAAGAGAAGTATGTAAAAAAGGGTATTTCTTTTATTATTATATAGAGAAAAAAAAAAAAAAAAGAGAATAGATATATCGAGCAACTATATACGATAAGGGTCGGTTTTTCTTCTATAAGTTTGTTCATCCCAAACAAAGCCAGGATCCAATTTCTTATATCTAGTTGCACAACTCCAACCTTCCCAATCTAAATAAAACATAAAAAAACGAACATTAGAATAATCAAGATTTTTCTTTCTCTCTCTCTCTCTCTCTCTCTATTTACCAAAATTCTTTTCAGCAGGACAATGACAATTTCGTTGTAAATATCTTTCAGTAGGACAATGCATAAGAGGATTATGGAAATAACCAATATCATTGAAGAAATGAACTTGTTCTTTCGGTAACATCATAGCCACGGCCAAAGAATGTACAGGCGCATCACCCCAACGTTCATAGAAGAAACCTCCAGCATGATCCAAATGTTCAAAATAATCCAAATATTTTTGACTACGTAAAAACTCCAAAGAACCAACCTAAACGTATCATACAAGATGAATATCATACAATAATGATGATGATCCTTATTTTTTTTTTACCTCAAAATTGGACCAAAAGTGACATCCATTGTAATTTTCAAATCCATCATCTGTCAACCATTTTCGTAAGCTACTTGGACCATTGGTAAGATGTTCAGGATGTTTCTCCATAAATTCCTTGGTGGTTTTCCATAAAGTAGGGATCGTTTCTGGATATTCTGTCAAAGAAAGAGTCCATCCATATTTGAAATTATTGTCCTTCATCATTTGAAAAACATCATAATCTACATCACAATAATAATTGATATCAGGTTCCACACGCCTATGACATAAGCAAATCCAAAAAGAATGAGAATCTCTTTAAAATAAAGAAGGATGTCTTTTTTTTTCTATTTCATTACCAATAGTATTCAAATTCATCTAATAAAGGATGCCTAAAGAAAAATCCAGATTGATATCTAAAAAAAAAGGATATGATTCATTAGATCGGATTCTGGTTTATTTTTTTCTTGGCATCAAATTCTATACCTGCACATATGTCTGTAAGATTCACTATCACCATAAATAACATGAGCCATGTTTTTTCTTGTTTCAGCCGCCTTTTCTTGATCAATAAAAGAAGGATAACCCCAATGACTAGTATCAATCTTGCCATATAGTGTTCTTGCTTTTGTCATGGATGTAGTGAGTTCCTTGAATTCGTCGGTAAATTCGTCGTCATTCAAGAATACATAAGGATAATTGAATTTTCTGTTGAAACGGTCTTCCATTTGTCGCATAGATTGTCTTACACCGTCCAAATTGCTATTACGTGCCAATATAACAAAGGCTGCTTTGACGCGAGTAGTAGTGTTGTGCCTGTCATCACTAGTGGTGGCAAAAGCCAAATTGTTAGATGAAGTATTTGAAGAAGTAGGAGGAGTAGGTATAATATAATAAGCTACAGTCATAAAGATGGCTAATGCTGCCAGGATCTGTAAACCTAGCGTTTGACGCCTTTTGGACATCATATTGTAGGTTGTTTGAAAGAAAAAGAAAAAAAAGGGAAGAAAAGAGATAGGTAGAAGAAAAAAAAAACGGAATGTTCTAAATGAAGAATGGCCCTAATAGTAGCGGAAAGTCAAAAAAAAAAGGAGAATCATTGGCACGGTCAATCAATTAAAAGAATGAAATGGGACGCACCTTTTTGATTTTGAACGGTTGAAAAAAAATTTTTTATTTCTTTTTGCCTATAAATATTTCTCTCTTTTCTCTTTAATTATTTCTTTTCTTTTTTTTCTTTTCTTTCTCTATCTCAAGTAATCAAGGTAAAATAAATTGGAAATAATAATAAAAAAAAAAAAGAAAAATCATTGATGATGATTAAGTTAATATGTTTATCTGAAAGTTGGATCATATACGCAACCGATCCTTCTTTTTCTGAAGACTTTTATACTTGCCCTCTCTGAAAATGATTACTTTTTCTTTATAAAAATTTGTTACTTTTTGATAAAAATGGATGATTTTCATGACTAATCATTTGTTTTTATTTTTATTTTTTATTTTTTTTAGATTGATAATATTTAACATTAGTATAAAATATTAATTAGATGAACATTAGTATTCAATAAAAATAATAATCATTCTATTTTACTTTTTCATATGTTTTTTTGTTATTTGAGAAATCTTTGATTTTTTTTTTTTGTGGTTGAAACACCGCGTGTTCTTTTTTTTTTTTTTCTCGTCAGTTAAAAATATGCACTTGGTCTTTTTCACTTTCTTTCCTTCTTTCATATAAAATTATTATCTTTGAATTAGACGCGAATTTATTTTTAATATATTATACACCATTGACAGACTCATGGAATATCCTGGGTACTCATCAGAACTATTCGATCTAGATCCTATCGAAAAGGAAGATGAATTGGATCTGGTAAGAAAAAAAAGAAAGAGAGACGTGTTTTTTTTTTATTATTATTATTTTACTTATATACTTTATTTTCACCAGGAACTAGCAAAATATTACAATCAATATTGTTCTGAAACGAATGACAAATCTGAAAGAGAACATCATAATTATATACAAGAAAAGGTAGTAATAGTGATATATACAATGATACTGTTTTCTTATATATATTCTTTTATAGGCTTCAAGAAGTAAAACGGATTATATGGAAATAGTATCAGCTCTTCTCTATGGTATTCTTACAAATCCCGAAACTGCACAACATCATTTTCAAAGTATATCTCTTGTCAACAGAGATCAATATACCATGCTATTCAGTCGACTCTTTCCCTTGGTTACTTCGATAAAGTTTGCAAGTCTCAAAATACGTACCAAAGATCAGGTAATTCTCTTCTTTTTTTTTTTTTTTTAAAAAAAAAAAAAAAAAAAAAACCAAAGAAGTAGTATTTAACCATTCTTTTCATATAGTTGTTATGGCTCTATAATGAATTAACCAATCTCAATATTCCATCATTGGAAGGACTTTACCTCTGTCTACTACGACAAATCAAAGGTGGCGACTTGTCTCCTCCTAATATTCGATTATGCGATCAAATTTTGAAACTATTAGAAACTCATCCTTCTTGGCTTGATGCTTATCCTCGTGTTACTTCCGTAGCTGTATATACTTATCTTCGACTCATTACCGAACACCGTCCTATTCAACTAACCAGTTTACAACAAAGGGAAATTCGTTTCGTCATCACTTTACTTAGACAAAAGGTAAGATTGAAACATTTCAGTTTTTTATATTGTTATTCATTGTATTGTTTTCAGTGGCATGAATGCTCTAGTATAGGTCGTGATTTGATTAGAGGTCTTCATGATGTATACCATTTACCTGAATTCAGGTCTTTTTGGATTGATATGTTAGAACACCCTCAAAAGATATCACCTAATTTTCAAGGTAAAAAAAAAAAAAAAAAAAAAAAAAAAAATTTAAAGATCAAAACATTTCTTAAACTAATCTGTTTTAATTTTTTATAGGCATCGAAAGTGTATTGAAAACACCAACATCAAAAGACTTTTTACGTGCCCGACTGACACCAGATATGGAACATAAACTCATGTATATTCTTCAACATGTAAGTGAACCTCATACACTATAGTGATAATAATATTCACATTATATCTCTCGATTTTTAGTTACGTATTGGACAATTTCAAAGAAATCTAGGATGGTTTATTCAACGTTTTTTATCTACTCCTGAAGCTGAACCTTTTTATACGGATATCATTCGATTCATCGTCGCTGGCTGGTATCCAAACAATCAAATATTACAAAGTGATATTGTTCCTCGATATGTTGTGATTGGTAGTATGATTCGTGCTATCAAGAGTACAGTAGTGGCCGCTAATGTTAAAACTGCTCTTATCTATGATTGGCTCTTCTTTACACCTACTGACAATATCATGTTCATCGGTAATAATAATAAAAAAAATAATATGTATCATTTGATATCTGTACTCAACCTTATGTTATTATTTTTTTTTTTTTTTTTTTTTTTTTGCAGAACCTGCTATGCTACTAATTGAACGATCAGCCGAACGGTACCCTTACATCACTGCAAGTCTTATAGAATTTATCAATCAATCTATCCTAGAATATTACAAACCCATGACAGATTATATGATGAAATGTGTTAAATGTGGTATGCAATTGATGCTTTCCAAATCTGTTATCCGGTAAATATTCACTTGAAATATATAAAATTAAATTGGCCTATTAACATTTCTTATACCTTGTCTCTTTTATTTTGTAGGAGTCTATTATTTATATACCAATGTCCATCCACCGATCAGTACACAAAACAAATTATGCACACTTTATTCGAAGAGTTTTTGCAAGAACCTCGTCAACCAACAACATCATCATCATCATCGTTATCATCAATAGCAACAACAGCAACATCAACAACAACAACGGATACAGCCTTAGATACATCAACAGTGAATAAACTCGACAATAGAGAAGAATCGACAGTAGCATCAAAACTTATAAGTACTCAAGGTACTGAAATGATTGATCAAGATGAAGATGATATGGACAAATATTTATATGGTGAACATGGTAAGTAATATAGGACTGCACGTGTTAAATGCGTTTGGATAGTAAAAAAAAAAAAAAAAAATGCACAGTAGATCAAACTAATTTGTTCATTTCTTATTATATTTAAATAGAAACCTCAGAAACGATGACTGTGGATATGAATGGTCAAGATGACAATGTGAATCAAGATTCAAAGGATAGAATCACCAACATAGAAGAGAAAAAGTCAACGTTCACATCATCAATAGACACAGAAGAAGTATCATTATATGAAACAGAGAAATCGTCTACAATTATGGAATTAGATAATATTCCTGATGACTCCAAGTCAACACATACAGCGACTACGATAGAATCGAGCGATCAGACTCAACAACAGCAGGAACAAATCATCAAGGAAGATACTTTTGATAGTGGAAGCGATTTTACTGATGATGAAAATGAAAAAACTGAAGGTGATGGTTCTTCCTCAGAGACCGCTATGCAATCACATCAATCGTATTGGCTCTTTGGGGATGCTCTGACAAGATTCAAAACAGCATGTGGCACTTTACTTTCGAACCAACTTGATGTCGATGACGAAGAATTCAGTGTCCAACTCATTATTGCGAAACGAAGTCTGAAAGAAATCCTAGCTGTCTTTTTACGTATGGTAAGTGAAATAACAACATAATCAAAAACTAGCTTATTTACACCCTCTCTCTCTCTCTTTTTTTTTTCTTTTTTTTTTTTTTAATACTTATTGTACTAGTCTATCCCTGCCGAAACATTAGCTCCCAGTATTGGTCGACCTATTGTGAAATTAGCCTCTCGTCTTTTGATAGAAAAATCTCACACTGACTATAACAAGGATGACATGACAGAAGATGATGTTATTATGGATACAAACAAAGATCCTTTGGATTTAATTCTTCTTGTGTACTGGCAGACAAAAGAAGATGCTGCTACAAAGGAAAAGATGGTCCATCTCTTAGGTTATATGATGCATAGATGTCGTGTAGGCAAGAAACATGTTTTGGGTATGAGATGGTGGCTCTTTATTGCAAGGTAAAAAAAAAAAAAATTATAATTACCTTTTTTTTTAATAACGATAACATTATTATTGTAGTCAACTGAAAAGCAACACTTACCTTATGACATTGGACGAATCGGACGATTGGACATCATTGGTATCAAGATGTTATGAGGAATACGTATTACAAGATTTTGACTCTAGTGCTGATATGGAAGAAAAGGATTATCTTGGACATATTTTATTCAAAGATCTCAGGGTAAAAGGAGAGAAAAAAAAATAGGAATGATCATCACTAGTACCAATTTTGTTGTTTATGTTTTTTTATTTTATTTTATTTATTTTTATTTATTTTTTTGGTAGTTACTTTCAAGGTACAACATTGAAGCATTCCACAAGGTGTTACCACTTGTCTATCACCGACTTTCTCTCGCTACTACTGGCAACATTAATTTACTAAAACTAATGTCCCATATGGCACTTCCTGATCAGGTAAAGTTCAATAAAGGAATGAACATGGAAAAGAGGGTTTTATTATTATTATTATTATTCTACGGCCTTGTCTATATGATCAGTTGATATCTTATTTATTTTATATTTACCTTTTTTTTTTTTTAGATTGGTGAACTTGTTTGTACTTTACGACTGGGGACGATTAGGGTATTTGGTGACACCTTTGATACGACATACCTTGGTAAGAAAGATAGGGAAATAGGAAAAAAGGATTTCATGTATTGACTTATTTCTTTGAAGGGGCAACATTTGAAAAAAGTGATATTTATGAAGCATCTGCGGTATGGCAAGTATTGGCAGCAGAAGTACAAACGTCAACACATCTGGGTGATTATTTGGCCAAATCTGACTTTATCCTTCCATGTCAAAATCATTGTAAGTGATTTCACAACATGAACGATGCAAACCACTCCTTGCATATCTTGGAACAACCGATTCACCCTCACTTTTACTTTCTTTTTTTTTTTAAATCGATGTATATAGTTCGACCTGATATTGTACCTTACTTGTTGACAGTTTTATCCAGTATATCACCGACAGAATCACTTTTACAATGCATTATTCAAATCTCGTGTCAAACATCGTTCAACCATCCAACGGCAAGACGCCAATTCTCATTGTTAGTGATAAAGACATGGCATGGTAGATACCCTGAACAATTACAAGACGTGCTTGTAGCATGGACAAAATTTATATTGGATGATTTACAAATGAAAGACGATGCATCTGATGACCTGTACAAAATGGCCTCTCTACTGATACAACTGTTACGGTTATGGTGGAAAGAAGAGGATGCGACTTCAAGATATAGTAAGAATGATAGATCATTTTGTTCTATTGTACTAAACTCACACTTTTTTAGGATCATATATGCAAAATAAAACATTGATGACCAATTTAGAAAACATGGCAACTATTGTGAATCAATCTTGGCCAATGGAATGGAAACAAGGTAAAAAAAAAAAAAAAAAAAAAAAAAAAAAAAAAAAAAAAAAAGGTAATGATGTATAGTGTCAATCTCATCCTTTTGTTTATCTATTAGTCTTGGAAAACATCCCTCCACGTAAAAAGATTAGAAAAGTGATTAGTAGTAGTGATGAGGAATCAGATTAAAATAGATATAGATAGATAGACAGATAGTTTGGTTCAATAAAGGACATTATTGTACATACCGTATCCTTTTTTTTTTTTTTTTTTTTTTTTTTTTGTTGGATCATTCAAACCTCCACATATCTATTTCCAGATATGGCAATGGATGTTTTCACTTTTTTTTTGAATGATACAATAAGCATGTATCTCTTTTGAAAACAATCACATCTAAAAAATCACACGCACGCATATATATACAGTATAGATATCAAATGAAAGATCCCCCTTTTTGATTTTTTTTTTTTCATTCGGTAAAAAGACGACAACAAGGATTGCCATCCCATTTTTTTTTTATTTATTTATTTCTGATCTAATGATAAATAACGACACAACTAACTAATAACTACTATGATTAACTACACAAAAAAAAAAAAAAAGGATATTGATCGTTTTCTAGTAGTTTAGGCGATGAAAGACTTGGTGTGAGTATCGCAAATGTCACGGAGCTTGCCTTCCAAATCCTTGGACAAAACACCTTGAGAGCGGATTTCTTCAAGGACATCCTTGTGTTCAGTAGAGATGTAAGAGATGAAATCCTTTTCCCATTCAACGACCTTTTGGACAGGGATCTTGTCGAGGAAACCATTGACACCAGCAAACACAATGGGGACTTGGACTTGGATGGACAAGGGAGTGTATTGAGGTTGCTTCAACAATTCAGTCAAACGAGCACCACGGTTCAACAAGAATTGAGTGGAGGCATCCAAATCAGAACCGAATTGGGCGAAAGCAGCGACTTCACGGTATTGGGCCAAGAAAAGCTTAAGAGAACCAGCGACTTGCTTCATAGCCTTGGTTTGAGCAGCGGAACCGACACGGGACACGGAGAGACCGACGTTGATGGAAGGACGGATACCCTTGAAGAAAAGTTCGGCTTCCAAGAAAATTTGACCATCAGTAATGGAAATGACGTTGGTAGGAATATAAGCAGACACATCACCACCTTGAGTTTCAATGATGGGCAAAGCAGTCATGGAACCATAACCAAAGTCCTTGTTCATCTTGGCAGCACGTTCCAACAAACGGGAGTGGAGGTAGAACACATCACCAGGGTAAGCTTCACGACCAGGAGGACGACGGAGCAAAAGAGACATTTGACGATAAGCAACAGCTTGCTTGGACAAATCATCATAGATGATCAAAGAGTGACGACCATTGTCACGGAACCATTCACCAAAGGCAGCACCAGAGAAAGGAGCAAGGTATTGGAGAGGAGCAGCTTCAGAAGCAGTAGCAGCAACAACAATAGTGTACTTCATAGCATCATTTTCTTCCAAAGTACGGACCAATTGAGCAACAGTGGAACGCTTTTGACCGACAGCAACGTAGATACAGTACAACTTCTTGGCTTCATCAGAACCATTGTTCCAGTTCTTTTGGTTAAGAATGGTGTCAAGAGCAACAGCAGTCTTACCAGTTTGACGATCACCAATAATCAATTCACGTTGACCACGACCAATGGGCACCATAGAATCAACAGACTTGATACCAGTTTGCATAGGTTCGTTGACAGAGTGACGAGGCAAAATACCAGGAGCCTTGACTTGGACACGAGAACGACCAGTGGTTTCCAAAGGACCTTTACCATCAATGGGGTTACCGAGAGCATCAACAACACGACCCAAAATACCAGGACCAACGGGTACATCGACAATAGCACCAGTACGCTTAACAGTATCACCTTCCTTGATCAAACGATCGTTACCGAACACCACAATACCGACATTGTCAGCTTCCAAGTTGAGAGCCATACCCTAAAGAAAAAAAAAATAAAAAAAAAAATAGAGTTGATCGATCGTATCTAATAATAATTAAAATCATTCACTTTTTTTTTTTTTTTTTTTTTTACCTTGAGACCGCTAGAGAATTCAACCATTTCTTCAGCTTGAACATTCTTCAAACCATAAACACGAGCAATACCATCACCAATGGACAAGACACGACCAGTTTCTTGAAGGTTAGCTTCAGAGGAGGAACCCAAGATACGTTCTTCGAGGATGGAAGAAACTTCAGAGGTAGAAGGCTTGGCAGTAGCGTAAGTACGTAAAGCAGAAGCAGCTCCAAGGTTGATGCGGGCCTAATCATTTTTGTTTAATAATAATAAAAAAAGAATGATCAATATATATCGAATTTTCGTTTATTTGTAGTTGTTGATGTTTTTTTATAAAAAAAAAGAAAAGGATGAATAAAACGCTAGTTTGTTTACTTACAGCAGGGGAAGCCTTAGCAAAGGCAGCCAAAGCAGGGCGAGCAATACGAGTAGCGTTTCTCAACATGACCAATGTAAAAAAGGTTTTGTTATAAAAAAAATAAAAAGGAAGGGAAGGGGGGGAGACTGGATAGAAAAAAAAAAAAATATCAATAACAAAAACTCTTACAGTGACTGTCCTTGAAAATAATTTGATGGCTCTCTCTCAACCCTCCCCCCCTGTCCAAGATTTTTTTTTTTTTTTTTCGGGACAAACGTCTTGACCAAATCATAGTAAAATTTAAGGAATGGGCAAATTATATTCATTCTCCGTGAAGATACCTACAGATTATCTTTTTCAACTTTGATAATAATTGAATTCTTATATATATATATATATTTATTCACAAAAAAAAAAAAAAAAAAAACCCTTATCATCTATCATCAGTGGTTTATTTATTAAAAGGTAATAAATTATAAATGATTGGTCAATATTCGGGTGAATGAATGGATGGAAATTCACTTGCCGCGTTTCTTTTTTTGTCTTTCCCCTTTTTTTTTACCGATTTTTTTTTCTTTTTCTTTTTTTTTGATACTTCTTCTTCTTCTTTCTATACCAACATGGATTTCTTTAGATCTGGAAAACAAAAGGCTTCAGCTACTCCATCTGTCAATGAAAAAGAACCAGTGTCTGAACCTGTTCTTGTCGTTCAAAAGGATTATAAACCAATCATACCATCTCCTTTGGACGATACTCAACAACAAAAACTCACTCAATTAAGGGAATATATCAATACCATCTTATTACCAGAAACTGACGACTATTATCCAAATGAAAAAGGTTTTTTGACTGATGCTACTCTTCATAGATATATGCGTGCAAGAAAATGGGATTATGAGGTATATAAAAAAAAAGTGTCAGGAAGTTCTATATTAGGCAATGGGACATGAACAAACTATGATCTTTTTATAGGCAGCGAAAACGATGTTGGAAAATACCATTCATTGGCGACGTGATTTCAAACCTGATTTATTGGATCCTAATTATATAAAACCTGAAGCAGAAACGGGGAAAATGTATTGGAATTGTTTTGATCATGCTGGTCGACCTGTATGGGTAATGCGTCCTCGACATCAAAATTCCAAAGACAATGAACGTCAAATTAAGCATATTGTGTTTTGTTTGGAACGCGGGATTCGTTTGATGCCAAAAGGAGTGGAAACAATTGATATCATCATTGACTTCAAAGGTGCTTTGGCTGCTCATCATCCAAGTCTCTCTACATCAAAAAAGTTTTTGGAAATCTTGAGTAACCATTATCCTGAAAGATTAGGTAAGAAACAACCCCCTTTTCTATTGTCTTTAAAACTCATTCTCCTTTTTTTTTTTTTTTTTTTTTTTTTACTTGTAGGTTATGCTTTCATTGTTAAATGTAAGTAGTTTATGATGTGGATGAATATTGAAGACTCATATTTTTATTTTATTATGATGATGATGATTGTAGCACCATGGTTCTTTTTGACTTCATTCAAACTGATCTCACCTTTTATTGATCCTGTGACAAGAAGTAAAATCAAGTTTGTTGTGGAGAAAAAAGATGAAAAAGGAGATGGTAAACGAGACACATCAGAATTGGCCTATTTGCCTGATTATATACCTGAAGATCAAATTGAAACTGAATTTTATGGTGACTTAAACTTCAAGTTTGATATTGATATTTATTGGACGCGTCTATTGGCATTGACTGGAAATCCTCATAAAGTCATAGATTATTGATGATTTAGATGATATATATACACTTGGATACCATTTGAAAAATAGACAGTATTCTTCTTCAATAAAAGTTTATATATATATATATATATATATAAATGTGATTAATGTATCTTTTTGAACTTTCCATGAACACGCTTCTCGTAACTTAACGCTTGAATCTTGTTACGGACTTTAAACTTTGGTTTTTTTTTTTTTTGCCCCTCTCTTTTTGCCCTCTTTTTTTTTCTTCTTCTTTCATTTTTTTTCTTCAAGCATTATTACCCTCTCTCTCTCTCTGTCTTTTTTTTTTTTAATCTGTTTGATTCCTTATTCTACTACTGTATATACCTTTATATATATTATTTATGTTATCAAACAATGATGGTGATGCTGGCTTTCGGTCTAATGATGTACTTTCCCTAGCAGCACCCTTACAACAACGACAACAACAAAAGTTGATACCGTCTGGATCTTTTCCTCAGCAATATACAACAACTAAAGATGTTGCGACCATAGAAACAGAATCATCTCCAAAACATTCTATCAATGCTGTTCAAAGATTCTCTTCTTTATTACAAGAATCAAAAGCATTTGTTACTGCCCTTTGCGATTCAGACGATGACGACGGTGACTCTGTCCATATCGACCTATGGAAAGATCAGGAAAAACAAGAACAACCTGGCACTGAACCGTCCACAGCAATGAATAAATCCAAGGAACAACAGCCTTTACCGACCGATCGAGAAAAGAAAGTTAGTGAAAAGGTAGCCTATACAGAATAAAATAACTATCGACTTACTTGTTTATTTTTAGGAAAATGCAATCACATTGACCCGCACAACTCAAGGAATCAATATTCAACACTTTGACGACGTGGATTTCAAGTCTCTCTTATCACGAAGTAAAAATATACGCGCCCATGAAACCAAGGATGATGTTACTCATGATCGGAAGAAATCAGTTACACCATTATCGACGCTGGACGTCAACCAACCTTTACGCCATGAAAAATACCATTCAAAAAATAATAATAATAATAAACGACCTGCTCATTACGATCATTATCCATCTAAAAACCGCGTGCCTTCTTTATTAGAAAAACGACGACATCATAGAAAAAGTGATTCAAGGACAACATCCAAAGCAAAGGAAGATCCTGAACTTGTAGGTGATCATATTGTCAGTGGCCAGACATATACCATATTGAACATGATTGGATATGGAGGATCAAGTCAAGTATATAGAGTATTTCACAAAGAATCCAAGGAAATCCTGGCATTGAAACATGTAACAACCAAACGTCTGTCCAAACAAACCTATCATGATTATCGCAATGAAATCACCTTTTTGGTCAAACTTCGACAAAAGAATTGCTTACATATTCCCTATTTGCAGAATTATGAAAACAATCGGATTGCTGGTCATTTGGACATTGTAAGTAAGAGAGAAAAGTGTTATTCCTATTTATTTATTCATATTTTTGTTTCTTCAGGTATTGGAATTAGGAGAAATTGATTTTGCTCATTATATGTTTCTTCAACGATCGAAACCATTGGATTATAACTTTGTGCGTTGGTATGGACAACTGGTCAGTGAAATATATATATATATGTATAAATCAAGATATATGATACTTAACTTATTTGACTTACTTTTGTTAGATGTTGGAAGCTGTAGATGAAATCCATGATCGACATGTTGTACATCGCGATTTGAAACCAGCCAATTTTATTTTGAAAGAAGGATCCTTGAAATTGATTGATTTTGGTATTTCGAAAAAGGTGGATGCTCAAGGTTATGTGGAGATTGATAGTCCCATTGGTACAGTTCATTACATGCCTCCTGAAGCTTTCTTATTTGTGGAAAAGGATGGAAGAAAATATATCCAAGTAAGTTTAGAAATAAAAAATAATAATAATAATAATAATCATCATCATCATCTTCTTTTTTTTTATTAGATCGGTCAATTTAGTGATGTTTGGGCATTGGGTTGTATCTTTTACCAAATGATCTATGGGAAAACACCATTTCACAACGTAGATGCCGATCATAAAGCTCTTTATATCTGTGATCCCTCTTTTATCATTGATTATCCATCCTCTGTGTCCTTTGATCCTCCTTCCGGGACTTCTGTGGTTGTTCCTGTCAAACAAGACGTGATTTCCCTTCTACAAGCTTGTCTCGATCGTGATCCTCAAAACCGGTGGTCAGTCAAACGCCTTCTTAAACATCCATTCTTCCATCCCGAACATTCTCTTTAGTTGCATCTCATTTGTTAATAACTTGCTGCATAGTGTCTTATTTATACAATAAACAAGATTTGATATTCATCTCTAAATATCTTTTTTTTTCTTTCTCTTTCTTTTTTTTTTTTTTTTTTTTTTTGATGAAGATACTATAAATATCAGTGATACACTTATCAATGAACTTCATTTGTTCCTCCTTTTACGGGATGATCTTTGAATTTTCAGATACATGTGTGTGATTTGATCTTGGAGAATACTATCATATCAATCAAAATTCTGGTTGTCATCATGGCTAGCCACATTGAACTAGTATAACTTATAAAAGAAAAACAGAACCCTACTTCTTTAAATAAAAAAATTAGTTTGATACCTGAAATGATATTGTTTAAATTCATGCACATCGTTCATCACAAAAAAAGTGTTTCAAAACGCCATACATAACTATTATCGCAAGATTACATATAAAAGGGCACTTTTCTTTTTTTTTTTTTTTAAAAAAAAAAAATTGACTTTTATTATATAAAACATGATTCAATTTGTACTTGTTATACTTCTAGGTTCTGTTCCACGGATACTATGTGATTTATATTCATATACAGCAGGATTTTGTGCAGAAGGACTTGATATCAAAGTAGCAAACGATGATTGTGTTAAGCTCACCAATGTAGGTTCTCTTCGAGTAGCAGGGGGGACTGAATATGAATGGTTTCTTTATACTTCATATGATTGTTCTGGAACGGAAGGATTCGTCATATATCCGGAAGATGGTTGTGTTGATGAACAATCTTACGGCTTTATACCTCATAGTGCTCATGCTCTACTTCCATAGTTACTTAAATTTGTTGAAAATAAATCGCTCTATAGACGTTTCCTTTTGTAGGTATGGGATGATGCAAATGTTTTGAGAAAGCCTTTTTTTTTTTAAGTTTTTCGGTGCAGGTGGCAAAGTAATAAGACAAGGTTAGTGTGATATTAGATGAAAGGAATCCAAATGGTGGTAGTTTTATTGAATGATGATCATTATTGGAGGAGAGGTGACTGAGTTGCTTCTTATCTTTTTTAAAAAAAAATCTATGGAGATGATCAGAAGACTATTGAATTATTGTTTGACGAAATAGTAATAGATGAATGAACAAAATGACAGTAATAAACATGACAAAGGGGAGGAAAAGAACACATTGAGCAATCAACAAAAAAGAAATCACTTTTTTTTTGACTTTTTTATTGACATTATTCCACTAACTATAAACATACAAAAAAAAAAAAAAAATAACAAAAGAAGTGAAGATGATATATATAAATATACACATAAAAAAAAAAGATAAATAATAATAATAATAAAAATAATAATCAATCCATAGATAAAAAAAGATGACCAAAAAAAAAAATGTACAAAGGTATCATAAAACTAGGGTTTGCTAGGTCGTTCCATCATCATATGAGCAGATTGAGGAGCAAATTTCTTGATAGCAGCAATCAATTCAGGGAATCTTAAAGGTTTTGTTACATATTCATCCTATCAAAAAAAAAAAAAAAAAAAATGAATATTTACAAACACTCTATCCTATTCTTTTTTTTTTTTTTTTAAAAAAAAAAATAATAATATTTACCATGCCAGCTTGCATACAACGATCACGATCACCAATCATAGCATGAGCAGTAAGAGCAATGATAGGAATTCGACCCATATCAGAGGATTGTTCAATTTCACGAATCTTTTGAGTTGCTTCGAATCCACCCATGACAGGCATTTGTACATCCATCAGAATCATATCGAACGGTTGAGTTTCAAACGCTTCCACGGCCAATTTGCCATTGCCTACGATCTTGACATGATGACCAAACTTCTCTAATATACGCACTGCCAGTTTTTGATTGACCACATTGTCTTCAGCAAGCAGGATTTCCAAAGGTACTGTCTTGGAGGCATCACTAGGAAGGGCGGCATGACTTTCCAGTGCTGGAAGGATCGCATCAGAGAGATCAGCCAAGTTGACAGGTGAGTTGATGTAGCCAGTGATACCAAGATCAATACAGAGCTTCATGTTCAGCAAATGTGTTTCAGGAGCAATCAACACAATGGGAGTATACCTCAATGGCACGATTTCACGCACCTTGTTGGCATAACGCATCTTGTCCAATATCACCATATCAAAGAACGGTGCAGGTTGTTTTCTACTTGTGTTGGCATTAGCTATATCAGTGGCTTCAGCGACGGTGGTCACTCGGTATGTTTGAAGTCCTAATTCTTGAATGCGTTCCAATACACCTGTTTGATCATTCATACTATCCAAGAAAAGCACGCGTCGACCAGCAAATCGTTGCATCTTGTCTATCACTTCTTGCTTGCCCAAATCAAATCGATTGACATTCATTGTAAAGTAAAATTGGGACCCACGACCATAATTGGATTCTACCCAGAGATTGCCTCCCATCAATTGAACCAAATGTTTGGAAATAGATAAACCAAGACCAGTACCACCATATTCACGACTACAATTAAAAAAAAAAAAAAAAAAAGATGTCAGTCATCACCATCATTATAATTATAATCTTGCTTACGTTGTGCTACCATCCGCTTGACAGAAAGTATCAAAAATCACATGTAGCTTGTCTTCTTGAATACCAATACCTGTATCGCTGACACAGAGTTCCAAACGTACATGATTGCCATCCGTGGCCACAGTTCTTGTTTGAAGTACAACTTCACCTTGAGTAGTAAATTTGACAGCGTTACCAATCAAATTCGTAATCACTTGACGTAAACGAAGAGGATCACCAATCAATTGATCAGGAATAGCACGATCGACGTTGTAGATAAGATCCAGTTTTTTCTGATTTGCCTTGACAGCCAGGGTTTTGAGCACACTAAAGATGGCAGAACGTAAGGAGAAGGGAATGGATTCAATTGTCATTCGTCCAGCTTCAATCTTTGAGATATCAAGAATGTCATCAATGATGGTCAGAAGACTGTTGGCCAGACTAGAAACAATCATCAGATTTTCACGTTGTTGACGAGAAAGTTCGGTTTCCAAGGTCAAGGAGGTCATACCAATAATACCATTCATGGGAGTACGGATTTCGTGGGACATGTTAGCCAAAAATTCACTCTTGGATCGGTTTGCTAGTTCAGCGGCTTCACGAGCTTGCCTGTTCTTTTGGATGGCATCACGCAATGAGCCCACCATTTGATTGATCTTGGTTTTCAAAGAATCCATTTCACCAGACGCTTCTACAGTGATCAGTCGAGAGAAATCGTTTTCTGTTGCTGCAGCCGAGATTTGCGCAAATGCACGTACTTGTGTTGTCAGATTAGACGCCATGGTATTCACATTACTGGTGATTTCACGCCATACACCTTCGACATCCATCACTTGAGCTTGTACACCTAATTTGCCCTCTGTACCGACTTCACGAGCTACCCTAGTCACTTCGGAAGCAAACGAACTAAGTTGATCCACCATGGTATTAATTGTATTCTTGAGTTCAGCAATTTCTCCATGTACTTCCACTTCGATCTTCTTGGATAGATCACCTTGAGCAACAGCTTTACACACTGCTGCAATCGCACGTAATTGATCAGTCAAATTGCTTGCCATCAAATTCACATTATCAGTCAAATCTTTCCAAGTACCATCAACACCAACAATTGTTGCTTGTCCACCAAGTTTTCCTTCAGTACCCACTTCACGAGCCACTCGGGTTACTTCAGACGCAAAAATACGTAGTTGATCTACCATAGAATTCACCGTTTCCCTATTGTAAAAAAAAAAAAAAAAAAAAAAAAGTTAAGGTGAGACAAAATATAATCCATCTTTTTTTTTTTTTTTTTTTTTTACTACTTACTTGAGTTGTAGAATTTCACCTTGCACTTCAACGACAATTTTCCTTGATAAATCACCTTGAGCTACTGCCGTTGTAACATCTGCAATTGATCGTACTTGTGCCGTCAGATTCCCAGCCATCATATTCACATTGTCCGTCAAATCCTTCCAAGTACCAGCAACACCATGTACCATAGCTTGTCCACCTAGCTTGCCTTCGGTACCGACTTCACGAGCCACTCGAGTTACTTCAGAGGCAAAAATACGTAGTTGATCCACCATCGAGTTCACCGTGATCTTCAAGTCCAAAATTTCACCACGTGTTTCCACATGAATCTTCTTTGATAAATCACCATTTGCTACCGCTTTTGTCACCTCTGCAATGGATCGCACTTGACTAGTCAGATTGGCTGCCATGATGTTCACATTGTCCGTAAGTTCGTTCCATGTACCAGCTACACCTTGTACCACGGCTTGTCCACCTAGTTTGCCTTCTGTACCTACTTCTTTCGATACACGAGTCACTTCAGATGCAAAGATTCGTAGTTGATCCACCATGTTGTTGACAATATTCTTAAGTTCAAGGATTTCACCACCAGATTCTACTTCAATCTTTTTCGAAAGATCACCTAATGCTACTGCCTTGGTTACCTCTGCAATCGATCGTACTTGATTCGTAAGATTGGCTGCCATGATGTTGACATTGCTTGTCAATTCATACCACGTACCAGCAACCCCTCGAACAACAGCTTGACCACCAAGTTTGCCTTCTGTACCTACTTCTTTTGATACACGTGTGACTTCAGATGCAAAGATACGTAGTTGATCCACCATGTTGTTGACAATATTTTTGAGTTCCAGGATTTCTCCACCAGATTCCACTTCAATTTTTTTCGATAAATCGCCTAATGCTACTGCTTTGGTGACTTCTGCAATGGATCGTACTTGATTCGTAAGATTGGCTGCCATGATGTTTACATTGTCTGTCAATTCATACCAAGTACCAGCGACACCCTTGACAACGGCTTGACCACCAAGTTTTCCTTCAGTACCTACTTCTTTGGATACACGAGTTACTTCAGATGCAAAGATACGTAGTTGATCCACCATATCATTGACAATATTCTTGAGTTCAAGGATTTCACCACGGGTTTCTACTTCGATTTTTTTTGATAGATCTCCCATAGCTACAGATTTGGTCACTTCTGCAATGGATCGTACTTGAGTAGTAAGATTGGCTGCCATTTGATTTACATTATCCGTCAAGTCCATCCAAGTGCCATCCACATTCGGTACTAAAGCTTGACCACCTAACTTGCCATCCGTTCCTACTTCTTTTGCGACACGAGTGACTTCAGCAGCAAACACATTGAGTTGAGCCACCATGTTGTTGACAGTATTCTTGAGATCCAAAATTTCACCACGTGCTTCGACATCAATGTTTTTTGATAGATCACCCTTTGCCACAGCTTTGGTCACCACAGCAATCGATCGTACTTGAGTTGTCAAATTGGTTGCCATCGTATTCACATTGTCAGTCAAATCCATCCAAGTACCAGCTACACCATGCACCATAGCTTGTCCACCAAGTTTTCCTTCGGTACCGACTTCACGAGCCACTCGAGTTACTTCAGATGCAAAGATTCTTAGTTGATCCACCATGTCATTCACAATATTTTTGAGTTCAAGGATTTCACCACCAGATTCTACTTCAATTTTTTTCGAAAGATCACCTAATGCTACTGCCTTGGTTACTTCAGCAATCGATCGTACTTGACTGGTTAAATTGGCCGCCATGATGTTGACATTACTTGTAAGTTCATTCCATGTACCAGCGACACCTTGTACAACAGCTTGACCACCAAGTTTGCCTTCTGTACCTACTTCTTTTGATACACGGGTCACTTCAGATGCAAAGATTCTTAGTTGATCCACCATGTTGTTGACAATATTTTTGAGTTCAAGGATTTCTCCACCAGATTCCACTTCAATTTTTTTCGAAAGATCACCTAATGCTACTGCTTTGGTCACTTCAGCAATCGATCGTACTTGATTGGTAAGATTTGCAGCCATGATGTTGACATTGTCAGTGAGATGAAGCCATGTACCAGCCACACCTTCGACCATTGCTTGGCCACCGAGTTTTCCTTCAGTACCTACTTCCTTGGATACACGTGTGACTTCAGACGCAAAGATACGTAGTTGTCCCACCATGTTGTTGACAGTATTTTTGAGATCTAGGATTTCACCACCGGATTCTACTTCGATTTTTTTTGATAGATCACCCAGAGCAACCGCTTTGGTAACTTCAGCAATGGATCGTACTTGTGTTGTCAGATTGGCCGCCATTGTGTTCACGTTGTCAGTCAAATCCATCCACGTTCCTGCTACACCATGCACCATAGCTTGTCCACCAAGTTTTCCTTCAGTACCGACTTCACGAGCCACTCGAGTTACTTCGGATGCAAAAATACGTAGTTGATCCACCATGTCATTCACAATATTTTTGAGTTCAAGGATTTCACCACCAGATTCTACTTCAATCTTTTTCGAAAGATCACCTAATGCTACTGCCTTGGTTACCTCTGCAATCGATCGTACTTGATTCGTAAGATTGGCTGCCATGATGTTGACATTACTTGTGAGCTCATACCAAGTACCAGCAACCCCTCGAACAACAGCTTGACCACCAAGTTTGCCTTCTGTACCTACTTCTTTTGATACACGGGTCACTTCAGATGCAAAGATTCTTAGTTGATCCACCATGTTGTTGACAATATTTTTGAGTTCAAGGATTTCACCACCAGATTCTACTTCAATTTTTTTCGATAGATCACCTAACGCTACTGCCTTGGTAACTTCAGCGATGGATCGCACTTGATTTGTAAGATTTGCTGCCATGATGTTTACATTGTCTGTCAATTCATACCAAGTACCAGCGACACCCTTGACAACAGCTTGACCACCAAGTTTGCCTTCAGTGCCTACTTCTTTGGATACACGAGTTACTTCAGATGCAAAAATACGTAGTTGATCGACCATATCATTGACAATATTCTTCAGTTCAAGGATTTCACCACGTGTTTCTACATCGATTTTTTTTGATAGATCACCTAACGCTACAGCCTTTGTCACTTCAGCAATCGATCGTACTTGAGTTGTAAGATTAGCAGCCATGATGTTGACATTGTTTGTGAGTTCGTTCCACGTGCCTGCGACGCCTTGTACGACCGCCTGACCACCCAGTTTTCCTTCAGTACCGACTTCCTTCGACACACGTGTGACTTCAGATGCAAAGATACGTAGTTGGTCCACCATGTTGTTGACAATGTTTTTAAGTTCCAAGATTTCACCACCAGATTCCACTTCAATCTTTTTGGAAAGATCCCCATTCGCAACCGCCTTGGTAACTTCAGCAATAGATCGTACTTGATTGGTAAGATTTGCTGCCATAATGTTCACATTATCAGTAAGTTCATGCCAAGTACCAGCAACGCCTTGTACAACAGCTTGTCCACCTAGTTTGCCTTCAGTACCGACTTCTTTGGATACACGAGTGACTTCAGATGCAAAGATACGAAGCTGACCCACCATGTCATTCACTGTATTCTTGAGCTCCAGGATTTCACCACGGGTTTCCACATCAATCGTCTTTGACAAATCACCCATCGCCACTGCCTTGGTCACACCAGCAATCGATCGTACTTGTGTTGTAAGATTCGCCGCCATATGGTTCACATTGTCGGTAAGATCCATCCATGTTCCACCCACATTCGGTACAAGTGCTTGACCACCTAGTTTGCCTTCTGTTCCTACTTCTTTCGCCACTCGTGTCACCTCAGATGCAAAGATACGTAGTTGGTCCACCATATCATTGACAATATTCTTGAGTTCAAGGATTTCACCACGTGTTTCTACTTCGATTTTTTTTGATAGATCTCCCATAGCTACAGATTTGGTCACTTCTGCAATGGATCGTACTTGAGTAGTCAGATTGGCTGCCATTTGATTTACATTATCCGTCAAGTCCATCCAAGTGCCATCCACATTCGGTACTAAAGCTTGACCACCTAACTTGCCCTCTGTTCCTACTTCTTTTGCGACACGAGTGACTTCAGCAGCAAATACATTGAGTTGAGCCACCATGTTGTTGACAGTATTCTTGAGATCCAAAATTTCACCACGTGCTTCGACATCAATGTTTTTGGACAGATCACCCTTTGCCACTGCTTTGGTCACCACTGCAATCGATCGTACTTGCGTTGTCAGATTTGCCGCCATTGTGTTCACATTGTCTGTCAAATCTTTCCAGGTACCACTGACACTCGGTACATTGGCCTCACCACCTAGCTTTCCTTCAGTTCCTACTTCGCGAGCCACACGAGTGACTTCAGATGCAAATACTCGAAGTTGTTCCACCATGTTGTTGACGGTATCCTTGAGATCAGAGATTTCACCACTGACATTCACCATGATTTTTTTGGAGAGATCGCCATTTGCCACTGCTTTTGTAACAACAGCAATAGATCGTACTTGATTGGTCAGATTGGTTGCCATCGTGTTTACATTGTCAGTCAAGTCCTTCCAAGTGCCATCCACATTCGGTACACGGGCCTGTCCGCCTAGTTTTCCTTCGGTGCCGACTTCTTTTGCTACGCGTGTCACTTCGGTTGAAAATACACGTAACTGATCCACCATGTCGTTCACTGTATTCTTCAAATCCAGGATTTCTCCACGTGTTTCTACATCGATTTTCTTGGATAGATCACCCATCGCCACCGCCTTGGTCACTCCAGCAATAGATCGTACTTGTGTTGTTAGATTGGCTGCCATAGTATTCACATTATCGGTAAGATCTTTCCATGCCCCACCCACATCCTTGACGTTTGCTTGCCCGCCAAGTTTCCCTTCTACACCGACTTCAAGTGATACCCTTCGTACTTCTGCTGCAAATAATGTCAATTGGTCCACCTAGAATGATTATTATTATTATTATTATTATTATTATTATTATTATTATTATTATTTTTAAAAAAAAAAAAGAGGGAAAGAAAGAAAAAAAAAAGGAATGAGTGAAAGGAAACTATTTCTTTATCATTATTATTTTGAATTTACCATTTGATTCATAGTGTTTTTCAATTCCAAAACTTCTCCTTGGGCATTAGCTTTGACTTTCTTTGTAAGATCACCACAAGCAACAGCCTTGGCTACAACAGCAATATCCCGTACTTGTCCTGTAATCTTGTAAGTCATCATATTGACATTGTCTGTTAGGTCTTTCCATGTACCAGCCACGTCTTTGACAACAGCCTGTCCACCCAATATACCATCTGTACCAACTTCTAAGGAAACACGAGTGACTTCTGTAGCAAATATAGACAGCTAGATTGAAAAAAAAAAAATAGGTTAAATTAAAAAAAAAGTCAGATCATATTAAAAAAAACCTTGTTGAAAACAATGATAAAGAAATGTTTTTTTTTTTACCTGATCAACCATGGTGTTAATAGTGTTTTTCAAATCCAGCATTTCCCCTTTAACTTCGACAGTAACCTTTTTGGTTAAATCACCACGGGCAACAGACTTTGATACTTGAGCAATATCTCGAACTTGATTTGTCAAATTGGCAGCCATTGTATTTACATTATCTGTCAGTTCTTTCCATATACCATCTACACCAGCCACTTTTGCTTGAGCACCTAATTTTCCTTCTGTTCCAACTTCATGGGCCACACGTGAAACTTCAGACGCAAATAGATTCAATTGATTCACTATAAATAAATAAATAAAAAAAATAAAAGGATAAGTTTCTGTAGAAAAAAAAAAAGAAAAATAATATTTCAAGTTCCACCTCTAAATCTGATCCCCCCTTTTTTTTTCATTGTCCCATCCTTTTTTTGGTCTAGTCTTTGTTTCACCATGATTTTTTTTTTTTGGCCCCATAAAAAAAGTTTTCATAAAATGAAAAAATAACATATTGGAAACTAAAAAAAAAAAAAAAAAATTCGGCACACACACACACACCAAGCTGACCCTAGCACTTGATCATTTCTTTATACATGATGACTTACCCATTGTGTTGAATGTATTCTTGAGTACTAAAGTTTCTCCTTTGACCGGTACAGTCATTGCTTTGCTAAGATCACCACGAGCAATGGCAGTAGAGACATCGGCTATATCACGTACTTGTTCCAAATGGTTTCTGGTCATACTATTGAGATTGACAACGAATTTGTGCCAAACACCTTTCATGGGACGATCACAACGTACTTGAACCCCTAATTTTCCTTTCACAGCAGTTTGATGAGCCACATGGAGTACATCTTCAGTGATACTTTGTAAATGGTCGGCCATAGCGTTGACAGCATTCTTGAGAGTGTTGATAGGAGCATTCTTGGATGTGACCTTGATATTACATCGTTCATGAGTACAAGTGATCCGCTGATCAAGTTCACCGGCAAATACAGCAGATGCCACCTTGACTGCTTGAAGGACACAATCAGGACATACGATATTATCAGCAGAGGTATAAGAGGTAGCGGCAGGGAAACTAGGTGCATTCAATGTAAAATAACTTGATGTATTGGCATTTGAAGATGATGTAGTAGTTGATGAAGGTGATAAGAATGAAACAGGATAAGCAGAAGCAGTTGATGATATAATAAATGGCAAAGGTGGAGTAGTCGTAGTTGTACTAGTACCAGTAGTAGCAGAAGAAGAAGAAGTAGTAAGTCCAGAAGTAGTAGTTGAGAAATGAGTAGTAGATGAAGGAGCTAAAAAAAAAAAAGACCATGAGAAACAAATAAAAAAGTTAGTATCTTTTTTTTTTTTTTTTTTTTTTTTTTGTAAATAGAGAATCCGTACCAAAATAAGTAGAAGATTGTGATACAGTAGGCAAAGGAGGAATTGGTTGAAAAGCATGCATTTTATCGACCAATGAAGAATCCAATAAAGAAGGTGGCATATTTTCTTCAGGAGTAACGTTTGCAGAATCCAAAGTGATTGTAGAAGAAGGATATTGATATCTACGATTTGTTCTATCTTGTTGTCGTTGTTCTTCTTCTTCTTCAAGAACAGGTGTTGGTGTAGGTGTTGAGTCATCTAGTCCATTAGATTTATATAATAAATGTTGATGTTCCATTCCTATCCTATAACGTAAGTTTTCAGTTTCCAATTGTAATTGACGATGAGCTATATTCTTGAGAGCAGAATCCATATACTGAAGCATTTCTAATTGAGTGGGATCCATAGTTTCTTTATCTTGAAGAGTATCAGGTAAAGATTGACTAAGACAGTGGTCAATATTTCCTTGATCCAAATGGCGTACCATTTCATGAACATATTTTATGACGTCCATATTATTATTCTTGTTGTCAGTGATAAGTGAACCAGTAGTATCAGATTGAATATCAGATGTTGTATTGCTTTTGGTATTAGACAAAGAGGAATGAGTAGAAGAGTAAGGTTTTTTGTGTAAACGTATATGAAGATCGTCAGAAGAAGAACGTTTCATAACCTCTTCTGAAGGGACAACACAAAAGGGAAGGAAGGAGGTGTAAGAATGAATGAATGACTTTGTATGTGCAAAGTAGAAAAAAAAAAAAAAACTATGTATAATATATATAATATATATATAAAAGGGAAAAGGGGGTAAAGGTATATAACACACAAAAAAAAAAAAAAAAAAGGAGAAAAAAGCAGAAAATCAAAAAAAAAAAAAGTGATGAAGGGAGAAAAGAGAGACAAAGTAATAAAAGTGGCGTGTAAAGTTTTTTGTGAATAAATTTTTTTTTTTTTTTTACCTCTCTTTGCCCAAAAACAGCGCAAGGCAAAAAAAAAAAAGGGGGGAGAGACAGAGCCCAAGCTAAAAAGGAATTTAAGGTTATAAAGTGCACAGTGACGTTATCTCAAAATTCTGTAAGCAGTAACCAATAATAATGTATTATATACATTACGATTTGAAGAAACTGGTCGCCTTTCAAAAGGACGCATAATCACTCCCGACAAAAAAAAACAAGCTGTAACAAAAAAAAAAAAAAAAAAAAAAAAAAACTTTTTAGTTAGGCTTATTTGATCAGCTGATGTATATATATAAAAAAGTTACCCATATGTTCAAAAAGAATTGAATGAATAAATAAACTTTAACCAATGATACAATCACAAGACCACAAATATAATTTTCAATGGTATCATAAAGATCATCATAAGGTTGAAACATACTTTAAATAAAATAACTGTTTGAACAAAATTTTATAGTTTATGAACGATCTTCTTTTTATGGATGATCTGTTTAAGAGAGAGAATGATTTTTGATCTGCTTGAGCGGACAATTGATTGAAAAAAGGAATGCCATTTTTGGAAGATTTGTCCCTCTCTTTTTTTTTGTATCATACCTTTGAGGCTTTTTCGTTGTTGTTATTATTTCTTTTCTACTCTTTTTTTTTCTTCACGCATTTTCTTACTCTCACTCTTTTTTTCTAATTATCATAACAACCATACTTTTATAAATGTCAGATCAATTATCAACTTCTTCAAGTAGGAAATCAGTCATACCTAATTTTTTATATAGAGTAGCTCATCTTACAGTTAAGTTCGTTATCATAATGAAACTATATTTTTTTTAACTTTATCTTTCTTCTTTTATCTTATAGTGGATACGAGTAAATGAATCAACACAAACAAAACTTTATGTTATTTTGACAATTATATCTACCATTGTATGTATTATATTGGAATCCTTGATAGCCGTTGTTAATTCTCAGGCAGCAACCGCAGTACGTTCTTCTGATATTGCAGCAGGTGGAGCACCCGATCTCAATAGTGCTTTTGGCCATGGTGATACTTCAATTGATCCTTATATTTATATTCTGGTATCTTTGCAACGTCTGAAGGATGAAAATGTATTTTTTATCCTATTTCATCTATTTCAGTTATACTTTGGTATTGATGCAGTAAGAAAAAAAAAAGAGTTAATGATGGTGATGATAGTGATTAATTTACTTGACACATTTAATTTTGATAGATTGTAAGGCAAAGTGTGATACAATTGATCGCACATACAGTCAATGAATTTCTTAGTGTTGTCTTTGCATTGATTCAATTGGGTGAAACCTTAAACTGGTAAAAAAAAAAAAAAAAAGGAACAATAAAGAATGATTAACGTGATTATTATTATTTTACAGGCGAAATAAAGTGTCATCTGTGGATGATCAAACACATTTACTAACAAACAAGGATGATTTCTGGTTGGCTTTACGGCTTGAAATTTCATTGGCATCTATCATGGCAGCATTGACTTGTATTTTTGCCCATCTGTCTAGGAGACTTCTATTACAGGTAAATATTTATATACATTGGTGAAATGCATGAAAATGAACCTTTTTTATTTATTTTATTTTTAGTTTGGCTGGAATACATATAAAAGATTGGGTGCTGACATCAAGTTACAAGGTAAAAAAAAAAAGGTTGTGATGATAGAGATGAATGACGTTATTATATTATTTAGCACGATTCCGAATTGCACAAGTATTTTTATTGATTCTCAAGTTGGATGCATTTTTCCATTTGGTATTCTCCCTCTTTTGGTTTGTAGTCATGACGCAAGAGGGTTATTATGAACGGGATTCTGCGGCGTTAAGTTGGTATATTCTTCATCTATTATTGACATTGATTCAAATTCCTGCTTTATTTATGGCTCGTCATTGTATTTTGAAGGAACAACCTGGAGTGATGATTGGTTTTTTAGTTATTCATGGTTTAATCATTGTTGATTTCATCATTGTATTGCAACAAAGTGCGAATTCATGGGTCTTTTGGGTCTTGGCAGGTAAAAAAAAAAAAAAAAAAAATTGTTCTTTATTTTCCTTTATCCATCGGTTTTTAACTTTTTTATTCTTATTTTAGTTTGTTTGGCCATCCTATTATCGCTGGTAAAAAAAATATTAGCATATGGCGGGGTTGTACTGATCTTTTTTTTTTTAATATGTAGGGCACCATGATATTGGGTACAATGGTAGTACGAAATTTTGACAAGGGATTAAAACCACATAGTAAGTTACAAAAATAAAATATATATATGATAGTCTATTTATTTTATTTTATTTTTTCTTAGTACAACGATTATTTGATGAAAACTATCAAGAAAAATTCAAAACTAATAAGAATGAAAATTCATGGGTGATAGATGATGATGATGATGATATGCCCCCAACAAAATAGTTAGTTTTTTAGTAGTATTGTAGAATTAGAAACACGTGTCATTTTATGTTTATATATATATATTATTTCTGTATTTATTCAAATGATTCCTTTTGTAGTAAACCCCTGGTGACTTTTTTGATAATGACGATGTTATATAATAAAATGATGATAATAAAGTTTGAATTACAACTTGGTTTTGTCTTGTATGATTTCTGCATAGAAATGACAGTAGGTGTAACCTTTTTATTCTTTTTGAATGTGGTTATTTTGACATGAAAAAAAGAAAATTACTTTATCTGTTTACTTATACAATTTTGTCATGACGTATATCCTTTTGAGTTCAGGGTCATTCATTCCACATGATGATATGGGGGATATTTAGTCAACTTAAAATTCAGCCTTGTACAAGAAACTCTTTCATACTCCACTTTTTTTTTTTTTTTTTTTACTTTCTCCTCTTTCTTTTTTTTTTTTCTTTCTTTTTCTCTCTTTTTTTTTTTTCTACCTTTTTTTATTCTATCATTTTATTATTATTCTATTTACATTGTTATCAAAAAGGAAAAGAGAGTGAAATTAAATTAGATTCTCTTAAAAAAAAAAAAGAAAGATATATTAGTCATCTTTTATCAAAAGGAGAGAAAGAGAGAAATAGAGCGATCAAAATCATTTTAAAACACTCTTCCAAGACGGACGACTATAAATACAAATATTAACAATGAGAATTCCATCTGGATGTTCAAAACATGAAAAGTCAATCATTGTGGATAGAGTCAAGGGCTTGATCTTTGGTAAACAAAAATGAAAATCTTATATATTTTTTTTTATATTAGAAATTTCTTTATTTTACTTTTTTTTTTTCTTACTCCGGTCATAACTAATAATCTTTTATATAGGTGCCATTATTGGTGATAGTCTTGGTTTAGCTACTGAAGGAATGACAAAACAACAAATTTCACAAACTTATGGTGATGGTCCTATTCAATTTGGTATGGAAGAAAGTGAAGGAATTCCTTTTTTACGTGATTCTTATCGTTCTTCTTTTGATGACAAGTAAGTTATATTGTTTTCTGTAAAAAAAAAAATACTGCTTAAAAGTTTATTTATGTAAAACCAAAACAAATAAGATGGCGAAAAAAGAAGGGGCGATCACAAGAACAAAAGCGGGTTCTTAACAATCAGGGGCAAAAGAATTTGGGGGATCCAACTTAGTGGGGATTGAAATGAGGTCATTCATTTCTTTTTTTTTTTTTTACACTTATTTTCTTCCTTTTAGTGATTTTGGTGGTGATTCTGAACAACAGTTATTACTTATTCAATCTATTATACAAAATCATGCTTTTAACTATAAAGAATATGCAAAATTATTACAAGACTATAGTCAACATGGTTTACAAGGATTACAAAAAAAACCAATTGGTATCAACAAAACAAGTCAAATTGTTATTGCTCATCCTGAATTCCTTATTAATCCTGTAAGTAACAAGTTTTTATTATTATTATTATTATTATTATTTTTACTTATTAAATTGATTATAATAGCGCAAGGCAGCAGTCGAAGTTTGGCAAACAACCAATAATTTACGAGGTGCTAGTGGTGCATTAGTTAGAGCTGCTTTACTTGGTATTCCAAAGTTTTGGGACGGTACAACTGTGATTGAAAATACTACGGATTGTTGTAAAATCACTCATCCTGATCCAAGGTGTATTATATCATGTGTGATTATTTCAACTTTGGTGGCAAGAATTCTACGTGGTCAAGATTTGGAAACTGATGATAATGAAAACAATCATAATAATAAAAAGAACAACAATAGACTCGGTACAACGGATTCATTGACTTTACCTCCTACACCAACGGATACTCACAAAATGACGGATGGAAAAGAACGTCGTCGCGTGATGGATGATGAAGTAGTGATGAATCATCAAATCAACGTTACACCTCCACCTTCTTCACCTTCTTCGAGTTGTTATACGTCATCGTCTTTCCCGGGATACCTTGAAACAGATACAACACTTATGAAGATTGTTCGAAGTGTGATTGAAACCAACAAAGGGATCCTGACTGCACCCAATTCTGATCCTTTGTTTATGACGCCTGAAACCGATGCTACTCAAACTCAATTATATTATCAACAACTGGTGGAAACCTGTTCTTACTTTGAAGATGGACCATTGGATTTTTCCTTTTTACAGCTGGACTCTATGATTCAAGGTTCACTCAAGTGTCTTCATGCTAGTCTTTATTCTTTTACTCGTCATCTGCCTGCTGGTCAAGAAACGGATTCTTTCAAGCGGATTTTGATGGATTTGGTCATGCAAGGTGGGGAAGCGGATACGAATGCTACAGTAACTGGTGCTTTATTGGGTGTTCGTTTGGGTTATTCAAATCTACCTTCGGAATGGGTCGTTGGTCTCAAACGCTGGGAATGGTTAGAAGATCGGGTGGAAGATTTTTGTAGTTTACTTTAGAACTTTTTTTTTTTTATTTTTATCATTGATACCATACATCAATATTATTCTTATTCTTATTATTATCGTCATTCAACAGCATATAGTGTCATTTTACTTTTCCTCACCCCTCCTTTGTATCAACTCCTTCAATAGTTTTCTGGAAATCTTGTCTTGGATCCTTCCCTTTTCTGTATGTAGTGACACTTATTTATATCCCTTCCCATTCGTTTTATCTTTTTTTTATTTATTCTTTATTTATTTACTTCATCTTCATTAACCTATCTACAGTTATATAACACACACAATTTATCTCTGCAATACCTTTTTTTTTATTTTTATCTCATACATATACTTGTCTATACATTTTTTTTTCTACATTCTTCCTTTTTCCCCTTACAACTCTTTTTTTTTTTTTTTTTTTTTTTTTTTTTAGCATCTAGTCTATTATAATCACCCTTTGATTACAAAAAAACCAGATACAAATAAAATAACTTATTATCCAACCCTTACATAGACATGATGATCTCCTTTTTTTACATGACAAATACTTTTTAATGACAACTTTTTTGTATAATAATAATAATAATAATAAAAAGAAGACAACACATGATTTTTATTATTCATTCTACTAAAAGCAACTAAACTAGACTATAAAAATCTGAAATTAAGATTTCATCAACACTCGATCAACCATATCACATGACAGACCCACGTACTGGGTAGGGTCACACAATCGTTCCAACCAAGCCAATTCAGTTGCCTTGATCACACGTTCGTCTTGTTTCAATAAATCAATCAACATACAGTCCTTTTGTACGGCTTGCCGGCACAAGTCATAAACAATATCATGTGCTGTCTGTCTACCCAACACATCCGCCAATCCCATCATCACGGCTTCCGAGACAATCAATCCCTTGGTCATGTTGAGATTTCTTGTCATTCTTTGAGGGTGTACTGTCAAACCTTCCATCAATGATTTGCTTTGTGAGAGTACACCTGATGTCAAAATAAATGCTTCCGGAAGAACAATCCATTCTAAATAAAGAAAGATGAATAACTATCTCTCATTTTTTTTTTTTTTTTTTTACCTATTTCCCAATTTCCAGTACTACGTTCATGATCAGCTACCATGGCTTCCAATAATGCTGCTGAATGTTGACGAACTGTAGATGCCATAGAATGAATATAGACACAACTAATAGGATTGAATTTGTTTGGCATGGTGGAACTAGAACCACGATGAGGAATATATTTTTCTGATACTTCACCCACTTCTGTTTGCATCATCAACTATATTGAAAATAATAATAAAGATAAAATCAATATTTTACAATATTTTTTTTTTTTTTTTTTTTTTACTTTGATATCTGTAGCATTTTTGGATAACGTGCCACATAACATAGCCAAAAAGCAACCAACATCAGCAATTCTATCACGCTCCGTATGCCAGGCAATTTCCGGTTGTTCTAATCCAAGTTCTTTTGCAAGCAATTCTTGACATTTCAAACCTTGAGTACCTAAAGAAGCAAGAGTACCAGCTGCTCCACCGAATTCAAGTACAAGTACAGATGAACGAACTTGATCCAATCGTTTCTTATGTCTTTGTAAAGTTGCCAACAATCTAGCCATTTTGAATCCAAATGTAATAGGAACTGCTTGTTGAAGATTACTTCTTGCCACCACTTTGAATGCAAATATTTTAGTTAGTTTTTTTTTTTTTATTTCTATATATGGATAATTTTTTCTTCGGAAGCTTACTTGGTACATCCCGATAAGTTGTTGCTAAATGAGTCACGGCATTCATAAGAAGATCTAGTTCATGATCAATCCAATTCAAACCATCCCGTATCTGCATCACAGTGGCGGAATCAGTAACATCTTGAGTAGTAGCTCCAAAATGACAATATTCTCCAAGTCCACGTTCACACTTTGCTACCAATTGACGCACAACACCGAGTACAGGATAACCAATCAATTCAGTAGTTGCCTTGAGTTCATCCATATCGATCGTCTTCAGGGTGGCCTTGCGTTTGATTTCTTCATATGCTTCTACAGGAATGATGCCCAATTCACTTTGTACTTTGGCCAATGCCACTTCCCATTCAAGATAATAATTGGTTCTTGTTTCGTCAGACCAAATACCTACAAACCCAATGGAATAATGATAATAATATTAAAAAAAAAAAAAAAGAGAGAGAGAGAGAGAAGAAATAAGTAAAGGAAAAGAATATGTGTGAGAATAAAAACACGTCCCCTTTTGTGTTTTAAAAATTAAATGTTACCTCTCATGGCACTAGTACCAAAGATATCCTTGAAAATATGTGAGTCGATGACAGTAGACATTTGAAAAAAAAAACACACACACAATATAGTTTGATACCCAAATAATAATAATAAAAAAAAAGAAAAAAGAGATTGAAAGAAAAAAAAAAATTCTACCTTTATTCTAATTGCATGAGTAAGCTGAGAATGAAAGAAGAGCAGGGACAAAAGGGGAAACTTTCACCCATTTGTACGATTGGCGACCTCAATCAAATTCCCATCTAGATCATAAATATAGATAGAAGTTAATTCGCCTGTAGCACCCGTTCTTTTTACAACGGAAAGATGATTTTCCAGTACCAAAGGTCCTTCGCTTGAGAATTGATGATGATGTTGTTGCCAATGTTCAAGAATGGATTGAACAGGTTGATCTGTCCAAAGACAAAGATCTGTACTCCCTAATTGAGGATGTTGAGCTATAGGAATCACTTTATCACCACCAGTTTCATGAAGATTGATTTTTTGGTCTCCGAAGTGAAGTGCATATCTTTTCTTACTGGGGTCTGAAGGGGATGTAAAGATATGTGCTTTCATGCCTCTATGAAAGAAAGATATGATTTCATGATTTCTTTTTTTTATTTATTTAGGATAACTTACAACATAGTTTCATACCATTGACATGATTTTGCCATATTGGAAACATTGATGACAACATGATCAATTCCTTTTATAATAGGTTTCATTGTGGAGGTAAAAAAAAAAAAAACAGATAAACAAGCTAAATACTCAAAAAGAAAAAGACATGGGCCCTTCTTTTATAAACGAGAAGAACACACACACATGTTCGCGTAGCCATTTTGCATTCCGACTGTTTCAATTCATTTCCTCAAATGGTAATCCATTGTACCATTCATTTTCAAACAATCACATCAATATGCCACATCAAAATGAGCACCAGAAAGTTTATTAATAAAAAAAAAAAAAGATGAATACATATCTACACTAACAAAAAATATAACTAATAATAAAAAAAGAAATCATCATGTCTATACCTCATTGAATGATACGTCTTTTCATTTTCAATTTGTAGGAAGCGTAAAATACAAAAGCCAAATAAGTCGCGACATAATCCTTGATCATAAAGAGGATCCCACTATTGAAGAAACCCTTGATGATTTGTGCCTTCATTCCCTAATAAAACACAAGATATTTAGTCTCCATACCTTTTATTATTATTATTATTATTACCTTGTAAATACCAGTGATACCTTCTTTCTCAATGACTTGTTTGAATAAAGTCATCATGCTTTGATCCTGTTCTCCCTTTTTAGATCCGATCATATTGGCACGAACAAAGATAAAAGGATAAGTGATCATGGTTGCCATACTTTTCGCCAAGGCTGAGAATAAGAATGTTTGTACACTCGTCAAAGTAGTCTTGTTATGAGTTCGTAAATAAAAAGATTTCAATTGTTCAAAAACAAAATAAGTGATGGATGGATTAGAAACCAAAATAATGGATGCTCGGTATCCTAAAAAATAAAAAAAAAAGAATAAATATATGCTGTTTTTCAATAATATATTTTACCTGTCCAAAAACCTGTTATCTTTTTTTCATTATAAATATCCTTGACAACATCCATAAAGGAGACTTGTTGACTTGTTTGTAAACGAGTGGTGATATTGGAAACGGGAGAAGTGAAGAAACGGGAAATCAATGCCGCCTCGGCCCCTAAAAACAATTCTTGATAAATATTCAATGTAGCCGTCGATTTACCCATGGATGTATTGAATTTTTCTTGCATATTCCGAAGTGCCGTGTAGCAATAAAAATAGATAAAGCTGGACAGTACCGTGGCCACATTATCTGCCCCAAGTCCCCTATACAATCCTTCTATGCCTCCTTCTTGATAGATCTGTCTCATCATCGATACCAATCCTTTAGAATGTCCTTCCTTCTTTTGTTCTAATTGTAGTCGAGTGGTTGATCTAGATAGAAGAATATGTTAGTTTTTTTTTCTTATTATTATTTATCAAGTTCACTTACATGTCAATGGGATAGATAATCATATTACTAAGAATACTGGCTACAGCTCCAGAGATAGCATGGCCAACCGGAGGAAGTTTGTATTGTTCAAAAGGAACAATGCCATCCTTTCCTGAGCTCATGTCCTTCTTTGGCTACTCTTCAAAAAAAAAAAAAAAAGGACGACAACAAAGAAAAAAAAAAAAGGTGGAAAAAGAGGGAAAGAAGAAAAAAAAAAAGATGATGCCACTGAGTTCAAATCACCACGTGAATGATAAAAAAACTTAGCAAGCAGGAAAAAAAATGATTAAAAAAACTATGTTTGCTTTTCTGATGAGAATATAGATTTTATTGACAATAGGAACTAATAAGAAAACAAATAGAAAATAAGATATATACAGAATGTAGAATCAGTTCTATATTATAAAAAGGAAATATATAGGAGAGAACTAAAAAAAAAAATAATTGAAATCAATTCAAAAGATTGTGGATGTTCATGGCAGTGGAAGAAGGAAGTAATAAACTTGGGGAAGAACTACAACTGTTAGAGGTCATGGATGAAGGTGATGTTGATGTTGATGATGCAGATGATGAAGGCGATAATAATGTTTGCAGTTTTAATGGGTGTAACGGCTGTTTTGGAGGCTGAACTGGGGACATAGGTTGAACTGATGATGATGATATTGATGATGACGGTGAGGAGATCGATGGTTTTGGAGATATAGATGACTGTTTTACTGGAAATTGATTGATCATATGTTTGTGTTGTAATGAATGATGCCGAAGTTGTGTCGGTGATGTAAGAGGGGATGGGTGATACATAGATGACGATGATGTAGATGATACCAATGGTGATGGTAATTGTTGTAATCCCGGTGTTAAAGGTGAATTCATCAATGATGGTTGTACTGTTTTTGAAGGTAAATCTATCGATGGTTTCTGTGATGTTTCTTGTGATTTTGTTTGTTCTTGTCGTTCATCTGGAACGTTGCTATCCTCCAAAACCTCTTCCGTGTTTGATTTTCTTCGTAATGTAGATGAACTTCCTCTTGCAAAAGCACCATTTTTGAATTTCGCCATATGATTTGGGTCAATAGTCCAATAACCTCCTTTCCCTTTTGTACCATCACCCAGTACAGACTTTGGTAATTTCCTAAAGCATCGATTAAGTGAGAGATTATGCCGTATTGTATTCTATAGCATCATCCATGATATCAGCCCAAAAAAAAAAAAAAAAAAAAAAAGATTGAATTAGTATTGAATAACTTTAGATTGTCCTTCGTAACACACACACACATATATATACATACAAATATAGAATCTTCTTATCTGATACTATCTTTGCATATATATTTTTTTTTCCATCGATTTGTTTATTTTTTTTACCTGCCAACCAACATCATTTGCACTATATAGAGCTGGATACTTATCGACAATCCATTGATAGATTTCACGTAGAGTCATTCTTTCATTTTCTGCCTCTAAAATAGCTTGAGCAATCAAGGATGAATAAGAGAATGGTGGTCTTCGTCGTTTTCTAGGTGGTTTTCCAATGTTGGGCATCATGGGAATAAAAGATTCAGATACAAAAGGTTGTTTGAGATGTTGTTGTTGATCTTCCACCCTATACTGTTTCACGGAAGAGATAACGGAAGGATAACGCATTGCAACAGGTATATTGGGAAGCTGGGAATAACGATGCTCCTTATTGTCCATTCTTTCATCTAAACTACGTTTTTTGTCGTGTGTATCTAGATTGTTGTTATTGTTGCCATTGTTGCTATTTGATATCATGGTGGCTTCAAGACTGTCCAAACTACTGTTATTTTGTCGCTCAATAGCATCACCCACAAAGGACATGTGTAATATATATTGTAGTAATAAGAGGTAATGATGAACTAATGGAAAGAACGTTCACCTCCTATAGAAATAAAAAGACTAAGTAGTAACAATAACAATAATAATAATAATAATAAATTAACAAACGGAAGGAGGAAAAGGAAAGATTGTAGTGCGTTTTTTTTTTTTTTTTTTATCTTCCCATTTTTCGCAATCCGCCTCATTATTCTTTATCAAAGATGCTCCCCTAAAATTGAGCCGCAATCATTAAAGCTATATCTGATCTCTTCAAAATAGATTTTTTATTTTATTTTATAATGAATGATTAATTTGGTTAATAAAACACTTGATTTAATAGAATGATTGTTTCAAAGTGATTGAATAAAATAAAATGATTTAAAAACTCTTACTTAATTTTCTATATTCATATACTTTTCTGTGCCTATTTCCTTGTTGATGCCTTCCTTTTTTTTTTTTTTTTTTTCTGTTCGCTGGTTGTGCGTGACAGAATACCATCCTTCTCTGGAGTCTTCTCACTTGCTGTTTGTCTTCTTGTCGATGTTTCTTGATCTAGTTGATCTCTTTCGTATTTTTCCTCTTTGGGTGCTTTATTTTTATGATATTCAATTATCCTTTTTGCATCACCTTTTTTACATTCTAGATGGGGTTGATACAGTTGTGCCTTAGAGCCCAGCGTTTTTTTTTTTTTTTTTTTTTTTTTTTTTTTTTTTTTTTTTTTGATTTTACAGCCAAAATTTTCAAATTCCTCAGCCAAACTTTGGCTGTAAAAATAAATTCTCGAGGGGTCATCAGGCAATTTTTGGAAAAATCAATGAAATGCTTTTGGTGATGATTGCACATTAGATGTAAGAATAATGGATAAAATAAAATGAAATGACATTAAACTACTTTTTTGAGAGGAATCCAATGATCGTCATTTGATTGGCTGATGGTCAACTAGTGAATGAGAAATGACGACATTGACCTTTATTTTTTTATTTTACTCTGTAAATTGTGAGGTAATATATAAAGTGTTATTAGTACAAATGAAAGTTAATTTAATTATGTATCTTTACTCCAAATTTGATACAATGATGATGATTTTTGAGTGAGTTACAAAAATATAAAGTGGCACACGTCCCATGACAGCATGATATCAAGACGCTTACGCATCGAATTGCTCGCTACGGAGCAAGCTGACCAATGAAAAGCTATTACTATTGTTAGTGTATTTTCGTGAGAGGAATCTAATGGTGGTAATATGATCGGATAATGTTCAGTATTGGGTGAGATATGATGAAAAAGACACTTGTTTTTTATTTTATTCTATAAATGGCGAGGTAAAGTAGAAATGCCATTCAGGCATGTCAAGGAGAATGATTTCGTCTATATTCGGTCCGAACGTGGTACGATGATGATTACTTTTGAATGAGTTGTAAAAGTATACAACTGGTGGATGACATGGATTTTATCGAAAACAGAAAAAAAAAAAAAAAAGAGCGATATTAGTTTATTTTATTGGATAATTTCTACCCAGGGGTTGTCAAAAGCAAATCGAATGAGGGGGGTAAGAATTCCCTTTTTCTTTTTTTGTCTCCGGATAGATCATGATCACAGTTCATTGATGGCAATATGATGACGGATGATGTATAATTGATATAATTGACTTATTATACTTTCTTTTCTTTATTTGTTTCTCCTTATTTGATGAGATGTCATATTCGGAATATGCCGATTGAACCTCTTGATCTTCTGTTAAAGTCGTATATACAATTTTAGGTAATACAACATCAGCGAAGGCTTGTGTTTTAGTAACTTCCATTTTGTACCACCACCTCCATGTTCTTTTTTTAATTTAAGAATCATCTTCTATTTCTTTCCGCCTTTTTTTTTCTTATTTTTTTTTTTTTCTTTTATCCAATATGATCAACAAAAAAGAGAATGAAGCTAAAATTCCCTCTTCTGGCAAGCTAGGACCCCAGATCGATATCGATATACCAAGACGTGCATCTTCATCTTTCCCCAGAAAGCGTAGATCTACATTTTCTAACAAGTCTACAAATGCACATTACTGCAAGGGCACGGAACCTCTATATCTCCACCACAGTTTATCTTCCTCCGAGGAGAGCATAACTGCACCTTCCCCCAAGGAGAGTACAGTTGCATCCTTCCTCCATGAAAAAAATCCACCTGCATCCTTCCCCAAGGAGAGCACAATTGCATCCTTCCTCGAGAAAAATCCACCTACATCCTTCCCCAAGAAGATTATACCTGAATCTAGAAAAAAGAGCATACCTCTGCCCTTGTGCAAAGGGAAACGTAGATCGACAAAGTTTTATACATCCCATAATTTTTCAAAACCCGGTCCAGTCCTCGACCTTATGCTTGTGGACATGATTGCTACGGTGAGGTCCAAGCGACTGGTTTGTGTTAAGAAAAACATGTATGATTCCTCTTACAGATACGCCTGCGTCAGCTACCGTTGGGGTGAATGCGATGAACAAATTGCCTTCACGCCAGATTATAATGCCCGTGTAACTAGTTTTGCCATTTCAGATTTAATTCTCTTGTGTGGACAAATACTGCTTTGGCATGGCGATAAAGACGACGATGATGATGATGATGATGATGATGATTCAAGTAATGATGATGATGACAATAATAATGATGACGATGACTTCTCTAAGAGTGCGGTTAAATATTTATGGGTGGATGCTATCTCAGTGAATCAATTGGATCACATCAACAAGAAAAAGACTATTCATCGTATGTCCGAAATTTTCGCACGAGCTGAAGTGGTTGTTGCTGTTCCTGATTTGCATATCAGTTACCTCTTACAAAGCATGAATAATTATGAATGTATGGATGCAGTTTCCAAATACGTAAAGAGAATCTATGTTCATTTGTCTATGCAATGTGGAATGAAGAAAATGGATGATGATATTCAGGAACAAAAAGAAAGTCAAAATGGTAAGGCAAAAAAAAAAAAAAAAAAGCCCGTCAACTACTAACCTAATCAAGAGTAATCTTTCTCTCTCTCTTTTTTTTTTTTTTTTTTTTTTTTTTTTTATGCCGCAGTTGACAATGATGGTAGTGGCACAGTGACTACTGAAGGAAATGAAGACGATGACGGTATCGAAAATTGTAAAGTGTGCCCTTGTCTTGCGGGGCTGACGCAAACAGAAAAAGACAATTTCGCTCGTGGATTGCGGTATCTGGTGCATCTTGTCATGGAATGGGCCAATCGAACATGGGTGATTAGCGAATGCAGCATTGGAAGAAGAACGAAGATGAAGTTATGGTTTCTCTCGTTTTGTTATGAAAATATCCATCATCAAAACCGACCTAAACAACTCTTGGATTTATTTAATGAACGTCGACCTACCATCTTTGATCAACCTTTGAAAGAAAGATCTTTTTTAGATATGATGTTGAATTCAAGAACGATGCGCAATGAAGATCGATTCTATGCCATCCTCCCTCTGTACAAGGAATTTAAACGTATAGCTGATGATCACGACATTTCTACGTGGGGTATCACTGATATGCTCTCTGTTCGGCTCCAGCTTCTTCGCATTGTCAAGTTTGAAGAGAAACTGGCCCTCTTGCTTCTCTGCACACGATCATCCTTTGTTTCTGATATCATTCTTCCTTCTTTTGCTTCCTGTCTTTCAAGCTCGGATGCCGTGTTACTAAGATGGGCTACTGAACTTTCCTACAAACCATCGTTGTTACAGGATATTGAATTGCTCAAGGATGAGGATCATGATTATCTCCGCATCACTGTGCCTTGGTCAAGAACATTTACAGATCCAATCCTTTCTCATGATATTGAATTGACGGAATATGCTCGCGAAGAATTGGGGTTGAAGCTCTCTGAACTGGAGGCCGTTTTCATGCCTATTACCATTCATGATGAAAAAACAAATCATACCATGGGTGTCAAGTTGTTAGGGTGCCGTGAAAAAAACATATGGATCATGCTCAATCGGATGATGGATTTAGTGGATGTCCCTCCTTCTTCGCCTTCAAGTAATGGTTCTGCTGGTCAGCATCATGAACTTCACAGCTTGCGCTCGCTGGATGCGTTGTGGTCAAATAAACATCAAGATGATCAGGTATTTCATCTATATTAGAATCATATCTATTTTTTTTGATAATAAAAGAAGTAGGTTCAAGTTAATCAGTAGTAAGATGTATGGGGTTTCTTTTTGGCAGCATCAATTTAGTTAGGTTAGAGTTAATACGCCGCTGATGATATAAAAAGGGCTATATTTTTTCATATTTTTCAATTTTTTTATTTTTCTTTCCTCTTTCCATTCTTCCGCTCAATCGCACATTTTTTTTTGTAAGTCTCCACCAAAAAGAAAAGGGTGAATGAAAGTCAGCTATTCATAAAGGTAAGCTGGTCAGAAAACTATTGGCATTATGATTTATTTTTTTTTATTTACCTTCATACAGGAATCCTCAAGTGAACTGGGTCATGGTAAGCACGATACATACTGAAAACAACAGAAAAACAAGGTACGAAGAATGGCAATTGTTTCTGTCATTCACCGTTTTATGTTGATATGTTTCTTGCCTTTTTTTAGAGTGAGAATCTCGAAGGTTCATTCCAAACAATCGCGGTTCAAGTACTTACAAGAATGCATTTGACTGTGTTATGCACAAACTGGTAAATATGAACCGTACTCATAAGGTCAGTTATTTACTCTCATTGATATGATGGGTTTTTTTTTTATTTTTTATTTTTTTCTTTTTTGGATGGAAAATCGTTGCGTGGGATACTTATACTGATGTCCAGTTTTTACTTCTATTTCTCTTCTCTTTATAGATGTTTTGAACAATTCATTCGGAAGGAAAAAATGGAAAGTGGCACTCCATCACATGCTCATCAGTTGGAAAGACAAAAAATGCAGGAATAAAGATGACTAGGCTGTACAACATCAGGGATTCAAGATGATTTGGGCTCGGTGAAACTGTGAAAGGTGTATCTCATGGATCTCTCAAGGGTGGCACACGCAATGACACTTACAACTACAAGTAGCATCTATCCGATATTGGCAAGTGGTTTATATATATTTGTGTTTTATAGTCGTAGATTCTAGATCTTTTTTTATTATTTCACATTTTACTAATAAATAAAGCGTTATGAACTATCCACCATCTGATTATTGCCAAAGGAAAGAATGATACATTATGGGAAAAAACCTGAAAGGAATATTCGTTTTTCTGGATACATTTGTTTTTTTTTTTCTAAACTCGTAGCACTGATGTGTGAAAACCGTTAGATCTTCAACTGTCCAATATTAAGTTTTTTTTTTTTTGCCTTCTTAGCGTATGGATAATACCATTATATTAACGATAAAAGCGATGATTAATATGTAGTGACCATCAGTTCTAGTTAAATAGAACAAAAAAGCAATAAAAATGATTTGATGTAAGTCATTAATGCAAGAGGGAAACTCTCTCCGAATTGGTGTCAGAAGATCTCAACAGTATTCTATTTTTTTCCTTTTTGGTTCGATCGACCATCCGATTTTTTTTCAAGATACATCGGCATTCGAACGCGTTTGCCTTCATACATGAGAACAACGGCGCCGGATCATTTATAATGATGTAGCCGCCTTGTTAGTGAATCTTTCTCTCCTTTTTTTTCATTTATTTGATTTCGAGTGTATGTTTTCCCTTTCTATTTGATAGGTCATACTAGGAACTCGTTATATCAATATCAAGTGTTAAGATTTATTTTTTTTTTGTTAACATATGACTGATTTATTGGTAAGCTTTGATGATACTGTTATAATAACGGTATCCTTGTTAATTAGAATAAAAATAATAAAATATGATGTCCCTCGAATATGTGATCACTCTTGACAATGATCGATAAAGTAACTTGAATATAAAGGCTTGACGTTTGCTTGATAGTAATAAAATAAAGTTAAAGTTCAAGATGATTGTTTTTTTAAGAGTGGCGAACAATGTTATGATTTATAAAATAAATCTTTTATTTGTTTGTTAAAAAATATAAGTTGAGATTGATAAAATAAACTAATAAAATAGTTGATGATTATTTATACTAAAAGATATGTTCAATGATTACTCATCAAAAGTATGAAAATGGATGATGGAAAGGAAGAAAGGATGAAGCTAGTGTGTGTGATGAAAATGTAAGGACAATGGAAAAGTAATAACGGACGAAACTAGTTCATGTGGCAAGTTCAATGGGAAAATAAAACGGATGAAACTGCTAAGACGGATGAAACTGTACGATAATAAAAATAGATAAGTGTAAAAATAAGATGGAATGGTTAAAGGAAAAGATTTGATGAATAAAAAGATTTCATAGTCAGATACTTCATAGTAATCATCCATTGCAAACACAATACTTTTGTGTAAACTTATGCCTTAATTACAAGGTAGTACAACATCAATGAAGGCTTGTGATTTAGCTACTTCAATTTGTACCACCACACGTCAGTTTTTTTTTTTTATTATTGTTTTCTATTTTTCTATTTTTTATTTTTTCATTCATCATCACTTTTTCTTTTATTTTATTTTTAATACAAGATGAAAGACCAAGAAGAAAATGACAATCCTTCACTGAACAATCTTGGACCTCAGATCGATATTGAGATACCAAGACCTTTCATCATCCCTCAGCCAAAATCATCCGATTCTGTTATTGTGCCAATAACGCTTGATCCTGTTCTCGGTGCTGCCCCTGTTCAGGTGTTCCATCTTACACTTGTGGACATGATTGCTACGGTCAAGTCCCAACGACTCGTTTGTGTGAAGAAAAATATGTATGACGCTGGTATCTTTTATAAATACGCCTGTGTCAGCTATCGATGGGGAGAATGCAGTGAACAAATTGCCCTTACGCCAGATTACAACGCGCATGTGACTAGTTTTGCCATTCCAGATTTGATTACTTTGTGTAGACAAATACTGAATTGGCGTGGTGATGATTGGGATGATGATGACTACATTGATGATGATTTCATTCGTAGCGTGGTGAAGTATTTATGGGTGGATGCTATCTCCGTGGACCAAATGGACCATGTCAACAAGAAAAAAACTATTAACCAAATGTCTGGAATTTACGCTCGAGCTGAAGTGATTGTTGCTGTTCCTGATTTACATATTAGTTATCTCTTGAATTCACCGACGTATGCTGAATCTATATCTACCATCTCCAAGTACGGAAAGAAGATATACAGTCATATTACATGGCAATGTAGGAAGAAAGAAAACCATGATGAGGATGACTACGATGTCGCTGATGATCAAGAAAAAGTTAATTTTTGGGAACGAAAAAGAGGTCCAGATGGTATGGATTAAAATGAATAGACTTGTATCACCGATTTAACCTTTTTTTTTTTTTTTTTTTTTTTTTTTTTTTTTTGCTAAAGTGACAGGTTTACACAAACACAGGGGGTTTAGACAATTCATTAAAGATGCTGTACGTCAATCAGGTTTAGCATTTTGGAGAGGTGGTCATAAAGAACATGGAAACAACATGACAACCGAAAAAAGCATGAAGGATCTCCTTGCTGGCAACGGCGAGTTTATACCAGCCAAATCGGACGACAAAAGGACAGGCGTTCAAGGGAATGATGATCAAACTAGCTCGGACAACTCTAATGTTGACAATAAAACATCATCCACTTTCAAAGGAAACAATAGTGACACTGATGATAAAAACAAAAAAAGAGATGGTTGCCTTTGTTTTGTTGGGATGACGGAAAAGGAAAAAGAAAGTTACGATCGAGCATTCAAGTTCTTGGTATATTTGGTCATGGATTGGGCCAATCGCGTATGGGTGATTAGTGAGTACAGTATTGGACGTAGAAGTAAGATGAAGCTATGTTTCCTCTCCGCCTGTAGCAGTGTTAACCTTGACAACCAACCTACCAAACTCCTGGATTTATTTAATGAACGCCGGCCTACCATTTTTGATCGACCTTTGAAAGAAAGATCGTTTTTGGATATGATGATGTATTCGAAAGCGACACGGAATGAAGATCGATTCTATGCCGTTCTTCCACTCTACAAACAATTCAAACATTTTGCTGATAATCATGAGATTTCCACGTGGGGTATCAACGATCAACTCTCTGTCCGATTGCAATTGCTTCGTATTGTCCAATTTCAAGAGAAGCTCGCCATCTTGTTGTTATGCACGCAATCATCCTTTGTTTCTGATATCATTCTCCCTTCTTTTGCTTCGTGTAATTCAGGTGCTGAAGAACATATTCTGGATTGGGCCACTAAACTTAGTTACAAACCAACGTTGTTGAAGGAAATCGAATTGCTCAAAGATGAGGATGCTAACTGTGATTATCTTCGCGTCGTCGTGCCTCGGTCGAGAACCTATTATGTCGATACCATCCATGCTCATGATATTGAGTTGACTGAAAACGCTCGTGGCAAATTGGGACTAGATCTCGCCGAACTGGTGACCTCCTTCCTGCCAATCACTGTTCATAGTGATGAAAGGACGAATCATACCCTAGGCGTCAAACTATTGGGCAATTTGGAAAAAAACATATGGATCATGCTTAACCGGATGACGGATTGGACGGATGTTCCTGCTTCGCCCTCTGGCAACGGTTCTGCTGGACAACATCATGAATCTCATGAGCTGGATACTTCAGATACGCTGTGGTCAAATGAAGATGAGATGGTGTTCCATTTATATTAGAATCATATCTATTTTTTTATAATAAAAGAAGAAGGTTCAACTTAATCAGTAGTAAGATGTATGGGTTTCTTTTTGGCAGCATCAATTTAGTTAGGTATAGAGTTAATACGCCGCTGATGATATAAAAAGGGCTGTATTTTCATATTTTTCAATTTTTTATTTTTTCTTTCCTCTTTCCATTCTTCCGCTCAATGGCACATTTTTTTGTAAGTCTCTACCAGAAAGAAAAGGTTGAATGAAAGTCAGCTGTTCATAAAGGTAAGTTGGTCAGAAAACTATTGGCATTATGATTTACTTTTTTTTATTTACTTTCGTACAGGAATCCTCAAGTGAATTAGGTCATGGTAAGGACGATACATACTCGAAACAACAGAAAAACAAGGTATGAAGAATGAGTGTTGTGTCTGTCGTTCACCGTTTTATGTTGATATGTTTCTTTCTTTTTTTTTTTTTTTTTAGGGTGAGAATCTCGAAGATTCATTCCAAACAATCGCGGTTCAAGTACTTACAAGAATGCATTTGACTGTGTTGTGCACAAACTGGTAAATATGAACCGTACTCATAAGGTCAGTTATTTACTCTCATTGATATGATGGTTTTTTTTTCTTTTTTTCTTTATTTTTTGGATGGAAAATCATTGCGTGGAGGATCCTTGCACTTACGTCCATCTTTCATTTTTTTTTCTCTTCTATTTACAGGCGATTTGAACAATTCATTCGGAAGGGAAAAATGGAAAGTGGCACTTCATCACATGCTCAGCAGTTGGAAAGACAATAAAGGTGACTGGACTGTACAACATCAGGGATTCAAGTTGATTTTGGTTTGGCTTGGTGTCACTGTGAAAGATGTATCTCATGGATCTTTCAAGGTGGCGCTCGCAATGAGGATTACAACTAACAAACGCATTTCTCTGATATTGGCATGCTGGTTATACATATATATATATATATATCAATCAATGTTTTATAGCAGTAGATTCTTGATGTTTATTTTTATGTCACATTTTACAAATAAAGATTTGTTTTTCTGGATATTTATGTTTGGTTATTTTCTGAAGTTGGATTTTTTTTTTTGTCCTTGGAATCTATTTTATGTCTCTGGATCTTTTTTTTTTTTTTTTTTTGTCCCCAGTATTGATAGATTATTGAAATAGGGGTGGGTGATGATAATAGTACTATGATTGCAGTATGATGATGATCGGTGACGATGTAACTGACATAACTGAGTTACTAGTGAATACGCCCTTTTTTTTTTCGTTTGTTTCCTTTATAACATCTTTTCTCTTTCTATACGATGATATGTCGTATTAGGAATAGGTCGATTCAGTCTCGGCTTTTGTGTAAAGTCATGCCTCAGTTATAGGTAATACAACATAAGCGAAGGTTTGTATTTCAGCATATTCATATTGTGCCACTTGGTCTCCGTTCTTTTTTTTTTTTTTTTTTTTTTTTTTTTTTTTTTTTTTAGTTTAATAATTACCTTCTGTTTCTTTCTGTACTTTACTGGTTTCAATTTTTCTTTTTTTTTTCTTTCTATATATCCAAGATGATCAGCAAAAAAGAGTATGAAACTAGAAATTTCTCTTTCAGCAAGCTAGGGCCCCAAATAGATATCGATATACCGCTACGTACACCTACAACTCATAGAGGGAGAGATAAATCTTGTTCCTTGTCCAAGGAGAAATCATCTATATCTTTTTCCGGGGATAGTGCATCTGTAATCTCCTATGGGTCCTCTTCCGAGGAGACTACGTCTGTAATATATCATGATTTGTTTTCATCCTCTTCCGAGGAAAGTATGGCGCATAAAGCTCATAATTCTGAACCCAATCCAGCTTTCGACCTTATGCTTGTGGACATGATTGCCACGGTCAAGTCCAAGAGACTTGTCTGTGTCAAGAAAAGCATGCATCACGCTGAATTCACTGATGGCTACGCCTGCGTCAGTTATCGTTGGGGTGAATGCGATGAACAAATTGCTCTCACGCCAGACTACAATGCGCATGTGACCAGTTTTGCCATTTCAGATTTGATTCTCTTGTGTGGACAACTGCTGCTTTGGCATGGTGATAGGGACGACGAAATCCATGATGATGTTGATTCAGGTAATAATAGTAACAATGCTGCTGTTGCTGATGATGATGATGGCTTCTCTGAGAGTGTGGTTAAGTATCTATGGGTGGACGCCATCTCAGTCGATCAATTGGACCACAACAAGAAAAAAACTATTCATCGTATGTCCGAAATTTTCGCACGAGCTGAGGTGATTGTTGCCGTTCCTGATTTGCATATCAGCTATCTCTTACAAAGCATGAATAATTATGAATGTATGGATGCAGTTTCCAAGTATGTAAAGAGAATGTATGTTCATTTGTCCATGCAATGTGGAATGAAAAAAACGGATGATGATATTCAGGAACAAAAAGAAAGTCAAGATGACAAGGAAAAAATGGATAATGATGTTCAGGAACGGAAGGAAAGTCAAGATGGTAAGGAAAAAAAAATAAGCTCACTAGCTACCAAAACAATCGGAGATAACCTTTCTTCTTCTTTTTTTATTTTTATTTTTTTATTTTTTATTTTTTATTTTATTTTATTTTATTTTTTTTTTTTTTTTTACCGCAGGTTCAGAAAAAGGTAGCAGATTTAGACGGCTCATTTCGAATATGATACGTAAATATAAGTTAAATTCTCGGAGGGGTTATCAAGAAGGAAATAAAAACAAAGTGACAACTGAAAAAGGACATCTACAAATCAAATCCGACAATGAAAATTCAGGGGTCACCAAGATGGGTGATGCTGCAGTTGGCAATGATGAAAACGATGATTTTATCGAAAACTGCGAAATGTGCCCTTGCCTAGTGGGGCTGACGGAAACTGAGAAAGACAATTTCGCTCGTGGATTACGGTACCTGCTGCATGTCGTGATGGATTGGGCGAATCGTACTTGGGTGATCAGTGAATGCAGCATTGGAAGAAGAACGAAGATGAAGTTGTGGTTCCTCTCGTTTTGTTATGAAAATATCCATCATCAAAGCCGACCTAAAACACTCTTGGATTTCTTTAATGAACGTCGACCTACCATCTTTGATCAACCTTTGAAAGAAAGATCTTTTTTAGATATGATGCTAAATTCAAGGGCAACACGAAATGAAGATCGATTCTATGCCATCCTCCCCCTGTACAAGGAATTTAAACATTATGCTGATAATCATGAGATTTCCACGTGGGGGATCACCGACATGCTCTCTGTCCGACTCCAGCTTCTTCGCATTGTCAAGTTTCAGGAGAAACTAGCCCTGTTGTTATTATGTACGAAATCAACCTTTGTTTCTGATATTATTCTTCCTTCTTTTGCTTCTTGTCTTTCAAGCTCGGATGCGGTGTTACTAAGATGGGCTACTGAACTTTCCTACAAACCGTCGTTATTGGAGGGTATTGAATTGCACAAAGATGAGGATGCTAATCGTGATTATCTTCGCATCACTGTGCCTTGGTCAAGAACATTTACAGATCCAATTCTTCCTCACGATATGGAACTGAGTGAATATGCTCGTAGAGAATTGGGATTGGATCTCTCTGAATTGGAGGCCGTTTTCATGCCTATTACTGTTCATGATGAAAAAACAAATCATACCATGGGTGTCAAGCTGTTAGGAGATCGTCAAAAAAATATATGGATCATGCTCAATCGGATGACGGATTTAGTGGATGTCCCTTCTTCTTCTTCATCGTCTTCTGGCAACGGTTCTGCCGGTGAGCACCATGGACTTCGCAAGTTTCGCTCAGTGGATACTTTGTGGTCAAATAAACATGAAGATAATCAGGTATTTCATCTATATTAGAATCATATCTATTTTTTTTATAATAAAAGAAGTAGATTCAAGTTAATCAAAAGTCGATGCATGCATTTCTTTTTGGCGATTTCAGTTTAGTTAGGTCAGAGTTAATACGCCGCTGATGATATAAAAAGGGCTATATTTTTTCATATTTTTCAATTTTTTATTTTTTCTTTCCTCTTTCCATTCTTCCGCTCAATGGTATACTTTTTTTTTTGTAAGTCTCCACCAAAAAGAAAAGGGTGAATAAAAGTCAGCTATTCATAGAGGTAAGTTGGTCAGAAAACTATTGGTATTATGATTTTTTTTTTGTCATTTACTTTCGTACAGGAATCCTCAAGTGAATTAGATCATGGTAAGGGCGATACATACTGAAAACAACAGAAAAGTTTTATGTTGATATGTTTCTTTCTTTTTTTTTTTTTTTTTTTTTTTTTTTTAGGGTGAGAATCTCAAAGGTTCATTCCAAACAATCACGGTTCAAGTACTTACAAGAATGCATTTGACTCTGCTATGCACAAGCTGGTAAATATGAACCATACTCATAAGGTCAGTTATTTACTTCCATTGATATGATGGTTTTTTTTTTATTTTTTGGATAGGAAGTCATCGCGTGGAGGATCCTTGCATTTACGTCCCTTTTATTTTTTTTTTCTTCTCTTTATAGGCGATTTGAACAATTCATTCGGAAGGGAAAAATGGAAAGTGTCACCTCATCACATGCCCAAGGACTGGAAAGACAAAAAAATGCAGGAATAAAGGTGACTGGGCTGTACAACATCAGGGATTCAAGATGATTTTGGTTTGGCTCGGTGTCACTGTGAAAGGTATATCTCATGGATCTTTCAAGGTGGCGCTCGCAATGAGGATTACAACTAACAAACGCATTTCTCTGATATTGGCATGCTGGTTATATATATATATATATCGATGTTTTATAGCAGTAGATTCTTGATCTTTGTTTTTTATAATACATTTTATAAATAAAGATTCCTGAATATGTTTGGTTTTTTCTGAAGTGGGGATTTTTTTTTTGTCATTGGATCTTGTTCAGTCTCCGGATTATTTTATTTCTTGGCTTTGAATTTTTCTGTGGATTTTATTTTATGCCTCTGGATTTTTTTTTTTTGTCTCCAGTGTTGGTAGATGATTGAAATAGATGATGAAAATAGGGCCATAATGGCAGTATGATGATGCAGTTACATTTTTTTTTTTTTGGTAGCAGTGTTTTATATCAATGTTTTATAGTAGCAGATGCTAGATCTTTATTTTTTTTTTTAAATTTTATTTTACAAATAAATGAACCGTTATGAATCATCCATCATTTGATTACTGATTATGGAAAAAAAATGCAATTATCTATATTTTTCGTTCCAATCCAATTTTACTGCCACTTCTCTAATCCCGTTGATAGATGTCATCCATTCATTGTCTCATCCACTTGGTATTCATCGTCATTTCATCATCGCGTTCGCCTGTCAATCATCATCGACTGTACCCCACTTGAATAAAATAAACAACATCCACCAAAAAAAAAAAAAGATCCTACCATGTTTGACAAGAGAACCAATTATTTTATAAGATTCAGAAAAATCCAGTAGGGTGCACCGGCGTTATTTATTGTATATACATAAAAAAGGAGAGAAATACTAAACTAAAAGAGAAAAAAAAAATACAAATATATATATATATTCACTGGATAAGCCAATCAACGAGTTGACCAACTAAAGAAGCAACTTGGATCATACTAGAGGGAGCAAGAGGACGGAAAGGATCTTCAAAAGCGGAGAAGCCAAGATCACATAACCTGTCGTGAAGGGTATGTTTTGGGTACTGGAAACGATCATCAGCATAGGCGGCCATCAGGATAGATTGGATAGCGTTGAGTAAAGGCACAGAGGTGGAAGTGGAGCGAATCAAGTTGTTCATGGCAGGTAATAAAGAAGGATAGACAATACTGAAGACATCAGGCATGGTGTCAGCTGCTTCGGAGAGAAGTTCATATAAAAACAAACGATCAGATTCACTTTCCACACTTTTCAATTGGGCGGCCAAACAAGAAATAAATAATAATGCAGTATCATTATCTGGGATATCCAATTTATCAAATAATGTAATCATCATGTTCTCTCCTGTTGTTGTTGTTGTTGATGTTGTTGTTGATGTTGGTTTTGTTGGTTCAAAAGTAGGGGACATTTTCATTGATCTTCGTTTTGCTGATTTGATCTTGCGAATAGTATCATCATCATCAACAGCATCACCATTATCATCATCAACATTATCAACATCATCATCATGATAGGATTTGAAGAAACTATCACGATTGGAACAATAAGCATCATAATGGACACCAGCAAAACGGAGGATATCTTGTCTTGATTGGGTCTTTCTTGCCACAGAGATCAGACTTGCCACATAACCCAATACACGATGATCAACACTATTTTTTGCATAGCGTGTAGAACAATTGAGAAAAGACAAGAGACATTGATAAGCCGCTTCTTTGGCTTGAGGACTTGTACGCCAACCTTTCATCAGTAATCCCACCACGGCAAAGGAAAAATGAGTATCAAACTTGACGCCATTGGCCTGGTCCAATTGAGCACAAATCGTCGCCACCGGTCTTCTTGCATCCAACAGGGTTTCTTTCATTGCCACCTCGCCCACATCAAACAGATGATTGGTGTTCATGACTTGTAATACGCCTTGGAGAAGTTCGGTGGCCATACAAAAAACATCAGGATGATTGATGGATAAGATAGAGAGGGTTACCCAGAAGAGAGGAACAAGGTATCGAGAGTCAGATGAGAGATTTTCAACCACGTTGCGTAGACACATCACCATGCTTTTCAAAAGACAAGAATCATTAGGATCAAACGGATCAAGCGCGCGTCGAAGTGTACATAGAATTTGGAATAAGAGATCATCATCCACTTGATGACGCCCAAGGCAGCCAAGAGCAACAAAGGCACGAGGTTGAATGGCTGGATTCTCTTGGAACACCACTGTTGTCACATGGCCCATCCATCGCGCTCGCCAAGCATTGGAGATATCGATCGTAGGTGCACCCAGTTCAACAATACGAAGGAAGGTGTTGATGATTGTTTCTAGTGCCATGAGGTCAAAGGGTTCGGTGAGAGGATCTGATAGTGTTTCTTGAGAGATAGTGAAAGCATTGGCATGTGGTTTGACAAGACCGAATAACAACTGCATTCTTTTTTCCCCCATCTTTCCCATCAAGTGTTGTAATTCCTGGCGACTGTCTTCGGGTAAAGTTGGCAAAATACATAATGATTGAATCAAGTTGATGGAAATCCCATGGATGGTTGTCCGTATCAGAGTAGGGCCCACACCAACAAGTAAGGTGATCATATGAAGCATATCAGGAATATAATTTTTCAGAGGGCCAAAGTTGTCAAAGGAAAGCATCAAGTTGAACCTTGTCATGATGGCTATCTCTGTCCATAAAGGATGATTGATAAGCGATTGTGTCGGTTTCTCAGTTGTTTGTTGTAATAATCGTAGAGTGATCGCCACTAGTTTGCTTCGTACTAGAATATTGGATAATGTCACACAAGTATCAGCCATTGCTTCTGCCTCTTTGGATCCAAGACCATGTTCTCTTGAAATTTGTAGAGATGCATCGATAGCCATATCTCGTACACCATCCACCTTGCCCAAAGTTTTCCATAGTTTGGTTTGAATCAATACATGCATCTATGTAAAAAAAAAAAAAAAAAAAAAAAAAAAAAAAAAAAAGAATTCAATCAAGGATGAATCACATACCTTTTTTTTTTTTTTTTTTTTTTTTTGATACTTACGCTTTGAGTCAATGTAATACCAATTAACATCCGTAAAACTTCTTTGGTTCGAGAGATATCTTCAGGAGTGCCATGAGCAGTTGCTCCAAGATTTGGAATCCATGGTGTCATATAATGTAAGCAGAGATACCGTTGTTCATCTGTAGATTTGTCAAAACCAATAAAACATTCATTCAAAAATTCCAAAGTTAGTTGTTTTTCTGTACTGGCCAATCGTCCACTGATGGTTGCCACGAATCTGGAGCAATTTGGAGGTAGACAAAGTTCTATCATTCATAAAAAAAGAAAAAAAATCAATTATATATCATATCTATTTATCTAATTATTTTACCCTTTGCATCCATCAAATTGGTTCCCACATTAAAATTGAAAGTTCGACATAAAGTATAGAGTAAATTATAAGCAGTTAATCGAAGTTGTGAATCATTGCTTCCAAGGTTGAGAAGAGCCATATTGAGTAATCTCCCAGGAACATCATTAGGTCGAATGATCCGAGTGGCAAGTGTGGATGGTCGGATGGCTTCATATCGTCGTTTACTATTTAGAATAGTCTATATCAAAAAAAAAAAAAAAAAAAAAATAATAATTAGTAACTGAATTTGAATTGATATATCATCTATGTATTTACATGAAGTAATTGATCGGCTTTTGGTGATCGAATATAAATTGTCATTTTGTCCACTGTAGATGTAAATGCCAATTCATTAACTTGATCCCCACGGATTCCAGGATTTCTGATGTTCTGTATTTCGGATATATGATAAACATCGTTGGTAAAAGCATAAGTGTTGAAAATAATTTCTTGTTTTCGATTGGAGATCACTTGTACAAATTCAGAGCTGACCTTGATTGTCACTGGTGTTGGTACGTTATATTGCCATACACGAGAGACAGTATAAAAAGTATTGGATGGTTCCTTGTCCAAAGCCACTATGTAGATATTTAAAAAAAAAAAAAAAGAGAGAGAAGAAAATGAGATGATTATAATAAAGGGTATATATATATATATATATTTACCTGTTGATTTAGGCAATTGTAATGCAGTAGGATGAATGTATTCAGCAATTTCCTCCAAACTAACAGCAAAAACAATCCGCTTGATGATTTTATTGGTGGTTTGATAATCGGCCCTTTTGAGATACCTTCGAAAGCATGTATTGGAGTTATAACAGATAATCATTTGAAGATTAGCCAAGGTTGATTTTGGAAACATTTCACAGAATTGAATGAATCGTTGTTTTGGTATTTCATTTTCAGATCCAAATCGAGTGACATCCATGACGACAATAAAGGATTCTGCACCCATGTTTTCAAGCATCTATATATAAATAATAAGTTAAATAAGGAGAAGAGCATTTTTTTTTTTTGTTCTTACCTGAAATATATAATGCATGACTAATTCCATATCCATTTCATTTACATTGAGACGCCTGAAAATGAAATAAATGATATTATGACCAGAGATGGAACGACCACCTAAATAACAAATGTTGGTGGATGCAATCATGTTTGTGTTGGTGTTGCTATGTTTGCGCATAAAAGCAGAATACTGTTGATCTTCGCTAGAATATACTTGTCGTTGTTGCAAATTGAATCTTGTATTCGATCGCTTTGTATCCGAGGGAGGGCCAAGTTGGACAAGCACTTTGCTAAAATCTTCCATATAATCTTTCCATGCAGCCATCGATTCTTGGTTTTGGAACATCAAAATCTTCTTTGCCGCCAAATCACGTTGTATGTCTTCAAAATTTTTAGCCAACACACTGTGTAATAATCGATAATCTGTATCACTCATAGGAGGTGAAATACCCACATCATTTTCCGAAGCGTTGTTGTTGTTGTTGTTGTTGTTGTTGTCATTGTCAACCACCGATGACATGGTTCGTAAATAGCTTGTCACCCGATACATGTTTTCCGTGACAAAATCATTAAGTATAACCATATAGACTTCTTTGGAACCAAAGAGGATGTTGTTGGCAATATTTTGAATCACTTTGGCGATGATCAATAATCCACGTCGTAAATCCCTAGTGATCACTCCAGGTGCCAAAATCCCAGCTGATTCAGGACTGACAATGATAGGACAGAAGAATCGTAAAAAGATAAAAGAACCCACAGCAGTATACTTTGATTCTGGGAATCGAGGTTGCACAGCTTCCAAAATCATCTTGCACACTGATCGAAAACTGGGAGGAGCTAAATCAGCAGAGTTACAGATCGCATCCAAAATCAAATTGGTAGCTGATGTCACATTGTCCTTGTTCCTGAGCGCAAATTCACGACCAGTATTGCTTGGATCCAGTTCAAAATTTTGTTCCAGTTTCGGTCTACTAACCAATTGATCCATCACAGGTTTAAGTACTTGATTGATATAACGGGATCCATTTGCCTTGGCAAACGATGTTAAACACTTGGTGGCAATACTTGTTTTCCTAAATAAATCCGTTTCATTGACTATAGAAAAAGATGTTATTATTGATTTATTATCACATTATTGACTACTTACTTGTATTCTCCACTTCTATTTCTGTCACCATCTGTAACAAGACCAGAGATTTCTTGACAGAAGCAAAACTTGAAAGAAGAGAGGTAGCCACATCATCCGTTTCCGAAGCAGAACAGACTTGACATAATGATTTTGGAACCGCATAATCAAACTTGAATAATAACTATAAATAAAAAAAAAAAAATTAAGATCAATCATATCAAAAAATAAATTTCAAAACTTACGCTCACAAGTTTATGATATCGGTCAGAAATCACAGATTCACCTAATGTTTCAAACTTGGTGCCTTGCTTCAAAATATTGGTTAGAACTTGCATAAAAGCCGATCGTGTTTGAATATCTTCATGATATCCCATAGATAAAGAATATTTAAGACCAACATCCACATTGGCACTAAGGAGATTGGAGAGGCATAGAATAATGTTGTGTTTGAAAGTACTAATGTTGGTTCTTTTCATACTAATTGCTTCGTTTCGTATATCCTACAAAAAAAAAAGGATTAGACAACTTGTATCCATGACTATATCTACATATATATTTACTTCTGAAGCTTTGCATCGTGCAAGTAATTTGAGGAAAAAAGTAAAATACTTGTAAAACATTTTACTTTTCCGCTGAATCAGATCCACTTCTTCCGTAGGCTCGGTAGGTTGTAAAGGAAGTTGATAGAGTAACACCACCATAGTCCTGAGACAAGCCATATCCAGATCTACTTGTATGTTGTCCTCCAAAGTAAGTGGTTTCGAAGAGCTGGAGGAATACTGCTGCTGTTCTTGCTGATTTGATTGATGCTGTTGTTCCTGATATTGTTCCTCTTGTTGCTGTTGTAATGATGATGGCAATGGTTGCTCCTGCTCCTGCTGGTCCTGCTGATGCTGCTGCTGCTGCTGCAGTTGTTGCTGTTGCTGTTGATGCTGATCTTGTTGATACAATGGAAGTTGTTGTTGCTGGTGTTGATCTTGTTGATACAATGGATGTTGTTGATGTTGTTGTAGTTCTTGTGGCTGTTGTTGTTGGTGTTGTTGTTGCTGCTGCTGCTGTTGTTGTTTTTGTTGCCATACTGTATCAGATTGAATGTTAAAATCACTTGTCCATTGTCGAATACATTTTAGTAGATGAGACCGTACCACGACATCCTTTTGAAAGGAAAGTTGGTTTTTCCGAGATAAAAGAGATTCACAGAATTGACACATCTTGATTTTAATTCTTTTCGAGGTATCATTGTCTTCCAGAGCACTGATGAAGGTACATAATTGAATCATAGGTTTGGAAAAGTCCATAGAAAGTATAGCTTCAGCACATTCTGCCCCAGTAAGCACGAATCGAAAGACTGTGATAATCTGTTCCACAAATAAGATCCGTCTTGGTTCACAGATAGGTTTATCATGATCGAAACATTGGTCCAATCTTTCCCTAAATTGTCGTGATATCGTCCAATAAAGCGCTGGTGATGTACTGTTTCCGATAAGTTCACGTACTCGTTCCCGTATCATTAGGCTATCACAAACGAGTAGATCCATCATCATTCCAACGAATTCTTCCACCATGGCTGTTTTCGCTTCTGTTGAAAAAAAGATGTCATCCTTTTGTAGTTGATCAGAATGATGAGTCGTTGGAGAATCAGTTGCTGAGGATTGTTGTTGTGGGTGAAGGCAAGTAGTATGACTAGAAGTTTGTTGTTGTTGTTTTCCAGAAGTAGAAGGTGAGCTTGCTGCTGCTTGGATTTCGTTATCAACAGGTGCAAGGCACACCTGGCCCAAGGAGGATAAGAAACCGGCATAGTATTCCCATTCAACCACAGGATCATCTTCAAGTCGAACCAAAGATGTATCAGATGGTGTACTTGAACTGATATTTGTTCCCGCGCCACTACTCGCAGTTGAGCCACTTGTATCACTATAAAGCATTGTCATCATTGTTGTATTGTTGCTAACTCGACCAAATTCATTGTAGGATCCTCTTTTTCCATCCATGTTGATATTTCTGTTGGTTGTTTCTTTATTCGTTTCAAAACATATGATCCGAGCCGTCATCACCTTACATCGTTTCCAAACTTCTTCCCAGGCTTTAACATTTCCAGGAGTACACCGTGTCATTTGTCGCAAAATTCGCCAGAGTCGCCTTTGATGTAATTTCCGTCCGCCAGGTACCGTATCAGCTTGTCCAGTGAATTCCAAATACGCGCCCAAATTTTCGTACATGGTACATACCAATAATCGAGGATCTGTGATAGCCTCAATAAGTTGATATTCTTCACATAAAATTCCAATGCATTCCGTCACTCTTGCATATATAAAATCATCCATGGAGCATAAAAGTACCAACAGTGCCATTTCAAGATCAATAGATGTTTGGATCCACATTCTCATAAATTCTTCCGTTGGTGCTACATTCTAATATCAACAGACATTTGAGTATAATCTTTGTATTTTTTTTTTTTTTTTTTTTTTTACCTGATATGTATTCAAAAAGGAGATTCTTGCTGTTAATAGTTGCTTGAGAAGATTCAAAAGTGATTTCAAACTTAATCCTCTTCCAGGATGATGATGTAGCATAGTTTGAGCCAGTACACGGAGCACCTGAGAGGAGACTTGCCAATAAGCTATCAAAAAGTTGGAAGTATCGGCCCACATCATGATGGTTTCGGATTGATGTAGAGAATATAAACAGGAAGAAGCAATGTCGGCAAGTTTTTGTGATGGATCATTCAAGTAGCTGGCGGTTGTTGTAATGACTCTAGCGATTTCTTCCGAATTGCCAGCATGAGAGGGTTCGTAGAAGAGATGTTCTGATCGAGCGTTGATAATGGTGAGAACATCAAAGATCATATCATCAATATCTACACCTTCATTGTCAAATGGATTGATATTGGCTTTTTTGGTACTATTGCCGCTGAAGGAATATGATTTTGTCGGTTTTGGTTTGATTGTTATTGCTGCCAAGTTGTTGCTGTTGTTGTTGTTGTTGCTGCTGCCGCTGGCGGTATTTCTCTTGCTGTTGGGTTTCGAGAGTCGTTCTTTATGGAGACTTGTGAGCCAAAAAAAGAGATGCCTAGTACGGTTACCAATAGCTCCATGTATATCCACTGGTATCTGGACAAATGGAGGATTTTCACTTTCCATGAGTGCACCGACCTTGAGTTTACTTGCTTTTAACATAAGAGGACAGTCACTACCAGAATAATAGACATGAGTGCTTTTGAGCATAAATTGATGAGATAACCGTATAAGAGAGTAATCAGCATCACGCACCAGGATAAGACGGTCCAGGACAATACCAGCATTCAACATATCACTACCATGAGAAAAAGGTCGAAGAGGGTCTAATATCCAATTTTGTAAATCATCCATCACATCGGGTACCAAGTTCCAAAGAGCAGCGCCACTATCACGAGCTAATCTTCCAGCCAATAAACAAATGTCAGTATAACAAATGACAGATACTTCAGGCATACGATCACCCTTAATGGTTTTTTGAAGTGCAATAAGAAATTGTCCCTAAAAAAGAAAAAAAAAAAAGATCAATGTCCTAAGCATCTAGGTTTTCTTCTTTTTTTATTATTATTTTTTTTCAATATATTTACCTTTTTCGATAGATTACTTGAACTCAATTCCATGGTAAGAGTCATTAAAATTTCAGGACAAAGGATCATGAGCATGGTTTGAAGAGGCCAAAAATAAGTCTTTTTTCTTGTTGTATCGGCCAAAGAATTGCACATATCAAAGAGTATTTCAGGACTTCCTTCCAATCGTCTATGAGATAATTGATAATCTTCGAATTCGGTAGGATAAGCTTCAATCCAATTCCAAATACCCCGTCGTAAAGACACAGCCAAGTTAAGTTGGGTGTTTTTCTTGAAATGTAAAAAGCTGAGCTGTAATTCGGCCAATACCATGGATAATCGTCTTGCATTCAGAGAAGAGTATTCTAATAGCCGTAGGATCAATGTATCAGGTGTTTCTTCAGATGTTGTAGACAGATGTAGGATATAAGATTTGATTTTGGAGAAAATCAATGCCCAATTGCTAGCACTAATATAATAAATGACTCGGCATGATTTGTCGTAAATATTGTGCAAAGTATCGTCATTGTTTAATCGACTCATAAATAGACAGTAGTTCGAGTAGTTGCCTTGCATAAAATCAGCATCTGATTGAAGGTGAGGAAAATGAGTAAAAAAAGTGGTACGTTCTTTGGAAGGATCAGACGAGTAAAACATGAACCGTAACATGACATTCAAAACATGTTTTGCCAGAGTAATGTCTAATGGTGGAGGATCTTGTAGTTGTCGAGAGTTTGAACTGTGATAGGCCGATTTTTTATGTAAATAAAGCCAATGTCGTTGCATACATACTGCGAGAAGTTGAATCAAGAAGAGATGAGATTGCATAATATTCAAAGGTATAAGGTCGTCACTAAGAGTTCCTGTTGATGGTAACTAAGAAAAAAAAAGAAAGTGTTTTAGTTTCAAGTTCATTAGAGTTTAATAAATAATCTTACCACCGATATACTGTTACTTGCTTTCATAATGGCATTAATGACACTAGGAAGTCTAAACTTGGAAGCTTGAATCAAGGACGTGACTAAGATATGAATGTAAAAAAAATAATAAGGATTCAACGACTTTTTAGTAAAAAGAGTATATTCTTGAATTACCACTAAGAAAAAAAAAAAAGAGTGAGATTTTGAAATTAAATGATAGCGTGTACTTACGATAAACGCATAACAGGATCATGTTCCAAAGTTTCAAAACTATGTCCACTTGTATATGGGAGCTAAAGAAGAGCATAATGGTAAGAAGAAAAAAAAAAAAGAGAAATGACTTTTTTTTTTTTTTTACCTTGGCTCTGATTTTCTCTACCCAAGAAGAGATTAGTTTAGTCTCAGAGCTCATTATGGAAACACAATGTGTAACGCAAATGTCAACAATAAAGAAGAAAGACCAAAAAAAAAAAAAAAAAAAAAAAAAAAAAAGGAATAAATCAAGTGACTACCCGAAGAAAAAAAAAAAATTCTAGACCGATCATCTATTGTATTTTCCACATTCAATAGAAAAAAAACAAATAATGGATGTTTTTCATAACAAATATATTTAATTTTTTTTTTTATGTATAAAAAGAAAGTGAGGATTTTTTTTTTTTTTGGTATTGTTTTTTTCTTTTTTTTAATTAAGTATTATAATGGTATCATTATCAGTTCCATCTTCATCTACTGATGTATGTACCACACAAGGATGTATACAATCTGCTTTAAATATATTGGCTGATATGGATTTTAATATAGATCCATGTAGTGATTTCTATCAATATACATGTAAAAATAGAATAAATCAAAACGATATATGATGATGATTCATTCTTTTTTTATCTATTAATAGGTGGAGGTTGGTTAAAGAATGCTACGATTCCTGATTCTGAATCAAGTAAGTGAATTCATGCAAACGGAGTTAGAATCACCAAAAAAAAAAGTAAAAAGATCACTTAATTTTTTTTTTTTATATGAAGGTGTTGGTACATTTTATCATCTTCGTGATGCTAATGCCAAAGTGATTGAAAATATATTGACAAATACATATCAAGAAATGACATTCAATGATCAAAAAGAAAAAGAAGCCGATATTTCAAATTTTAATATGGTGAAAAATTATTATCAATCATGTATGAATCAAGATCAAATAGATCAATTGGGTAGAGAACCACTTGAAAAATATCTTTTACCTATCAAACAACAAGACACACTTGGTGCTTTGATTCAGTTGGAAATCACAGGTGGATCCAATCCTTTATTTTCTGCCAGTGTCGATCCTGATGATAGAAATCCTAATCAAAATATCATTACTTTAATGCAACCATCTTTGGGTTTACCTTCCAAGGAATATTTTGAACAAAAACAATATGTCGAGATCTATAGAAAATCTATTAAACAATTGGCAAATTTGACCATGCCTGATTTGAATGAACCTGAGATTGATGCTGCTATAGATTTTGAAACACAGCTTGCTGCTATGTCAACTTCACTGTAAGAAATTAATATTATTTATTTATTTTCTTTTCTTCTTCTTATTTTTTTTCTTTTTTTTCATCATTGAATAGTGAAGGATTACAAGATCCTATTTCTCTTTATAATCCTTTTACTTTGGAAGATCTTGAAAACAAATATTCTTATGTTAATTGGCGTACATTCTTCCAAGGGGTGATGTCTAGAACACCCAATAAAATCGTGGTCATGACACCAAGTTACTTTGATAAACTGGGCGAACTATGGCAAGATCAAAACACGGTAGTTATCAAGAACTACATTTTGTTGTCCACCATGCGACATCATGTGTATCTTTTGGATCGTGCTACGAATGATGTGCTTCAAGAGATGAACAACAAGCTATCTGGTAGGAAATCATCGCCAACGCGACAACGGACATGTATTCAACGTACCAATGATGCCTTTGGTGAACTGTTAGGTCATTACTTTGTGAACAGGGTATTTGGTATAAACAATGACGATAATGATACAGCAGGGAAAATACATCAGCTCTTGGAATCCATTCGTACTATCTATGCTCAACGGTTGGAAAGTGTGGATTGGTTGGATGATGCTACTCGGGCCAAAGCTCTCGATAAGATTCAAAAGATGGCTATCAAATCTATGTACAGTACTCAATCTCCTGATATACGGTCTCCCCTGTCGTTGCAACAGTATTATGGCGACCTAAATTCGATCATTCGTCCTGATACTCAATTTGAAAACGCATTGGCTTTGGCTTCTTGGGCTGCAAACAAGTCTTGGTCATCTTTTGATAAAATGGTGGATAAAGATAGATGGTTTATGGAACCGCAAGCTGTGAATGCCTATTTTAGTCCCACTTACAATCAGGTATATATATACAAAATGAATGGTATCTTTTCACTCATATCCTTTTCTTTCCTCTTTTTTTTTTTTTATTTTAGGTGGTTGTTCCTGCTGGTATCTTACAACCTCCTTTCTATGATATCAATTCAATTCCACTTAGTCTTGGTGGTATCGGTGTTGTCATTGGTCATGAACTTACTGTAAGTAAAAGATGATATCTTATTAGAGATTTTACTCATTCTATTCCTCTTTTTTTTTTTTTTTTTTTTTTTTTTGTGGAGGATGTATTTTTTTTTATAGCATGGATTTGACAATAGTGGACGATTATATGATGGGGATGGTGTATTATCACAATGGTGGTCCAATGCGACCATGGAACAATTCAATGAAAAAGCACAATGTTTTATTGATCAATACAATGGTTTTAATATTCAAGGTCCTGATGGTCAAGATCATCATGTCAATGGAAAAGTAAAAAAAAAAAAAAAAAAAAAAAAAAAAAAACTACCTATACTGACAACTTTATATAGATGACATTAGGGGAAAATTTGGCCGATAATGGAGGCATCTCATTAGCATACGAAGCGTTCAGCAAAACACCTCAATTACGATTATCAGGTCTTGATCTTTCTCCTGAAGCCTTGTTCTTCATCAACTTTGGTCGTGTATGGTGTGAAAAGGATCGTCCTGAAAGAGCCATTCAAAAGGTAAAATCCATCCATTAAATAAAAATAATATTTAATCCTTCTTTATAGATTCTTGGTGATGTCCATTCTCCTGCTCGTGTCCGTGTCAATGCTGTGGTACAAAACATGCCTGATTTTGCAAAAGCCTTCAATTGTCCTGCTGGTGCACCCATGAACCCTATCAAGAAATGTAAAGTATGGTAGTTTTAGTTTGACTTTATAATAAAACAATAAAATACAATCATAGAAAAACCGTCTTTATTGACAAAAAAAAATATGTAGATGTATAATATATGCATGTGTGTTGTGTAAAAAAAAAAAAAGTATATTTTGTATGATAAAAAAAAAAAAAAAGAGAGAGAGAGATACTACTACTACTAAAACAAACCAATGAGATGAAATAAATAAAAACTAACAAATGACAAAAAAAAAAAAAAAATAGTATATATGTAATAAAATAAAATCTATTGTGGAGGATGGAATGGAGATTGAGATCGATAAGGAGGAGCAGCAGTACCCATAGGAGGCATACCAGGCATGGCACTCATAAAGGACATATGACTACCAGGCATAAAGGAAGGCGTTCCAGTAGGACCATAGAAAGATTGATTACTAGACATATTATAAACGGAAGGAGGACCCATATATTGTTGATTGGAAGGTGCATATTGACCAGGTAACATGGTACCACGTTGTTGTTGACTGGCATAACTATAATAACTTCCTTGTGTGAATCCAGTCTTCATGGTAGCGCGAGAGCCCAAGGACACATTGTCATCATTGTCGTATTGTTGATCATCCATGTATAATCCTTCTTCATATTCGGCCCATGTCATCATAGGAATCGATTTGGGATCAAATTTACCTTCATCCACCACCACCAATTTTTTGCCCTTGTCACCCAACACCACACGTGTATTACCCCATGAAAAGTCATCGAAATGCCAATAAGAGTACATCGGGATCCAGAAGGAGAACACAGGAATGGCCAGGATAGAGACAATCATCCAGATGATGTATTCCCATTTTCGATGAAGCATAAAGATGATGATCTGTAGACCGTACACACCGGCAATGGTGATGATCGACATGAAAGGCACAGGACCCGTCCAGGTTGCCAACGAATAAATCAAATATACCAAGTAGCCCACAATTGCTGGTTGCACTAATGTACTGATCAAATCCAACATCACAACAAACCGCATAGAGAAACAACAAAACCCACACAATTGAGGTAAGAAGACCAATTCACCCAGGTTGTGAATCGTAGAGTTGATCCATCGACGACGTTGAGACACAAGCACTGACCATTGATCTGGCGCATTGGTACGACATTTAGCATCAGGAGTAAACTTGGTCTTGAACTTGGGGAAATGTTTGAGAATCAAGGTGGTAAGATATCGATCTTCACCAAGGAATAACAGATTCTTTTTGTGAAGTGTATCGACTTTATTGATTTGGTAATCTTCAATCACTTGATTGGCAATCAGGAGAGGTTGATTCTTTTGAGGAGTACGTACACGATAAATCGAGAAACAACCAGGTAAACAGGTCACCGTACCAAACAGAGATTCAAAGGCCTTGATCAAATAATGTGAAATAAAGTATTCATAGACTTGAATCATCGTCACCCATGTATCTTTTTCATTGGACAGAAGCGTTTCACCACAGAGACCAACAATCTTGCTATCATGCACCAGTACAGACACCATTCGATTTAATCCATCCGGCATCACTTCCGTATCAGCATCAACCATAAGTACAAATTCATAAAAGGATGGATTGACCCCAATCACATTCTTGATTTGATGATAGATTTCAAGTTCCATAGGCGCCATGGGAGCGTTGAAATGCACCTTGTTTAAGAATCGCATAAGGACCAGTTGAGAATCACGCTTACCACGGTTACCAGGCTTTTGTCGTTCACTTGGTTTGCCCACCTTGACAACGACAATATAAGGTACCACATGTCCATGACATTCATATAAACCAGAATATACCTTGGCCATGTTGTGTTGCTTTTGTCCTTCACCCACAGAGAAGAACGATAATGCTTCCGGGTTCACATCAGGATCCACACCAAGAATATCAAGTACAATCCTAGGCGTAGGTCGATCATTGCCACCACCCACAATCATCCCATCACAGATAATAAATAACAGTTTGCGTTTGTCGTCGTATTTGAGTACTGAGATAGAATCAATGGTCTTGCGTAATGAGTCTTCATCTTCTGTATAACAAGGTACTTGACAGATCACAAACTTGTCATGATTTTCAGGATCACGCGTTGTACCGAATTGGAGAGCGGCCAAGAACTTGAATACCACCACGGCACAGAGGAAGACAGTGACAATCAAAAGAAGGTATTCTGAAAAGATACATTTGGCAGAATTACGATCATCCTTGGTACCAGCATAGAACAGATTTCGTAAACAGACCAATTGACGTGTCTTGGTAGCATCATCCAGATTCATGGCGTTCCATTGAGATGTGATATCTTGACCAGCATTTTGACGGAAGAGATTGACCACAGTATCAGACATAAAATTGGTATCCACATTGCCTGGAGCTTGTCCACCATGAGGCGTCATGACCGAGCGTCCACCGAGAATATAAGGTGTCATATCGTATACACTGCCATTCAAGATAGCCCAAGAGCGTGGCGTGGTGATCTTGTTGATGGTAACAGGAGTGGTTGCTTGTTTATTCACATCATCCGGTGTAAAACCCATCGTCCCAAGTTTGTAATTCTTACGTAAATACATCATCTGATCAAAGTACCATTGGGGGCGATAATCAGCACTGGAGATCCGGAAATCATGGTATCTGGCGTTGGTATCGGTAAGATTGACGTTGTAATCAAAGCTAACATAATCAGACACTGTGCCGGTCACACCTTCACAAAGAGCAGAGACTTGAATAGGAAACAAGTTGGTAGCATCCGTACCACCATAAGCCAAGATAGATGATGTAGGAATGACATCAGTAGGATAATGATGAGGAGCAAATTGTGTCAAGTCAAACACTTCACCACGAATTGTCACATAGGCATTGTCTTTATCGCTGTGTTGTTGTAATTCATTCATAGAAAATACATTTTGATGAGGACAGATCATGGAACCAAAGAATACCAAGAACCAAATCATGGCACCAGAAAGTAAGAAAATCAGCATCACCAAAGTCAATTTTTCACGCCAAGCCAATCGTACATCTGATCGTTTCATTCGACCACACCATAATAAGAATTTACTAGGAATCCACCATGTCATAAACCATACAAAGTTCACCCAATGTCTTCGAGCACCGGAAGGTTTTTCTGGTTCAGGTTCTTCCACTTCGGCTGCACCACCAGGAGGAAGCATATGTTTCATTTCCATATTACCGGCTTCACTTGCTGTAAAACCTTCAGATCCACCAAACTGCGATCCATTGTCGTAATAAGGGTATTGAGATCGTCCACGATTGTTATATTCATCATCAGAAAGGAAGGATCGTTGATCATCAGAATAAACCGACTCCATACCACCACCACCACCACCCATTCGAGGTAAAGGTAATCCTGCTGCTGCTGCTGCATTGGCTGCTAAAGCTTGTCTATCTCCATGTTGAGAATAATCTCCTTGTCCACCTAACAAATCAGTGCCTGAACCAAATGAATGTGTAGATAATGCATCAGCACTTGGTTGTCGACTAAGATCCATGGCTGCTCCACCTGCCATGAGAGCGGCTGAATTATCTTGAATCCTTTTTTCATCCTTTTGTTTTTGTTGTTGTTCCTTTTCAACTGATCGTAATCCATCTTCCAAATGTCGCCAAGCTGATTCATTCAAGTAGATCTAAAAAAAAAAAAAAAAAAAAAAAAAAATTCATTAGTTTTCATTTGTTTCACTTTTTTTTTTTTTTTTTTTTTTTTTTTTTACTTTTGAATTGCCAATAGAAACTTGAGAACTCAGCCAACCAAAAATAGCAACAGCAGCTTCACATTGAGCACGAGGCGTTCGATCACTTTCTACACCCATGGCAGCTAAAGTTTGATTGTATCGTTCACAGAATTCATCATGATAAAAGGAGTTTGTAAAGGCAACATGCATTCGACTGACGATTTGAGCAATACCAAAGGATCGTACTTGAGACCGTACACGTTGAACATCAAAATGATTAGGAATCGAAGAATCATTGGCACGTAAACAAAATACAAACCAAGGCATGGTTTCATCCAACATATTTGATAAATCATCCAAAGACGAGTGAAGTTGAGCCAATACCATAGATACTTTCTTTGTTGTTTCTTGTTCCTTGTTATTGTTCTTTTCATCATTATCATCGATATTCTTGCTTTTTCGTGTTGATTTCGAACGTCGCATGGAAGGTAAACGAGTAGGTTTGTTGGATTGTTGAGCATTCATGATAGCTTCGGATTCGTTGGGATGAGATTCAGTGCTGACATTTTTGGAAAACAAGTCGACGATGAACGAATTGTAAGAAGCAGGAACATCACCTCCACCACGGATCAAAGTGACAAAATCTGGATTGAGGACATCTTTGTTACGTTCGATAAAACCTTTTGGATTGTATGTGACTTGACCATCAAAATGTCGTACAGAGAAGAGAAGTGTTCCGGAATCTGCTGATCGAGTAGAGAATGAGTCATGTGTGCCATTGTATTTGATAAAAGAATCCAACATATTAGCATCATAAGCACGACTGGAAGATTTACTGTGATTGTTTGCGATATCGATAAGGCCATGTTTGGGTCGAGATAAGAGAGCAAGACATCCAGAGTTACTAAAGTACGGAACTTCAGGCATTTCCAAACCATCCATTCGATAATCATTGACATCGGTTTCGAAGATTTGTTTCAATGTGTAATAATGCATGCGTTCGTTGGCAAAGTTGATACAAAAGTTGTCAAAATTGGATTGGGTATAGTGAGTTTGAGGACCAGGAAGATCTAGAATACCAATAACGTTGTGTACATTATCACTACAGAGCTTGATATTGATATGTTCCACCAGCCAAGAAAACAAGAGTGAATAGAGAGCTGTCACCAAAGTATCTCGTTGTTCGCCAGCCTGTTCTGAATTGAGAATCAATGTTGTCACATCCTTTTTGATCATTTGTGTTTTATAAGTCAAGACATTTTCCAAAGCTCTAGGATCTACCCCCAAAAAGTCAGCAATCAAATCCAAGGTATCAGTATTTTTGACGTAAGCAGCTTCTTGAGCGGAAGTATCATCAACAAATTGTAAATTTCCCAAATGTAATAAAGCTGCCAATAATTGCATAATACGAGCATGATATCTTTTTCCAAGACCAAGAGAACGCATAGCAGATTTGAGAGATTCATAATGATCAGAAGAATCTAAAGGATTAGGAGGAGTTCTTGTATGACTGAGGTACTTGTATTGACTTGAATTATCATCCAATCGTAAGAGTTGTCGTTCTTCAGGAGAAGCACCAGCCAATAAATAATAAAAGACATGGAAATTTTGTTCACCAGATAAAGAGCGAATGACTCTAGGTTTTTCCAAAAGATAATTGAGAGTTTTTGCCCCGATCATTCGACCACGTTCATTAAATTGGACTTCAATGAATTTGCCATATCGGGATGCGTTGTTGCTATATGCTGTTTTCGTATGACCAAAAGCTTCCAGAACTACTTGAGCATTCAGGATTTGACTGTGTAACTTGGTTTCTTTTTTGTGGCTACTAAGCGATACTAGATGTTGTAGGATTTGTCGGTAGGTAAAAGTCTTCCCCGAACCAGTTTCACCGCTGTCAAAAAAAAAAAAAAAAAAGAATGGTTAATTGGGATGATCATCCATTAATTATCATCATTTTTTTTTATATTTATTTTACCTAATAAGAATAGATTGATCAATACCAGTACGTCGCATATGTAAATAAGTTTGGTTGGTCAATTGATAAACATGAGGAGGTAAAGCTGCACCTTTGTCGGAAGTATCTTTATATTCAGCAACATATTGTAAAGATTCTTGTTGTCGTTCTTGATTTGGATTGACAGCTATGATAATATTATCATTGACTTTGGTATAAATGGCTCCATTATCGAATCTTAACTTTAAAGTAGAAGTAATACTATCTTCATCTATTGATTCAAGAAGTGTAAGATCAACCAAGTCTTGTGTTTTTGATGACTTGACCATAATTCACTAAAATAAAAAAAAAAAAAGAGATAACTATTCTCTTTCGTGTTAGTTAAACTATAAATATATATATATTTATTAAAGAACTTACTTGATTATAAAAGTGAATAACAGAAAGGTCAATCAAAATATATATAAACTATATATATATATATATATATATAAAAGAAAAGAAAAAGAAAAGAGTGAAGGAGAAAAAAAAAAAAAAAGAAAGAAGAAAGAAAAGAAAAAAAAAAAAAAAAGGGGAGGAACGGAAAGACAAAGCGAAAAAAAAAAAAAAATTACCTATTAGGGCGGAGTAATAAAAAGATATTTTTGGAAACTCGCGTTTTCTTTTTGATTTCCTGGCCATGTCAAGAGATCAAAAATATCATAAAAAAAGGTGCCGCTTAAAAGCCAAATTTTCTCTTTCCTTATAAACTTTATTCAAAAAGATAATGAAAATATGTATACTAACTAAACAAAGTAATGAAATAATGCAAACTATAAAAAAAATAATAAAAAAAGAATATAAGGGGAAAGAAAGGAGGGGGTAATCTACTACTACTACAAAATATATATATATATATATATACTATCTATATAGAATTTTTTTAAAATCGAGTCTTTCGTTTTCTACCAGTATATTTGGAATCTTTGGCTACCACTTTATCACCTTTTTCTCTTGCTATTTCTTTCTTGCGTTGTACCCATGATTTATCTTTAATATTTTGTTTAGTTCGTCTTTTACGAGTTGTAGCCCTTCGTCTTTCATAAGCAATAGATCGTTGTTCATCAGGATGTAATTCACCATCTTCACCTAAAGCTTTAGGCATTTCATTTCGTAATCCACTTTGTTGTCCTGCAAATAAACATAAATAATATTTCTTGGCCTTTTTAGAATTAGGATAATCAACAAGTAAACCACCTTCAAAACCACATCGAGTTGCTACATCTGTAATTAATTGGATTTGATCATCATTTTCAGGATAAAATTGGAATACGGCTCGAGCACCTTTACGTAATGAAGCATACAATGTTGAAAAAAATCGCTGAAGTCTTGCTTTAGGTCGATTCGCTGCCTTATCTGCATTACAAAGCCATTGTAAGACGGATACACTATATAAATAATCATTTTTTAGTTTCAATTAAGGAAATTCAAATACTCTATTTTTATTTTTTTATTTTTATTTATTTATTTTACCTGATAGCACCATCAAAAGTACCTGGTCGATAACATACACCTTGTCCTGCATCTTGTAACATCAAATCTCCTTCTACTTCACGTTCTAAAGCTACCTCTAATAATAATAATAATAAAAAGAAATATAAGCTAAAGTATGCATAACAACTAGTAACCCATGCTTTACCTAACATGGAAGGCGAGATATCCATTCCAACCCAAGTATGTCCTTCTTCTTCAAGAATTTCTCCACTAAGTCCTGATCCACAACCTATATCTAATAAATAGGCAGGTCCAGCTGGTAAGTTCAGTAGTTCCAAAGCACGATAAGCCATTTCTGCTTGAATAGAAGCAATACGCGAACTATTAAAAAAAGATTAAAATCTATTATTCTTTCATTTCATGTTTTCCTTACTTTTCAGTATATTTTCTAGCTTCATCGTCTCCATAAAACTATTTTTATATAAAAGGTAATTTCAAAAAACCACACTAGTGATTAGTCTAAAAAGTAGTTTGAAGCAGGTTGATTTCCTATTTGACATTCTTTTTTTTTTTTTTTTTTTTTGAAGGAGATGACTTACAATTTCAGGAGGTGCGATATGTTCTGGTCTTGACATTATGAAAAGTAATTATAATGTCCAAAAAAGGAGGAGTAAAAAAAAAAAAAAAAAAAGATTAATGGAAGTGTAGTTAAAATGAGAGCGTGACTTTAATTCTCTACCACTTACTTCCCAAGTGGCTTTTTCTTTTTTGATATCTTTTCTTGGGCAATCTTTGGGTTGGAAAAAAAAAAATGTCCCAGGGGCCTTTCCATTGTGAACATTTCTTTTCTTCTCTTTTTTTTTTTTTTTCTTTTTTTATTCTTTTTTCTTTATAGACAATGTTACATTTACTTGGTGTCAATTTACCCGATCGTAAATTAGTGAGGTATATTATCCTCTTTTTTTTTTTTTTCTTTAACAAAAGTAGATATATAGATATTCTAATCTTTTTTTCTTTTTTTTTTTTTTTTATTTCTTGTCTTTTAGTACTGCTTTACAATACTTTTATGGCATTGGTGAACCCACAGCGTTGAAATTGTGCGATCAACTTGCAATTCCCAAAAATATCAAGATTGCCGAACTTAGTGAATCACAAATCAACAATTTGACAAACACATTGGCTAGTATGACCATTGAAACTGATTTGAAACGACAAATCCGTGAACATGTCATGCATCACCGTAATATCAATGACTATGTAGGCCGACGACATGCCATGAGTTTACCTGTACGTGGACAACGAACAAGAAACAATGCAAAGACATCAAAGAAACTGAATGGTCGATGGGTACAACGTCGTGGTTTTACTTCGTAAGTATACAAATTTTTTTTTTTTTTGCTATTGCTCATTCCTTATTTTTTTTTTTAGATGGTCTGAATCTCAAAGTCCTTTGGAACGATTCATGGAAAAACAATTCTTGTGAACATCATTTTATATATCAATTCTTTCTCGTCTAACACACATACTTTTACATACATACATACATACGTAGTACTATCTCCTTTTTTTTTTTTTTTGTATCTTGTCCTCTTCAAATATTTACCTGGTATATGCATACTCTCTCTCTCTCTTACTTGACATCGTACCATTCTTTATGTATTCTTATAGACAACTTCTTTCTTTTTTTTATCCATCAAATCAATAAATGTCATATATTAAAGATATGTTTTGGATATATACACTTATTGTAGAAGATAGGTATTTCTGGTGAACGTAATGATGTATAGGGATGGATGAATAGTAAGTAATCATGATTGCTGATGATGATGATAACAGACAATGGATCAAATAGGATCGGTGGTAAATACTAGACGATTAAATGATGAGAAAAAGAAAAAGAAAAAAAAAGATGGAACGACCATAAATAATAAATAAAACGGATTATAAAAATATGGAAAAGGGATCATATCCTTTTGTTAACCCCACATGACCTGTCTTAAAGTAGTTTGGGTATGATCATCTTTCCCATTTTCCATCAATTCCATCATCTTCTTCATTTTTCGTTGCACGAATTTCTAATTCAAGATGTAACGACGTCATTTTTTTTTATTAATACAAGACCCGTTCTATTTCCAAAGTATAGAAATCTCAATTGTAGAAATTTGATTCTTTGTAACGAAAAAGATACATAAATAAAAAAAAAAAAGACACGATTTGACCTCTAGGTCACATAACACAATTTTTTTTTTTTATTTTTTAAATGAATGATATGATTATAATTAATTATGACTGTATAGATATATATATTTATATAGGAAAAAAGAATCATAACGGAGGGAATAAGGGGACTAACTAGCTAATACAAAATACTATACTGCATTAAATTGGAGGGAAACTAGTCTAACAAAGAAGGATCCATACGACCAAGGGCTTCACAAAACATGTTTAAACGTTGGCATGAATAAGACAAATAATCGAAATCGATATCACTTTGTTGAGCTTGCACTAAACCCCAAAGTCCCCAACCTAGATGACAGACGGTTGTCCAGCAATCGATTTCATATAGTAATTGATCAACAGTAGTAGATGATTTCAAATGATGATGAGCTAAATAAGCTTTTACAAACCGGATTTGTTGTTGTCGTGTAGGTGCATCTTGTGATGAGGCCAATGCAGGTCGATCTCCGTGGTAGTTGTATTGCCATTCCATAAAATGATTTGCTAAATCATATCCTCGTGAATTGTATCCAGCATATTCAAAGTCAACAGCCACTAACTCATTTGTAGATGTCAATCGTAAAATGTTGCCATACTGAAGCTAAATAAAAAAATAAATAAAAAAAAAGGAAAGGTCAGTTGGAAAGTAAATCATTTTTAAATAAAAAGAAACACTTACATCATTATGTGCAAATACAATGGGACTTTGAACTTGATCCATCCATTGTTGACAAGCTTTGATTTTCTTCAGAGTGATACCAGCTAGGGCTTTTCTAGGAGAAAAGGATGAGCCATCATTTTTTTCTACCAAGAGAGCATCATACCATTTATGAATTTGAGACCAAATTTCCAAATCCGGATTGGATGATAACGGAGAAGAACTTGAAGGAGGATGAAGTTGAACAATAGCATGTAATCTTGCAAGTAAAATAGCGATAATCACTGAAGTATCTGGATCACGCAAACAAGCATGAGTCAATGTGGTGGAATATAAATATTCTTCAAAACGACCATTGGCAAAGGTCCCTAAAAGTCGAGCTCCCATCTTCAAAGGAGTCAATCGAGCAAGCCATAGCAATTCCTTGTTTCTATCCAGTAATTGATCACATCCTGATCCATAGACACGTAGCACAAGTCGTTGATGACTTGGAAGCGTTACGAAAAAGACGGCACTGATAAAAAAAAAAAAAAAAAAAAAAGGAGTTAACGTTTGATGCTTTGATAGGGGGGAGTATATATATCAAACAAAAAAAAAAAAAAAGGAAAAAAAAGAGAAGATTAGACCTTATTCTTTACTTACTTTGTCAAAGCACCACTGATGCGCTCAAGTTTGACTGTAGAAATATTACCAAGATGTGGATATAACTCTTGGATCACCTTGAGAACTTGTTTTTCAATATTACCTTTACTATAATAGAAAAAAGAAAAAAAAGAAAAGAAAAAGATAAGACATAATATGTGTGGAGAGAGAGAGATATTGATTTGTTTAATAAAAAATAAAAAAATAAAAAAAAAGAAAAAAAACTTACGAGATATCAATGACCTGGCTCGCTGTGGGAATAAAAGTATTGGTATCACTGTTGATAAAAGGAGGAGGGGGTAAATGACTAGTCCATTGACTTACCATGCCATTTAAAACAGACTGGTGATTGTTTAATGTTGTATTGGTTAACATTGTATCTGGAGCAAACATATTAATAAGTTGATTTTTTAAGAAAAAAGTAAAAAAAAAAAAAAAAAAAAAAAAAGAAAAAGGGAAGAAAGAAAGAAATTAAAAAAAAATTTGGGACGTTATTGGTGCCTTTTTATCTTTTTTTTTTTTGGAATTTTTTTTGGCGTCGGGGTTATGAATCCACCATTAACCCATCAGAAGAAGGTGACACAAAGAAGGCTATCATTTTCTTTTTTTTTCTGCAAAGTGAGCTTCTTTCTCAAAAAGGCAACTTCTTTCCTCCCCCTCGTGAGGTCATGTATTGAAGTTTCAACCATACCGTTTCTGGATCATACCAAATTGTCATAGACAGATGATACTTTTTTTTATTTATTTAAAACAATGAAACGAATAAATACATTAAAAAGATATTGTGTAATCCTAGTAACTTTTTTATTTTGAAGCTATATAAATAAAATGACTAAACTATAGTTATTTACCAAGAAATCGTAGTTGAAGTTCGTATCCTATCATCATAAGAAGCTGATAAACCATGTGAAGAAGATCCATCTTCATATCTTGTAAAAGGTGATACGCGAGTAGTAGAATTGCCTCCAGAGTCACTGTCATTGGATCCAGTTTTACCATAATCACGACCATCGTCATCATCATCATCATCATTATCATCATCATTGTCATCATCATCATAATTGTTTTCACCACCAACATCAGTATCATGGTTTTGTTTTTTGTTGGTTCGTTTCCTTGACCATGTAGGTAATGATGCTGATGATTGTAATGTTTTTTGAGGTCGATGTTGATTCTTTTTATGCCGCCTTTTATTGTTCCCATGATGTTGAGTCCGTAGATAAGATGATGCAGATGATAAGGATTGTGTATCTTCATTGTTATCCAATAAATTCAAAGGATGATGATATGATATTGGTGTTGGTTTCAAGTGTTGTATATCTGTCAATGTTTTTTCCAGTGCCTGAAGCTTTGTACGTTCATAGTGAAGACTGAGAGTAGCATAGTTCTTCATGCTATGTGTCAGATCCCGTCTCTTCTGAGTTTCAAACAGTCGAATTTCTTCCTTGACATTATCTTGACATTCATCAAATAATCGTTTGTTTTCCACCAGTTCCTCTGTCGCCTATTATCCCCAAGAAAAGAAAGGTTAATCAATAGTTTTTAATATATTTCAAGTTACTTTCCTCTTGTTCTTCAGTCATAGCTGTTCGTACTTCAGAGGCATTCAATCCCATTCTCAATTTCAATTTGTCAGTTCTATCTCGTTTTCTGTTTCGTTGTTTAGCACTTGCCACATATTCCATCAGCTTTTGTGTCCTTGCATTGAATACTGTCTAATATAAAGAAAGAAAAAAAACAATATTGCATAAATAATATATATATATATATATATATAAAGTGATACTATTTATTACATACTTTGAGACCATCCATTGAATTTTTATATTCTAACAAGACATCACCATATTGCATATTTTCTTCTTTACCCTATATATATAAAGTAAAATGAATCATTCATGATATAGGTAATATTTTTTTCTTGATAACTACCTGTCGAGTGACGAGAAATCCAAGTTCATCCATTAGTAAACCAAAAAGTTGCATTTTCCTATCCAAAGCTCGTTGTTGATCTTTATAAGTAATACCATTCCCCAATTGATATTTACTTTGTGTTGTTTCGATCACTGTATCACCAAGATGGGTTAATGTATCCGCCAATCCTAGAAATTGGGAATGTGAATATCTTTAATATATGATTTCTTTCATATTACCTTCACGTAGTTGTATCATTTGAGATAATGCTTCAGCAATAGATCCAAAGTAAGATTCGAGCATAAGAATATAAATTTGATGTCGATGAAAGACATCATTTTCATCCTATGAATCAAATAAATCAAAAGTGATGTTAATATATTCCATAGAATAACTGAAAAAAAAAAAAGATATTTATTTTTTTTTATATCCCTTACGCCATCCACTGGTTCAGTTGCTTTGTAAGAATGAAACCCACCACGGCCTTGTTTTAGAGTTCGATTGAATCGTAAAAAGGAAAGTACACCTTTACTAGTAGGTCCCACTTGAGTTGGTGACTTGTAAAAACGAAAGAATAAGTAAAATTATATTTTATTTTTAATAATTTTTCTTACCATATCATTGGATAAAAAAAAGATAAACTTGTCATGGTGGCAAAATACTTGTCTTCGAATCAGTTTATCGAAATATCTAGCAATTTGTAAACGTTTCCTTTCAACATAATCTTGATCGTCCATCAGTAAGACAAGAGGTGTTTCTGGTAAAGTGGGAACAACAATTTTGACGGATTGACAAAGTTGTTCATGTAACCAAGCTATCTGTTGAAAAGACCGAAAGACAGTAGGTTGAATGGTATCGTGTTGAGTAAGGTAATCTTGTACATTCTATAGAAACAAAGAGAAAAAAAAAAAGAATTATTTATTAATTTAAAATTTTTTTTTTCTTTTCTTTACTGGTCCACCAAGCACAAGTTTGAATTGAATGGTATCAGAAGAAGCAGCTGCTTCAGGTACCGATAATAGTAAATGTGTCATTATTAAAAAAAAAAAAAACAAGATGGGGTGGTAGGGGAAACAAAGCGAATGAATCCAATGGAGTTCCGCTCCAAAAAAAAAAAAAAGTAAAAGGGAAATGGCAAAGTTTTTTTTTTTTTTTCTTAATAGCGGAGTCAAATATGTACAAAAAGGTTTTTTTTTAACAGTTTTTTGGGTCTATCTCATGTCCGCATGACAAGAAAAAAAAATACATTTTTTTTATTTTTATTTTTATTTTTCTGTGTTGTCGTTTCAAAATCCAACAAGCGTCATGATTCTAAATCAAGTCACCCCTGCTAAACAATACAATGATTGGATCAATTTGACAAGAAACTTCTTGCATTCCAATTTCATCCCCCCCACATTTAAACAATACAATAACAACAAAAAAAAAAAATTCTATTCTCCTCCTACCCCCCAATTCTAGGTCAAAACACAGCCAGTCAGATGATGATTGAACGGAGTGATTCGGTACTACAACTATTTGTAAATAAGTTTCCACGGTCAATAACATATATTATTATTATGGATTATATGTACTTTATTTACAACAGGTAAGATAGATAGATATAGATATATACAATTCATCAATAAGAATAATAAAATGAAGGAATCAATAGTAAAAAAAAAAATAATAACTACAAAAAGTATATATACACAATAGATAAGATAAGAAAAAAAAAAAGGGAGATATACTACAAGATAGGGCGGGAGAGAGTGCGGCGGGAGGTCAAAGAGGGAGTTTTTTTTTTTTTTTTGAGAATCAAGCATCCAAAACATCTTCAATAAGGTCCATTTCCAATATTTTACCATGCATAGCCAAATAATCCTTGATACCTTGAACATTGACGAATAAATCATACTTGATTAGGCCAAGAAAACTTCTTTCCATTAGATTCACATCTTTGGGAGTATAAACGTGATCGGTCATTTCAGTGATGGCTTGACTAGTTAAACAAGTACCTGTTTCAGACATGAATTTACTTGCAGTAAGAACAGCAGCTAAAAAGAGACGATAAGGTGTATCTACATCACCACGAGCATGACGAGGTAAACTCATTTTAAGTCGTTGTAAATATATCAGTGATACTAAACAAACACAAGGTGGAAGTTGTGATCGTTGAAATACCGTAGCAATGAATTCATTTAAAGGTGGTAATCGTGCTGCTGTCATTTTAGTTTGTATCGAACGTGTTTTGGAACATGGTATCAATGAAGTCGCTGTTATGGTCGTAAAAGCTAATCATAATAAAAAAAAAATCAATATAAATCATCTCTATTTTTTTTTTATTTTTCAAACTTACATAATAATGCTTCAGGACTTCTAGAACATACAGTAGGAGTAGTTGGAATATTCATTGAAATCAAAGGAAGAAAAAAATAATAATAGAATGATATTATATTTAATTGTGTGTGTGTATAAAAAAAAACAACAAGAAAAGAAAGGAAACAAAAAACAAGAAAGAAAATCGCTTTTAAAGAAAGAAAAGAAAAACGATTGTCGGAATTTATAATTTGTTTGTCAAAATTAGAGCTTCTTTTAAATCAATACACCAATCAGAGACCATCCTCTTATCATTGTACAAAAAAAAAAAACTAATTTGGCTTTTTCATCATCAAATAGAAAAAAAGTGGGGTCACTCCTTTACACTTTATTTATTTATTTCTCTTTTTCTTTTTTCCTCCTACATAATTACATTTGATTTTCATGGACACGTGAAATAAATAAGGGTATATTCTTCCAATAATACCCTTACTTTTCATTTACCTTTCAAATTGGAAAATCCATTTCAAATCAAGTAAATCTTCCATATCAGGAAATTGACTTTTCATGTCTTCCGATTGGTCTTCCTACAGTATTAAAATAAAAATAAAAAACTCCTTTGTTAATACTTATGCTATATTTTGTACATATAAGACTTTTTTTTTCATTTGATTCTTTCTTTTTTTATTTTATTTTATTGTTTACAATAGAAATAATAAATATACTAAATAATAATGAATTTTTAAATTATAATATATTGGTTCATTATTGTCGTTTATGTTCACTATAATAATCGAATGGTCCATACTACAGTATCAACATAAAACAATTTACATAGACAATATCTTCAAAAAAAAAACATTTTCTTTATCTGATTAATTAGACAAATGAATAATAATGATAATGATAATAAAAAGGACTAAAAGAATCAATAAAGGGGAAAAACTGAGCTATGATTTCTAATCTATTCATTGTTGTCGTTTGCGTTTACTTTCGTAATCAAGTATTGCAGACTTTATGGCGTCTTCTGCAAGCACTATACATAATAAAAAAAATAAGAATCAATATTTGATTTCTTCATTTTATTCTTTTTCATTTTTTTTTTCAACTTACTTGAGCAATGTAATTTGACAGGAGGTAAACATAATTCTTTGGCAATTTCAGTATTTTTGATTTTTCCTGCTTCTTCCAAAGTCATACCTCGGACACGTTCCGTCATAAAACTACTTGACGCAATGGCTGATCCACAACCAAAAGTCTTGAATTTGACATCAACAATTTTTCCACTCACATCGTCCACTTTGATTTGCAACTTCATCACATCACCACAAGCAGGTGCTCCAACAAGTCCAGTACCTACACCTTCTTCTCCTTTAGGAAAAGAACCAACATTACGAGGTCGTTCATAATGATCAATCACCTAAGATATATATATATATATATTAGTTTCTTTTTGTTTTTTTTTTTATTGTTTTTTTTTCCTTACTTTTTCATGATAGGCACGAGCACCTAATGGTCTTTGAATAACTAATGTGTTCTTTTTCAAAGCTGTCAAAGTAATCCGTAACATGATTCAATCCAATGAAAAGGTATATGACTAAAGACAAAAAAATAATAAGAATAATAACAAAGGAAAAAAAAAACAAAAATGGGTCTGCTGAGATGAAAGCCTGGTTTTCCCTATCAGCCAATTAAAGTTTTCCTTTTGCACTAGACTTGGCTTCGCGTTTTCAAACTCAAATGAGTGAGTCGACTTGTATTCATTTTTCTTGGATGAGTGTTATTATTATATGCATTGATAAGCATCAAGTCAAGTGACATACTTCTTTTAAGAATCATAAAAGAAAGAATGGTTTGATCTCAAAACGAATTGGGTTTTTGCATCATAGTAATAAATCATCATCATCATCATCATCATTTCGACCACTTGTCATCATGGGTAGGTCATTTCATCATCATTGGAACGTCATTATTCATGATGACCCTTTTTTTAGATAACTAGAAAGACGATTTCATAAGTCATGATAAAGGAAGGAAAGAATAATAGGAAAAATAATTTTTATTTCAATAAGAAGACAAATGTAATATGTATGTAACAGATAAGACAAAAAAGGATAATAAAAAAAAAGTGGAGTAGTACGTTTTGTTTTGTTTTTTTTTTTTTTATTTCATTTAGATGTTGGAGGGGTAAAGCATCTATATATGGCAGATGAACAAAAACAAACAAAAGGAATTCGAAGTCAGTATCAATAGAAATAAACACATTGCATAAATCATGTATTATATATATAAGATACTTACAATACGAACACTAGCACCAAAAGACTTGGGAGGCAAGTTGTTACGGAAACGAGCTTTGACAACACCATTAGTACCATGAGTACGAGCAACACGACCCCAGATAACACGGACCTTGGAACCATTGACTTCACGCTTGGCCTTGTAAACATAAGCAATACGCTTACCGAGGTAGAATTGAGCATCCTTGGTGGTCTGAACACCTTCTACTTGAATAAGAGAAGTGTTGGGGTTTTGGTTACGCTTAGCACGTTCGTAGCCCAAAACTCGACCTTTGCTGTAAAGACTTTATATATAACAAAAAAAAGAAAAAGGATGAAAATTAGATTACATTGTTCATCATAATAGTATCAAAAGTCGGAAAGAGAGAATTTGACGTATCCATCCATCCATCCATCCATCCATCCATTGAGTTGCATCCATCCATTTCATTCGTCCGTTCATATATTCGATTTTGTTTATCGTAAAAAAAGTAAAATTGGTTATATCTTCGTCGTTCAGTAATAACGTTGAGACTGAAAATAGTCATCCATCCATCCATTCGTATCCATCCGTCTATTGATTTCATCCATCCATTTCATCCGTTCATTTGATTGATCATAGTTGTATTCCAATGGATCGTTCACTAAATTCTCTCTTTCCTTCTTAAAAAAAAGGTTTCTTTACCGTTCGCTCATGGTTGTACTTTGAAAAAAAGGGGTGAAAACGATCATGAGCCATCCCAAGAGTTAAGTGGATTCCATCTCCGCCCTCCCACTGAAAGAATTGAAGGCACTGTTTCAACCACCACAAAAGCCAAAAAAATTACAGGTCACACACATTTGCACGCGCCTGAAAAGAAAAAAAAAAAAAAATAGAAAAAGCATAATGAGTTCAATACATATTTTTTTTTTACTATCCTTTTCTTTTCTTTTTTTTTTTTATATTATCCCGTTCCTTTGTATATATACGTATTCACCAACTATTCATTACAAACTTATTCTTCTATATATTTTAAATAAAAAGGGTAAATGTTAACCACTCCCTCAATACCACAACCTCTACCTTTAGACCGAAAGTATAAGGATGCTTTCTTCAGCTACTGCAAAACGCAAGGGATCCGTGCCTCTTTGATTACATTCTTGATCTCATACCTCTCTACAACTATATTTATCCTACGCATCACATCTTTGAAAGGTAAATGACTATTGCCTAGATTATTTCATTCAAGTTGAGATCTAATATTCATTAATCTTTCTTTCTTTTTTTTTCCCGTATAGGATTACTATGGACGTTTTTTCAACAAAAAGTATTTATCACTTCCCTTTTATTTACTATCATCATCACAGGTCTTGGATTTTTACGATTTACTCAAACTTCAGGTACAAATATTATCTTAGGATTGGATATTATATTTTATTGACATTATTTTTTTTTGCACTTTTTACATATAGTATGGCGTCCAAAATATCTAAGTGCCGGCACTGAAATCATCGCAGCTTTCCGTAATCAAGATTATTACATCATGACAACTTGTTATGCTTTGGCTGGAATCACAATGGTACGATTGTGCTTTACAACACTGTTGGAAGAATCATACACATCTCATTGGTTTACTTATCCTCCAGGGTAAGAATGTTCCATTCTAAATTATATATATATATATTTTCCTCTTGTTACTAACCTATCTTAATCTCTCATCAATATATACCTCATTACTTTGCAGACATCGTGCTTATGCAAGAGAATTGAACAAGGAAAATCTCTTTATTACTTTTTATGGTCTTCTTCTGGGTATTGGGTTTTCTCTTCAATGTATCATTGAGGAAAAGAATATCCTTCGTATTTCCCCTATTCAAGTAATAATAACAATAAAACAAGAAAAGAACAACTACTGATCTCTTTCTCTCTTTTATTTTTTTATTGTATACATAGCAACCAAAAGGAGCAGCTCTCAAAGCAAGTATGTCAACCTTGATTCATTCTAGTTGGAAATATGCTGGAAAGATGCTAGTCATCTCTTATATCCTCTTTATCTTCTTCAATGGCATGATATATTATATGGTGGCACCTTTTATTGGACTTTTCTGGTCAAGTTTACTTGTGACACCTGTGGTTCGGTTCCGATGGTACGATCTCTACTTGATGATTCGTATGATGATGACTGGTTCCTTTGTGACTTTTGGATGGGAAATTGGCAATCGTGTATTTGATGTTGTTTTTGCTGTGATTCCTAATATTTCTTTGATGTCAACCCAACCCAATGCTTGTTTACTGGATGGACTACGTAATAAGGACAACCTTTCATGGATTCGATCTACAGCTTATGGCGAACTGGCATTGTTAGCTACAAAGGAACCTGATCGACGTATTAGTTTATTTTTGGATACTAGTCATGACTTTACATCCTCAGCTTGGAAAAGTCTTTCTCAAGAATGCATGTTAACTCTCAATACACTTCGACAACGTTTAAATGATGAATATATGGACAAGAAAACATTGGAACAACAAAAACAACAACTATCTTTTAGTCAAAATGGTGGCACAGAAAGACATTTTACCAGTATACAACGGGTGACATTACAAGATGATGATATGTTAGTGAATGATGATGATGATGATGATCTGAATAGTCGACGATTGGATGATAGAACTCCAGAATTATTCTTATCACAAATGCAAATGACGGATGCATCAATACAGCACACACCATGGGCAACAACAAAACATTTACCCGACGACAAATGGGTGACTTTACCGAGGGAACTGGTTAGAAAAGGAATCCACAAAATCACTCAATCCAATTTCGTTCGCAACTTGATGGTGGTGACTATTGATCAAAAGACTCGGGCTCATTTTAGCAATACACCAGATCTGATCTATGCTATTCAAGGTAAAAAAAAATCAAGCAAACTATTGATTGTTTTTATTTATTTATTTATTTTTATTTATTTATTTATTTAGCACTAGGAAGTTTGACGGCAGCTTCATTGAAAGAAGATCCATATGGATATGTACAACATGACATTCCCAATGTATTAGATACTTTATTGGGAACTTTGATGGATGTAGAACATTTTATACAAGCACCACCAAAATCTTACCAATCTTTACCCCATTTAACTATTGGACCTGTCTTGTGGACTGAACCCAATGCTGTTATTAGAGGTATATATAGATAAAAAGAAAAGAATGATTGAATTGATTTTTTTTTTGTTTTAAAAAATAGCTTTGAATGATGCCATATTTGAAATTACAACTACATTCAAGGAATACATGAATCGTATTAAAGTACAAAAGAAATATCAAGCCAGATTACGTACATACATTTAGATAGCTCCCTTTTTTTTTTATCATATAATATATCTTTTATCATCATTATTTGTGTATTAGACTCTTTTGAATAAAAAAAGAAATACAATGAAAAAATTAAATACTAGTCGACCGACCGGGGTTTGAAAGCCATCTACATGTAGACACCATTTCATTTTTTGAAAAAAGGGAGCCATTCTTTTTTTTTTTTTTCTTTCATCAAACACCTCATGTTGGCTCCCTGTCCTTCATTCCAAGTCCCTATTGGCATCCCTATTTTTGGGGTTGCATTTACAAAAGATAATCAGTTATTACTTTGTGGTGGAGGTGGTGCTGGTCGTAGTGGTGTCAAGAATAAATTGGTAAGTCCTCGACCTTTTTCTTTTTTTTTCGCAGTAATGAACCCTTCTTTATTATTTTCATATGATAGTGTTCATATAAGGTGGATATACGTCGAAAGGATTTAGAAGAAGAAGCTATTTATGAACTTCCATCAGATCAAGATGCTCCCATGTGTTTGACCATTCATCCAACTGTAAAACATTCATAATCTATGAAAAAAAAAAAAATAAACCCACCAACTCTTTTTTTTTTTTTTTTTTTTTGTGTGATAAATTAGGAAAATGTCGCTGTTGCTGGTATCAATACTTCTCCTGACTCTATGAAGCAAGGCAACAATGATAATTGTCGATGTTATGATATTGGAGAAACAGAGTAAGTTACAATAATGTACTATGTAGATAGGAATAAAATTGAAGAGTTCTTTTTATTATTATTACAGGATCACTTTCAAGAACGCAGTCAAAAGTATGGAAAGCAAACAAGAAGAAGATTATCAGGTATAAAATGATTGGATCCTATTTTGAATTTATATTCATCTTATTTATATATAGAAAACAGTACGATTCAATAAAGATGGTACATTATTGGCAACAGGAACAACAGAAGGAGTGGTGACTACCTTCAAATACCCATCATTGGAACAAGTCTCAAGGATTCAAGTAGTAGAAAACAATGATGTATTGGATGTGGATATGAATGATGAAGGTGCCAAATTGACAGCCGTGATTCCTGACGGATTGAAATTGATCAGTTTACGGGGACGAACAGCAGGTACTGTCATTCAAACTGTGTCTGCTTCAACTGTACACAAGAAGCACACCTTACAATTCAGATCTTTCAGGTAACAAATACTATTTATTTATTTTTTTTATTTTATTTTAATACTAATCATCATCATGATGATCAGATATGGAAGTGGATTCTCTGAAAACTTGGCATTCGCAGTTGCAAATGGTATTGGGAAATCAAAAGGTGGTTTCCTGGTGGTATTGGATGCTCATACATTAGAAATCAAGAAAGTATATCAAGCCTCAAAGACCCCTATTACTGCATTTTGTCTTAGTCCTGATGGTTCATTGATTGGTTATGGTGCTGCTGATTTTAGTATCTCTATTTTGGAAGCTTCTACTTTACGAGTAAGTTCATCAAAAAGGATGTGCTATTAAAAAAAGATAACTTCATTATATATATATATATATATATATATCATTCTTTTGAAAATATAGGTTTTGACTAGAGTGAAAGATGCGCATGGTTTCTCTATTACAAGTATAGCTATTAGTCCTAATCGTCGAATTCTTGCAAGTGGATCTGCAGATAATACATGCCGTGTTGTTGATTTACCACTTCAATTTGCTCCAGGTAAATAATAAAAGAAAATAGTAATACGATCTTTAACACTTCTCTTCTTTTATATATATATATATAGCCACTCTGAATCCTGTACATACAATGATTCTGGCTATTACTGTTGCCGTTGTTTTATTGATTTTGACTACTTACTTTAACATGAATCATTTACGGCCCACTCCTTCGGACATCGGACCAGCAACAAGTAATATCGACCAGTTCAAACCTTCCACCACGCAAAAGGATGACTTTTATGCTACAACACCCAGCATCGATCACATTACTGCCACTGTAGCCACTATTACAAAGGAACAAGGTACTCAAGCAACATCCACTCCTGTTATGACTGTCAAGGAAGAACTGTAGTTTTAGACTTTCTTTTTTTTGTTATAAATAATATAATCTAATCAATAAAAAAAAATCAATCATATATTGGAACAAAATCAAACGAAGAAGGGTTATTTATTATTGTAAATAATATTGGAATGAAGTAGGACTAGTCTATTGTTGATCTTTGTATTGCTTGGCCCACTAAACCAAAAATATATATATAGATGTGAGATTTCAATTGTCAAGTAGTAAAAACACACACTTACCATCATGGAAGGGATCCAGCGAGTAGGTTGTTGATAACGTTGCTAATAAAACAAAAGTATATGGATGTAAGTACATATTATTCTATCCTATCATAAAAACTATTTTTTTTTTTTTAAAAAAAAAAAAAAAAGGTTCAGTTCTTACTTCCTTGTTGGCAGATACTTTCCAGACAGCAGCCATAGTAACGGTCATACCAACAGCAGCAACAATGGTATTTGATTTCCAAGCTTTGGGTTGAGACCACCATCCACCGGAAGGAGCCCTAATATATATGATAATAATAATAATAATAATAATAAAAGTGTATTCCTCTTGTTAGTCATCTAATTATTTTGATAAAAGTTATGTAATATCTATTTCTTGTTCATTCTTACCAAACATTAGGGTAGGGGAAACGACTGACAGCACCCTAAATAGATAAATAAATAAAAAAAATTGAGTTCAACAGTCATGTATTATCATAGAAGATGGAATAGAAGATGGAAGGAATTATCATTTTACCATATTAATATGTAATATAATGTAAGTGATTAAAAAAGAGAAAAAAAAAAAGTGCTCCTAGCTTTTTGTTGTTTTGATGTTTTTTTTTTTTTCCTTCCGTCTGGAGTCACCAGTAAAAAACCGGACGTACTTATTTTCTGTCGACGGCTAAATTGGCGGCTTCGGGAAATTTTTATCCGAAATCTTTTTAAGGGTGACTCCTCCTTTTTTTTTTTCTTTCACTCTTTTTCTTCACTTTTCTTTTTTTTTTTTTTTTTTTGTATTGACCTTAGTCTTAGTATATCATTTTAGTAGTGTTTATTAGTCTTTAGTAGTTAAACTTTTATTCAATAAAGACTTTACTTTTATTGAAATCACTTCATTACATGTCAATCAATTGATTCCATCTTCGAATGTACTTTTTTTTTTTTACATGTGAATGCATTCCTTTTTATTTTCTCTTTTTTTTTTTTATAGATAAGAGAAACGCTGATACGATACGATTCCAATATTCTTCACTTCGATATAAGTTTTTATTGTGGATTAGTTACTACGACAAACCAATGACTTCGTCACCAAGCCACACTACTTGTGAAATAAATAGTGATACCCCTTTTTTTAAAATTTTTTTTCTTCTACTCTTTGTTTTTCTTTATATTTTCCTTTTCTTTACTATAGTGATATCTACGTAAATAACAACATGTCCTCAACTATCTACACTGCCAACAACCTTCGCGATGCTTTGCTCCCAACAACTGTACGAGGTGTTTATGAACTTCCTTTAGAAGTTCCTATCTGCGTTCAATTTGACGAGTGGGACGCCTGTCGATTGAAGATACAGGAATTGTGTTGTGAAAAGTGGTGTGTTTTGCGCACTTATAAACGTAGACGTGAACTTGCGACTGTGCTTTACAGTCGAACCTATCACTGCCACAGAAGTGGAGAGTATCCAGTCAGGGAGCGTTCTCAACGTCCTGCTCAAAAACCTTCCAAAAAATGCGGCTGTTCTGGAAGTTTGAAGGTGACTCAGTATGCCAGTACACCTGACATAATGGAGTTCGTTCTTCAAAGAGGACACAGCGGTCATGTTCCTGGTGAAAGAAGTGATCGAAGGACTCTACCACTGACCACGCAAGCGATTGACTTGATTACGAGGGAATTGAGACAGAGTGGTAATTGCAGCAACATCCGAATTAGCATCATGCGACAACTTGATGATTGGATTGAAAATAACGATGGCAATCCCAGCTTGAGACCAGTCAATTATGAGGATGTCTATAACAGAATGTTGAAGGCATGTCATTAACAGCAAAAAAAAAAAAAAAAAAAAAAAAAAAGGCTTCCACGCACATTTACAGATATCACAGCTTGCATGAATCGGACTTGTACTAAGAGTATTTCTTTTTTTTTTTTTTTTTTTTACGTATATATCAGATCAAACACCAGTTGTACGAATTCCATCGAGATGATATGACATCGTTAGGAATATGGTTAAATAGGGTCCTCCCTTTACGCAATTACAACATATTCACTGGCAATTTACAAGCCTACAGTAGCAACACCAGCCTCTTTGCCCTAGGTTTTCAATCACCAGATCAAAAGCGTAGAATGGGTACTTCTATTTCCTTTTGCTTGGACGCCACTCATGGCATTTCCTCCAAATCCATGGATGTTATGTACACGTTGATCATCAGAGATCGCGTTACTGGCAAGGGGTATCCATCAGCATACATGTTTACCAATGATCATTCTGTTGGTTCCATTAATCAATGGATGGTTCATCTACGCGATAGCAGCAATTTTCGTCCTCAATATGTCACCATTGATTGTTCCGTACCCGAGGTAAATGCCATCAAAGCTGCCTTTCCATCTACTTTTATCCATTACTGTGGTTTTCACGTCATGCAAGCATGGAAGAGGCAATTGAAGCAGAAAGTTCGATTAGATGGATCACATACTGCTCGTGATGTTGCTAATCTTCGAGAAGAAATGTTGATCAGCCTGAGAAGTATTTTGGTGGCGAAGGAAATTGATGAATTTCATACTCGAGTTGCTTGCTTCCAAGAGGAGTATAGTGGTCAGTATGAATTCTTGGATTATTTCGAAGAATCATGGATTAAGGATGAAGAAACAATGACACGATGGAGTCAAGCGTACCTTTCACCAGCCCATTACAACATGTTCACAAACAATTATATCGAATCATGGCACAATCAACTGAAAACAAAGTATTTCCAAAGATTGCGAAACAGACGTTTAGATCGTTTGGTGTTTATTCTTACTCATCATGTCGAATACTTTAATGGAGCAGAACGGGAAAGAATAAGTATCAATGACGGTCGAATGGGTCCTATAGAAAATCAACAAGCTCGTAGGTTGTACCTTGCATCCATTGTTGCTATCGAAAGAATGCCTACTATGATAACGAATCCAGATGGTGATAATAGTAGCTGCCCTTCTAATCCTATTGGTACTTGGTCTGTGAGATCTTTTTCAAATGAAAATTCCCTGTATAGAGTGAAGGTTAATGATGATACGTTGATTGAATCGTGCACTTGTGATGATTTTCAACAGAGACTTGCACCATGTAAGCATATGTATATATTGAAAAGATACACGGGATTATACATACAATTTCATGAAGTCATGGAAACCCTGGAATCAAGAGATGGTACTAAAAAAAAAAAAAAAAAAAAAAAAAAACTTACATTTCTTATTCTGTTCGTAGATGAGCCCGATGTGAATATGGATCTGGATGCAATCGCTGGTGATGATGATGATGATGATGATGATGATGGCAATATTGCTGAAGTACAAGTCGACCATCAAGCCACTGTAGAAGAGTTGGACGTTGCTGTTGAAGCCGTTAATGTAGATGCCCAGCTTCAATCGATTAGTTCCATGATCACAAGTGCATACCATCAAAGAGAAGACTTGGAAGCTGCAAGAAGAATACCCAACTTGTCACCAGATATAACAACAAGAATGGAAACGACATTAAGGGAATACCTTCAGCTATTCGAAGAACTTCGCAACCAACACCCGCGTCAATTCCGTCGTTTAAACCGTCAACAACACTAATATAGTATCACACAATTTTCTTTCGTCTTTATCGTATTTGCGTATTTCATACTTTATCTATAAAAAAAAAATAAAAAGGAATGCATTCGCATGTAAAAAAAAAAAAAAAGTACATTCGAAGATGGAATCAATTGATTGACATGTAATGAAGTGATTTCAATAAAAGTAAAGTCTTTATTGAATAAAAGTTTAACTACTAAAGACTAATAAACACTACTAAAATGATATACTAAGACTAAGGTCAATACAAAAAAAAAAAAAAAAAAGAAAAGTGAAGAAAAAGAGTGAAAGAAAAAAAAAAAAGGAGGAGTCACCCTTAAAAAGATTTCGGATAAAAATTTCCCGAAGCCGCCAATTTAGCCGTCGACAGAAAATAAGTACGTCCTAAAAAACCATTCAACTGAGATTGAATTCCGTCCTTTTTTCATTTCTTTCCTTGTCCCCTCTCTTTTTATATATATTCAACACATAAACCATGGATAGTCAATCAGAGTCGACGATCAAACTACCTTCCTTTCAGAAAGATCTTCATGCATTGAAAGAAGATATTGCTTATTTATCTACGAAACCTGATCCTTATATTGACAAGATAATCAATGCACACAATACTACTATACAACAGAAAAAACAAATGATCACCACCACACAAGGTAAAATTCCATCTTCTTTTTTTTCTTTGTGTTTTAACTTCTCATTATAGATACCATTGAAACTCTAAGAGCTTCCATAAAAGAACGCGAAAAGGACAAAGAGTATTATGAAACAAGTATGTTATCAAAAAAAAAAAAAAGAGAATACACATGTGGAAATCTAACGCGACTTTTTTTTTTCTTGTTCTTTTTTTTATTAGAATTACCGGCTATGAAAGAACAACTAGCTATATTGGAAACAGAGATTCGACAGCATAAGGAACAAAACAACGATTTGGAAGTCAAAGTAAAACAAGCAAGAAAGGATCATCAAGAATTGAAACAAAAAATCTCAAGGCAACAAACAGGTAATTTATATATATATATATAAAACAAAAAAAAAGTGATTAACATCAATCTTAGCTCTGGAAGCAAGTAAACGAAATCTTGATAAGCAACAACGACAAAATCGACCGGAATTAGAAGCGTGTATCAAGAAAACAGGCCTGACCATTCATGCTTTGAAAGGTAAATGAAAGGAATAACGATGATCAAACACTGATTCTCTTATTATAATTATAGAAAACTATTTAAAGTTTGATTTCACTTTAATAGATAAAGATCAACCTGACAAGGTATTCTCTTTTGTTTTGCATATGACAAAAGGCTCCTATCAAGGTATAAATATATATCTATGTAAATGCTTCTAATCTATTGACTTTTTTTTTTTAATCTTAGTGCCAGAATGTAATCCTATGCTACCTAATTTGAATGATCTAGTAAAAGATTTACAACAACATTGTGATCCGTTCCTCTTTGTCAAATTGGTTCGTCAAGGTTTTTGTAGTTTATCATCATCATCATCATCAACAACATCATCATAATCCTTCGTCTAATTTAGTATTATTATCAATATTCTTCCCGTGTTTATAGCATTATAATAAAGAGTCTTGTATTTTGATCATGTAATAAATCCTCGCTGGGTCTGAAACCTGGTTTTGTACATTTTTGGGTGGAGGGTAAAAAAAAAAAAATGTGAAAGCTCCATTTTTTTTTATCTATTCTTTCTTTCCTTTTTTTTTTTTTCTTTTCTATAATATATCAATTCGTTTGCACAACAGGGATATCATGTCTGTAGAAGTGAAAAGGGTAATAGAACTGACAAGAATAAAAAGAAGGAATTGAATGTATTCAGCAATAATAATCTATTAAGCCAATTATCATTATCCATGTTTTACTCAAAGTCGTATTTTCTTTTTTTAAAATATATTCTTGTAGTCGAAATACCGTTTCCAAAGTGAAATCCAACAAATGATGTTTGTGTTTGGTGAAGTATCCGATCCATTACCAGAGACCACCACTCTAGTTGAAGATATCATACGATCGCAAGTCATTGAAATTGTAAATTGTCCCTTCTTATAGATGGATTACCCAATACTGACTTTTTTTTTTTTTTAAGGTCATTCAAGCATCAGCACAAGCTTCACGGAGAAACTCAAGGTACCTCAGTGCAGAAGATCTTATTTTTTTAATGCGTCATGACCGTGCCAAAGTCAATCGGTTAAGATCATTTCTCAGTTGGAAAGATGTACGCAAGAATACCAAGGATGGATCTGGCGATCCTGTAGAAGATATGATGGAAGATACAAGTGCTGGTAGAGACGGTAAACAATTTCTTTTAATATATATATTCTTATTAACTTGCACATGTTTTATTAGGCAAATTACATCGTAGTATTATCAAATTACCATGGGAATTAGTGAATCAATTCTCAGATATGATTATTAAACCAAGCAACCCGGAGGAAGAATCAGACGATGAGGATGAACTGGAAGCCTACAATGACTCGATTCAACGATTACGGCATGCAGATGAAGTGACAAGAGCCATGACTCGTGAAGAATATGTTCACTACTCGGAATGTCGACAAGCATCATTTACTTATCGAAAGAGCAAACGGTTTCGAGAATGGGCAAATGTCAGTGCTTTTGTAGAAGTCAAGCCAAATGATGATATCATCGATAGCCTGGGTTTCTTAACTTATGAAATGGTATCCAAATTGACCTCCATGGCGTTACAGATCAAACGGGACTTAATGGAAGCGGATGGCAAGAAAGAAGAAGAAGCCATAAGTCTAGGGATGAAACGAAAAAGGAAGGACGAGGAGGAAGACGATAGTGGTGATAGCGGCGAAAAGAAGAAGAAGAAGAACGATGAACAACAACAACAACTAAATCAACCGGATGATCAAACACCCAACAACAATAATGAAACAACAGAATCAACAACAGAATCAATAGTAGAAACGCAAGATAGTAAAGAAAAAAAAGATGAAGACGAAAACAATGGACTTTTTTCATTACCCACCACCGAACAAACGCCATTATTACCAGAACATATCCATGAAGCATTCAGACGACTTCAACAATCTCCACAACCTATCAAGAACTTTCGAGGTGGCCTAGTACGGACTAGAATCTCTCTTATTTAGTTAGTTACTTAGTGTCATCATTTCATATTCTATTCCAACTTTTTTTTTAAATAAACATTTTGTAGTCAAGTGTGATTATAGATTTCTGTTTTTTTTTTTTTTTTTTTTTTTTTTTTTTTTTTTTTTTTTTTTTTTTTTTTTTTTTTTTTTTGTGTCGACTACAGGTTTTTTGGAAGGTGTGGGTTGTAAAATCTTTTGTTTTAGAAATGGTGATAATCATCGATCATCCAGTATCCATCATATCCATCATCGATTACCAATCACTGATCATCAATTATCTATCATCATACGCCGATAAGGCGTCGTCCTGCAAATAACGGGTGTTTAGGAGGGATCGGCCTTCTCAATATCGTTTACACACCTACCAGTAAGGAGTTGACATCGTAAATTCTTATAAGGTTGTTTAGGAGAGACATCAAACTTTGTTGTCTTTGTTTTGTTGATCTTCTCATTCCCCTTGGTTTTGAGATATTCTTCTTCCTTTTTTTTCATATAAATGACCTTACCTTTTTTATATATTTTATCCCATTGCAATAACTACATCATATACTTACTATAGCGACATCCTTTTCGACTCTATTTTTTTTTCTTTATTACTATTATGTATTTAAAGAGATTTTTTCCGATCCTGCTTACTATTCTTTTTTACAACATTGTGGAAGCAAAGTACAAACTAGACTGTCTAGATAAACTGGGACATCTTTATATCGATGCTTTTGCTTCCTGTAAAGATGAGAACTGTATACAACAACTGCAACAAGTATATGGCAAGACAGCAAAAGGTCTTTGTATGATCCCCGAGTATAAAATGTGTTATCAACTACAAAAATTCGCATTCATTGGTGGTAAATGTGTCTCACAGGTCGGTCATAAATTCTCTAGTTTGCAAGAATGCGAAGCGCATCCAAAAGACAATTTTAGTTATGTAAGAAGACAATGCATACCTTATAAAGATGATTGCCATAAATTAATGTGTCTTTGAATTAGCGTTTTTTTTTTTTATCCAAGAAATAAATATATGATAAAATAAAAAAAAATACATCTATAGGGTTGAAATAGGCTTGATCTTGTTGTTTTCTTTGTGATGAATTTTCCATTGCGAAAGACATCCTAATTTGCTATTTTCTTTGTCGTACGTAATAGTCGATCAATATAGTCATTAATGAGCAGGATAGTCGTCAGTAAATGGACAATGAGGACATCCTCCCAAATATAATATATCGTTTTACTATTGAATACATATGCCACAGACAAAAAAAAAAAAAAAAAAAAAAAAAAAAAAAAAAAAGGATTTTATTTTATCCATACAAATACCACAAACTATACTACATAACTAGACTACATAACTATACTACCTGACAATAATAACAAATAATTACATTACAAGCGATAATATCCATGAATCACCCCACCAGGGCAGCGATCACAAATTTCACTTCGGGTCGACCATTTTATTTGGTATAACTACTTCAATTGCCAACGGAGTCGCTCCAGTGGAGAAAGTAGGTAACCTTGGCTTGACTATATGATTTGCAATCTACAGTAAATCAACAAATTAGTAATTCCTCAATGCTATCCTTTTTTTTTTTTCTATATACGTGTTACTTTGGTTACATCGTTGAGTATTTCACGTTATTGTATAGAGGACAATCTTGCAAGCTACAGATAAAATCAACGAAAAGAGTAGTAATCAATCAGTGTTATTCTCTTTTTTTAATATATATATATATATGTTACCTTGTCATCCGTCAAAATATCAATGATAAGAACCAAAGGGATAACCAAAAGCACGTTTGGTATAGATCAAATTGAACTTGTTCAACTTTTGTAAAAGAGAATAGAGTACCAAAAGAAGGAGGGAACGGCAATCTAGGACCACGGGAGAGAATGATAATAGTGAAACACCATATCAAGTGAAAAACGACAAAGAAGATAAAGACCAACGATGCAGTAAAGAGATATTGACGGAAACACTACAACAATGTGAGATAGACGAAAGAAAAGGAGAGACAGAATCCAGTCGAGTATAAAAAAAGAGATTTTGAAAAAAAAAAGACTAAAACAATGAGAGATAGATGAGAGAAAGGAAAAAAGACCTTGTTGTTTCAAGATATTTTTTAACTTTTACCACTTCTTCAATCAGGAATTGCATCAGTTCTTCGAGTTGTTTCTATCGTACAGTATAATATTCATGTTGTTCTCCAACCAGTACTTGACCTGACGGTGTTGCTACGAGTATAGGACGTTGAAGAAGAGCTTGAGTCTGCCATTAAAAAAAAAAAGTGAAAGAAATGCGAAGAAAAGAAAATTGGGAGGATTTTCTTTTTTATCTTGTTGACTGGCATTGAATCAGATACACCATTTTTTCTCTGTGACACGAAATGCATTGATGAGATCAAATTCGTTTAGAAAATATGAAAAGGATTTCGCAAAGCATCATTAGAGTATGAAATATTCAATTATTCAAGAATATTGAACACCATATGCTTAACAGTAAATGAGCAGATCATCAGTTTCTTGAGTCGCTAGAGCATAACAGAAGATTGAACCCATGATGAATAACAAATTGCCATACGAATTCCTTTTTTAACGCTTAACTTGTACAGTCGATGATAAATGATGGAATATTTCAAAGAATAAAAATGATCAGTAAACATGATATAGTGTGAACAGCTCTTTGCCTCTTCGATCAATCATCCATCATACCCCTTTAGGGGCTCAGCCTGGAAAACGGTGGCGTTTAAGGGGGGGATCGACTTTTTCCTGTCAATGTCGCTCTCTCTCTCTCTCTCTCTCACCTGCAAGGGCTTATAACGTAAACCCCTACAAATAGGGGCTATTTAGGATGAGAGATTAACTTTCTGTTGTCCCTGCTTTGTAAATTTTCCCATCATATTCATCCTGGTTTTTGAGAGAATTACTTTTTCGTATAAATTGTTCTATTTTTTTTTTTATTTTTATTTTTCAGTGCAATAAACAATTATCTTCTTTACATCTATACGGATTCCTTTTCTACTAAACGGTTTTATTATGTATTTAAATACTTTTTTATTGGTATTGCTTACCATTCTTTCTTACGAATGCGTATTTATTGAAGCATTGTACGATTTGGACTGCTTGGCCAAAACTGGAAAGGGTTTCATCGATCAAATTAGAAACTGTCGCGAAGAATCCTGTGTGGAAGAAGTACGACAAGTCTTTACCGCAGAGAGATGTTTGATTCCAGAATATAAAATGTGTTATCAAACAGCAAGTAACTCACTTCTTGGCGGCGGTTGTACAACACAGGAAAGTGATGTCTTCTCTACCTTGCAAGACTGTGAGTCGTCTCCAAACCCCAATTTTAATTACATTAAAAGACAATGTACACCTGTTAACGATGACTGCCATAAGGTGATATGTGGCACAAGCAGTAGTTAATTTTTTTTTTGTCCAGAAAGCTAGCAGTAAAATAAAAAGTAACCTGTGAAATGGGATTAACCTTTCCTTTTTTTTTCCAAAGGGCTTTTCCATTTTGGAATATGTAATTGTAAATAAAAGCCTCATTCTTGTGAGTTATATTTCATCAGTACAAATATGCTACACATAAGGAAGGAGTTTATTTCATCAATGAGATACTACAATCTATACTACTACGTAAGTATACTACAAGCGACGACGAGCACAATTACAACCGTAATTGTTTTGTTTGATACAAGTACTTCAATTTGGTCATCTAATAGAGTCATTTCACTGAAGAAAGTCATCGATCTTGGCTCGGTTGTATGGTTTGTAATCTACAGATAAAGCCAACAAAATAAGTAGTAATCCATCAATGTTATCCTCTTTTTTTTTTTTTCTATATACGTGTTACCTTCAACATACAGCTAGATATTTACATCACCGTTATTGTATAGTCGACATCTGGCAAACTACAAATAACATCAATAAAATACATATCAATCCATCGATATTATTTTCTTTTTATATATATACGTGTTACCTTAACTGCATCATGCGCCAGCGTTGATATATCAATGATAAGAACCAGTGGGGCAACCAAAAGAATGTTTCTATGCACTAAATTGAACTTGTTCACTTTTTGTTGAAGAGAGTACCACAAGAAGAGGAGTAACAGCCTAAGACCACGGGAGAGAATGAGAGTAGAGAAGTGTCATACTGAGTGGGAAGAGACAAGGAACATCGACCAACAACGCAAGAAAGAGATATTGACGAAAACACCACAAGAAAGTAGAAAAGGAGAGACAGAATCCAGTCGAGTATAAAAAAAAAAAACATTTCGAAAAAAAAAGATCAAAACAATGAGAGATAGATGAGAGAAAGGAAAAAGAGAATCCAATCAAGTAGAGAGAGAGAGAGAGAGAGAGAGAGAGAGAGAGAGAGAGAGAGAGAGAGAGAGAGAGAGAGAGAGAGAGAGAGAGAGAGAGAGAGAGAGAGAGAGAGAGAGAGAGAGAGAGAGAGAGAGAGAGAGAGAGAGAAAGATGAGCCACCAGTGTTGTCCTTGTTGTTTCAAGATATTTTTTAACTTTTACCACTTCTTCAATCAGGAATTGCATCAGTTCTTCGAGTTGCTTCTACCGTACAGTATAATATTCAAAGTGTTCTCCAACCAGTACCTGACCTGACGGTGTTGATTGATACGAGTATAGGACGTAGATGATGAGATTGAGTCTGCCATTTAAAAAAAAAAAGTGAAAGAAATGAGAAGAAAAGAAAATTGAGAGGATTTTCTTTTTTTTACCTTGATAGCTGGCATTGAATCAAATACACCATTTTTTCTCTTGTGACACGAAATGCATTGATGAGATCAAATTCGTTTTAGAGATATGAAAAGGATTCCGCAAAGTGTCAGATATCAAGTATGAAATATTCTGTTATTCAGAAATGTTCGAGCTACTTAACAGTAAACGAGCAAATCACCATGGCATCCATGATGAATATTGATTCCTTTTTTACCACTTACTTTGCACAATCGATGATAAATAATGACAGACTTCAAAAAAAAAAAAAGGAAAATGATCAGTAAATATAGTGTCGTCTGAGCTCCTCTTTTTGCGTCCTCGTTCAATCATCCACCATATGTCGTACAGCACCCATCGATCATTTCACACCTATAGGGGGCTCATCTGGCATCTCAGATGGATCCATTTTCTCCTTCCATTGTTGGTCTGACGTACGCACGTATGCAACCCCTAGGCGCTCGTAGCGTAAAATTCTGCAAATAGGAGTTGGGAGATCAGCTTCTAAAATTGTAGATCCATCCTGGTTTTTAAGATTCATCTTATTATAAATTGTTCTACCTTTTTTTTTCCCTACTACAATAAAAATATCATTTCTCTTTCATATATTCTTTTCTGAGATATTATGTATTTAAATAGATTTTTGCTGTTACTCATCTTGTCTATCGCTCTCTCTTACGAATGCTTATTTGTGGAAGGAAAGTACAATCTAAACTGCTTAGCTAACCTTGGAGATCTTTTGGTCAAGAGCGTTGCTAAATGTGAAGATGAAGCTTGTGTGAACAAGGGGTATCAGATCTTTAACGCGGCAACAAAGCTTTGCTACAAATATGACTATAAACTGTGTTACCAAAGACCGAACAAGGGAGCTTTTGTCAACTGTACATCAGAGCCTGGTGAGGGATTCTTCAATTTGAAGGACTGTGAATCAAGTCCAGGATCCGGTGAATATAAAAGAAAAAAATGCATTCCGTATGCCGAGGATTGTTTTAAAGTAATGTGTGGTTGAAGCAGCTTTTTTCGTTTTTTTTTTTTTTTATTCAAAAAAATAAATAGTATGATAAAATAAAAATAAAAAAAGTACATCTATGGAGCATGAAATAGGCTTGATCTTTTTTTTTTTTTTTTGTTTTGTTCCTTTATAGTGGCTCCTCCATTTTGGAAGGTATCATGATTTTATTATTTTCTTTGTCACAAGTAATAATTAGTTAATGGGCAGGAAACGTCATTGATAAAGTAAGAATGAGGCAACCTTCAAAATACAAGACATGTTTTTACTCTTGACTATTTTGACAGTATCGTCTCGATGAATATTATACATGATGGAAAGAAATCTGAGATAGAGATTACAGATATGGTAGATAAAATAAAATTTTATTTCATCAATACAAATACTACATAACTATACTACGTGACAATAATAACAAATAACTTCAAGCAACAACGCACATAAGCACGACTACAACCACCACAAGCATATCAAACAACACTCATGACTTCCATATCGAATAAGGCTACCTTATTTGATACAACTACTGCAATTTGCCTAAATAATCGTGGTTTGGCTCTATGATTTGCAATCTACAGATAAAGTCAACAAAATAAGTAATAATCCATCAATGTTGTCAGCTTTTTTTTTCTATATACGTGTTACCTTGGATATTTACATCGCCGTTATTGTATAGACGATAATCTTGCAAGCTATAGATAACATCAATAAATAGTAATCCATCAATATTATTTCCTTTTTTTAATTTTATACATATTGCCTTGGCTACATCATGCACCAGTGATGTATCAACGATGATAACTAAAATCAAAGGGATAACCAAAAGCGCGTTTGTATTGACCAAATTGAACTTGTTCACCTTTTGTTGAAGAGAATAGAGTATCACGAGAAGAGGCGTAGCAATCTAAGATCACGGGAGAGAATGATAATAGCGCAACATCATACCAAGTGAAAAACGACAAATAAGATAGAGAGAACGACCAAAGATATCGGAAAAAAAAAATATTCACAACAGTGAAAACGGACGAAAGAACAAGCGAAAGAGAGAGAGTCCAACCGAGCATAAAAAAAGATTTTGAGAAAACACCATCGCAATGAAAGATAAATGAGAGAAAAAAAAATAAGATGAGCCACTCCTATTGTCCTTGTTGTTTCAAGATTTTTTTAACTTTACCATTTCTTGTAGTTGCTTCTACGACAATGGTTCCAAGCTGTTTTTCTACTAGTATTTGACTTGACGGCATTGATACGAGTATAGGGTGTAGACGATGAGCTTGAGTCTACCATTTAAAAAAAAAATGAATTAAACAAGGAAGAAATGCGAAGAAAAGACAATTGAGAGGATTTTCTTTTTTACCTTGATGGCTGGCATTGAATCAAATTTACCATTTTTTTTTTTCTCTGATACGAAATGCATTAACGAGATCAAATCCATTTAGGAAATAAGAAAAGGAGTCTGGAAAGTGTCAGATATCAGGTATGTAATATTCAGTCATTCATAAATATTCGAGCTACTTGACAATAAACGAGCAAATCACTATTGCAACCATGATTAATGCTGAATTACCATACCAATTCCTTTTTTAACACTTACCTTGCACAATCGACGACAAATGATGGCAGACTTCAAAAAAAAAAAAAAAAAAAAAAGGAAAATGGTCAGTAAATATAGTATCATCTGGACTCCCCTTTTTGCTTCCTCGTTCAATCATATATCATATATCATACTTCATACATCATACAGCATAAAATTAGATCGTGCAACGTATGGCACACATCGATCATCGTACACATATAAGGCCTCATTGTACAAATCCGGGGGTGTTTAGGACGGAACCACTTTCTCCTTCCATTGTTGGTCTGACGTATATTGTACGTACCCCTCGGCGTTCATGGCGTAAAATTCTACAAATAATGGTTGTTCAGGAGCGAGATCAGCTTCTTGTTGTCGTTGCCTTGTAGATCCATCCTGATTTTTAAGATTCACCTTACGTCTATAAATTGTTTTACGTTTTTTCCCTACTGCAATAAAAATATCATTTCTCTTTCATATATACGATATCATGTATTTAAATAGATTTTTTCTATTACTCATCTTGTCTATCGCTCTCTTTTACGAATGCTTATTTGTGGAAGCAAGGTACGATCTAAACTGCTTAGCTGGCTTTGGAGATCTTTTTGTCAAGCGTATTGCTACATGTAAAGATGAAGTTTGTGTGAATCAGCGGTATCATCTCTTTAACGTGGTAACAAAGATTTGCGACAAATATGTCTATAAACTGTGTTACCAAAGACCAAACAAGGGAGTTTTTGACGTCTGTACATCACAGCGTGGTACTGAATTCTTGAATTTGAAGGACTGTGAATCAAATCCCGGATATGGTAAATATATAAGGAAAAAATGCATACCCATTGGAGATAATTGCGATAAAGCAATGTGTGGTTGAAGCAGCGTTTTTTTTTCTTTTGTTATTATTATTCAAAAAAATAAATAGTATGATAAAATAAAAATAAAAAAATATATCTATCTATGGGGCATGAAATAAGCTTGATCTTTTTTTTTTTTTTTGTTGCTCCTTTATAGTGGCTCGTCCACTTTGGAAGATACCATAATTTGTTATTTTCTTTGTCACAATTAACAATTAGTTAGTATGGTAGCCAATGGGCAGGAAACGCCATTGATAAAGCAAGGGTGGGAGCAACCTCTAAAGTACAAAACGTATCTTTACCATTGACTATTTTGACAGTGTTGTCTCGATGAATAGTTACATGATGGAAAAAATCTGAGATAGAGATTTCGTACAAATATGGTAGATAAAATAAAATTTAATCATCAATACAAATACTACAAACTAAACTGCGTAATTATACTACGTGACAATAATAACGAGTAACTACAAGCAATAACGTCCATGAGCACCTACAACCACCATAAGAATATCAAACGCCATGACTTCCACATCCAGTAAGACTAGTTTATTTGAAACAATTACTGCAATTTGGCTAAGTAATCATGGTTTGACTCTATGATTTGCAATCTACAGATATAAAGTCAACAAAATAAGTAATAATCCATCAATGTTGTCAACCTTTTTTTTATATATACGTGTTACCTTCGATACACCGCTAGATATTTGCATCACCTTTATTGTATAGTCGACATCCGGCAACCTACAAATAACATCAATAAAATGCATAGTAATCCATCAATATTATTTCCTTTTATATATATATATATATATATATGTTACCCTAGCCGCATCATGTGCCAGTGTTGATGTATCAATGATAAGAACCGTAACTAGAGGGACAATCAAAAGCATGTTTGCATTGACCAAATTGAACTTGTTCGCCTTTTGTTGAAGAAAGTAGAGTATCACGAGAAGAGGCGTAACAATCTAAGATCACGGGAGAGAACAATAATAGCGCAACATCATACCAAGTGAAAAACGAGAAATAAGGTAAAGAAAATGACCAAACGAAAAAAAAAAAAATATTCACCACAGTGAAGACGGACGAGAGAAAAAGGCGAAAGAGAGAGTCCAACCGAGTGTAAAGAAATATTTTGAAGAAACCACCATCACAATGAGAGAGAGAAAAAAAAAGATGAGACACCAGTGTTGTCCTTGTTGTTTCAAGATATTTTTTAAATTTTACCACTTCTTCAATCAGGAATTGCATCAATTCTTCGAGTCGCTCTACCATACAGTATAATATTCAAAGTGTTCTCCAGCCATTACTTGACCTGACGGTGTTGATACGAGTATAGGGTGTAGACGATGAGCTTGAGTCTGCCATTTAAAAAAAAAATGAATTAAACAAGGAAGAAATGCGAAGAAAAGAAAATTGAGAGGATTTTCTTTTTTACCTTTGAAGGCTGACATTGAATCAAATACACCATTTTTTTTTTTGTCTGATACGAAATGCATTGATGAGATCAAATTGATTCAGGAAATACCAAAAGGATTCTGGGAAGTGTCAGATATCAAGTAATGAAATATTCAGTTATTCAAAAATATTGACACCATATGCTTAACAGTAAATGAGCAGATCATCAGTTTCTTGAGTCGCTAGAACATAAGAGATGATTGAACCCATGATGAATAACGAATTGTCATACAAATTCCTTTTTTAACACTTGTACAGTCGATGATAAATGATAGAATATTTTAAAGAATAAAGATGATCAGTAAACATGATATAGTGTGAATAGCTCTTTGCCTCTTCGATCAATCATCCATCATACGCCTTTAGGGGCTCAGCCTGCAAAGCGGTGGCGTTTAGAGGGGGATCGACTTTCTCCTGTCAATGTCGCTCTCTCACTCACCTACAAAGGCTCAATAACCCCTATTTGTAGGGGCTATTTAGGACGAGAGATTAACTTTTTGTTGTCCCTGCTTTGTAAATTTTCCCATCAGATTCATCCTGGCTTTCGAGAGATTTACTTTTTCATATAAAAATTGTTCTATTTTTTATTTTTATTTTTCGTGAAATAAACAATTATCTTCTTTACATCTATACGGATTCCTTTTCAACTAAACGGTTTTATTATGTATTTAAATAGGTTTTTATTCTTACTCATCTTGTTTACCGTTCTTCTTTACGAATGCTTATTTGTGGAGGCAGGGTATAACCTAAACTGTTTAGCTGGATTAGGAGATTTTTTCGTCAAGGACATTGCTAGATGTAAAGATGTGGCCTGTGTGCAAGAACGATATAAGAGGTTTATCTCGGACACGAAGTTTTGCAGGAAATATGAATATAAGCTGTGTTACCAAGTACCAAACGAGCGAGTTGGTGATACCTGTACATCACAGGATGGCCCTCAATTCTTGAATTTGCAAGACTGTGAATCGAGTCCAGATAACCGTGTATATATAAAGAAAAAATGCACACCTATTGGCAATAATTGCCATAGAATAATGTGTCTTTGAATTAGTGTTCTCTATCCAAGAAATAAATATATGATAAAATAAAAAAAATACATCTATACGGTTGAAATAGGCTTCATGTTTGTTATTGTTCTTGTTGTTGTTTTCTTTGTGGTGGACTTTTCCATTGTGAAAGGTGTCATAATAAATATAAGACAACTTTGTACTGTTGAATACACATGTCATATACAAAAAAAAAAAAAAAAAAAAAAAAAAAAAGGATTTTATTTCATCCATACAAATACTACAAACTAGATTACATAACTAGACTACATAACTAGACTATATAACTAGACTACATATCTATACTACGAATGACAATAATAACAAACAGTTACACTACAAGCGATAACATCCATGGATGGCCACTACCACCACCAGGGCAACGATGATAATCTTCACTTCGGGCTGAACTGTTTTATTTGACACAGATACTCCAATTTGGCTACGTAACCGAGTCACTTCAGAGAAGAAACCAGGTAATCATGTCTTGATTGTATGGTTTGCAATTTAAAGATAAAATCAACAAATAAATAATAATCCATTAACGCTACCCTCTTTTTTTTTTTTTCCTATATACGTGTTACCTTGTCTATACCACGTTACCTTGTCTATACCACTAGATGTTTGCATCACCGTTATTCTATAGAGGACAATCTTGCAAGCTACAGATAACATCAACAAAATGCATAGCAATCCATCCATATTATTCCTTATACAAATTACCTTGGCTATATCCTGCGCCAGTGTTGATATATCAATCATAATCAAACTCAACGGATAACCAAAAGCACGTTTTTATAGACCAAATTTGAACTTGTTCACTTTTAGTTGAAGAGAGCACCACAGGAAGACGAGTAACAGCCCAGACCAGAAAAGAGAAGTGAGAAAAAGGCGAGAAAGAGACCAACCAAGTATAAAAAAGATATTTTGAGGAAAACACCATCACAACGAGAGATAGACGAGAGAAGGAAAATAGAGAGTCCAACCAAGTAGAAAAAAAATATAAGATGAGCGACCAGTTGCTCTTGTTGTTTCAAGATATTTTTAACTTTTACCACTTCTTCAGTCAGGAATCGCACCATTTCTTCTAGCTGCTTCTATCGTATAACATTCAAAGTGTTCTTCAACTAGTATTCGACTTGATATTGCTAATGCGAATATAGAAGCATGGGATGAGCTTGAGTCTGCCATTAAAAAAAAAAGGTGAATTAAAGAAGAAAGAAACGCGAAGAAAAGGAAATTGAGTAGACTTTCCTTTTATGACTGACTTCAAATCGAAAAGAAAAGATTGAGAAAAAAAAAAAAGATAAAACAGAAAAAAATCATGGACTGAAAATCGCTTTATTTCTCTACAGTTTGCTAGTAGAAACATAAAGAAAACATATATACCAGTGAATGTCAAAAAATGTTTACCCATCATAATCATCATGGTAAGCTAATGTATTAATGATCATCTATCGTACACCGTTCATCCACATCATACTTTAATCATCTATCATCATACATTAATTATCGATCATCATACGTTAATTATCGATCATCGTACATTAATTATTGATCATCATACATTATAGAACATCATTCTCTCTCGCTCTTAATTTTTCGCACATGTAAGGGCTCAAAGCGTAAGCTCCTGCAAATGGAAATTGTTTAGGGGAGAGAGAGATCAACGTTTTGCTGTCCTTGCTTTGTAGATGTCCTCATTATATCTATCCTTTTTTGAGATATTCACCTTTTTTTATATAAATTGTTTTTATTTTATTTTTTCTAATTGCCATAAATACATTATCTTTTTCACTTTTCTCCAATATCAGATTATTATGTATTTAAGGACTTTTTTATTATTGCCGATATGCCTTACCGTTCTTTTTTACGAATACTTATTTGTGGAAGCGGATTATGATCAGGCCTGCTTGGCTAGAACTGCAAAAGTTTTTGTCAGGTACAAAGCTGAGTGCAAAGAAGATCAAGCCTGTCTGAAAATAAGGAACCAAGTTGAAGACTTAGTTGTAAGGCACAGATGCGCGATATATGAATATAAACTGTGCTATCAAAGGCCAGGTAGTACCTGTACATCTCAGAATGGCGCTGAATTCTTGAATTTACAAGACTGCCAATCGAATCCAGGAGACAGCCATGGATTCATTAGAAAAATATGCATACGTCCTGAAGAGAACTGCTTTAAAGCAATATGTGGTTGAAGCGTCGATTTTTTCCCAAGCAGTGATAGTATGAAAAAGTAACAATAAAAAGACATTCTTCTACAGAGCATGAAATAGGCTTCATCCCGTTTTTTTTTTTTTTTGTCGTACGTAATAGTCAATTAGGATGGTAGTTAAGGGGAGAATGTCGTCAATAAATTGATAATGGGGGACCTCCTCTCAAATAAATCATATCTTTTTAATATTGAATATGTTGACAGCATTGTCTCACCAAATGGTATACACGATGGGAAAAATCTGGAATAAAACTTCCATCAGTACAAATACGCTGTATACCAAAAAAAAATTTTATTTCATCAATACAAGTACTACAAGCTACACTATACTACATGGCAACAATAACAAATAACTACAAGTAATAACGTCCATGAGCACGACTACGACCACCATAAGGACAAACACCATGACTTCCACGTCGAATAAAACTACTCTATTTGACACAATTACCTCAATTTGGCTACCTAACAAAGTCACTTCCGAGAAGAAAACAAGCAAACTTGTCTTGATTGTATGATTTGTAAATCTACAATAAAATCAACAAATTAGTAATCTACCAACGGCATCCTCTTTTTTTTTTTTTCTATTTTCTATGTACATGTTACTTTGGTTACACCATTGGATGTTTGTATCACCGTTGTTGTATAAAAGATAATCTTTCAAGACACAGACCAACAAAATGAGTAGTAATCCATCGATATCGTTCCTTATACATATTCGCCCTATCAATACTGATATATCAATCATAATCAAGCCAAAGGGATAATCAAAAGCATGTTTGTATAGACCAAATCGAACTTGTTAACTTCCGTTGAAAAGAATGGAGAGTACCACAAGAAGAGGAGTAACAGCCTAAGATCAGGAGAGAGAGAGAGAGAGAGAGAGAGAATGATAATAGGCAAACACCATACCGAGCGGGAAGAGACAAATATAAGGTAGAGAGAAAGACCAAAGGTATCGGAACGTATCAGAAAAAAAAACTCACCATAATGAAGAGAGATGGGAGAAAGGAGAAGGAGAATTAAGCCAAGTAGAAAAAAAAAAGATTTTGAAGGAAACACCACCACAATGAGACATAACTGAAAGAGAGAAAGAAAGAAAAAAAAAAGAATAGGATGAGGCGTCCGTTGACCTTGTTGTTTCAAGATGTTCTTCTACCACTTCCAAGTCAGGAATGGCATTAGTTCTTTTAGATGTTCCTACGGTAATGACATCCAAGGTGTTTTTCGACCATATCTGACTTGACAATGTTGGTGGGAATATGAGAGAGTACACTGTCAAAAAAAAAAAAAAAAAAAAAAGAGGAATTCTGATCCCTAGATTTTTACTTGCCCCTAGATAAAAAAAATTAACCAATAAAATTGTTTAGTCCTATTGCTGATAAAAATTCTGGAAAAAAAAAATTTTATGCATGGTCGCAAAACTGTCCAAATGATGTGCATGATTTTAGACAATTACAATTTATTTTAGATATAAAACCATTTTTTTTTAAAAAAAAAAAATGTAAGAAACTTATAGATCAAGAGGGGAGGGGATTAAAAAAAAATGATACTAAAATAGGTCGATACTTTTGTGGATCTCTCTGTAACGTCATCATCCATTATCATATTATCAATCAGTCATCTTTAGATCATCTATCATACATCATACTCCTGTAAGAGCTCATCCTGCATATAGGTGGCATTTAGTAGAAATTCACATTCTCCTTTCCATGTCGCTCTCTCTCTCTCTCTCTCGCATGCATGTCGCTCTCTCTCTCTCTCTCGCATGCACACACTTAACAACTGTAAGGGCCATAATCTGTATTTGTAGAGGTTGTTTAGGAACGAGAAACCAACTTTTTGTTGTCCTTACTTTGTAGATCCCATTAGATCTATCATGGTTTTAAGAGACTCAGTTTTCATATAAATTTGTTTTTGTCATTGGAATAAATAGATTATCTTTTTCTCTTTCGTATATCTATTCCTCTTCTACAATAGGGATATCAGATCATTATGCATTTAAAGACCTTTTTATTATTGTCGGTATTCTTTACCGTTCTTTTTTACGAATGCTTATTTGTGGAAGCAAAATATGATGAAGACTGCTTAGCTAGGGTTGGCCGTAGTTCGGCTACGCAAATTGATACCTGTAAAGATGACGCCTGTAGGGATAAGTGGTACAAAGTCTTTCTCTTGCTCACAAAGCATTGCGCGAGATTTGAATATAAACTGTGTTACCTAAGACAAGAGGGGGGATTTAGTCAGAACTGTATGTCACAGGTTGGTACTGAATTCTACAATTTGCAAGACTGTGAATCGAATCCAGGAGACAGTGAAGGATATGTAAGAAAACAATGCATACCTTATAACGATGATTGCCATAAAGTAATATGTGGTTGAAGCAGCGTTTTTCTTTTTTTTTTTTTTTTTATTCAAAAAAAATAAATAGTATGATAAAATAAAAATAAAAAAAAGTACATCTATGAGGCATGAAATAGGCTTGATCTTTCTTTGTTTTGTTTTGTTCCTTTATAGTGGCTCTTCCATTTTGGAAGATATCATGATTTTTTTATTTTCTTTGTCACAAGTAATAATTAGTTAATGGGCAGGAAACGTCATTGATAAAGTAAGAATGAGGTAACCTTCAAAATACAAGACATGTTTTTACTATTGACGATTTTAACAGTATCGTCTCGATGAATAGTATACATGATGGAAAAAAAATCTGAGATAGAGATTAAAGATACAAATATGGTAGATAAAATAAAATTTTATTTCATCAATACAAATACTACACACGACATAACTATACTACGTGACAATAATAACAAATAATTGTAAACAACAACGTCCATAAGCACGACTACAATCACCATAAGAACATCAAACACCATGACTTCCACATCCAGTAAAACTAGTTTATTTGATACGATTACTGCAATTTAGCTAAGTAATCATGCCTTGATTCTATGATTTGCAATCTACAGATAAAGTCAACAAAATAAGTAGTAATCCATCAATGTTGTCCTCTTTTATATATATATATATATATATACGTGTTACCCTCAACACACAGCCAGATGTTTACATCACCGTTATTGTATAGTCGACGTCTGGAAACCTACAAATAACATCAATAATATGCATAGTAATCCATCGATATTATTTCCTTTTATATATATACATGTTACTTTAGCTGCATCCTGCGCCAGTGTTGATGTATCAATGATAAGAACCATAACTAGAGGGACAATCAAAAGCATGTTTGTATTGACCAAATAGGACTTGTTCACCTTTTGTTGAAGAGAGTAGAGTATCACGAGAAGAGGCGTAACAATCTAAGATCACGGGAGAGAATGATAATAACGCAACATCATACCAAGTGAAAAACGACAAATAAAGTAGAGAATGACCAAAGGTACTGTATCGAAAAAATATATATATTCACCACAGTGAAGACGGACGAGAGAAAAAGGTGAAAGAGAGAATCCAACCGAGTGTAAAAAAGGATTTTGAAGAAAACACCATCACAATGAGAGAGAAAAAAAAAATAAAAAGATGAGCCACCAGTGTTGTCCTTGTTGTTTCAAGATATTTTTTAAATTTTACCACTTCTTCAATCAGGAATTGCATCACTTCTTCGAGTTGCTTCTACCGTACAGTATAATATTCAAAGTGATCTCCAACCAGTACTTGACCTAACGGTGTTAATACAAGTATAGGGCGTAGACGATGAGATTGAGTCTGCCGTTTAAAAAAAAAAAAAAAAAAAGTGGAAGAAATGCGAGGAAAAGAAAATTGAGAGGATTTTCTTTTTTACCTTTGATGGCTGGCATTGAATCAAGTACACCATTTTTTCTCTTGTGACACGAAACGCATTGATGAGATTCATCCCAGAAAAAGATCAAACTGATTCAGGAGAGAAAAGAAAGATAAAAAAAAAAAAAGACAGATAAAAATCATGAGCTCTGAAGATTATTCTATCTCTCTATAGTTCGGTCCTAGAGATAAAAAAAAAAAAAAATAAATATACTATTGATCAATGAATGTCAAAATGTTTACCCATTGAATAATCATCTTGATAACTCAATGCAATAATGATCTTCCATGCTATCAATAGGAACTATAAGTATCAAATAAGAGGCACACTCTATATAACTATGTTTCAAATTAAAAAGGAAAAAATAGGGATATGATTTGGTATCGAAACGAAAATACGGAACAATCAGTACCAAAGAATAACATATAAGACAGATCACGCTAAAGGATGCAAGTGGAACATCTAACGTCATACATAACGTGATGAATTGTTTTTACAAAAACTTATTTTTATCTTCGTTATACATGCCTGATATCCAGCGTTGTTTTTTCCATGACAGGCGGTAATCGTCAACCGTCATTTTCATCGTCCATCATACATCATTCATCATCCATCATTCATCATCCATCATTCATCATACGGATAAAAATCGTATATCATACATCACATATTACACGTCATACATCCTACAACGTACAACATACAGCATACAGCGATCATCATACACCTATAGGGGCTCATCCTGCAAATGGGGGTGGGGGAGTTTAGAATGGACTCACTTTCCCCTTTCAATGCCTCTCACACATACATACACACACACCTGTAAGGACTCATAACTCCTACAAATGAAGGTTGTTTAGGAGGATCAACTTTTTGTTTTCCTTGCTCTGTAGATTTTCCCAGTGCATCTATCCTTGCTTCTGAGAGATTCACCTTTTTTTTAAATATATAAATCGCTTGATTTATTTTTTTTTATCCTTGCAATAAAAGATATCATTCTCTTTCATACATTGATAGGGAAATCCTTTTCTAATACAGGTTTTATTATGTATTTAAACAGATTTTTATTATTACCCATCTTTTTTACCGTTCTTTTTTACGAATGCTTATTTGTGGAGGCAAGGGTCAATGTAGATTGCCTCGCCACTCTTGGACTTCATTCTGCCTATAAACTTGCTAACTGTAAAGATAAATCCTGCGTGGATGAAGTACTTCAAAATCTAGAGAAGGCTTGCGTAGTACGGAGCTACGTGTCGTGTTATCAACTCTCAAGCTTGACTGGTTTTAGTACTTGTTCATCGAAGGTTGAAGCTTATTTCGCCACTGTGCAAGAATGTGAATCGTCTCCACAACCCAGTTACAGTTACATAAGAAGAAAATGCATAGTTGGAGGAGGAGATGATTGCCATAAAGCTGTATGTAGTCTATAAGTAGCAATTAAGGATTTTTTAATTCAGAAATAAAGTAGTAAAACAAAGGTACACTATGGAGGATGAAATGGACATGGGCTTGATCTTTTTTTTTTTTTTTGTACATAATAGTCAATTAGTATGGTAGATAATAAGCGCAGAATGTCATCGATAAATGGATGATGGGAGGCGTCCTCTCAAATAAATCGTATCTTTTCGTTATTGAATATTTTGACTGCATTGTCTCGCTGAATAGTATGCATGATGGGAAAAATATGGAATAAAATTTTCGTCAGTACAAATACGCTGTATACAAAAAAATTTATTTCATCAATACAAGTACTACAAGCTACACTATACTACATGACAATAATAACAGATAACCGCAAGTAATAACGTCCATGACCACAACCACCATAAAGACAAAGACTGTGACTTCCACTTCAAGTAAAACTACTTTATTTGACACAATTACCTCAATTTAGCTACCTAACAGAGTCACTTGAGAGAAGAAAACAAGTAATCTTGGCTTGATTATATCTATAATAAATTCAACAAATTAGTAATCTATCAACATTATCCTTTTTTTTTTTTTTGCCATGTACATGTTACTTTGGTTACATCATTGCACGTTTGTATCATCGTTACCGTCTAGAAGAAGGTTTTGCAAGCTACAGATAAAATCAACAAAACTAGCAATAATCGATCGATGTTATTCTCTTTTTTTTAACATATATACGTTACCTTGGTTACGCCATCCGCCAATGTTGATATATCAATGATAAGAACCAAAGGGATAACCAAAAGGCACGTTTGTATAGACTAAATTGAACTTGTTCACTTTTGTTGAAGAGAATAGAATACCAAAAGAAGGGAAGTAACAACCTAAGGCCACAGGAGAGAATGATAACAGAGAAACACGATTCCAGGTAAGAGACAAACAAGGTAGAGAGAAGGACACAAAGAGACGGAAAAAAAAAAAAGGACATTCAATGGAGACGGACGAGAGAAAAGGCGAGAGAAACCCCGTATAAAAAAAGATTTTGAAGAAAACACCATCACAATAAAAGATAAATGAGAGAGAAAAAAAATAAGATGAGCCACTCCTATTGTCCTTGCTGTTTCAAGATATTTTTTAACTTTACCATTTCTTCATTCAAGAATCGCACCATTTCTTGTAGTTGCTTCTACGATAATGGTTCCAAGCTGTTTTTCAACTAGTATTTGACTTGACGATGTTACTACGAGCATGGGGAGTATACGATGAGCCTGGGCCGGCCTGTTTTAAAAAAAAAAAAAAAAAAAAAAAAAAAGTGAAAGAAACGCGAAGAAAAGAAAACTGAAAGGATTTTCTTTTTTTACCTTGATGGCTGGCATTGAATCAAATTTATCATTTTCTCTCTGTGACACGAAATGCATTGATGAGATTAAATTGATCCAGGAAATACCAAAAGGATTCCGGAAAGTGTCAGATATCAAGTATGAAATATTCAATTATCTAGAAATATTGACACCATATGCTTGACTGTAAATGCGCAGATCATCAGTTTCTTGAGTCGCTAGAAAGTTCGATGATTGAATCCATGGTGAATAGCGAATTTCTATAGAATTCTTTTTAAAGTTTACCTTGTGCAGTCGACTTTGAATGATAGGAGACTTAAAAAAAAAAAGGGAAGATGGTCAGTGAATATAATATCGTATGAACTCCCCTTTTTTGCTTCCTTGGTCAATCATCCATCATCCATTATCGTGCTATCATTCAATCATTATACAGAGTATATCATACAGCTTACAGCACACGTCGTACATCATACATCGTACATTACGCGTCATCAATCATCATACGCTTATAGAGCTCATCCTGCAAATCGGAGATGTTTAGGATGGATCCACTTTCTTCTTTCAATGTCGCTCTCACAAACGAATATATACATATCTGTAAGGGCTCATAACTCAAGTTCCTACAAATAGAGGCTATTTAGAAGGATGAACTTCTTATTCTCCTTGCATCGTAGATGTTCTCATTACACCCATCCTTGTTTTGAGGGATCCACCTTTTTTTTTTATATATAAATTGGTTTATTTTTTTTTTCTCGTTGCGATGAATACATTATCTTTTCCTCTCTTTCATACACCTATAGGAAAAATCCTTTTCTATTAAAAGTTTTATTATGCATTTATCTAAAATTTTTTTGTTGTCCTTCTTGTTTACCGCTCTTTTCTACGAATGCTTGTGTGTGGAAGCAGTGAACGAAGATAAGTGCTTAGCCGACATCGGAGATAGTTTTGTCAAGAGAATTGCTAAATGTAAAGATGAACATTGTGTGAAAACAGTCTATGGATTCTTTATCTTGGGAGCATGGTTTCGATGCAAAAAAAACGATATTTATGAACTGTGTTACCAAAGACCAAACAATGGCCTTCGGTGTGTAGCAGGCAAATCTAATGTTCTATTCTTTGGTTTGCGAAAGTGTGAAAGCTATCCGGGACACGGTGAATATAAAAGAAAAAAATGCGTACACCTTGGTGAGGATTGTAATAAAGTAATGTGTTGAAGTAGCGTTTTTTTTTTATTATTTTTTTTTTTTGTTCAAGAAATAAATAGTATGATAAAATAATAAAAAAAAACACCTATTTGGGCTGAAATGGGCCTGATTTTTCCCTTTACTGTGGCTCTTCTATTTCGGAAAACATCATGATCTGTTATTTTCTTTGCCTCACGTAATAATCGAGTAGTGTGATCATTAATGGGCAGGAGATGTCGTCGATCAATCGACAACGAGGGCATACTCCCAAATGAAACATTTTTTTTTTTTTTTTTTTTTTTTACTTTTGAGCCTTTTGGCTATATCTTGGGAAAACGAGAGGGAGAGAAGAAAAAGACTCACAGGGAAGCCATCATGATACCGCGAGGTTAAATCTTTTGCTATATCTTTCTGAAATGGAAAGCACTGATATTTAACAAGTGATTACGATTGAGAGCATAAAAGAACTTATTTTTATTCATAGACATAAGTAAAACAATAACATAAAACAAGGTGTAGTAAAGGATTGAACATGATTGACATGTCCCGGCTTAGAAATAAAATAAAAAAGTAACTAAAAAGACAAAAGAATGAAAGGTACATCTCATCATCCACTAAAAAAAATTACACATCACCCATTTATTCATTCATATATACAAAAACAAAAATCAATCCAGAAACTAACCTATTGATGCTATACTAAAACTATGATAATAAACTATTCACACATGATTATTGGACATTTTCCATTAGATCTTTCCAATGTTTGATCTTACGACATTCCCGTTTGGCATTATCAGCTTGTTCGGTATCCCATTGTCCACGAGCCATCATGGATCTAGCATATCGGAAACAAATTTCTTCACGAAAATGATCATAGAGTTTTCGGTTGAGTTGACGCTAATATATAAAAAAAAAAATATGAGTCATCCGATAAAGAAAATAATAATAATAAAAAAAAAAGAACATGATTCCTCCCTGTTTTTTTTTTTTTTTTTTTTTTTTTTTTTTGTAACTTACTTCATATGATCTTGTATTTTCGGGATAAGGATGATACTGATGTAAAAGATACTCATCTGGCAACACAAAATAATCCACACCAGAGATATACAATTCAAAATGACAAGCAGCCTTGTTGGCACCATACCCAATGAAGCGTTCATCACACCAAGCAGTATCTTCTTTCTTGATAATCACATAAGGTTCATAAGCATAATTGTAATCCACCACCTTGTAAGGCGCCGTTGCGGTATACCAGTGAGTATAATTAGTGGCACCATGACCCTTGAGCCAAAAACTATGGAACATATCCACCTTGTGTTGTTTCACTTGATGAATTAATTCTTTCTTGGAAGTTGGGAAAAGATCTGTCTTATTGTTGTTGTTTGTTGTTTTTTGTTTTTCTTCAAAGGCAGGGATGACCAAAGCTGCTTTACCCAACCGAAGAGCATCGATCAAGTTGGGGGCCAATGTCGGTAGGATCTGACGAATCGAGGGTGACACCAAAAAATCAACGTCGAGCATAAGGATATAATCGGTACGGGCATACATCTTGGCCAAGTTGCGCCACAGATTGAATTGTCGTTCATACTTGTCCACCAACACATGGATATCTACATGACGTCGCATGGCAGGATGATCCAAATACATTTGTCGTGTTTCTTCAAGCAAACGGTCTTGTTGTTCATTATCATCGATATGAAGTACAGCCGAAATGGGTCCTTGGTAATGTTCTGCCAGTCGTTGCAATACCGGTAACCGATTTAATGTCACCAATGTTGTGATCGTCACTTCATGAGGTACTACATGCGTCTGTTCTGAACGTAGATAGAATGGTTCCAGGCGTCCTGAGCCTAATCCTTGTGAAAACCATTTGGACATCATATTCTTTTCTGCTGATACATCTATGTCTATAATATTAAGTTTTAATGATAAAAAGTAAAAATTAACTTTTATTTATTACCTTGTTTATTAGACCAAATCACTTGGTGAGAAGGATGAGAAGATAAGTCATGAGGAAGTTCTTGATTTAGTCTAGCATGAAGTGATACAGTAGAAAAATGATGGCGTAAATGACTGAAAAAGCGGGAAGAAAGGTAGATAAAAGTAATAAAGAGATAAGCGATCATAACAGCATTCACCATTTTGAACCCCATTTTATTTCAATATCCGCAACTATGATGATGATTGAAAAAGAAAAAGAAAAAAGAAAAAAAAAAAAAAAAAAAGAGGATCATCTATCTCTCTTTTTATATATCTTTTGCTTTTATAAGAGTTGTACATCCCAAAAAAAAAAAAAAATCACGCTAATTAGTTTATCTCGACGATCCGATTCATTATTATTCAATCAAAATGTCATCAGGGGCCAAGGATCGCTCTCTTTTTTTTTTTTTTTTTTCCAAATTACTCAACCGAAAAACCGTATTATACCGACACTAAGCCATGACAGGCAAAGTAGATTTAAAATATATAATATATATATAAAAGTAAATCATTTTCCAAAAAGGTGTCGACTGATTTTTATTTCCTTCTGTTCCTGGCTTTTTTTTTTACTTGTATCCAAATAAGGTATAGTTTCTGTAAATTACATTGATATGAAAACTAGTATGACTAGTTTCATATGGTTACCTTTTGTGTTGTTCAGATGATAGACTAAGCTTGATTTGAAAAAGAGAGAGGATCTACCTTTGTGGATATCAAAAATGGAAATTTTAACTCAATACAGTGTTTGCAAGGAGTTGTCGGAATAGTTCTAATAATCCATGTAAATTATAAAGACAATGTAAAAGATGATAACAAAGATATATATATATATAAAAACAAGAGTTTATTGAAAGAGTCGAATCATCTAAACTACAGTAAATCGTACTATACATCTTTGTGAATGGTTCCCATTTTCCAGATAATAGCTTTTAAAATTCAAGGAAGCGATACATCACATATATAGTTTCCTTAAATGATAGATATATAATCAAATCACTCCACTACAGATAAGCACTATTTATAAAGAAGAATATATTTTATCAGAAAACAGTTCAAGTGATCAATTGTTTATCCTTTTTACTTACATATGGTCACACCCATATAGCAGCATCATCTATTTGAGGTTCTTGACGTCAATACTTTTCCACTGAATGGTATCCGATTGCTTTGCGTAAATCAATTTCTAAAGTCGAGAGAGAGAGAGAGAGAGAGAGAGAAAGAGTTATTTAAATCAACCTAACGAATAGAACCAAGACATACAAATCAATCGTATCTAGTATTTTCCCTTTCTTTTTTTTTTTTTTTTTTTTTTACTTACTTACTTCTTCAATCAGACAAATTTTCCATAGATGAATCCTGTCAAATTCACGAAACTTCAATAATCACCCAAGGCAAATGGTCATCCCAATTGTCTTTGTCTTGTTAGCCAGTAAATGCTGCCAAACTAATCTTGATCATCCGCCTGACAATTTCATAGAATCGTAGTATTTCTCCAAAGTTCGTATCCATCCTTCTAACTGCTGTTGGCGTCCACCTGGTATGGTTCTGCTTTCTCTAGAATATTGAAACATATGTTGAACAAGCTTTCAGTACTGATTACGTGCGTTTTTTTTTTTTGTCTTAACTTACCGAAGGCCTGTCATCATCGACTCGTTTTTACTGTGAGAAAGCAGAAACATTCGGGAGTATCCAGTTACCAGCCATCTTGATACTAAAAATTTTTTTCTTGACGCGTTGACATCTCGCTGCCATACGGTACTTGACAATTGAGAACTGTATACAGTCGATCATTCGTTGCAACATGTCACAATTCGTTTTTGGTCGCAGTAAACTTGACTTGTGTTGTATTCGTCCATAGAAAGATTAGCTTGTCTTCACGTTCCGCCTGTTTGAGAAGCTTCCCGCATCAGTCAGCTAAACCAGAGACCTTTCCAAGTACGATAATGTCGATATTAGAATGTTGTCCAGGCATCGTTCGAGTTCATGATCATTGACATGTTGCTGCTATCCACCAGGACTGCATTTTCTATATCTGTGAAGCGATGATGAGGTTTTTGATGTCCCATAGAGCTTACGAGCGACTTTTACACTTTCATTTATCAGTTCCTGAGCATTGTCTCGGTTGATTTCTTTGTTCAAGTCGTCTGGCGCCATACACGAGTTATTTGTATCCCGTCCTAAATTAGAAATGAAGCGTGGCCATTAGACATACCTATATACACAAATATTGTAGATTTATGTTTACATACCAGTTAGTCTTGTCGCTTTTTCACGTGCTTTTAACAATATGATTTATCTTGTAGTATGATAAGGATGTTCCTGAGGTAAAGAAAAGTCCATCTTGAGTACATCAGGTAAAGGAAAAAGAATCGATAAAAAAAAAAACGAGGACACGTAAACAAAGAAACCCACCAGAGTGATAGTTGGAAAACACAGTCATACTGAAACTTTTATCCACGTAGTCAATGATTGTCCATAGTAACAAAAAAAAATAAAGAAAGAAAAAGAGAAAAAAAAAAAAAAAGAAAAGAACAGAAATGGACAGCAAAAAAAATCATCAACTTATGCGCGTCGGAGCTTTTGTCATCATGTTTTTCTATGCAACAGTAACAGGCTACAACAACGGTTCATCCACTTCCGTCCCTTACTCTAGTTCTTTGACATTAGATCATAACATAAAACACACAACCGATATTTACTTATTCCATTTTGTGGATATGCTGTGATTGAAGTAATCGATAACGAAAAACAACATTTAGTTAAACAGGAAAAAAAAAAGGCATCCATATAAGGAAATCGCCTTGATGAGGGGAACCATCATCATCATCAATCTCGTCATTGTTGTTCACATTTGTCTTAAATATGTGATAAATGATCAACATTGGCAACATCTCATACTTGTCAAAGCTAGTCCGTTTTATTATTAATATTATTATTTATTAGTATTATTATAATTATTATTTCTTGTGAGACATCATATGATAGCAATGAATACCGATAACAACATTAAAAACTGAATTTTTTTTTTTTAGCGGTAATCGTTCTCTCATTTTTTTGTTTTATATGTGTTCAGTCATCCAAACAATGATGATGAACTATATATGTGTACCACATCAACACTTTCTTATTATTGTTATCTACAAATGATATATCCATTTGACCCTGGTACACGATAAGAGACAAAAAAAAAAAAAAAAAGAAAGATACATTTATCTGATCAGTCATCAACAGAATCCCATCCCCGAAAAAAGAAAAATGTTAACCGATTTTTATGTTGCAAATTTCACCATTACGATCAAATGATTATTTCATTTTCGTAGTAGCTTCTTGGCATGGAGCGATGATGATCAACAAATGTTTGCATAATAAGACCTTCATAAGCGTTATGTTACCATTATGGATCTTATTAAGAATTGATTGATGTTTTTGGTAAATGCCACCTGACTATTACCAAACCTTCATTTCAGGGCATCAACCAATGTTAAGCGGAGGAGTTCGAACCTTTTGACGCTTAAAAAAAAAAAAAAAATCCTCTTGCTATTTCTAATTTCTTTTTGTCCCTTTCTGGTCTAGCTTGATTGAAAAACTTTTCCACCCTCTCTTTTTTGGCACTCTTACTTTGATACGTCGTCATTCATTATCATGTTTGTGTGTTTGTCAAGGTACAAAGGTAATAACACGAAATGACTGGAAAACAAATGGGGATCATAGTACCAACGTACTTTTCTTTATTCTATTTTTTTTTTTGAGATTCCTCTAAAGGTACCATAGTGAAAGGGACAAGAACAGGGTAGTATCTATTGTTTCTTACTCTGGCTTTGGTAAGTGACCAGCTTTCTTTTTTGATTCTCTTTTTTTTTTTTTTTTTTTTCCTTTCTGACCTATATTGCCATGTCCCCCTATTGTCATTCTCTTACTTATCTTTTTTTTTCTTTTCTATCGTGCAAGTGAATCGACCGAACGAGTATGCGTAGCAGGATCAATGAATAGATAATAGTATTCAACTGGAAACGGATATATTGGCTATTGTGGCGATTTTCTTTTTTGTTATTTTTTTTTTTTTTTGTTGACAGCTGTTAGTGATAATAGATATACCTTTTTTCTTAATAAAATCATATTCATATTTTACCTCCATCATTATCAAGATCGGTTGTTATTCTTGTTATTCTTGACTCCAATATTTGTCCGCCATTATAGTTCTAATATTTAATCATCCTATCATTTTCTTCATTTATTATTCAATCACTCACTGATCATTCCGTCATTGACAATTCAGTCATTCATTACCATTTTGGTTTCCTTATTCTATGTTCCTATCACAATAAATCCCTCTAGCGTATGATACATTCCATTGTCATAAAAAAAAAAAAAAGGAAGCCAAACTCCCTTCCAAGACTATGATTATTTGGTATGATATAGATGTTATTATTAGAAAAAAAAAAGCAGATACTAAACCAAAAGATTTATCCGGTACAGCAAACAAACATGGATGAAAAGTAATTGGATCAACTTTGGACACTAAAAAAGGAATCAACCGTTACCAATGAAAGGATACCAGAGATTTGTTATTAAAGAGGGATGGAAAAACAAACCAAAGCAAATAGATCATCGTTAGAGAAAGAAAAAAAAAAAAAAAAAAGGACAAGTTTACTTTAAAAGGGAAACTAACCAATCCTTGTAAGCAAATAATCATGGAAACTTGAAAAAATGAACAAATAACAAAAAAAAAAAAATGGAAAGAAAAGATCAAAAATATTCTTTCTTCCTATCTTTCTTGTCTTTCTTTATTCAAAAAAAAAAAATGTTTTTTTCAAAATCCTGTCCTCTTGTTCTTTTGGCATTAGTGATGCCTATGGTGCATAGTTTTCGTACGCGAAAAATTGGAGCTCCGTTCACCAAAGAACATGAAATCTATTTTGGTAAAGATGTCTTTTTTTTTTCTATCTCTCACACATATTTATTTATTGAATATAGAAACTGATAATGGTGAGTTGATTTCACCTTTTCATGATATTCCTTTATTTGCACAATCCAATGTTGGAGGTGAAGTATTCAATATGGTAGTAGAGATTCCTCGGTGGACCAATGCCAAGTTTGAAATCAATAAGGAAACACCATTGAATCCTATCAAACAAGATATAGCCAAAAGTACCAAGGAACTTCGATTTGTACCTAATATTTATCCTTTCAAAGGTTATTTATGGAATTATGGTGCTTTGCCTCAGGTAAATTTATAAATCAATAGTGGACATTGAATATTCATTTTTTTTTTTTCCTCTTGATAGACTTGGGAAGATCCTCATCATATGACCAAAGACACTAATGCCAAAGGAGATAATGATCCTATTGATGTGATTGAAATTGGAGATCAAGTGGGCGAGACAGGTCAAGTCAAACAAGTCAAATTACTTGGTGTATTTGGTTTGATCGATCAAGGTGAAACAGATTGGAAATTGGTGACAATTGATATCAATGATCCATTGGCCAATATGATCAATGGTAAATCAAAAAAAAAAAAAATTAGGTTTTATTTTATTAACTTTTTTTATTAGATATTGGAGATGTGGAAAAACATAAACCTGGACTTTTGAAAGATACTGCTCGATTCTTTCGGATTTATAAGATTCCTCAAGGCAAAAAGGCCAATACTCTTGCTTTTCATAATATGCCTCGCAACAAAGTAAAGAAAAAAAAAAGATGGTTTCATTTGGTATTTAACCTTTTTTTTTAGGCTTATGCTACTCAATTGGTCTATGAAACGCATGATTACTGGAAAGCCTTGGTGAATGGTACTGCTGTGAATAAAAAAATTCGTAGGCAAGTTAAAAACAGAAACAAAAATCAACAACATCAGGCTTATCTTTTTTTTCATATGTAGAGAGAATCTTTCTATAGAAGGATCTCCTTTCAAACTCGCTCCTAATGCTGACATGGTAGTTGCTGTCTCTATGGTAAATATATCTCAATAAAAAAAAAAAAAAGAGAAATTAAAAATTGACATGATACTTTCTTTAGGAAAATAATCTTCCAGCTGCCCCTCTTCCTTCTACCGTTGACGAATGGCATTATATTGATAAATGGCATGATGGCAAATGAAATAGACTTGATTCACTTTTGTGTTGATTATTTTTTTTCTTTACCCCAATATATATATCATCCTAATAAACGTTATTTTGCCCACCTTTTATTAATATGATTGTTGTTGTTATCTTTCTAGTCATTATGATCAATCATATCGTAGAATCTACAACGCAAAGTAAATCCATTTTATTTTATTTTCTCTTTATTTCGATCAAATAACATTTTCATTGTCCCTAATGAATGTATCTCTCTCTAAAAAAGAAAACAAAAAATGAACAGCATTCATGTAAAGTCAGAAAAAAAGGAGAATAGTATAAATGTATTGTCAAAAAGAATAAATCATATAAAAAGAGGAGATGAATGGATGACTAGACTACAATATGGATTCTAATGGTTCAACAAATATTCAATGGCAGCTTGGACATCACCACCAGTGGCCAATAATGCTCGGATATTAGCTTGTCTTTCAGAAAATCCCATTTCCTCCAAAACCCCCAATTGAGTATGGAATCTTGTTTCTGGAGGTTCGGTTGGCTGACTAGGTGTAGTTGTTGTTGTTGATCCAGATGTGTTGTTACTAGTCAATAGAGAGAGAGAGAGAGAGATCAGTCCACCATGTCTCCTCTTTTTTTTTTTTTTTTTTTTTTTTTTTACCTGTTTCCGAACATGTTTTGCATAAATGGAAGGAAGGAAGGTTGTTGTTGTTGTTGTTGTTGTTGTTGACCCATCATCATACTTTGTTGTAGTTGTGCTGCCAAGTTTGGATCCGCCCAGAAAGGAACAGATGCTCCAGATCCTTGATTTCCTGTTGTTGAAGTATTGGCATCAGATGATGACTAAATCAAAATAAATGATCATAAAAAATATATCAAAAACCTAGAGATGATGTTTTCTTTCAATGAACTTACATTTGCACCAGGAAAAGGAAATGGAAAAGGTGAGGGAGAACCACTTCCACCTAGAAGAGCTATGTATATTTATAAAAACGGGTGATTAGTCATCTAATCCTTATACATTGTTATTTTTTTTATTATTATTATTACCAGCAAATGGATTGGGAGGTGCAGAGGTGTTAGATCCAGCATTGGTAGAGTTATTAGTATTGTTGTTGTTGGTGTTGGTAGAAGGAGCTGCCCATGGGTTTGGTAATGCTTGTGTATTCAAGGTATTTTCTATGAAATGGATTATAAGTTTTTTTTTTCATCATCCTCTTTTGATGCTTTTTTTTTCATTTTCTTTCTTTCTTACCTCTGACACTTGTTACGTTTAACTGTCTTGCCAATCTTTCATTTGCTTCATCGGATGAGGTATCATTGGGTCTAGACGCGGAATCCAAAGGATCTTGCAAAGTACTATACATCCGCCGTAAATGATTAAAACCACCAGGTAATGCCTATAAAAAAAAAAGTAGATAAATAAAGAAAGATCACATATCCTATTTTTAGTGATAACTTACTTCAATGTTAGACAAAGCACGATCATTGCTCCTCTGAGCTTCACGCATCAACTCAGGATTCCTATATAGATAATGTTAATATATATTGATATAATCCTTTTTTTTGTCTTACCTCATCATTTCAATAGATTGTCGTAAAAATGCAGGATCATTAATAACATGACCAATTTCAGGATTTTCTTCTACAAGTGATCTCATTTGAGGATTACTCATGATAATAGATCGTACAAATTCTATAACAAGAGATGGTTATTTCAACATTCTTTTTTTTAAAAATTTTATTATCATTTACCTGTATTATTTAATAAACCTTGCATAAAAGGACTATCCATCATTTGTCGCATAGCTTCAGGATTCATTGGAGGCATCCCTGGAGGCATACCAGACATATCAGAACCAAAACCAGGAAAACGACCAGAAAGACCAGGTGTTGGATTAGAAGTGGTTGAAGTTGTTGTTGTACTAGTAGATGGTGAACTAACATTATTATTATCATTATTATTAGTTGTTTTTACTGGAGAACTTTTAGTTGTTGTATCAGTTGAAGCAGCAGGAGATGAGGTAGAAGATGTTTTAGACTTGACGACATGAATAGTATGACCAGTGATAATTTCTGTTTAAAAAAAAAAAAGATGAGATCAATATGTTTTTTTCTTTCAATGATCTTTTTTTCTTTTTCTCCTTGATATTTTTACCATAAGAACTACAAGTCTTGTCATCTTTAAGAATATGACCAGAATAAACCAGTTTGATTTGAGAAGCAGAAGTATTTTCCATATGTTGAGCAATTTTTTCCTTTAATTGAAGAACAGTTGATTTAGGATCTATTTGTATATCAAAAAAGACACCATTAGAAGGTCTTATTTTGATGGTAATATAATCGTCGCTCATGAGATTAGAATGTATAACGTAAGCGAAAAAAAAAAAAAAAAGAACGGAATAAAGAGTGGTGGAAAATGGTTCCTTTCACTGAGTGGTGTTTTTTTTTCTCTCTCTCTCTCTCCACAGAAGAATTTTTGCTCTCCGCTTTTCTTTTTTTTTTTTTGGTTGGCTGCTTTGTCATGGGATACTTTTTTATTTTTTTTTTTTCTTTCAATAATTGACATGTCAAGATATTTTGTCTCTACCCGTTATCTTTTTCGACAACTTCAACGTTCTATCTATACCAATACTCATTTAAATAGGCATATACTTTCCACTCGTATTCGATCCAATATCACAGTTCATCCAACTCCATATACGTGTCATTATTATTCTACTGGTTCAACTTTTAATGTAGTAGATTTCGATGATATTCAAACTATGATCAAGAATAAAAGCAAGGTAAAAAAAAAAAAAAAAAAAAAAAAAAAAAAATTCGTTACTCTATACTGCTTCATAAGTAGAAATGTTTGGAGCATATTACTAATAGAAATGTTTGGAGCATATTATTAACTACTGCAATTTTTTGATGGTTGATATTCATTTTATGTAAATATATGTTTATTTAGGATTGTCACTTGATTGATGTCCGAGAAAGGATGGAATTGATGCAAGGATATATCCCAACAGCGAAAAATGTACCCTTGGTAGGTTAAAAAAAAATTACCCATTTTTTTTTTTTTTTGGATTGATGGTTAGGGGGACACGTTGTTGAATGTTTACAAAGGGGGAAATGAAAAGGAAGGAGAGGGAAATAAAAAAAAAAAAAAGGGGGAGGCAAAAAAAAAAAAAAAGGTCATCACTATTATTACACATGCTGAAAGATCATTGTTTTGTAGAGTCAATTTGCTAGAGCTTGGTCTCTTTCATCAGAAGATTTTGAAGAAGAATTTGGATTTTCTAAACCAGATCAAACATCTACTTTAGTTGTTTATTGTCAAGCTGGTATTCGTAGTGCCAAGGCAGCTGATTATTTATCTCAATTAGGATATCAAAAGTAAAGCAATGATTTATTTATTTATTTTTCTTTTGGTTTTCTCATTGTTTCTTATTTAGGATTCGGAACTATCAAGGCAGCTGGGCTGATTATAGTGACAAAATAAAAACATCCTCGGGTCAAGGAAATTAGTTTTTTTTGCTATTGTTTTATTTTTGGTTTGAAACTTCCTCTTTTTTTTTTTTTTCTCCCTTTCTCTACATATTATATATCTTGACCCCCCCTTTCTTCCCCTTTTTTCTCTTCTACCATTTTATAATATCATACTTTATTTTTGTCTACTCCCCTTTTGTCTCCTTTTTTTTTTTTGAAAATAAAATAAAAACGTTCACTTCTGTCTTTGTCTCTTTTTCCTTTTTTTTTTTTTGTTCTACTTTTCTTTAACGGACATTGAACATTTCTTTTTTTTTTTTTTTTTTTTTGATCATTATCTAACTTGAGCTAATCCGATACATCATGGGCATTTGCACATCATCCGAAGAACGAGCCGGAAGACACAAAAGTCAATGTATCGACCGGATGATTGAAAAAGATCAACAAAAATTGAAACGAGAATGTAAAATCCTTTTACTAGGTAAACTGATGGGTTGTCAAAAAAGGAGATAATGAACTGATTCTCCTCTTTTCATCCTCTCCCTATTAGGAAGTGGGGAATCAGGCAAATCAACTATAGTTAAGCAGATGAAAATCCTTCATCAGGATGGATATACCAAACAAGAGTTGTTTTCTTGGCGAACCACTGTTTATAAAAACCTGATGGAATCAGCATTAGCTTTAGTTCAAGCTATTGAGAAATATGAATATCAATATGAAGATGATAAGAACAATGTAACTATGATATATATATATATATATATATATGAAATGCTAAACATCCTTTTCCTTTTTATATAGTATTACGCCAGTTACATTGCCAATTATCAATTGAGTGAACATACAAATCCACCTTTGGATACAAACATCATTGACGCCATTTCAAATATCTGGAAAGATGGCATGATTACCCAACTACTAAATAAGGAAGGGAGTGAATTCTATCTAATGGATTCGGCACCATACTTTTTTAATCATGTCAAACGAATTGGTCATCCTGATTATATCCCTAATGTTCAAGATGTTTTAAGAGCTCGATCGAAAACAACCGGAATCATTGAATCTCATTTTAATCTTGGCCAACTTCATATTCAGTAAAATAAAAAAAATAAAAAAAAAAAAACGTGGATCATCAAAACTCATCCTAATTTTTTTTTTTTTAAAAAAAAAAAGTATGTTTGATGTAGGAGGACAACGATCAGAAAGAAAAAAATGGATTCATTGTTTTGAAGCCGTCACTTCTATTATTTTTTGTGTTTCATTAAGTGAATATGATCAAGTATTAAGGGAAGAATCTCGTCAGGTATCATCTATTAAAAAAAAAAACAAAAAAATATACTTTTTCTTATTGGAATCTTCTATCTATAGAATAGAATGATGGAAAGTCTAGTATTATTTGAATCAGTGATCAACAGTAGATGGTTCTTAAGAACATCTATCATCTTATTCTTAAACAAGATTGATATCTTTAAAGAGAAACTTCCCAAAGTCCCATTGGAAAAGTATTTTCCTGATTATGGTGGTGGTAATGATATCAGTAAAGCTGCTAAATATATTCTATGGCGATTTAGTCAAACAAATAGAGCCAAGCTTAGTATTTATCCTCAGTAATTATTTCATTCCACATGATTTTTATGCATTGTATATCTAATCATTCATTGTTCTTTTTTTTTTCACTAATCACACTAGTCTTACTGAAGCTACTGATACTGCCAATGTAAGTCATGCATAAAAAAAAAAAAAAAAAAAGGAGGACATTGACCTGATTTTCCCTTTTTTCGTAATATGGATGTAGATCAAGATTGTATTTGCCACAATCAGACGAACCATCCTTAGCAATGCATTAAAAGACTCTGGTATATTGTAATATATCATTTATACTATTATTACGATTTTTATTATTACTATTATTACAACCCCCATATTACATCATTATTACCCCCTTAACATATTTTCATTCGATCGGCAATATCCATTTTTAGATTATCCCATTGTCTCATCTATCTTGCATCCGATTTTAACTATTGTATATTTCATTATCATCATCCATCAATAAATAATTTCTATTACAATATAAAAGATCAAAATAGATAAATAGTATTTATTTCCCAAAAAAAAAAGAATTGAATAAACGTCTAAGCTGATTCTTGCTTCTTAGCTTGAGTACCTATTTTAAAAAAAATAATAAATAAAAAAAGAAAATGAGGAAAAGAGGATGATACAACTTTTTTTTTTTTTTTTTTACCTTCACGGAAACCATTCTTGAAACGACGGTGGACAACCTTCAAGTATCGCATACGACCAGTACCGGTAGTCTTTCTTCTCTTGCCCTTTTCAGACCAGTTGACTAGTAAAAAAAAAAAAAAAATTAGAATCCAATTAAAAAAAAAAGGATAATTGAATGTTACTTACAGGATCGAATCTTGGCAGCAGGGTAACCACATTGAGCACAAGTCTTCTTTTGCTTGTGGAAAGATCGGTTACCACAACGACGGCAAAGTGTGTGGGATTTGGTGTGACGTTTACCAAATGAAGAGGTACCTTTAGTCTATGTATTTTTTTTTATGTATAAAAAAAAAGGAATCGTTAGGACCCATCATGTCAATAATATATCGTCAATGAATGCAAGATGAATCATGATGTACGAGATGAAAGAGAATTAAAAAAAAATGAATTTCTTTTTTCTTCTGCTGAATGTATGTCGTCCGTCGTTCATAAAAAAAAATCGTCGTTGTTTCTATCCATCCATCCATCCATCCATCCGTCTACGTAAATATTCTATCCATTCATCCATCTCATGATCCATCGTTGCTTCCATTGTGTTACTTATTTTCTTTCTTTCTTTCTTTACCATGCTGGATGCTTAAAAAAAAGTATAAACCACTGGGAGGGAAAAGATGAGAAAGAAAAAACCAAAACTCTTCTTTTGGGGGCCTGCCGTGGTCGGGAAGTCAAATCACCTCTTTTTTTGTATAATAAAACTCTTTTCTTTTTTATTAATTTAATATTGAAAAATAATGAATAAAAAAAAAATCATCTATCTATAACAACTAACTAAATTTAGTTGAGATCACTTGGATTGCATAGAAGTCAAACGTTGAGCAGCAATATCTTTATCCACAGGAAGATAATAAAGACCAGGGGAGGTTTTGGTTTTCAAGAATAAATCATCCAGAGATTTGCCCACTTTGGGTAATGCCGTAAAGTCTTCCTTTGTGATTTGAGCAGAGTTTGATAATCGATCCAAAATAGAAGTTTGTGGTTGATGTTCTTGATCCATCACAGCAGATACAGCACCTAACATAGAAGATAATACCAATTAACTCCATATATTCTTCCTTTTTTAAAAAAAAAAACTTACTTCTTTGTTGCAATTGTCGAGTAATTTGTTCAAGTCCACCTAACCGTCGTTGTTTGTTTGGTGGTGATGAAGGTGATTGTTTTGTTTCTGAAGATTCATCAATATCGATATTGTTGAGTACATTTTCTAAAAGCTTTTCCCAATTAGCTCGGCCTCGTTTATCCGCAATTTCCTGTTCTCGATCCATCAATTTAGTAGCCTGATCAGATGTTAATCGAATCACTGTCACTGTCTTGCCTGTAGAAGGAGGATACACTGTTCCATTGATTTTATCAAACGCGTCATTAGCTTGTTCCAAAGTATCATACTAATCAATTTAAAGAAGAAGAATAAAAAAAAAGGTCAGTTTTATCTGCATAAAACGATTTATCCCCTTAACTTACAATCACATAACAATGGGTCTTTATAGGATCTATCCAGAATCGTTTAATATTTCCAAATTGTGAAATGAATTCGTGAAGACTCTTGGTAATCAATGGTCGAACAAATCCTTTAATACAAATAGCCAATGTATCAACCGATGTCGTAGTAGAGAGTGGTTCCTTTTCATTGGTATCTTCCGTTTCCTACAAACAAGGCAATTTTAACATTAAAAATATACAAAAGATAAATTTATCAATGATTTACCTTGGTTAATTCAGCAGGTTTGACTCGTTTTTCTATATAGATAGATAAATAAAAAAAATGTTAAAATACTGAATAGACAAATGTTATTTCATGTTGTGCTTACCTTCCTGAACCTCTACAGGTGATTCTTCCCGTTTCCGTTTCAACACAGTTTGATCGATTTCCTGTTGCTCCATTGTACTATCTATCGTTGATGGTTCTATTGTTTCTGATACTTTTGTTTCAACAGAAGTAGGTTCAATGACAGGAGATTCGACGGCGACTTTTTCTGCATCATTATTTACAGGCGAAGGAACAATAGGTTGTGTGGGTTCGACATGTTCTGTTGTTTTTGTTTCTACTGTGGTTTCTGGTTGTGGTTCTGTTGTTTCTACTGTGGCTTCTGTTTCTTCCGGTTGTGATTCTGTTGTTTCTGTGGATGCTTCTTTGGCCATTGCTTCTTCTAACCTTGCTACTAATTCATCCTTTTTCCCCGTTTTTGCAAGATTGCGTTTCCCAAGTTCTTCACGAAGATCTACTACACGAAGTGATTTGGGATCAATGGATTCAGGCATATTAGAGAAAAAAAAAAAAAGAAAAGAAAATTGGATAGTGTTAATCAAAAAAAAAAAAGGTAAACAACAAAAGAAAAGAAAGGAATGAAAATGAAAATTTCCACCGCGTTTAGAAATTTTGTTTGACTGAACAGATTTCAATCACCGTCATTGGTCAATTTTTTGACAATGTAATATAATATTTCTTTTATTTTTGTATTGTACGATTCTACATAAAAAAAAAAAACTAAACTAAGGGTTCAAATCCACCAGGGACAGAAGGACGAGAAGCATCAATATCAGGTAAGATATCCCACATTTGATGAGCGATTTTCAATTGAGAAGATTTAGTATCGGCAGCACGAATAGCTAAATACTTGCGACTAAAGATATTGACAGGAGATTCATCACGTTGATTATCACCAGAGACAACGATACCACCAGCTTCTTGTAAAATCACAATAGCAGCCGTGACATCCCATTCCCAGCATCCAACTTCCCAATAGACATCTACACAACCTTTGGCCACAGAACACATATTCAAGGCTGCCGAACCTGTAGCACGTATACTATGAGCTTCCACACCACCTGTACGTCGTAATAAAGTATGAATAACATCTATTTTCTTGTCCAACACACCAGAAGAACGATCAGACCCTGCTTCAGTTGCAATTAAACATTGTGAAAGATCTATCAAGGGTGATTGATAGAGTGGTAAAGGTATCGTTTGATTTAAGAAGGCACCTAATCCTTTTGCGGCAGAATAGAGTTCATCGAGTAATGGATTATATACCACACCAAGTACAGGTATCTTGTCTATTGTTAATCCAATTGATACAGCAACAAAGGGATAACCATGAACAAAATTGGTTGTACCATCTATATATAAATCATCCATACAATATATATATATCAATTCAATATCAAAAAATAAATAATCTTTTTTTTACCAATAGGATCAACAATCCAAGTGGGTTCTGATGTAAAAATAGTTTCAGTACCAGCAGCCATAGTTTCTTCACCTATAAATCTATTTAATAAATATAAGTAGGGAGAAGTAAGAAAGACGATGATAAAAAAAAAAGGAGTTACCTATGGGTAGGATAAGTATTAGTTAGTCTATCTTTAATAAATTGTTCTACAGCTTGATCAGTTTCTGTCACTAAATCACTTGGATTATCATATTTTAATAATATATTGGCTTGACCACCTTTCATTCGTTTATCTATTGCTTTTTTAATAATGACACCAGCATCTTTTGAAAGTTTGATAGCAAAGTCTAGATATTCTTTCAAATAAGCTATTATAATAATAATAAAAAGAAAGGAGGTGAATATGGGTATATATATATATATAATATATTTATTATACTTTGTTTATCCATGATAGGTGTCATTGGATGAAAAAAAAAACTGGGGAAAAAGAAAAAAAAAATAGATAAATTAATGAGGATCGCGCGTTTTGATAGATTGCCTAGCAAGTGCGGAGAGTGAAAGATAAAGACATAAGAAAGGGATTTTTGAAATATGTTCAAAAATATTATTATAAGAATGAAAGATATAAAAAGATAGATTTGATGATATATTAAAGGAGTTTTATCAAATAAAAATGATTATACAGAATCCCACTAACTTTTTTTTATAGTGACCTTTTTACCAAAAAGGCAGGTTTATTTTTACTTACAAGGGAGTTCAAAAAAAAAAAAAAGAAGAAAAAAAAAATAATTTTTTTTTCTTGTCTCGTTCTTTTTCCCCTTTTTTTTTTTTCTTTCTTTTCTTTTCTTTTCTTTTCTTTCTTCTCTCTCTTTTTTTTTTATATCATTTATTATTCAATATGGCACCATTAAAGACTATAATATTATTCTTTACAGTTTTATGTTGTATTCTTATTAATGCAGAAAACATTATTGTACTTGACAAAAGAAGTAAGTTAAGATCCTATTTTTATCTAGACATTTCAGTTTTATTTAACTATTTCATTCCTTCTTTTTTTATTTTTATTTTTATTTTATTTTTATTATAGTTCCTCAAGGTAAAATAAAATAATAAAAAAAAAAAAACTATCCAAGTAATAATAATAATAATAATAATAATTTATTATTTACTTTTATTTAGCTGTAGGAGGAGGAGGAGTAGGTTCTAGTGCAGCATCATCAGCTCAACAACAATCATCATCTCAAGCATCTTCTCAACCTGCTGCTCAACCTAGCGGAAACACAACTTTACCCAACACAGGCAATAGTACCGTTTCTGGAGGCAACAGTACAGTTAGTGGAAATAGTACTAATAATCCTTTAGGTAATTTACCCACTTCAGCAAGTTATGGTGTTACTGTTCAAGTAGGTATTGCTACTTTCTTGGCTCCTACTGCAAGTAAATCCGTTTCTCCTCTCTATCGTGTTGATGCCAATGAAAATGTTACTTTTAGTTGGTCTTATACCAATCTTCTTGTACGTCCTGCTAACTTGACTTTGGCTGCTGTCGGTCCTCAATCTGTTACTTATACCATTGCTGCTCTTGCTGGTGACGCTACAAGTTATGTATGGCAACTCAATTCTGTGGTTCCAAAAACTCCTTTGATGAATGGTTATTATCAAATTCAATTATATGATCAACGTGGTCCATCTGCTGTACCTAGTCCTGGTTGGTTAATGCCTCAAAGTCGTTTAACAATTGCCTTTTATACTCCACAAAGTTATCAATCGATCAATAATAGTAAAGTGAAAATGATTTAAAAAAAAAAAAAAAAAAGAAAAGAAAAATTATAGAATCTAACTCTTTTTTTTTTTTCTTATATTGAATAGGTAATTACTGTCCTACTTGTTTTTATAGTGCTGCACAAGCATTGAAGAATACATTTGGTCCAATGGGTATTGCTTTTGGTATTGCTTGTTTGACATCTGGTTTATTTATCTATGGTCTTATTTACTGAACTAGCTCTATTTTGAAACAAATGAATCCTCCTCCATAAATACACCTCCTTTTTTTTATTATTATTCTTCTTCTTATTCATTAGTTAAATATCATCCTTGTCTCTCTTTTTTTTTTCTATTCCATATCTTTTATATACACCCATTTTCTCATGTACACCTCTTTTTTTTTTTTTTACATATACATTTTCTTCAGCATTTTTATACTTTTTTCTTTCCTGTTGTACTACTCATTATTATGAATTTCTTCTCTCATTTTTTTTTATTATTATTTTTGATCTATGATTGAAAGGTATTGAATTCATTTGGATTTGGAAAACGGGAATATTTTTTTTTTCGAATAAAGTTAGTTTATACAATTCTCGACCTGTCAATGTTTCGTTACATGATGTCATTGGAATTCTGTTCCAAAAAAAGAAGGTTTGATCTTGTTGCTGTTATGCAGATTTTTATTGACTACAGTCATTTTTTTTTATATATTATGGTTTATATACATATATTTTAGAGTTAATATTATATGATTAAAAATCATGATCCTGATTTCTACATTATTATTCAAATGAGAATTGTCTTTTTCAATTCAAGGGATATTCAATCTCTCATTGGTCCAATTTCAATATCCGTCCTCAGCTGCGAGAAGAAGAAAAAAAAAAACAGTCAAAACGGATTTGTCTTCTTTTTCTCACTTACATACCTTCATTGTATATACAGTTTTTTTTTTTTTTTCATTCTTCATATATAAATATTATTACATTTATTCCTTTTCTTTATTTGTATCTATACAGCAATCATGGAAGACGATAAACTTGATTTTGGTGATCTAGATGAATTTGATACACAAGAAGGTGGCAATTTGAACGACTCTATCGAGGACTTTGATGAATTGGAAAGAGAGCTAGGATTAGCAGATGATGCTGTTAATTCTACTTCTGAATCTACTACTGAACTATTACAATCATCGACTGAAAAAGATAAGTCTACTAACAAAACCGACTCTGGGACTACAACAACTACTACTTTGGCAAAATCAACAACATCTACAGCATCTTCCGCTGGTAATCAACGACCTAATCGAAATACCACCTTTTCCAATCGAAATGGATCTGTTCGACATCAACACAATGGTTATCGTTATAGCCCATATCCACAACACTTTCCAAACATGACATATCCAAACTTGACTTCTTTTAACGGTGTATCGTTACCTGGAACCAATATGTATGGACAAGGTTATATGAAGTATGTTTATTGATTTTTTTTTTAATTTTATTATTACTGTATCTCTTCTTCTACTACTCTTTCCACACTCTCCCCCAGTTTATCCATTTACCCAAAAGATTTATGTACACTTGGTGATACCTTCCTTTTCCTTATTCTAGTTAAATTTTTCTTTTTCTTTTACCCTCCCTTCTTCCTTCCTCCCTCCTTCTCCCCCCTCTCTCTCTTCCGCTTTCCCTCTATAATTATCATTCATTCGACGAAAAAAGGACGAAAAAAAAAGCAAAAAAAAAAAGGATAGAATAAAAAAAGGATAAAATGATGGAAATGGAATTAAAAAAAAAGAAAGGAAGAAAAAGAAAAAAAAAAGGATATCAAAAAATGAATGTGGATTCGAGTGGAATGATGGAAGACAAAAAAAAAAAAAAATACAGGTACAAATTGATACTAACACTTTTTTCTTTGGGTGCTATGTCCTTTTTTTTTTTAGTATGCCATTACCAGGTGTTATGGGAATGCCAATGATGGGATATAACAACAATATGGTTACTGGTTCTCCACAAACACGACGTATTCATGTGAATCCGAATTTCAAAGGTGCACGACCTCCTCAACTAAGCGGTAGTGGAAATGATGAAGTGGCACGAAAGGAAGAACAACAACGTGTTGTTGAAGAATTACGGAAAGAACAAGCTCAAAGGGATAAGGATTCGATTGCAAAAGAACTTCGAAAACAACGATTCCAATCACATGATGATCAAAAGCAAGAACGAAAACGACCATTAGATAATGATCAAGATACAGCAACAACCGTTCAACGACGAAAATTGAATCCCTCTGCAACCCCATTTTCACCAAAAGATTCTGGAAAATATCCATCCAATCAAGGAATGGATGATGCTGGAAATGTAAGTAATGATGATATATATATATATATATGCTTTTACTTATTCACTATTTTTTTTTATATGTATAGCGTAACTCACCTCAACAAGAAGTTAATTCGCGTAATACTGGTGGTTTTTCTATTCGAGGTGCTGCTATGGCTGCTGCTACTACTACATCCTCACAACAAACATTACGACAAGATCAACGACGATCAAATACCCCTGGTGACAAGGTTTCATTTGTCAAAAACAGTTCGATCTTACAACGTCTTCGTCATCAGCCCACAAAAGAAGAACCATCCAATGATGCCCCTCCCACACCTATATTCGCCAATGGCAAGTCATCCAAGTTGATTGTATCCAATATCTCCTCTGAAGTCACTGAATCAACCTTGAACTCTCTGGAACCAAAAGATATCAAGGTAAAAAAAAAAAAAAAAAAAAAAAAAAAAATAAAAAAAAAAAAAAGGTATATAATGATTGTTGTTGATGTTGATCCTATTTTTTTTATATATGTATATATAGTCTGTCACTTTGAACCAAAAAGATAAGACGGCCATTTTACTTTTTGGTGCTATTGATCCAGCCGTGAATTTCCGTCGAAAGCATAACAGGTAACATCACAAAAAAAAAAAAAAAAAATTGAAATATATTGATTGGAACTTTTTTTTTTCTTTCTTAGGGCCTTGGTGGGTGGTCAACATATCTCTATCAGTTTCGCCAAAAACTAGAATTATGTGTAGTTTTTTCACTTTTATATACATTAGTATTTTTGATTCTATTTTTTTTTTTTTTTTTACTCTATTTGAACAATAAAAGAATGACGATGATTTTTATTTTTTTTTATGATAACAAGAAAAAAAAATATTGAAAATACATATAAAATAAACTAGGAAAGATCAAAAGATTGGAATCGAATGATGTTTGTGATTTCACGTCGTCCAGCCAACCAAGACTTGAATGTGGTCAGATGTTGAGCTTGATCCTCAGTAACGATTTCTTGTTCTTGCTGACGGGTGGAGTGGTGAAGATGCCAGGCACAAGAAGGGGAAAGCATTTCTTCCAACAGATAATCGGCAAACACGATCAGATAAAAGTAACGCACCAGATAATTGAGTCCGACTTCACGCGTCATGGTATATTTCTTCGAGTTGTCCATCAACGAGTCCAGACGTAATCGATAATCATAAATCGCACGTCGTAGGTTCTGCATATGGTCACACATGTTGATCGCTTCATCTGTCAATCGCTTGGCCAGCTTGCCATACGTCAGCACACTCACCACCTGGAGGATGATCTTGTATTCCCCGTTCAAATATCCTTCTCGCTCTTCCGATTGTTCGTCCCGATCTGTATCAAACAAACGATCATCTTGTAATCCTTCAGGCTTGCTTGTATCGTTCAGTAAATGATCGCCATCCACCATACAATTGTTATTGTTCAAAATCATTGAAATTAAACATGCCGCTACCATGCCTGTCGTTGTTCGTCCTCGTCTATTTTATTTTTTTTAAAAAAAAAAAAAAAAAAAAAAAGTGAGATCATCCTTTTCTTTTTTTTTTTCAACAATATGTGTGTGTGTGATCATACATACCCCATTTGACAATTGAAAAGGACATCTTTACCAACATTCGCTTCAAGGATACGATGTTTCAAGAGATCAAAAACATCAGGAATAGGTGCTTGTTCATCAGTACTTTTTATTATCAAATATAATAGTTAGTATCATCTTTCCCATTATTTTTTATTTTTTTTTTTATTTTTTTTTTTTATTTTTTTTTTTTATTTTTTTTTTGTATGCTTACATTGGAATCCGTAAATAATCGACTTGATATCCTTCATCTATAATGGATTGGAAAACTTCACTAGGAGTTTCAATACATTGACTAGGTACGGTTTCCCAAATGGCCTTTTAAGTTTAATTTCAAAGATGTATCCATTAGAAAAAAGATCAAAGAAACATCCATTCCTTTTTTTGATTACCTCTAAATTGAATCCACCACGTTCATCTACTTCTTCATCATGTAATAAGAGCCGACCACCATATTCTTTCTGTTCATCCAAAGCATCCAATTTCATTCGATTTTCCATCCCTTCCACACGACTCCTTGCAATCCCAGTTGTTTCCAAATTCTTCAATGGATTAGCAAATAACCGGAGGACATAGGGTTGATTATTAACATAGAGCACAGGTTCTTCTCGCAAACAAGTCCAAAGTACCTTACGTTTACCACCGGGTCCAGCATCCATAGCCACCAGGACAGCTTTGATGGCATCCTTGGAAGGCATAGCACAACCACAAATAAAAGGAGGCACCAAGATCTCATCCTCTGATCGTTTCAAATCCGCCGCCAATCCACCCTCGATGGCTTCTATCACATTGTGTTCTTGTCGGACCGCTCGCTTGACTGTTTTGACTTGGACACGTCGATAGTTATAAGCACCTTCGATTTTTTCCGTGAGATTCATCTTTTGGCAACCAGGGAAGGCATCATGCTTCAAAATACTGTTTTGACTAAGCACTTGACCACATCGCTTGCGCACCACCGACATGACTTCGGACGACAGGGCTACACCATCACCAATGGAGGATGATTTTTCCACAGGAGCTATATGTTCCATGATCTCATCTCGTCGTAATTCTTGTAAAATCGTGCCAATTTCCGCATGTCGCTTACTCCATGCCAAAAAGGATTCCGTGTCGTTCAAAGTATCAGGTGATGTATTGTCGAGATAAGCTTGAAAACAAATCAATAAAAAGTATCTCTCTAATGCCACCATCCCCGTCTTGAGGATCCTACGTCGTTGGTCATCGTCATCTGTCGTCTCTTCTGCCCGAATATGGACGGATTCTATCATATCCCGCAAGTTGAGCACTGCCCCACATTGATCAATCACATTGTCCACAACACTTTTGTTTTCTAGTCCATTCTTGATCACACGTAAAAGACTGTTGATGATCTGATAGTTAAGCCGTGGTTGAATAGTAGGTGTTATCATATCATTTGCATTGTACATCCATCGATTAATAAGAGTGGCCATCACTGTTCCCATAGTAGATCGTCCAATACCCACCTGACAATTCCTAATAACAATAATAATAATAAAAGGGAATAAATAGATGTATTTTTTTTTTTCATAAAATCCTTACAAAACAATGGCAGATGAATTTGTTTGACAATGATTAGCAATCAGGAGCCGCATTTCATCAAAATCCACCCAATCTGGTGCCTTTTCAGCAGTAACAGGTAATCGATGATAATCCAATAAATAGTCATCTTTCATTTTATGTTGTTTGTTGGTTTGAATGTTCATATCGGACGCCACTGTTTCCATCACCTCCCGTACCGTCATCACATCATCTTCATTGACATCTTCCCAAGCAGTGATGACATTGCCGTCTTGATCTTCACCATGTAAAAGGATGCGACCATTTGAATGGTGTATTTCTTTGATGACATCTTCTTTCAGTCGTTCTTCTAATTGTTCCAACCTTGCACCTGTGATTCCTTTATAGGCACGGATGTTGCGAAGAGTAAAATAACGATCACGAAGAACGTAAGGAATACCATTGATATAAATGATGGGTTCTTCACGCAAATTGATCCAAAGTATACTGTCATTGTGATGCGTCCGATTGTTGAAAAGACGTCGAAGAACAGACCGCAATCCATCCACGGTTGGTTGTGCCACGCCATAAATATGAGTATTGTCGATCCGTCGAAAATTGGAAGCACCTTCAATGTAAAAAGTATGATGCATTTGGCCCACCACATCATCATGTTTCTCCTTGTCACTACTTTCCAATAAGCTGTCTTCTTGATAAATGGTGGTTGGTGTAGATCTTGTGGTTTTGTTCAATAGATCTTGACGCCAGAAATCAATTTTTAATATCGTTTGAGATGTAAGAACCACACCAGTACGCGACTAAAAAAAAAAAAAAAAAAAGAGTTATATGTAAATAAAATGAAGGAAATATCATCATTTTTTTTTTTTTACCTTCAAGATAAATTCTTCTGCTTCTAATGCCATGGATCCAGATTGAGCACCAGCACCAATCATTTCAAACATACCAGCAGGACGATGATGTCCAAGAGAACCAAGTTTTTGCGTTTCTATGTTTCCCATACTACTGAGATCATCCACGGGGCGGAAAAAGTAAAGTTGTGGTCCTTTCACCCGCATATTTTGAACCATACGCCAGACTTCAGTACGAGCCTTAAACCATGAGGAGAATCTTGTGTCAAATTGTGTATTTGGTGAATCATTAATGTAAGAAGTGAAACATAAGAGTGCCATGTACCGTTGAAGCCCCATCAATGCTTTGGAGAGAAATGAAGCTTCCTTTCTATAATCACTTGATCCTTGAGTTGTTTGTTTGATGCGATTAAGAAGAATATCATCTCGAATGTTGACCACAGCATCAGCTAAACAAATCACGATAACAATAAAAAAAAAGTCAGTGATCATTCTTTTTTTTTTTTTAAATGATAACATGAACGGGGTTTTTCTTACATTGATCTATAACTTCATCCAATAAACGTTTGCAATAGGATCCATGTTCTAATACAGATACCAATGATGCTACAGAATAGTAATTCCCCATAATGGCTTCCTTGAGGGTTTCAATAGCTTGTCCTTTTCCAAAAGCCCATTCAATCACAGATTTCGAGTTGGCTTTCGATCCTAAACCTGTCAAAAAAAAAAAAAAGATTAACCACAGTTTCTTGATATTCATATCTACTACCTTTTTCCAATACATAGATTAATCGTAATAATACTCCATTTTGAGTATTCCGGATATCAGCTTCATGTAATCCTTTAATGAATTCTGGTCCAAGAGACGGAGAAACTTGATCTGAAGTATAAAAATAACCAGGAACAGGATAAGGATCAGCAAGACCACGTTCCAAAAGTTGAGTTCGTCTGATGATTTGGGCCAATATTGTCCCCACCGTTGCTAAAAAACAAAATATGAGTATTTGAATATGGAATATAGAGAGAGAAAAAAAAAGTTGAATTGAATCACTTACTTCGTACACCTCCCATTCCACAATTGAAGATCAAGGGATCTGAAGGTTCCAATGTCTTGATCACTCGTACATATTCATCAAAATAATTATCTTCAGGTGCTTGCATGGGTGAAATAGGAATACGAAAGTAATTGAGTCGATAACCATCATTTTTGAAGTAAAGGAATACTATAAAAGATAAAATAATCAAATCAGATCATGATTCTAACTTTTTTTTTTACAAAAAAAAAAAAATAGTTCTTACCTTCCTTTGGCGTCTCTACTCGATCAGCTGCAATAAAACAAGGTACCACCGTTCCATCATCCATTTCTTGATGCACAAGTAACAATCCACCCATTGCATTTGCTTCCTTGACAACATCAGCTCTAAGCCTTTCTTCTACCATTTCCAGTCGACTAGCATTGATTCCAGAGAAAGAACCCATATTTTGCATTGGATCAGCATATTCACGTAGACAATAAGGGTAACCATTCAAATAGACTATAATTAGTTTAATAAAAAAAAAAAAACAAGTTAATAAGAAGAAAAAAAAAAGATAACTAGTTATTGTTACCTATTGGTTCTTCACGAGTCAAAAACCTAAAGATAAAGTAATGATCAGTCCATGTCTACTATGGAATAGTATCTTACCATGTACATGTTTGTTGATGTAAACTTTTAGGATGACAATTGAGTAGTGCCAAAATACTTGATAATCCAATCACCTACGAATGGAAAACAAAGATGAATATCATAAGTAGAGATAGGTTTCAAAGGATACTTACTGTGGGTTGGGCTACACCATAAACATTCAGTTCAGCAGCTCTAAAATTAGGTGCTCCGGATAAGAAGAATTCCAGTTTGGTATTGGTTGCTAAACATATATATAAAAAAAAATACCGGGAATCGAATCAATAGTGCATAAAAAAAAAAAAATTAAAAAAGAGAGCTTACCTTGTCTAAAATGATCAGCCTTCAAAATAGTTTGTCTGGTAAGAACACTTCCACTACGATTTCTAACCAAATTTTCCACTACGGCTAATAATCTTCTGGGATCTTGTTGTTGTTGAATGGGTGTTGATGTTGAAGAGTGAGTATTTTGAGTCAAGACTGAGGTTTGTTCTACATTTGTAACTTGACTCGAAGGCAAACTATGTTGTATAATGTCATTGGGTTTACTTGATGAGAAAGAACCTCTTCTACTACTGGCCATTTCTTCCCTATCAGTAGAAAAAAAAAGTTCAGACATGTCAAAGTATCTTGTACAAAGTTACACTTACAACTTTAAAGGCACAAAACGAGAAACCCGTGGAGAAGATATTTTAGATGAATCTTTTCCGTCCATGACTATCTATTTCGGTAATAAAAAAAAAAGTCTATAATACGTAATTATTATTGAACGAGAGAAAGAACAAGGGAAAAGAGAGAAGAAAAAAAAAATGGATAGATAATGGGAAGGGTTGGAAAAAAGGCAAAAACTGAGATTTCATAAACCGAATGCGGTCCCTCAATTTCCTTTTTTTTTTTTTTTTTTTTGGTCGACCTTCACAGTTTCCTCCTCCTTTTTCTGGTTTATACAAAATCCACTCACCAGTAATCCATGTCTAAACAAACAGCTGGTATTCCAGCTTCTAGACTATATACAAAACTAAAAAGAATTGGAAAAGGTGCCTATGGATCAGTTTATAAAGGGTAAAGAGAAAAAAAAAACTTATTTTATATATATCATTATTCTTATCTTTTTCTTTATAGCATTAACAACAAAACGAAACAAGTGGTTGCAATTAAGATTCTTAACTTGGATACTGAAGAAGACGATGTAGTGGATATTCAAAAGGAAATAACCATGTTATCTCAATTAACTCATGCCAAGTCTCAAAATATCACACGTTTTTATGGCAGTATTCTTAACGATACAAAACTTTGGATTATTATGGATTATGCAGCAGGTGGAAGCATTCGTACTATTGTAAGTAATTTTTTTTTTTGTTTATAACATTAATTAATTACTTTTTTATATTTGAATAGATGAAGGCTGGGATTCTTGAGGAAAAATATATTTCTATTATTGTCCGAGAAGTACTCTTGGCATTATCTTATTTACATAAGAACTTGATCATTCACCGAGATATCAAAGGTAAAAATGTCATAAATAACAATTCATTTGTTTTAAACATATTTTCTGTATTTTGTTTTTAGCTGCCAATATCTTACTGACAGCTGAAGGTGATGTACAACTATGTGATTTTGGTGTTGCAGGTCAAACATCAGTTAATCATTTGAAACGAAATACTTTTGTTGGTACACCGTAAGTCAACTGTCTCTTCTTTTTTCTACCCATTGTGATGATTATAATTTATTTTTTAAAATTAGATATTGGATGGCTCCTGAAGTGATTCGTGAAGGTGCATCTTACGATTACAAGGTATAATTAATTTTTTGTTTTATAAAAATGAATTACTAATCATCATTCTTTTATTATAGGCTGATATATGGTCTCTCGGTATCACTGTATATGAAATGGCAACAGGCAATCCTCCATTGGCTCATGTTGATCCTATGCGTGCTATTATCTTAATTCCAAAATCAAAACCACCAACTCTAGATGCTTCTTTTTCTCCTGCCATACGGGAATTTGTTGATCTCTGTTTGTGCGAAGAACCAAGTGAGGTAAACTGCATTCTTTTATTAAATCAATCCCATACTTATATTTTCTTTTTATTATAGAGATGGAATGCGGATGATTTAGCGAAAACGAAATTCATCAAGAATACAAGTAAAACAAACAAAACGATTCTTCGGGATATCATTACTCGTTATGAAGATTGGAAAAAGACAAACGATGCAAGCAAACGAAAAAGTATCATGTCAGATGACTTGAGCAGTAGGTAAGTCTACAATCAATGAAAAAAGAATTCTCCAACGTATTTGATTTTTATTTTTATTTTTCTTAGTGATAGTGAAGACCCAGCCTTGGATGAATTTGAAGTTGATAATGATGGATGGGAATTTGATGTAAGAAAGAAAAGATTATAATACAATGATAACCAAAAATTGACACTTTTTTATTTTATTTTATAGACGATTCGAAATAGTAAACAAGCAATCTCTATACCAACTTTGGATCAATCTTCATCGAATATGCCAACAACATCAACATCAATGAATATGGAGCAGGAACTCTCAAAGACTGTCAAATCATCAGAATACGACCAACCTATTGCAAGTCGACCTTTCCAAAGAAATCATGATACTCACCCTCTTGTACGAATGTTTGAAAATAATTCTCCACAATCCGATCACCTTACCCCTCCAGGCCAATTACATCACTCATTATCAACATCACCGATCAACTTAACTCCAGTAACAGGTTACGCATCACCTATCTCAGCATCCTCAACAATCAATGCATCATCTTCACCAGTACCTATTATTAATTATGCAACTGCATCATTACTGTCTACTGCTACGTCAGGACAAGATCAATTACAAACAGTAAAACAAGTACCAGTACGACCAACAGTACATAGTGCCGATGATTCTTCTACATGTTCACCATCTGAAAGACCTCAAGTGACTCCACTAGCTTCTTCATATCTCCGGCCTAGTCCAAACCTTGAAGGGGAAGTGTCTACAACTCCACCTGGCTCTTCAAAATTGACACCTGGTGTCAATCATGCTCGATCACCTACTCAGTTTGCGGTTTCCAACAAGCTCACTCCGTTAACAAGGCCTTCTTCTCCTGACAACCCGCCATCTCTTGCTCAGTCTATGTCCAGAACGCGCTCTTATTCTGACCAACGGCAACTTCAACATTGTTATCCTGATCAAACGGTAGTCTCACTCACCAGTCCAAATGGTCAGCACCATCAAGATCTTCGATCATCACCTCCATCGGTAGCATCACCCGCTGTACCATTAGTACCAGCACATTTGAGACGGCAAAACTCGACAGCAGCTACAACATCATCAGCAGCTGCAGGACATTTGGCTAGAAGGGTACGATCAGCTACAACACTTCGTCGATCAGAAGAAGATTCTGTACCTCTCAAAGCACTAGTTACCAATAAACAATATCAACAACAACTACAAATGCAACAACAGCAGCAGCAACAACAACAAAAATTGACTAAACAACATCTATCTGTCTCTGTCCCTTCCGATAACAATCTCACTGGTAATAGAAAACATGCTGAACATCGACGAAGTATTAGTGCTGATAATGTCTCGAAATGCAAGGTAAAATAAAAATAATAAAATAAAAAAAAAATTATTTTTTTAAAAAAAAATGAATGTTTTTGGCATAGGATGGACAAGATGGATTAGTAGGACAACTCAAATCATGCTTAAAAACGCCCATGGTGAATAATGATATACCCACATCATCTCAACAATACTTAACATCCACATCCATTCGACCTTTGGCTTTGGATGGATTGAACACTAAGGAAGCATTATGTGATGAGTTACAATTAGTCTTGGATGATTTACGTATCTGGGTAGATCGATTGGATACCTCATTGAATCAACATCTTCCATCATGAATCATTTATCACCTTTGTATTACCAATTCTTCCCTCAATTATATTCTTCTAAGCTAGAACGATGCCCACGTTTAATATCGAAATAAAACATTTTTTTTTTTTTTTTACAGTGTTTTCAAAGTTTTTTTTTTTTTTTTTTTTTTTTTTTTTTTTTTTTTTTTTTTTTTTTTTTTTTTTTTTTTTTTTTTTTTTTTTTTTTTTTTTTTTTTTTTTTTTTTTTTTTTATCGGGTCACAAGATGTTTTTTCTTGATATTATAAAATAAAAATATCGATCTTTCCAAAAGATGGATGTCGTATTGCCCACTTTTTTCAGATCTTATTTTTGAATTCCGTCATTTATTATTGAATAAAGTGTATCTCTCCTTTATATGTAATGTTCGTGAGCAAACAGTTAGATAAACTGGATGATTCTTGGTTTTAAGATAGGAGAAATATTAATTCCTTTTTTTTATTATTAGAACTCCTACTACACAAGAATAAACTATTTGATAAAAAAAAAAAAGTTGTCAATGTGGTGCTATTTGAAAATGTCTTTGATCATGCAAAAAAAAAAAAAAAAGATTCAGTCCCCGTCAAAGAAAGAACAACCTTTTTGGTGATTATTTTCATTGTTTTCTTTCTTTTTCTTTTTCTTTTTTTTTTGATATAAAATAGTTTCTCATAAAACGCCAACATACACCAGTCATATCTACCTAATTTCTTATTACTGAATAACATTTTTTGTTCATTTGCGATCAGTCGACATGAGTCAACATCTGAATGACTCCAGTACAACACAAACCATGACAGGAACGGCAATCGACAAGATAAACAAAACAAATTCAGGTTCATCGACACAACGACAAGGAGACACAAAGCATTTGAAAGAGCAGGAAACTACGATTAATGAAAATGACACTTTCAAAGGTGATAGGAATTTATACCAAACCAACGGTTCTACAACAAGGGATTCAACAAATATCAGTGATGATGACGAAGCTATTTCCTCTGAAACATCGCCCCATGATCCATCAATTAAAAAGTAAAAAAAAAAAAAAAAAAAATCCATGACATCAATGCAAGTTCCTCTTTTTTTTTTCTGATTCTTTTTTTTTATATATTATATAGTCAACCTAAGGATAAAAACAAACAAAAAAATGGATCAAAAAATAAACCAGTGTCCATGACGCAACACAGATATCAATTTGGTAAAGTACAACGACAAAAGATCAAGGCCCGTCGCATCAACGAACGACGCCAGCAATTCCAACAACAGAAGCAAAAGGACGATGCGACTTTATCTGAACGACGTCAATGGATTCTGGATCAACAACAACACGACAAGGAGCAACATCATAAGGAACGACATCAACATTGGCAACAAGATGGTCTTGAACGTGAACAGAGAGGACATGCTTTGACGGCAGCCATCGTTGCAGCGGAAAAGTGTCATTTGCCAACATTGACCACCACATCATCTATTATCTATCAACATAACACGATCAAACCGCCACCCCTTCATCATGAATGTGATCTGGATCCTAATGATCCTGATCCTTGGCCTGAAGAAAAACAACACTATTTATATATGGGTCGTATCATTCGAATGGAATCTTTGATGGAAAAACGAAAAGCAATGGATAAAGGAATCAAGGTAAACAAAAAAAAAAAAAAAAAAAAAAAAAAAAAGATGGACTTATTTTTTATATCTATTTAGTACGAACTCCCAGTGTACAATCCAATTGGTCTTCCAAGACGTAAACCTGCATTTCATCTTTCCAATACTTCTATTCATGATGCTACTGTCAAGGCTCGTCATTCATCCTCTGGATAAACATTTATCAAAATTTTGTTCATCTTTTTTTTTTCTGTATCACAGTGCACTTTATCTCTATTTCCCAAGGCTGATTAATTTTTTTTTCTCTGTCTCTTACACAGATATATCTATTCTTGCTATTTCATTCTCTTCCAATCATTATCAATAAAAAATTCTTCCCTTTTGAATTCAATCCATTTCCTTTTTGTCACATGGTCTACCTTCTCAATTTTATAAAAAAAAAAAAAAGAATTGCCTGGAGGATGGGTGTCAAAAAAATAGATAAGGTGTATATTATGTGACAAAAAAAAATTGTATCTATCTAGAATAGAAAAAAAAATCATAATAATAAAATACAAAATAAAAACGAAAATCAATAAGCAGAGGCAAGACCATATTTTCTTGGATCAGAGGCAGCATGAACAACACCATCAGATAATCGTCGAACAGCTTGTACAGCCGATATAGTCATATTTCTTGTCAAGGTGTAAACCTACAAGAAAACAAGAATAAGTAAAGGAAAATTTCAAATTATAAAATGCTTACTTGATGATCTCGAGTTTCTAATGCATGGATGAGTTCATCTTCAAATCCTTGTTCCAAGCCTACACGATTGGGCATTAATTGATGATGAACACGAGGTGATTCTATAGCTTTGTAAAGGTCCATATCAAAATCTAATATATTCAATAACACCTACGAAAAAAAAAAAATGGTTTAAATTTCCCTGCTTTTGAATTTTTTTTGATCTCACTTACATTTAAACTTGCTGTAGCGATTTGTGAACCACCAGAACCACCAAGAGCAAATTCAAATTTACCATCTTGTTCGACAATAGTAGGTGTAATTGAAGAAAGAGGTCGTTTTCCAGGAGCTAAAAAAAAAAAAGAAAAAAAATAATAAGAAGTGTATTCATTTTTTTTTTTTATTTTATATATATTTACCAACATAATTGTAAACAGCTGGATATAAACCAAAATCATTGGGTTGACCAGGAATAGAAAAATCATCCATTTCATCATTGAAAATAATGCCTGTTTCTGGATCCATCACACGAGAACCAAATAACAAATTGACAGTGGAAGTTAAGGCCACCACACCATCGTTTTCATCCACCACAGTAAGATGCATTGTGCCATGATTGTCAATATGATCATATTTGGGTTGATAATAAAGTGGAGAGTGAGTTTCATACTAAAAGAAAAAGAAAAAAGAAAAAATGAGTATACAAAATAGGATTTTTTTTCTTTTTTTTTTATCAATTTACATCGGATATATTTGCTCGTGCTTTTGAAGCCCAATCTTTGGTAATCACTTCTTGATAACGATCTTCCAAATGAGTAAAATCAGGATCTCCAAATTCAGTACGGAAAGCATAACCAAATTTCATGGCTTCTACCAGTCTATGAATATTGACACCAATCCGACCAAGTGTATGAAGACTATATCTTTCTAGAATGTTGAGCATACTCAGTAGAATGGGACCACTAGTAGGTGCTGAACAAGTAGTGATTTTTGTACCGTGATAATATGTACTGATGGTAGGTCTGATGAGTGGTTTGTAATTTCGCAAGTCGTCCAAAGTCATGATCCCTCCAGCCTGTTGGATGGTCTTAATCATAGATTCAGCAATAGGACCCTATCCATTGAATGCTTATTAGAACTAACTTATTATTTATATATATATCCTTACCTCATAGAATGCATTGGCACCTTCATTAGCAATGATTTCTAATGTTTTTGCCAAAGTAGGACGTTTAATGATTTCACCAGGTTGAGCAGCTCTTCCTTGAGGTGCATATATATCTTTCCATTCTGATTTTTCTAAAATCCAAGGCTCTGCTTTCTAATTAAAATAGCATTTACTAATATTGAAAAAAAAAATTATTGTTTTTTTTTTTTTTTTACCAAAAGCTTTTCATGCAAATATCTTGTTGTTTTAAAGCCATTTCTCGCAAGTTCGATCGCAGGTTTGAATAGATCTGCCCAAGGTAATGCACCATGTCTATATATGGAAAAAGAAAGGTCAGTAGAGATCACATGAGATGTCACTTTCTGTCTCCGAGAACCAATGCTTTTCCGCAAAATGCTTTCCCCATTATTATTATTACCGGTTGTGAGCCAATTCCAATCCCCTGATTTCACCACTAAAAAAAAAAAAAAAGAAAGCGTTAGTAATCACGATCATATCGAATCAATTGAAAAAACCAATGAAACAAGGAACATACGGAACACCGATGGCTAGACCGCCACGTTGAGCAAGTAATGGATCATCCACAAACATATTTTGAGTAGAAGCTTGAGGTGCTGTTTCCCGAAAATCAATGAATTCAAAAGTACCATTGGGTGATCGAATTAACATAAATCCTCCACTAAAAAAAAAAAAAAAAAAAAAAAAAAAAAAAAAAGATAGTAAGTATCATTTTCTATCACGCCATCCTTGGTCAGTATGACGATTTTTGATGTCTTGATTCCATAACATACCCTCCAATACCTATACAGAAAATAGAAAAAAAAAAGAATTAGCAACGTACTAGTCCTCTATTCATTAAACAGGCTTACCAGTAGCAAAGTTGTTCATCACACCTATACAAAGAGTTGAAGCAAGAGCAGAGTCAACAGCATTACCTCCTCGACGCAAAACTATTCAATGAAACAAAGTATTGAATGAGTTCTTTCTAATTCATAGATTAGATCGTCATGACTAACTTACTTTCCACACCAACATTTGAACATTCTTCTGTTTCAACCGCTACAGCTCCATGGGTACCTTTTATAAGTTGACCTTTCCATGATTCGGAAGTCTTTGTATTATTGTCACTAGGGAAAGGAGAGGCTGCAATCAAAGGAAGAGATAACTTGAAACAAACAAGACATAGTGCCAAAGTACTTGTCCCAATGACAATCCATTGACTTGCCCATCGTCTTGATCGATTATGACTTGATAAATTTCCTTTTGTGGAGGCCTTTTCTATATCGGCCACAGAATGATAATTCATTGAATTGTATTACTAAAGGAAAAAAGAAAAAGAAAAAGGAAGAAATGAAAAAAAAAAAAAAAAATAGATAAAATAAGTAAAAAAGATACCAAAAAGATAAGATGACTGGGTTTGAATGTCAAAGGGGTGAGAACCAAGCTGTCAGGAGAACAAATCTTTGTCAAACATCATCAGGTACTTTTTCATTTTTTTGATTGTATTCCCTAACGTTTATCACATTATCACCATTCATATAAAGTTACAAACTTTGATTAAAACAAAAAAAAAAAAAAAATAGAAAATAATACGATTCTAATCATACGTATTTATTTTTAATTTCCGTATGAACAACAAAAATGATGGGTAGACAAGTTTTCTCCATGTAAATATCTTGAATAATATATCCCACTGATATACATCAGAGTTGTTTATGACCGGTATCATTGATAAATTCTCTTAGGAAATAGGACAATTCGGTGACATAAGATCCCATCATCATCGTCCCATTCATCCAATAAATACACAAATTGAAAACTAGCATAAAAAAATATAAAAACTAATAAAATGAAAAGAAAACAGAACGAGCTGCGAATTGTTTATTTCATCAAAGGTAATGAGATAGCATCTATTTTTCCTATATGGTGTAATAAAAATAAAAATAAAAAAAAAAGAGAGAGTCAATATATGATTCATCAATTAATATATATATATATATATATGCAATGAGTTTATCCACTTACAGGGATTTCAACTTCACCAGCATCAATGGCCTTGCAAATATCTTGAGGGTTTTGTCCATCCACAGTACAACCCACTGATTGAGCAGTACCTAAGATTTCCTACTCGTAAAAAAAAAAAATCAGTTGTTACATTCTCGGTTGATATATGAAAATGATTTTTTCATTTCAATTACCTTGACAGTGCCAGAAAGTTCACGAGCATAAGACTTGTAACGCATGGTACGGGCAATTTCAATCACATCATCCAAAGTGATGTTACCACTATGCTTGACTATATATATAAAAAAGAATGTTAAGACTTCCTTATCACTCATTGTAATAACTTACTGTTCTTTTCCTTCTTGCGGTCTCGTGGAGGTTCCTTCAAAGCCTTGATGACCAAAGAGGAAGCAGAGGGCACAACAGACACTTGAGCTTGACGGTTTTGAATGGTCAATTGAACAGTGACACGAAGACCTTTCCATTCCTTGGTACCCTTGGCGATATCTTCACCCACCTTCTTGGGAGAAAGACCGAGAGGACCGATCTTGGGAGCTTAATAATAATAATAATAATAATAATAATAATAAAGTTCAGTTTATCAAGATGATGAAAAGAAGAAAATTTAAGTTTTTTTTTTTGTTCTTACCAAGAGCACTGGAAGCACCAACTTCACCACCTATATAAATAATAAATCAATAAATCCATTAGTCAATGTCCTTTTTTTTTTTTTTGTCGTATCCGTCTCTCGTTGTTGGATTGAATCGTGCATGTAATTACTGTCAAGGTTCGTCATTTTTATTTTAAAAAAGGTCTTTACCGGTGGCGCGAAGGTAAATGATCTTAACCTCACTGGGATCGAACTTGGGAGGCATCTATAATGAAGGAAAATATAGGTAACATAAAAAGAATGAGATACATGGATGGATGGATGGATGGATGGATGGGGTTACTTACGTTAAGATAGTTTTGAGAGGAAGATTCAATCAATTGGACACACCAATCCTGCTTTCATTACCCCCCCCCCAAACCGCTCGCTTCTGCGGACATTGAAATACACCAACCCTTCCTTTCAGGCAAAGATTGTCGATATGCATACAACCTTACCTTTCTATTTTTGGATGCACTTTGGGACATCATCATTGTTTAAAAAATCATTCTCTTCTTCCCTTGTTCATCATCTGAATCATTATCGTATTGAAGCTCACTGAAAACAACCATTATAGCCATCTTCAACATTAAACAAATCATCATCATTTTCAACCGTACCCTAACATAGAGCAAGGTAATTGGTATTTTTCTTTTTTTTTTTTTGTACTCCATCTAAAATTCTTCATAAGGTTTTCATAGTGAACAATCAAGTAAGAAAGTGTTACACAAATTCAAATCACTTTTTTTTGCTTTATCTAAATTCATTCTGCATATGTATATCATGTTTTTTTTTTTTGTCAAATTTTCAAAATATTTTTATTATAAACATGTTTTTCATTGAATTTTTCTATAACTAAAATGCATAATATCTACTTCTTTTCCTTTTTTTCTTTCTTTTCCTTCTTTTCTTTCTTTTCCTTCTTGTCCTTCTTGTCCTTTTTATCCTTCTTCTCTTTCTTTTCCTTCTTCGCCTTCTTAGCAGGCTTGGTTTCTTGTTCAACTTCTTCTTCAGCTACTCGTTTCTTGGTAATAACAGGTTCTTCATGGATTTCATCTTCATCAAGATCACCAAGAGAATCAATCACACGTTTCATCACATCAGCATTCTTTTCAGGAGTAGCACCACTATCAAAGAACTTGAGACGTTCTTCTACTTGAGCTTTCAAAGCTTGACCAAATTTATCAGAAGGAGTTTCTAATTAAATAAATAAAAAAAGAAATTAGATATATAAATTAATTAAACTTATAATCAAACTTACCAGTGAAACAATCAATACGAGAAGCAATAGTACATTTATTGGCAAGATATCGAGAAATACGACCCTTGTTCTTTGCACCAGCACGACCAATGAAAGAAGAATGATAGATTAAACCATACTTGGGAGTGTTACCCTTTGTCTTCAAAGCACGGAAAAGAGCCTTTTCAGCACCCAAGATTTGCAATGTGGAAGCAGGATATTTAGATAAATTAGTTAAAGAACCAGCTTGAGAGATCAAACGAGCACCAACAATTTCACCAATAAGAGCAGCCAAATTGGGAGCGACATGAGACATCTTGGAAATGAGATAGTTGTGAAGGTTCTTGCGATAATCAGCCAAGCTAATAACACGGTCAGCGAAGTTTTGAATGTTGATCATATCGATAGGAGAAATATCTGTACCCATCGAAGCACGAGCAGCATCAAGGATTTGTTTGGCGGTAGTTTCATCTCCTTCCAAAATTTCTTCCATAGCTTCCAAATGTTCTTCAGATAAATCAGATTTATTTTTGATCACCTTGACAAGTTTGGCATATTTATAATTATCATTCACAATCTTGACAAGTTCAGGAAAATGCCATGAATACCATTCTCTACAAAAAAAAAAAAAATAAATTTTAATCTGCCCATCAATCCATTCATCAACTGAGTTTTTACCTGACACGCATAGCAAATGTGTTGACATCTTTATCCATTTGATCCAAAAGAGCAATAGCTTGAATGATCATATTGTCGGAACGATTGACATTGAACTTGACCTTTGCACGAGAATAACTATGACCAAGACCAAGTTGAGCCTTTTCCAGATCACCTTCCTTCAATTGAGACAATAATTTATCAGCCCAAAGACGAATACCACGCACCAATTCTTGAACAATTTCATCAGTGCTACATTCAACACCAAGTTCACCCTTGATAGCACCAGCCAAGTTACGATCAGCTACACCAAGTTCAACCTTGTTCTTCTTACCAGCCTTGGGAAGATTCATTTCCAAGAAAGCCTTTAAAGAATCATTCACAATACCTATTATAACAATAGATAGTTATAATATATTCAATGTTTGTTTTTTCTCGTTTTACCTTCAGAAACGTCGTTAGCATTTTCTAAAGCATCAGCAGCACTTTTGAAAGGTGAGAATGACTTTAGTTTGATCATTTGACCAAACTTTGCTAAATCGAGTACAGTTTCTTGAACTTGAGCAAGTTTGGAACCGATTTCTTCAGATTGTAAACGTTCAAATAATGCATAGCCTGAAGCTGTTTCGAATAACACGTAGTTGACCTAAAAAATATATATTATTATGAATAAATAAACAACTAATAAATAGAATATATATTTTACCATGATGAATGTTTGAAATGATCAATTTAAAAAAAAAAGAAGTGTCAAACGATTCCAACAAAAAAGGGAGGGAAAAGGAAAAAAAAAAAAAAAGTTGCTGAATTTTTTTTTTCTTCTTTTTTTGGAGAGATGCCATTAGAGTGGCTTGGCTATGAAAAGAAGGTCCTCTTTTTTTCAAAAAAAAAAAAAAATGCGTACTTTGAAAATTTGAGATTTCAAAATGTTCTTTTATTGGTAGTGATCATCCCATTGAAGAAATACCCAATATATATAATATCCTCTCAATTTGATTCTATTAGCAATCTTTTCTAAGAATTATCTTTTCTTTTTTTTTCCCATTGAACAATCGATGATTGACATGTTTAATAAAGTTATCAATATAAGAATATTGCTTCCTTTTAAGGATATTCATTTTTTCATTCATAGTATTCATTGATATGATGATGATAATGAAATATATTATTGTGTGCATCGACGTATTTCGTCCCTCCCATTCCGGTGTTTGAAAAAAAGAAATGGAAAAATGGTTAGCATCAACTAAATATTATTTGTATATGTGCACTTACCAAAAAAAAAAAATAAAAAAAAAATCCTCCGGGTCTAAAGGTCGGTCACCACGTATCAACCCATCCAGGATGTACGCGACGCAAATGGGATAGTATAAATATCATAATGGTAAAAAAAAAAAAAAATATCGAAACAGCAAGGAAGACAGATAACCAGAGGCACAGCAAGACAGAAAGAAGAAGACACTAATAAGGAAGCGGCCAAAACAAGCAATTGGCTTTTTTTTTTTTTGTAGAAGAAAGAAAGAAAGAAAAAGTAAAAAAAAGTGTCTTTTATATTGTTACATTGAAGCTATCAAATAATGATGATTATTCTATTAAATCAAATCAATCATCCAATCATTATATGTCATAAAATAATATATAGAATTCATATATCATAAATTAAAATAAAAAGGCTGCTTACAATCAATGAGGGTAGAATAGACGGAGTATGAAAACTGTAACCGTCTACATTGTCTTGCCTTGACTGACTGACGGGGTGGATGTTTTTTCTTGACAAAGAAAAACCTCGCACTTTTTTTTTTCGCCCTTTTCCCTTTTTCTTTTTCTTTTTTTTTTCCAAGTATATACATGGCCATTCACTTGGACCGGTTTCTATTATATATATCTTCCTTTTAGTTAGTTATTTTTCTTTTTTTTTTCTTTTTTCTTTTATTGTATATCTTTTTTTTTTCTTTTTGACTCTTTCTTTTTCTTTGTGATCTTCCTTTTTTTTTTCCAATCTTCTTACTCCTTTTCTTTCTTTCACTTCAATCCCCCTTTTTTTTTATTATTATTTTTCACCCTTTTCCCCCCAAAAAAAAAACCAACTTACTTTTTTATTTACAATATATTTTGACATCATGTCTTTCAACACTGGTTCAAAAACTCAAGGGAAAAAACAAGATACAAGTCATTCAAAACAAAACCAAAAGTAAGTAATATTATAATGATAATATGTAAAAACATTATTATTTAACATTGATATTCTAGTCGTGGGAATAAGAAATGGATAGCAAATAATAATAATCCAACAACAAACGGAGGACGTGGTTATCATACTGTCAATCAACAACTTAACTCATCTAATGTTGTAGAAGATCCTGAATTGATCTACCATTTACATGATAGAATGTTGTTTTTACTTGGCAATTTATATGTAAGTAAGAAAGATTAAAATATATATATATATAAAACTTATTTTTTTTTTCTTCCGTTCATAGGGAAGTAAAGTACAAGTAACAGTACGCAATGGAACCAAATTTGAAGGGATTTTTCAAGGTGCTACTACAGAAGGTGATCTTGGTATATCATTGACTTTAGCTCGCAAAATATTTGATCCTAATACTCCTACTGACAAGTCTAAATCAAGTCCTTACCCTGTTTCACCTGCTTTATTGATCTTTTCAAAGGATTTAGTGGAAATCAATGCTATGGATACTGATTTGACTGCTGGGGAAATCTCTCGTCATGAAAGAGATTGTAAGTTAATAAAAAAAAAAAAAAAAAAAAAAGACTTACCAATTTAAATAATTTTTTATTTTTTTTTTTTTTTTTTTTTGCTAAGCATTCAAGACGGATACGGATATTAGCGGAAAAGGTGAAATCAAAGAACGTGAATTACATAAATGGAATCCAGAATTACCCGAAAGTGTATTTGAATCATTGGAAGGTGAATTGGAATCAAATAACGATGGTGGTTCTTGGGATCAATTTGCTGCAAATGAAAAGTTATTTGGATTAAAAACTGATTTTGATGAAGAATTATATACAACTCGATTGGATAGATCAGCACCAGATTTCAAAGATCGTGAAAAATGGGCTATTGAAAAAGCAAATGAAATTCAAAGGGTAAAAAAAAAAAATTTATTAAGTTTATATATTCTCATTTTTGTTTTTATAGTCAACAACAAATAATCCTCATATGCTTGAAGAACGCAATATTACAGTGGCCGATGATAGTGGTATGGATGAAGAAGATCGTTATGGTGCAGTTGTACGTGATGTCAATCCCAATGTGTATATCCCTCCTGCTCTTCGCAAACAATTACAACAACAAAAACCTCAAGATCAAACTGGAAGTTTCTCCAACTTACCTCCTGATAGTCCACTTCATAAATTGACTACTGGTACTTTGACCAATACCTCTGCTCGTAATGAACCTGGCAAAAAGGTAAGAGAAATAAAAAAAAAAAAAAGAAGAACTAATTTTTCATTTTATATGATAGAAATCAACTGAAAAACAAGCAGCACCCAAACGCATTGAATCCGAAATTGCTAATACATTCCGACAATTTGCCATGCTCGAAAAGGATAAACTACAAGCCAAACGACAAGCATTACACAAAAAAGAACAAAGTGATCGATTGGCAGATTTAGTGAAATTTCATCAAACATTCAAGCTCAACGTCCCAGTTCCGCCTGATTTGTTGCCATTGTTGGCCAAAGGAAAAAAATCACCCACTTCTTCTTCCGCTACTGGTTCTGAACCTAGTGAAAAATCTTCTTCTTCTCCTGATACTACTCCTCAAGCAACAAAGGCACCATCTTCTCCTTCTAAGACTGATACCAATGACAAGAAACCTTCTTTCAGGTTCAATATCAAAGCATCTGAATTCAAACCCAATGCTGCTGCTTCCGTATTTGTACCTGTAAGTGAACATAAAAAAAAGAAAATCTTTGTGTGTTCATTTTTATTTTATTTTATTTTTTTTTTTTGGAAGGGTGGAAAATTGACAACTAGTACGGATGATACAAATACATTTGCTGGTCGATCATTGAAAAAGGGTAATTTGAATGATCCTGTCACTATTGATGAAGTGTTCAAAGCACCATTCACAAAAGGAAAATATAAAAAACCAAACACTATTGGTAAGTATATCAAAAATAAAAGCGATGATATGATGTTGACCCTACTTTATCATAGGTCCCACTTGGCCATATGGTTCAGGTCAATATAGACACCAATTCCATCAATACAGTGAATATTCTGAAGGCGTCTTTACTGGTTATCCTGCTCCTGCTTATGGTTATGGTTATCCTCAATATCGTTATCATCAGGTACTTTATAAAAAAGGAAAATGTAGAGCTTTTTTTTTTCTTACTTTTTTTAATCATAGCAATATGTTCCTGGTATGTCAGCTATTCCAGTCCAACAACAAAATGTTTCTTATATGAGTCCACAGGTATATAATTGATATTTTTTTATTTATTTATTTATCCTAACAACACTTTTTTTTTTTCTTTTTTTTTTTAGTTTGTGCCCAATGTACCAATCACAGCTGCTCCCATGCATCATGGTGGTGGTTATAGTCCACAAATGCCTAATGGTTCACCTCGTAAGTTTTAACTTTATCTTTAATGTACAAAAGATGTAATCTTTATTTTGAAATTAGATGGATCACCATTTCCTCAAGGTTTTTCTTCTCCTCAAAGATCACCTATGCCACCTCCTAATGGTGCTCCTCCTCAAGTTTATCAATATCAAGGCAATCCTTCACCAGGTAATTTCTAAAAAAAAAAAAAAAAAAAAAAATCATATTCATCTTTTTTTTTATATAGGTGGATCCATGCCAGTACGCTATACACCTGATATGATGACACCTCCTTCGGGAACACCAGTGATGATGCAACAACAACGTCCTGTCATGGCAGATCATCCTAGTCCTTCACATTATTCTCCTGGTCCTCCTCCTCCAATGAATCGACCTCATGAACAAATGAACTCTCGTATGTGAATATCAATATGAATCAAATCTCTTTTTCTAATCTTTTTTTTTTTATTTTTCTTAGCTTCTCAAACTGATTCTCCTACTGAAACTTGATTTGTTTTTATCCCCCTGTGTTTTCGTCTTTTTTTTACCTTTTTTTTTTTTTCTGCTGCTCTCTCTCTCTCTATTCCATCTTATTTTTTTTTTTTTTTTTTACGTTCTGTTTCCTCGTCTTCAATCCCTCACCAATACTTACATTTCCCATTTCTTGTATTATCTTTTTTTTGCGGAATAAAAGAAATAAATCAAAAGAATGCACACTATGATTTTTTTTTTCAATATATCAATGGTCTGACTTTTAACAAAATCCAAAAAGTAACAATTCTTTCCATCTGCATTTTTTTTTATTATGGCTCTCTCTGCATTACTTTCTGAATTATCATTACGGTATAAAGGTATCTTTGATGAATCTTGGTACCTTGTAGCTGTAAGTTATATTTTTTTTATTTATTTATTTCTGTTAAAAAGAGTATATATTTGATGTGTTCAATGTAGGCGGTGGTCATGACAACATTGAATCAATCTCAAGATATTCCAATTCTCTATCAACATGTAGATAATCAAGTGGATGTGGCATTACGATTGAAGGATGGCATTTTCAAAAGTGTGCCTATTATTGGATTTCCCAAAGTGATCAATGCTCTGACTCAACTTCATACATCACTTCCTTTCCATGTACAACAACAATTACCTAGCCATTCACAAAGGTATATATATATCATTGATTTTTTTTTCCACTCACTTTTTTTTTTTTTATGATAGATGTATGATGGGAAGGACGGAACGACGAGAAAGAGGAGAAATATTGTTCAACACTATTTATGAACGACATGCAACACGAGTCAAAACGCAATTGAAGGAAGCTTACCCTGATCTTGGTCAAGTGGTGTTGGATGATGCTTATGGCACGATCTTATCAGATACTCAGTATGTAAGTGCTTTGGATACAAGTTTCATTGTCATTGCTGCATTGATGGTACAAGATTTACCCCAACAGCTCAAGGGCCATTATTATGGTGCGTTTCATCTTGGTGCTTCCGATCTTCAATTGGTTCATGTCCAATCCATTGTTCAAAGTCTCTCTGCTTTTTATCATCATACCACTTATTGTACTTTACCCATCAAAAAATAGTTTGTTTTTTTTAGTATACAAAAATGATTGTTTTATTATTTGTGAATAAATAAAGTAAAATAACTAATTTATAATGGGTTCCAAATGGCGGAAAAGGGAAGTTTGTTATATGGTAATAAAATAAAAGATAAAGTGGAGGGAAGACTATTCTGAGCAAAAAGACGAGAAGCCGAGACGGAAACAAGACCTTTGAGTTTGGCATAAGTACGTAAAAAATCCGCCACTTCAGCACGACGAGCGACGATGTATTCAGTGACAGACCGAGGAAGTGGGACGGAATAATCAAGTTGTTCATGAATCGGGTGTAATGCTTGACATATTTCTTGAGCAGTAGGTCGATGTTGAGGTAAAGGTTCCAAACAAGCCACATAAAGATTCGTATACCATGAAGGCACACCAGGAACTGGATCAATTCGATAGACATGAGATTCAGGTCTTCGCCATCGTCTTTGTTCTTTCTTTCTATCATCATCATCATCACCATCATCATCATGATTGTTTTTATAGTTGTGGCCTTCCAAAAGAACATCAGGTGAAGGAAAAATGACTTTACTGACGAGTTGCCAAATAATAATGCCCAAGCTGTAAATATCTGATTTCTGACTATATTGTCCACGTCGTACTTCGGGAGCCACATAAGGAAGGCGGCCATACACAGCTTTGGTCAATGCCATCACAGAACTGGATTCTTGTGCTACGGTCGAATATCGATAATCCACTAAAAAGTAATCACTGTCCGTACATATAATATTACGAGGATGGACATTATGATGACAAAGTCCTGCATTGTGAAGATCGGCTAGATTGGCAGCAAGACGAAGAATAGTACCAGTAATTGTTTTCAAATCCAAATCGCCCAACGGAAGTAACTGCATATGATCCTCCAAATTACCATCATTGCTGAGTTTCATCACCATCATTAAATCGCCTGTGCTTTCACATACTGTCAATCCATGGAATAACAATGGAGCAAACACTTTGGATTCCACCGAAATCTAAATATAGAAAAAAAAATGAATATTATTTTCCATGTATTTACATATCTATGGAACTTGCCTCGTTGAGTACTTTATCATCCACAATTTTCAAAGCCATTTTTGTAGTTTGTAAAATTTCAAAAGTAGGATTCATATCACAACTATAAACAGCACTAAATCCACCAGCTCCAATAAATATCATGTTGGAAAACCAATTCCATGGGAACCATTGCATATAACCATCCAAATCTTGTTCAAACATATGTCGTACAGCTGTTCTTGCTCTAGGATGAATGGCCATGATCACCTTATCTTTTCCATGTTGTTCTGCTAGATGTTTTATAGATAATTGTTGTCGCCATAAAAGTGTCCAATGCTACTCTTAAAAAAATTAAAATTAAAAAAAAAAATACATTTTTATATTTTATTGAGGTTTACCCAAGTATGGTCGAAATAAACTTGGTTGTTCATATAATGTTGAGTAATATCTTGATACAATTGAGTCATCTTGGCCATCAAAACAGATAATTCTTCTCGAGGTTGGTGAGGATATAAAACGTCAAGAGCAAATGCATGAGGGTAAGTGGAAATATATTCTTGAATAGCACTCTTCGTCATGTAAACCAGTTCGTCAGATAATGTTTGTTTGTAAATGGAATCCAATTCCTGTTCATCCATCGTGAGACGTGTATGGAACAAACGAAAAAGAAAAAGAAAAAGAAAAAGAAAGAAAGAAAGAGAGAAAGAAAAAAAAAAGGAACTTCCCACCAAAAAAAAAAAAATGGGAAAAAGATTGACTCTCCGAACATTTCCCCATATTTTTAATAAACGTTGACCTTAGTTCTTCTGATCAATATTAATAAAGAAGTCTCCTTCCGTGAAAAAAAAATTTTTTTTCTTTACATTATTAACTGACTTGTTATTTCATCGATAAGCCTGAACCTAAACAGAATAATCATGAGATATGAGAACCTGAATGTGATAAGGACAAGAAAAAAAAAAAGTTAAAGATCCTACTATCTTATCCTTACATATCTTTAGACTGTTTCCTTGGTGATACGTTCTATCTGTATGTTCCATATTCCTTTATTTATTCACCTATTTTTTTTCTCTTTGTACTGTCATGATGATGTATCTCGATACCAGTCATCTTGACTATAGTAATTATTTTATTATAATAGAACCATTGTTCTTTTTTTATTTTTCAACGGGCGAAACGGTACGGAAGATTTCATCCCCACATTTTCCCTTTTTGTGCAACGAGGTAAAAAAAAAAAAAGAGAGGGTCATCCAAAAAAGGAAAGTCAAGATAAATAAACTGATCATGATTATTTATTATTTATTATTGATTAACGTATTTGATAATCACATATATAAAGTGAATGGGCTGGGGGTAAAAATATACTGGATGGGGATATGTATATAAGAACGAAAGTGAGGATAAAAACATGAGATAAAGTGTGTAAATAATATGTATATAATATGTATAAAGGGGGAGGATAAGAACATATATAAAAAAAAAAAAAAGGAGAGAGGGATGATAGGGACTAATAAGAAAAAAAAAATTTCATTATTGCAACATGGAAGTATCCATACCAAGTTCAAATGCCCGTTGTTTCATATAAGTATACATTTTATATTGTAGATCCAACAGAGGAGTATCATTTTTATCATGAATGAAGGATGTTTCACCAAGATACATCTGAACACCTACAATCAATCGCAATAATGCAGAATCGTCATGTTCTTCTTCTTCATCCATATCATCATCACCAACTTCATGATCCACGTCGTATAATTCTTCTTCTTCTTCTTCTTCCCACATCATTTCATTATCTTGTTCTATGGATGGATCATCATAGAGTGCTTGATACATTTGATCATATTGAGCAAAATCATTAGCTTCTTGAGCTTGCATCATATGAATTTCATCACTAGTATCATCCATAGAAGAATAATAATAATTGATATCCTCTGTCATACCGTTGTTGTATTCATTCATCATCATCAATAACGGTCGTATATATATTTTATTCTTTCTTTTGCGAATGGATCTCTTCTATGATGGTCTACTGAATAGAAGATCACAAAAGAAAAAAAAAAAAGAGGATGTAGGAAAGAGAAGAGGAGAGAGAGAGAGAGAAAAAAAAAAAGGAAAAGTGATAAAGTGGAAAAAGAATGTAAAAAAAAAAAAAAAAAACTTGACCTCCTTTTTAAACCAAAAAAAAATATATATAATTTTCAGGTCTGTGTAACAATAATGTTATCCATGCGCATATTACTCTATATGGATTGTTTTGATACCAAGTATAGTTATAGTCATGAGATTTCTCACAGTAAAGCGTTCAAATTGTAATAATGATTTATTTATTTATTTCATTTTTTCTGGTTTTGAAATAGGATATATATGTATATATATATAAAAGAGAGATACACGAATGATTTGAGAGGTATGATAATGAACACAAATGATATAAGGGAGATTGGAATATATATATAATATATAGGAAAAAAATGTATAAAGAAAGGAATGCTATGTTACAAGGATTGGGATGGGGTTGAAATAACTACAAAAAAGAAAGAAAAAAAAGTAATACAACTAGTAATGAGCTTTGCCAACAGGTTCCACAGGGAAGTCTTCCAAATTTCGAAGTCTTTCATGCTGATTGGTTCGTCGCAATCGAGTTGCATAAGCACTGATCACACATGCAAAGTATAACTACAGAAAACAAAAAAAAGAAAAATGACGTTAATAAGGCTATAACAATCCAACACAATTGATTTCTTTTCGTTACCTGAATCAGATTGCCAACAAACACACCTATACCCATACCAATAAGAAGATTTCGCATACTAGAGGAACAAATTTCATCCGCTTGTGCCTTGGGATAATTGTAAGTGGTGAGTTCTCCATTATAAGTACCAGGATGTTGAAGTATGTCGGAACACACAGCCACGGTTTCATCACGATTCACCATAGACGCGATCCATAATCCAACTGACAATATCAACATAAGAATTGCCATCAACCAATACAATACTTTAAAAATATTGGTCATGCCTCGATTTTTCTAGAAGAAAAAAAAAAAAGGTTCAATCACACATCATCATTGATCTTTCTTTATTCACTTACAGCTAGACCACCAACAATACCAAAGATAGAACTAAGAGTATACAAAATAGATAAACCAAAGAGGATCCAATAACCAATGATGATACGTTCACTATATTCAGGATTGAGAAGGGCTAAAAGAAAAAAAAAATCAAGATATGAGCTATTTTTGATCTGTCACTTTGTTTTTTTGATTTGAACTTACATCCTTTACCCACCAATAAACAAACAAGAGTGGCAATATAAAAGAGCTACAAGAAAAAAAATAATGACAAGTCAATACAACTAGAAACAAGGATTCAAAAAAAAAAAAAAAAGGAAAACCTTACAGCAGAAAGTGTGGCAATGATCAATACACCAGCCCTAGAAAAAAAAGAAGTTAGTAATGCGTTTGACATGAAGTTTTTCTTTTTTTTCTTTTTCTTTGTAAAGTGTACCTAATAGGAATACAACAACAACAAGTATTATTGGCCATGATGTAAAAGAAAAAAAAAAGATTTGACACAAAGAAAAGAGAAAAAAAAAAAGCAGAAATCCAGGTAAAAGAAAAAGAAAAAAAAGGAACTTATGGACTTTTAAATCTTTTTTTCTATTCAAAGCAATGCTGGGCTTTGAAAAAGGGCGGAAATCTTTTTTTTTTAAAACACTAGTTCACTGAAGCCTCATCGTGTAACCTTATTCCTCTCCCAAGTTTAGATCTATGACCGTTAAGCATAAGATAGAATTTCCAAAAATACATTTTCCTTTTTAGTTTTGTTTTTGTCTTTGCCAAGCCGTAACTTGATAGTTTTTTTCCATCTTGATGGTAACAAAAATGGGAACAATGCTTTCTACAAAAGGGTAATGCTCAATTTGAATGTCAGTAAAGGAGATCCATTTCTTTCCCATCCACTCCTTCTCTTAGAAGAAACGTGGTATGCATAAAACCAAAACCTTTTAATTCTTTTTTTTTTTTCTATGGATTCCTCTCTCGCTTTTCTCTCTCTCTCTCTCTCTCTCTCTCTCTCTCTCTCTCTCTCTCTCATCCTCCTTTTTTTTTTTTAATTCTTTCATTCATATTTTTTTTATTCACTTTTTCTTCATAATAAAGAAAATAGTAAGTATCATAAATAAACATTTCACTTGAATTGATTCTTAATGTGATATATATATATATATATATATATATAGAAATCATCTCATGGATTCAAGTACTGGGACTGATTCATCTCTTCAACCAACTGATACTTCGACAGATACTACCACTCCAAGTAAATAAAGGAATCTCTATTTTTATATATAATATAAAAATAAAAATAAAAAGAGTTTTCTCACCATGTTTGTATTCTCATAGGTGACACAACTACTCCAACGCCAACCACTTTCACTAGTACCGCTTCTGAAGCATCATCATCATTATCATCTACAGATTCATCATCATTACCATCATCATTGTCTTCTACTGATGCATTACCATCATCCACTGATTCATCATCAACATCATCATCATTATCATCATTATCATCATTATCATCTACGGATACTGTTCTTTCCACTACGATCACCAGTATCACCAGTCTAGCCGATCCTACCACAACAATAGTTGCAACTCTTCCAACAACATCTCCAGCAACAAACACAGCAACCCCAGTCGTATCACAGCAACAACAACAACAGTTGAATGGAGGCAGTATTGCTGGTGCTGTGATAGGATCCCTGATAGGTGTAGCTTTGATAATAGGTGGATTGATATTTTGGATCCGACGACGACGACATCGACATCAAGAAGATTTGGAAGTGTTTCACCCTGATAGCGGATCGGAAGATGGCATTCGATCATCTACTTCTTATATGGTCAATCATAATAGTAGGTCTTTTGGTTTCAGTCGATCTCCTCCTCCTCCACCTTTACATCAATATGATGAAAAAACAGCAGTAGAATCTTATCCTTAATATATATATAATCATTATTACATTGATGAATAAAGACACTATAATTTCTTTTTCCATTGTTTTTTATTTCAAATATACATATAGAAGGAATAAACTCAATTTCTAAAAAATAATGTCTTCTTCTTCATGATCCAGTATATCAATTTGTCCACTTTCATGAGCTGTTTGCAAAATAGGTGCTATAAAAAAAAAAGAGGTCATTAAAAAAAAACCCCTAATCATTCTTTATCATCACTCTTCTTACCTTCTTGATCACCTTCTTCAGCTTGAGCTTTGGCTAACAATCGTTCATCTTCTTCAATAGCAGCTCTTTCCTTCTTCTTTCCTTGTACTTTCTTCAATCTACAAAAAATAAAGGCAAGGTAAATTTCTATTTTTAGTCATGTTGTTTCTTCTCCTTACCTGAAGAATTCTTCTCTGTCTTGTTCATCCAATTCAGAAATGATATATTTGATGGTATTTTCATAACGAGGAATAATCACATGTTCAATAGCATTGACACGACGATTAGTGGCCTTGATCACTTCATCAAGAATTACAAATGCAGTCTATTAAAAAAAAAAGAGTTGATGATGATTGACATTTGTGATAAACCCTATTTTTTACCTGTAAACTAGCCAATTCTATCAATGTTTCCACAGCTTTGGCATATACTTCTTTAGCTCTTTGGATTTGTTGACCACCACGACCCAATCCAGTGAATTCAAATGCTACATAAAAAAAAAAATGAATATCTTTTCATAGTTATCCTCCTATCTTTTTACCATTGCCTCCTTCAGAATACATTTCAAAAACAGGAAGCATTACACCAGATACATTTTCTTGTTTGGCACGAACACGTAATTGAGCGGTCTTTGAGGCTTCTTGAATTTGATAACTATTATTAAAAAAAAATCAATATCCCTCTCACCAATTAATACATTATTCTTACCTAATATCACCAGTGATATATTGCACTTCAGCTAGAGAAAATGAAGCTTGTTGCATAACTTGACCCATTTTACGTTTGAGCTATAAAAAAGGATTAGAATTGACAACTATTATTTTCAAACTCTTTTTTACCTCGTCAATCTTTTGAGTAATAGTCCTGAAACGTTTGGTAAGAGCTTCAGCCTTACGCTTCAATAGAGAATGACCGGTTTGGGCTCCCTTTAACTTTTGCTTCATGGTGGTCAATGCCCTAAATAAATGAAAATGAAAGAAAAAAAAAGTGAGATTGATAGAAGGATGAAGTAGGATGAGTATAGTACGAAACAATTGAGGAGTAATAAATAACAAAAAAAAAGAAGTTTAAAGAAGATGATAAACTTTACATTCGAGTTGGGAAAATACTAATGCGTTGATTAGAACCAGACATTGTTTTTTTTTTTTACTATTCAATCGTTTGATAATAATAATAAAGAAGAGGAAATAGAAAAAGAAAAAGGAAAAAGAAAAAGGAAAAGAAAAAGAAATGTATCAAAAGAAAAAAATTGAAAACAATTGTATCATCCCCATTGAAACTATTGAATGTCCGCGTGCTTTTTTCTTTCTTGGTTTTACAGTATGAAATTATAATTTATTCATTATTATCATCAATAAAAAGAAATCATGATATATCAATGGATTGATTGAATAAGAAATAATATGAACAAAGAAGAATTGATCTGATTACTTTACACTAACTGACAGAACCAAGAAATACAGTCGGCAATTTAAATGAAATCTCTTCTTTTTTTTCTTTAATTTCTTTTTCCTTTTCCTTTTCCTTTTTCTTTTTTTTTTTTTTCTTTCTTTTCTCTTTTTCAATATTCTCTCTTTTCTTTTTCTTTTCTCTCATGACATTTGGTAACGACTTGCAAGTAAGTATATCATTTATTGTTTTATTTCTTATCAATTCTTTTCTTCTTCTTCTTCTTCTTCTCTGACAGATTCGTTCCTTCCCTTTTCTTTTTATATGTATATTATAGGATCAAATTCCGGCAATAAACGATTATGTTGGTGAAGGACTTCAGTCTTTGAATCAATTTCGGAACTTTGTAAGAGATAAAAGTCATCTCGAAAGGGAATATGCTCAAAAAATGGAACACTTGGCAAAGAAATATAAGACTGCCAAGAAACAAACATTGGACACCACAACTATCTCGACAAACGACGATATGGAATGGGATGACTCTACAAGGTATAAACAAAATTAAAAAAAAATAAGGATAAATAATATATTTATCTTTTGTTGAAAGTACTTCTGCTTTAGCTTGGCATTCTTTATTACACCAAACAGAACTACTGGCGAAATCAAGATATCAATTAGTGGAGGATTTAAATAATTCAATTACTGAACCTGCCAAAGCTACCATGACAAGAAAAGAAGAAGCCAAGAAAAAGGTAAATATAAGTACTATTATTACTACTACTGACGAATTTTTTTTTTTTTTGCTTATAGCATATTGCCTTCTTTCATAAACTCAAAAGTGAAAGGGATAAGACATATTTGGATAAGGATAAAGCAAAACAAGCATATGATGATGCATGTTCAGAAATCGAATCTGTCCGGATCAAATTAAATAAACCAACTGGGGATAACGAAAAGGTAATAAAGAAACCAATGTCATTATTTGAAACTAAAAAAACTTGTTTTTTTTTTTTTATAGTTACAACGACAACTCGATCACGCTATCTTGGAATGCAATAACAAAAAGGTAATGATGAAGTATATATATATAGTAAGACCTAACTCTCTATTTTGTATATATAATATTGTTAATAGAATAGTTATTTATTGGCCTTGGCTGTGGCAAATGCAGAACGAACAAAATACTTTGAAGTTGATATTCCTTCGCTAGCAGACGTAAGTTTATCAAAAAAAGAAAGAATAACAAGACTTATCTTTTTTTTTTCTTTTCTACACTATAGAATTTACAAGACCTTGATGCTACTCGTGTGCTGGCCATGCGTGATCTTTATGCTAAATATGTCAACATAGAACTCCAGGCCTTGGCGAAATCTCAAAACTATTATGATACTGCCATGATGGATATTAGCAAGATGGACCCTGAAGTAGATGAAAACCTGTTTGTAAGGGATGCCCTTGGATCAACCACCAATAATAACAATAACACTGAATTTACTTTCCTCCCCTGGACTGGTGCTTCTATAGATTCTACGACGATTGATACTGTAAGTTGGGAAAAATTCTTTCAAACATATATGTTCTCATATTACATTTCAAACAATAGGATGATAGTCTCGTCATCAGTGATTCGTCCATCATATTCCTCAACAATAAATTGGTCAAGGATAGAAAGAGATTGGATACCATTGGAGATGAACTATCTAAACGATCAAAAGATTTAGCTGATATGGATACATATGTACGGTCAATCACGGATAAAGCACAACCCGAATATGACGTTGCTAGAGAGGTAAAATGAAATATATATGTATATCATTCATGATACTGATATTATTTGTTTTGTATGGTAGCAATTAATGGATTTGTCGAGGGAAATGACGATATTGGCAACACAGAAAGCTCGAGTCAAAAGTGAAATTGATGTGATCATTCATTGTATAGGAGGTAAATATTATTCATGATAAGAATAATGATTTGATTCTTTTTTTTTTTTTTTTTTTTTTTTTTTGGTGGGATAGATGATGGACTTTCCGCTCAAATACATGATTTCAAACCCTCTTCTTTTACTATACCTACAACTTGTGACTATTGCAAAAGTACTATTTGGGGTCTGTCGAAACAAGGAATGACATGCAAAGGTAAATATTACTATTATTTATTATTATAATAGTTGACTTTTCTTTTTTTTTTTTCCTTCTTCTTTAGTTTGTGGGTTCAACTGTCATGCCAAATGTGAAATGAAAGTAGCACCCAATTGTTCTGGTGTTCGAGGGAAAATCAATCAACAACCATCTTCCAGTAATATTTCCATCATGTCCAGTGCACCTCGTCATTCTACTAGCAGCAACCGATCTTTCCTATCAACCACCCCAACCACTCCTATCACAGCAACTATGCCTACTACTACTACTACTAGTACATCTCTTTTGGAGGCTCTTTATTATTATGAAGCACAGAATGACGATGAACTCACTATTATGGAAGGTGATCGTTTGACTATTGTGGAAGATTGTAAGTAAAATAGAAATGATTTGTCATTGATGTTTCTCATCTTAATTTATTTTATCAGCCGGTGATGGATGGATCAAAGTACGTCGAGGCAACGATATTGGCGTGATTCCAGCAAATTATGTCGGTCCCGTCACAACATCTCAAGAAGACAACAATGATCATTCATTGGAAACAACATGCCATGATTCTACACCAGATACTGTTGAACAACCTATCACGGAAACGACTCCAGATTATGTTGTTGCTCTATATGACTTTCAAGCTGTGAATGCTGATGAATTAAATCTACGAGAAGGGGATACCATTCTTGTCACCAAACGTGATGATAGTGGTTGGTGGGAAGGTAAAAGAAAAAAAAAGAAAAGAAAGAAAGAGAGAAAGAAAAAGAAAAGAAATAGAAAACAGATGATGATATCTTACTTTATCCATCTCTTTTTTTTTTTTTTTTTTTTTATTATCATTACTATACTTAGGGGTTTTGAATGGAACGCCAGGTATCTTTCCTGCAAACTATGTTGGTACCAAATAGGACATGATGAAACACATAGATAGCGTAGATTTGATAGTCTATTATGTATATTTATATATATATATATACAGTATACCTTTGTGATTTTTTTTTCTTTTTTTTACAACAAATGAAATAAAATGAATGATTATTTACAATGAATCTTTTCTTCTCTTTTTATTTGATGGATTATTCTGCGTATTAAAAAAAAAAAGTTGAATGAACTATATAATATATATTCCCGATCGTTTGGTTTAGATAAATACAGAGAATATCAACATCTAATTCCATTTTTGGATATTACCTTTCAAATCGTCTGTACAATCTTGTCTGTACAATCTTGAATTATTCTTTCATTCAATTATCTTTTTTTTCTTTCCCCCTCTTTTTTTCTTTTTCAAATCCTTTTCCCTCTTTGTTTGAAAAATATATCCAACTTTTATTTTTTATTTAGTACAAATATCTTATTTAAAATAAAATCATATTGGCCACTCTTTAGGAATCTACCATTAATTTCAAATTCCGTATTTCTTATTTTATTTTTTTAGATATGCGGTAATTTTTTTTTTGTTTTCTTTTTATTTCTTTCCTTTCTTTATAACAATTTTAGTTATAGTATATCAATTACTAGTCTTTAGCAGTTATATTTTTATTCCAACTACTTTGTTACACGTCAATGTATTACATTCCATCTTACGATGTATTTTTTGTTCTTTATTTGTGAATGCATTCTTTATTTTTATTTTATGGATATGGTTACGAAATACACTGATACGACACTTTTATTCTTTTTTTTTTTTTATAAAAGAACTGGTGCTCACTACGAACTTATAATCATTGATATAAATATTTTTTTTATATCAACCATCCATCTCACATGTTACTGAAATCATTGATCTCAATTAAGTTTTTCTGGAATTAAAAAAAAAAAAAAATTTATACTGACTCAACTTTGAACCACTTTCACTTGACCCAACTTTGAACCACTTATACTGACCCAACTTTGAACCACTTTCACTTGACCCAACTTCGAACCACTTATATTTAACTTAGAATCAGTGACTTTATTAATTTTTTTATATAAATAACCTCCCCTTTCCACCTCCTTCTGGGAGGATGTCAATCTTTTATTATATTTTTTATAAATAAAAAAAAGGTTTTTCTTTTTTAAACCAAAATTACGTATATTGTCTTGGCCACTCTCTTAGAAAATCATCTAAGGTTTTACCATCTTATCTTTTAATCATCCTGATTTATTTTTAATCATCAAGTCTTTTTACAAGATAAATCACCTCTTTTTAATCATCATCAAGAAAAATCATACATCTCTTCCTGTTTCCTTATTTGGACAACTTTATCAAATCATCTTTTTATTAATATTTGTTCTCACTACGAACTTATAAACATTGATATAATTATTTTATTTATATCATCCATCCATCTCACATCTTATCATCATCCGTTAAGAATAATGTTGACAACGAAATTTACTGTGGAGATTAAAAAAAAAAAAAAATATATTTTTTTTTTCTTTCTTCTCACCATTTCACCAATTCTCACCATTTCACCAATTCTCACCATTTCACCAATTCTCACCATTTCTCCAGTTCTCATCATTTTGCCCGTTCTCACCAATTTTATTTTTTTTTTTTTTTGGTTTGACTTAGGTTTTTTTTTTATTATAAATAGCACTTAGTTATTATGATATTTTTTTTACTTTGTCAAAACAGATCTTTATTTTTTTTAATAAACATAAAAAGATTCATAAATCAAACTATCTTGACCACTCTTAAGGAATTAATCATCCTAAGTTTTATTATTATTTTATTATTTTATTATCAAACTACAATCAAGTTATTATTATTTTATTGATCATCATCAATTGTGATCAAATAATCAAGTCATTTATTTCTATATTTGGAATATACATTTAAATCTACTTTATACTGTTTTGTTCTCTTTTATAAAAAGGAACTGGTGCTCACTAACAAACAATCATCAACAATATTATTATATTAATAATAATATTCATCAATTATATAAATCGATCATCCACTGAAAAACAAAAAAATCCCTAACAATAAAAAAAAATCTTAACGCACTTAACAATTGCCTAACAGTTGGATAATTTTTTACCCGGACGACAGTCCCAAAAAAAAGAGAGATGCCAGGACTGAGAATCGAACTCAGGTCAGTGCGGCCACAACGCAATGTACTGCCACTATACTATCCTGGCACTGGACTGACGCTGGGACCAGAAACATCATTATAAACCCAATCGTCGGAGAATGAAAAGTTTGTTCACCTTTCTTCATCACAGTGCTTAAATAAGGTTTGTCTACTCAAAAGTTTATTCAATTTACCTGAGGAACTAGACTATAGTACCATGTGAGCAATATGATTGGATGATGAATAGCCGTGTTGTCCCTGTATTTGCCGTGTACACAAATATCATGTCATATATACTACAATACTCATCATGGCCATGTATTCGCGTATCACTTTTCATTGGGCCATATTTCTTACGTATCAACAATATCAAATTTATTGGTAAAAATAATAAAAAAAAAAAAAAAAGAAAAAAAAAAAAGGAAAGAAAAAAAAAAGAAAAAAATGACAAGAAAAAAAAAAGAAAAGAAAAAAAAAGAAAGAAAAAAAAAAGAAAAGAAAAAAAAAAGAAAGAAAAAAAAAAGAAAAGAAAAAAAAAAGAAAGAAAAAAAAAAAAAAGAAAAAAAGCAAAGAAAAAACGACATGATACATTACATTTCTACAGTATCACAGTCCATACTACATTCTAATTACTTTCTATAACCACATACCATACTACATTCCATAGTACATTCTAAACTACATTCTATAATCACATTCCAACCATATTCCATACTACATTCCAATACTACATTCCAATACTACATTCCAATACTACTAGATTATAATCTTCATCACCAATAGGACCAAATAGAAAGGATGACAGATAGAGAAAGTGATGATAAAAAAGAATGATATGAAAGTACAAGAAGGGACAAAGTGGACAAAAGCAGAATGACAAAAGAATCCAGACGATCAGAAAACAGGATGGAAGAACTTGACGAGCAGAGGTAAGTGATTAAAACAGACAATGGAAGAATACTACAAAAAAAAAAAAGAAGAATATCAGTACAAAAATATCCATTCGGTAACATTTCATTTTATGCATTACGCCGAAAAAAAAAAGAAAGTTAGAGTACGAATGACGACCACCAACAAAAGAATTCAAGGGTTCAATAAAAGCGTTCCATTTGATCCAAAAAAAAAAGACCACTTTACTGGATCCTAGAGTTGGTTTTTTTTTTCTCGTATGATCCTTTTATTAAAAGCATTGATATTAAAAAAAAAAAAAAAGGAGTGTCATGATGTGGGAAAGAAAACGGAAAGAAAGAGGAGTCCATCATGAATTCCCTCAAAAATATTCTCATTCAAAATTTCAAGCCCGCTTGCCTTTTTTTTTTTTTTAAGGTGTCATACATACTCATATATATACATTCAACCCATTGTGTGTTTGTGAGGAAATGAAAAATCAATTCAAAAAAAAAAAAAAAAAAGGGTATCCCTGGTCAGAATCAAGTCATGAGGTAATAATGAAGAGTCAACATTGGTTGAAAAGAAAAATAGAAATTCTTTTTTTTTTATTTTTTTTTTATTATCATGAACAACATCAGTCAGTAACACCGATCTCCAGATTTTTTAGTGGGGATGATTAGGTTATTATTAATGCAAAAATGATGTACCGAGACCGTTCTAATATGATAAGCCAAGGCGGACTCGTAGATACACATCTCCGCTATAGAAACGGTGGTTGTTTCCGATCCAATGAAATAAACAAATTATATAGTACAAGTGATCTTATCACCTTTTTTTTTTTATTTTTTATTTACGGAGTTACTATAAATCTGTTATCAGTACTATGACAACCCTGCATTCATTAAAAAAAAAAAAAAAAAAAAATTGAACCCTTATCAAAACATCCCATTTTTTTTTCTGGATTTTCCCATTTTTTCCATCCTCTTCCCTTTTTTTTTTTGTTTATATTTCCTTTTTTTTTTCTTTTCTCTTTTTTTTTTCTTTTCCCGTATTCTATCTTTAGAAATCATGTCATCACCACATCGACCTTATGATTGTCCATTATGTCCTAAATCTTTTTTTCGTTTAGAACATCGTAATCGACATATTAGAACACATACAGGAGAAAAACCACATGCTTGTACATGGCCAGGTTGTGAAAAACGATTTTCAAGATCGGATGAATTAACTCGTCATCAACGTATTCATCGAGGTGGTAAAATCAAAAGTGCACCTGCTAGTCCTTCTTTACCAAGCATGTCGTATGACAAATTTTTACCAACCCCACCGGATCTTTCCCCCGTATTAACTCCTCATGTAGTGGATGTTACTTTACCACCCTTGATGTTCATCACATCTCCATATCCTGCTTCAAGGCCGAAGAATGATACCAATGTTGATGATGATGTTGTCCCTATACCAAAAGCCACTTATGATTTGAAATCTTTCCATTTACCCCAATCTGCTAAACCTTCTCCTACCTCTATTCAATTCCTATTAGATGCTTGATTCCCCCTCTTTCTTTCTTTACATAATAAACATTGATATATATATATATATATAAAAGAAGATCGCTTTTATTACAAAAAGAAAGAAAGTAAAAATAAATAATATAATGTACATGGTAAATAATAAACAAGTAAAATAAAATAAAAAAAAGGGAAGAAACGAAAGTAAAAAAAAAAAAAAAAGAATCATGATAATATATATTTCTAAGGGGAAAGTATGTAAAATAATAAAAAAGGCATATACATATATATCATCTAAATGTCACCAAAAAGATTTGTGTCCACTTTGTAAAAATCACCAGATGTTGCATTGTTTATCAAACCTTTTTTGTCATCAGTACCAGAATGATGAGGTGATGAAGAAATATGATTGATGGATGATGATCGATAAAGAGATTTGCGGTCTTTGGAAGAAACCATGGTACCATCAGGATGAAACCAATAATCAGTGATGAATTTTTGTCGTAATTCCGATACAAGTCTTGATGTTGATGATGTTGATGTTGAATCCCATTTGATTGTTTGATCCCATTTTCCTGAACTTAATCCTGTGATGAATTCATCCCATTCATTGTTGGTAAAAGTCAAATGTAATTTGGATCCACTAAGTTCTTTGGTCATCAATAAGACACCTTGACCTACGACTTTGGTCAATTGCATCATTCGTTCACCCACCACAATATTTCGTCGAAAGGCTGCCCAATTTGTTTCTGTCAATAAAGGTTCAATCCAATTGCGATAAGCTTTCATATTGGCGTTCCTTTCTCTGTCCTTATCCCTTTCCATACCATCAAGATTGAAATCATCTTCTGGGATTTTCACCACATCGTTGGGAAATAAATGAGCAAATGTCTTTTGGAATTGTTCAAATGCCATATAAAGTCTAAAGTAATCACTATTGTAATAAATACCATTTTGATTCATACCGTTATCAAGATGTGGTTTCATGTTGGAATGACTGGTCAAAATGCGTAATGCTGGTTCCAAATAATCCGCAGCTTGTTCCTTGCTTAATTCTTCCATGGATCCTGGGAATGTTTCTGGTGCTGGTGATCTTTCTATGACAAGTGCAAAATCTACTGGCATCCTTTGTGCTTTTTGTTCCAAATCTTGCATTGTGATACTTCGCATTCGATTAATGATATCATCTCCTACAAGCAAAAAAAAAAAAAAAAAAAAAAAAAAGATAAATAAATAAATAAAAAAAAAAATAAAAAGAAATCCACTTTACGTCGATGTTCAAATTCACCATGTCGATGAGGAATCTTTGGTTTCTTGGTAGGTTGAGGAAGTGGATTGATTTCATAAGGTACACTGGCATCCGTTGAATGTCGTTTTCTTTTTCTCATCAAAGAAGCTTGAGTCAAAATACCTTGTTCAGCATATCGTTGTAATAATACAGGCTCACGAGCAATCCTTCCATCTTGATAATAAAATCCACGTTGTTTGGGTTCCATTAATACTTCGGATTGTGGTAATGATGTAGCTCGTTGATGACCATTGGCATTTAAACCATTGTTTGGTGAAGGGTATCGGTGTAAATCGGTGATACTATGACTACGTTCAAAGGATGAATGTATGGGTATAGCAGGAGATGAGGAAGAAGCTGGATACAACGGTCGAAAATTGGTGTAAGGTCGAACTGTGAAAGGATCAGTTGAAGTATCATCAGATGTAATCGATAGATCGGATGTATTTGTTTGTGCTGGTAAAGGTTGAGGTGGATGTAAAGGTGATGATAAAGGTTGTAAGGCTTGAGGTAAAGTTGAAGAAGAAGAAGTTTGATTGTTGTTTGTCAAAAAAGGAACAGTCAATATTCTTGTTAGAGGAGAAGAGGATGGAATAGAAGATGCCACAGAAGAAGGAGAAGAGACAGAGGAAGGTTCTTGCCATTTGACTTCTTTTTGGTCAATAGATTGTCCAGTACAACAAGAACTATTATTTGGTAATCGTACAGCGTTGATAGTAATATTTGTTGTAGCATCGTCCCGAAAAAGAATCTTATCTTCATGTAAAGGTTTGAAGAACTTGACATGATCACCTAAAGCATAAGACACACAAAATAAAAGTTTGGCTAGTTTATCCGAGTCAGGTTTCTTGCGTAGGACTTGTTTTACAATACGAAATAAATCCAATAAGTCTTCATCAGTAAGAATATCTTCTGCTTGAGGTTGAAAGAGTCTAGTTTCAGTAGCGACAAGTAAACAATTAGGTCGAGTATCGTTTACATTCATTGATTAGAATCTATTCTATTTATATAATAAATATTAATTATACAAATATATATAAAATACAAGTATAATAAGAATAACTAGCTAAAAAAGGAGTTGAATATACCTTGAGAAAAAAAAAAAAAAAGAGAGAGAGAAAACCCCACAAAAATTATATATTTTTTTTTTCTACAACAGCACTAATTTTCACTGGTGTGCTGATTCTCAAAACACCTTTTCACTTCCATTGGTTCTTCTAAAACTTTAAATACACTAAAGATAATATTATTAAAACATTTATACTCATTTTTTTTTATATTATTCAAAATAATAATTAATAATAATAATAATAATGAAAAAGTGTCAATTGTAGATCAAATACAAGTAACAATACATTTGTTATTTCTACTCCGGAGTTTAGATTGTATCTCATCGCGCATCTTTTTTTGGATTTTCTACGTAGTACAGAAAATACGAAGGTTTCGTCGTCTTTTTTTAAGGTCAGACTATAAACACCTTTTGTATGATGGTATGAAGAAAACAATCATGATGAAGATGTCAAAAAAATTTTTTTTGTCCAGTGAATTTGTCAAGGAGAGAGTGATGTTTCTGCTTTTGAACGAAGTAATTCTGATGAGTTTGAGTATAAGATTCCTAAGATTCCTCATGAGATACGAAAGAATCTCATCTGGTATGAATGAAGTGCATCAAAATGGCTGTGATCGCTACGAAATTCAACAAAAAGTATATTCACCCTTTTAGATACATTCTGAAAAAAAATGTTTGGACATCATCTTCATGACCATCGTTTTCTTCATTTCATGGTCGGTTATTGAAAAAAAACATCCATTCGTTAAAGGGTAACTACCCTATAGTCCCTCCCTACCAGTAGTTCTCCGCCCTGAGGAGCGAGAAATTAAAATTACTTTTTTGGATTTTTTATTTTTTTCTTTTCTTTTCTTTTTTTTTTTTTTTCTTTTGATTTATTTCCTTTTTTCATACTTTTTTTTATACCTTTTTTTTTTCTTTTCTTTTTTTTTTTTTTTCTTTTGATTTATTTCCTTTTTTCATACTTTTTTTTATACCTTTTTTTTTTCTTTTCTTCATACTTTTTAATGACCAACCAACATCGAGAACATCAATCTTGTCCATCTCTTTCCCATTATGATGAATCAATATCCTTCAACCAAGAGATTAGATCCCTCCGCATAATTGTGAATCCATCCCAGCAGCAACAGGAACAACAATCGTTTCAAGCACAAGCTAATGTTGACCAAGACCAGCCAGCAGCTTCAACTTCAATTAGGCGAGTTCGTCTCAGACTAGATCCCGTTGAGATTGCCAATTACGATCGACAAAAGGTAAAATGAACACTAAAAAATAAAGTTATTATTTATGCTGACAACCAATTACCTATTTTTTTTTTTTAATTTTTATTATCAGTGGGAAGAACTATTGGGAAAATATAATGATGATATCTGCAAAGGACCGACATGTATTTGTGTATGTTGTGGTGGATTATGGTACCAGGAATCTATGACAATCGCTCGACGATCAAGAGTGTTTGATTATGGCTTCGATGAAGAAGATGTGAATAAGGTAATTTTAAAACACAAAACAAAGCAAATATTAAAAACGCAAAAAAAAAAAAAAAAAAAAAAAAAAAAAACATATGTGCACTTAATGTGATTCACTGACAGTTATTGTTATTGGATTTTTTATATAGATATTTTCGGTTAATGTACCTCATGATGTTGTCTATTTCTGTGCAACATGCATTACAGCCATTAGGAAGAAAAGGATACCAAGATTATGCCTAGCCAATGGACTTCAATTTGCTTCAATTCCAGAACCACTCAACAATCTCACTCGGCTAGAAGAACGACTTGTTGCTGCTAGACATGTATTCCAAACCATATGGTCAGTTTTTGGATCGACTGGACAATATCGTGCAAAAGGCGGAATCGTCAATGTTCCTGCTTCTGTAAATCGCGTTGTGACTGCAATACCTCGACCGTTACAAGATACCAGCATCTACCATGTCCGTTTGGCAAGAAAGATGTCTTTTGCAAGATCATATGTGGAAGGAAACATTCGTCCTGCTGTTGTGCATGAAGCGGCACGTATACTCTGTGAAACAGATCTATATCGAGATCATGGCGTTCAATCGGTGACGGGGCGTGATTGGATGATCTTTTTGGTGACTCTGATGTTGATGATGATGATGATGATGACTCTGGCGATCTGACGGCTTCTGGTGACTCCCCTGCTGACGACGATCAACCTATCAATCCTGGTGGTTCGGAAACTCTGATTACTGGTGATGAAGGTATTCGATTTGCGCCAGCTGAAGGACATAATCCATTGTCAATAGCAACAGATGTTGATAGTGAATACTTGGCATTTCCGTCAATTTTTGGTGGTGCTCGATTACATCCAGCAACAAACGTATCCTACGCTGACATGACAAAGTCCATCATTCGAAGATATGATCGTCGTGGTGCTCGTCGACATGATTACATATTGTTCGCTGACAGAAAACGAATGCTTCTTACCCTTCAAAGCAGCCAAAAAATCATTATACGACAACACTCTATTGAAAATCGACCTATTACTGTCAGCAATTTACTTACCGACAACTTTGTGCCAGATCTTATGGCGAAGGATCAAGCTTTCAAGGTGTTACGTCCAATACGGTCCTCAGCAGAATACTGGAAGAAGCAAAAAATGATTGTGATGGCAAAAATGCGACAATGTGGTGTCCCAACTTTATTTGTCACTCTTTCAGCAGCAGAAACTCAATGGCCCGAACTTCTGGTGATGCTCAAACAAACGGTGGATCAAGTAATCATTACCCATGAACAAGCAGCTACATTGTCTTACAGTGAAAAGGCCAGATTGATTCAAAGCGATCCTGTTACTTGCGCCCGGCATTTTGACAAACGGACTTCAATTTTACGGCAAACATGGAAGGACGAACATGGTCCCTTTAAGGATTATCCGCTTAAATATTGGTATTACAGGGTGGAATTCCAGCATCGTGGGTCGCCGCATTTACATATGTTGCTCTGGTTGAAGGATTCTCCTAATTTGAACTTGGATGAAGCTGCATTGTGTCGTTTTGTGGATCAAATGATTTGTTGCGATGGACTGGGAACTGGAACTATTGACGACGAAATCATCGTACGACAACAACATCATCACACTCGAACCTGCAAGTCCAAAAGGAGACGTGATATCAAGTGTCGCTTCAATATTCCTTTCTTTCCAATGGATAAAACGCGAATCCTGCACCCTCTGGATCAAGATGAAAATACTACTATTGACAAACAAAGATTGAATCAAATTCGTGGGACATTGGAAAACGACAGATTCCTTGAAAACAATACTTCGACTTTCGACGAATTCCTTGGATCACTCAACCTTAATCTGGATCAATATCTTCGCGCAATACGATCTGGAATCAAAAACAAAAAGGTGTTCATACAACGACGTGTGCAAGATATTTATATCAACAACTACAACAAAAAAATATTTGCAATGCATCGCGCAAATATGGACATTCAACTGATTTTGGACGCCTATGCCTGCTGTGAGTATGTGGTTGATTATGTTAACAAAGCGGATCGTGGTCTCAGCAATTTTTTGGATACGCTTTATGAAGAAATGGTGGCCAACAACAAAGAAGTACGGGAAGTTTTGAAATCGGTCGCATCTGGATACTACAATCGTAGCGAAGTCTCGGTACAAGAAGCTGTGTACAATATTCTTCAAATACCAATGTCTGCTTCCTGCACTGGATCAATATATATACCAACTGCCTTGCCTGAAAAAAGAAGACGGATGATGAAGTCGAAAGCTGCCCTGGAAAAACTACACGACAACTCTACTGATTGGTTTCAAAAAAATATATTGGACTACTACTCCCAAAGACCTTTGGAATTGGAACACGTATGTCTAGCTCACTTTGCGGCTTGGTACAAGATCAAAACTACAAAACGAACTGGATCAACAAATCCTGAAAGCAATGATGATTATCGTGGTGACGAAGACAACAATAATGATGATGATGAGAACGTCCCCAATGAAGATCAAGGAACTGTGATGCCTGATGCTACTATGCTGTTGTTGGATGGATCCAAGTCATTACAAAAGCGTGGCTCCCCTTTGATTATACGATACTACCGAGCAAACAAAAATGTGGATAGTGAAGAATACTTTAGAGCGACAGTCATGTTATTTTGGCCTTGGAGGGACGAATCTGTGGAAGTTGTAGATATTGACCATCATGCCGTTTATATGGAAAATCACGACGCAATCAACGAAAATCTCAGTGAATTCAATGCAGTGAATGAGGAAACAATCGACAGTATGATGGAAAACGCCGAACGTGATGCAAGTGACCGGGAAGGAGATGAAGAGGAAGATGAAAATCGACCACTCAACACTGATGAGTTTGATGACTATGAATTTGTGGATGAATTTGAAACGACAACCTCGAACGACAGACCAAGATCATCAACATCAACATCATCAACACCATCCACATACAGTGAACGTTTTACGCCGCCTAATCGATGGTCCATAGATGAATACGAAGCTGTGGTCTCAAAACTCAACGTCGCTCAACGATCATATCTCTATCATGCGCTTGATCATGTTCGTCATCAGCCCGATTCGCCTATGTATCATTTTGTGACAGGTGGAGCAGGAACAGGAAAAAGTATGCTTATAGGGGCCCTATTTCAGTCACTCATTCGAAAGTACGATTCTTCTCTTGACAGGCAGCTCGACAAGCCATGCGTTCTTTTATCAGCACCAACTGGAAAAGCAGCATTCAACATCTCCGGTATGACTCTCCATGGACTTTTTAGTCTTCCGACCAAATTTGTAATGGATGACCTCTCTGGTGATTTACTACAATCAATGCGGGTGAAATTGGCTGACGTGAAGGTACTTATCATTGACGAAATAAGTATGGTTGGGGCAAGAATGCTTAGTTGGATCGACCGAAGAATGCGACAAATATTCGACAACAACGCCATCTTTGGTGGACGCTCTGTAATATTTTTTGGTGACCTCTTACAACTGCCACCAGTGATGGATCGCCCAATATATACAAGATCGTAAGTGTTGTGATTTTGAACAACTATTATAATTGTAGATTATTAACATTTTTTTCTTTTTCTTTCCTTTTTTTTTTTTTTTTTTTTTTTTTTTTTTTTTTAGGATGCGAAACTTAGATGATCTGTTTCAAGGTGATGATGATTTTTTGTGGCAAAACTTCCAGGTGCATAGACTCACTGAAATCATGCGACAACGTGGCGATATCGATTTTATCAACGCTTTGAATCGAATGGCTATTGGTGCTATGACTCAAGAGGACAAAGATCTAATCGGAAAAAGATATGCAGCATCATCACCTGACACCATCAACGACGACGACTGTATTCATCTTTATTATTCCAACCGAAAAGTGGATGCTCAGAACAAAGCGGCGCTGTCAAGTTTGGGAACGCAAAGTTATGTATCTGTTGCAAGTGATGTAGTAAGTGGCACTCCAAGAAACCGCACTTCTCTGACCCAGGCCTTGTTGGCGGTGCAGCAATTACATTATGGAAGGACTTACGGCTTGGCATACGAATTGGATTTACGAATTGGTGGGCGATACATGGTGACTAACAACATCGATACCACGGATGGATTGGTAAATGGAGCGATAGGAATTCTGAAAAAGGTCGATCTTGGTCAACACGTATCGACAGCAGCGTTACATAAGCCTCTCAGAATTTGGATTAAATTTGATGACGAACGATCGGGAAGACTGTGCCGTTCCAGAACTACTTATAGTAACGCCATGGAAAACAATTGGACACCAATCACACCTCTCACGCATCCTCTCGACAAAACTCATGGGCTGAATATTGTACGAACTCAATTCCCTGTTGCCCCTGCGCAAGCAATGACTATCCATAAATCACAAGGTGCTACCTACACAAAAGTGGCTGTTGATTTACCAAGAAACTGTCTTCGATCTGCGAAATATGTGGCTTGCTCCCGAGCGACATCCTTGTCCGGATTATTTTTGATCAATACTCCCTTTGTGGCACCAAAACCTATGGAAGACAACGATCCTTTGAAGATTGAACTTACCAGGCAACAAACTGTGACATTAAAAATGAAATTCGACATTTTGGAAAGACCACGCAGCAACAACGATGTACGATTTATTTTTCATAATGTGCAAAGCTTATTGAAGCATAAGTCTTTGATAACGAACGACGTATGCTACCTTGGATGCGATTTCATTCTTCTCTCAGAGATTTGGCTGCTACAAACCGATGATGTCAATTCTCTCCTTCCTGGATTCAAAATTGGTGCACTGGCTATTCCTGATGGTAGTACAAGAAAGGCGGCAGGTGCTTGTGTTTTTGTCAGGAACTCTCAAGTGGTTACATACAAGTACAATTCATATGAAGAAGGCGATGGATGGTCTATTAGTTTGGCAAGTGTGCTCGTTGATGGCTGTGCAATTGTATCAATATACGCCTCACCAAGATCACATGCTAGTGACATTATTCGATTAGTGAAAGCTTGTTTGACAAATATATCGACATATCAAAATTTTGGCCTCGTCGTGATAGGTGGTGACTTCAATGTGTCGTTCTCAGTGCATGATGGTAACCCCCTGGTGGAAAGTCTTCGTCAAGAAGGTTTATCTCCTGTGCTGCCGCCAAACTATTCAACAACAATTCATTATTCCGCCATTGATCAAGTATTTACAAATGTCTCTCCTTCTCATTATGGCCGTTACTTGTCGGTGGCAAGCTCGCATGATCCAATTTATATCATTTACAACTTAGGTCTCTTAGCTCAAGGTATCTAGCCTACTTTTATTATTATTATTATTATTACAGTATTATTATTATTATTTATTATTGGTGATTATGGTGATTATTGGTGATTATGGTGATTATTGGTGATTATTGGTGATTATTGGTGATTATTGGTGATTATTGGTGATTATTGGTGATTATTGGTGATTATTGGTGATTATTGGTGATTATGGTGATTATGGTGATTATGGTGATTATGGTGATTATGGTGATTATGGTGATTATGGTGATTATGGTGATTATGGTGATTATGGTGATTATGGTGATTATTGGTGATTATGGTGATTATCTTTGTTATTAATAAAGCATAACTTTGATGAATGGCATTTGAAATCAAATCCAGAACCAGCGGTTCCTTTTAGTGACGGTTATTGAAAAAGTAGAAAATCCCCAAAAGCTAGAGTGGACTTCTAGCTTACATCTTCTTTTTTTTTTCTCGGTATCTTTTGTCTCTTTTTGTCTTTTTTTTAACCAAGTATCTTTTATATGAATAAGCTTAATCTTATTAGCCATTGGCGACCTGCTAGTATTCTTGCTACTAATATAGAATCAAAACCTTTTTGTCTTATTGTATTGAATCAACCTTTAACAAGATTAGATCATTTTCAACGTTTATGGAATAATGGTAATAATATATATTTAACACGATCAGTTCTTTTTTTTCTCTTTTAATCATTTTATTTTTTCAAAAACATATAGCTTCATTCAAGTTTGTTGCTGATGGTGGTTCTAATCGTTTATATGATGCTTTTCAACAAGACAAAGACTTATTAGAAAAGTAAAACAAAAAAAAATAATTTTTTTTATTTTCCAAAGTTATTTTAACTATTATATAAATAGGTATTTACCAGATGAAATTCGTGGTGATTTAGACTCTATACGACCTGAGGTTCAAAGTTATTATGCATCCAAGGTAAATAATAATAATAATTAACAAAATGAATAGATGAATTGATTTTTTTTTTTTTTTGTTATTGTTTACTGTTGTTAGAATGTACCTATCACGAAAATTAGTGATGAAAATTCAACTGATTTTATGAAATGTGTTGAATTATTAAAAGAAAAGGAAAAACAATTAAATCAAGTGGTAAAAATAAAAAAAAAAAATATAAAAGGATTCAATCCATGATGATGATAATAATATACTCACCTTTTTTTTTTCCACTCTTTTACAAGTTTGATATAGTTGCGACTCCTGCTCTAGGTGGACGATTTGATCAAACCATTGCCAATATCAATATGTTATATTTTATGAAGGATCAAATCGAACGAAAAGTGATTTTATTAAGTGATGAAAATTTGACTGTATTATTAGATAAGGTAAAAAAAAAAAAAAAAAAAAAAAAAAAGAAACAATACAAAACTAATTTTTTCTATAATAAAAAAAAATGTTTAGGGAAAACATCATATTCATTGTATGAATGAATTAGAAGGACCTACATGTGGTATCATGCCAATTGGTGCTCCAGCAACAATGACAACAAAAGGATTGAAATGGAATTTAGGTATGTTTTGCATGAATGCATGATTCATAAAAATTTAAACTACTTTTTATGGAATAGATAATCACACGTGTTACTTTGGTGGAATGGTCAGTACTTCTAACGCTATTGATTCAAATTTGATCGAAATTGAAACCGATTCTCCCTTGGTATGGACCATAGAAATCAAACAAGACTGATGTAGTTTTTTTTTTTTTTTGGTATAGAAATAGTCTTTGTATTTGAAAAAAAAAAAAGAAAACTTTGTTGTACATATTCATACTTTTTTAATAAAGAAAAGAATTTTATTGAAAAAAAGTTTTTATTATTCAAGTGCTGTCAAAAGAAAGAAAGAAAAAAAAATATGATAATAATATACTTATGATGATATAGAATAGAGAAAAATATGGAATAAAATAAAATACGGTACTATGATGAATAAGAAACATTGGCAATAATCATGAATATATGTGTGTGTGTGATAAAGATGTATGTATGTGTATGTATGTAAATATATTTGAGCATGACCGTGTACGTGCATTGATAGAGAGAAAGATTGGGAATATATGATTAAAGAACAGTTCCATGGTGGTCAGATGAGGAGGTAGTTGATGAATGTTCACGTCCTATCAGTCGACCAAGACCAGCCTATGTTGATATAAGTGATGAATATGTTATGTCTTTTACATTTTTTTTTTTTTTTTTTTTTTTTTACCTTGATTCTACCTAAAGGACGAGGAGGTAATTCGTTTTCTGTCCATTGTCGTTGTGATGCATTTTGTTTTGATCCTCGTCGTTCTTTTGTATCATTTGTTGTCGTTGTAGCAGTAGTATTTCTCGTCTGAGTCGTTGATGGTTCTGTTGTTGATGGCTCTGTTGTGGATGCCTCTATTGATTGCACCGAAGAAGAAGATTCATCATTGATATCATCATCATCTTCTTTATCATCGTTAGAAGTATCTTTCGTTATGGAGCTATTTGCATCAGGAAAAGTAGTTGGACTATTTACCGAGGTATTCACCAATTTGGATATCCATGGTTTGCTTTTGATAGAGGCATTGGATTGAATATCATCTGATAAAAAACTTGACCTTTCAGAAGAAGCACATTGATGATGAACTCTTAATGAAGAGTCAATATCGCCACCATGAACTGAACCAATACCAAAGTAAGAACTTGTTGTGATACCTGAAATGCTAACTGCACTTTGTGTGTCATTTGTAGATTGTTTGTTTCCAATATCAGTATTTCCTTTGGTTGATGATGTTTCTGGTAATTTGTTTATTTCTTCTTGTGGTGTTGAAGTTCTTTTCATTTTATTCATCCAATACCGAAGTCCAAGAGAAGGTGTAAAAGTAGAAATTTCAGTCATCGAGGAATTCATTACATCAACATTAGTCATGCTGAATAAAAAAGTAAATAAAGAAAAAAAAAAAAAGCGTGTGAGTAATATATTTTAAGTAAAGATAGGGAAAAGTATGGAACAGGAAAAAAAAAAAAAAAAAAGAAAAAGGCCACCTAGGAAAAAAGGCGCCAGTTAAAAAAACTTCCCTCAAAAATTGCATAAAGACCAAAAATAATTTTGAATCAGATGTTCTAGACAATTATTACTCAATTTAGATTCCTTTTTTTTTTTTTTTTTATTATTGATGTCTTTATATCCATTTACATTATTATTATTATGAAAATAACTAATCCTTGGTAATTGATTCTTTACATATATATATATATATTTTTAGCTTCTGAATTCAAATACCGTTTTTCTATATGAAAAAGTCGATACTACTATTTATAACATATTCATAATGATGTCTAGACTAATACTTTTTTTTTTTCTGTTATCAAAGAGTCATACGCAATGACATCATCATAATATCATTTCATAACAAAATGTGTTGATCCAACAAAATAAACAGTTTCTGAAACTTTATCCGGTCAATGCTAAATAATGCATTGTTGAAAGGGAAGATCATGGTTCAAAGACCGCTACTCAAACAACACAAAAATTTCAACTAGTGGCATGACATGAATCAAATGTTATTTGATCCTGGGATTTTATGACAAAAGGATCATTGGAGAAAAAAAAAAAGCTCCTCTTATATAATAATGAATAGATCGTAGGATGGTATCAGTAAATAGATGAATGCAATAACTAAGCTTTTTTTTTTAAAAAAAAAGGAGGAGATTACTTTAATCATAAATACTAATATTGCTTCTTTTGGGTAGGGCAAAAAAAATAAAAATCACGAGAATGTCGAACATACGACTTTTTATTTTCTCATATTCAAAGAGTAATATGTAATTGGATGATTTATATTAAATAAGAATTAACAGTAAAAAAAAAAAGAAAATAGAAAGAATTAGATAATGATCAATAATGATAGGAGAGTTAGCATTGAATCAATGACGTTTGCGTTTTGAAACCCAGAACTAGAAAGTAAAAAAAAAAAAAAAAAAAACTTTCCTCCAAAAAAGCACAAATTGTGAGGGGGTTCGCTTTTCTTTTCATTTCCCTTTATACAAAATAGTCTACAGAAAAAAACGCATACATACCTTTTCATAAAAAGGCAATTCCTTTTCTTTCTTTTTTTTTTTTATTATTCTTTCTCTTTTTCTCTTTTATTGCCTTTTTATTTTATTTTATTTTTTTTATTTGACTTTTAAATAAGACAAGACAGATCTTTTTTTTTTTTTTTTTCTCTTTTTTACTTTTTGTACATCCTTACCCTGCTTTGCAGGTCTGTTTTTTTTTTCTTTTCTCTTCTTCTTCTTTACCTTTTTTATTACTCTCATGGATAACCAAAACGTCACTAATAATATCACCACAACAACAACTACTACTACTACTTATCATCGTGTAAATCCTATTATAACCAGTGACATACCCAAAACACCGATACCTACCTCCAGTAGCCATCAATCTTGTGACAACGACTACAATAATTCCATGCACATCTCACAGCAACAAACCCAACTCACTTCATCATCTACTACTGGCAATTTACATTTAGCAACAACTATGGATATGACCAAAACTGCTCAACAAACACTGATGCTCAATACATATTCTTTAGTAGGAGCGGAATATCTTGAGGCTCTGGCAGACCAAATTCGAACGATGACCAAGGCTCAAACAGTAATGATTCAACAAGTTATTACCATGGATGAATGCAACAATATTATTGAAAGATTAGAAAGACAAGGAATTCAAGTCAATTTAGCATCTAGAGATGACTCTTCCATAGAACCTGAACAAGAAGAAGATCTTAGTCATTGTTTACAACTATTGAGCCAACAACAACAGAAACAACAACATCTACCTTATAACAATAATCAACTTCTTCTTACTCGGGCTTGCAGTTCTGGTATATCTTCTGAACCAACGTTAGTATTTTTTTTTTTAAAAAAAAAGTCATATGTCGAAGATAATTGTACACAAAGATAGAACTGACCTCTTTTTTTTCCCTTTCCCTTTTCTGTAACTGTAGATCGAAATATTGTGTTACCCCATTAGCTTTATTACAAGAAACGCCACCACTGAAAACTTTGATGGATGGATCTTATATTTCAATCAATGATCAACAGCATTATCATGATCATTCTCAACAGGAACATTACCATGAACAACAAAGTGATAATGACAATGGTGATTCTGGAAATATGATGGATTTTACACATGACAATGCCTGCGATTCATTTCTACCTCCTCATACAAGTTTTGTTGGTATTCGATTACAAGGTCCCAATGCACTCCCACTTGGATTACTCTATGTATGCGACAATACTGTGAAGGAAGATCAATGGTTGGATGATACCTTTCAACTCTTATCTTGTGTTTCTACTCGAACCATGCGGGAATTGGCTGGTATACGTGATTCTGAACGTTTGATCAAAGCAAAAAATGATGCTGTTCAAGATGCTGAAAATAAGATCAAATTCTTGGCGGACATGAGTCATGAAATCAGGTATGACATAGTATTATATGAAAAAAAAAGAAACAAATGATCAAACTATTTTTATGATAGAACTCCTATGAATGCTGTGATTGCCTTGACTGATCTTCTATTACAAGAACGTTCAAGTTTGAATGATGAACAAATTGAACATTTAGATGTCATACAAACAAGTGGTCATCATTTGCTAACGGTAAAATAGAATATATCCTTATTTATATATATATAAACTCATTACAATTTTTTTTTTTTTTTTCAGGTGATCAATGATATATTGGATATTTCAAAAATCAATCATGATCCAAAATTCAAATTGGAAAATCGAAGATTTAGTCTCAGGAAATGTATTAAAGGTAAAGATATATATATATATATATATATATATATAAAGGAATCAAATAAATAATAATATTTTTTGTAATGTATATGTAGATGCATTAAATATGGCTCGACATCAAGCATCCATGTCGCAATTAAACAAAATGGTCTATGTTGTAGAATGTCCGCCTGATATGGATGACAATGTGCCTGTACAACACACCATTGCCTCTTTAGAACGTTTAGGCATATTACCTCCTTTGGCCTCTCAGTACAAAAACAAGGTGCTTTTACCACTGATTTGGAATATTGATTCTGACGTACCTGATTATCTAATGGGTGACACCATGCGCCTGACTCAAATCTTACTCAATTTGTGTTCAAACGCTGTCAAGGTAACAAATAAATATATATATATATAAATAAAAATATGATTGATCATCAAACTCTTTTTCTATATTCTATAGTTTACCAAAAAGGGCGGTATAAGGGTTCGAATTAAGCGATATGTACCAACGCCAATTCAAACTATCAGTCATCAATCCAAACTCAAACAACGATATGAAGCAAGACTGGAAACGATTTATACTCGGGCTATGCAAGGAAAAGATTCAAAATTTCAAGATGATAAAGAAGCTAGCGCAGGCGCAAGCGATGATGATGAAGAGGGATCCATGGACAATGAAGGACGATTAGAAAAAACTATCTTGGAAATATGTGTGACGGATACTGGTATCGGGATCCCTGCTGATCGTTTGCCTCGTTTATTCAAATCTTTCTCTCAAATTGATATCTCCACTGCTCGACGATATGGTGGTACAGGATTAGGTTTGGCTATCTCAAGTACCTTGGTCAATAGAATGGGTGGTGGACTTTGGGTTGAATCTGAAGAAGGTGTGGGTTCAAGATTTGCTTTGACATTACCAATGACTATTGCATTAGGTCGATGTATGCGTACATATGGTTCTGAAAGTACAACAACAAGTAGTTTTGTCACCTCTCCACCTTCTCCAAGTTCCTCTGTATCTGATGGAAGTGGTAGTGTCAACTCTGGTATATATGAACGAAGTGATTCTTCTTCTCATTCTTATAATGTTATGTCACCTGCTCAATCATCAACAAGTTCTGGTTACTTCCCCTCAGTGCCACATCATCATCAACAACAAGTCAACTCTATCAACCATCGTCTAAGGCAACAATCTTCTTGGTCTTTATTTTCACCTCGACAACAACAACAACAACAACAACAATATTATCAACAACAGCAACAACATCCACTTATCAATATTACGCCATTCGATTCTTTGAGTGATCATGGTAAACATTCAGTCGTTGGTCCATCATCTTCGCCAACGAACAGCAATGTTCATCCATCTCATCCTTCCTATTCATCATCCGACATGGCCAATCGACCAACATCTTCATCTTCATCCTTGTCATCCTCTCCATCACAACAACCGGCTTTGGAGAGCAAATCTGATCAATTTCAACAAAAGAGACCGTTATTACGACGTGGGGAAGCATCACAAACTGGAAGTTCTTTTCATACGGAACGAACTGTATCTACCAATGAATACGACAATGGTAATAGCAAATTAGAATATCCGTCATCAACATCATCAGCACCAGCATCATCTGGGCGTGCTGCATTTCGTGGACCAGCAACAAAAACTTCCAGTAAACATCATCATCAACGAAAAAATACTGGTAGTGATGAGAATTTTGCCTTGATGTATCCTGTGAAAATCTTGTTGGCTGAAGATAATGTTTGTAAGTGATTCTTTTTACAAATACATACATATATATATATTGATCATTTCTTTTATAGTGAATCAAAAAATCGCTGTTAGTATTTTGAAAAGACTTGGATATCATGATGTTGTAGTGACCAACAATGGAAAAGAGGCACTAGAGATTATGCAAAAAATCAAATTTGATGTGATCTTTGTAAGTAAATGGATGAGATGGGAAAAGAATGAACTCATATATATATATACATAGATGGATCTTTATATGCCGGAAATGGATGGATTGGAAGCAACAAGGGAAATCATCTCTGCAAGAAATTCTAATAAAGAAGATATAAGATTATTGAATGTGGACGATGTATATATCATTGCCTTGACTGCGTCTGCTTCGAATCAAGATCGACAAATATGTATAGATGCAGGAATGAATGACTTTATCAGTAAACCTTTTACTATGATGGAAATGAAAGCCTCTTTGAAAACATGTGGAAATAAACGTGCTAAACGAAGAAAACAACGTAAGGATGACGATTCTCTTACCGTACTCTCCTCCTCCTCTGATAGATATCTTGTTGGTTCTCCTACTATTGGTGATGTTATAATGGAACATACAGATGCCCCTTCTACCCATTAAATATATATATATACTTTTTCTTCTTATATGATCTATTTTTTTTTTTTTTGTGAATATCTCCTCTTTTTTTTTTATTTATTTTATCTTTATCACTCATCTATTTATCAACAATATATATATATATATTTATTTAGTTATTTTGATAGCCCCCTTTTTATATATCTATCTATCTACCTATTTATTTATTTAAATTATATATCTATCTATATATTTATTAATAAAGCTTCCTTTTTTTTTTTATTGGTCTTGTAATTACAAACCTGTTTATATCGATCACTTTTGGATTTGACTATAATAAAATTCTATTGAGATCATCCATTTCCCGGAATATGAAAAAAGGATCATATTCAAGCAAGTCTTTCATCATAACGCAGAAAAATAAACATGCTTCACAGGAACCATTAAACATAAAAATGATGACACTTAAATAGGTACAATTGAACGATCAAAATGACAATTAAGGTAGATAGATCATGAACGGATTTCAATATAAAAAAAAAAAAAAGAAATACATATATACAACTTTGGATGAAGATAATACAAATGATGATGTAAATAAAACCAAATAATGAGATATCAAAGTACAGAGTGTCAAACAACTAAGCTGGAGAGATTCTTTTTTGAGCACGGTTGTGTTAAGATTTTTTTTTTTTGTTATGTAACGGATGATTGTTTTAGAGAATGGATGGAAGATATAAATAAAATAATTATATCAATGATTATATTTTCGTAGTGAGCACCAGTTCTTTTTATAAAAAAGAACAAAAGAAAAATAAAAAAAAATAGATGTAATCCAAAAAAAGGTAGTAGAATTCTGGATGATTTTGATCATAGTTATTGATGATTAATCAAATAACTTGAATAATATGCTTGATGATTGCTTGTTAATAATAAAATAAAGATAAAACTTAGGATGATTTATTCCTGAAGAGTGGCCAATGTGATTTAGTTTTTAAAAAAACTTTTTTATTCAATAAAATATAAAAAAATTGACAATCGAAAAAGAAAACTAAGAATATGATGGTTATTTATACTAAAAGAAATAAGAGAATAAATAAATAAAAAAACATTGTGTTTGATAATATCATAAAAAAATGAGTTGAGAGAAAGAAAAAAAGGATTTCAGGGGCTGGGTTCTACCCCAACACTCCAGTTTGAAGCGGTAGATCTGATATTGCTGTTTGAAATTGATCTTCAAAACAATTGCAGCATAATCCTTGATAAACCTTCGATAATATCCAATTGTTCCCAAAAATGATCGTATTTCATTCACATTACAAGGCTTGTATCCATTTCACATAGAATCTCAAATACAGATTGTAAAATTGATTTTGTCATCATCGATGTCAGTTTGTCGAACTTACACACAACGTTAAGAATGGATAACACCGTATATTCTTTGGACTGGCTGAGAATTCCGAGAAAAAAAAAAAAGCAGAATTGTCCTCGTTTTCCTTGACTACAGCAGAATAAGATGACCACAGTTTCTCCAGACGATGTAGGAATTTTTTTTGTTACTTTCGCCAGATTTTGGTTCGAAGACCATTAACTTTGAAGTGTATAGATGTTTTTCATATATCGTAATTTGAATTCGCGTATAAAGGATTCCCAAGTTTCATGTGATGTTCGAACAGCCCAAGCTTGTACAGATCCACTAAGGCACATGAGGGCGTGCCCTAGCTTCTCATCGTTGTTCCAATTATTGATTTTTGCGATCCTTTCAAAAACCAATAACCAATCCGAGTATTTGCCATCCTTTAGTTTTGGAGGTTTGATATTCATTTGACTTGTATAGCGTAAGATCTTTGCCGCTTAGAAAAGATGTCAGCCATCATAAATCGAATTATCTACGAGCTTGACTACACTTGAAAGCAGCAGTCTATAATGGATAAACTAGAATTAAACTCAATTTTTTTTTTAAAAAAAAAAAAGAAAAAAAAAAAGAAAAAAAAAAAACTTACTTCAAAGTTTCTTATATTTTTATGTTGATTCATACAAGATAATAAACGTTCCTCATCACACTGATCCAGCATTCCGTTGATCTAAAATAAATTTTGTTATGAGGCAAAAATGGATCGACAACACTAATTATTTACCTTTTTCTTTTTGAATTTTTGACAAGTATGCACCTTGCGAATGTTTACCACCGAATTTATTCTTGATGATTATTTTTGCTTCTTCCCAAGTCATTGTTGTACCAGGTTAAACGATCATGGTTGTTAACAATTGAACTGATAAAACATTGTTTCCAATGCTTATTTTGATTGATACTGTATTGATGGCTTCGAAGCAATCCAAAAAAATGGTCCACTGTAGCTTCTTTGTTCTTCTTAAGATGAACGTCATACTTGAATACAGGTAATCCGGAAGGTATTTGTAATTTTTCATCATCTTGCAGAGGTGGAAGCAACCGCAAATATCTCCACAGCCTTTTCTTTGAGTGTTCCCAAGACATTTCGCTACAATACAGATTCCCATACCAAGAAACAAGAAAAAAATTAGTTAAAGGGGATCAAACGGGGTCATTACGTATTTTTTTTTTTTTTTTTTTTTTTGCACTTACGCGTCGAGTAACATTTTATCATTATTTCATACAAACGTATTCCATTTAGCTTTCAAAGTGCTGAATCCACCATACAAGAAAAAGTTAGTTAGCAATGGTGTAATCAACATGTATTTCCTTTGTTTACCTTTTATAAGAAAATCCCTTGACACCCATGAGCATCTGTTTGTAACGTTCAAACATAAAGAGCATTACTAGTATTGTACAAGATTGTGTTTGTTTGTAGTAGCAAATGAGTTGAACTTTGGTTGCTGTTCAACAAAGAGTTTCAATTCTGCAGATAAATAAGGTTAGAAGAGAGTAAAACATATTATTGCTTCAATTATTTTCTATTTTATTAATATTACCTTCATATCCTTTGTATGTCATGGGAAAAAAGATGGATGTACAAAGATCAAGTTAGGGAAGAGATAGAGAAAAAAAAATAGTGAGTGAGTTTGGCCCCTTTTGAACAAAAAAAGCAAAAAAAAAAAAAAAAAAAAACGGTGTTTCAATTCTTGATAGTAAAAGGTAAAAAGTTGTTTTTTTCACTTCTTTCTTTTTCTTCTATAGACTCTACTCAATGTCTATTACAAGATATGATCAAAGATTATCATTGATTGAATCCATTGACTTTGGGAAAAAGACAACTCTTGCAACAGGTAATCTCAAACTAAAGAAAAAAAAAAAACAGATATAAACTATTTTTTTTTTAATATAGAAACCTGGGAAGAAGTAGGTACGGAATTGACAGTTATACCAAGAAGTAGTCTTTATGAGCCTTACATTCAACTGAAAAAGAGGAAAAACAAAGAAAAGTCAAATGTAAGCAAAAAAATACAAGTTATTGGATAATGATAGATCCTAATCTTTTTTTTTTTTTTTTTTTGACTTTCAAACGTAGATAAATGGTGAAATACATAGGAATGGTTATAGGGCTCTTTACGATGATAGTCAACATAACAACAAGTACGATCCATTTAGGGGTAACTCCTTTGCTCGTGGAAAGATTGGCAAACAAAGTTATTTGATCTTACCTTGTGGTGATTCCTTGTCATGTCTACGTAAGATATCGATAGAAATGACAGATATAGAAAAATAACAACAATGATTATCATAGGTATTGTATCTATTTCGATGGAATCATTGTATTTGGAACGAAAAGCTATTGATGGGGAAATATCACATTTTGAAGGTACTCATATACCATTGGGTTCTCTTTCTACTGTTGTTACTTATGATATGGGATCGCCTATTCTTCAGATCGCGGTTTCTCATGCAAAGGATATTACAATGTTAAAGGATACAAGTAAAATATTCTTTTTCTTTTCTTTTCTTTTCTTTATTTATTTAATCATCTTTTTTTTTTTTTTCTTTTTCTTCTTTTGTTTAGTGATCATTGGTATTCGAACGATCTATTACACTGCATTACTCAAAGTGACTCGAGACAAGATACAAAAAGGACAACTTTCGGTTAGATTGATTCATGAATTCAAACCAAGAGAACATTGTCAACCATCTCATATCGTACTTAGTCCTTATACTGGATATTCTTATGCCATGGTTGATGACAATGGTTATGTCGCTGTATTCAATACCAAGCAAATTGCACCAGACTGTCCATTGTAAGTTCGTGATAATGAAATAGACTAAGAAAATGAAATTTGATCTTCTATTTTTATAGAGGTATGGTATTTGAAATGGATTTGAACTCGTTGAACAAAAATGATCGGTACAGCAGAAAGTGGAAAGCATGCCTTTTTGGTCCTCATCCTAAAAGTTTGATCTTGGCCTCATCTGATAGGGTAGAACTTTGGGAATTTAAGGTAAGTCAAGAAAGAAAGAAAAAGAAAAGAAAAGAAAAGAAAAAAAAAAAAAAAAACTGCAAGTTCATCATACGTATTTCATATCGCTCATCTTTTTTTTTTTTTATCTGTATATCATTACAAAAAAAGGCGTATAGAAAGGGAAAAACTATTTACAAATGTGATGAAACTGATAGAATCTATTGTCTTGAAGGACTGAATGTTCGAAACTCGTTTCAATTCTGTATTACAACAACTGATCATATTTTATTGATGGATGCAAGATACCCTTACCTTCCAGTTATTACTTGGGAACATCATCTGAAGGACGATCCACCAACATCAATGCAGATATTTCAAGATGAGTCAAATCCTGATATTAGTAAGTGAGATCAACTATTAACAAAGTGACAATATATTCCTTACATTTTTTTTTTCTCTTATGTTTCCATTTGCTAGTTAATGTCATTGCTTGGCCAGTCCGTACTGATACCGCTATTTATCTTCATTACAATTATAATGGAAAATTAGAATACAAGTATGTGGAAAAAGGGAAACGAATGAATGTATCGTTAACTGATTTTTTTTTTTAGTGGAACGGATCAAATACCTCTCGTCAAGCCAGCAACATATTCTTCACCTACATTTTTATCTCTCAAAAAACACGAATATGATAATCTGTGGGAAAATGGACTGATTCCTACCATTGGTGGTGCTATGGAAACAAAGATATTACGTGATTCAACAAAACCTACTGATGGCGACTCTGTTTTACTGGCCATTTTTTTCCGTGTATTGAATGATGGTGCTATTCATGCTCAACTTTATTTGAATACTCAAGAATCTTATTTCACTTTATATCGACAAATGCAACAATATACTTGGACTTGGCCTGAAAACACAACAAACCTTTACTGCAGGATCAAACAGGATGATGTGATGATGATGGATCATCTGGAAACCAACAAACGCGAACAAAAACTACGTGTGGGAAAAACGCATAATTGGAACGCCCAATCCTTTTTCAGTAGTAAGTTCTTTCCATAACTCTTTGAAATGATTAGGAAGGATATTAATTCATTTTTTTTTAATAGATATAATTCAAAATGCAGTTTTATCAAGATTATCTGTTTCGAATAATCAATTGAAAACATTGACAGATGCAGATTTGCATATGGATCGTACACCAGGGAATTTGTATGTATATGTCTAAAAAGAAAAGTTAGAACTGGAATGATTTCAATATACTTAATCTACTTTTTTTTTTTTCTCTTTTTCTGATGGATAAAGATACAACTTTGTGAATCACGCTTACCTTACTGGATTGGATAAGAGTTGTTATGAAGAACTTGAAAATACCATCATGAAGCAAAACTTTATTCAACCTACTCCTCAAAACATGCCAAATTCCCCCTTTTGGACACCTATACCTGGTCAACGTGATATCTTACCGTCAGCGTATGAAGCATCTACAAATTCAATCTGCAATTCTTTGGGTAATGACAGAAAAAAAAAAAAAAAGAGTAGGCATTATTGTTGGTATTAACATTTTTTTTTTATTATCTATTAGTCACAATGAACACTACACAAAAAACCAATCGAAACAAGCTCAATGAACAGTTTGCCGATGATATGTACAGACATTTGATGTATTATATACCTGTGGCCAATGATGATAGTCAGGACGATGCCATTCTACCTCCCAATCAACAAATGGAATTCCAATATCTCCAATTGAAGCATAAAAAACAACAAGCACTGACCGTATCCACTCGAGTTTTTGGACAAGATTGGATACCAGGAGAACCTATCGAAATACCAACATTGATCAATGCCAAAACTGCCATCGATCATGATCATCAACCTGTATTCTTACGATACAAAGGTCAACAACAACAACAACGACAACGACAACAACAACAACAATATTATCATCGTCATGATACTTCATTGGACGAACAAGAGATGGGATTACCTCCCAGTGTCATCACCTCTTCAACACAAGCCGTCTCATCTACTTTGGAAGAACACGATGTCTTCAGTGCCGTCGCTACTCAACCATTACCTGGTGCCTTTGCAAATCGACCTGCTGCTGTCAAGAAGAAAAAGAAGAAGAAAGTCTCTGGTTTCATGTAGTTTAGATCTTCTCTCTCTCTCTTTATATAATGTATACCCCCATTTTTTTTTCTTTATGTTATATTGTTTCTAGTATATATTAGATTTCATTCATTCATTCCTTTTTTTCTTCTTCTTTTGTTTTTTTACAAATAATTCATCCGTACATATATTCATTTTTCTCTTTGTATAAATAAACATTTCTATTGTCCTTTTTGAAACATTGCCTGTATGATCATTGTGATGATACAGTGATGAATATATGAACGATAGGTCATAATGATGATGAAATGTAAAAAAAAAAGAATACGACCTTGATGGATTGTTGTCAATGGTCATTTCGTATTTTTCCATCATCAAACAATAAAAAAAAGTCATATTGATAAAATATATAAATCTAATTTTTTATTTATTTATTTATTTATTAAAATGTATTGGGGTTAATAGGAGTAGATATAAAGTAAAAAAAAAAAAAAAAAAAAAAGACTAGTACAAGTGAGGTTTTTCAACATGAGAAGTAGGGAAATGGTCATATTTACCATCACCAGGTTGTGATGAATAAAGAGTGGTGGAGCCATCATCACTCATAGGAGATGCAGGAGTATACGTCGTGTTGTATTCTTTTGTATTGTTATTATTTGGTGGAGGAGTAGTAGGAGCAAAACCAGCAGGAGCAGCACCAGATGACAATAATTTCTTCTTTTTATGTTGTATGTAGAAGATCACAGCAGCCGCGGTACCTAGAGCCACCTAAAAAAAAAAAAAAAAAAAAAAAAAAATGGAATGTATGTGAGAAACAATAGTCATCAAATCCTTTTTATAGTTTATCCTACTTACAGCAGCAACACAACCAATAACAATGCCAGCAATAGCACCTCCACTAAGAGAGGATGATCCAGTTCCATTGTTGTTGTTTGATGAAGAGGCACTGTTCATTTGATCATAAGTATTTGTGTAAGATCCATTCAACCATGTCATACTGGTGACATTCAAGATATGTACATCGTTTTGGACAGTGTTGGTGATATCGATACCTCCAATAATATAGAGCATGTCATTGCCCACCATGATAGCTTGATGTCCATATCGTCTTCCCGGACCATCACCATTGGTAAAGTTGGCAATCGTCCAAAGTCCAGATACAGTTTCAAATATATAACAAAAGTCAGAATTAGCTATAAAAAAAAAGAGGATGAATGATAGGGTTTAATATATATATATATATTTATCATTTACCTCCATCACCATTGACACCACCATAAAGAAGCATCTTGTCTGTGTTGGGAACTAGATAATAATACAAAAAAAAATATTGGTTTATTCAATATTTTTGCCTTTGGTTAATATCAATTTGTTGGGATACTTACTACTCGTCACAGTATGAAGTTGTCGAAGACTAGGCGCATTATCGGGATTACTAGGCTTAACAACATTAAATGTTTGGTTTTGGGCTGGATACCATACAAGCAATGCATCGAAACCATAATAACCCAAGTTATTCATATAGTCGTAGTTCTGTGTGGCATTGACAGGTCGAACTCCACCAAAGAAGTAGACATTACCATTACTGCTTGTAGCCATAGCATGACGGAAAACACGTGCACTAATAATAATAATAAAAAGATGAGTTTTTCTGTATTGGATCAATATTTAATAACTTACGGTTCAGGGAACATATTGCCACCTCTTGTGATGGGATCAACCCAGACTTGCATAGTGGACCAGGTAGGATCCTATAAAAAAAGAGAGAGAGAAAAAAAAAAAAGAAGATATGAATCAAAAGTCGTATTTTTCTTTTTTTCACTTTATCGTGATAGTTTGTACGTACAGCTGCGTCGACTTCTACATAAGTTGTATTTGCAGGAAGGACAGTATTATTATTAGGACTATCAAGAAGAAAATAAAAAAAAAAAAAAAAAGAAAAGAAAAGGAAAGAAAGAAAAATGAGTTCACAAGTTTTTTTTTTTTTTTTTTTTTTTTTTTTTTTTTTTAGACTACTCACGGAATACCGCCAGCGATCATAAATTGAGTGTTGGTGACCTTCACACCCCGCCCACCGAACATTTGTACATCCATGGTGATATTCATTTTAGCAGCTGAAGGATCTTTACTTGCGATGATTCCCCAAGTATTGGTATCAGCATTATAACGAGTGGTGATATTCACAAGACTTTGATCCCCATGGTTGGTAGAAGGACCAGAGCCACCAGCGATGATATAAGAAGTATCGTTATGATTAACAATAGCGAAATCTGCACGAGGTTCCAATTGAAAAGCGTTGTTGGGTGTAGGTACAGGTTGCCATTGTGTATTAGCACCAGATACATTGAGTGGTTTGGAAACGTCGAGATAAACATGATGATTGTATATTTGACTATCGGATGATGATAAGGTGGCATTCGAATTACTAGCAGTGCCTTGTCGATTAGCACCTCCATAACAATATATTTTTTGATTCGCTAAAATCACACATCCTATAGATCAAAGATTTTTTTTTCTTTGTGAATAAAAAAACAGTTCTTTTTATTTATTTATTTATTTTACCATGTTTATAAACTGGAGGTAATGAATCACTTTTTACTAGATGAACTAAAGTGATAATCAAAATCAATAGATTAAATTGATTTATCATTTGATAAATAAATAAATAAAGAATGAAAAGAGGAAGGTAAAAAAAACGAAAAGAAAAAAAAATTGAAAAGAATATCAAATATAATTTTGTACTACTCTGTAACTTAATATTCAATCCAAGATCAACCGCGCCACAAATGTTCCTTTTTTTTTTTTTTCCTCCCCAAGTATAAAAGGAGAAGTATCATTCTCATCCAAATTAGGATCCATTTCATTTTTATTTTTATATAGTATTCAACAGTATAAATCAATAATAAAGTAATGATTTTTAAATATATTTGCATTAAATTCTTTACAAGGTACAATAAAGCTTAAAACCCAATTTTTCAGAATGTATAATCATTCATATTTTATTATTAGATGGATTATCTTGATCATTGTGTTATCAATGGTTAGCAACCAATGCATTTTTTTAACTCTTTGAATCTCAGATAATGTACCCGATTCCATGTGTACCCTTATTTTCCCTTTTTTTCTTTTTCCCCTGAAATAGTTTATTTGCCATGACTTCACTTGGTTATGACTTTTCTAATGGATGACTAGTCCTTAAATGAAGGTAAAGCATAGAAAAAAAGAAAAAGAGAAAAGACAAAAAAAGACAATGGGCAAACAACGATTTTCCTTTTTGATACTGTGTAATAGTAGTCTCAATCAAATTTTTCAACAAAACGAAGCGTTCGAATGAAACACCTACCGTCACAATACTACAAACTTGCCTTAAAAGACGATTCACGGATACTAAACAGCATGCATTTAAAAGTAACGTTGATGTATGGAAGGATACTGTACTTAACTTTCTGTCCTTTTTCTTTTTAGTAGATTCCCCTTACATAGCGTTTTTATCTATCAAGCAAAAGCTTGCCTGGAAAATCCTATCTTTATCGCCAGTGAATATAAAATGTAAGTTTGATTAAAGAAAACATTAAAAAAGGTTGACTTGTAGAATTGAATGCAAAAGACTGATCTTTTTTTTTTTTTTTTTTTTAAATACGTTTGGTTTGATGATTAATGACGATCATAGTACAGTTATTTTGAAGGCGATTAATGAGCTTGTCTTGGTATTGTAATTTATCACTCTTCCTTTGTCCTTACGTTATGCAAATACATTGTGAATCTTCCCTTGGTATCGAATTTAAATAGCCTCTTGTATAAACAATAAACTTTTTATACATTTTGACATCACATATCGTCGATCTTCACAAAAAAAAAGCTTTTTAGCCAACATCTATTCAATGTAGTGTGTTTCTGAGGTATTCATCCTCACAGAATCATCATAGGAAATCATTGTTGGAGTCATTCTGCTTTAATGATCTATCATCATCATCACGTAGAATCCGTCGCCAATTGATAAAATACAAAGATCTTTATTTTGATTCTAATATAAAACAGTGAAAATAATAATAACAATTAAAAAAAAAACAAAATGTAGTAATGCATCATGCTAATTAAGTCTAAAGTAAATGGTCTAAAATAAAAAGCCAAAGAAAAAGGGAGGACTTTCTGTATGTTCGATTGAGGTATCATAGGTAGGAGCGTACCATTCAATAATAATCAATATATATATATATATATAAAAGAACACGGTTGAGTTAGTCTTGTAACAACTAATTACTATAAAAAAATGAGGAACAACTTACCGTCCTGGGAGCTTATTGCCATCTCTTGTAATATGATCAATGTATGTTTCCATAATTTCCCAGTTGGGATCCTGAATATGATAGATGAGTAAGAAAACAGCGGTTTCTGCATCAGTCATGACTTGTGTGTTTTTTTTTTTTTTTTTATCTGTACATACATTTGACTCGACATTGACATAACTAGCGTTTGATTGAATGAAAATATTGTCATCAGGACTATAAAAGAACAGAGAAAAAAAGGTAAGTTCATCAGATCACTACGACAACGACAAAAAAAAAAAAAAAAAAAAAAAAAAAAGAGGAGAACGATTTACGGAATGTCGCCAGTGATCACACCACGGGTACTAAACGTTGACGTTACCATAGATGTGCTCAATACGGATTCAGTAGTGCTTTTGTGTTTGATGGATTCCCAAGAATTCGAATCTGCATTGTCGTCCACAGGAATACCGACAAGATCATCATGATGAATGGAAGGAATAGAGCCGCCAACGATAGTATAGGACGTATCGTTATGATTGATCATAGAAGAATCACAGTGTGGTTCCAGTTGAAGATCGCTGGTTGAAGGGATCGGTTGCAATTGTGTATTGGCACTAGATACATTTAATGGTTTATAGACACCAAGGTAGACATGATGATTGTTTATTTTGCTATTGAACCGTGATAAAGTTTGATTTGAGACAACTGGATCATGATTGGTATCTTCATAGCAACGAATCTTTCCATTAGCTAAAATCACACATCCTAGATCAAATACAATTATCGTTAGTAAAAAAAAAAAAAAAAAAAAAAAAAAAAAAAAAAAAAAAAAAAAAAAAAAAAAAAAAAACTTATGCATATATTTTAGTAAGTTTACCTTGCTTGTAGGCTGTAAACAGTGGATCACTCTGCACCTGATGAACTAAATAGAAAATAATGATGAAAAGAAATATATTGACTTGATTTATCATCCTTATAAAGGGAGAAAAGAAATGAAAAGATGACAAAAAAGAAAAAAAGAAAAGTTGATAGAAAAAAGAAAAGTTGACAGAAATGAAGGAAACTGTGTTTTAAGAACTTGGGATTCATTGCCGACCGAGCCACATATTGTAACCATATTTGTTTCCTTCCATCTTTTCTGTAATGCATAAAGTAAAAAAAAAAGAAAAATAATAATAAAGGTGACATCATAAAATGGAAAAGCACAACACGTTCTACTATATGTATCCGAAATATAATAAGGAATCAATTGAGATGGAGAATCAATCTGTTTTTTTTTTCTTTAGACTTGCCAAATAGACTGCGCTGCCAGTTTTTTAATATGCAAATAAAAAAGAGTTCGCGCGCAAATTCGTTGTGGCACACGCGACATACGCGACCTGATTTCTAACATACGCGAAGTCTTTTCATTTTGTTACACGTTCAGTTAACATTGGTAACACCCTTTTTTTTTTGTTCGGAACCATGCCGGTCTATTCATAGGCATTTTTACAAGGAATCTTAAAATAGATGATACTGTATAATACAAAAAAAAAAGGCTATTCAGGGACATCGTAACCTTCCATCGAGCATTAACAATCCATCCTTTATCATCAAAACAGTAAATCAAACACTAAAACACATGGACCATTTTTATTTGTTAAAATATTAACGGGCAAAAGAAAAATAATAATAAGATATAATAAAAGAGAAGCACGATCGAAGTCTATTGTATGTTCGGTTTTACAGTACCAGGAGTAGGAGCTTGACCAGATGTACCATCAGTAGGATTTGATGCATAAAGAGTGGTGGAGCCATCATTGGCCGGGGGTCCAGAACTATTCGTCATGTTGTATTCCTTCGTATTATTTGGTGGAGGAGTTGTAGGAGCAAAACCAGCAGGAGCGGCACCGGATGATAATGATTTCTTCTTTTTGTGTTGCATATAAAAGATCACAGTAGCCGCAGCACCTAGAGCCACCTAAAAAATGTATGCATATTAGAAACAATAGTCATCAAATCCTTTTATATTTTATCCTACTTACAGCAGCAACACAACCAATAACAATACCAGCAATAGCACCTCCACTAAGAGATGATGATCCACTTCCATTATTATTATTGTTGTTGTTTGATGAAGAGGCACTATTCGTTTGATCATAAGTATTGGTGTAAGATCCATTCAACCATGTCATACTGGTGACATTCAAGATATGTACATCGTTTTGGACAGTGTTGGTGATATCGATACCTCCAATAATATAAAGCAAATCATTGCCTACCATAACCGCTTGATGACCATATCGACGTCCAGCACCATCGCCATTAGTGAAATTGACAACGCTCCAAAGTCCAGATACAGTATCAAACGTATAACAAAAGTCAGGATTGGCTATAAATAAAAAAAAAAGAAAAAGAGGATGAATGATAGGGTTTAGTATATATACATATATTTATCATTTACCTCCATCATCTGTGACACCCCCATAAAGAAGCATCTTGTCTGTGTTGGGAACTGGGTGGAAATAGAGAGTTGATTAGTCCTTGTTATCGAATAGCTATTGTCAAGAAATCCATGTGTTTGGGGCACTTACTACTTGTCACTGTATGCAGTTCTCGAGTACTGGGCGCATTGTCGGGATTGCTTGCTTTAACGAGGCCAAATGTTTGATTTTGAGATGGATAAAATACATAGAGAGTATCAAAAGTATAAATCCCTCTGGGATTCATATAATCGTAATTCTCTGTGGCATTCAGAGCGAGCATACCACCAAATAAGTAGACATCGCCATTGCTGCTTGTAGCCACATCAGCACGGTAAACACGAGAACTAAATAATAATCAGTATAAAGAGAAAGAAAAAAAAAAGAATATAGTCGAGAGTTAGTCTTGTAATAATCAATATTAAAAAAAAAATCAGAAACATCTTACGGTTCTGGTAGCAAGTCATTGCCTCTTGTAAGAGGAGCACTGTAAACTTTCATAGTTCCCCAATTGGAATCCTGTATACGATAAGCATGGATGTGTAAGAAAAGAAAAGAATGGTTAGTACGTCAATTATAATTTGTATTTTTTTTTTTATTTATGCATACCGCTGACTCGACGTAGACATAACTAGAGTTTGTTTGAATGACAGTATTATTATTAGGACTGAAAGAAGGAAAAGAGATAAAAAAAAAAAAAGTGAGTTCCTTTTTTTTTTTTTTTAATTCCAGATTCCTCCAAAAAAAAAAAGTTCAACTTACGGCATGCCACCAGCGATCATATATTGAGAGTTAGTGATTTTCACACCACGAGTACCAAACATTTGGATTTCCATGGATACGTTCAGTTTGGGCTGATCGTCTCTTCTCTTGATGGATCCCCAAGTGTTCAAATCTGCATTGTAATCCACAGTGATATTGACAAGACTTTGATCACCATGATTAATGGAAGGACCAGCACCGCCAACGATGGTATATCCTGTATCATTATGATTGATCATAGCGAAATCTGAGCGTGGTTCCAGTTGAAAGGCACTACTAGGTGGAGAAACAGGTTGCCATTGAGTATTGGCAGCAGATACATTCAATGGTTTGGAAACATCAAGATAGACATGATGATTATATATTTCACTATCGAACCATGATAAAGTTTGATTTGAGAAACCTGAGTTTCCTTGACGATTGGCACCTCCATAACAATATATCTTTTGATTGGCTAAAATCACACATCCTAGATCAAAAAAATGGTCGTGATTAATGAAAGGTATTCCTCTTTTTTTTTTTTTTTTTAATTTACCGTGTTTGTAGACTGGAGGTAATGAATCACTTTGTACCCGATGAACCAGATAGAAAGTGATGATGAAAATTAATATATGGAATTGAGTTATCATTTAATAATGAAAAAAAAAATAAAGAAAAGTAACAAGCAAGATGAGAACTGAAAAGATGAAAGAAACGAAGGAAATCCGGGTTTTAAGATTTTAATTTTTTTTTGATCACCGCGCCACATACTGTAACCTTTTTGTTTGTCCCATCTTTTAATCTTATTCTTTTCAACTACCCCTGTCTTTTCTGTTTAATAATGCAAAAAGCAATGATGAACATATTATTATCAAATGAAAGAAGGAGAGTCTACAGCTGTACGTTCAAAATGGGATAAGGATTAAAATCAATCTGGAGAAAGTATCTATTTTCCTTTACTATAGGCTTGTCCAATACAGAATTCTGTTTCTTCTTTTGTACCTTTTTAATTTTATACAAGCCAAAAGAGATGATCACTCCTAACTTGACATTCAGATCACACTTTTTTCTGTTTCTTATTGTGGCTAATGCATTCTCTCGATCATCTTTTTGCGGTTAGACTATCAATTGTGGCACTTTAACCCATAGGTTTGGTTGTTTTTTTTTTTTTTTTGGTTGGAACCGAGTCATGGGCTTTTGCAAGAAAACTTAAAGAAGACAATATATAATACAAAAACTATTAGAGACATCAACATTTCGTCCATCATTAAACAGTACATCAATAACTAGAATACATATATCATTTTTATTTATTAAAATATAAAAAGAGGATAAAAGAAAAATAATAAGATAGATGATAAATATATAAAAAATACAATGTAAAGGAGAAGAGTGGGAAAGCTATTATTTGCTCGGTTTTATGGTGCCAGGAGTAGGAACGTGACCAGATGTGCCTTCAGTAGGATTTGATGCATAAAGAGTGGTGGAGCCATCATTGGCTGGAGATCCAGAACTATTCGTCATGTTGTATTCCTTTGTATTCTTTGTCATCGAGGGAGTGGTAGGAGCAAAACCAGCAGGAGCAGCGCCAGATGATAACGATTTCTTCTTTTTGCGTTGTGCATAGAAGATCACAGCAGCCGCAGCACCTAGAGCCACCTAAAAAATGTATGCATATTAGAAACAATAGTCATCAAATCCTTTTATATTTTATCCTACTTACAGCAGCGACACAACCAATAACAATTCCAGCAATAGCACCTCCACTAAGAGAGGATGATCCACTTCCATTGTTGTTGTTGTTGTTGTTTGATGAAGAGGCGCTGTTCATTTGATCATAAGTATTTGTGTAAGATCCATTCAACCATGTCATACTGGTGACATTCAAGATATGTACATCGTTTTGGACAGTGTTGGTGATATCGATACCTCCAATAATATAAAGCAAATCATTGCCTACCATAACTGCTTGATGACCATATCGACGTCCAGCACCATCGCCATTGGTAAAATTGGCAACATTCCAAAGTCCAGATACAGTATCATAGGTATAACAAAAGTCAGAATTGGCTATAAATAAATAATAATAATAAAAAAAAAAGATTATGAATGATATGCTTTATGTGCTATGCAGATATTATACCTCCATCGTTGACACCACCATAAAGAAGCATCTTGTTTGTATTTGGAACTGAGTAGAAATAGAGAGTTGATCAGTCATTGTTATGGAATAGTTATTGTCAAGGAATCCATTTTGGATACTTACTACTTGTCACGGTGTGGAGTTCTCGAATACTGGGAGCATTGTCGGGATTACTTGGTGTAATGACGTTGAACGTTTGATTTTGAGATGGATAAAATACGAGCAGAGAATCAAAAGTATAATAACCCAAGTTATTCACATAGTCGTAGTTCTCTGTGGCATTCATAGGGCGCGTACCACCAAATAAGTAGACATTGCCATTGCTGCTTGTAGCTAGAGCAACACGGTAAACACGAGAACTAAATAACAACCAATATAGAGAAAAAAAGGAATATGGTCGAGTTAGTCTTGTAATAATCAATATAAGAAACATCTTACGGTTCTGGGAGCAAGTTGCCACCTCTTGTAATAGGATTCGTGTAAGAAGTCATTTGTGCCCAAGTGGGATCCTGAATTGTTGAACACAGGTGTGCAAGAAAAGAAACGAAGAGAATCGTTATTTTACATTAATTACAATTTGTATTTTTTTCTTTTCCTTTTTATTTGTACGTACCTCTGCCTCGACATCGACATAACTAGAGTTTGATTGAATGACGGTATTATTATTAGGACTGAAAGGAAAGGGAAAAAGAAAGAAGAAAGCACAAAAAAAAAAAAGTGAGTTCTCGGTTCCTTTTTTTTTTTTTTTTTTTTTTTTGATTTCCAGATCCCTCCAAAAGAAAAAAAAAGTTCTGACTTACGGAATACCACCAGCGATCATATATTGAGAGTTAGTGATTTTAACACCACGAGTACCAAACATTTGAATTTCCATGGACATATTCAATGTGGGCTGTGAATCGTTTAGGCTTTTGATGGAACCCCAGATATTCAAATCTGCATTGTAATCCACAGTGATATTGACAAGACTTTGATCACCATGATTAATGGAAGGGCCAGCACCACCAACGATGGTATATCCTGTATCATTATGATTGATCATAGCAAAATCACAACGTGGTTCCAGTTGAAAATTGTTGCTGGGTGGAGGAACAGGTTGCCATTGAGTATTAGCAGCAGACACATTCAATGGTTCGGAAACATCAAGATAAACATGATGATTGTAAATTTCACTATCAAACCATGATAAAGTTTGATTAGAAAGACCTGAATTTCCTTGACGATTGGCACCTCCATAACAATATATCTTTTGATTGGCTAAAATCACACATCCTAGATCAAAAAAGTGGTCATGGTGAGTAAAGAAAGGAAAAAAAAGAAAAAGAAAAAAGGAAAAGATATTTTTTTTTTAACTCACCATGTTTGTAGACCGGAGGTAATGAATCACTTTGTACTGGATGAACTAGATAGAAAGTGATGATGAAAATTAATATATGGAATTGATTTATCATTTAATAATAATAATAATAAAAAAATAAGAAGAACAGAAAAGATGAAAGAAACAAAGGAAACTCAGGCTTTAAGCTTTTAATTTTTTGATTACCGCGCCATATACTGTAACCATGTTTGTCCCACCTTTAAATCTTATTCTTTTCAAGTATTTTTTTTTTTTAATAATGCAAAAGGTGAAAGTAATGGTGAAGATGTTATCATAAAATGAAAAATGATAGTTTGCGTTCAAGCTATACGTTCAAAATGGGATAAGGATTAGGATAACTTGATGAGAGTATAAGCTTTCTTTCTCTATGTGCTTGCCAAATACAGAATTCTGTTTTTTCTTTTGTATCTTGTTCAGTTTGTACAAGCCCAAAAAGATGCTCCTAACTTGACATTGAGATCACACTTTTTTTCTGCTTCTTATTGTGGCTAATGCATTCTCTCGATTACCCTTTTTGTGTTCAGGCTATAAAATGTGTACTTTTATCCATAGCAATGATGCACCTTTTTTTTTTTTTTTTTTTTTTTTTTTTGGTTGGAACCGAGTCATGGGCTTTTACAAGGAATCTTAAAGTAGATAATATTGTATAATGCAAAAACTATTCAGGGAAATCATCATTTCATCCATCACCACGTAAATCAATTGCCAGAATAAATAGGTCATTTTTATTATTTATTAAAATAATATAAAAAGGGGGTAAAAGAAAAGTAACTGTAAAATAGACGGTAGATGTATAAAAAATACAATGTAAAGGTGAAGATTGGGAAAAGCTACTATATGCTCGGTTTTATGGTGCCAGGAGTAGAAGCGTGACCAGATGTGCCATCAGCAGGATTTGATGAATAAAGAGTGGTGGAGCCATCGTTGATTGAGGTGTTTGTCGTGTCGTATTCCTTTGTATTGTTTGTCGTTGAGGGAGTGGTAGGAGCAAAACCAGCAGGAGCAGTACCAGATGCCAACAGGTGCTTCTTTTTGCGTTGCATATAAAAGATCACAGCAGCCGCGGTACCTAGAGCCAACTAAAAAAAAAAAAAAAAAAAAAAAAAAAAAAAAAAAGGATGTATGCATGTTACAATAATAGTTATCAAGTCATTCATACGTATTTCGTCCTACTTACAGCAGCAACGCATCCAATAACAATACCAGCAATAGCACCTCCACTAAGAGATGATGATCCACTTCCATTATTATTATTATTATTATTATTGTTGTTGTTGTCGGATGAGGAGGAGACACCATTCATTTGATCGTAAGTATTAGTATAGGGTCCATTCAACCATGTCATACTGGTGACATTCAAGATATGTACATCGTTTTGGACTGTGTTAGTGGCATCGATACCTCCAATGATATAAAGCAAGTCATTGCCCACCATCACGGCTTGATGACCATATCGACGTCCAGCACCATCACCATTGGTAAAGTTGGCTATAGTCCAAAGTCCAGATACAGTATCATAGGTATAACAAAAATCAAAATTGGCTATAAATAAATAAATAAAAAAAAGGATAAATGGTACGATTTATGTGAGAGTCTACGTGTATAATATACCTCCATTGCTGACACCACCATAAAGAAGCATCTTGTTTGTATTAGGAACTGGATAGAAATAGAGAGTTGATCAGTCATTGTCATGAAATAGTCGTTGTCAAGGAATCCGTTTTGGATACTTACTACTTGTCACGGTGTGAAGTTCTCGAGTACTGGGTGAACTGTCAGGATTGCTTGGTTTAACAGAGTTGAACGTTTGATTTTGAGATGGGTAAAATACGAGCAGATAATCAAAAGTATAATATCCTCTGAAATCCATATAATCATAGTTGCGTGTGGCATTGATAGGGCGCATACCACCAAAGAAGTAGACATTGCCATTACCGCTTGTTGCCAGAGCAGCACGGTAAACACGCGTACTAAATAATAATCAAAGAGAGGGAAAAAAATAAGTTAGTCTTATAACAATTAATCTAAAATTTGAAAATATCATACGGTTCTGGGAACATGTTGCCACCTCTTGTAATAGGATCAGTATAAGCTGTCATACTTCCCCAATTGGAATCCTGAATATGAAGAGCATAGACGTGTAAGAAGGGAATGATTAGTGCATCAATTATAATTTGTATTTTTTTTTTAATTTATACATACCGCTGACTCGACGTAGACATAACTAGAGTTTGATTGAATGACGGTATTATTATTAGGACTGAAAGGAAGAGAAGAAAAAGAGATAAAAAAAAGTGAGTACCTGGTTCCTTTTTTTTTTAAATTCCTCCAAAAAAAAATTACGGAATGCCGCCAGCGATCATATATTGAGAGTTACTGATTTTCACACCACGAGTACCAAACATTTGAATTTCCATGGACATATTCAATTTGGGCTGTGAATCGTTTGTGCTTTTGAGAGATCCCCAAGTATTCGAATCTGCGTTGTAATCCACAGTGACATTAACAAGACTTTGATCACCATGATTAGTAGAAGGACCAGCACCACCAACGATGGTATATCCTGTATCGTTATGATTGATCATAGCAAAATCACAGCGTGGTTCGAGTTGAAAGGCACTACTGGATGGAGGAACAGGTTGCCATTGAGTATTGGCAGCAGACACATTCAATGGTTTGGAAACATCAAGATAAACATGATGATTGTAAATTTCACTATCGAACCATGATAAAGTTTGATTTGAGAAACCTGAATTTCCTTGACGATTGGCACCGCCATAACAATATATCTTTTGATTGGCTAAAATCACACATCCTAGATCAAAAAAATGGTCGTGATTAATGAAAGGTATTCGTCTTTTTTTTTTCTTCTTTTTTTTTAATTTACCGTGTTTGTAGACTGGAGGTAATGAATCACTTTGTACCCGATGAACCAGATAGAAAGTGATGATGAAAATTAATATATGAAATTGATTTATCATTTGATAAAAAAAAAAAAAAAGAATAACAATAATAAGGAAGAAGAGAAACGAAAAGATGAAAGAAGTAAAGGAAACTGTGTTTTAAGATTGGACTTCTTTGATCACCGCGCCACATACTGTAACCTTATCTGTCCCACCTTCAAATCTTATTTTCTCAAGTACACTTCTTTAAATATATATATATATATAGTGCAAAAAGTGAAAGCAATGAGAAAGATGTCATCATTAAATTAAAAAGGGTAATTTGAGTTCCAGCAGTACGTTCAAAACAAAATTAACTTGAGGGAATACCCACTTTCGTTCTCTATAGGTTTGTCAAATACAGAATTCCCCCTTTTTTTTCTTTTGTACTTTTTTCATTTTATAAACATTCAAAGAAATGATCGTTCCTAACTTGACATCAGATCACCATTTCTTTTGTTTCTTTTTGTGGTTAATGTATTCACCTTTTTATGGTTAGGCTATGAAGTTTGGGACTTATCCATGGTCTTGAGAGAGAGATATTTTTTTTGTTGGAACCGAATCATGGGTTTTGCGAAAAAAAAAAAAAACTTAAAGTAGATGCTACTGTATAATAGAAAACCCGTTCAGGAATATCAAATTTTTCATCCATAATCAACGATCCTTTCTCTGTCACCAGCCCGTAACCAATTGTTAGAATAGATAGACTATGTTAGAATAGATAGACTATTTTTATTTATTAAAATATAAAAAAAAGGGAATAAAGAAAATTGATGGTGTAAAATAGACGGTAGGTATATAAAAAAAAATACAACGTAGAGGTGGCAGAAGCTACTATATGCTCGGTTTTATGGTGCCAGGAGTAGGAACGTGACCAGATGTGCCTTCAGCAGGATTTGATGAATAAAGAGTGGTGGAGCCATCATTGATTGGGGATCCAGGAGTATTTGTCGTGTTGTATTCCTTTGTATTCTTTGTCGTCGAGGGTGTCGTGGGAGCAAAGCCAGCAGGAGCAGCACCAGATGCCAACAATTCCTTCCTTTTGCGTTGCATATAAAAGATCACAGCAGCCGCGGTACCTAGAGCCAACTAAAAGGATGGATATATGCATGTTAGAAATAACAGTCCTCAAGTCATCCATATATATATATATATATATATTATCCCACTTACAGCAGCAACACATCCAATAACAATACCAGCAATAGCGCCTCCACTAAGAGATGATGATCCATTTCCATTATTATTATTGCTGTTGTCGTCAGATGAAGAAGAGATACCGTTCATTTGATCGTAAGTATTGGTATAGGATCCATTTAGCCAAGTCATACTGGTGACATTCAAGATATGTACATCGTTTTGGACAGTGTTGGTAATATCGATACCTCCAATAATGTAAAGCAAGTCATTGCCCACCATCACCACTTGATGACCATATCGACGTCCAGCGCCATCACCATTCGTAAAGTTGGCTATAGTCCAAATTCCAGACGCAGTATCATAGGTATAACAAAAATCACGACTGGCTACAATGAAAAATACAGAAAATAGTGAGACAAAAAGTTGAATAACAGGATCTATCTGGCAAATATGTAATACCTCCATCGCTAAGGACACCACCATAAAGAAGCATTGTGCTTGTATTAGGAACTAAATAAAATAGAGGTAGGTAAAAAAAAAAAAAAAAAAAAAATAGATCAATGATTGCTTTGTAGTACCGTTGCCGAGAAGATCATCCTTTTTTTTTTTTTTGGAGTACTTACTGCTAGTAGCTGTATGAAGTTCTCGAGGAGTGGGAACACTATCTGGATTGCTGGCCTTGACGGTGTTGAATGATTGGTTTTTGAATGGATACCATACTATTGTATCATCGAAGACATAATATTCTCTGAGAGTCATATAATCACGATTGTCTGTGACATTGAATGGTTGAGCTCCACCAAAGATATAGACATTGCCATCCCTACTTGTAGCTAAAGCAGGCCGGTAGATACGCGAACTAATGAAAAACAATCAATAAGATATAGAGAATATAGAGTTAGAATATCAAGTCAACAATATAACGAAAAAGCATTTTTACGTTTCAGGAAACAGGTTGCCGCCGCTTGTAATAGGATCAGTAAAGACATTCATGGTACCCCAATTGGGATCCTGATGAAAACAAAAATATGCACAAGAAAGGAAAAAAAAAGAAAAGAGGATGGTTAGTTCATACAATAGATATATCTCTGTTTTATCGTTATTTGAACGTACAGTTGAATCGACCTCGACATAAGTGGTGTTTGCTTCAATGATAGTATTGTTATTAGGGCTATGAAAAAGAAAGAAAGAAAAAAAAAAAGGAAGGAAAGAAAAGGAAAAGAAAAAAAAATGAGTTCCTGGGATGATTTTTTTTTTTTTAAAAAAAAGGGGGATGATTACGGAACGCCGCCAGCGATAAAGAATTGAGTGCTATTCACCTTGACGGCCCGAACACCAAACGTTTGCACTTCCATCGACATGTTCCATGTGGGTGCAGATGTGTTTGAAGGTTTGATGGTTTTCCAAGCATTCAAAATTGAATCATAGGTTGTAGTGATATTGATAAGGCTCTGATCGCCATGATTGGTGGAAGGTCCAGAACCACCAATGATGGTGTATCCTGTATCGTTATGATTGACCATGGCAAAATCAGAACGTGGTTCCAGTTGAAAATTGTTGCTGGGTGGCGGAATAGGTTGCCATTGTGTATTGGCAGAAGATACGTTCAATGGTTTGGAAACATCAAGATAGACATGATGATTGTAAATTTCACTATCGAACCATGATAAAGTTTGATTTGAGAAACCTGCATTTCCTTGACGATTAGCACCTCCATAACAATATATCTTTTGATTGGCCAAAATCACGCATCCTAGATCATTGCTTTCTCATTGTTAATAACTTTTTTCTTTTAGATCAAACAAGGAGAATCATTTACCATGTTTATACAATGGAGGTAACGAATCACTTTGCACACAAATAAAACATAAAGTGATGATGAAAACCAGTAAACTGAATGGATGGATCATCACTTGATAAAAGAAGAAATCATAAAATAGAACAAACAAAGAGAAGAAGAAGAAAAAAAAAAGGAAACAAAAAAGTTAAACTCTGTACCTTAAAGATGCCCACCGCGCCACATTCTGTAATTATTTCTGTCCCACTCTAGCTTTTTATTTCTTTCTTTTTAGTGGCCTTGTATGCGACACAAAAGGTTCAAATCACATATACAAAAAAAAAAAAAAAAAAAAAAAAAAAAAAAAAAAGAAGGATGTTAGCGTGATCAGAAAAAAAAAGTATTACCACCTAAGTATTCAAGTATAGCGATCACTTTAATTATTGAGTATGGAGAATCACGCAGATTTTCCTAATATAATGCTTTCATCCTATTCATATTTTCCGTCATTCGTTAATAGATAATCATAACTCTATTGAAAGAATACATAATTATTTTTATTAAAAAAAAAAAAAAGGAATAAGTCAGAGGATATAACTAGACATCACTGTGGGGGTAGGGAATAGATAGTAGATATGACATAAAAAGTAAAGATGACAGACGAAGAAGATCTAATTCATGTTTGGTTTTCCAGTAGTGAGAGAAGGAGCTTGATCATGTCTACCATCAGCAGGAGGATTTGGTGAATGAAGCATAGTGGAACCGCCAACGGATCCAGGAGTATTTGCCATCACTGACGACTTCGTAGTAGGAGGAATAAAATCAGTAGCGATAGCACTAGAAGATAATAGTTTTTTCTTGTTGCGTCCTTGCATATAAAAAATCACAGCGGATACGGTCCCTAAAGTCACCTAGGTTGATGTATGGATGTTAGAAACAATAGTTATCAAGTCCTTTTATATATATTATATCCTACTTACAGCAGCGACACAACCAATAACAATACCAGCAATAGCGCCTTCACTAAGAGATGATGATCCAGTTCCATTGTTGTCGCTTGATGAAGAGCCACTATTCGTTTGATCGTAGGTATTAGTGTAGGATCCATTCAACCATGTCAAACTGGTGACATTCAAGATATGTACATCGTTTTGAACAGTGTTGGTGATATCGATACCTCCAATAATATAGAGCAATTCATTGCCCACCATCACCGCTTGATGACCATACCGACGTCCAGCACCATCACCATTGGTAAAATTGGCAATACTCCAAATTTGGCCTGCTACATCATAGATATAACAAAAATCAAGGTTGGCTAGAAAAGAAGACGATGAATGACATATACGCAGCTATATTTATCATTTACCACCACCACCATTGACACCGCCATAAAGAAGCATCTTGCTTGTATTTGGAACTAGATAACGATACAATACAAAGGTGTTTTTCAATAGTTTGCTTGGATAATATCAGTTTTTTTTTTCCTGTTAGGACACTTACTACTAGTCACGGTATGGAGCTGTCGAGGACTCGGGACATTGGGGCCATCATTAGGCTTGACAAGATTGAATGTTTGGTTTTGGGAAGGACAAAAAATAACCAAGGTGTCAAAAGTATAATAATCCAGGTATTTATCCATATAGTCGTAGTTCTGTGCGGCATTCTTAGGTCGGACCCCACCAAAGAAATAGACAAAGCCATTGAGACTTGTAGCTAAAGCAGTACGAAAAATACGTGAACTAATAATCAAGACAAAAGAAAAGAATATGGTTGAGATTTAGTCTTATAACAACTAATGCAAAAAAAAAGAACTGAGACATCTTACGGTTCTGGATTCACCATATTTCCATTTATAATAGGAACATCGTAAGATGTCGAATTTTCCCAATTGGAATCCTGAATACGATTAGCATAGATGGGTAAGAAAAGAAAAAAGAAAATGATTACTACGTCAATTAAAATTTGAATTTTCCCTTTTTATTTATACGTACATTTGACTGGACATCGATATAGTTGGTGTATGGTTGAATGACAGTATTATTATTAGGACTAAAAGAAAGAAGAAAAACAAAGAAAGAAAGGAAAGAAAGAAAAAAAATTGAGTTTGCAGTTTCTTATGGTTTCCAAAAAAAAAAAGATTACGGAATACCGCCAGCGATCATATATTCTGAATTACTGATTTTCACACCACGAACACCAAACATTCGAGTAGCCAAAGAGTCGTTAAATGTGGGATATGAAGCGTCCTCGGGTTCGATTATGGTTTCCCAAAAATTGAAATCTGCTACGTAGACCACAGTGATATTGACAAGACTTTGATCACCATGATTGGTGGAAGTAGAACCGCCAACGATAGTATAGGAAGTACCATTATGATTGACCATGGCAAAATCACAGCGTGGTTCCAGTTGAAAATCATAACTGGGTGGAGGGACAGGTTGCCATTGTGTATTAGCAGCAGATACATTCAGTGGTCTGGAAACATCAAGATAGACATGATGATTGTAAATTTCACTATCGAACCATGAATAGGTTGCATCCGAACTATTAGCAGTACCCTGTCGATTAGCACCTCCATAACAATAAATCTTTTGATTAGCTAGAATCACACACCCTAGATCAAAAAAAAAAAAGGTTATGATTAAAGAAAGTTAATTTTATTTTTATTATAATTATTATTTACCATGTTTATAGACTGGAGGTAATGAATCATTTTGCACCTGATGAATAAAGCATAAAGTGATGACGAAAAGCAATAGATGATATTGATTTATCATCGTCATCAAAAGTCAAGAAATAGAAAAAAGGAAGAGAAAAAAAAAAAGCGACAGAAACAAAATCAATAATAAATCTTTATCACTAATATTGTCTCACTATTCTATCTTTACAGAACTTTTCTAACCTTTTTATTTGATTTTTCTTTCTATTAGATGTAATGACTCCCTTTCAATGATCCAAAAAAAAAAAAAAAATAGAAAGATGTTACTATAACAAAAATGGATAATATTTCAAAAGTCTTTGCCAAAACGAGATAAGATCAGGAACTCTTTGACGGAAGGGCTTTTCTTTTATTACCCCTGCTGCCATAAACTTTAAGTCGGTTGATTTCTTTGATATTCTTACATGTTTTATTTATTTATTTATTTTATTTATACAGTGTTTTCAAGGTTTTTTGTCGTGTCACAAGAAAATGCTTTTCGTGATGTTATCAAATAAAATATCGTACTTTCCCAAAATGAATGGCGCAGTACCACTTTTTCAGATATCGCTTCAGAGATGGCGGTAGAGTACATTAAAAACACATAACATATTGATGATAACTTGTTTATTAAAAATAAAAGACGCAAAATAAAAGTAACATAGGCTTTTCATATTTTTAGCAGCTTTGGGTGTTGTCCATTCTTTTTTAGGTATCAATTGATTGATGATTCATGATCGATGATTCATGATTGATGATATGTGATAACGGATGATTGTATATTGGATGATTACAGGATGGATGATGGATAACTGTATGATGGATGATATGTGATAATGGATGATTATATGTTGGATGATTGTACGATTGTATGATGGATGATGAAACATTGTCGTCAATCACTGTACAAATTTCTGATAAAATACAAAATACTTCATTCTCGTTACCTTCTGACAGAACAACATCTTCTTTTTCTTTTCTTTTTTTCTTTGAAAAATGTCAAAACACTCTTTTATCAGCCAACATGATAAATCAATATAATAATAATGATGATCACCCATGGAAATTAAAAAATAAAATAATAAGTATCCTGTGCACAATCATACTATCATTTAAACTAGAACAACTAAAAAAAAAAGAAATCTAGTCATTAAACTAAAACACGACAAAAACAAGTCAGTATCATGTATCACTTAGTACATGGATATTATAATAATAAATAGAATTTAATGTAAAACATCTATGTAATTAACTTTATAATAAAGAGAGAAATGTTGCTAATACTAAAAAAAAAATGGTGAAGTAGATACTAAAAATAATAAAGTAGGTACTAAAAAAGACAAATGATAAAATAAATACAATAGAAAGAAAGAAATGTTGTTAATACTAAAAAAAATGATGATGAATTAGATACGATATAAAGATAGAAATGTCGCTAATATTTAAAAAAAAATGATGATGAATTAGATACGATATAAAGATAGAAATGTTGCTAATATTTAAAAAAAAAATGATAAAACTCGCTTACATCTTGTCTCATCATTTTATCTACTAAAATTAGCTCATAATTGCAAGGGTGATTCATTTTCTTATAAAGGGATCCCTTTGATTTAACTTTTTTTTTTATTTCTTTACATTACATTCATCTTACCTGCCTGCTCTTTGGTCTGCCTTCTTTTTTTTGATCTATCTTTTTCCTTACAAGCATCCTTTAATAACTCAACCACCTCTGTCTGTCTCTCAATTGATCTACTTCTTTTTTGTTTTTGGGCTTGACCGTGGTCGCTAATGCGCATCTGCGTGGTTACGGTCTGCCTTTTTTTTTTTTTATTCAACAAATTCCGGGTTGGTTATCGCCAAGTTACCCACTTTCATCGTAGCGGTACGATGATCTCATTACACTTAAATGGTAAGCTAGTGAAATATTTTTATTTGGATAAGTATCACTCATTTTTTATTTTTTTTTTTTTTTTTTATATGTTAACTTGGTGAACTCAATTGGTGGATTTCTTTTTTTTTTTTTTTTTTTTTTGATTGCTCTCTTTTTTTTCATGATATCTATTTTCTTATATTCTCTATTTGATTATGCGACAATTATATTTTTTTTCTTCTGTCATTTATTTTCTATCCTTACGATATTTTATTTCCTATTTTTGCGCCATCTTATTCTTTGAATTCCGTCAATTATTATTGAATAAAGTGTATACAGCGTAAACCAGAAAGGTTGCATCTTTTTTTCATTTTTGTGGCTCATGCAGTTTATTATTTTCCTATTGTAGCATAATCCTGTTCAAGATCAGCCTTTTTATTTTCTTTTTCTTTTGCTTTTATTTTTATTATTACAATTATTCCTTTGGGAATACCATTAACAAGGTGATGATGATTTCATAATCTTCACTTGATGTCCTTTATGTTGGTCGAGATAACCATTTAGCAAGATATATAAAAGGAACATACTGTTCATATTATTTCTTTATTGAATCAGAGGGTGCGGGTACAAAGATTGTTTGTTTTGGCGGTAACACCAGTAGGTCGATGGACGTTTAATCTATCAATGAATTATATTTTTTTCTATCACCGAATCAAGCTAATTGCAAAACCATTTCCCTTACCCGATGATTATGTACACATGCTATATCCTTTCATTCTCTTCATGTTTTCCCTCATTCTATAATATACCCAACAGACGATCATAACCATATTGAAAGAAACACATAAGATTTGTTTTTTTTTATTAAAAAAAAAAGGGATATAACAAAAGAGGTCACCTCTGGGGGGGGGGGTAGAGAATAGATAGTAGATAAGATATAAAAAGTAAAGATGACAGAGGATCTAATTCATGTCTGGTTTCCCAGTAGTGAGAGAAGGAGCTTGATCATGTTTACCATCAGCAGGATGATTTAGTGAATGAAACGCGTTGGACTCACCATTGTAGTTAGGAGTAATTGCCATCGTTGGGGAAGTAGTAGTAGGAGCAAAACCAGTAGGAGCAGTACCAGATGATAATAACTTCTTTTTTTTATGTTGCATATAAAAGACCACGGCAGCCACGGTCGCTAAAGCCACCTAAAAAAAAATATGGAAGTATGCATGTTAGAAGCGATAATCATCATATATATATTATCCCACTTACAGCAGCGACACATCCAATAACAGTACCAGCAATAGCACCTTCACTAAGAGAGGATGATCCAGTTCCATTGTTGCTATTTGATGAAGAGCCACTGTTCGTTTGATCATAGGTATTAGTGTAGGATCCGTTCAACCACGTCATACTGGTGACATTCAAGATATGTACATCGTTTTGGACAGTGTTGGTGATATCGATACCTCCAATAATATAGAGCATGTCATTGCCCACCATCACCGCTTGATGACCATATCGAAGTCCAGCACCATCACCATTGGTAAAGTTGACAATATTCCAAAATCCAGATACAGTATCGAATGTATAGCAAAAGTCAGAAACGACTATGAAAAAAAGAAATATGTTGAATGATACGGTCTACGTGAGAGTTTATATACATACCTGCATCGTCCATACCCTTACCACCATAAAGAAGCATGTTGTTTGTATTGGGAACTGGATAGAAATAGAGAGTTGATCAGTCATCGATATGGACTAGTTATTATCAACTAATATATGTTTGGGATACTTACTACTGGTCACTGTGTGGAGTTCTCGATGACTGGGCGCGTTATCGGAATTGCTTGGTGTAACGACGTTGAATGTTTGATTTTGAGATGGATAAAATACAATCAGAGAATCAAAACCATAATAACCTGTGAAATCCATATAATCGTAATTCTGTGTAGCATCCCCAGGGCGGATCCCACCAAAGATGTAGACTGTACCATTGCTGCTCGTTGCCAAAGCTTGGCGGTAAACACGCGCGCTAAGTAATAATCAAAGAGAGAGAGAGAGGGAAAGAAATAAGTTAGTCTTATAACAATTAATCTAAAACTTGAAAATATCATACGGTTCTAGGAACAAGTTGCCACCTCTTGTAATAGGATCAGTATAAACTTTCATACTTCCCCAATTGGAATCCTGAATATGAAGAGCATAGACGTGTAAGAAGGGAATGGTTAGTGCATCAATTATAATTTATATTTTTTTTTTTTATTTATACATACCTCTGACTCGACGTAGACATAACTAGAGTTTGATTGAATGACGGTATCATTATTAGGACTGGAAGGAAGAGAAGAAAAAGAGATAAAAAAAAGTGAGTTCCCGGTTCCTCCAAAAAAAAAAAAAAAAAAAAAAAAAAAAAAAATTACGGAATGCCGCCAGCGATCATATATTGAGAGTTAGTGATTTTAACACCACGAGTACCAAACATTTGAATTTCCATGGACATGTTCAATTTGGGCTGTGAATCGTTTAGGCTTTTGAGAGATCCCCAAGTGTTCAAATCTGCATTGTAATCCACAGTGATATTGACAAGACTTTGATCACCATGATTAGTAGAAGGACCAGCACCACCAACGATGGTATATCCTGTATCATTATGATTGATCATAGCGAAATCACAACGTGGTTCCAGTTGAAAGGCACTACTGGGTGGAGGAACAGGTTGCCATTGTGTATTAGCAGCAGATACATTCAACGGCTTGGAAATATCAAGATAGACATGATGATTGTAAATTTCACTATCAAACCACGATAAAGTTTGATTAGAAAGACCTGAATTTCCTTGACGATTGGCACCTCCATAACAATATATCTTTTGATTGGTTAAAATCACACATCCTAGATCAGAAAAGGATTATAATTAGTAAAAAAAAAAAAAAAAGATATTCTTTTATTATAATTATTATTTACCATGTTTATAGACTGGAGGTAATGAATCATTTTGCACCGGATGAACTAGATAGAAAGTGATGATGAAAAGCAATAGATGGTAGTGATTTATCATCGTCATCAAAAGCCGAGAAATAGAAAAAAAAAAAAAGGAAGAGAAAAAAAAAAGCGACAGAAACAAAATCGATAATAAATCTTTATTACTAATGTTGTCTCACTCTTCTATCTTTACAGAACTTTTCTAATCTTTTTATTTGATTTTTCTTTGTATTAGATGTAATGACTCCTTTCAATGATCCAAAAAAAAAAAAGAAAAAATAGAGAGAGATGTTACTATAGCAAAAATGGATAATATTCCAAAAGTCTTTGCCAAAACGAGATAAGATCAGGCACTCTTTAACGGAAGGGCTTTTTAACCCCTGATACTCTAAATGTTAAGCCATTTCCTTTGATTTCTTTGATATTCTTATACTGTTTTATTTATTTATTTTATTTTATATAGAGCGCAAATCAGAAAATGCGTACCTTTTTTTTTTCATTTTGTGGCTCATGCAGCTTTATTTGCCTATTGTGGCACAACCTTGTTGAATAATCGCTATTTTGGAAATTTGAGAAACATCACACTGACTTTTTTATTTTCAGTTCTTTTTAATTATTTTTCTTTTTTTTTTTCTTTTTCTTTTACTTTTTTATTATTATTATAATTATTCTTTTGATAGACATGAACAAAGTGATGATTTTCATAATCTTCACTTTGATCTCCCTTGTATTGGCCGAGACACCTAGTCAACGGTTTTTACAAGGTAAGTCAATACAAACAGCAACATAACATTTATATATTTTTTATTATTATTATTGGATGATTAGGATGTGATGTCTTGGGGACGAAAATTGTTTGTTTTGGAGGTAGCATCAGTGGATCGGTAGATGTTTTTCACCAATTTCAACCTACCAATGAATTTTATTCTTTGGATGTCAGCCAGTCACTGTCACCTAATCAAGCTAAAACTAATTGGGAAGTCGTTCCCTCTCCTAATAATTATGTATTAGAACCAAGAGCAGAGTTTGGTCATGCCGTTGTCAATTCTACAAAATGGGTGATTCTAAGTATGTCAAATCAAATATTATGTATGATTATTCTGTTTTAACCTTTTTTTTTTTTTTTTTTTTTTTTTTTTTTTTTTTTGGTAGGTGGAGCTGGATCAGGACAAAATTATTCTCAGCCTACACTGGTCAACGTCTCAGCTATTTACGATATTACTACAAATCAATGGATAACCTATAAGCAACAAGGAACTCTTTTTTTTGATAATGGGAAACAACCTCCTATTGACTATACTGTCTCTCCGGCGTTTACTCAATTGTAAGTATGATGAATCCATCCTTTTATACATATATAGTTAACTCTTTTTTTTTAAAAAAAAAAATATGGATGGTGATCTCTCGATATAATGATGATGATCTATAGAATAGGCACTGGCGCTTGTAGTTATACTGTTCAAGGAACCACGAAAACACCAGCTATTGCTCTCGATGGTGGTTTGAGGTAAACTGGGAAAAAGTGATCTATCTGAAAAAAAAAGAATAGTGAAATTTAACTTTTTTTTTTCTAAAAAAAAAAAGTCTGAGCAATGCTACATTGATTGATGCTACAATCACACCAGTGTATCAAATGGCCACACCAAATGTAAGTAAGAGAGCGGATCCATCTTCTTTTTTTTTTTAATGACTTGTTTCTTTTCTTCATTTATGATGATGGTAGAACGGTGATTGGAATCAAATGAATGTAACTGCATTAGAAAAACCTGGAACATTCTTTCAGACGATAAGAGAACAATGCGCATATACTACCAACAAATTGTTATTTTCATTTGGTGGCATCGGTTACAATGCGACTCTACAAACATCATTTCCTTTCTACAATGGCACGGATGATGCCAGTCAGGCATCATCATTCTCCGATTTTGCTTACTTTGATTTCAAAGCTGGTACTTTCAACATTTCTTATATTGATAGCACACAACTAACTCCATCCGTCCGTTACTGGCATACACTCACTTCACGTAAGTATATAGAATAGGATGAAAGGTCAATTCTCATATTTTTTTTTTTAATTAATAGTACCTGGGACCAACAAGATCCTTATGTATGGTGGAGTCTATAATCATGTTGGTAAGTAAAAAAAAAAAAAAAAATGGAAGGTTTTATGATCAATGATGGATGATGGGAGGAGAGTATTTGTACAAACGTATTAAATAGATGTTTTTTTTAATTATCTATAGTCAGTCTTGATTACTGTCTAATATTTGATGGCGTTGCACTTCGTTGGTCAGCACCTGATTTTAGCTCAAGTAACAATATACCAGGTCCTCGTTATGGCCACTCAGGTAAGCCAAAAAAAAAAAGACATTTATTTTTTTTTTTTCAAATGTATATATAAGCTCATTGTTTTTTTTTAATGTCCTTTGATTATTGTAGCCGTAATGGTGGGACAAGATACTCTTTATATCATGATGGGTGCAGATATCACACATCAATTGAAGAACGATGTCTATATCTTGAATGTGACCTCGATGCAATGGTTTAATGCTGACTCAAATTCAACATGGCTCACAGCGGGAAATAATGAAAACAACGCTAATCAATCATCCTCCTCCTTATCCCCTGGTGCTATCGCTGGAGCTGTCATTGGTGGTGTAGCCGGGGTATGTAAAAGATAACGGAAGATTGACCATTATTTACTCCTTTTTTTTTTTTATTTGGAATATAGTTATCTCTATTAGTAGTAGCAGCTGTTGTATTTATATACATTCGAAAAAGAAAAAGACAATTGGAAGAAATTCCTCCTCAACCAGATATGTTTTTTGACAACAACAACAATGGACCCTTGTTGTCGGACAATCACAATGAAAATATCAAACCTTCAGAACCACAGCACGAACCTACGAATCTGTTCAAACCATCAGAAGTGCAACATGATGATGAACATACTACTCTGTTCAAACCAGACATGGGTGATGATGATGTTAAAGATATAATGACTAAACCTATGGACACTTCTTCATTAACCAAGCCTCATCTTCAGTAACCCACATCTCATGTTGATCTATAATAAAAAAAGGTTATGGTTTTAATAAAGTGATGATGGATCAAAGCCAATTTAGACATCTTTCCTAATTAAGCTTTAGTTGAACTTGGAAGGCACTCGTTTGCACTAGATGGTGGTTCAAAAAAAAAAAAAAAAAGGATCTAGTTACACCAACATATTATTTATTTATAGTTATGAACAGTGCCAGGAACTAAAGTATTCAATACAAGAGTGGCTCATATTCCAGAGAATGGTTTGAATTTTTTTTTTTTTCAAATGAACTTTTTCTCACTATGGGACAATCTAACTAAAGAAAAAATTTGTATGTTTAGGTTTGAATAGTACGGTCAAAAGGGAAAGAGAGTTTGGAATTCTGCAAAAAAAAAAAAAAAAAAAAAAATCAGGTTCATAGATATTTTTGTATCTTATTATGGGTGTAGATAGATATTTAAAATAAGACCTTGTAGATCTATTTGAGAAAAAAAAATTAGGAAGATCTACATGGACTTTTCGGACATCGGCAAAGTTTGACAAAAAAAAAAATCATGTCAATGGACGGGCTTCAAAAAAAAAACTACCCTTTTTTTTGTGCTTTCTTTTCCTTTTCTTCATTCACTTTTTTTTTCCATATTGGGTGTCCTCTTTGCTTTTACGATCTTGTCAAGGTAGATTTTATTGGATCTGGAGTGTTTTGAAAAAGGGATTTATAAAATACATGGGGAAACCCTTTCATTTTGGATATAGGATTTGGTATAGGTAATGACAAAAATATTTTCTAATGGAATGTCTTTACAGGAAACTTAGATCTATTTTCTTGGTGGTATGAATGAAAAACTGACTGAAACTTCTTTCTTTTGGTTAGGAATGGCAACTTATTGTTAGGATCTTGGTGGTGGACAAATGATACATGGATAATAGTGATAGTTTTATTAGTGGTTCTTTTTTGAAATAAAAATTATTATGATACACAACAATACATGACTTTTTTTTCTTCTTCTTTTTGATGACTATTATTGGATAAGGATATTGACTCTTTTTTTTTTAATTTACTCCAAAAGTTGAAAGGTAAGATGATACATTAAGACAATGATTTCATATATGTTCAATTGATGCAATGATGATAATTTTTGAAAATATGTAACAGCATAAATGAAATTTACGCGTCAAATTTTTTCTTGGTATAGGCCAAGCTAAGCAAAAAAAAAGCATTATCTATTGTTCGTCTACTTTTTAACAATGTTAGCCTCTGAGGCTTTGGATCCTTTTTGGCTATCAATCCATTTTTGAAAAAAAATCGACAAGGAAATGTGGAGATGAATATTGTAAAAAGGATGATTGCCTTCATTAACTATTTAAAAAAGATGCATCAAATCATATTTGATGGCTTTTTTAATCCTCCATAGTTCACATTGACCTGACGCTTAGATAGAATGATTTTTTTTTATTCTCCATAGTACATTGACTTGATATAAAAAAAAAAGATACGTTTAGATAGAATGACCTGTTGTTGGAAAGTTTTCCGTTTTCTTGTTAAAACCGAATTGATTTCTTGGGTTGGGCACGTGAAGTTCCAAGAGGACGGGAGTTGTCTTTTTTCGCGCGACAGTATTTTTTTTTTTTTTTTTTTAATATCAACGTAACACCTTGATGACGATGAGGCTTTTTTTTTTATTGACATGATCAAGGAGACTGATTCCCTATCTATCTTTTTTTTTTTTTTTAAAAAAAAAGGGATGGGCTAGAGTATGTTCATCCCATTACTTCCCCTCCCCCCCAAACGATGTTCGTACAACAAGGATTCGTCATTGTCGTACCAGTGAAGAAGGATCGTTTTTTAGTTCAGTCAATGATCGGCAGACCCCCCTTTGGTTATCGTTCTTAGATGAAACAAAATCCATTGAATTATGTTTTTTTTTTTTTGGTGGCAATTTTATTCCATCATTTTATATTCAATACTAAACTCACTTATTTAAAAAAAAAAAGGGACATAAAATGATAAAGATTCATCCTTTTTTTTTTTTTTTTGGTGACAATGTCGATCCTTGACCATAAAAAGAGAACACTTTGTCTTTAATGAAATCCAAGTGATTGGGGTGTGTTACTAAAGTTTTACTTTCGCGCGCTGATGTCCGATGAATCGTCAAGACGGAGATGTCATCGTTGACCTTAAATGGATAACATGACCAAGCGAACAGACTCTTTTTTTTTCTCTCCTCATTTCTATCATCTGACGTTTGGATTCGTAATATGTGTTTCAATGGGATAATATGAGTTTTTTTTTTTTTTTTTTTTGCATTGAGTAGTAAGGAGATCGAATAAAATGATGATTTTCTGACTGTCTCCGTTTTTTTTTTTCCAAATAATCACTTATTGTTTTTTTTTTAAATGAATTGTTTATCATTTGGAAAGAATTTACTTTGATTCATTCAATTTTTTTTTTTTTTGGTTGTTTTTGTTGCAAAAAAGTGTGCAAGCCGCATGGTTCCTGATACTTCCGTTTTTAGTGGATGCCATGTGTCTGAGCCTGAACCCATTCATGTCCCCCCAAAGAAAAAAAAAAAATAGAATGCATTGGTTAGACATCAAAAAGATTGTTGAGACAATAAGTAATTTTTTTTTTTATTTATTTCATAAACATTCATAAGAGATTAAATAAAGTCCATTGAACAAGCAATGAAACATAAATAAAAGAGTGGAAGATATATACAGGAAAATAATAAAAAAAATGTGATTCCTTTTTTTTTTCTCTTTATAACCGTAATCAATACGTTAAAAAGAATAAAAAAAAAAGTATATAAAAAAAAAGAGCAAGCTCTTTCTTTTGTGGTTAGATGTATGGAAGGAGGAGTATTAAAAAAAAAAAAAAAACTAGACTAAATGATAAAGAGGGTCAGCAGGTTTGCCTTGATGGTATACAGAAGGAGTATTATCTTGCCATTGATAATGTGAGAATAACATTGGATTGACGGTATCTTGATAAGGCATAAAATGAGATCCATTGATTGAAAGATGGTCTGATTGGTATAACATTGGTTGTTGATATGCAGGAGAATCCAAGAAAAAGCCAGCTTGTTGTTGTTGTTGTTGTAAAGTCATGTTAGGATCAGCAGATTGAGTTGACCATTGAGGCATCATTATAGAATCCAAAGGAGCGGCAATAGATTGATTCATTTGTTGTTGAGGAGAGATCATGATTTGATCAAAAGTATTAGTATCAATCAAAGGTGAAGTTTCTTTTATCAAATCCAAAGGTTGTTTTCTAGGAGTTTCTGGTGTCAAAGGAGGGGACATTTGTTGTTGTTGTTGTTGTTGTGATGAAGAAGATTTAGTGGTTGAAACAGTGGCAGTACGTTGCATACCACAAGAAGATGAGGTAGATAAAGGTGGTGTCATAGGTTGAGACGAAGCAGTAGAAGAAGAGGTTTTCTTTTTATCCAGAATATTTTGTTGTTTGGTCATAGCTAACTTGGCAGCTTTAGCTTGTTTCCTTAATCGTTCATTTTGTTTTCGTAAATCCTTGATTTGATTAACATAATTGGTTTCTCTTTGTATGCTTTTGGTAACTAAATCAAAGGTAACAAAAAAAGTTAGTATAAAAAAAAACAAAAACAAAAAAAAAAACAAGATTTTACCATAATCCAATGATTTAGCCACAATCATTGTTTTACTTGGACGGCGTACAGTTTGAAGAGCAGGTAATGCATGCGCTAATTCTTGAAATTTGGAATTGAGTGTTTCACGACGTTGACGTTCCAAAGCATTATGAGCAGAGCGTCGGTCAAGATGAGTTTCAGGATCTTCTTGCAAACTAGCAGGAATGTTTCCACCCACTAAGAAAATACGATGAGTTTTCTCTATATTATTATATGAAATTAAATATTACCAATAGGATAACTAACATAGGTAGATTGATTTCCATTAGGAGATGCACTAAAAGTACCAAAAAAGTTTTGTGCAGCATGACGAATAGATCGACTAGCTTTAGAGATCTTGAACTTTTCTGAAGGCATAATGGTATATCAAAAGGGAATAATAATAATAATAAAAAGAAGAAGAAGAAAAAAAAAATATAATATATATATATATGTGTGAGAGAAAAAATAAAATAAAAAAAAAAAGAAAAAGAAAGAAAAAAAAAGTCAATCCCCCCTTTTATAAGGAAAAAAAAAAAAGTTCACTCCTTCCTCTCCCCCCAAAAAAAAGGCATACACACACACACACATATATACATATAATATATATAAAATAGAATTAGTTCAATTAGGCGTCTACCCCCTTTCAATATATATTAGGAGTTGGAAATGAGTGTTACACTAAAAACAAAGGAAAACATCTGAGCTTGCTTGATTTTTTTCTTTTTTAAGTTAATCATGTAGATTGATTGTTATTACCATTTGATTCTTTTTTCACCGATGAGAAAATACTGCAGTTTTATTATGTAGTCCGTGCATATCTACTTTTTAGATGGATGATTGAATATATATATAAAAAAAAGAAATAAAAGTACCTTTTTTTTTTTTGATCAATAAGGTGTGCGCGCGAGAGAGAAAGTTAATATCTAGACCTTTTTTTTTTCCAAAAACGAAAAGGGGGGGGAGTCAAGCGCGCGAGACCATCTAAAAAAAAAAAAAACGGTGTCAATGACTATTTTGGATAAATGTCACTCTCCAGATTCCCCCCGGGGTTTAAATGTCCGAAGTTGACCTTGGCCTTCCATTTTTAGATCATCTTGGGCTCTAACAACAGAAAAGAAAACTTTTAAGCAAAGCCATTTCTTGATTAATTATTACTTTATAATTGTTTCAATCCTTCAAGACGATGATGTAAACAATCAAGGGTGTAACCAACATGAAGACGACATTGTCACTAACTCATCTATGGATGATGGAACTACATGTGATCTAAAGTTTATGATCTCAAAAAAAAAAAAAAAAAAAACTCAAATATGATACAGTTAAAAAAAAATGCATACATAGATCAAGGTTGGTTTGCATTGTTCAGTAGAATCAGATGATCCTAAATTTTTTTTTTTTCGTTAGATAGATATTCAATTGCATAGTGCATGTCAATAAGGACAACAGTCATTTTTTTTTTATTTTGTTTCTATTCAACGAAGGTATAAAAGGGTTCATCAAAAAGATGAACACCCCCCGATCGCGCGAACATAACTTGTCCCACTAATATATCTATATATATATATACATATATATATATATTGTATTTTATACGTGTTTCTCTCTCTGTGTGTGTGTTGTTGTTGTACCGATTCCCTTTTTTGGGTAAAAAAAGAGTGCCCACGGACATACATTGCTTTTTTTTATTATATCCGATTTTTCTTGTTCGCTCGCTTTCCTTCCCCCCGAAATTAAACTAATCATTGTATCTCGTTCACCCCCTTCCCCCCGAATTTTAGTATTTTTTTTTGAGTCACCTTGCTGACGCGTATAGGAACGACTTTCATGATATAATAGTAAAATGATCGGCAGGGTATTATTATTATGGTTTTTTAAAAGAAACAAGGGGCATAAAAAAAAACACAAGATAAAATCAAATCATTGTTTATTAAAATAATAAGAAACTTAAAAATCTATAGGTTCAGGTAATCCACCAAAGCCAAGATATTGACCAAACATTTCGCGTTCCCAAAATCGTAACATATATTGATCAACATGACCCACTTCTAGATCTAGTTCCACATCTTCTTCTTGAATAGAGGGATGTAATACAGGAGAAGATTGTGCATGAGATGATTCAGATGGTGAGATAATAGGTGTAGGTCGAGTAGATTCTTCAAATTCTTCATCATCCAAAGTCATTTCATTTCTTGCAGCCATAGCAGCTTGAGCATCCATTTTTTCTCCTTCAGCCTCCAATAATGCTTGTTCCATATCTGTATTACTTATACTTGTTGTTGTTGTTGTTGTGTTTCCAGCCACTTCAGGTAAATCTTTCCACCAATCCATTTTTTGAAAATAATCATTTGTAAATCCACCTTCTTGTATTACCATATCATCTAATAATCTATCAAAAAAAAATGATGAGTTCACTTTCTTAAGAAAAAGAATAACTTACCGTTTTTGATTGGCTTTTTTGAAAATATTTTCTTCAATGGTGAATTCCGTCACAAATCGATAAATATGCACATCTCTCAATTGTCCAATACGATGAGCGCGATCTTGGCATTGTTTATCCTAAAAAAAAAACGCCCACACCAAAAAAAGATTAGTTTTTTTTTTTTTTTTTTTTTTTTTGTTTTTTTCATAATTACCATAGATGGATTCCAATCAGAATCATAAAAGATCACGGTATCAGCCCCAGTTAAATTGATCCCCAAACCACCACTTCTTGTTGATAAGATAAAACAAAGAATCCTTTTGTCACTATTGAATTGTTCGGTCAGTAATTGTCTTTGTTCCACTTTGGTGGCTCCATCCAATCGTAAGTAACGATAACCATGCATATTGAGAAACGCCTCCAATACATCTAGTACCCGTGTCATCTGTGTGAAAATTAACGCACGATGGCCACCTGCAGCCAATTCTTGCAAAAGACTTGCTAATCGTTGTAATTTCCCACAATCGTATTGTAATAGTCGTTTGTCTGGAAAACCAATTTGTAATCTTGAGGTCAGAGGATGGAAAATGTCACGATACGTTGTTGTTGTTGTTTTTACATAATAATGTGGTTGCTTGACAATAGCTGCTGGTGTTACAAATGTATATCTTTCAATCACACCCATGAATTGTTGAATTCTTGCTTCATATCCCAAGACACAATGTGACATGACATCGGATGTTTGATCAAAGTAAAGACAAGAATAAGGTTGTGCGTACAATTGTCGACATAAATCTAATAACCCGATACCAAGTAAAGGTTGTTGTTGACAGCGTTGTTGATTGATGTCATGAATAGATTTCCATCGTTCCGTGATCGCCACATGTTCATGCATTGCTTGAATTTTGGCATATGTCTTCAAATCCAGGTATTTGTTCATTGACGTAATTCCACGAGAATGTAAATGACCACTATTATTGTTTCGTTGTTGTATTATCAGATCCAGTAATGCGGGTGAACAATCCAAACAATCATATTCATTGGCCATCCATCGACTCATGGTCATTTCCAGTTGAGGTCTAACAATCACAAGATTCAGTGGATCCAAATTCACTGCATCATCATCCTTGAATCGTCGTCGTGTCCATTGTTCTAATCGTTCGCCTTGTTGTAGTATTTCATCCGTCATACTAAAGCTGGTGACAATCGGTCGTTCTTCAAACAGATCAGGATGGTTACACACCTTTCGTAGTTGCATAAGCGTGTTGATGATACTAAGGAAGTTACCACTGGCCAGTGTTTCCTTGGTCTTCGCTCGGCCCATAAAATCATCATAGAGATACCGTTGACGTTTGGATAGACGACAATACATAATATGTTCATACTTGGCAGGCATTTGTTGTTCCACATCCGATTTGAGTCGTCGTAAAAGATAAGGTCGTAATACAGTGTGAAGTTTTTGAATGGCATTGCGTGATTCTTCCGTCATACCCTGTTGGTTTTCAATCATGCGATCCACCGGTGATGAGAACCATTCCTGGAATTCTTTGAGGTTGGCGAATCCAATCGGCATCGAGGCTGAGATCCCATTCGGCATCAAAAAGTATAATAATGACCAGAGTTCCATCAAGTTGTTCTGTAGAGGAGTGCCTGTCAATAAAAGTCGTCGCTTGGAATTGAAGTTGAGTAACACCTGCCACCGTTGAGATCGAAAGTTCTTGATATGATGAGCTTCGTCCAAAATCAAATACTGCCATTGCTTGCGCCGGAAAGCACTCTGATCTTGAAGCACTAATTGATAAGAAGTGATACATACATGAAAGGCATTTTCCTTGGACCAGCCAGATCGTTTTTCCTTGCGTTCCTTGGGATTACCATAGTAAGTTAAGATCTTGAATCCAGGGAGCCATCGCTTGAATTCCATTTCCCAGTTGAGAATCACACTTGTAGGCACAACCACCAGATGAGGCCCCCAAATCCCTTTTTCACATGCCAATGATGCTAATAGTGCAATGGTTTGAATCGTCTTGCCAAGTCCCATTTCATCCGCCAAGATCCCGTTGAGTCCATTGTTATATAAGCTAGCTAACCAATCCAATCCCACATGTTGATATTCACGTAATGTACCCCGTAGTAAAAACGGAATAGGTGTATCCACTTTGGTAGTAGATAATGTTGTTCCTGTAGGTTGATGTGCTGTTGTTGTCGTTGTTTCTGTTACTGTTGTCATTGATTCTGTATTTGTTGTTGTTGTTGTTGTTGTTGTTGCCTTGATTTCTGGTTGAGTAGTATATTCATGTGAATTTTGATATTCCACTTTGGGTTGTATATGACCTTCATCTTCTTCATCTTCAGGAGGTTCCGATCCATAATCAGTCACTGTACGATCATCATCATCCTCTTCATCATCATCCTCTAGGTCTAATCGGAGTCGTTTGGGTGAACGATCATCTGTTGATCCATCGGATAAGGAGGATTTTCTCGTGGGAGATGCAGTCGGCAGTATTGTTTGTTGTAAACAAGAAGAGGACAATGGTTGCTGCACATCTGTAGGTTGCAAATCGTCTGAAGTAGAGGGGTATAATCTTGCATGCAGTTTGTCCAAAGGTAGTTCGGCTTCCGTTGTCAAGGAAAGTAAGACCTGATCATCATCTTCACTTTGACTATCATCAGAGATCATATCATCAGCAGTATCCTTTTGAGATGAATCGGTTGAATATTCAGAATCGTAAGTATTGTCATCATCACTAGCCATCATCAACGTTGCCAACATGGATTTTTCTTCTGTGTGCAAAGCTTTCTTTTCAGACACCTCATCATCCGATATAATGTTGTCCCCAGTATCTTCTTCCGAATTATCTGTCAGATCGTATTCTTTTGTTGTATCTGGCGTCAAAGGTTGTTGTAAAGATCGATATTTCTGTGCGAGTTGCTCTGGTGTCAAATGGTCATCTTCATTGATTTCATCTTCACTTTCAGTATCGTCTGAGATAATAAAATCATCGTTTTCTGCTTGTTGATCATTTGAATAATCAGAATCCTCCAGTTCCTTTTGTTGATTGTCGATTGTATAGAGAGATTGATACTTTTGTGCAAGTTGTTCCACCGTCAAATGATCATCTTCATTGATAATCTCTTCACTATCATCATCATCATCATCATCGATATAATGATCTCGTTCATCCAATACATCATCGTAAGCCATAGGAGAATGATCGCTACTATTGTCATCAGACCAATCATCTGTCATATGTGTAGATAAACTTTCTTCAGGTATGTTGTCACTACTATCAAGAGGACTTTGTTGTTGTATCGGAGAGGAAGAAGCCGTCAGTTCATCCATACGTACACCTAACATTTGTTCCGAGTGTTCCAAAATCATTTCCAAATGCCGCCTGCTTTTCTTCGCCTGTTGTTCCTTAAGAATTTCCTTATGTCTTGCTTCACAAATTCGTTCCACCACGCGCCATTTACTTCGCACTTGTTGTACAGTCCATTTTGCCAGTTTCATTAATCGCTTTGTTTCTTCTCTTTGTGACCTTTCTTCACGCGTTCGAATGTTTTCCCAGTACTTGTCCACCGCTTTGGCACATTTGCGAGCTGCATTACGTCGATACCTTGAATGAGCTGAGAAGTTTTTTGATGCTGTGATGGCTTGAGATACCAATGATTCATAAACAGGAGAACAAGAAGGATCTCGTCTATGATGATGATGATCTATAAATTGTGGTCGTCGACTTGCCATTTCTTTCCATTGTGTTGTAAATCCACCAGACTCTTCCAATTGTCGAATACGTTGTCGTATTGTTCGTTCTTTTGCCACCAAAGCATTGATTTGTTCTTGATCCTTTGCATCCTCTATATCATCCAAAAACATAAAAGTGGCCAAATAACTTTCTAGACTTGGGTATTGTCGATTAAATCGTCGGATACCAGTACCAGATCGAATAGAATTGACAGCTACTGGAGGGAGTTGTTGGCTGGGTATAGTTGATAGAGGGTTGGCAGTCAAGGCATCCAATTCCAATGAATGTTGAAGCATGTTGATCAACGGTAAATGACGATTAGGTTGAAGATGTCGAGTCCTCACAGGTCGATCTTGTTTGTGTTTCTTTATCAAATAATCGTTGGCAAGATTCCATAAATTGTAATCAAGAATAAACTAAAAAAAAAAAAAAAAAATTCCAGTCAGTCATTGCATATAAACTTTTTTTTTGGTTTTCTTTTTTTTTTTTTTTTTACCTTTGTGACACGTTCATCGGTATTGAAAGAGGTTGGGTCATAGTCTACAATGGATTGATAGACTTCCAAATGTGCCCATTCCCTAACCAAGGTATCATGTCGAGCCAAGCAAGTTTGAAGTTCAAGTTCACGTTCACGAATAGCCTGATTGCGTATTTTGTCCAAAGTAGATTGAGGAGTAGGACGTAATTGAGCAACACTTTTCTGTCGTTGTTGCATTAAGAGTTCGGCCGATTGAGCTGGAGGTATAGATTGTTTTTTGGATGATTGGTTTTGTTGAGTGAGAATATTTGGTTTTCTTCCTCTTCGTTTGACAACATCCTGTTGTTGCTGTTCAACTAAAGGTCTTCTCTTCTTGCTACTAGGTGGACGACCTACTTTTCTAGAGTTGCGTTGTGGTATGGACGTAGAACCAGAAGAACTATCATCATTGTCTTGTGAAGATTTTCGTTTTCGACAATGCCTTATGGATCGACCCTCACCGTTTTCAGGTTCCAAAATGTTGTGCGAATTAATATCACCATCAGTATCAAAAAGTGATCGTGTTTTGATGCCCTTGAGTTTCTTTTCGATCATAATATTACGTTTTGTTTGCCTGTTAGTCCGTTTATGTTTAGATGGTGAGGATGTTTCGGGACTGATCGAATTATCATGATTTGTCGAATGGAGTGTTGATATACTGGTGTCATCTAATTCTTCCTTTTTAACTAATGAATGTGATATAATATTCCTATCAAGACCTGATATATCTATTGAAAATAATTATAAAAGAGAGTCAATATTTTTCTTTAAAGCTTTGACAAAACAAAACAAATAAACCAACTAAGAGTTTTTTTTTTTCTATCCTTGAATATCCTACTATTTTCTATACAAAATCATTCTTTTTTTTTTTTTTTTTTTTTTTTTTACCTCTATGAGAATCATTATCATTCATTATGGAATAAACCAGAAGGAATGGATATTAAAAAAAAAGAAAAAGTGAGAAGAATAAATAGAAAAAAAGAAAAAAAAAAACGCAAGAGCGCTGAGTCTGAAAAGTGACAACCATTCCATTTCATTGATATTCAAAAGATGTAGACAGTTCAAAAAAAGTAAAAAGATGATGATTTAATATGATAATAATAAAACAAAAATTGCTAACTAATCAAACAAAGATATAAAACAGTACTGATTTCAGTAAAGATAGTAATACAAAGAAGGAGGAGGAGGGGTATTGTTCCATTTATTCATCACTAACAGTTCGACGACGAGTAGTAAAACTTGGTAGAGATTGAGTTTCATTGACTTGACTTTGTTGTTCATGAACAGTACGAGAATCTTCATCTTCACCTTTTTGAATCCATTTCTTCAATAAACTGACTTGGAAATTACCAATAAACAATCTAACAAAATAATCAAAAAGATAAGAAAATAAATATGATTTGATTCAATTTTTTTTTTTTAAAAAAAAAAAAAAACAAACTTACTGGCAAATATGATACATAAGTAAAGGTAAAGAAAGAACACCTACTACACCAGCACTTGTACCAGAATATAAAACATTGATTAAAGGAATCCCCATAGAAACAGTTTTGGTAGCACCACAATACTATTATAATAATTAAAAAAAAAACATCAGTAATCATAAAAAAAAAAAAAAAAGAATCAATAGTTTTACCATGACAGCAGCAGCATCTTTTCTGCTCAAACGATATCGATCTAACCAAGTAGGTTCTCCATAACGTTGTGGCCAAGGCAAACGACATACGAACAAACAAAGAGCACAACCAAACAGATATAAAAAGATATCAACACCAATGATAGCGACAATATCCACACCAGATAATTGATGGAAAGCATCACTTGCTACACCATCACAAAAGACAGACCAGACCATGATTAAAAGAGCTATACTGTTGATGATGGGAAATTTTAATTTTGCCGACAAGTATTTGATCTGCTTCGGGAACAAGAATCGGATCACCTGACCCACGACTAATGGCACCAACACAGTCAATCCTAATTGAAAAAGAACTTTGATATAATCAGGTTTGCCACGTGCACTACCGGGAGGGAACAGTATGCGATCATCACCGAAGACTAATGATTATTATTAAAAAGAATGTGAGGATGATGTCATTTATTATTTTTTGTAACTTACTTGTCATTAAAGCAGGGGAAATGAAAATACCAAGGACATTCCCTAAAGCAGCATTAAATACGGCTATATAATAATAATAATGAGTCATGTGTAAAATGGTTTCACACTCTTAAAAAAAAAAAAAATTTACCAGCACCATCATTCCCATTTGCATTTCGAGTCATGACGGAATTGGAAGAAACGGTTGTACTTGTGGATAAGGCAATGATCCAACCTTGATAAACCATTTCATCAATATGAGCACCAACAATAATAAAAAAACGGACAATACCCCAAGCCAGGAACGGTAAAATAAGGAAATTGATGACTTGAACATATAAATGAAGTCTCCAACGTAAAATAGTTCTTAACATGACCTTGACATCCAATCCCAGACCAGATAAAAGAAAGATCACAATTACAGCACCCCATTTGACAGTATATTGAGCTTGAATAGAACCATACGATTTGCCTACAGTAGGAATGGCCCATGCAAGGCCGATCACAAAAGCTAACCCCAATAAAAACCAATATTTTACAAATAGTTGCCAAGCCGTTTGTCGTACTCGAATCCAAAGGGGTTTTGGTGGTGTCACCTTTTCTACTTCTGCTTCTTGTTCCAAGCCATGTAAACTAGCAGATTTCAATGTACTTCCTTGACTAGAGACATTAGATTCCATTTCAACACAATGAATCTCCTTCACTTGAGTGGTTGTTGTCGTTGTCGACATATCAATGTAACACTTCTTTGATAAGTAAAGAAAAACAAGAAAGAAAAAAAAAAAAAAGAAAAGAAAAAGAGATTATTTAATTCGGACGGGATTCACACTCCGCGAGCATGGATTTTAAGGTTTCCTTTTACACCAACCAATCAGGGATTAGCTGATTCCCGCTTTAGCGGATCGATGTCTATCCCATCTTTGACATATTAGTTCAAGATCCAAAATCAATTATAAAACCTATACCAAACTAATGAGGAGAGTAGATCTTTATTATTCATCTTTTTTTCCTTTTTGTAGTTATTAATTAGTTGTTTTTTTTCTTCTTTCAATCCATTTTATAAACACCTTTCAAAAGTAAAAAAGGAGGCGCGGTATCACAAAAAGAAAATAAAGATGTTATCATATTTAAAACAAAAAAAAAACATAATACTATTTTACTGTAACTCTAAATTGGGTTGTCTTAAATGGTAGATCGAGTCCAGCAACCAATAACCATACTTTGTTTTCATATCATCATATCTTTAAAATAATAATAATAATAATAATAACATAGAACCAAGATCAATTAATTGATAAAAAAAAAAGTTTATTGTGTATATAAACTAAACTAAAAATGAACAAAATTGAATCAAAGAAGCAAATACGAATCCAGCGTGTTGGTATAAAAAGAATGGAAAAAATAAACATCATAAAAGGAATATACAAGTGGTACAAATAATAATAATAATAATGAAGACAAGTGGGTAAAAGGACATATATATAAATAAGGAGAAAGGCGTTCCTTTTTTTTTTTTTTTTTTTACTTGGCAGGGGTTATAGACATTTCACCTATGTCATCTTCAATTACACTATGTCGATCATCAAATGGATCATTATTGGAAGCTACTAACATGGGTGCTGAAATCCGTTTTGTTGAAGAATCATCCTTAGTTTTCAATGATTCTAAAGTAGTTGATGTACTATTGTTGCTATTGTTCTTTTGAGGTCTTGATGGTGCTGTGTTGGAACGAGATAATGAATGAATGGAATTATCCCGTGTTAAGATCGTACGTACTGATCCACTACGACTAAGTGTACCATTGCTTGATCTATTATCTTCCACCAGTCGATTGACTCGCATGACGTGTGCTTTCATTCGAGTTGCTTGGAATGCTTGACCTGATTTCAATGCTGGTTGATGTTGGATTTTACCTATAGTTGCTGTCATTGCTACTGAACCACGTTGACTTAAACTACTGAGACTACTATGATCATCATCATCATCTAAATAACTTGAACTGGATATAGGTCGTAACTGATTACCGTTGTTATTATTATTATTACTATGGTTGTTGTTGTTGTTGTTGTTTATATGTTGATCTATATGAAGTTGATGTCGTTGAGCTGATGATAATGAAGCCAAAGAAGTGGGAATCACAGGAGTTGGTGATAATCCAGTTGTCATTCTGGAAGGAGATCTTGTTGTTGTTGTTGACATGACTACAGATGATGTCTATAAAGAAATATTATATATAAATAAAAAAAGAAAGAAAGAAAGAAAGAAAAAAAATAATTAGATCATGATCAAAATTAAAAAAAAAGTATAGGATTTACCGTATCCAAACGATTATTTCCAGGTACAATAAAAGGAAGTCCTCGTTTTTTCTGTTTTTGATGTCGAAAGAGCCAACAAAGGGCAGCAGCCAATAAAAGCCCACCGCCTACTAATCCACCTACAATGCCCCCAATCATAGCACCATCAGGACCATTACTGTCTTGTTGTTGTTGTTGTTGACCACCATTATTATTGGTGGAGTTGCCTGAGGTTGGAAGACCAAGTATGGAATTGCTGATACAAGATGATGAAGGACAAACACCACATGACTTCATAGTACCAAGAACACAACTCATATCTGTAGAACATGGAGGATTGCAAACTGCTTGACAATTACTAGGTGTACAATTGCCTGTATTGTTTCCAGAAGCTAATTTTTATTATATATATAAAATAGTCAATAAAGTTGTTTTATTAATAATAGAAATTTTACCTAATTGACAATAAATCAATGAAGGAAAAAATAGAAACACAGCCAAGACGGACGTGCTTTTCATCATTAAGAGATCTATAATACAATGGTCATAAAATAGAAAAAAAAAAAAAGTACAGAGAAAGAAGAGTGCAAAAAAAAAAAAAATAATAAAAATAAAAATCAATTTGTTGTCAACAAGATTCTAGAACACACCGGAGCATGAAACACGATGATTTCCTAAATACAAAAAAAGGCCCAAAAGTGTACTACAAAGGCACCAAGTTGTTTTTTTGATTCTCAGAAAAAAGGGAAGAATGGACCGCTTCCTTTGTTGGAAATTTAAATTGTTATGTGATACATAATAAAACTTTTTATTTTTTTTTATATTTATTTCATTGGGATGATTGTCAAAATATCATCTAATAAATCATCAATAATATAAGATACTACATTCACGAAAAATAAATAAATAAATAGGATGATCCATTTTACTTCGATTGTTTTAATCAATGATATCCTTGTTCATCTTTTTGTTGAGAAAATATAAATTTATTATAATATATATATATATATAAAGGGTATGATATAAAGGGAAATATCTATAAGGGAATAAAAGAATGATATATTTAAACTTCAATAAGGGCAACTTGATCTAATCGGACAAATTCACCTCGACTTGGTGTAGTAGTAAAATAACGTTGTCCATCCACTGATCCATCCGATTTCCCGACTAAAAAAAAAAAAATATAAATATAAGTCCCAACAAATCTTTTTCTTTTTTTTTTTTTTTTTTTTTCTTTCTTACCTCTTCTATCTAATTCAACACCGACCCAGATACCATCAGCAAAAGTAACATGACCAACAAATGCCACCGTTCCTATTGTCAACACGGGTCTAGATATCAGTTTGACTCGTCGTCCTACAGCCACAGTTTGTAAAATTTCCATATGATGTGTCTTATTCCAACGTAAACTGATGGCCTTGAGAGGCCAATACCAATGATGAGAAGATTCCTTCTTGATTACTTTGATACTATCTTCTTCTTCTTCTTGTTTAAATTTGGCAATATTGATTGTTCGTTGTTTATGATGATTGGATTTCCTTTTAGATAAAAATCGAGTCCAAGATTTTTCTCCGGTATGTTGTTGATGTTGTTGTTGATGATGATGATGATGGTGATGATCAGTTGTTTTGATCAATCGATCTAATGGAAGGGTCAAATCTAAACAAAAAAAAAAAACAAAACAAAAAATCAGGAAAAGTACTAAACCTTTTTTTTTTTTTTTTTGGTTACCTTGAGACAATTGATTTAAAACAAAATGATCCAATTTTTCAAATTTCTCATGAGCTCGAATTTCCTTGACATGATAAAAAATATAACGTACGATTTCATCCTTGATACCATGAAAGATTTTCTTGAGATGAGAAGAATGTTGAACAGCATGACGAGCCATAAGATGTCGGACCACACCTTGATAAAGAGTACAAGCATTTTCGGGAGTCATTTGATCATGAATGGTGCGAAGTAAAAGATATTCCATAAAATCCGAGGAATAGACGATACCATCAATGCAGGAGAGTAAAGTTGGGTATTCGGAGCAATAAAAATCAAAATGAGAAGCAATAGTAAGAGTAGCCTTGGAACGAGCAGCCTTGATGGAAGCCTGAAGAACACTTTCTTCTTGTTCTTCTTGTTCTTCTTCTTCTATAAGAGCCAATAATCGATAAGAAGCTACATAACAACCATGAAGAGATTCAATGGCACTTGTTTTACTAATATGGGCCAATAAGGATTGTGTCAAAGGATTGTCAATGGTATAACCTTGTAATAAATCCATCATCGAGGGACAAGTCCAAAACGAGCCAAGAGCCTTTTCAGGATCAGAGGTCATGATGGTCAGCGCAGCGTCTGTCAGTTTCAACATACAAGGGTCGGTCGCACGCGGTTGGGCTAATGCGTACAGAAACGGTACAATATAAGCACAAGCGTCGCAGTAACAAGTACAGTGATGACCTAGCGCCAAAAGCTTGTTGGTGATATCGATGCAGAGTTGAGGCATGCCTAAATAATCGGCAGCGGCATAAAGATCTTCCAATTGATCCAATTGTAGTAACATATCCTCCGTCGTTTGTTCCAAACAAAGTTCATTGGTATACATGAATTGTAGAATAGTCTCTAAAGTCGTAGTATTGTTGAATATCCCACAAGGCATAAAGATAATCGTCGCCCCAGATTCTTCAAATTCACAAGCAAACATAGCTTCAAAATATTTGGAATGTTTCGATAATATATGTTTGTGACAAGGCCACCGTGTTCTTTCATTCTTTGTAGTTGGTATCATAGTCGTATTGGATGACCCTAATACTAATATAACATTGGCTGGTGGTGATTCTTGTATAGAAAACATGAGATGTGTGTAAAAAAAAGAAAAAGAAAAAGAAAAAAGAGTGTGATGTAAAAGAAAAAGGGGGTAAAAAAAAAAAGGAAATCGAATAACTTTTGAACAAATAAGAGTAAAAAAAAAAAAAAAAATCGAACGAAAAGCTAATAATATTTTTATGGTGAGATTTTTTTTTTTTTTTTTGTCCAATCAACATTCAAGCTGCACTAAAAAGTACACAACATAGCCATATGACTCTACATTTCTTTTATTGAATATATTTATAGACTAGCCTAATTCTTTTGAGATCTATGATACCACCACCAAATAATACCGGCCATAGCAGTCATACCACCAAGAGCCAAAGCAAAACTAAATGCATCCTTATTTTGTTGTTGTTGTTTCTTGCTTTTTCTTTTCTTGCGTCGAGTCTTCTTCTTTTGAGTATCCTTTTTATTTTTATCAGGTTGAGCATCCCAATCCATGATCACAGGCACACCAGTAGGAGCCACCAATCTTTGTGTTGTATCTAACTTTAAGGCACGTCCAAACCATTTTCCTGCCAATAATAAATCTTGATCCACACCCATTCCATTTGCATATACAATCCCAATGTTGTAACAAGCTTGTGCATGACCCAGAACAGCCGCTTCTTTCCAATACCGTAAAGCCAATGGTGCATCCACTTCAACCACCGTAGTTGATCGAACAGTTTCACCTTCCGGTTGTGACCCATATAGATAAATAAGACCTGTTTGGAAGGCCGAGCTACTAAAGTATCGTTCATCACGTGTATAGGGCGTATGATTTCGTAATATTGATTTGGGAATATGTTGTTGATCCAATAGGCCAAAATCCAAATCGATATGAGGAGCCGTTATCAACATACAACGGTTATAATAATATAAAGCTTGTTCATAATTCTTTTCAATTCCAGCATCCGTTGAACCAGATCCATAAAGAGTACCCACTACATAACAAGCCAAAGGATCAGGTCCACTATGACTGCCAATCACTTCAGATGGAAGATCTGCTGCACGTTTATACCATTCAAATGATTTTTTGGCATCCTTTTCCGGATAAGTGGTAGCATTCGGGACAGTTTCTTGATCAGACTTAAATTTATACAAAAAAAAAAAATTCAATCACCTAATTTTTTCCTTTTCTTTTTTTTTTTTTTTTAATGACATTTACCTCATATAAAGCAGCCGCCTTTACCATTGATTTTGTATGACCTCTTTCTGCAGCATTCAAATAATAATCCAATGCTTTCTATAAGATAATATAAAAAAAAAAATTAATTTTTTTTAGTTCCTTCTTTTCATATCCATTGAAATTACCTTGAGATTCCCCATTCGAGTTTCATGCCAATGCGCCAAATGATATGCACTTGTAACATCTAAATCCATTTCAGATTTCCAACCAGAAGAAACAGGAATAGCCCAATCCAATCCTTCATTTTCCTTTTCTAAATGAATGGTAAGAATACGATATTTTGTTTGTTGTTGTTGTTGTTTTATTGGAGGAGGTGTAGCTATCGAAACAGGTGAAGTAAGAGCTACAGGTGATGAAGGTTGAGAAGATAATTCTTCAACCATTTCAGAAGAAGAAGGAGGAGAAGATGAATCTTGTTGATTATTATTATTATTATTGTTATTGTTGGTACCAAGAGCTGCCGTTTGTTGTAACAAATCTGCCATTTGAGCTGAAGATGAATCCAAAGTCAATGATTCCGTAAGCGCCGGCGCAGGCAAGATCATGGACGAGTTGGGTGAGTGATTAGGAGACATGAATGCATAAGATGAAGCAATGGAAAGTGAAGGAGACGCGGTTAATGAAGAAAAGGGAGACGCCGAGTTTTTTTCCAATTGCCATAAAGAATCAAAATGATTGACTGTAGCGAAAAGTTTAGCCTATTTTTTTTAAAAAAAAAGAGGAAACATGATAAGTATAAATATATATATATATATATATATCTATTGAATAAAACTTACTTTGAATACAGGTTCTTGACCTTTTAAACCAGCCTTGACATATTGATTATCAATGACTATATCTAAATCCTTTGATTTTGAACTTTCGGGTACTAAGAAAGAGATGGTAACTTGATCACTACTTTGACTCCAAATATAAGTATTCGCCTGAAGTTGTTCATCAGAGTCAGACATTGTGATGATAAAAGAAAGAAAGAAAACTTTAGAAGGGACAAGAAGAAAAAAAAAAAAAAGAGAGTTTAAGGAAAAACAAACATGGGCCAAAAGAAAAAATCGGTATTTGAAAGCCATGAATCTACTATTTTTTTTTTTTTCTCGAGCATATGTAGACACAGACTCTGCATACAAATTTATAGTCATATCAAAATAAAAAAAATTATTCAATATATATGTAGTTTTGTTTTCTTTATTGAATATCAAATGCATCAAACTAATCTACAATCAACATATAAAATAAACTATATATAATATATATATATATAAATTTTAATAATAATAATAATCTTTATGTTGTTTTCTATTCGCGGTGAGACCAACCTACTTCACCCATGGTATCCACAAACTTGCTATCAGCCTTATTCAAAATCTTTTCACGTAAATCACCAAAAATATCTTCACCATCCACCTTTTTAAAGTGTTTTGGTTCCCAAACAATCTTGTTTTCTTCACGTTCCTTTCGTAATTGTCGTTGAGCATTTTCAATCAAAGATTTTTCATTAGATGCCGTCATATAATCACCAGCCACTAATGCTTCAGAAACTTTTTGCCAAATACGACGAGATTCCAATTCACCTTGTTCAGAAATAGGAGCCACTTGAGGTTTAGGTTTTTCAAGATCGGTTAAATCCAAAAAGTCCACAGGAGATTGTTTATATTTGGTCAAAGTAGATTTACCAGTCCATTGTCCTTCAATCACAGTAGGTCCTCCTTGATTCATCTTATTTTCATCTTGAGTCACAGTAGCCTTAAAATGATGTACTTCACCAGAAATCCATCCTTTAGTTGTATATTCAATGGATGCATGATAACCACTTGATGATTGAATATAAGATGTACCATATAATTCAACATAAGGTGCTTAATAATAAGAATATATTAGATCAATTCAAATATATATATATTTTTGTGAATATTTTACCTGCATACCAAATACCATTCACAGACAATGAAGGTAAAGTAAACAAAAAGGTTTCATTCTTAGCAGCAAGTTTCAAAGTACAATAACCCACTTGATCTACTAACATTTGAGTTCCAGAGAATCGAGTCTTTTGTCCATCATGACCAATAACAGATACACCAGCTTTATCATTACTAATATAAAAACCAGAAACAGGAGGATGATGTGATACCTGTTCACAGATAATACGAGTACCATCTTCCCAAGAACAATAAAATTGTTCACCTAAAATAGGATTAAAAGGTTTCTTTTCCCATTCACCTTTAGGTACACGACTAGAAAAAGATCCATTCAAAGAAGAGATAAACCATTTAATGGCTGCATAGAATCGTTCTTCTGCATCATCTGAATCACCAATGGAACTAAACTAAAATATAATACAAGTTAATATTTTTTTTTCTCCCCTTCCATCCTTTCTTCCTTTTAATTTACCAAAGTAGGTTGATCAGCCCAAAAAGATCTATAATATAATAAAAGAAAGTAGATCAGGTTAGAGAAATATGCCACGTGTATCATCATTGAAGTCTTTCAGTGTAACCACCATCATATCATATGAAAGAAAGAAAAAATATCACTTTAGTAAAAAAAAAAAAAAAAAAAAAAAAAAAAAGAAAAGTTTGTAATAAAACAAAAAGAAATGATGATCTTCACTTGTTTTAAAAATGGATTCTTTTTTTTCTTTTCTTTTTCTTTTTTTTACAAAAAGGATAAAATATCATTCTTCATTCATATATTATGAAACACTATTTTCCCTCTTTTTTGTATTAATGATGAAAACTTACGAATATTCCAATAAAGAGATAGGAGCCAATAAAAAGGAAGGACAAGTCAAACTTGAAAGATCACCAGTAAAAGAAGCAAGTGTTTTCAAAAAAGAAGAGAAACTACCTTGTTGGTCAGCAGGAATACTTTCAAGAGCATTATCGTTACTCATGATAAGAATTATTTTTTATAATAAAAAAAAAAATAAGGTAGAGAGAGAGAGAGAAAGAGAGGGGAAAAAAAGGGGGGAGGAGAAATAAACAAAAATACTTTACGGCCAAACAAATTTTTTAAAATCGCTGATTGGATAGAATGGAGCAGATCCATTAAATCAATGTCAGTTTGCTATATATTATTGAATGCTTCTGTCTTTATCTCATCATAACAAAATATTATATATTATTAACTTATATAAATAAAAGTTATCTTTATTTTTATGATTTATTCTGAGGATTTTTTATGTCCTTATGCCTAAAATGAAAGGAATCTAACATCGTATCTGAATTTCAAAAGAAGGATGATAAATTTTTTGGGGATACTTTTTTACTTTTTTTGGTTCTCTCTCCACAATGTTGAAACATGCCTGATATCGACAATTTTCGACGAAGCACATCCGTTTTTCGAGAATATGAAGAAAGGTGTTTGCATATCAATATTCATCGAACGAATGATATGTCGCTTGTTTTCAAGCCAAACAACGATGGGACTCTACTGACTACTTTACAGGATTTGGTATTGGACACATATGATGCATCCAATATTCTCGTCTTTGTACCAACGAGGGAAGATGGACTCAACAGCACCCAACGACGTTTTCTCAACAAATTAAAACTAGTGTTACTGAACAATTCTCCAGAAATCTCTGAGCCCTCAGATGGTGAACGATTTATCGATGATTTGGTCAGCTTTTTATGTATACAAGCGAATTTGGATGAAGGTCTTGAATTATCGATGCGACCTTGCCTATTGCGATTGATCATTGGCGAAGAAACATTTACTGCGAATACAAACAAAGAAGGACGACGACGTGGTCGGGAATTGATTTGGTTACTTCAAGAAGACAAGCATCGAAATAGCACTACCTATAAACATGGTGATTTGCAACTGGCTTGTTCAATGATTGCCGCTATTCAACGAAATTATATCCATTACGATACCATCAAACCAAGAAAACTATTAGGGATGAAAATCGCAGCTGATAAATTCTATTTTTACAGTATGGAAGCAACAGAAGAATACATCAACGAATTATTTGGTGGGTTGCCGCAACAACAACAACACATCGTTATCCACCGATATCCCGAGAATGGATTGTCTCTCGCTGATCCCACCGAACGAAAGGAAATACTGAAATATCTGTCATTATTGTATAGGGAAGCTTTGTCCATGGATTAAAACAAACACGCACATTTGCATTGCATTAAAAACAGATCCGGCACATAGTTTTTAGTATGATTTCCCCTTTTATTTAAAAAAAAAAATAAAGACAAATACTTTTGATTGCGATGACTTAAAATGGTGATGGAACAACGTTTGTATAAAAATGATCGAATTTATATGAGAAAGTATTCTATAGATGATGAAATGCGTGTAAAAAAAAAAAAAAAAAAAAAAAGAAAAAGAGACTTTTTTCAACAAAGACGGATGTGTATTTTTTTTTTATTAAAGCAAATGAAAGAGAATGTGTGGTACAATTTTGATGCAATGATGATGATTTTTGAGCGAGCTATGATACAAAAGTATACAACGATCCGTATCTCATCATGGAAAAATATTCTTTGATAAAATATGATATTGAAAAAATCATTGGATTCAAAGCACAAATTTTTAGATATTATGTTTATTTAAAAATAGGCCTTTTTTTCATTTTAAGATATATATATATATATAATGAGATGATTCCTCGAAATGAACTACATTTGGGCGTATTTGAAGGGCAAATGGGAAGTGTGGTTGAATTGAACATTTCATATTCCGCCCCTAAGATATTCCAAAAGAGGAGAGATTGACTCATTGATTTGGAGCAGTCCAACCAAATCTTTCAATTTTTCCCTGTCATATCAAACAAACCGTGATTTTTTCCTTTTTCTCTTTTTTTTTTTCTTTTTTTTCTTTTTTTTTTTCATTATTATTATTATTATTTAATCATGGCTCACGAAGCTCGTGTTAATTCTGTTGTCGATAGTCTTACTAAAGCACCTCGTAATATTCAATTCCCCACTACTAAGGATGGTCGTCTTCAATCCACGTCAGAAATCTTTGGTCAAAATGTCTTTTCTTTAAAAGAAATGGCAAAGATGCTTCCCAAACCTGTTTACAATAATTTTATCAAACAACTCAAGGGTAACGAAACTTTGGATAAAGTCACTGCTGATGCTATTGCTCATGCTGTCAAGGTGTGGGCTATTCAACGTAATGCTTCTCACTTTACTCATTGGTTCCAACCTTTGAACGATTCTACTGCTGAAAAACATGATAGTTTCCTTACTTTAAAATCAACCTTTGTGAATGGTTTTGAAGAAGTAAGTTTTAAAAGAAAAAAAAAAGGGAATGAAATGGGTTACTTATTATATATATATAGGTCAATGCTATTGATACCTTCTCTGGTTCTCAATTATTACAATCAGAACCTGATGCCTCTTCTTTCCCTTCTGGTGGTATGCGTACTACTTTTGAAGCTCGTGGTTATACTGGTAATAAAAAATCAATCATTATTATATTATTTTTGACAGATCCATTGAATTTTTTTATTTTTATTTTTGGTTTATTTATATAGTCTGGGATACAAAGAGGTAATACATAAAAATAACAAACAAATAAATCAAATTATTAACATTATTATTTTAGTCCTATGTTTATTCAAGATGGTCCTCATGGTACTTCTATTCTTTATGTACCTTCTGTCTTTATTTCTTATAATGGTGAAGCTTTGGATGAAAAATCAGTTCTTTTACGTTCTGCTGAAACTTTGAATAAGGTTGCTGTGGAACTTCTCAATATGATTGAACCCAAGGATGAAGGTAAAAAAAAAAAAAAAAAAAAAAAAAAAAAAAAAAAGGGAAGATGAGGTAACTGATATATTCTTTTTTTTTTTTATAAAGATCATCCTCGTACCAAGAATGTGTTTGCTACTTTGGGTACTGAACAAGAATACTTTTTGATTGATCGATCTCTCTATACACTTCGTCCTGATCTCAAGATTACTGGTCGTACTTTGTTAGGTGGTCTTCCTCCTCGTCATCAACAATTAGAAGATCATTACTTTGGTAAAATCCCTACTCGTGTCTTGGCTGCCATCAGTGAAGCTGAATTTGAATTGGCTCGTTTGGGTGTACCTATCAAAACTCGTCACAATGAAGTGGCTCCTGCTCAATTCGAAGTGGCTCCTATTTTTGAAGAAGCTATGTTGGCTGTGGATCATAATATGTTGACTATGGATGTTCTTCATCGTGTGGCTCATCGACACAAACTCAAGGTCCTCTTCCATGAAAAACCTTTCCGTGGTGTCAATGGTTCTGGAAAACATTGCAATTGGAGTTTATCTACTGATCAAGGTGATAACTTGTTAGATCCTGGATCCAATCCTGAATCCAACTTGCGTTTCTTGATGTTCCTTGTCGCTACTTTAAAGGCTGTTTATGATCATGGTGATTTATTACGTGCTGGTATTGCTTCTGCTTCTAATGATCATCGTCTTGGTGCTCATGAAGCTCCTCCTGGTATTATCTCTGCTTTCTTGGGTACTCAATTGAATGAAGTGTTGGATGCTGTCGAACAAGGTCGTCCTGTGAACTATGATGCTACTGGTACTCAATTACAAGATGTTCGTGTCAAGGGAACTGTTTTGGATTTGAAGGTCGCCACTTTACCCAGTATTGCTCGTGATTTGACTGATCGTAACCGTACTTCTCCTTTCGCCTTCACTGGTAACAAGTTTGAATTCCGTGCTGTTGGTTCCAAGCAATCTGTGTCTTTCCCTGTGACTTTGTTGAACTCTGCCGTGGCTTCTAGTTTGATGGATATGCGTGATGCTTTAGCTAAGCAAAAAGGTGACAAGCCTGTGGCTAGTAAGGAAGATCAATTGGTGGTGATCCGTGAATTTATCAAAAAGTCCAAGGATATTCGTTTCGAAGGTGACAACTACTCTGATGAATGGGTACAAGAAGCTGCTCGTCGAGGTTTACCCAATATTGTCAAGAGCCCTGATGCCTTTACCCGTCTCCTCCGTGAAGAAAACGCTGCCATGTTACGCAAGACAGGTGTGTTCTCTGAAACTGAATTACAATCCCGTTATCATATCTTGGTTGAAAAATACTGTAAGGATGTCATGATCGAAGCCCAAACTCTGTTGACCATGGTTTCCCAACAAGTCTTACCTGCTGCCTTCCAATACCGTCGTGATTTGGCCGAAGCTGCCGCCCATATGAAACAAATCGGTGTGGAATCTAGTCCTGAAATTACCTTGTTGAATAAATTGACTCCTCTTGTGGGTGATTTGCAAAACGAAGTCGGTGCTCTTCGTGCCATCTTGGACAAGATTATCACTATTGAAGATTTGGATGTCTTGGCTGTCACCTCTAGTAAAGATGTCTTGGATACTATGAACAAGATCCGTGATTTGGCTGATGAATTGGAACGCAATGTTGCTGACAAGTTGTGGCCTTTACCAAAGTATACTGAATTGTTCTTGAACATTTAATTTTTTTTTTTTTTGTTTTGTGTATACGTAGTTTTTAGTTAGTTTTATATTTGAAATAAAAATGATCTTTTATATCTATATATAACGGATTGATGAATGGATGAGAAGAACGAAACAACGATGGAAGTGAAAAACAACTTTAGTATTCATCATTCTAATCAAAGGGTCAATAGAACGATATTCATTGTTTTTATGATGATAGCATGTTGATGATCATTGTTCTTCATCTGATAGGTTTTTTTTTTTTCGTATACAAAAAAAAAGAGATCTCAATCAATCAATCAAGGTTTATGCACTAACAAAAAAAAAAAAAAAGGATAATGACCTCAGATGGTTACACATATCGACCCTATCTATGGATGAATCCAAGCAATGTCAACAACTGTTTCTCTCATTACTAGATTATTATTATTTTAGTTTACTATCAAAGATTATATCTTTTTATTTCATATCATCCAAATAAAAAAAAAATGACATTATCTTTTTTTTTCTCTCATCTCTAATTTAATAATAACTCATCTTTAAAGCAAATCATGTCATTTTTCCAAATTCAGCAATAAAGAGAAAATTTTTAAGATACCTTTTGAATTTTTTTTTTTTTTTTGGACTATGCGATATTGGACCCCTTATCGGAACCAAAAATGCAATCTTCAATTGAATAGAGTTTATCAAGATCGGTCACCCGTCAAAAAAAAAATGACACAAACATATGATAAAGATATGTCATTTCAATTAAATTGAATATATATATGTAATAAAACAAAATAAAAAAAAACGGATGATTTGAAATTAAAAAAAAGTTGCCATCGATAACTTAACAATTATATGACACAACCAATAGAGATAACCGGGATTCGATATGGATGATGCGCATATTCCCCCAGTCCCTCCTTCTTGATATGACGTTATATCAATCTCCGCAGGCAGCGGCGGCGAACATGGACTGACACTAATCCTTTTTCCTAGCTGTTTTTAGTGTGTCTGATTTGACGATAAGGAATTTTTTTGATTCTACATCATTGCTTCACCTGTACTCCGATGGCGGGTACTAACGATGATTAGGGCGATAGTAGAAACAATATTGAAACATTATATAAATAGAGATACTTTTCCTTTTTTTTTTTTTTTGAGATAAACTTGATTTCATTATATTAAAGACTTTTATTATAAATTAATTCATTATGCCTCGTCCTCTTGCTCTTGCTGTTACTCCTGTTGTTGCTGGTGTTGCTGGTTATGCTGCTTACGTTCGTTCCACTGCACAACCAGCTCTTGCTCATTCTCATATTATGACTGTTCATGGTGCTGATGTTTCTGGAAAACAACAATGGAAGAAAATTAATAATGGACTTGGTCTTGTAGATGTTGGTCGAAGCTGTGGTGGTTTATAAAATCATATTTAATCAAATCAATATACCATCCCTCTTTTTTTTAACAAAAAAAAAAAAATGAAAGATGAATTCAAAAGTCAAAGCTGGTACTTTCTCTTTGGATCCCTCCCTCGCTTTCTTTTTTTTTTTTTACATCCATGTATAAACTAGTTTATTTTCATCATACCTATAAATAAAATTAAATATCGTTTTTTATTTATCAAATCTTACATACGCTAATCATTGCTAACTATATAAACATATTTGACCAAAATAATCTATTCTTGACAGTAACATTCATCCTAGACGATTGGATATCATTATTTCCTATACAACATATATATTTCTTTTCATAGATGGAATTCTTTATTGATATTTTTTTTATATACATAATTTGTATTATAAAATGTATAAATTAAAGTAAACTACAATCCCAAAAAAATATCAAAGAATAATATTTTAGATCTTATTTCAATGTATATACAGATATCCAAAGTTGCCAATGAAATCCATGACGATGATGTGATCAGGATGACAGGTGGTCAAAAGTTGCTGCAAAATGGAGGCATTGGAGCGCAATTTTTTTTTTTTTTTTTGATTGTTGATAAACTTTCAAGTCAATTATAACTTTATAGCTTCACATGCATGCTCGCCACTATATCACGCCAAAAAAAAAAAAAGTATTATATATATATATGTTGTATATAGCTGTCACTTACTCAACCACACCGATGTCATCAAATAAAATGTCCAGAAGAGCAGCCAGGCGACGGTATATAGCCCGTTCAGAATCATCACCTTTGACTGACCACCTGGAGAAGTTGCGCCCGCTAACAGAAATATATCAAATATTAGGTACTGGGATTACCTTTTTTTTTTTTTTTTTTTTTTTTTTTTTTTTTTTTTTTTTTTTTTTTTTTTTTTTACTTCTATTTGTTCCATCATAATTAACATAGAGTATTCTTGTAATCGATGTTTCCTTTGTTTTGAGAGTTGGGCGTGTTGATCATCAATGATACGCATATGTTATAGATACGAAATACGCTGATACGACAAAAAGAAGTGGAATATTTATTATCGATATCAAGATCATCAAATATATCGCTTGTGCTTTCCAGTAATCCTTGATATGTATCCAGATTCACTTTTTCCTTTATGAATTCTACCGCAGATAGCTTTTTTTTTTTTTTTTGTATTGTTCCGTCATATTGGAGTCCAATAAGTTGATGATGCCAGAAAGTCTATGGAAGGAAAAAAAAATAAACGTTAGAATACATAGTTGCAAATAAATATGAGGTACATACTCCAATACAGCTTTGTTCATATACATCTATCCTAGTACCACTCGAGTTCTGTTAAGGATTTTTTTGTTATTTGGTAGATGATTGATTAATAGAATTGATGTATGATATTATTAAAATAATAATATCTATCATGATTGATTTGTAGTGAGCACCAGTTCTTTTTGTATAAAAAAAAGAACAAAACGTATCTTGATAAAAAAATAAAGTAATCCAAATATGGAAGTAGATGTCTTGATAATTTGATCATACTTGATGATGATCAAATAAAATAATATAAGAATTGATTATATAATATAGATGTCTGTTTAAGCAAAATAAAGTAAAACTTAAGATGATTATTTCTTGAGAGTGGCCAAGATGATTATACAATCTTTTATTGAATTTGTTAAAATAAAACTTTGATTTGATCTTTGACAAAGAGAAAAATATATATAAACTACTAGATGTATTTATATACAAAAACTAAGGATTATTTTTAGATGATGATGATTAACCATCATAAGAAACAATGATAAAATAAAATGGATGAAACTGATAAATGTGATAAAAAAGTAATAACGGATGAAACTGTGTAAGAGTAGTGATTCAGATGAGACTAGAAGTATAAAAAAAGAAAAGAAGGTCTTGGTCAAAAGGGTGAGAAATGGTCAAAAGTGTGTGAATTGGACAAATGTCAAGATTTTGATAGATAGCAAGATAAAAAAAAAAAACTAGTTCATAGTCAACTTTAAAAGTTGATTTCTTCCTAACACTTTAATCATCATCAACCATCACCACAAACACTGTCAAGACGGGGTGGAAAATGATTTATTGTTTTATAGGATATTGAATACACAGTATATCGGGAAGAGTAAAAGGCAGACAAAGAAAATCTCAGACGACTATGCATTTTTTTATTGTATGATGTGGACATAATCACTGGACAATAGATTTGAAAAGAGTAAAAGATAGATTTTTTATTAGGTAGTGCGGTTAGCTTTTCATATTTTTTTTTTTTTTTTTGTATATACATAATATCCAGCTGATTCACGATATATTTCTTTTATGATATAAATATTTTCAATCTTCGTTCTTGGTGACTTGATTTTTAGGTGCCCTGCCTCTTCTTTTTCTTGTGGTTGATAAATCTGATTCAACGATATCTGATGGTACTGTGGTAGATCGTGTACGTCTTTTTGGTTTTTGTTGGTTTTTTTGTTCTTCAAGTTCGCCCCAATAACTTTCAAATTGTTCATCCTAATAATAAAATTAAAACGCGGTTATCATCGATCCTCTTTCTATATATATATATTACCTTCCAGGGTATATTTTTCAAATCTTCATCATCAAGTACTTTCTTGGGAGGTTTCAAATAACCTGATCTCAAAAGAATGAGCCATTCATCTAATGATTCCCAAAACACCGGGTTTTCTTCCAAAGCAGATAAGATAGTGGTATGATGTTGATCACAAGCTGGTACTAAAGATATCAATTCTTGTTGATCTTCTTCTGAAAGTAATCCTAGTCTTTCCCTAAGTACAGGCTATATCAAACATTATGGTATGTCAGTATCATGGTTTCTTTATAAATCTTTCTTTTTTTTTTCTTTCTTTTCTTTACCTTCAAGTCATCGTGATTGGTTAAATAACATCTAGGACTAGTCAAATCCAACTTTCTTTTAGGAGCATTCGCCTTGGCTTGTGACTTTGCAGATTTTTTTTTTGGCGGCATCAATATAAGTTGAAAAAGAAAGAGTATATAGATAAAAAAAAACGCCCGTTTCCATTTTCTGTCGGAATGTGAAATTAGGGCAGGAAACCAAGATGATTGGATGATGAGAGGTTGACCAGTAAACCATTTTGCATCAGTAACGTGTTAAGATCAAGCAATGGCCATAGAATTTTGGCTATCTATATGCATGTCATTGAAGTCCTTGATAATGAACTCCTTTTTTCTTTATCATTATGAGGCGCGTGATACCTTATAAAGATAATTATTTGAATGTGAATAAGAGAATATTAAGGGAGGCGCTAGGTTTTCACCAGTCTTTCAAAAGAACCGCCACAAACATGTTACACTGATTTTTTTTTTCTTTTTTGTCATCAACCAGCCTCCCCACAAAAAAAAAAAAAAAACAGGTCTATTATTCCCTTTTTTATGTTCTCCTCCTTTCCCATTCATCTTTCCATTCATCTATTTTCAAGTCGGTGGTTGAACAAAATATCATGCAACATTTTTAAAAAGTTTCATCCCAATTGAATAGCTTTTCCTATCACTTCTCCCCAAAAAAAAAAAAAAATCAATCAATTACAATATGTATGAATGAAATAATTGATAATTGAAATGTACTGCCTTCTTGGGCTTAGTTTAACTTTGAAACAGGAGAAAAGAAAAAGAAAAAAAAAAGAAAACAAAAAGAAACATATTTCATCTGTGAAAAGAATTCATTATAATGCGCCATGCATTATGCAGCATTCACAAGATCAACATTGTAGTAAAAAAAAAAAATGCCACCCCATCCACATCAATGCATAGTGGCTTTTAATAGACACACACACCCCTTGATACATGTCTGTGATTTTCCCGTTCAAACATGTTGTAACACGAACAGGCACAGAAGCAAGATGGTGACACGATCCATCTTTTTTTTTTTTTTGCTTCAGCTAATGGAAAAAAAAATGATTTAATTAAAACAAATTTTTTTGCAGAACCTTGTCTCTTTTTCCTCTTTCTTTCTTTTTTTTTTTTTTTTTTTACATTGTATGTTTACAAAATTCAAAAATTCTCGTCGAGTATCGAATACACCAACGACATCATCTAAATCGTCGTCCATGTGTAGTAATCTCAGTAACAGTAATCAAATTAGTACCAATAGTGAAACAACTTCCCTCAGCACGTCCCAAAGTAGTCGTGAGGGACGATCTACTGATATTGTGCAATCTTCTCAGACACACCCTGTCGTTGATGTGGTTGATGATTTGTATGATTTCTTTGCTCATGGTATGGATGACGATATACAGGCATTCGGTAAGATATTAATATAATATATAAAACTATCTAACTTTGTATCCTTTTTTTTTCCCTTTATAACAAAAAAAAAAAAAAGCATTGTCTGAAAAACAATATCATAAACGACAAACATTGATTCAAAAGTTCTTCGATTCGGAATCGGATTATGTCAATCGACTCCATGTCATCTTACTTTATTTTCGGCGTCCCATCTCTTTACAATACGACCCATCCAACAGTACCAGTCATGATAATACACATCATGACAGTCCAAGGCAAAGTACTCATTCCTCTCTCACTTCTACCTTACGTTCTCCCTTTTTATCCAAATATATCTCTTCTTCTTCGTCCTCTTCTTCTTCTTCTTCCTCTCATCATACATCACCCTCCTCCCATACGGGCATCAATATGTATGATATTGATTTTCTTTTTGGCTCTATTGACAAGCTTTATCATTCGCATGAACTTTTTTTGGAAAAATTGACTGAAAGGTATGATGTATACACGATCAGAATAGGAAACCTGGTATATTACTTTTTCTCACACAGCCATCGCTATTTCTTTTTTTTTTTTTTTTGAATGATCATGGTTACCATAGATTCCAAATTTGGGGACCACTTCAATTGCTATCTGATTTGATTGATTTCTTGGTAAATATATCATCTTTCTTACCTTTTTTTTTTTTTTTATAAAAGATATGAATGTAACACTGATATGCCTTTTCTTTTTTTTTTTTTTTTTTTTTTTTGGTAGTTGAATGAAGTGATACCGATCTATAATTCATTTTTAGAAAACTATCCCAAAATGATGGCTATCTTAGAAGTCATAGGGAAAAGTCGGGACGGACGGAAACTATTAGAAGTAAGAACAAAAAAAAAATCATGATCTCTACAATTCATCATCCATTCTTATTCCTTTTTTTTTTTTATTATTATTCTTCATTTCTTTTGATTTTCTTTTTTTTTTTTTTAAAAAAAAAAAAAAAAAAAAAAAAAGACTGTAGTTAATAACCCGGAAGGCATTGGACCAGTCCGTTTATTTTGTTTATTGAAATTACCATTATGCGTCATCCCTCGTTACTATCAAATGATCACTGAAATCGTCAAGTTTACCGACTTTAATCATCCTGATGCTCATCCCTTGAAAAAGCTTCAACAACGACTTTTGAAATTGGACACAGATATGGTGCCAAGGTAAAAAAAAAAAAAAAAAATGAATGATAGACTATACTTCGTTCCTATATAAATAATCATCTTTCATTCTTTATATATATATAGGATCAAGATCTGTCAAAACATCAATCAATTGATGGACATGAGTCTGACGGTAATAGGATGTCCTTCAATGATGACGGAACCACGACAATTCATCAAAAGTGGAAAACTTGGCAATGTAGAAGGCAAGGCTCACGATCTTCGGATCTGTTTCCTATTGAGTGATCGTTTGATCACAGCACGGCCGGGTGATGGCGTGTTGCATTTTAAGAGCTCTGTATCGCTTCGAGGCGCCACCATCAAAACAGTCAAACGGATGGATGCTAGTTTCATCATCGTCGAAGATGCACCCACGGATCCTTCTTACCAATATTCTGAGGACATTGAACGACTACTGAACGCTTCAGGCTCCACACCACCTCGTCAACACCATTTCAAGGCCGAATCACTGGATGACATGCTTAGCTGGCTACGTGTATTACAGAACGTTGTTCAGGCCTTACGACACAAAAAATTAGATCATCACTAAATGATGGGTTTTACGACAGCATCCACCTTTTTCTTTTTTTTAAAAAAAAAAATCCCTAGCATCGATTACCTCTGTTTCTTTTTTTTTTTTTTCCTTTTTTTTTCATGTGTTATCTTACCCACACTTCCATCATTGTTTATACCTTCCTCTCTTATGTTGCATACTGTATTTCTTATTATTTATATATAACTGTTCAATAAAGATATCATCACAGCCAAAGTATTCGTTGAACGCATGCAATGGTTGAATGGCAAATGGAAATGAGTCGCATCAGGTTTCGTTTATTTGTACCAAGTAAAAAAAAAAAAAAAATGATAAAAATAGTATAAATAATATAATAAAAATGATACATAATAGATATAATAAATACTAGACTAACTAACTACCAGTAAAGGAATCATCACAAAAAAAAAAAAAAAAAAAGAATGTCACAAACAGAAGTTGAGCAGACCTAAAAGATAATCATTGAAGCTTGTATTTGATGCCCACTCTCTGTCGTATCTCTATGCCTGTTGTATATTTATTATATGTAATCGATACCTATTGTACATTCATCCATTGAGGTCTAGTCCTTTCGTATATCATTCATCCATCCAATTGATCATATTGTCTATTCATCTAGTTGACCCTGCTATATATATATATATATATATATATATATCCATATCCTCATCCCCTATGACCAGTCCAGTCGATCCTATTTATAAACCCATTTCATCCATCTGGTTGCATTTTGTTCATACCAAACCGTACAATAATAATAGTAATGATAATAAAAAAGAAAAAGGAATCATCAAAGAGAATAAGCTGGAACAATGATAAAAAAAGAAGAGATAGACAAGTCGGACTACATCACAAAGAGAGAGAATAAAAAAATATAAGTAGGGCCAAAACAAAGAGAGAAAGAAAGAAAGAAAAAAATAGATAGTTGAATATCAAAAAGGAATAAAAGTGGAGAGATCAACCAAACAAGACAAAGATCAATGGTCAGATAGTCGGCTATAAAATCAGATACATGAAAGAATTATTGTCATAAAAAAAAAAAAAGTGGGAAAATCAAAGAGTAAAGAAAAGGGAGAATATTTACAAATAGAATTAAATTTTTAAATCACAGGTACCAGAACAAATCGGGCTGTCACAAGAAATTTTACTTGACTCCACAATCATGATCACATTACTACACACACACACCCACATTACTTTAGTTTTCTTTTTTTTTTTAAATACATGGGTCAAAGTCAATGATACAAGCTTTGAAGATACATTAAAAAAAAGATGGTGTTTTATTATATATTATTATAAAATACTTTCTAGTTAAGCAGCTTGATAAGCAGTAAACAGCGTAGATGCTGTTAATTCAGTGGCCATATAATATTTACCAGTTTTCAAAATACGGTGTGCTTTACATTTTTGAGTAGGTAAGGCGGTATATTGTTCATAAGTGATGTTAGACCATGTAGCATCAAAGGTGACGACGATCATCATATCGATGGCATTGGGATTGATGATGGAAGAGGCCAGAAGAACAATTTGATTTGTATTAGGATCATCACCAAAGGTAAGATGAAGCAAGGCGGCATTAGCACCCAGATCTCGTTTCAAATGGAAAAATTGAAGTTGATCATCGGCATTAATACGACCAAAGGTACCTGGACCAGCAGTAGTATTACCCAACAAAGTAAACCAAACACCTTGAGGACCACTGATCATACCCACAGGCTTTTCACCCTCGTTGGTAGGAATATCTATTTGAGTGGTGGTCTTGGTGGTAGGATCAATCTTCATGATCTTGTTGGAATTATCTTGAGAATTATAAAACATATTGTTGACAGGATGCTGGGCGACAAAGATAGGCACAGGGAGGGCTTGGAAAAGATCAAAGTTGGTAGAGTTTTTATGACTGATGCGCAACACATGTCTGCTTTCTCTGAGTGTCACCCACAGATCATCACCGTATTCACCAACATAATGAGGACCTTTGCCAGGGCTAGGGATATCAATTTCTTGAACCACGGTAGGCGTGCCAGCCACAGTGGTCACAGCGGGATCCAACAAAAGAAGTTTATTGGCCGTTTCCAAGGTAGCCCATACCTTGCCAGGATTGGCTTTAGAATTCGTTAGACCATGTAAACCAGAGGTAGGTTGGTCGATTTGAAAAGCAGCAAGTTGCTTGACCACGGCACCATCCATTTCAGCTTTGAGTAAAACACTATTGCTCATTTGAGAGATCAATAACATGTTGGTGGTAGGCACTATGATCAATTCATGTGTTTCTGCAGCCACTGGCAAATAAGTTTCAAGTTGATAGAATAACGATTGAGGTCTGATGTTGGTATCAGGTGTAATGGTAACAGCTGCTGTACAGATTTGAATAAATAAAATCACTGATACAAGTAAGAAATACATTCTTTTTTTTTTGTAATGATGAGAGAAGAACAACAAATAAAAATCAACGGTAGCTTATTTAAATACAAAAAAAAAAAAAAAAAAAAAAAAAAAAAAAGGATTGGATCTGCAAGAAGGAGGGGGTAGGACAACTCTTATCCAACATATATGGTTAACATCATCATCTTTTAAGCCATGCAAAAAAAAAAAGGGGGGGTCATACGCCCACCAAGAATGAATTGCTCCTGAAGACTAAATCAAATACAGAAAAGAAGACATCCCCGCACTTTTTTTTTTAAAAAAAAAAAAAGGAAAGAAATGCATAGTATAACGATTCGTCATATAACATCAGTAATCTTTACTGTGTTCAGTGTGGTACAGAGCACCATTTTAAGAAAAATACCACGTACCTCTTGCATGGATTACTTCTCATAGATCAAAACATGTCTCATAAAGGAAAACTACTCATGGAAATACTAATTAAGAAAAGTTTATTATTTGAAAGGAAAGAATTCATCTTAACTCAAAACAAGGAATACTGTGATCTGTAGCACAGAGTGATTCCATTTCCTTCTTCAAAAAAAAATCACACTTCCTTTTATGTATTGGTCACCGATTCTCTATTAACAGTATATGGCTGATTTGTTTTTTTTTTCTTTTCAGACTTTGGTCCCCCGCCCTTGGTTGAAGAAATATAGTAAAAAAAAAAAAAAAAAAAAAAAAAAAAAAAAAAAAAAAAAAGACGATTTGATTCCATAATGGTTCTATCTATGTTATTGTCAATGATTTGTAATATTGGTAATGATGATCATCATGATAATTGTGGCAAAAACTTAACTTTATTAACGATAACAACACTACTACTACTACTAAAAACTAAATGTTAGCTAAAGGGCGGAGATCATCATGATACAGGTCAAATGCGATATAAAAGTATAAAAAAAAAAGAGAGGTTGAGGGGGAGAGAATAAATCAAGATTTTGTTTCTGCAATCTGCATGAACTGATTTTCCTTTGCTGTCTAGTAGATATCATGTTGTACACCTGTCGAGTTGACCCTGCAGTACATCCATCCAAGTTGATCATGCCGTGTATCCAACCAAATTGACCCTGTCGTGTAAAATTGATCCTTCTAATTGATTCTGACGTACCCTATTAGTGTGACACAATGTCTGACTATTTGATCCCATTCTATATACTTGATCTGTACTTTGCTAGATTGTCTATCTTGCCCCCCCCCCTATTCAATCAATATGTATATATAGTAAAATAAAAAAAAAAAGATCATCCTGCATAAATTAGAGTATGTAGAAAAAAAAAACGGGGGAAGATTCAATGTAGAGTCGGTAAAATAGTAGAGAGGGGAAGAGATTTACTGGGAGGTTGAGACTCAGAAGCCAAATACTACTTTTTTCCCTTTTTTTTTTGGGAATTCTTATTTTCACTCCCCCTCAGTTTGTTATCCTCACCCACCTACGGTAAAAAGTAGCCAATAAAATCACTTTTCTCCTGCTGTCCAGGGCAACTCGCCAAAATAATTCTAAAAGCCAAAGACGACTACTATAGGAAAAAAAATCAATTTACAAGGTTGGGGTTGGGGCGAAAAAAAAAAAAAATCATGTCAAATTGTCTGTAAGTGGACGGGCTTCAAAAATTAATCATCCCTTTATATGCGTTTTGCTTTTTTTTTTTTAATTTTTTTCTTTCTTTTTCTTTTCTCCATCCACTGTTTTTTTTCCACATTGGGTGTCCTCTTTGTTTGTGCGATCTTGTCAAGGTAGATTTTATTGGATTTGGAGGGTTTTGAAAAAGGGATTTACAAAATACATGGGGAAACCCTTTCATTTTGGATGTAGGATTTAGTACAGGTAAATGACAAAAATATTTTATACTCTTTTTTTTTTTTTTTATATGAGTTCGACCTGGATATATTTTTATTGATAATATGAACGAAAAACTGACTGGATAAGAAACTTCGTTTGGTTAGAAACGGTGACTTATTGTTAAAGATCTTGGTGGTGGACGACAACTTCTGGGTGGTACTATAATAGATACAGTAGAATGGATAGTAGTGATAGCTTTATTAGTTAGTACATGGATTACCTTTTCTTTTTTTTTTGAAATAAAACCTATATTGCTTTTTATGATACACAACGATACACATCCGTGCCTTTTTCTTTTTTTTTTTTTTTGACATCAATCATTATTATTGGATGAGGGATGAGGATATTGACGTCTCATTTTTAATTTACTTTATAAATTGGGAAATAACGTGCAAGTTACTATTACTACCAGTGAAAGAGAATGATATCATCTATGTTTGACCAAGATTTGGTACGATCATTGATTATTTTTTAAGTGAGAAATGAAAAGATCAAGTTTGCCCTCCCACTTGAATGCAGGGTGAACAAATAGGATAGATTTCTCCGTTGCTACAACCACAACTGCCTTGCCAGATTTTTTTTTTTTTTTTTTTTTTTTTTGCTGTATGTCAGAAGTAAATCGAAGGAAGTGAGAATAAGAATTCTCTTTTTTTTTTTTTTTTTCTCGACATTTTCTTTGTTACGACAGTACTTTTCCTGTTTATATTTTTACACTACTATGGCAAGGACTACGGTAGTTACGACAGTTTTCTATAAATGGGACACAGAAGTTATGTTTTTATATTTTTTTTTCTCAGTGATAAAAAAGAAATATCAATCATCAATGCAAGTTCCAATTTTATTGTACAAACCTATTACCAAAACGATCATACTGAAGTAAAAAAATCAAATACTCAGGCTTTATTGGCTAAAAAGAGATCATCCATTTACTTTCCGAATGCTACTTCCCTTATTCCACATTCAGCTTTTTTTTTTTTTTTTTTTTTTATTCAACCAAGGTCGTCAAAAGTCTCAGAAGTCTCCCATAGCTCCAACACATCACATACTTTCTGTAATCCAAACCCTAAATCACTTCTAGACTACAATTCTAGCCCTCTAATCCCAAAGAGTCTCTTATCCGAATACGATGTAATAATATCGTATCAACATATTTCATACCTATAGAATATGTACAAAATAAAAAGAATGCATTAAAAAAATAAAATAAAGATACAGTGATACATCAGAAAAAGATGGAATCAAATGCATTATGTAACAAAGTGATTGGACAAGGCTACCATGATGTTGAATCACTATACCCATGATGATTCATCATATCAATAGAAAATAAAGTACCAGTAATAGATAACCATATTACAAACTAAAATAAAACTCGTTCACTTACATATCGCTTACTACGTATGTATAAATATAAGAAAAATAAAAATTCTACTGTAGATGCTTTATCTCCTTTTTAGCACAACTTTTCAATAAAAAGAACCTCACTGATCACTTCTTTACTTTTTTTTTTAATAGACAACATCTACACCCATTTCACAGAAGCCTTGATATTAAGTTTGTCTTTTTTTTTTTTGAACTTCCAGACCAAAAACAATTAACTTCTCACACCAGCCAATAAAATCAATTTTCCATGCTATCTCATCAATCCAATTGTCTACGCTTTTTCAATATAAATGATCATCCACACAAATAGAAGGTTTCGAAAAGCCGCGGAACGTTTATTAAAATCATTGTCTTCTAACAACAGGTATGTAAGTAAAGTGTTCTGCATCACTGTTGTCACAAGCCTCCAAGTCGATATAATCGCTCTGCCCAGAACGCCAGCATGAGTCTGGACTACTTGGTATATGTATACCATATTTGTCGAAAAGGAACAGATACTCTTGCGTACCAGCAATTATCGATGCACCTGGTGCTACTTGATTTACAGTAGCATAAAGACCTGATGCTGAATCTGAAATTGTACTATTGGTTGGACTTGCCCCAGGTGCAGGGTTAATTGTCCATGTCGTTGCAGTGATTCCTAACGTTAATGGTTGACCAGCTGCAGCTGATTGTAGATAGTTTTGAGACTGTACGTGTTGTATATAGCACTGAATCGGAAACTGGGCAAAAGTAATTTTAATTAAAATAACAAAATAAATAATCAATAGTTTTATCATCGTATGCGATTTCAATATAATGTCTAATTTATCGTTATTACAAAAAAAAAATAAATCCTACTTTTATACTTTTTTTGTTTTCTGATGGTAGTTTTAAAAAGGAGTAATAAAATCGTGCCACTCCTTTTTTCTTCTTTAACTATAAAAATTGAGGTCGCTCTTAAAACAGGTTGCACCTACCCACCTGCAGATCTACAGTAGGCTCACGTTCATACATCATGCGCAAATCGTCCGCCATCCAATTCATCATCATGTAATTCATCATCATCCAATTTGCCCAATTCATCCATTCGTCCGTTCATCCATTCGTCTATTCAAAAAAAAAAAAAAAAAAAAAAAATCAGTGCAATTTCAGGGAACGATAATACCCCCAAACAAAAGTATTTTGTATCCTCCATCATGCAGCTTATCTTGAACCTTGATCTTGTCTTCTGGTTGTCCTCTGGTACTACTTTGAACTTTAGATGCTACTCGCATTTTTTTATTTTGTCACCCCCCCTGTTTAAATCTGCAGGAGGGGAGAGATCGAATGGTGGTAAATTTATTGATGATATTGACTCTTTATTTTTTTTTAATTTTTTCTATAAATTGAGAGGAGAGATAAATTGTTATTAAAGCAAATTAAAGAAAATAACTTGATTGTACATTAGTCCTCGGATTTGAAGCGATGACTATTATTTTTGATTGAATTACAAAGATATAAAGAGGTAAATGTCTATTCCAGGTGATGTTGCAGACATTTACGCATCGAATTTCTCTCTACGAGGTAAAGCTAACCAATAAAAAACCATTATCTATATTTAGACTAATTTGTAGTGATGCAGTCAATGGTGAAGAGTGATCGAGGTTTGGAGGAATGGAAAAAAAAGACCGGGATGAAACTCATAGGCATTTTGTATCCTACTATGGATGTAGACAGAGATTTAAAAAAGACAAAAGCGAGATAGTTCTTTGGGAAGAAAAATTAAAAAGATCCACACTTGAGCAGACGTGGGCCTTTTGGATTGGGACTCTCTCCTATGGACTTTTTGGGCTTGGGACACAAAAAAAAAAAAAGCAAAAGGATCATGTCAAATTGTCGTCAGTGGACGGGCTTCAAAAAAAAAAAATATATATAGTGTTTTCAAAGTTTTTTGCCGGGTCACGAGAAAATACTTTTCGTGATGTTATTAAACAAAATATCGTACTTTCCCAAAATGGATGTCGCATTACCACTTTTTTAGATATCGCTTTAGAGATGTCGGTAGAGGTGATTGATAATAGAATGATGGGTCGATGTTGGTGATGATGATGGAAAAACAAAAAAAAAATACTGCCACTTTTTTTGAAAAATATATTAAAAAATGAAACAAAAGTTCTTTATTGATATAATGGATCATCATTAGAGTGTTGATTCATCATGATGATTGGCCTGAAAGTAGTGGTTTTCAAAGTCCGTTTTTCTTTCATATTTTTTTTTGATTTACTTTTCCTTTCTTTCTTTTCTTTTCTTTTCTTTGTATTGACTTTTAGTATATCAATTGGTAGTCGTTAGTTTTTATACTTTTATTCAATAAAATTTTTATTTTTATTCCAACTACTTTGTTACATGTCAATGTGATTGATTCTAATCTTCTTTTGATGTATTGTTATATTTTGGATACATTCTTTTTATTTCACATATATTTTTATAGGTATGACTAGACGTTGGTATGTGATAGGATAATAGGATAATAGGATGATGGCTTGAATGGATGACGGCATAAATAGATGATGATCGATTCTTTACATAATAAAAAAGCGCTGAAACATAGTTTTTTTTTTTTTTTTTTTTTTGAAATCATTTACTCGGGTTCTTATCTTTTGAAATCATCACTGAAACATACTAATGATCATTTCCTTTTCCCATAGATGATAAAAGCAAATTTGCATAATAGTTCTTTTTTTTAATTACTGAAACATACTAATGATCATTCCCTTTTCCCATAGATGATAAAGGAAAATTTGCATAATAGTTCCTTTTTTTATTACTGAAACATGCAATCAATTGATCTTTTTTCCCATAGATGACAGATGTAAATTTGCATAATAGTTCCTTTTTTCTTTTTGAAACCATTTACTCGGGTCCTTTTCTTTTTTTTTTTTCATTACTGAAACATGCAATCGATCGATCTCTTTTCTCATAGATGACATCAAAGTTTGCATAATAGCTCTTTTTTTTTAATTACTGAAACATACAATCGATCGATCTCTTTTCCCATAGATGATAAATTTAAATTTGCATAATAGTTCTTTTTTTTAATTACTGAAACATACTAATGATCATTCCCTTTTCCCACAGATGACATCAAAACTTGCATAATAGTTCCTTTTTTTTTGAAACCGTTTATTCGGGTCCTTTTGATTTCATAGCTAAAAAAGCGCATAATTACAGGGGTGATTTGTCTTTTTTTCTTTTACAGGGAGTTTGTTTTATTATAAAAGAACATCCTTTTTTATTTCTTCTTGAAATTCTTTTTTTCTTTTCTTTTTTTTTTTTTTCTTTGGGCTTGCCTGTCTTCTTTTGGGCTTGCCTGTCCCTTCCTTTGTCATCTTTTTCCGTGTCCTTTCCTTTTGGCCAATCTTCTTTTCCGTCTGTCCTCCCTTGTGGCCTCTCTTCTTGGTTTGACCTCGGTCGTTATTTGCTTAGGCGTGACTAGGGTTGCCTTTTTTTTTTGGGCCTGTCATCTTTTCCGTCTGTCCTCCCTTCTGGCCTCTCTTCTTTTCCGCTCCTCTCCTTTCTGGGCTTGACTTCGGTCGTTATTTGCTTAGGCGTGACTAGGGTCGCCCTTTTTTTTAAAAAAAAATATGTTGAAGATCACAACGCTTTCCGGGATGGTTATCGCCATCCTACTTTCACTGCAGTGAGAAATTGCTGCAGTGATCTCGATACATGTTTAGGCGTTCGCGCTTAAATTGTAAGTGAATAAAAAGATATCATCTGGATAAATATTACTCATTTTCTTCTTTCTTTTTTTTTTTATATGTTAACTTGGTGAACTCAATTGGTGGATTTCTTTTTTTTTATTGGTCTTTTTTTCATGATATCTATTTTCTTATACTCTCTATTTGATTATGCGACAATTCTCTCTTTTCCACCCCGTCATTTATTTTCTATCCTTACGATATTTTATTTCCTAATTTTGCGACATCTTATTCTTTGAATTCCGTCATTTATTATTGAATAAAGTGTATACACCCTTTTTGCTTTTTTTAATTTTTTTTTTTCTTCTTTTTCTTTTCTCCATCCATTTTTTTTTTTCCACATCGGGTGTCCTCTTTGTTTGTGCGATCTTGTCAAGGTAGATTTTATTGGATTTGGAGGGTTTTGAAAAAGGGATTTAGAAAATACATGGGGAAACCCTTTCATTTTGGATGTAGGATTTAGCACAGGTAATGGCAAAAATATTTTATAATAGAATGTGAATTACATTGGCCTGGTTTTATTTTACTAGTAATGTGAACGAAAAACTGACTGGATGACAAGCTTCTTTTGGTTAGGAAGGACAGCTTGTTGTTAGGATCTCGGTGGTGGACGAATGCTTCTGGTTGGTACTGTAATAGATACGTGTAGTGATAGTTTTAGTTAGTCAGTATTGAGTTTTTTTTTTTTTTTTTGAAATAAATGCACTGGCGCTCCGCTGGAGCTTTTCGAAGTCGAATGATTTGTGTGGACTATAGATTTTCTTTGGAAGGTGTGGACTATAGATTCTTTTTGGAAAATGTGGATTATTGATTTGATTGGAAGGTGTGGATTATAGTTTGTTTGTTTTTTTTGAAAAAGTATGGACTATTGATTTGACGAAAACATGTGGATTATACATTTGATTGGAAGATGTTGATTATTGGTTTGATGGAAAGGTGTGGATTATTATTTATTTATTTTTTTGTTTTTTGTTTTTGGGAAGGTGTGAATTATAAATTTGATGGAAAGATGTGGACTACAGATTATCTTTTTAGAGGATGTTTTCATTAATCATCAATCATCATCACTAACATCGTCAAGAGGAGGAGAAAATAATTTAATAAAATAATTTATTGTTTTATTGGATATTGAAAAAAAAAAAAAAACTATAGAAGGACGTCGCGATATACAATATTGGCAATTTGTGGTTGAGAATTGCGAACTAGTTGTGGCACTGGAAGATTTGATGGATTTGTTGATCGTGAGAGAGCTACATACAGTTGTCCATGGGCAAACACTTGATCTTTCAGACACACACCTACATAGTCCAGTGATTGTCCTTGACTCTTGTGGATGGTCATTGCAAATGCTGGTCGTACAGGGAATTGTCGCCTTCCAAGTTCTTTTGCTCCGCTGATAACCACTTGAAGATTCCCAATCGGTTCGTCACGATGTTGATCTGCTGCTGTCATGAATTTAATGGCGTAATAGTTGTTGTCATGGATGATTTTTTTTTTTTGAAGAAGTGGGACGGTTTCAGGTTTCAAATGAGAGATCAAGCTTGTTCGCCGTTGCAACTGTTCAGAGGCATCATGAGAGTAAATCTATCGTAGAGAGAAAAAAAAAAAAAAAAAAAAAAAAAAAAACTAAGAATAGTGGATTTCACTTGAAAGTTAAAGAGACCGTCTTCATAGCCGACATGCGACAAAAGCATGCAACCCCGCAGAATAACTAAAAAGCCAAAATACAGGTTAGTATAGTTGATGTTTCCCTTTTTATTTTTAGATTCATCTTGTTTGTACCTGTTGTTCCTTTTCCTTCTTGTTCCCTTTGTTATAGTTGTTGATATGATTGTCATTTAGAGTTTGTAAGGATGAAAAAAAAAAAAGAATATAAAGAGCGTACATTTTTCTACATATAATATACCATCCCAGAGGAATCAAGTAAGTGTATATACTTCATCAGGTAAAAGAAAGAAGAAGAAAAAAAAGCATTCATACATATTGGTCAGTGATAACAAGTCAAATAAAACATGACAACCAAATTGCCCATGATAAAACTATAGTTTAAATAAAAGTTCGAATGGGTGTTTTTCTTTCCCTTTATTATTATTATTATTATTATTGATATACTATCATATCAATACCTTTGTTGGCCTTTTTTATTTTTTATAAAAGTTTGAAGAGTTTTTCAAGAAAAGAAAAAGACAGAAGAGAAAGGAAGGGAGAAAAAAAAAGGGGAATGAGCTTTTAAAAAACCGCTCTTGCTTGTCAGAATATTATGAAGCATTTCATTACGCAAAGCAAAAAGTTAATAAAGAAAAAAAATACATATACTAGTTATTCAATGATCTGATGATGACCCACTTATATCTTTGTTGTGTGATTCAATGAAAAAAAAAAGGTTATAATTTTCCTGTGATCAGCAGAAGATGAGATATCGTGCGACAATGTGATAAAGAAAAAAAGAAAGAAGAAAGAAAAAAAAGAGGTTCCATTTATCTTCATTTTGATTGATGAATAGCATACCATCTATTTATTTATTCATTCATTTTTTGATAATTAAGCTAAAAAAAAAAGGTTGTCAAAAAGAAAAAAAGCTATTTACTTTTTCATTTGATCGGTTAACAATTAGATCATCATACATTGATTCATTCTTATTTTTAGAAAAAAAAAAAGAGGGATGAAATAAAGAAAATGTTGTCAATTGATTTAATATAAAAGATGAACGATTATGATTTATCCTTTCTTTTTCCTTTCAAGCGCATCTCTTTTTCTTTTTTTTTTTTTCTGAATCCTCAAAAGCGAGTTTTTCTCTCTTCCTTTTTATTTCATATTATTATTATTTTTTATCAATGCTCCTAAAAAGGAAACAAAAACATGTAATTAAAAGAAATATTATTATAAGATAAAAGAAATATTATTATAAGATAGTTATTTTCAATATAAAATCATCATCATCGTATGGTCCAGCTTGGGAATGTGATACCTCAACCATCTGGCTTGTTTATGTTTCCTATTCTCTTCTGATTGTTTCCTTCATGTCAAAAATCTTGCTAGTGTGGCTATAAAGTCAAGCTTGCTCAAATCGTGAGGGCAGGCAAAAAAAAAAAAAAAAAAAAAAAAAAAAAAAAAAAGACGCTTTTTGCGATTCCCACTTGGTGATCAAAAGAAATGCTGGAACTCACAAAGCAAAGGCAGATGACCAACTTGACTAAAATGATGATTATGTTGTATTGTTAAAATAAAAAATCTGGTTTTCTCTGTTTTTATTTATTCTTTTGTTTTTTTTTTTTTTTTGCGTTACGAAGGGATGTCTAAAAAAAGAAACCGAGTTAAGGATAGGTACCATTATAGAATGAAGTTATTTTGGATTCAAAGCAAAAAAAAAAAAAAAAAAAAAAAAAAACTCAGATGATCCGTGCGTCCACGTTGCTACGCACGATCACGTTAAACAAAGAATACAGTCTTATGCCGAGTATACACAGTGTTTTATTAAATGAATGGAATGGAGTAAAAATACAAATGGAAAAATGATGATGATGATGATGATGATGATGACGATGATGAAAAAAAAAGACTAAAGGGATTGATGATTTAAAGTGTACAAAGGTTTACATTAATTTACAGATGATTTAACTGTAATCACCAGGAACAACTCTTTCGCAACCATAAGTACTAAGGCCAAGATTACAGTCGGATTGACTCTTACAACAACGGATACAGTATTGATTCACATCAGGTTCCAACATATTGACAAAATACTTGTAACCATTGCAAACAACGCCATTAATATCTCCTACATAAAAAAAAAAAAAAAAAAAAAAAGAGTGAGTAATTTTGAATCAATCATTCCCTCTTTTTTTGTCCTCTCTGATAATACAATATTTATCCATCCATATATAAAGAGGATGACTTACTGTTATCATATTGACCGCCACCATCACTAGATTTCAACTTGTAGGCATCACGATTCATACGGCCAGTGACTTGAACATAGTTGGATTTTTTAACATAATGAGCAGATTGAATAAAACCAGAGGGAAATACTTTGCCAGTGTTGGATAACGAAGAGTTGGAGCAAAAAGGAATACCATTATCTTCAGTACCACCCACATCATCACCAGGGTGGGGAGGTAAAAAGGAACAAAAAGCAGAGTTGGAATTAAGTTGAATATTGTAGCCACTACGTTTTTGAGCCAAAGGAAGTGCCATCACCATAGTACAAGCAACAAATAACAAAGTCAAAAGAAAAGTAACAGATGCCATTATTGGATAAGAATGATTATTCGTAAAGAATGAAGAAAAAAAAAAGAAGAATTTGAAATTTTTTGGATGTCTTCTTTTATAGACCCGTCTTTTGAGTTGTTTTTTTTTTTTTTTTTTTTTTTGGTTATTCTCACAATCGATAATTTTTCACCGGTGATCGATCAAAACAATATGCTTTCACCCCTGCCTTTTTTTTCTCCCCTTTTTACAGAACCGTCTTACAAACATCCCATCTATTGGAAAAAAGATATAAATATTCCGTCTTGTTATTTTTAGAGAAGATGGTATGAATGGTAATGTTTGAGAAGTGATAGATCATCCGATGAACGGTGTTTAAACAGCTTGGAGTATACCAATCATGTGTTGTCCCTTTTCGTTAACAAAAGAAGGTTTTTTGATCAGGCGTCAATTTCCTTACAAAGATGTTTTTCTATTTTATTTGTTCTATTCTTATACAAGGGCTCCAATTGTTGACCTTTGCATAACATCCACCAGCGGAATTGATCTGTCACCCTTCTTTTTTTTTACTAAATCAGACATCAAAATTGTTCCTTTTTTAGATTAATTGTACGTTCCCTCGATCTCTTAGGTTTTCACCGACTTACCCCTACCCGCATAAATAAAAAAAAATAAAAATAAAAAAAAAATAGAACAAGTTCCCGTGTCAAAACAAAACAAAAAAGAAAAATAGAAAAAAAAGGACAAAAGAGTTCTATTTTTATGATGGATGATGATTTGTTTCGTAATAGTTACCAACTGACTACGTTTCTAGTATCACAATGTACACAAACTGAAGATTCCTATTTTATATTTTAGAAAAAAAAGGAGATCTATTATATAGTATCTATGATCAATTCATAGTAAATGACTGATTTGGGGGGAATTAATATATGCTGAGATCAATCATCCATCAGAAATCGAGGCTAACTGGTCTTATCCAAAAGAGAAAAAAAAATTATCCATATGAAGAAAAAAAAAACACGGGAATGGAAAGTGGAATTGTTGCCAAGATTTTAGTTTAGAATTGAAACAACAGGGTACTATGAAAACCCCGCAAAGTTTATGGTAAATGGGCTTTGCAATGGACCCTGTTCACTTTAAGAATCCGCTTGTAATCCAATTGTTTTCAAAAACAAGACAAGTCCAACAACATGACATCAGTTCAAAAGTCTTTTTTTTTTTTATTTTTTCCTTCGTTTGTATTCATCTCGTTTTTAGTTAAAACACTCTATTTTTAGGGTGTTTTCTGAAATAGATTATCAATACACTATAAAAAATATATATCTAAAAGAGTGAAATCACAAAGTTTATTCACTGGTATTGATTCTCATCATGTCATCACCTGATTCATGACCTAAACGAATTTGGAATAGTTGAGTAACTTGAATCATCTTTTATGCGACCTGTATCTATTTGCATTGATTAAAAAAAACCACTTCCCCCCCTCCTTTTTTTTCAAATCCTTTGCTTGTGGATCGCGTTTATTTTATTTTTTCTGCACTCGTTTTGTGGTAGTGCGAAACTGATTTATCAATAGAAACTTTTTTATCAATAGAGACTCTCTTTATTATAGTCTTAATGATCATATCTGTCATTTGATTGTAGCAGAACCTGTTTTTTTTTGTCATCATATCATGCACCAGTCTGAGTCAGAATTGACTATTTCTTTGTTTTATCATTTTCGTTCCTTTTTTTTTTTCTCTTCATTTCTTTTTCTTCCACCTCATTATAATGCGATCTCTCTCTCTCTTTTTTTTGGTTTATAATATAAGTACGTTATTTTGTTTTTACGTTAAACTATCTGTCTAATTCCAACCATCAAACAACTATTGTATTCTCATAACATATTTAAATTCTATCTTGTCTGTCCGTCCGTCACTGATATTGCACCGTTTCTCTTGTCACATTCTAACAAAGAACAAGGATCAATTCAATCTATTTGGTGTCGATTCTTCTCAACCTTTACCACTGTTGATGCATCATGACCCGATTCTCCAATGCCGAATACTATTTAAAAGCTAGGTACAAGAAACGTCGTTTTCAATAACAAGAGCACAAAAAAAAAAAAAGAGCAAGCGAAAATCAACGCGTTGGAAAACTCTCTACAGACAACAAAAACCGTTTATTTGGACACAATACTTCTCTTCACCAACCTTCTCCTTATTTTATGGAAATCAACGGACAAATGATCGTTTGCCAATATATTGATAAATGGTGATCAAAAATATGAAGACAACAGAAAGTAAGAATAAAAGTGACAATAAGGCTAATTGATTATATTTCTTTTTCTTATTATTATTCTCTCTTTTTTTTTTTTTTTTTTAGTAATGGTTTCCCCTTCTCGCATATGGGGCAGTCGGAAATACGATAAGGGAAAAAGGCTAATCATCAAACAAAAGTGTACAAAGTTCTGAAACGGAAAATGAAGGTAACGCTCCTTGTTTGCTTAGTAAATGAAAACTACACACATCATAGGTAAATGTCAAGATATTCATAAAAATAAATCATATCTGAATCACAATCAACTTATTTTATTTAGTTATGTTTTCCTTTTCTGCTATCCAGTGAAAAGATACATGTGCAAGGCCCATCGCTTCTTACTGTCTTGCGTCCAATCCTCATGATCAACCACCTCCTCTCAAAGGTATGGTATACTGTCTGAGAATGACTGTATCTCTTTGTTTTGCCTGCAACTGGTCCCTATGTTGTTCATGTCCAGATATTGGATGATCTGTCGAAACTGGTGTTAGATATACCTTATACTTGTACGTTTGTCGCATTTGTAATCCATCTTTTCGACTACCATGTCTCAATCGACACAACCCCAAGAATCAATCCTGTTATCATCGATCATATCTTCTCGCGTGCCTGTAGTCTCCAACATTACTACAATTGACATCTTTATAGATGTTGTTATATATGTTATTAGTTTTACATATCTATTATTAGTGTTATATTTATCAATTCTGTATCTGTCATGTCTATATATTATAGCAAATCAACTCAAATAAAGTCATGGCCTGTTCGATCGGAGTTGATCCGAAAAAATTTTAGGACAATATCTTTTTCTTTTTTTTTTTTTTTTTCTCCTTTGCTTTGTTCCCATATCCCTTTTCTTAAAATCCATCTATGGCTAACCTTGAAAATCAAACAATATCCGAACAAATCGATAGAAAACGATCTTTAGACGATATTACTGAAAATCATACAGTAAAAGAAGATGAAGATGGTAAACAAGAAAATAAAGATCTCTCCTTTTTTTTTTTTTTTTTTTTTTTTTTTTTTTTACTAATAATCATTGATTATTCAAATAGAAGATGACATTGGTCCTATGCCTATGATGCCACCTACTGAAGGAGAAGTAGCACGTAAAAAGAAACGAGGTAGAGTATAATTATATACATATGAAGAGAGAAAATATTATATTTTAATATATCCCCCTCTTTTATATTGTATTAGTATTGCCACATGAACATCTTTATTTGGATCAGTTACCTTCGGCTGACATGTACGAAAAGAGTTATATGCATCGTGATACACTCAGTTACATTGCAGTAACAAAGTAAGTTATATATAATGTAAAAAAAAAAATAATACGTTTATTAATAAAAAAAACTATAGGGACGATTTTATTATTACCACTTCGAATGATGGTCACCTTAAATTTTGGAAAAAGACGCCTACTGGGATAGAATTTGTTAAACATTATCGATCTCATATCTCAAGTATTACTGGTATTAGTCTTTCAGCAGATCATGAACTTTTAGCAACAATATCGGAGGATATGGCTTTGAAGGTATACGATGTCACTAATTTTGGTAAGTAAAAAGTGAAAGGGAAAACAAAAAAAAAAAAAAAAAAAAAAAGATTAAAACGTTTTTTTTTTGTAGATATGATCAATATGATCAAGCTTCAATATAAACCCAAAAGTGTATGTTGGATTCATCAAAAAGGACAAGCTCAAGCTTTGGTAGCAATGTAAGTTATATAATTATCAAGATGGAAAGTAAACTAATGAATAAATTTATATATGAAAATAGATCTGAAGTGGAATCACCTAATATTCATATTTATGATGGTCGAACAGATGGAACAGCTTTACATACTATTTCTAAAATGCATGCTAGTCCTGTTCATATTATGAAGGTAAATATTTCTCTATTTTTGATATATATATTTATTCATTCTCTTTTTCTTACGTAGTTCAACTCAAGATATAATTGTGTAGTATCAGTGGATGCACTTGGAATGATTGAATATTGGTCACCAGAAGAACCTTTTGATTTACCCAGTAATTTAGATTTTGAAATGAAATCAGAAACAGATCTATATGAATTTAGAAAGGTAAAAATAAATATATATATATATAGATATATTCATGCATTTATTGATGATATCTTTTACTTTCCATCTTATAGTGCAAGTCTATTCCCTCCTGTGTTGTTTTTTCTCCTGATGAATCTCAATTTGTTACTATGAGTTTCCCTGATCGTCAAGTTCGATTATTCAAGTTTACTTCTGGTAAAATGTATCGCAAATATGATGAAAGTCTACAAACCATTAGTGAAATGCAACAAGCTGGAACTACTATATATAAATTGGATGATATGGAATTTGGTCGTCGTTTAGCTGTTGATAAGGAAATGGAAAAAACGAGTCAATCTCAACATGTCAATGCTGGTAAGTTCTCCCTTGAATTATAAAAAAAATGAAATATAGACTCAACCCTTTTTTTTTGTATAGTCTTTGACGAAAGTGGTAATTTTGTTATATATGCAACATTATTGGGCATCAAAGGTAATTATTATTTTTTTTTTGAATGACCAGTGATATAGTAAGACTACATAGTACTCAATGATGCACATCTTTTTTTTTAAAAAAAAAAAAAAAAAAAACACTTGAAACAAAATAGTGGTGAACATTCATACCAACAAAGTGGCAAGGTTGATTGGAAAGTCAGAAACGCATCGATTTTTGAATATGGCATTATATCAAGGAGCACCAAGAAAAAAAGGGATTTATACATTGGCCATGGCAGCATCTGAAAATGCGGTTATCAAAGAACGACAAGCTATTGATCCCACTTTATTTTGTACAGCCTTCAAACGAAATCGATTTTTCATGTTTTCAAAACGTGATCCTTACACGTAAGTTTTGATTTGATATGTTCATTTAAACTGGAACTTAACCTATTTTTATTTTGATAGTGATGAAACTCATAAAGGTGATCGTGATGTGTTCAATGAAAAACCATCAAGAGAAGAACAAACAGTGGCATCAACACAAGAACGAAAACAAGTTTTGGGAACGCAAGCTGTGCTACGTACAACCATGGGTGATATTTATCTTCGTCTCTTCCCTGATGTTGCTCCTAAAGCAGTGGAAAATTTTGTCACTCATGCAAAGAATGGTTATTATGATAATTTGATCTTTCATCGAGTCATTAAAGGATTTATGCTTCAAACTGGTTGTCCATTTGGTAAAAATTAAAAAAAAAAAAAAATTTGTATATTGATTTATTATTTTTGTTAGGTGATGGAACGGGAGGTGAATCTATTTGGGGAGAAGATTTTGAAGATGAGATAAGTAAGGATGTAAAACATGATCGTCCATATACACTTAGTATGGCTAATGCTGGACCTAACACCAATGCAAGTCAATTCTTTATTACGGTGGTACCAACGGTAATGTATAAATAAGTTCCCGAAGATAAATCAAATGACTTATCTTTTTTTTTTTTTTTTTTTAGCCTTGGTTGGATGGAAAGCATACCATTTTTGGACGTGCCACTGCTGGCATGGATGTGATTCATTCAATTGAAAACAAAAAAACGAATAGGGATGATAAACCTTGGGATGATATCAAAATTGTCAATATTGAAATTAGATAGAGTTGTTTTTATTTAGTATTTTAATAAAAAAGCAAATGTTTATTCTTTCGTTTAGTCGTGATTAGAGAGAGGTGCGGATTTGCGGGAAAGGATAGATTTTGAAGGGGGATTATAATGACTCGGATTCTTTTTTAGTTACTCTAACATAGCAGCGTACCTATCCTTTCTTTTTTTTTTTTTTTTTTTTTGGTTTAAACTACGGGAGGGGAGATGATCCAATCTCCGAGAAATAAGTTGTGATGTAGTTCAAAAGTAACACATTTATCGGGGTTATTCGGTGAGAACCCTTGATCATCCAACTATATAAATGCAAAAAAAAAAAAAAATCAATATTCTTTTTCTTCTTCTTTTTTTTTTTTTACTTTATTAACATTATTTTTTTTTATATATATCATGAGCACAGTCAGTAGTTCCATCAAAACATGGGAAGCAGTGGATGATTACTTCACGAATTTATATATTGATCATGATCCGGTACTGCAATCAGCGATCGAAACCAGTGAAAAAGAAGGATTACCAGGCCACAATGTGACAGCGACACAAGGCAAGTTTCTACAAATGTTATGCACACTCCGTGGGGCTGAACGCGTGCTTGAAATTGGTACGTTGGGAGGCTACAGTGCGATTTGGATGGCACGCGCACTTCCCAAGGGTGGCAAGCTGGTGACATTGGAAGCCAATCCTGACTATGCACGTATTGCTCAACAGAATGTGGATCGTGCCCAATTGACACAGGTGGTGGAAATCAAGGTCGGTAAAGCACTCGATACCTTACCACAACTCGAGGGTCCTCCTTTTGATCTTGTTTTCATCGATGCTGATAAGGGAAATAATCCTCATTACTACGAGTGGGCTCTCAAGTTGGCCAAGCCAGGTACCATCATCATTGTCGATAATATCGTACGGTATGGTCGTGTGTTGGACAATGCCAGTCCAGATCAAAGTGTCCAAGGTATTCGTCGTTTTAATGAGATCGTTGCTAACGATCCTCGTGTCCATGCTACTGCTCTTCAAACCGTGGGGGCCAAGGGATATGATGGTTTTGCCATGTTATTAGTTAAATAGTTTTTTTTTTTTTTCCTATATTCGAAAAGGAATCATCATCAAACTGAATTCATGATAAAATAGTTCTTTCATCATTGTTCAAATAAATAAATAAAAAAAGTCATCCTTGTTGTATTTTTTTTTTTCAAAGACGAATAGTTTCGTTTTTCATGCTTGATCCTAATAATATCTTCTTCTTAAGGTCGATTTTCAGTCTCAGCCCATTTTCACTGGAAAGCTTTGCTTTTTTTTAAAGTTTTCTTATTTTTTTTAAAAAAGTGCCTTTTTCTCCTTTTTATCACTTCTTTTGATTAAAAATATATCCTTATATACATAATGTCAAAATATCGTGATGGATGGAAGAAGAATCTTATTTTATGGCTTTTCTTCTTGGTATCTTATAGTTTAGCTGAAGAAGTTTATCTGGTATGCCATTCACGTGTCATTCTATGAGTTGATATTAATTCTTTTGTTTGTTTGACTATTTTCTAGACAAGTGATGACTATTATGCTACTACTTGTTCAGGTGTTTGGAGTCAACAATCTATTCCAGGAGGCAAGACTCCTTTTATTGAAGGTGATAAAGAAAAGAAAAAGAAAAAGAAAAAGAAAAAAAGAGAATTGTTATTATACTTGAAAGATATTCTCTATAAATCATTTATTTTATTTTATTTTATTTTTTGGAACTTTGTTTAGTTACTTTTGGTGAAAAGTCTTATGGATCTGCAGCCTTACTTGTATATGAATGGGAAGATTTTGATAAGATTGGTGGTTATAGTAATGTCACCAATGAGGTAAGAATGCCAAGACAAAATAGTCAAGATTTAACTTTTTATTTTTCGTTTTTTTGAAATGTTTTAGATGGAATATATTTGTGATGAACAAACAATACGACAAAACTTATGTACAAAGGAACAAGAAGGACAATTCATTATTCGCGTACCTGCCAACCAAACAACCTCCATCTTGACAGATACCATTCCTTTGAACCATACCATAGAAAAGGCGGCACTCTATAAAGTAGAAAAGACTGGATATTACTGTGTGGCTCTTATTCCTACAACATCACCTGGAAGTGAAAATAGTACTTATTTTGAAGCTTGGGTTGAATGGAAATTCCCATATGGTGAACTTCCTGCTGTGGATTATCCAAAATTAGTGGTAAGAAATTTAGAAAAAAAAAAAAAAAAAGAAATGGATCACTCACTCTCTTTTTTTTTTTTTATGTAGTTATATGGTGTCTTTGCTCTTGTTTATCTAAGTGTGGGTGTCTTTTGGGGTATTCAAACATTTAGATATTGGCATGATATTTTACCTGTCCAAGTAAGTCTATCAAAGAAAAAAATAATATAAAATGAAACTCTTTTTTTTTTTTTTTTGGTAGCATTTCTTATCAGGTGCCATCTTTTTCTTGACAGTGGAAATGGCATTTAATTGGGGATTTTGGGAAGCATATAATCAAACTGGCAAACCATGTAAGTTCAAATGATTTCGATAAAGAGAGATAATATTAATTTTTTTTTTTTTTTTGGTTATGTAGCATGGTTATTATTAGCCTTGGTAGCATTATTGAATGCTGGTAGAACAAGTATTTCCTTCTTCATGTTATTGATTGTTTGTATGGGATACAGTGTTGTAAAGTAAGTTGAAAAGAAAAAGCAAATAAACAAATAATAGTAACAATATATATATATTATTAGACCATCCTTGGGTTCAGCTATGAAGAAATGTATCATATTGGCTTGCACTCATTTCTTCTTTGGTGTGGTTTATTCTTTGGGTACTATGCTTTTATCACCTGAAACAGCTGGTTTTTTGGTCTTACTTGTGATTTTCCCTCTTTCCATTACAATGACTGCCTTTTATATTTGGACATTAAATTCGATCACCACTACATTGAATACACTTGGTAAAGAAAAAAAAAAAAAAAAAAAAAACCTAGAATTAACTTTCCAACTTTATAATAAATAGTTTTACGAAAACAACATGTCAAAGCACAGATGTATCGAAGATTATTCCGATTATTGGTATTTTCAGTGGTGATGGTAGTAGTGATCTTTATCTTGAACATGTTTACGTTTAGCGATCGAACAAGTGCAGATTGGGGAGCACGCAACTGGAAATGGCGATGGTTTATGTTGGATGGAATGTTAAATATCTTATATTTTGTGGTATTCTTTGTGATTGTGATCTTATGGCGACCTACAGATAACAATGCTCGATATGGATTGGAACAAATCAGTCAAGATGAAGAAGAAGCTTTGGATTTGGAACAACGATTGCAACATCGACGAAAACCCAATGGAGAAGATGAAGATGATGATGCTGGATTGTTTGAACTTGGTGATGATTTCAGTGATGATGAAGATGGTAGACATCATGGGGAACGTGTTCAATTGGTTACTGTCAATCATCATCATCATTCTTCTTCTTCTTCTGCTACACCATCAAGTCCTCCGGCTTATTCTCCTCCTCCTTCTACGACAGGTGATGATGGCAAGAAAAAACAACAAAATGAAGAACAAAGCGCTTTATTACATGTTCAAGAAAGTGATGATGAAGATGATGAGTAAGTCCTTTTTATTATTATTATTATTATTATTTTATATGAACTGATTTTTTTTTTTTATGTATAGACTGGATACAAGTGAACATGCAGGATTGACGGCCAATGCAAGGAAACATTCTTAGTTTATTTATGATTTGATTTTTTTTTTAAATAAAATAAAAAAAAAATATGATTGTTAGTGGTATTGGATAATAATTATCAATTGATATTTTTTTTTGGTTTAGTTGTCTAAATAAGGAAACAATAAACGATATATTTTGCATTGCATTCATTGTGATAAGACAGGTTGTAACTGAAAGAGTAACCAAGTTAATTGTCGTTCATGAGATTGTAAAGAACGAAGAGGTAGATCTTTATAGTTAGACAAAGAGCGGAGATGTGTTTGTAGTTGATATGCAAGCCATGGGCCAATGACATGATGTAGATGGGGAGATGCTCGTGAACAGGCAAGTATATCTTGAATTTGCATGGCTTGTAAGATAGCATATTGAATTTCAAAAGGAAAAGTAAGCCAACCCCAAGAAGGAGAAGAGGATGATGGTATAGCCATTGGATTGAAAAATGGAATGTCAAATGATATTTTCATGGTGGTATCTATGATCACTTGAGCTCTTTTTTCCCAGTCAAGTCGAGAGTATGCTAAAGATCGTACTAACCAATTCATCTCATCGTCATTGCGGTCTTTTATATGATTGATATGATATATTAATTGCCATCGACAAGATGAATGTATTTCTAATAAGAAACTGCCTTCATATCTTTCAAAAGTAATGAATAATTGTAATTGTTGCGCCACACTAGGAGAAGCAAGCCAAAAGAGGAAATCATCATCATCATCATGGATACGATCAAGGACTTGTCGTTTAGACCCAGGACATAGAATAACGAAACGTATATCTTTGGAAGTTGTCTATAAAAGTCATTAGAAAACAGAGAAACGATAAAAAAAGAAATATTTTACCTTTATTCTTGTTTTTAATGTATTGAGCAATGTATAAATAAAATCAATAGAATGATGGATTGATGCTATGGTGATGACAAATACTCGATATTTTTCAACAAGTGATTTGATAGGAATCACTCGATCCTATAAAATCGAATGATGATCAATCCTTGAGAAAAAAAAAAAAAAAAAAAAAAAACTTACATAGACATCTGTCACTTTGGATGGAAAGAGATGATGATTAGATGCTGTGGATTGTGAATAAGCAAAATATTTGTCCAAATCCATTTTTATTTCATTCTCATCATCATGACATTAAAAAAAAAAAAAAAAGGAGAAAGAAAGAGAGAAACGATTTATTTTTCTTTTTTATATAAAACCCATGTATATATATATAATGATTGGAACTCACCTGATTGACATGATGATAAGTAGAGAAAAAACTGACAGATGATGCAATGTTGATAGTCATATATTATACATAAATGTTTTAACTGTGGTACAAATAATGACTTTTTTATTATTATTCAATGGAAGAAGATCTGTTTAATAATGAGATGTCATGTGTGTTTGGGGCAAACTTATTAGCATAATATAAGTTTTGAAATTCCCGAGACATCGTACCAAAATAAAAAAAAAACGTGTTTTGGGGAAGATGTGATCTTGTCATTAATAATGTATAGATAAGTAAATGATATGTCAATAATAATAAAATTGGATCAAGTTTTTTTTTTTTTTATGCATTATTTTAAGTAAGGGAGTGTAACAGTTTTTCCTTTTTAAGCCAATTTTCCTTTTCTCTTGACTTTTCTCAAATGTACCGTGACGGATACAAAAAAAAATTGACCATCAGCAGAAGCGATATCCACCAATCATATCCATAACAAAAAAAAAATTTTTTTTTTCCCTACTTAAAAAAAAACAGGGAAAAAGAACGATTCATCTTTTTTTTTTTTTCTCTCTCTCTTTTATACTTCATCTTTGTTTACTTGTTTTTATTTATTTGTATCGTACTTTTTTTTTTATTATTCAAAAAAAAAAGTAAACAAAAGATCATTATTTTGATTTTATCAACAAACCAATCTACCACGTCTTCAGTAAAAAAGTTATTGTCATCACCGAAGCCACATACACAGGTTTCTGTGCTCATCCCTTTCCGTCCTCCTTAACATCTTTACTTTATATCTCAAATCATGGTAGCAGCTCTTACTATCAATCATGACGACACCACATTGAATGCTTGTATGGCCGGTGAAAATTATTCTGCTCAAGAAGGTGCTTTTGAAGGACCAGAAAAGTTATTGGAATTATGGTTTTCACCATCATTGACAGATATGATGGATCATCAACATGTTGACTCACCTCGTGGCTTATTGGCGGTGCCCCGTGCGGTTTGGGAGGATATGCTAGCTCTTGTCAAATGTACTGTATTAAATGTTATTCAACATGATCATGTGGATGCTTATTTACTCAGGTTAGAAAATAATAATAATAAAAAAAAAAGAAAGAAGTGAATCTCATTTTTTTTTTGTTTTATAGTGAATCATCCATGTTTGTTTATCCTCATAAAATGATCATCAAGACTTGTGGAACCACAACATTATTATTGGCTTTACCTCGGATGTTGGAAATTGCAAAAACTTTTTGTTATTTTGATAAAGTGTGGAGAGTATTTTATTCTCGTAAAGCATTCATGTTTCCTGATCGTCAAACTGGACCACATAAATCTTGGGAAAGTGAAGTGACATTTTTGAATCAATTTTTCGGTAAGTTGATTATTTTATATATATATATATATATGATTGGAACTAAATTATTTTTTTTATAGAGGATGGATCGGCTTATAAGATTGGGAAAATGGCAGGTGATCATTGGCATTTATACACCACCAAACCAGCAGATGATGTATTATTACACCAACGAACCTCATCCCATGTTCAAGGTGAATTACTTGAATGTGCTTATCAAAGTGGCGAATCAACACCTGTAGAAAGTACATTTGAAAATAGTTCTTCCGTTCCTTCTGATCAAACAATAGAAATCTTGATGACTCAATTGAATCCAAAGAATATGGAACGATTTTATCAACAACAAGGTATGCCTGTTGGGATTCAAGGTGGAAAATTAGTGGATGAAATGACAGGGATTGATCAATTGTATCCTTCGGCCGATGTGGATTCTTATCTATTTGAACCTTGTGGCTATTCTAGTAATGGATTATGGCAAGATCGATATTTTACTATTCATGTTACGCCGGAACCTCAATGTTCTTATGCATCCTTTGAAACAAATATACCCGTGATGGAATCTCATCCTTCTTGTAAAGATGATCCTATTGATCAGTTGGTTAAACAAGTGATTCATATTTTTGATCCTGCTTCTTTTACTGTTACTTTTTTTACTTCTCATAATATGAATCAACATAAAAGGATGATTCATTCTATGAGTCAAAAACAAGGTTATAAACGTACTGATAGAATTTTATATGAATTTGATGGTTATGATCTTGTTTATGGACATTATGTGAAATTAGATAAATAATACTAATAAAATGATTCTCTCCTCAAATGCTTCAATTGTTAACATATAAAAAAAAAAAGAGTCTGGCCTTTTTTGAATAATCTTGGTTTTTTTTTTTTTTTTTGATGGATTTTCTGTATCACATATAATATAAAATCTATTTCAAATGGCGATTCTTCTTTCTTTTTTTTGACTAGTGGTTTTAAAATTGTGCCCCGATAAATATTAACTTTATAACTTTTTTTTTCTTCCTTTTCTTCTTTATTTTCCTTTTTATATCTGAACTTTCTTTTATTACATATTTACCCACTTGGTATCACCTCTTTTTTTTTTATCATCCATTCCTATCATCTTTTTCTTTTCCTTCTTCCCCTCTCTCCTCTCCTTTCCATTCCTTTTTGTTATTCTTATTATCTTAGTCTTTCGTTTTTTTTTTTTTTACTTCATCTCTACTTTGTTAACTTCATGCGGGAAGCAACTACCAAACTAATTCAAGTTCTTGTATTTATCTATGCATTTATTTCCGTCATATATACAGTAAAGTACTTTTATTCATCATATCATTCACAACAAGATGGAATAGCACCTTATTATAACCATCACGAAGCACAAGCACAAGAATTACAATCAACAAAGAATAATGATGTTATTACTAACAACTCGGAAAAGGACGCTACAGTGGTATGGCATGGGTCTCAATCAACTATGCGAGAAACTTTCATCATGTCCAAAATCTTTGCTGATGCTATGCAACCTTCTCAACTGACACCCTATTATTACAAGGCCAAGACAATAAAGATGACGGATATTACCATGGCAACTTTAGTCACCAGAGATCGTTTCCCAGTACTTAGTCGACTAGCCAGCAATTACAAAGGACCCATCTCGGCGGCCATTCATATCAACGATGATGAAGAAAAGGAAGCCACTTTACAAGATTTAGCAACCGTCTATAAAACAAATCCGGATATGCAAAAATACGTGGATGTGCATTTGGTGGTGGATACTTTTGATCGACAATTCAATTTATGGCGCAATGTGGCCAAACTGTTTGCTCGAACTGACTATGTCATGATGTTGGATGTAGATTTCCATTTGTGTACCAATCTTCAATCGTTACGTGAAAATCCTGAACGACTTGAATATTACATGAATCGTGCGAATGGCCGTGTGGCTTTGGTCGTGCCTGCATTTGAATATGTAGCTCAAGCAGATGGTGTGGATTACAAGACGTTCCCGACAACAAAACAAGCTTTATTGGACGAAATGAGACAAGGCAAGATTGATATGTTTCACAAGGGTTGGAAAAAGGGCCATGGCGCGACGGATTATGAGCGATGGTATACAACCAATGAATCCTATGTGGTGACGGATTATGACTTTTCCTATGAACCTTACATTATCTATCCCAAAGAAGGTACACCTTGGTGCGATGAACGATTCATTGGTTATGGTGCAAACAAGGCGGCATGTTTATTTGAAATCTATTTATCTGGCATGGAATATACCGTATTACCTGACGACTTTTTGATTCATCAAACTCACAAATATCCGGAAAAGACAAGACGTAAGGAACGACAATACAATCGCACTTTGTACAGCAATTTCCGTGAAGAACTGTGTCTTCGTTATGCTCGAATGTTTATGGCCTCGGGTGAATGGGACTCTGGTCGTGCTGACAATTTGAAGAAGGAATGTGCAAAGAATCGTGGTTATAGAACTGCAATGAAATCTATCCTATAGTGTGTGTTATTATATATTTATTTATTTTTCTTTATATAGTTTATTTATCCCATTCATTCTCTTTTAGACTTTTTTTTATATACATCCAACATCTTTTTCATCATCCTCCCCCTTTTTTTTTACTTTCTCTTTTATATATATATATATATATATATATATATTATTATCAAATAAAAGATTCATTTGTTCCTTCATGATAGAATAGATATGGTTTTTTTTATATAAATCATGATGATTCACTCTCTCTCTACTATGATCGACGGGAAAATAATGATGCCGGATCTCCTTTTTCTGATCAATTCTTGTTATAAAGTAAGGATGGAAAAGACAATGATCAACTAGGTCTCGGGATGAGCACCCTAGAGATGTTTTTTTTTTTTTTTTAGGGGATAAAGATATATCATGTCTATCTATCTGTAAGTAGGTACAAAGATTACCCGCCATCCACTGTATCTGCCATACATCATCCTGATCATCAGCAATCTTAGATCCTTTAAAAAATCATCCATCATCATCCATCAAAAATCAGCATTGAGATCATCATCATTCATTTTTTTTTATTAGTATATCCCTAAATATTCAACTATACTAATGATAAAACCATAGTGTATATCCATAAGGAATTTTGTTGTCCCAATCATCATCATCATCATCTAAAATACCAATAGTTAATTAAGTAAATCCCCCTTCAAAGTAATATTCATCCATCATCGTTATTTTGTCTTCTTCAAAGTCGATCCCTAATATTGATTTAGTATACTTACCATGCATATTAATCCACCTGCATACATAAAATGTTTATGTTACCCACTGTATTCTCCCTTTTTTTTTTTTTTGGCCGCAACTTGAATCAAAAAAAAAAGAGTCAACCGCCTATTTTCCTTAGAATCCATGGTTTTGACACATGCTAAACACATATGCTGTCACTTTTTTCCTGCATAAAATCGATCAATGGTTGGGTAGTTGACAAAGTGGATATTTGTTGAGTTTTTGTTCAATGGAAAGCTGATCCACATTAATGAAAGCTATGTATGAAATGAGGTAGTCTTTTTTTTTTTTTCTTTCGAGTCCACCTATCAGTTATTGAGCAATGATTCACCTATAGATTGAAAAAAAAAGATCTTGTTTTGAAGAGGCATGAATAAAATTCATTTTTGCTGTTGTTGAAAAGATGAACTTATCAAAGTCATTCATATGAATTAAATTCAATCCTTGTATCCTTATAATGAAACAAGTTTTCTTTTAATAAAAGACATGACGATTAGACTAAAAGAAAAGTAATGGAGGGATAATAAAAGTGGAAGAAATACCAAAAAAAAAAAAAAAAAGTCAATTGCAGTTCATTGAAATATCGTAAATTCATGACTGAATTAATATCATTCGTTATCGAGAAAACTAGTGTTATTATTAACATTCACTTTTGATTTCAATTTATTATTCTTTTTCTTTTCCTTCTTCCTACTGACAGGTGAATAAAAGATAGAAAGAAAGAAAAAAAAAACTAGTTTTTTCGGATCATATATTGAATCTATCAAAGGATTACAGTGCATTGATACCGATATTCTTTCCTCCTATGAAAAAAGGAGAATATCCACAACAAAGAACAGCGTTGTCAGGGTATAAAGAAATTATCATCATCAGTTAATAATAATAGTCGTTGCCTACGAATAAATTCAGGGGATTTATTCTTTCTTTCTCCTTCTTATATTACTTCTCCTCATACCTCCTTTTCATCATTTATCTATCTTTTTTTTTTTCTTTTTTCTTTTTTTTTCTCCTCTTTCTCTTTCTTCATCCCTTTCGTCTCCTCTCTTTTATGATGTTTTCCAACGATGATTCCCCTACACCCAAGTTTTTTTTTTCAGTTTGATCGTTTTAAACCCTCATTTATTTATTTCTTCTCATTAGTTGACAAAAAAGAAACTTATCCCCTTATACAAAAGATAAAAAAAAAAAAGTCATTGGGGAAAAAAGGGGGGGATAGTAAAATAGTTCGTATGGGGGAGTTCTTCTTTTTGGCCACCAGCCCAAAACAGGCTTCCGTGTCGTTTCCTTCTTTCTTTTTGGCAAAGTGGCAAAAGGGAGCTGTTGTTAAGTGATTTTTTAATGAATCTATTGACATTTTTCTTTAGTGGCAAAAAAACTATGAATGATAAGAAAATAAAATAAAAAAAAAAGATTGGATGGATCCATGCGTATTGTGAGTTCATTCATGCTTTGTAGCAAGTTATTAAAGTTTGATAGAAAATAAATAGAATGACAATGAAAGTTTCATTCATCCTCCCATTTTTCTTACTGCAACTTGCTCCTTTGGACCCCAGTTGAATCATTTCCCCTTCTCGCCCCCTGATGAATCAATAAAAGAGTAAATAAAAAGAGGAACAAAGAGAAGAAAAAAAACTATTTTTTTTTTCGCTTCTTTACATTTTTATTCATCATGATGACCATGACTAGTTATTATCATATAGGCAATAAATTGACATTAGTTCAAGTACTTACACAACCCATTGTTCCACTGTCATTTCTTATCAGTCTATTAGGTCTCGGACTCTACTTTTTCTTATGTGTAAGATTAGGGTTGGCCAAGAATGAAAAGCAAATCAGTTGGTTGTTGACGTTTGCCAGTAGTGTAGTATGTACGGTTGTTTCGTTGCCACATTATGTGAGATTCTGGCGATCTGGTTGGGACATGCAATTACTTGGTCTTGAATCCACAGCTCATACCAGTCTTGCCTGTTTTTTCATGACCTATCTGGTAATGGATCTCACCTTGGGATCAATGTATTATAAAAGTCGTATCACCATTGCCACCGGTTGGATTCATCATTCGATTTACATTGTCATTTTATTTTGGTTGATGCGATGTCGATCCACTTCGTTCTTTACTGTCAATGCTATTTTGGAATTACCCACGGTGATCCTGGCCTTGGGCTCCATGCGTGCCAGTTGGCGAAGTGATGTCCTTTTTGGTTTTTCCTTTTTTGTTCTTCGTCTTGTCTATCATGCCTGTATGATCGTGTCCGTCAAACAGTATCATCGTATTGAATCGCTTTGGCTCGTGGCTGTCTTGGTCTTCCCTCTTCATGTCTATTGGTTCTATGGTATTGTTCAACAACAGATCAAACGTTTCAAGGCTTATACTTTGTCTTTTAATAATTATTCATCCATCATGTCGGCTATCATCAAAAAAGAAGTAGATGATGATGACCTGGATGATATGGAAATCAAAACAAGTAGTAACCGTAGTAGTAGTAGTGATGATGAAACAAGTCCTGCTCGTAAAGCGGCGGTCTTGGCCGCCTATCAACAAAAACAACAACGTATCTCTTGTAAAACATTTATTGCTTCCTCAAATATGCGAACCACTCGACGATCAAAATATAACTTTTTAAGCAAGGCTTATGCTATTTAATTCTAATGAATGATCCTTTTTTTTTTATTTATTTATTTATTTTGTAATATAAAACTCTCTCAAATAACATTATCATTTAAATAAATTCATATAATTTTTTACTACTTGTTTGTTATCCTTAAAATGTGAATATACTCCTGATTCACTTGAATAAACTCTAAAAAAAAAAAAAAAAAAAAAAAAAGATCGGATGAAAGATAATGAATAACATAATCCCTTTATTTTTTTTTGCATCAACCCCCTTCTACACCCTGAAATAAACATAGAAGTATCTAATCATTCATCACACACAGACACACCGTAAAAATATAATGAATTTTTATTGAATTACTATAAAAACGAGCTACCCCTATTACTGCTAAATCTATCCGACCATTCACTAGACTTTTCCAATAATTCCGCTTTTTGCTTCTTGCTCATCTTGCGAGTGCCCATCAAATCCTTTTCGCGATCAAATGGTCGTTTTGTAGGATCATCTTCTGCTTTTCGTTTGCTACTGGTTTTGTTCATACGATGTAATTCCAAGAGTGATAATGGTCGTTCGGTTTTCTATTAAATATATATATATATATATTAGTGGATCCTGCTCTTTCTTTCTTTTTTTTTTTTTTTGATTTACATTATGTTGTTCAATTTTTCTTCGAGTCTCCATTTCTGATTGACTAGGTTGTTGATATGTTGTTCGTTTTTCTCCATCATCCTCTTTCTGTAATTGTTTTCTTGCTTTATCAGCAGGGGTATCAGTCCAACTACTTGTATCACGTTTACCAGCATCCACTGTTCTTTGATTGAATGATCTAGGTCGTCCAGTATTTGCTAAAAAAAAAAAAAAAGATGATTATTATATTTCCTTTTTTTTTTTTTTTTTTTTTTTACCATTGGCCAAATAATCCACATCAGGTGGGGCTAACATCCATTCAGGTCTTTCCACTTTTGTCTCACCCGATGATGCCTAATAACAAGGAGATTAGCTTCGTATATGATATTCACTTTTTTACCTTATTCATAACATCTTCACTTTTCTTTGCTCTTTCTTCAATGGCTGCTATAGTGGACGATAAAGAAGCTTGTTCGACATCGTATTGTGAAGGCAATGCAGGACCAATAATATCATCGTCATCATCATTATCAGTCGACTTGGCTGTTGTTGAAGCACCAGGAGGTGGAAGTGCAGGACCCATTGTCCTTCGCTTTGGTGTAGGAGGTTGTAGATCAGGTGGTAATTCTGGCATAAAAGCATCAGCATCATCGTCATCATCGTTGTTATTATTATCTAATTGAGATGCCTCTTCAGGTAACACTTCTTCTTGCTGTTTCTTTTTCAAAAGATGTTCTGGTATGGAAGGACCGATCATGTTAATTCTTATATATAAAAAAGAAAGAAAAAAAAAAAGGAAAAAAAAAAAAGTTTTCTTATTACGATATTGTGACTGAAAAGGGAAAAATCATGGGAGCAAAAGAGGTTTTTGTTTTTTTTTGGATCTCCGTCATTTCTATGTGGTATCTTTCTCTCTCTCTCTCTTTTACTTATTTTTTTTTTCTGTATATTTATTCCCTTTTATGATGCTTCGTATATCTTCTTTTAGTATTGTACTATCTGGTATAGTAGCAGGTGTTGGTATTATTATCACTGTACGCTATACATGGAACCAACTCAAGTCCCGAACAGCTTTGCAGCAACAGAACAAACAACAACGACGACAACATGGTCGAAATACCAGCTCGACAAGAAGACGTCGGTCATCTTCACAACATGATACTGACACTAGTTTAGGACGACGACGACGACGACGAAGACGGTCAAGACAACGATCTTCAGAAGAAGAGGGTGACTGGTTACTGCCTTTACATTTGGATTCAGAAGACGATGGATCAGAACTAGTTAACGTGGACGACGATGATAATGCAACGACCACGACTGCTACGACAATGGCGGCTGGAGGGACTCAAGGCTCTAGTTCTCGTCATTCGTCGTTCACTTATCCAAACGTACATACCAATCGATTATTATCATTGTTTACAGAATGGCAAGAGGACGATGATGGAAATAGTAAAAATTTATTGCAACTTTTACATGCTATATCTGAAAATCAAGCTCGAAAAGGTAAAATTACTTACTTGTTGATTAAAAGAGAATGAATAACCTTATTTTTATTATTATAGAAGGATATATTCATCGTGGTATTACTTGTAACAAATGTGCAGTATCACCCATTAGAGGTATTCGATACAAATGCGCCAATTGTGTGGATTTTGATTTATGTGACATGTGTGAAGCTAGCAATGGACATCATCATACTCATGTGTTCCTGAAGATTCGGATTCCTATTCCACCTCTTGCCAATCCTCGAAGTGCTCTCTTACCACCTTTTTATCCTGGAAAAAACGATACTCTGACTCTTTCATCGGAACAAGCTCGATTATTGGAGTCTCAATCTCATTGTAAGAACATTATTATGTGAATTCGTTTGTTTTTTTTTTTTTGACCTTCTTGATTATTATTATTATCTTAGTTGATCAAGTGGAATTGGATGCTTTATTTGCTCAATATAAATCATTATCCGTGGTAGAATCTAGTCAAGGTGGGATCAATCAAACTACTTTTGAACAATGTTTAGGACCTTTGGGAATGGAAAAAAACTTGATTACCGAGCGTATTTTTTCCTTTTTTGATCGTGATCGTGATAATATCATTACATTTCCTGAATTGGTCCATGGTCTTAGTGTTTTATGTAAAGGAAATCTGGATGAAAAAATCGAATGTAAGTGTACATAAAAAAAAAAAAAAAAAAAAAAAAAAGGAACTAATCTCTATGATTATAGATGCTTTCAATGGTTATGATCTGGATGAAGATGGATATATCTCAAGAGATGAATTATATTGGATGTTCAAGTCATACTTTTATCTATCAATGGAATTGGTACGTGATGTGGTCAGTGCAATGGAAGATGATATGATGGATAATTATGAATTCCCTGCTGGACAACCAGTGAGTGCTGCCTTTAATGTACCTATTCCTTCTACTACTTCCTCTGATGGCGGCAATGATGATGATGATGATGATGATGATGATGATGATGATAGTGATGATGGATACAACAATAACAATATGAACAACAACAACAATGTTACTAGAAATAGATTAAGACGAAGACAACGATTGACCAATTTATCATCGGCTTATCAACAACAAGGGGATTCAAATACTTATTCTCAAAAACATGATTATTTCACCTCAGTCTATGCTAATGAACCTTCCACCTCTTTTCAACAATACAATCAAGAACTTAATAATGATGATGATACCAGTGATTATTTTTATGAACAAGATATGAGAGGCAAGGGAAAGAAGGAACCTATCAAACTTCAATGGGAAGAAAAATTCCCCATCATGGAAACCATGGCTCAAGATGCAATTCATGAAATGGTCAACAAGACATTCCGTAATATCGTGACTCAACGCGAAGGTTATATCAGTTTTGATGAATTCAAACAATGTGTACAAACGGATTCTAGTATAGTCAGTTGGTTTGAAGCTTTGGGTACTGTATTTTAGTTAGATAGAGCATATTTTATATTAATAAATGTGTACACTTCATATATATATCATCATCTTTTTTTTTTATTTTCTACAATATTATATTTTATTTTATTTTTTATTTATATCTTATTGGCCACAGTACACAATGTTTGTTTTATTATTACTTATCTTTTTATATATAAATATCCTTTCAATTTCTTTTTTTTTTCTTTTTTTTTTTTTTGTAAGCCATTTTATGAAATATTTTCAAATATTTGTCAATCAACATTTTTTTAATAAAAAGAAATATTTTATAAATCATCTCCCACTCTTAGAAAAGTAATCATGCTAAGTTTGATTTTTATTTTATTATTATGAAGAAGTAAACATCAATATTTTATATTCAAATTACTTTTTTTTTTTTTTTTTTTATTGATCATGAAAAAATGATTGCTCATTCAAGACATCTATTACCTTTTTTGGATTATTTTTATTTTTTTTCGATTATATCATTTTTGATCCCTTTTTTACAAAAAGAACTTGTGCTCACTACAATTAATCATCATTGATATTATTATACTAATAGTATCATACAACATTCTTATAAATTGTTAATAAAAAAAAAAATAAAAAAAAAATAAAAGAAAAAAAAATTTTGTCTTTTTTTAACATCGTTGTTTAAATCTATATCAAAATCTTACATCCATGTGTAAGACACATGGATGTAAGATTTTGTACATTAATAATTTTATTGTTTAATCCAAATAGTATAAATACTCCATCCTTTTCCTTTTTTTTTTTTTTTAGTTCAGTTAATTTTTATTATATTTTCTTAAATAAATCTTTTCTTATTATCCCTACTTGATTGTATTGTGGATTATCACTTCTGATTGGCTCACTTTGTTCTATATTAAAAGTCAGAACAATTTTACTCTACTTTTACTTTCCAAATTTGGAACAAGGCTTTATTTTCCTTTACTTTACTTTTTGTTTTATTTTATCTCTTTTCTTATACGTGTGCTTGCGTAATCAAGTACTGGTACTCACTATAAACATTATTAACTTTCAATCATCCGTTTTACTTTTTCAATTTTGAACCTATAAACCAAAAAATCATCCAACAGTACAAAAAAAAAAAATAATCATAACACCGTAACATTCCCATAACGAAAAGTCAACGCAACCCAAGCATTCAAACTCCGACGGGAACGAAGTTTTTCAAAAAGAAAAAGAAGTATCGCCCCCAGGTAGGCTCGAACTACCAACCTCCTGATTAACAGTCAGACGCGCTAGCCAATTGCGCCATGGAGGCGAAGTTGAAGTTTAGACTGGTTTCTACTACATAAATCCAATCCAGATTGGAGCGAAAATTTTATTCAAAGTTTATTCATTTAGGGCTTAAAAAGTGACAAGAGTTTATTCATGATGGAAGTTATATGTTTTGCTGTGTAAAATAAAAATACAGTGTAAAAAAAAAGGATGCATTCAAAGACAAGAATAAAAAAAAAAAAAAAGAATACAGGTTGGCATCAATTCTGTTGACATGTAACAAAATAATTAAAAATAAAAAAAAAAGACTTTATTGAATAATATGTGTCGTATCAGCGCATTTCGTACCTATCAATATATACAGTATGCGTAAACTAGAGTATAAAAAGAATGCATTCAAACATAAAAAAAAAAAAACTTATTGAAGATGGAATTGTCGTATCAGCGTATTTCGTACCTGTAATATAAGCGTATAATAAAAAAAATAAAATAAAAAGAATGCATTCTTACACATATAATACATCTTGTTATCGATTCTATTGACATGTAATAAAAATAGTTATAATAAAATAAAAACTTTACTGAATAAAAAAAAAAGTATGTAAACTAACGACTACATTAATGTATATAATTAAAACCATAAAAAAAAGTCAATGGAAGAGGAAAAGAAAGGGAAAAGAAAATAAAAAAAAAAAAAAAAGATGTGAAGCCAGACTTGGAAAGTCAGGTTAAAACCATCGGCTTTCATACTCCGTATTTCCAGTCACTAAGTATTGTTCTGTAGGCAAATCAGAAAAAAAAAAAAAAAAAAAAAGGGACAAACACAGACAAAGATCTTTATTCATAGATGGTATATACAGTATAGCGGGTCATGATAGCTAGCTACAGAGAAATATCTTCCCGAGTGATGTGGTGTAAAACTAGCGAAGATCTGATCTATCTGGGTCCCACTTCTTGTTGTTGCAAATCCACGAGGGAAGACAGGATACAATCGCCAATATTAAACATTCGATATACAGGTTGCTGGCATAATATCCGTGCTGCTGATTTCACTAGGTCCACCTTAACACTGCATAATTGTGACGATATCGTAATCTTCGAGCCAGCTGAATGTGAAGTATACCAGTGTCATTCATTGGACGAGGGATAGAAGATACAACCCGGTTCACACGGGCAGGTACATTGACGATGGCGCCTTTTGATCTATATTGTCCACCATAAACCTTCCATATAGTCTGAAAAACATGTCGAGCTGCTACCAGTCTTTCTTCCAGCCCTGTAAGTTGGCCAATCTGCGTTGGGACATCCATAAACTTCAATCCATTTGACAAACACAGATTGGGCACCCTTTTCTTCATTATATCGTGGTGACAGGTAGCACAGAACTTGCCTACTTCTTCAGTACTATCATTGAAAACTGTCGTATCAGCGTATTTCGTCCCTGTAACATAAGCGTACATCTTGTAGATGGAATCGATCCTATTGAAATGTAATAAAAATAGTTGTAATAAAATAAAACTTTATTGAATAAAAAAAAAAAAAAAGGGTAAAAAGGAAAATAAAAAAATAAAAAATAAAAGTACGCGTATTAAAAAATAAAATAAACAAAAAAATGGGGACTTTGAAATTTATTCTACTAAGCAAAGAGCTCTAATTTAATGAATGAAGAATGTCGATATATTTACCATTTATTCGCTCTACAAAAATATTTTTTTTTAAATCAATACTTTGTCTCTAAAACTATATTTTAAATATGTGAAATGGGTTAAATGTGTATTAGTATTTTATTTCTCATTGATAATGATTTATCATCATATGTGTAATGATTTATCATCATATGTGTAATGATTTATCATAATAGTTGCCCTGGAGCATACGCTGACTACATTCACTATGAATTCTTATTGATAATTTCAGCCAATCAGCGTGGAGTATTTTGATTTTGGTGGTCGCATTCTGTCCTTTTTTTTTTTTTTTTGGACTGGTTTATTTTATTACTTTTTTATTTTATTACTTTTTTATTTTATTACTTTTTTATTTTAATATATATTTTTTGAATAAACTCTATACATTACGAAACTCAATTGAACGAACGATTATTGATTGTACAGGTGATTACCGTGATAGAAGTCTAGCTCGCTTCAAGTGTGTTTATATCATTTTGGTGAATATCGAACTATTTGACAAGACAAAGATATCCCGTGGATTGTACCACACAAAAACCAAAAACGATCGGTGCATGCGATGGCGAGAAGGTCCATGTCAGTCTCTGGGCGACTATTTACTATATCGAACTCACTATAGGAAGTGCTACCCACTGGTAATGCTGGTGAAATTATTCTCAAGGTACATGCTGAAGGTCATTTTGGAATCAAGAATGACACGGAGACGAGTACTTATGACAGATACAACTGTACAAAAGGGTCAAGGAATTGATTGGAAGTCAGTCATTTCAACCTGGAAAGGTTCTTGCAAGACCATCAGTCCAATCAACAACTATATACTCGATCGTACAATATCATTCGGCCAATTTTAGACGCTTATGATTTTGGATATACTTTTGATGGAAAACAGCGAGGGATACTAGTGAAACCCTTTTTTTTTTTTTTTTTTTTTTTTGATGATTGGTTTAGATGCCGTTGGACCAATGACTGAATCGGATCATGGCAACAAGGATCTATTTTGGTGGCTGTTGAAGTACGGTCGGCAACAACAGACTTCAACGAAAGATGGATGTGGACTAAGGTAGTTGAACACCTTTTAAAGCTGAAGATAAGCAAAACCGAACATTTGAAATAACTATATTTACGTGATCTAATTGATTTTGTGTTTATTTTGAAACCTTATAGCGTGACTTGATCTATCAAGAAGATGTAACAGCGCTTCTGGGACAAGAGCAGAATGGGCCTAAACTGGTAGCTCATTTTGTGAAGAATACGGCACAGCACTGATGGACGCAATGTGTTGATGATTACTTATATATGTTTTACCCTCAATAAATATTTACTCTTCTTCTTTGTCACTGTTTTATTTATTGATTTTTTTGTCGTGTGTTGGGGACATTAATGTTTATGCGAAGATCTGTGTAAGCTAGTATAAAAAAAGGAGATCTATCATTTGTCATCATCGATGAAATGTTCCTTAACATATATGATGACCAGTGATATAGTCATTGCTTTGACGGTAGTTAGTAGAAGATGATCATCAATAGATAATGATGATGATGATAATGATGTTAGAAATGCGTAAAATCTGTCATTTCCGAAATTCATATGTTCCTTTTTTTCTTTTTTCAAATTATCAGCAGTTGTCAGATTGTCCATTACACATTATCCGTGATACCAAAAAAAAAAAAAATCAATGGGATTCCGTTAGATAAGATTGAAATTTAAGATACAAAAAAGAAAAATTAGAATATTTTCTATGACCAATATCTATCTTCTTGATTTATACAGAAGTTTTTTTTACTTAACAACTTCATTTGGCTCTCCACACGCAATGGGATTACTTAAGTAAAAATAGGAGGCTCTGTCGTCGATCATCATCCTCTTATTGAAACCCCGTAATTTATTGGAATTTCCTCATTTAATTTTGACCTACCTTTTTTTTTTTTTTTTTCCTTTTGTATTTCTTTTTCTTTTCCCTTCATCATACCAAGTCATAATGTCCGACAATAATAATACACCTTTTTTAGATTTATATGATCGTTTAGTGATCAAGTTTGATGAACGAGAAAAGAAACTAGATCAATTATTGCGTACGGTAGAAAACTTGGCGACCAAGATGGAAACAATTATTACTAACCACGAGCAACTTCAACAACAACAACAACAACAACAACCAGATTCAGTGACTGTAACTACGAATAATGATAGAGTCATTGCACCACCAGCACGTGGAGTCGATGTGGCAGCTTATATTAGAGAAGTGGTTGGTCAATGGCTTGGAACAACGGATAATCTTGAAGTAGATCTTGCCGTCAGTAGATTGCATTATTTGGCCAAACATGAATTTAGATTACTTCAAGCGGATACTGGCACTCCTGGTTTATCACGTATCAAATGGAGTTCTGTCAGTCCTTCCCAAAAATTGATCAGATACAAAGCCTTTGAAAAAGCTGCTGCCTCATACAATCTTCCCGCCGCTCAATGTATGGAACACTGGTTAGCTCATCGCCTCATTGGACCAAAATGGCAACATGCACATGACAGTGAAGTCAAGACGCTTAAGGTATACTAATAATAAAAAAAAAAAAAAGAGAAATAGGGATGATGATTAAAAATGAAAAAGATGTACTAATTCCAAGTTTTTTTTTTTTTTTTATTAATAGAAACTGAGACTGTCAGGCAAGGACATAAAGTAAGTTTACACTATACTGACCATTTAAGGAAGAGATCTACCACTACGTACACTCTATTCAAACTTGCCTTTTTTTTTTGTGGATAATAATATTATTATAGACCATCATCATCGTCAATAACAGCAGGAGAAACATCCGCGACACCATCATCGAAAGATGAATTATCAAAGTCAAAAGTACTTCATACAACGACAGCAGACGAAGAAAAAGAAGAAGAAACAACTCCATCACCATCATCATCACCATCATCACCATCAGGTTATCAACAGTAAGTACAAGAGATAATGGAAAAAAAAGTAATATCACAGTGGGTTACATCAGCTTTATTTTCTCTCTCTCTCTCTCTCTTTATAGGAAGCGTCAACGAAGGTGATCAATGCTTACATATTATACCGACCAAACGAAAAGCCTGTCAAGGTCATTGATACCAGCATGTGCATGAATGTAGTTTAGATACAGCTTAGTTTCTTTAATTCATCCTTTATATCCCAATAAAGCAACGTGTGTAGATAATAACAATGATAAAAAAAAACTTTTATTATCTTCAAACAAATATATATATATATAGACAAGTTAATAATCACTTGGTATACGTTCAAATAGTAGAAATCCCTATAGATGATCAAAAAAAAAAAAAAGGATACATGGACATGTCTTTCTCATACTGATACGACAATCGTAAAAGAAATTTTTTTTTTGTTTATTGTACAGATAAGAAATAGTAAGGAAATTAAGGTGCTATACATAATACATTATTTTTTGTAAATTTGGCCTGACATTAGTAAAGCTGGCCATTTGAGCATCGAAGACAGAAATGATGTTATTTGATTGTTGCTGTCGTTTTGTTTGCTTCTGGGTTGGTCGAGTCGTCCCTATCAAATATATACATACAAATTATTTAGCTATGATTTTCTCTTTATATATATATGTACCATATTCTTACCCCCTGATGATTCTACTGATGATTGTAATCAGTAGCCGTTCAATACTATTCTTTATTGACAGTCCAATTCCATCAAGAGCTAGGCAGCGTGACAGAAGGCGATTGGAGACCAGTGTCAAAAGTCACAGGAGAGATGGTATAATATCAGTAACGGACAGCAGACAATACAAGAAGTATAGAGACGTAAACACGAAAATACAGTAGTTATTTGATTCTTAGAGAATGTAAAAAGTAAAGAAGATAACAGATAAGTTCTAATATTATAGAAATAAAACAACATATTTATACTCTAAACTAAACAAGGAGAGATTAACTACCTTTAAAAGATTGTAATGACGAGGAAGAAAAAGTGATAAAAAAAAGTGATAAAAAACAAAAGAAAAACAAGGAGATATAAATAAATAAAATAAAGGTAATTCTGACTCAGACTCACTGCATGATTTTACTTAAGATGATAAAACGTAAGAGGTTGATGTTAGAAACACAACACTTATCTTTTTTTTTCCGTCTTGCCTTATTCGTATTGTCTATAACAAATCATATAGTGGAATGGTTAAAAAAAAAAATTCGATGACACACTAAACAATAAAGAAATATTATATGATCCCTCTAATGGTGAAGTAATCCCATTGCGTGTGAAGAGCCAAATGAAGTTGTTCAGTAAAAACTTGCTTTGTATAAATCAAGAAGATAGATATTGGTCATAGAAAATATTCTAATTTTTCTTTTTGTATCCTAAATCTTTTTTTTTTTTTTTTTTTTTTGATAATGACAATTATACTGATTTTTCTTTTTTCATGTGAATTATATTTATTTTCTGTGGTATGATTAGAGATCTTCTACACTTTATTCAATAATAAATGACGGAATTCAAAGAATAAGATGGCGCAAAAATAGGAAATAAAATATCGTAAGGATAGAAAATAAATGACAGAAGAAAAAAAATATAATTGTTGCATAATCAAATAGAGAATATAAGAAAATAGATATCATGGAAAAAAGAGCAATCAAAAAAAAAAAAGGAAATCCACCAATTGAGTTCACCAAGTTAACATATATAAAAAAAAAAAATAAAAAATGAGTAATACTTATCCAGATAAAAATATTTCACTAGCTTACCATTTAAGTGTAACGTGATCGCCGTAGCGAAAGTAGGATGGCGATAACCATCCCGGAATTTGTTGAATAAAAAAAAAAGAAAAGGCAGACCGTAACCACGCAAATGCGCATTAACGACCACGGTCAAGCCCAAAAACAAAAAAGAGGTAGATCAATGGAGATACAGATAAAGGTGGTTGAGTTATTAAAGGATGCTTGTAAAGAAAAGGATAGACCAAAAAAAAAGAAGGCAGACAAAAAAGCAGGCAGATAGGCCAAAAAGCAGGCAGGTAAGATGAATGTAATGTAAAGAAATAAAAAAAAAAAGTTAAATCAAAGGGATCCCTTTATAAGTAAATGAATCACTCGTGCAATTATGAACTAATTTTAGTTGATAAAATGATGAGACAAGATGTAAGCGAGTTTTATCATCTTTTTTTAAATATTAGCAACATTTCTATCTTTATATCGTATCCAATTCATCATCATTTTTTTTAGTATTAACAACATTTCTCTCTTTCTATTGTATTTAATTTATCATTTGTCTTTTTTAGTATCTACTTTATTATTTTTAGTATCTACTTCATAATTTTTTTTTTAGTGTTAGCAACATTTCTCTCTTTATATTGTATCTAATTTATCATCTACTTTATTGTTTTTAGTATCTACTTCATCTTTTTTTTTCTTTTTTTTTAGTGTTAGCAACATTTCTCTCTTAATAATAAAGTTAATTACATAGATGTTCTACATTAAATTCTATTATTACAATATTTATGTACTAAGTAATACATGGTACTGACTTGTTTTTGCCGTGTTTTAGTTTAATGACTAGATTCCTTTTTTTTTTTTTTTTTTTTTTTTTTTTTTTTTTTTTAGTTGTTCTATTTTAAATGGTAGTATGATTGTGTACAGCACATTTATTATTGTATTTTTTAATTTCCATTGATGTGATGAATCATCATTATTATATTTGATTTATCAGGTTGGCTGATAAAAGAGTGTTTTGACATTTTTCAAAGAAAAAAAGAAAAGAAAAAGAAAATGCTGTTCTGTCAGAAGGTAACTAGAATGAAGTATTTTGTATTTTATCAGAAATTTGTACAGTGATTGACGACAATGTTTCATCATCCATCATACAATCGTACAATCATCCAACATATAATCATCCATTATCACATATCATCCATCATACAGTCATCCATCATCCATCCTGTAATCATCCAATATACAATCATCCGTTATCACATATCATCAATCATGAATCATCGATCATGAATCATCAATCAATTGATACCTAAAAAAGAATGGACAACACCCAAAGCTGCTAAAAATATGAAAAGCTTATGTTACTTTTCTTTTGTGTCTTTTATTATTAATAAACAAGTTATCAAGTTATCATCAATGTGTTGTGTGTTTTTAATGTACTCTACCGACATCTCTAGAGCGATATCTGAAAAAGTGGTAATGCGCCATTCATTTTGGGAAAGTACGATATTTTATTTGATAACATCACGAAAAGCATTGTCTTGCGACCCGACAAAAAACCTTGAAAACACTCTATTTCCATCTGAATTAAATATTTAAAGTGATCCTTTTTTTCTTCTTTTTTTTTTTTGGTATCACGAATAATCAAATTATCCATTTGATAATTGCTGATAGTTTGAAAAAAAAAGGAACATATGAATTTCGGAAATGACAGATTTTACGCATTTCTAACATTATCATCATTATCTATTGATGATCATCTTCTACAAAATGATGATTATTTCACTGGTCATCATATATATTAAGGAACATTTCATCGATGATGACAAATTATATAGACCTCCTTTTTTTTTTTTTTTTTTTTTTTTTTTACTTTAATACCGCATAAATACAAAAGATTCTTTTTAAAAAGGTAATATGTCAAGCAGATAGACACTTTTGATCACATGCTATAATGATTGTTTTTCCGGAAAGGAAGAAAATAAAACCGATCGGCATAAGGTCCTTCTGCGCCCCGACCACGTAATTTTTTTTTTTTTTGGTTGATGGTGAATAAAAACTATATATGTAATTGTAATAATGTTTTGTAACCATATGGTTTAATTGTATCAAATGAAATCATCAGCATTTATGGTAAAAAAAAGAAAATGAGAAAGTGTCCCCCCATCAAGATTTCCTTTTTTGTTTTTCCGCAGTCGATCTCGATTCTTCCCTTTTGAGTCATGAACCAATAGAAAATTTTTCTAGACAGAAAAAAGAGAAACCAACAACAAAAAAAAAAAAAAAAAAAAAGAGGGAAAGATTCATAAATCTTATCTTGGTTGATATTTGTATATATATATGTGTGTGTGTGTGGGTGTGTGAAAAGAGAAAAAAAAAAAAAAAGGAATCCAGTTTGTCTTGTCATGTGGAATTTGTAGTCCGATGGTACTACAAAACAGTTTTATTCTCATTTACAAAAATAAAAGATTATTTGTAAGAAAAAAGAAAAGAGTTACTTTATAATATCATTTGAATCAATAAAAAATATTGTAAATATAATATAATATTTGAAATAGTAAATAAATAAATAAATAAATAAATAAATAAAAAAAAAGAAAAGAAGAAACAGTCAGATTGGTTTCGTATGACAAATCGATGGAGGACTTTTCTCAAACCTAGTATTGTCGTACAAACCTCAATGCATGATAGTACGAGTTGGCAAAAAAAAAAAAGAATTATAAATAAACAAAAAAAGTTCGATCATCGTTTTTTCTTTATTTTCTTTTTCTTTTTAATTTTTTTTTTTATATATATACCCTCCAATCTCTTATCATAATAATATGACAATTCATGATCATCAACAATCACTATTGGGTCAGTTGATTCATCAACGATACGAAATACATCGATCTCTTGGCATAGGTGCATATGCTCAAGTCTATTTAGCACGAGATTTATTACAACCATCGTCTTGGTATGCCATTAAAACGTTACCACCATGTACCAGTGCGAAACAAAGAGGATTACAAAGAATGGAAATTGGACTCCATGCAAGAGTGACTCCTCATCCACATATCCTTCAACTTCATCAAGTACTTCGTAGTCCTATTAGTCACCATGACAATAAACAACAGATGATGGAGACTCATATGGTTTTAGAATATAGTCCTGAAGGGGATTTATTTACTGCTATCACTGAACGTCATCTTTATGTCAATCAACCATCCATGATTCGTCACGTCTTTTTACAATTAATTCGTGCTGTACGTCATTGTCATCAATCTGGCGTTTATCATCGTGATCTGAAAAGTGAAAACATCATGGTGTTTGATGGTGGTTGGACTGTAAAATTAGGTGATTTTGGCTTGGCAACCACAGATCCTGTTTCAAAAGATTATGGATGTGGCAGTACTTTTTATTTTTCTCCAGGTAAGATCTATATATAGATCAACTATTTAAAACTCATCTTTTTCATTTCTAATGCCCATATATAGAATGCCAAGGTGATTTTGATGAACATCGACAAGGATATGCAACAGCTCCTAATGATATCTGGTCTTTAGGTATTATCCTTATTAATCTTACAACAGGACGTAATCCATGGCATCGTGCTTCATTTCATGATCCAGCTTTTCGTATGTATATGGACGATCCATCCATTTTGATGACCATGCTACCCACCATCTCTGTACCTTTACATCGTATTTTAAAACGAGTGCTGAGCATTCATCCTCAAGATCGTATGACATTGGACGAATTGGAACATGCTATCTTACATTGTCCATTCTTCACAGGTTCACTTTTACCTATTGTTACCAATAATGTAAAATCATTTTCACAAGTTGGCTTACCATCTCCTCCTACTACTCCTGGTCGTCATCCATGTTCTTTTATTAACAATCAGTCTGTACTTGATAATGATGATGATGATGATTTATTATTTTCTCCCTTGGAAACTCCCATTTCACCTCTTCTTCATCCTCCTAGATCCATTCATCTAGATGAACAAAATAATAAGGATTGTTCTCTTTTTTTGGATCAATTTTCCTCATTAAAGATATAAAAAGGAAAAAAGTTCGATACTTTTTTTTTTTTTTCTATTTCTTCTCATCAAATGTACATAGACTAGCATATCATTTCCCTTTTTCATCATCATTAGCTATACTTAATAAATTTTGAACTTAATATCAAAGATACACTTTATTCAATAAAAAATGACGGAATTCAAAGAATAAGATGTCGCAAAAATAGGAAATAAAATATCGTAAGGATAGAAAATAAATGACAGAAGAGAAAAAAAAATAAGAGTTGTCGCATAATCAAATAGAGAATATAAGAAAATAGATATCATGAAAAAAAAGAGTAATCAAAAAAAAAAAAAAAAAAAAGGAAATCCACCAATTGAGTTCACCAAGTTAACGTATAAAAAAAAAAAAAATAAAAAAATGAGTAATACTTATCCAGATAAAAACCTTTCACTAGCTTACCATTTAAGTGCAACGTGATCGCTGCATCGCTGCAACGAAAGTAGGTACCTGGCTATAACAATCCCGGAAATTGTTAAATTGTTAGGTTGTTAAATTGATTGAACCAACGGTGATTAAACCATTAAAGAATACTTGTAAATAAAAAGATAGGCAAAAAAAAAGATTGAAACAACGGTGATTAAACCATTAAAGAATACTTGTAAAGAAAAGATAGACAGAAAAAAAAAAAGAGTGATTGAACCAACGGTGATTAAACCATTAAAGAATACTTGTAAAGAAAAAGATAGACAGAAAAAAAAAAGAAGAAGGTAGGCCAAAAAGCAGGCAGATAGGCCAAAAAAAGGAGGCAGGTAAGATGAATGTAATGTAAAGAAATAAAAAAAAAAAGTTAAATCAAAGGGATCCCTTTATAAGAAAATGAATCACCCTTGCAATTATGAGCTAATTTTAGTAGATAAAATGATGAGACAAGATGTAAGCGAGTTTTATCATCTTTTTTTAAATACTAGCAACATTTCTATCTTTATATTGTATCTAATTCATCATCATTTTTTTTAGTATTAACAACATTTCTCTCTTTCTATTGTATTTAATTTATCATTTGTCTTTTTTAGTATCTACTTTATTATTTTTAGTATCTACTTCATCATTTTTTTTTGGTATTAGCAACATTTCTCTCTTTATAATAAAGTTAATTATATAAATGTTCTACATTAAGTTCTATTATTACAATATCCATGTACTAAGTGATACATGATACTGACTTGTTTTTGTCGTGTTTTAGTTTAATGACTAGATTTCTTTTTTTTTAGTTGTTCTAGTTTAAATGATAGTATGATTGTGCACAGAATACTTATTATTGCCATTTTTTAATTTCCATTGGTGATCATCATTATTATTATATTGATTTATCATGTTGGCTGATAAAAGAGTGTTTTGACACTTTCAAAGAAAAAAAGAAAAGAAAAAGAAAATGTTGTTCTGTCAGAAGGTAACTAGAATGAAGTATTTTGTATTCTATCAGTAATTTGTACAGTGACTGATCATAATGTTCCATCATCCATTCTATAATCATCCATCATACAATCATCCATCATCCATCCTATAATCATCCAACATACAATCATCCATTATCACATATCATCAATCATCAATTGTCAATCAATCAATACCTAAAAAATTATGGACAACACCCAAAGCTGCTAAAAATATGAAAAGCCTATGTTACTTTTCTTTTGTATCTTTTATTATTAATAAGAAAGTTATCATCAATATGTTATGTGTTTTTAGTGTACTCTACCGACATCTCTGGAGCGATATCTGAAAAAGTGGTAATGCGACATTCATTTTGGAAAGCACGATATTTTATTTGATAACATCACGAAAAACATTTTCTTGTGACCCGAAAAAAAAGACTTTGAAAACACTGTATAACCCTTGTCTATTCTTTTTTTTTTTTTTTTTTTAAAACCAAAAAGTCGCATTTATAATTTTTACACTAAAAGAAAAGAAAAAAAGAAAACCATCTCTGGAAAAGGTCTATCCATATGTTGACCTCAAAAAAAAAAGGTAGTGGAAGAATAACCTTTGTGATTGGAGATTGAGTTTAAAATACATCGAGAAGGGGTGTGTGGTCAAACAAAGCAATCTTATTTTTTTTTTTTTTTTTGTTCCTGTTCTTTTCTTTTCTTTTTTTTTTTTCTTCTTAAGACTTTTAATCCTCCAATCATCTCATGTCATATTCTCCCACTAATTTCCCTGTTCTCAAAAATGATCTCATCTTACGTGTCTCTCGAGGTAAAGTCATTCTTTATAAAGATCCGTTTTATTATTATTATTATTATTCAACTTTACTAAGCATTTATATTCCCTTTTTGTTCTTTTGTAGGTGAAAAGACCGAAAGAGTTCCGATCTGGATTATGAGACAAGCTGGTCGTTACTTACCAGGTAAGAAAACTAACAAGATTCTTTTTACAAGTAAAATTTACGCCCTTTTTTTTTTAATGGGGATGACATCCAACCTTTTTTAGAATTCCACACTGTTCGCAAACAACACAGTTTCTTTGAAATTTGTCGTACACCTGAATTGGCTTGTGAATTGACTTTACAACCTATTGACCGATATGGATCATTACTGGATGCCTCCATCATATTCTCAGATATTTTGGTAATTCCTCAAGCACTTGGGTTAGAAGTAACAATGGTAGAAGGTCGAGGTCCTGTGTTCCCTGCTCCTTTAGTGACACCTGCTGACATGGAACGATTGACTAAAGATGTGAATGTAGACGAAGCACTTGGCTATGTATATCAAGCTATTACATTAACTCGACACAAGTTGGATGGACGAGTACCTTTGTACGGATTTATTGGAGCTCCCTGGACATTAATGGCATATATGATTGAAGGTGGTGGCAGTAAGACTTTATCCAAGGCCAAATCTTGGTTATGGAAACATCCTGATGCAACCCATGAACTTTTACAACGCATTACTGATGTGGCTGTGACGTTTTTGGTAGGCCAAGTCCGTGCTGGTGCACAAATGTTACAAGTATTTGATAGTTGGGCTGGTGAACTTTCTCCTCATGATTTCAAGATCTACTCTTTGCCTTATATCAAACAAATTGCTACCAAGGTCAAACAACAATTGAAAGAACAAGGTTTGGAACAAGTGCCCATGACGATTTTTGCAAAGGGTGCATGGTTCGCTTTAGAAGATTTAGTAGATATTGGTTATGAAGTGGTATCTTTGGATTGGACGATTGATCCTGAATATGCTCGAAAGGTGACCAAGGGCAAGGTGGTGTTACAAGGAAATATGGATCCTTCTGTATTGTATGGTGGTGATGATGCTATTCGTGAAACGGCTACTCGTATGGTGAAAGCCTTTGGTGGTCATCAACATATTGGTAATTTGGGTCATGGTGTTTTACCTACTGTTGATCCTGAAGCTCTCAAGGTGTATTTGGAAACTGTTCAAAAAGTATCTGCTGAAATTAGTAAATAGTATGTATTTTCAATAGTTTAATTTTGATATTTATATATTATTATTATTATTATTGTTTATTGTGATTATTATTGTGATTATTAAAAAAAAAGTTTTAGTACAATTCTGTCTATATGCTTTCTATATGAAAATGAATAAAATGGGGGGGGGGAATATATCTTGATAATAGATTCAAATGATAATAAGATGGATGATAATATGTTTCTTTAACTCATAAATCCACTCCACTGTCTTAATCGTTCACCATATATTTTCAGGATGAAGAGTAAGATTGCACCAAACCAAGCAAGAGCAGCCAACATGACGGTAGTATAACCAGCACCCAAAGCTGAGACCATAGGATTAGAAGCAAGTGTCAACACACATGCAATCAGCATCCGTACAAAATTAGCAGCAGCAGTAACAGATGCACCAATCCCAGGGGTAGCATCTACTAAATATGCAGATGTACTTGTCATGATTTGAGTCATACCAAAGGTCACACAGCCAAATCCAATGATACCGGCCCATACCGAACGATCATATTCCACCATCCATCCAAACAGTAACAAACCAAAAGGCATGATGATCACCAAACATGGCCAAATGTTCAACGTCAAGCGATCTTCTACCATGGGTCGACCTCGTTGTTTTCTTGCACGTAAAAGAAGTTGATCAGATAATCTACCTCCCACAATCGAGCCTAATAAATTGCCAATACCCGCACCAAGATAAGACAAACCTATATAGATCGTCATCAAAAAAAAAAAAATCATTAGTATCAGCGAAAAAGTCAAAAAATTTTTTTTTCTTCTTTTCAATAATCACCTGTTTGCCATGAATTGAATGAATACTTTTGTTCAAATAAACTAGGAATGATGGTTTCCACGGCAAACATTGAACCAAAACAAATACCACCCACCAAAGAGGCAAGGAAAATAAAAGGATGGCGTAACAAGAAAAATGATGATAAGGGATTCATCCTAGCTTTTTTGATTGGAGTGGAATTGGAGATAGTGATACCATCCTCATCATCAGCAATGGATGAAGCATCCTCCGTAGTCTGTGTTACTCCTTGTTGTGTTTGATCAGTTTTTTCCGCTATTGGTAAAGATGCATCAAATCGGGCGTTGTCTCGATACGTTTCAGGAAGGAAAAAGAAAACCATCAAACTAGCAAAAAGTCCAAGAGCAAGACAAAACCAAAATGTTGCTCTCCAACCTTCTTTACTCATAATCAGTACACCACCAAGAATAGGACCTAATAAAGGACCAAAGAAAACTCCAAAAAAGTATTTACCAAATGCTGCTCCTCGTTTTTCCAATGGATAACAATCCTAAAAAAAAAAACAAAAAAAAATCAGTTTTAAAAAAAAACAGATGATCTAATATTCAACTTACAGCAATCACACCTGCACCAACACTTTGACCACAAGATGAACCAATGGATTGAACACAACGTAATACTACAAGACCCCAAATATTGTTCATCAATGCTAATCCTAAGGAAGCCACAGCAAATATCAACATTGAAAATATTGAAAGACATCGACGTACATGATAATGATCTGAGATAGATGCCCAAAATACAGGTGCAATCCCCATGAACACTGATCAAAAAAAAAAAAAAAGGTCCGATGAATCAGTTCATGATTTCATGATTTTTTTTATTTTTTTTATTTTTAACTTACAAACAAATAAAGCTGCGGTTAATGTAGTAGCAATGGGAGGAGCATGTAAATCTTGAGTTATCATAGGTAAACCTAAACATAATAATAATAAGTATTTTTTTTTTTTTTTTTTTGATAATATATTTTTTTTTTACCAGGGAAATAAATGGTACTTGAAAATCCAGGAGTACATGCACATAATGCTAATAAACCCAGAATGACATTTTTTGTTCGACCGGGTAATAAACGAGGATCATCATCTACAGGAGGCTTTAATAATAATCTTGATTTTAATAGATGTTTCCAAGTCTTTTTTTCTTCAGTACTCATCGTATAGATCAAAATCAAAAAAAAAGAGAAAAAAAAAGAAGGAAAAAGAAGTAGTTTAATTAAGGGAAAAAGTTTTTTTTTTTTTTTATATATTTTTTTTTATATGGAGTCACACAGACAACTCATATGGAATACGGAAGAAAATAACCCCAAGACCGATAATCCCGCGCCCTTTCGGAGCAGCCGACCATCCAATAAAAACAAGAATTAATCATGTTTTCAAAAGTATTCTATTGGCATCATTTTAAGGATCTGATAACTTACTGGTTTAAAATATATATTAATAAAAGAAAAAAAAAGAAAGAAAGAAATTAAGTTTCATTCGTTTTGATTTGAATGTGACAGATTGATAACCTAAAGAATAAATAAACAAATCAACCCAGTGTGGTTCAACCTATAAATACATCAATATTTTTTTTTTTTTTTTAAATATCATATATGATATAAATAAAATACATATATATTTTTATTTATTAATATCAAAAATAAGATCAACAAAGTATACATCTATTTTCATTTGTCTAACTAAACTCTCTCTCTCTATATATATCCAATCTATTGTCGAGGGAGGGTGACCGTCAATGAATCCATAGTACCTTGAGCCTTGAATCCTAATTTTTCATACATACGCTGAGCATGTACAATGTCATCATATACTTCCAAATAAGCAGTTTGTCCTTGTTGTAATTCTTGTCCTAACGCTTGTTGAAGACATATCAGACCTAACCCTTTTCGTTGATGATCAGGATGAGTACCACAGACGTTGACATGGATCAAATCAGGAAGACCATCTGGTGCATTCAAAATAGCGACACTTAGAAACTGTTGTCCATTTTCAACAAGGCCATAAATCTGTGTTTGTGGATCATTGATTTGAGTCGTGAGCTTGTATCGTAACCATGTATTATCATTATTGTATCCAAAAGCTGCGCCTATCAATTGTGTCAATTCTTCTACATCTTCCAATGTTGCCTTGCGTACCATAGATGAATTATTTTTTTTTATCTTCTTGAAATCTTCAAAAGTACAGGACATAATGATATCCGTATCACGTTCAACATGAAATGTATATTGTTTATTGTTCTTGAACCAAGTCGCCAAAGTATCCAGTGAAGGCGTTGCTAATTCATCTACAATATACCTTGGTTGTAAACCTAAACGCAGGAACCGGTCCATTGTCGCTTGTAAAAAGGTATCAAAAGCGGATTGATCTTCTTTGTCAATACGTATCCGACAGCAGAGATTGGATTGTTGATGTCCAGGGTTGCGTGGATTGACCATCATGACACTATCATTGCGTATCAATGTTGTAGCTGCTGCTTGATTGAAAAGACAATAGTTCAAGTCTAATATATCTTGTTTGTATGAAGAACGTATGGTCATAATGTAAAGGGATACGAAGAAAGAGAGAGACAGAAAGAGATTGCCGCAGTGAAACAAATCCAATGCCAATTTTTTATCACAACTTCAACAAATATCAGCTCCGACAATGTTCTTCCTCCACAGTCTTGGATGCATAGGATGGACAATGCACCTCACTCCACAAAGATGAAACAATAACCATGATGTTGATAGAGAAATGAAATCAATCATCATCATATATACATATATAGAAAGTATTTGATATACCCAAAAAAAAAAGGAAAAGAAGAGATCGTCTCTCTCTCTCTTTTCCCATCATCCACGTTATTCTGGTAAGGTAGATAAAAAAAAAAAACTGTTAAGTAAAGATCAAAATGGATGAATAGTTTTACATCATTATTAATTTGAATTCTCACATACGGATAAATAATCCGGATGCATATTATCATATACAAAAAAAAAAAAAAAAAACTTATCGCATAAACTATCCTTTTTGAAAAAAAAGGGGTAGAGGATAAACATCCGGAAACGAGTATTGTTTTATCGCTGTTTTAAAAGTGTGAGTAAACATCGTCTATTAGACTTTCTTTTGCATAAGATCATTTAAATACTCACGAAAAAAAAAAAGATTCATTTTCTCTCTCTCACCTTTTTTTTTTTTTACATATTTTTTTATTGATACTAAAATTATGATTCCAGCTGATATCGACACGAACTATACAATCATTGTTCCTACAGAAGTATCCAAAGAAGAAGCCATCAAGCGTCGTCAGATTTATTTGAGACCATTTCTTCTGTATACGTTCAATTCGTATCTTGCCGAACTCCTCTTTTTGGTGGTGGCTATTGTGTTCTTTAGTGGATTAGAAGAGATTTGGAAAAAGCTTGCATGGACCATGATTCTTTGTCCTATTGGTATGGGTGGCACGATGGGCAGTCTTACCATCTTTTTTTTGACAGACAGATATTATGGTCGTGAAGCTGTCATTTTCTCTACCATTCTTCATTTCTTGGTCATGGGCACTTGCAATTTCTTATGTTGGAATCTTGATCGTCATTTGGGTCAATGGTTTGGCTCTGCCTCGCATCCCTTATGGTTCCATCTTCGCTATCCTTTTATCTTCTTACTAGGTATTCCTGCTGCTCAAAAATTATTCACGGATGAGGGTCAAAAAGAATTGGCCAAATGGGGTATTTAATCATTTTTATACAAAATAAATAAAAAATAATGATAATAATTTATGTTTATAAATGTATCATCGATGGGTGTATGTTAAGAAAGGTTGAAGTTGTTTCAAAAAAAAAAAAAACGTCTTGTCCAGAGATGAATGGAGAGTGCAACATAATAATAAAAATGAATGGCATTCAGATCTGCTTTTACTTATAGATGATACAACAAAGAAATATGTTTGATTTAAGCACCTTCCTACAATCTCAATTCTTTTTTTTTTTTTTTTTTTTTTTTTTTTTTTTTTTACCTTGTTTCTTCTTCAGTATCAATAATGTGACACGCTAATATCCATAACGGACAGATAGAGAAGATAGCAGTAATTATATATATGTGCATTTACGAGAATATAAAAGCTATTTGATGTAGATTAGAATAAGATAATGTAATAGTAAAAGAGATAATTATCTATTGATATAAAAACAATAGCGTATTTATAGTCTATAACTAAAGGAGAATGTATCTATTGATGTTGATTCTTTTGAGAGAGCAAAGAGGGACAACAAAAAAGGAAAGAAAAAATGAAGAGAACAGACGGTGGGAGAAACGAAAAACGAAAAAAGGGTGGCTAGTAAAATCCGTGTGGCATTTATATCGTTTATATGTACGCGGCACTAATTTGCTTAAAACAGGAGTGCAGTATTTAAAAGAAATAAGAGAATTTTTTGATGTTATTTACGAAAAGGGTGGGATAGGCTTCCAAAAAAGAGTAGCTAAAAAAGAGTAGCTAAAAAAAGAATGGCTATCATTCGTTCCCACCAAAATTCCTGCGACGAACTTCTTCAGCTTTATATAAGCTTTCTTCTCCGATATCATCTTTCTTTGTCCTTTTTCCGTAAAAAAAAAAAAAAAAAAAGGAGTAAGGTTACTAATGTAAGCATGTCGTATGTGTCACTTTTAATTTTTTTTTTTTTTTTTTTTTTTTGTTTCGACTGAACCCCAAAGAATCCTGCCACCCGCCAAGCGAATGGAAAAATTTAGTATATGGAAATGAACGTCCCTCGATTGTGTAAAAGTCATTATGGATGAGTACTTAAGAAAATAAGATTTGAAGGTGGGCCAAATAAGGTTACAGCTTATGGCAAAGAAGTAAAACCTTAAAACACGATTTCCTCTACTTCTTTCATCTTTTCGTTTCTCTTCTTCCTTATTACTCTTCTTATTCCTTTGATGTGGAAGAATGAAACAATGAAAAAGTAATTGTTGACCGAAGATAACAGATAGCTCTTTATTGTTGGAGAAATAAAATAACGTACTTATATCTAAACTAAAGAAAGGAGAGACTACCTAATATATCATTTTTGTAATGAGGAGAACAAAAGGGGTCAAAACAGGAACGTGGAAAAGACAAAAATTCACAAAATTCAAGAAAACAAGGGGGGAATAATGAAAACTATTATATAAATTTTGTCAATTTCATTTGATCACGCTAATCCACTCCCCCGCTCTACCAACGGAGCTATAAAGGGATTAGTTGAAACAAGGAGAAAGGAGAGGAAGAAGTATAATAATGATGCGAGTCTGCGAGTCTGCGAGTTAGCGGGTTTGCGAGTCTGCGAGTCTGCGGGTCTTTCACTTTCATAGAAAAAAAGAATGTCATTGACAATCATTTCCTTTTTTTTTCATTCTTTTTCTTTACTTCTTTCTTATTCCTTTCCTTTAATTCTTGAAAAAAAGTTTATAATGTATATATATTATCATCCGGTTTATCCACCGTTTTTTACCTTTTTTTCTTCCATACTTCAGTAATATGAATAACGCAAGAGAGAATCAAAATAAAACTCTTGCCTCAGATCTTGATGTCAATCACGTGTTTGACCTTGTGCTTGTGGATATGGTTGCTTCTTTCGAGTCCGAGAGGCTTGTCTGTGTTAAGAGGAACATGTATGAAGCTGGATCTTCTTACAAATACGTCTGTGTCAGTTACCGTTGGGGCGAGTACACTGAACAAATTGTCCTCACGCCGGATTACAATGCGCATGTGACTAGTTTTGCCATTGCAGACTTGATTACCTTGTGTGGACAAATACTACTTTGGAATCATCAAGAATATGAAAAAGAACCCGATGATGATGATGATGATATAGTAGATAATAATACGGATAGATATTTATGGGTGGATGCTATCTCAGTGGATCAAATGAATCACGCAAACAAAAAATCGACCACTCATCGTATGACTGAAATTTACAACAGAGCTGAACTGATTATTGCTGTTCCTGATTTGCACATTGGTTATCTCATGGAGACTCCGAACAATCATGAATTTATCTCTACGCTGTCCAGGCACGCAAAAAAGATATATCATCATATCACATTGCAATGTACGAATAAAAAAGGTGATGATGAAGAGGACGTCAAAAGTGATCAAGTTGGTCAAGAAAACCTTGACGTTCAGAAACCAGAAAAATATCAACATGGTACGGATGAAAATTAACCTCGTTATGGGACAACATCACTTCTTAAACTTTTTTTTTTTTTTTTTTTTTTTTTTTTTTTTTAGCAAAGGGAGGTCGAGGCTCACGGAAACACAGAAAATTTAGACAATTTGTCAAAGATACTATACGCCAATTACGCTTATTAGGTGGCGCAGATGGCACACAAAAGAAGAATGATGCTGCTCAGACCAATCTGGATGATGATGATGATGATTTTACGGTATCCTCTTGGGAAGACACTAGGCGTACCCAAAGAAGCAACCGTTGCCTTTGTGCTGTGGGGATGACTCAAACGGAAAAAGAAGACTACATCCGTGCACTGAGGTACTTGGCACATGTGGTTAATGATTGGGCAAATCGCGTTTGGGTAATGAATGAATGCAGCATTGAACGAAGAAGCAAGATAAAGCTATGGTTTCTCTCCATCAGTTACAACGTTGGCTTTGATGACCGGTCTATTGAACTCTTGGACTTGTTTAATGAAAGCAGGCCTACCAGGTTTGATCAACCTTTGAAAGAAAGATCTTTTTTGGACATGATGTTGAATTCAAAGGCAGCACGAAATGAAGATCGCTTCTATGCTATCCTTCCATTATTCAAAGCATTCAAACATTATGTTGATGATCATGATATCTCCAATTGGGGCATCACTGATCATCTCTCTGTCCGACCCCAGTTGTTTCGAATGGTTAAACTTCAAGAAAAGCTTGCCATCTTGTTGTCTTGCACAATCGCCGGCTTTTCTTCTGACGTTGTCCTCCCATCCTTCGTTTCAAATTATAATCATCTTTTCTTCAAGATAGCCTGCGATCTTAGCTATAGACCTTCATTGTTGAATAATATTGAATTACTCAAGGACGAAGATATCAATCGTGATTATCTTCGCATCACTGTACCTTGGTCAAGAACATTTACAGATAAAATCCTTTCTCATGATCTCGGTATCACTCAAGATGCTTGTGGAAAATTGGGATTGAATACTTCTGAATTGGTCACCGTCTTCATGCCTATCATCGTTCATGATGAAAGAACAAATCATACACTTGGTGTCAAGCTATTAGGAAGTCGAAAAAAAATATATGGATCATGCTCAATCGGATGATGGACTTGGTGGATGTGCCTTCTTCTGATACTTCTTCCTCACTTGAACATGATGTATCTCATAGATCAGGTTCTTTGGATACGTTGTGGTCAGATAAACATGAATACGATCAAGTGTTTCATCTATATTAGCTTTCTATTTTATAATAGATGATGGCTGGCTATGATTTTTAATTTTTTTTTTATTCATTGACTTTTAGATTTTATGCCTTATATGCCCTTTTTCTTTTTTTATGTCCTTCTTTCTTTCTTTATTTCTTTAGTTTTTTTTTTTATTATTTTTTTTATTTTATTTGAACCGTGACACCTCACGGTAAATACATTCTTTTCTTTTTTTTTATTATTTTTATATGTTTATGATTCTTATGCTATTAATAAATTATAGGTTCTTTTATGCTTCAAATTATCTTTTTCTTGTCTTGTTACATATCATAAAGAAAAGAAGAGTATAACACATGTATTTTTTTTTGTCTGGCTGCTTTAACCTATAACATTAAAGTTTGGTACACCGCTGATATATAAAAGGGTTCTCCTTATTTTTTTTCTTTTTTCTTTTTTTCTTTCCTCTTTTTGTCTGGCTGCTTTAACCTATAACATTAAAGTTTGGTGCACCGCTGATATATAAAAGGATTCTCCTTATTTTCTTTTTTCTTTTTTTCTTTCCTCTTTTTCATTATTCCGCTCAAATATCAAACGTTTTGTATGCTTCAACCAAAAAAGAAAGACGAATAAAAGACAGTTATTCATAAAAAAGTAAGTTGGTCAAATTAGTATTGGGGTTAACAATGTACTTACCTGTTTTCCTTCGTAGAGGAATTTACTTCCAGGGTCATGTTAAGCACAATACATCCTTAAACAATGCCAAGCAATGAAAGCAAGGTAACTGATAATGATACAAGCTTCCTCTTTTTTTTTTTTTTTTTTTTGTTGCTCAAGCTATTTTTCTAATGATATAGATTCTTCTTAAAAATCAACTGGAAAGAGGAAGTGTACGCTCGTCACACATTCAAGAACTGAAAAGGCAACAGTAATATATCAAGAATGGAAGGCGAACTGGTTGGACCAGGCTGATGCAGTATGTCACTCAAAAAAGGCGCGCTTACGTTAGATCTACTTTATGTCTTTATACAATTTTATCATTCTTACGAATAAAACGGATCATTATCGCAAATGAAATCAATAAAGATTACATACTTTTGTTTCTTGATCAAATACGTGAAATATCAGAAATACGGGTAAAAATGATTCAAGAGGTTGAGCAGAAATAAAAAGGTAAAATGGTAGTATGACTGTGAAGAGGATCTGCTTTTACTTATAGGTAGCACAATTAAGGCTTGTGTTTGATTTACACATCGTGCCACCAACTTCCAGCTTTTTTTTATATTAATTTCACAATCCAATGTATTCCCTTTTTCTTTCTTTCTTTCTTTTTCTTTTTTTTTTTTTTTTTTTTTGTCCTCAATATTTCAACAATATGAACAACGAAAGAGAGAATCAAAACAAAACCCTCTCTCCCAACAATGAATCTGGCCCTCAGATCGATATCGACATACCATCCAATCCTCTTACCTCTGACACTGGCGACAATCAAATATTCGACCTGGTGCTTGTAGATATGGTTGCTTCCTACAAGACCCAACGACTTGTTTGTGTTAAAAGAAACATGTATCAAGCTGGATCGTCTTACAAATATGTCTGTGTCAGTTACCGATGGGGTGAATACAATGAGCAAATTGCCCTCACACCGGATTACAACGCACATGTGACCAGTTTTGGGATTTCAGATTTGATCAACTTGTGTACACAAATATTGTATTGGAATTACCAAGAGCATGTAAAAGAACACGGTATTGATGATGAAGAAGAAGATGATGATGATGACGATGATGATGACTATTGTGATGGCAGGCCTAGGTTTCTATGGGTAGATGCTATCTCCGTGGATCAAATGGATCACTCACATAAAAAGACGACCGTTCATCGTATGAAGGAAATTTATGCCAGAGCTGAGATGATCATTGCTGTTCCTGATTTGCACATAGCCTATCTCCTCAAGGACCCAAACAGTCGTGAATATATCATCACTCTCACCAAGAATGGAAAAAGGGTACATCGCCATATCACATTGCAGTGTATGAATAAAGAAAGCGATGACAATGAAGACGATATTAAAAATGATCAAGTTGGTCAAGAAAACATTGATGTTCAGGAACAAAAAAGTCAAGATGGTAACGGATAAAAATAAGCCCAGCTGCGGAACATCATCATTTATTAAACTTTTTTTTTTTTTTTTTTTTTTTTTTGGTAGAAAGTAATCGAGGTACACATAAACACCGAGGATTTAGACAATTCTTCAAAGACACTATACGTCAATCACGTTTAGCAACTAGTGGTCACGATGGAAACAAAGGAATAACAGAAAATAATATTCAAGATCCTGTTATTGACGACGATGTGCTATTCAAATCGGATGATGAAAAGGGAGGTGACACACAAAAGAAGGATGATGATGATGGTAAAACGACGCCCACTTGCAATACCGATAAAGAAAGCGATCACGATCACCAAAAAAACCAATCTTGCCTTTGTGACGTGGGGATGAGCCAAATAGAAAAAGAAGATTACAATCGTGCATTGACATACTTGAAGCATGTGGTTGATGATTGGGCGAATCGCGTGTGGGTGATTAGTGAATGCAGTATTGGACGAAGAAGTAAGATGAAGCTATGGTTCCTCTCCATTGGTTATTACCTTCGCATTGCCGACCGGCCTTCTCAACTTTTGGATTTGTTTAATGAGGAGCGACCTACCATTTTTGATCAACCTTTGAAAGAAAGATCTTTTTTGGACATGATGCTGAATTCAAACGCTACACGAAATGAAGATCGATTCTATGCCATTCTTCCATTATTCAAGGAATTCAAACCCTTTGCTGATAATCATGACATCTCCAATTGGGGTATCACCGATATGCTCTCTGTTCGGCTTCAGCTATTTCGTATGGTCAATTTTCAAGAAAAGCTTGCCATCTTGTTGTCTTGCACCATCATCAACTTTTCTTCTGATGTTATCCTTCCATCCTTCGCTTCAAATTATAATCATTATTTCTTCAATGTAGCCACTGGTCTTAGCTACAAAACGGCGTGGTTGAAGGATATTGAATTACTTAAGGATGAAGATATCAATCGTGATTATCTTCGTATCACTGTACCTTGGTCAAGAACATTCACGGATACTACGCTTTCTCATGATCTCGTTATTACTAAACATGCTCGTGGAAAATTGGGATTGGACGCTTCTGAAGTGATGACGGTTTTCATACCTATCGTCGTTCATGATGAAAGAACAAATCATACCATGGGTGTCAAGTTGCTAGGGAACCGACAAAAAAACATATGGGTTATGCTTAATAGGATGATGGATTTGGTAGATGTGCCTCCTTCTGATGCTTCTTCCAATAAGGTTTCCGTTGTCGAACATCATACACCTCATAGATCAGATTCTTTGGATATGCTATGGTCAGATAAACATGAAAATGATCAAGTATTTCACTTGTATTAGATTTTATTATAATAAAAGAAAGAGTATTTATAATGCATGTATTTTTTTTTTTTGTCTAGTTGATTTAAATTGTAACATTAAGGTTTGGTACACCGCTGATATATAAAAGGATTCTCCTCTTTCTTTTTCTTTTTTCTTTTTTTCTTCCCTCTTTTTCATTCTTCCGCTCAAATATCAAACGTTGTGTATGTTTCAACCCAAAAAGAAAGACAAATAAAAGTCAGCTATTCATAAAAAAAGTAAGTTGGTTAAATTACTGTTAGGGATTAACAATGTATTTATCTGTTTTCTTCCATAGAGATGTCATGACAAGCAAAATACATCCCTGAAACGATGGCAAGCAATGAAAATAAGGTAACTAATAAGGATAGATGCCTCTATTTTGCTGCATAAGTTAATATTACCAGTTATCCTTCTTTTTTTGAATTTGAACCTCGTAGAGACGATTGTTTGAAACAAAAATCATTATGAACAAGTATCTACAACGACGCTTCTGTCAAACGTGAATCAAATGATATCATCAGGTCAGTTATTTATTCTCATTTACAAGGTGATTTATGGGGCTTTTTTTTTCGAGAGAGGAGAAAATGATCAAATGGATTCTGGTGATTATACTAATGTCCATTTTCTTTGATTAATGACATAGGTTCTTTTTAAAAATTAACTAAGAAATATATATACTCGCCACACATTCAAGAGCTGGAAAGGCAATAATAATATATCAAGAATGGAAGGTGAACTGATTGGACCAGGCTGATGCAATATGTCACTCAAAAAAGGAGCATGCAAAGAACGGTTTACATTAGATCTATTTTATGTTTTTTATACAATTCTATCATCCTTACGAATATATCATTATGGTAGTGAAATCAATAAAATTATATGTTTTATTTTCTTCCAATATGTGAAATATTAGCGATACGCGGAAATAAAGAGGCACAACGTAGAGTATGATTGAAGATATATGTAGTACAACATGAACAAGGCTTGTAATTGATTTAAACATCGTGTCACCAAACCTCAGCTTTTTTTTTTGTTTTGTATTTTATTTTTGCTATCCACTTTTTTTTTTTTTTTTTTTTTTTTTTTGTATCGCTTGCTTTTTAACACTTAATCAATATGAGCAATGGAAAAGAGAATGAAGATAAAGCTCTCTCGTCATTTTCCAATAAATCTGGACCTCAGATCGATATCGATATACCATCCAATTCTCTTGCCCCTGACGCTGATGATGGTCAAGTGTTCCACCTTGTGCTTGTGGATATGGTTGCCTCCTTCAAGACCCAACGACTTGTTTGTGTTAAACGAAATATGTATGAATCTGGATCGTCTTATAAGTATGTCTGTGTCAGTTATCGATGGGGTGAATACAATGAGCAGATTGCCCTCACGCCGGATTACAATGCGCATGTGACTAGTTTCGCCATTGCAGATTTGATCACTTTGTGCGCACAAATACTGCTTTCGAATCATCAAGAGCATGAAAAAGAACACGATGATGATGATGATGAAGACGACGATGATGATGATGATGACGAAGACGACGATGATGAAGACGACGATGATGAAGACGACGACGACGACGATGATGATGATGATGATGATGAAGACGACGACGACGATGATGATGATGATGATGAAGACGACGACGATGATGAATATGATGATTACTACGTCGGCATGCCTAGGTTTTTATGGGTAGATGCTATCTCGGTGGATCAAATGGATCACTCACACAAAAAGGAGACCATTCATCGTATGGCTGAAATTTACGCCAGAGCTGAGATGATCATTGCTGTTCCTGATTTGCACATTGGTTATCTCATGGAGACTCCAAACACTCGTGAATATATCATCACTCTCACCAAGTATGCAAAGAAGGTACGTCGTCATATCACGTTGCAGTGTATGAATAAAGAAAGTGATGATGAAGAGGATGTCAAAGATGATCAAGTTAGTCAAGAGAACGTACATGTTCAGGAACAACAAAAAAGGCAAGATGGTGCGAATAAAACTAAACCCCGCTACGGAGCAACATCATTCATTAAACTCTTTTTTTTTTTTTTTTTTTTTAGTAGAAGGTAATCGAGGTTCACACAAACACAGAGGGTTTAAGCAATTCATCAAAGACACTATACGTCGATCAAGTTTAGCATCTTGGAGTAACGAAGAGGATGAAAATAAAGAGACAATCGCAAATAAAGTCCAAGACCTCGTTGTTGGTAATAGAGTGCTAGTCAAATCGGATCATGAAAAGACTGGTGACACACAAAAGAAGGATAGTCAAACTAATCTGGACGACGCTGGTGATAATGGTAAAGCGGCATCCGGTTCCGAAGGCAATAATAAAGGAGACACTAGTCGAAAAAGCAATTCTTGCCGTTGCAGGGTAGGGATGACCCAAACAGAAAAAGAAAATTACGATCGTGCATTGAAGTACTTGGCGCATGTGGTCTTGGATTGGTCTAACCGCGTGTGGGTGATTAGTGAATGTAGCATTGGACGAAGAAGCAAAATGAAGCTATGGTTCCTCTCCATTGGTTATTATGTTGGCATTGCCGAACGGCCTTCTGAACTCTTTGATTTGTTTAATGAGGAACGACCTACCAGGTTTGACCAACCTTTGAAAGAAAGATCTTTTTTAGATGTCATGTTAAATTCAAAGGCTCAACGAAATGAAGATCGATTCTATGCTGTTCTTCCGTTATTCAAAGAATTTAAACATTATGCTGATAATCATGACATCTCCAATTGGGGTATCACCGATACTCTCTCTGTCCGGCTCCAGTTGCTTCGTATGGTCAAATTTCAAGAAAAGCTCGCCATCTTGCTGTCTTGCACCATTGCCAACTTTTCTTCTGACGTTATCCTTCCATCCTTCGCTGCAAATTATAATCATCTTTTTTTCAAGATAGCCTGTGATCTTAGCTGCAAACCGTCATTGTTGAATAATATTGAATTGCTTAAGGATGAAGATATCAATCGTGATTATCTTCGCATCACTGTGCCTTGGTCAAGAACATTCACGGATACCACGCTTTCTCATGATCTCGTTATTACTAAACATGCTCGTGGAAAATTGGGATTGGATACTTCTGAATTGGTAACGGTTTTCATGCCTATCGTCATTCATGATGAGAGAACAAATCATACCATGGGTGTCAAGTTGCTAGGGAACCGACAAAAAAATATATGGATTATGCTTAATAGGATGATGGATTTGGTGGATGTGCCTGCTTCCGACGCTTCTTCCTCAGTTACTTCTCTCTCTTCCAGTAAATTGTCCATGGTTGAACATCACGCTCCTCATAGATCCGGCTCTTTGGATATGCTGTGGTCAGATAAACATAAAAATGATCAAGTATTTCACTTATATTAGATTTTATTATAATAAAAGAAAGAGTATTTATAATGCATGTATTTTTTTTTTTGTCTAGATGTTTTAACTTATAACATTAAAGTTTGGTACACCGCTGATATATAAAAAGGTTCTTATTTTTCTTTTTTCTTTTTTCTTTCCTCTTTTCCATTCTTCCGCTCAAATATCAAACATTTTGTATGCTTCAATCCAAAAAGAAAAGCAAATAAAAGTCAGCTATTCATAAAAAAAGTAAGTTGGTTAAATTACTGATAGGGATTAACAATGTATTTATCTGTATTTATCTGTTTTCTTTCGTAGAGATTTCCAGGGTCAGGATACGCGCAATACATCCTTGAAACAATGGCAAGCAATGAAAGCAAGGTAACTGATAATGATATAAGCTTCCTTTTTTTTTTATTGCCCAAGCTAATATATATTGTTACCTTCTTTTTTGGACCAGAATATCCTGGAAACGATTGTTCCAAATAACAGCTATTATCCATATTTACTTACAACAATGACGCTGTCAGCTAGTCTGTACGACACATAGATAAACTGTCAAACGTGAACCAAATGATATCATCAGATCAGCTATTTCACTCTGATTTTTACAAGGTGATTGGGGGTTATCTTTTTTGGTTAGAGGGGAAAAATAATCAAATGGATCCTTATGACTATATTAATGTCTGTTTTTTTTTTTTTTTTTTTTTTTTTTTTTTTTGATGAGTGCCATAGATTTTTTTTTTAAAAACAACAACTGGGAAGAAGGAATATACACTCGTCTCGTATTCAAGAATTGGAAAGGCAGCAATATATCAAGAAGGAAAGGTAAATTGGTTGGATTAGACTGATGCAACATGTCATTCAAAGATAGGACAGACACACACACAATGGCTTACGTTAGATCTGCTCTATGTTTTTATACAATTTTATCAACAAATAAAATGGATCGTTATGACAGTGAAATCAATAAAAAATAGTATTTTATTTCATGATCAAATGTGTGAAATATTAGGATGTAAACTGTTTCAAGATGTTGGGCGGAAGTAATGTAGATCAGGCTTTATCTTCCGCTTTTTTTATTTTCTCTTTCATCAATCATTTTAAACGCGTGTGGAACTGGATGTACAACAAGATAAAAAAATTACATGGCTGCAGCAACTGGGATCGATTGACAAGTGGAGCAACAGAATGAGTAAGCGACATGGGTACTGGCTGGACATCATGACAAGAAATTATCGTGCTGAAAAGAAATTGGATGGCGTTCTCTCTCTGTTACGATTATTCTTTATAAATAGTTCTTGTTGGTATATTTATATTTACACTTTTATCATATACAATCTTTTTCAATAAAATTATCAGTGTTTTTTTTATTATCATTATTATTATCATTATTATTATCAGTGGATGGATATGGCCACATATGGAAACCATTTTTTCGTTTGGATGAATAAGGAAAGCGAAGCAAGTGTGAAGGTTCTCTTTCAAATACAAGAAGCTTTCACTACATTTGTATCACGTTTCCTTTTTTTTTTTAGAAACCTTATTATCAGCCACGTCGTTTCCTTGTTTTATCATAGGAAATGCAGATCAATGGATTCCACTTTCTTTACTGGTAGTGGTACAATATGAAAAGGCTTGTTTTTTTTGATTGAACAACATTCATTTTTGTACCACCGCCTTTCATTTTTTTTTAATTATATCAAGTTTACCATTTCTTTTTTCTTTTTCTTTTTTTTTCATTTTTTTTCCTCCTTTTCCTTACGTATTTCAAGATGAGCAACAAGAAAGGAGATGAAAACAAAAGTCTTCCACCACCTCCTACAAAGCTGAAGAGAGGCAAGACGATCTCGACATCAACGGGCAATAAGGCTGGGCCTAAAATGGATATCAATATTCCTTCTTCTAATAAATCATCCGATGCTGTTGTCCCTCCTGTTGAAGATGAACCATCCACTCCAGTGTTCGATCTCGTGCTTATAGATATGGTTGCTACACATAAAGCGGACCGACTTGTTTGTGTGAAGAAAAACATGTATGAAGCTGGTATTTCTTACAAGTACGCCTGTATCAGTTACCGATGGGGAGAATGCGATGAACAAATCGTGCTTACGCCAGATTACAATGCACACGTGACTAGTTTCCGTATTTCAGATCTGATCCCCGTGTGTAAACCAATACTGGAGTGGCGCCCTGAGGATGATATTGTTGATGATGATGATGATGATGAAGAAGAAGAAGGTGATGATGATGAAGATGATGATGGTGAAGATGATGAAGATGATGATGGTGAAGATGACTACTCTGATAGTGAGATCAAGTATTTATGGGTGGATGCTATCTCTGTCGACCAAATGGATCACTCACACAAAAAGGCAACCATTCTTCGTATGACGGAAATTTACGCAAGAGCTGAACTGATTGTTGCCGTTCCTGATTTACATATCAGATATCTTATGACCGATCCTGCCGATGATGAATGTCTTCGTACCATTTCCAAACATGGAGAGAAGATCTATCGCCATATTGCCCTGAACTGCGGAAATGAAGACAGTGATGATGATGATGATGATGATGATGATGATGATGATGATGATGATGATGATGATGATGATGATGATGATGATGATGATGATGATGATGATGATGATGATGATGATGATGATGAGGACAATGATGAAACAGATGTTGGTGATCAAGAAAAGGCCGATGGTCGAAAAAAAGTAGACTCTCTGGAACAAAAAGAAACTCACGATGGTAAGAATAAAAAAAAAGGGGATCTGTGACTACTGACATAATTGATTCATTCTTTTTTTTTTTTTAATAGACAATGTCCCTACCACACACAAGCATAGAGGATTCAGACAATTCATCAAAGACACTGTACGTCAAACTAGCACAACCTCTTTGGTCCAAAGTCTTGCTGTTAGGGAATGTGTACAAAAAAAGGTGGAGAATGAAAACAGTGACACAAAGGTGGAGAATGATCAAACCAACCCAGATGATGCTACAGTGGTGGAAACTGGCAGTGATGATGATGATACTGTGGCACCCACTATCGAAGGAAATGAAGAAGAAGAAGCTCGTGATGATGATGATGATGATGATGATGATGACGACGACGACGATGATGATGGTGATGATGATGATGATGATGATGATGATGACTATGATGATGATGATTGTCGTTGTACTGAAGGGATGACAGAATATGAAGCAGAAAGATACCAAGCAGCATTGAACTATTTGGAATACCTGGTCATGGATTGGGCAAACCGCGTGTGGGTGATTAGTGAATACAGTATTGGACGAAGAAGCAAGATGAAGTTATGGTTTATCTCGATCTGTTATGACGTTGACTATGAATCACGACCTACTGAACTCTTGGACCTGTTCAACGAAGATTTTCCTTCACTGTATGACCCACTTTTAGAAGAAAGATCCTTTTTGGATATGATGATGTTTTCAAAAGCGACACGAAATGAAGATCGATTCTATGCTGTTCTTCCATTATTCAAGGAATTCAAGCATTTTGCTGATAATCACGAGATCTCCAATTGGGGTATCACCGATATGCTCTCTGTTCGACTCCAGTTACTTCGTATGGCTGACTTTGAAGAAAAGCTCGCCATCTTGTTATTATGCATGCAACCAAACTTTGTTTCTGATGCCATCCTTCCTTCTTTTGCTTCCTTCTGTACAATGCCGGATGATTTTACCATTGATTGGGCCTGTGATCTTAGCTATGAACCATCGTTGTTGAAGGAAATCGAACTGCTCAAGGATGAAGGTAACAATCGTGATTATCTTCGCATCACTGTGCCTTGGTCAAGAACATTTACAAATAAAATCATTCCTCATGATCTTGATCTCACTGCAAACGCTCGTGGAAAATTGGGCTTGGATCTCTCTGAACTGGTAACGGTTTTCATGCCTATCACTGTTCATGATGAAAGAACAAATCATACCATTGGTGTCAAGTTGCTAGGGAGTCGACAAAAAAACATATGGATTATGCTCAATCGTATGGTGGATTTGGTGGATGTGCCTCCTTCCGATGCTTCTTCGTCAGTTACTTCTCTCTCTTCCAGTAAGCTTTCTGTCTCTGAACATCATACTCCTCATAGATCTGGCTCTTTGGATATGCTGTGGTCAGATAAACATGAAAGCGATCAAGTGTTTCACTTGTATTAGATTTTATTATAATAAAAGAAAGAGTATTTATAATGCATTATTTTTTTTTTGTCTGGCTGCTTTAACCTATAACGTTAAAGTTTGGTACACCGCTGATATATAAAAGGGTTCTCCTTATTTTTTTTCTTTTTTCTTTTTTTCTTTCCTCTTTTTCATTCTTCCGCTCAAATATCAAACGTTTTGTATGCTTCAACCCAAAAAGAAAAGCAAATAAAAGTCAGCTATTCATAAAAAAAGTAAGTTGGTTAAATTACTGTTAGGGATTAACAATGTATTTATCTGTTTCCTTTCATAAAGGGAACTTCCGGAGTCATGATACGCGCAATAGATTCTTGAAACAATGGCAAGCAATGAAAGTAAGGTAACTGATAATGATATAAGCTTCCTTTTTTTTTTATTGCCCAAGCTAATATATATTGTTACCTTCTTTTTTGGACCGAAATATCCTGGAAACGATTGTTCCAAATAACAGCTATTATCCATATTTACTTACAACAATGACGCTGTCAGCTAGTCTGTACGACACGTAGATAAACTGTCAAACGTGAACCAAACGATACCATCAGGTCAGCTATTTCACTCTGATTTTTGCAAGGTGATTGGGGGTTAACTTTTTGGATAGAAGGGAAAAATAATCAAATGGATCCTTATGTTTATATTAATGTTTTTTTTTTTTTTTTTTGATGAGTGCCATGGACTTTTTTTTTAAAAAAACCAACTGCGAAGAAGGAATATACATTCGTCTCGTATTCAAGAATTGGAAAGGCAGCAATATATCAAGAAGGAAAGGTAAATTGGTTGGATTAGACTGATGCAACATGTCATGCAAAGATAGGACAGACACACACACAATGGCTTACGTTAGTTCTGCTCTATGTTTTTATACAATTTTATCGACGAATAAAACGGATCGTTATGACAGTGAAATCAATTAAAAAAATAGTATTTTACTTCTTGATCAAATGTGTGAAATATTAGGGATATGCGTAAACTGTTTCAAGATGTTGGACGGAAGTAAAGAGATAAGGTTGTAGAATATGACCATGAAGAGGATCTGGTTTATTTAGATGTAGTACAACATGGGCTTTTTATTTGATTTGAACGTTGTGCCATCAACCTTCAACAGTCTTTTTTTTTTATCTATCTTTTATCGTCCTCTTTTCCTTTCTTTTGTTCAATATACTTTCCCGATATGAACAATAAAGAAGGAGAAGAAAACAAAAATGTTCCAAATTCTACAAAATTGACGAGAGGCAAGACTATATTAACATCGATAAGTAACAAAGATGGACCTCAAATTGATATCAATATTCCTTCTTCAACAAAATCATCCAATCCTCTTGTCCCTGATGATGATTCTGAAAAATCCGGTAAAGTGTTCGACATTGTACTCGTGGATATGGTTACTTCACTCAATACCAGACGCCTTGTTTGTGTTAAGAAAAACATGTATGATGCTGGTACTTCTTATAAATATGCCTGTATCAGCTACCGATGGGGAGAATGCGATGAAGCAATTGCTCTCACGCCAGATTACAACGCCCATGTAACCAGCTTCGACACGTCGGATCTGATTACCTTGTGCGACCAAATACTGAATTGGTGTGGTGATGGTAATGAAAAAGGGGAGGAAAATGATGATGATAATAATGATAATAGTAATGATAGTGATGAAATTGCTGAAGATGATGATGAAGATGATGATGAAGATGATGATGAAGATGATGATGAAGATGATGATGAAGATGATGATGAAGATGATGATGAAGATGATGATGAAGATGATGATGAAGATGATGATGAAGATGATGATGAAGATGATGATGAAGATGATGATGAAGATGATGATGAAGATGATGATGAAGATGATTATGTCAATGCTGATGATAACAATGGTGAACAGGATGACTACAGTGGCAGCATAGTAAAGTATTTATGGGTGGATGCTATCTCGGTGGACCAAATGGACCATTCACGCAAAAAGACAACTATTCATCGCATGAAGGAAATTTACGCAAGAGCTGAAGTAATTGTTGCTGTTCCAGATTTGCACATCAAGTATCTCATGGATAACATGAACAACTGTGAATTTATTGAAACAGTATCCAAGTACGGAACGAAGATATATCGTCATATTTCAATGCAGTGCGAAAATGGGCATGTCGAAGATGCTGATAATCAAGATGATCAAAAACACGATGACTGTCCGGACCAAAAAAAAGATCAAGATGGTGAGGATAAAATAAAAAGTCTATTAGCAAACGGAGTACACGTGTGATTCACCTTTTTTTTTTTTTTTTTTTTTTTTTTTTTTTTTTTAGTAAAAGGTTCACGCAAACACAGAGGATTTAGACAATTTGTCAAAGACACTCTACGCCAATCCAGTTTAGTCACTTTGGGAGAAGAAGAGGACAAAAGCAAGATCACCATTGAAAATATTGTCCAAGATCTAGTTGTTGAAAATGGTAAGACCGAATCAACCAGATCAGTTGATGATGGTGATACAAGGGCGTCTGAAGGAAATGAAGATGATGATGATGATGATGGTCCTTGTCCTTGCATTGTGGGGATGACTGAGACGGAATTAGCGGATTACGTCCGAGCATTGCGGTACCTGACTCATTTGGTTTTTGATTGGTCGAATCGCGTGTGGGTGATTAGTGAATATAGTATTGGACGAAGAAGTAAGATGAAATTATGGCTTCTCTCCATCTGTTATCAAATTGGATATGAAAATCGACCTAGGGACCTTATAGACTTGTTCAATGAAAATAAACCTACTGTTTTTGACTCATTGTTGGAAGAAAGATCCTTTTTGGATATGATGCTGAATTCACGGGCCACACGAAATGAAGATCGATTCTATGCCGTTCTTCCGTTATTCAAGGAATTTAAACATTATGCTGATAATCATGATATCTCCCATTGGGGTATCACTGATCATCTTTCTGTTCGGCTCCAATTACTTCGAATGGTTAAATTTCAAGAAAAGCTTGCCATCTTGTTGCTATCCACGTTCTCAGCCTTTTCTTCTGACGTTATCCTTCCATCCTTTGTTTCTAGTTATAATAAGCCTTTGTTCGAATGGGCCTCTGATCTTAGTTACAAGCCATCATTGTTGAAAGATATCGAATTGCTCAAGAATCAAGATGTCAATCGTGATTATCTTCGCATCACTGTACCTTGGTCAAGAACATTTACAAATAAAATCCTTTCTCATGATCTTGATATCACTCAAGATGCTCGTGGAAAATTGGGATTGGATGCTTCTGAATTGGTCACTGTCTTCATGCCTATCATCGTTCATCATGAAAGAACAAATCATACACTTGGTGTCAAGCTATTAGGAAGTCGACAAAAAAACATATGGATTATGCTTAATAGGATGATGGATTTGGTGGATGTGCCTGCTTCTGATGCATCTTCCAGTAAGGTTTCCGTTGTTGATCAACGTACACTGCATAAATCAGGCTCTTTGGATATGTTATGGTCAGATAAACATGAAAATGATCAAGTTTTCCATTTGTATTAAAAGTTTGTTTTTTATAATAAAAAAAAAAGGTTCAAGGTTGATAAGTATAATGCATGTAAATAGTGATACAATTTGAAATCCCGAGTATTTGAGTAAGGGGATGTCCTTTCTTTTCTTTTCTTTTTTTCTTTTTTTTTTTTTTTTTTTTTTTTTTTTTTTTTTTTTTTTTTTTATCCCAGTGCGACTTATTGAACCAATCGTACCAAACACTTACATTTACCAGCATCAATATTCTTTTGTGTGGATACTGAACAAAAATGTCTTAGAATCAAAGTAGATTTCGAATACGATCGTTTACAATTTCTTCTTCGCAAATTATATCGTGATATCTTCGCAAAAAAAGTTACTATCAAACCTTTTGTCATGGGCTTTATTGGAGACCCAGATATACCTCAAGGCCATATAGAATACAAATATTTATTGCATCAATGGGCAAATGACCCTTTCTGGATCGGAAACATCAATCAACGTATTCGATATCTCCACATATCTGGCGGTTTACCTCCATATCGTTTCCCTCGTACAATGATTCAACAATTTTGGGTGGCTCCAATGCACCCCGAAGCAAGAACTGTTTGGTATAAAGTCCTTATCCAGAAGATACCCTTGCAAAAATGCGTTTCACGGTTCCGTCCTCCTACATCTTCTTTATGTGTGTTATGTCATCAAGAAGAAACGATCGAACATTTTGTGTACTCCTGCCCTCTCAAAAAAACAATCTGGGACACCACCTTGGCCGTCAATCTGCCTCTATATTTCCTACAACCAGTGGATTTCTGTGACTTTATTCTTCATCTACGACTCCCTCCAAATACAACGATTCACTCAACTCTCTTCACCAGCTGCGCAACAACGATACATCAGATCTGGTGTGCTCATTGGAAATTCAAGCTAGAAAACAAGCCTTTCCACGAACATCCCATTGTACGAATGATCAATACACGCATTGCATCCATCCATCCTCCTCCCCCTCATAGCGTCGTCATAGATTATTGATTTAATATTTAGAATATCCCTTTACCCATATCACCGCTCTTGGACGTGTGGATGATAGCGGACAGTGATATGACTTTTTTTTTTGAATGAAATTTTAAATTTATGCCCAATTTTTTTTATGCCCTTTTCTTTCCTTTTGTCTTTCTTTCCTTTTATTTTTTTTTATTCTTATTTTATTTATTTTTTTTTTTATTTGAACCGTGTTTATCACGGTAAGTACATTCCTTAACTTTTTTTTATGTTTTATTAATTATGACTCTTATGCTCAAATAAAATTATAGGTTCTTTTATGCTTCAAATATTCTTTTTATTGTCTCGTCTCATTTCAGGTGCATCAAAAACAAATTAAATTTTAATAAAATTTATTCTTACAAAAAAAAAAATTTCTGTGTGTGCACTCAAAAAGGGAAGGAAAAAGTAATGTCAAAGGAAAAAAAAAAGTAGAAATGTTTGAATGAGGCGATGATACTAATATGCTTTTATAACTCTCTCTTGATAGAATATCTGGTAAGATGGAATAGTGAAAAGGTAAGTTATCCACGCAATCCTATTGCCTTTGATCACTTACTTTTTGATAAAACTCTTTTTTTTTTTTTTTTCTTAATCTCTCTATATAATTTGATTTTTTGATCAAGCATCCTCATTATTTTTTTTATTTCTTTTTGATGTAGATCAAGCTTCATCCGCTTCTTTTGTTTTCTCTTTCATCAATCATTTTGAACGCGTTGTGCAACTGGATCGGCCAAGATGGATGTACAACAAGAGAAAGAATTACATGGCTATAGCAAGGGGGATCGATTGACAGGTGGATCAACAGAATGAGTGGATGACAGGGTACTGACTGGACATCATGACAAGAAATTATCGTGCAGGAAAGAAATTGGATGGCGTTTTTTTTTTTTTTTTTTTTTTTTTTTTTTTTTTTTTGGTTAGTTTCTCTCTCTGTTGTGATTATTCTTTATAAATAGTTCTTGTTGGTATATCTATATTTACACTTTTATCATATACAATCTCTTTCAATAAAATCATCAGTGTTTTTTTTTTTATTATCATTATTATTATCATTATTATTATCAGTGGATGGATATGGCCACATATGGAAACCATTTTTTCGTTTGGAGGCATAAGGAAGAAGCTTTCACTATATTTGTATCATGTTTCCTTTTTTTTTTTTTTTTTTTTTTAGAAACCGTATTAAGCCACGTCGTTTCCTTGGTTTATGATAGGAAATGCAGATCATTGAATTCCACTTTCTTTACAGGTAGTGGTACAACATGAAAAGGCTTGTTTTTTGATTGAACAACATTCATTTTTGTACCACCACCTTTCATTTTTTTAATTATATCAAATTTACCATTTTTTTTTCTTTTTCTTTTTTTTTCTTTTTTTTTTATTTTCTTCTTTTCCTTACGTATTTCAAGATGAGCAACAAGAAAGAAGATGAAAACAAAAGTCTTCCACCACCTCCTACAAAGCTGAAGAGAAGCAAGACAATCTCGACATCAACGGGCAATAAGGCTGGGCCTAAAATGGATATCAATATCCCTTCTAATAAATCATCCGATGCTGTTGTCCCTCCTGCTGAAGATGAACCATCCAATCCAGTGTTCGATCTCGTGCTTATAGATTTGGTTGCTACAGATAAAGCGAACCGACTTATTTGTGTGAAGAAAAACATGTATGAAGCTGGTATTTCTTACAAATACGCCTGTATCAGTTACCGATGGGGAGAATGCCATGAACAAATCGTGCTTACGCCAGATTACAATGCACACGTGACTAGTTTTCGTATTGCAGATTTGATCCATATATGTAAACCAATACTGGGGTGGTGCCCTGAGGATGATATTGTTGATGATGAAGATGATGATGATGATGAAGAACAAGAAGAAGAAGAACAAGAAGGCGATGATGAAGATGATGATGATGGTGAAGATGACTACTCTGATAGTGAGATCAAGTATTTATGGGTGGATGCTATCTCTGTCGACCAAATGGATCACTTACACAAAAAGGCAACCATCCTTCGTATGACGGAAATTTACGCAAGAGCTGAATTAATTGTTGCCATTCCTGATTTACATATCAGATATCTTATGACCGATCCTGCCGCTGACGAGTGTCTTGTTACCATTTCCAAACATGGAGAGAAGATCTATCGCCATATTGCCCTGAATTGCTGGAGGAAAGACAGTGATGATGATGATGAAGAAGATGAAGAGGACAAGGATGAAAAAGATACCCTTGATCAAGCAACTGCGGATGGTCAAAAAAAAGTAAACTCTCTGGAACAAAAAAAGGAAACTCACGATGGTAAGAATAAAAAAAAAGGGGATCTGTGACTACTGACATAATTGATTCATTCTTTTTTTTTTTTTTTTTTTTTTAATAGACAATGTCCCTACCACACACAAGCATAGAGGATTCAGACAATTCATCAAAGACACTGTACGTCAAACTAGCGCAACCTCTTTGGTCCAAAGTCTTGCTGTTAGGGAATATGTACAAAAAAAGGCGGATAACGAAAACAGTGACACAAAGGTGGAGAATGATCAAACCAACCCAGATGATGCTACAGTGGTGGAAACTGGTAGTGATGATGATGACACTGTGGCACCCATTATCGAAGGAAATGAAGAAGAAGAAGCTGGTGAGTATGGTGATGATGATGATGATGATGATGACGACGACGATGATGGTGATGACGATGATGGTGATGATGATGATGATGATGATGACTATGATGACTATGATGATGATGATGATGATTGTCGTTGTACTGAAGGGATGACAGAATATGAAGCAGAAAAATACCAAGCAGCATTGAACTATTTGGAATACCTGGTCATGGATTGGGCGAACCGCGTGTGGGTGATTAGTGAATACAGTATTGGACGAAGAAGCAAGATGAAGTTATGGTTTATCTCGATCTGTTATCAAATTGGATATGAAAATCGACCTACTAAACTGTTGAACCTGTTCAACGAAGATTTTCCTTCACTGTATGACCCACTTTTAAAAGAAAGATCATTTTTGGATATGATGATGTTTTCACAAGCGACACGAAATGAAGATCGATTCTATGCCGTCCTCCCGCTGTTCAAGGAATTCAAGCATTTCGCTGATAATCACGAGATCTCCAATTGGGGTATCACCGATATGCTCTCTGTTCGACTCCAGTTGCTTCGTATGGTCAATTTTCAAGAAAAGCTTGCCATCTTGTTATTATGCATGCAACCAAATTTTGTTTCTGACGCCATCCTTCCTTCTTTTACTTCCTTCTGTACAATGCCGGATGAGTTTACCATTGATTGGGCTTGTGATCTTAGTTATGAACCATCGTTGTTGAAGGAAATCGAACTGCTCAAGGATGAGGCTACCAATCGTGATTATCTTCGCATCACTGTGCCTTGGTCAAGAACATTTACAAATAAAATCATTCCTCATGATCTTGATCTCACTGCAAACGCTCGTGGAAAATTGGGCCTGGATCTCTCTGAACTGGTGACGGTTTTCATGCCTATCACTGTTCACGATGAAAGAACAAATCATACCATTGGTGTCAAGTTGCTAGGAAGTCGACAAAAAAACATATGGATTATGCTCAATCGTATGGTGGATTTGGTGGATGTGCCCCCTTCCGATGCTTCTTCGTCGGTCACTTCTCTCTCTTCCAGTAAGCTTTCTGTGTCTGAACACCATGCTCCTCATAGATCTGGTTCTTTGGATACGCTGTGGTCAGATAAACATGAAAGCGATCAAGTGTTTCACCTATATTAGATTTATAATAAAGAAAAGTTGATCATCGGTTGAGGTAGCGTATCCTGTTCATCACTTTATATCATTTACTAAATACCCTCAATAAAGAAATTTGTCATGCATCATATTGTTATCATTGTTTTTCATTCATTCAATTGCTAAAGTCTCCTCTACCAACAGATCATTCAAAAAAAAGTTTCTTTATTCAAAGTGTAACAAAAAAAAAAAAAAAGATCACTAGAATTTTTAAACTAACTATCTAAAGGGGAATATAATAAATACCAATTTGATCCATCCAAGCGCCAGCAGAAGCATAAAAACCCACAAGTTGATAACCACTTGGTGGCATTGCAGACATCATTCCACCACCTTGACCTCCATACCATGGACTTTGCCGTTGATTAGTGATTAGGGCCAGGCCATCCACCCAAGCACCACATCGTACCGTCAAACCAGTGACACGTTCGTTGGGTGCCAAGGACCATATTTGATTGGCATGACCACCACGTTTTCCCAAGAGTGCTGTTGTTCCATTGGCAAAAAAGAATTCCACACCATCCAAAAAGGAGCCCGAATACACCCTGATGCCAGTAACAAGCGGTTGACCCAAGAAAATCACCTTGGATGTTGGTTGATTTGCTCCACCTAATCCTTGTTGACCTAATCCTTTCCCTTGGATGACATCCTGTGGTACTCCCGGTAACCGTACAATGCTGTCATGTAAGAATTGTGCCGTATTTTCTAAAACTTCGGTATGTTGTCGCGGTGATGTGACTTCCAGTTTCAATACATCCGGATGATGACAATGTGCCTTTTGTTCTAGTTGTTGAAGAGAAAATACTAATTGTGTTGGAAGAAGATGATGATGCTGATGATCGACCAGGTATTCGTAATGATCCACATAGTGTCCATTCACCCAAAGTTCCACCAACGTGATCCCAGTAGGACTTGAGATTTGGATTTGGTCTCGACTCAGAGCATCAAATCTTGGCCCAGCTGATGCTCCTGGCACACTCACATCAGGGTCGAGTGGTAAACGGAAAGCAGGATGGTATCGTAACCGAAGAATATCCACACGATGCCTAAAATCATCATCATCATCAGCATTAATTAAAAAAAAAAAAAAGAAAGAGATGGAAAAAAAAGATGAATAAAAAATCTGTACCTTTTTTTTCCTTTTTTTTTTTTTTTTATTTATCCTACCATTTCGATCCTTCTTCGTCTTCAGGAGTAACGATGATTCCTGGTCTACCTGGTTCATGAATCATGAATGTACGATTCCAATGATTAAATCCTCTTGCCATTAATCCAGATGGAGTATGTGATAATGTAAAGGCATGACCTACTTCGTGTAACTACCAAAAAAAAAATAAGAAAAAAAAGGTTGTGTTTGATAATTTTAATTACCATTGCACCCATACCAATATTCAAAGCTTTCCACCAAGTACTAGATTCATTTGCATCATTGGCCACATATCGAGTATCAGTGAGAGTTGTATCCAACATAGCAGGCACAATATGTTCGATGGACCGAGGAAAAGCATGAAGCGCGTGAGAACCAAAGATACCCAAGCGAATGTTACCCACCCCACCCCCCAATGCGGCATGACCCACCACCAATTGTTGTTGTGTATCCCAATGGGCATCCAAGATCAACCCTGCCACTAGACAATCGTTAGCAAAAAAATCAGGAGAAGCTTGAATATCTTGCATGAACAGATCAAAGAGACTAGGTAAGGTATCGTCCCGATGAGGGTTTTGCTGAGCACGACGCGCATCCCGAAGTGTTTGTAAAGAATGTTGTGATCGAAGCACACGGACCAACGCAGTATTGGCTTGTTGATGACGATAATAACCAGCAGCTTGACTGACAGTATCCGGTAACCAAGCTTCCTCCAAACGAAACGTACGACGTCCCATACCATGACGATGCATTTGCTCTGCACAGAAACTTTGCCACAAGTAACCGGCCAGACGTAGTTTCTCTATCGCTACCTCCAACCCGTTTTCATCTTGTTTCTCCGGTGGTGTGTCGAACTGACAAGGTGAATCATGAGCAACAAGGATGACCAAGGACAGTGGTGGATTTTGCAAAAGTGGGAGATAGTAAACATGGAACGAGAACGTGGTATGGCTGTCCAGCATGAAAGTGATCGTATTAGGTCCACTGTTGAGGTGTACCAAGGCTTTGAAATGGTGTTGTAGACAGGGCCATTGGGTTGAAGGAAATCCTTGACATACTACTGTGATGGACGTTCGATGTTGAGATGTAGCAGGTCCTGTTATACGGCCAAGTACTAGAAGAAACCTCTGTTGGTAAGAAAAAGAAAGAAAGAAAAAAAAAAAGAGAACTATTATTAGGAACAGAGTATAAAGAATGGAAATGTTCTTTTTGATTGACTTACTTGATGTACAGTTTCACCGTCTTTGATGTTCAAAATGTCTACAATAGGATGGTCTGTAGGAGGCGAAGGATGGAGTGTCATTGTTGGAAGTAGTGGTCGAAAGCAGTAAAAAGAGAAAGAGAAAAAAAAAAAAGGAAAGAAGAAAGAATAATGGCATTGTGGCACCTTAAAAAAAAAAAAAGACCGCATTGTAAATGTGTGAATGTTTATTTGAGAATATATGATAATAAAAAAAAAGAAATGAAAATGAATCTAACTAGAGTATACTAATGATGATAATGATGCTAATATATGATTGATTTTATTATTGATTTCCTTGTCGTTTCTTGGAAAAGCTAACGTTTCTTTGGAATTTATTTCTTGAAGCACCTTCACCATCCACTACACCATGGAATTTACCAGGTCGTTTATGTCCTCGTTTATCCTTATGTTGTGATTTTCGATTCAATACGTTTCTAAATCGTTCATTTTCTCGTTCATCTACTTCCTGAATACCCACCAGATTACTAAAATCATTCAGATTCTAAAAAAAAAAAAAAAAAAAAAAAAAAGTGAATCCTATATCATTTCATTTCATTTTAATTTCTACTTACATCAAATTCACTTTCAAATCGCATTTTATTCTTGGCCATAAGATGTTTCTTTTCCTTGCGAGTGACTTGTAAACGGACATAATTGTTTTCTTCATAATCATTCTTTTCTGCCATTTTTCGATCCATACGTTCACCATAACCAGTACCTTCATTCACACCACCAAGAGCATCCAATTCCTCAGGGGCATCATTCATTTCTGTCATTAAATCCTTCATCAATCTTGATCTTGAGGCCTTTTCCTTTAATCGTTCTTCATTCTTTTCTTGTTTGCTCTTCTTACTACCACCCGTTTCATCATAAGTAACAGGTGCCATCTTGGGTGGTCGATAAATACCTCCATTGGATTTATTACCCTTGGTATAATTATTCATTTCATCATCATCATCCTCGTCGTCTTCATCTTCTTCATCTTCTTCCTTATTCAAAAGATTGGTTGGATTGGGTTTGAAGGCTAATGGATCATTGGCTATAAATAAATAAATAAATAGAAATGAATTTGATTTTCTTTTTTTTAGGATATATATATATATTTTTTTTTTACCTGTTTGTTCTTTTTCTTGTTGAGTTCCCAAAACAGCAGTACGTACCAACTTATCAATTTGATATTTCAATTTAGCTTCAATAGGTTTCATACGTTCCAATACCACACGTAATTCCACTAAAGATTCCACAACAGGGTGACCTTTGATTTGTTTTCCAGATAACTTGCAATGAACGAAATATGTGAGTTGTAAAATATATTGTAACATGATCTGATATTTGGCTTCCAAGAATGAAACACCTTTATTAGTTTGAAGTTGACCATTATTCAGTCTATCCAATAAAAAATTAAATTAAATATTTATTTTCAATTAAATTTTTTTTTTCTTCTTACTTTTCTATCAAAGGACGCATATGTACTTTCAAATCTACTACTTTAGCTTTGAGAGATCCAAGTAATTTTTTTAGATCGTTTATATCTATAAAGAAATAAAAATTAATTTTTTTTAAGTTTATTAAATATATATTTTATATAATTACCAATATCTGTATTCTGTTCATTTTGTACTGGCATATTGTCTATTGTAGTTGCCATATTTTCTTCTTAAATCAATAAAAAAAAAAAAAAAGAAAGAAGGGGAACAAAAAAAAAAAAGCCGACTCTTTTCAAGAAATAAGTTTTATTGGTCTAGATTTTTCAATGTGACGTGCTCTTAGCTTTTTTTTTTTTTTTTCTTTTCCCTTTTTACTTCTTTTTGATTTTTTTTGATTTTTTTTTTTTTTTTTTTACTTATCTTTTCTTTCATCAAACAACCACCACCATGAGTGAATCAAACGCTGTCATTGGTATCAACTTTGGTACTTCTTCTACTTCTATTGGTTATGTTAACAAGGTAAATATACTAACAAGACGATAAAACGATAAACTAGATTTTTGACAGTTTTATATCTTATAGGAAGGACGTGCTGACTGTCTTGCCAACCAAGAAGGTGATCGTCAAATTGCCTCTGTACTTGCTTTCCATGGTGAAGAAGAAGTAAGTTTTTTTTTTTTTTTTAAAAAAAAAAAAGAAGATATTTTGTTACTTGTGATATTAAACAGATGTGTTATTAGGTTGTTGGTTCTCAAGCCAAGTCTGAAATTGCTCGTCATCCCAAGACCACTGTTGCCAATTTCCGTGCTACTCTTGGAAAGACGTAAGTGATTCTTTAAGAAAAAAAAAGAATGTGTTTGTTATTTTGGATCTCTTTTTTTTAATTGTTTCATTTAGTTTTGCAGAATCAGAAGATCTTCCTGGATCTGCTGCCCCTGTAGTTGATAAAGCAGGTACTCCTGGTTATGAAATTACTTTTGGTGAAGAAACCAAGGTATTTTCTACTCAAGACATCTCTGCCAAGTTCTTGCGTCATATTCGTGAATCTGCTGAAGGTTTCTTTGGTAACAAAATCGATGGAGCTGTCATGGCAGTCCCTTCCTATTTTACTGACAAGCAACGTGAAGACTTCAAGCAAGCAGCTACTGATGCTGGTATCAAGGTATTACAATTGGTTCAAGAACCCACTGCTGCTGCATTGGCTTATGGTTTAGGTCAAAAGGATGATCAAGATAAGACCGTGGTTGTTTGTGATTTGGGTGGTCATTCTTTCGATGTTACTGTGATGACTGTGCGTTCTGGTATTTACAGTGTGTTGGCTACTGCTCATGATACCAAGCTCGGTGGTGTGTCCTTTGATGATTTGTTGATCAAGCATTTCAGTGCTGAATTCAAAAAGAAGACCAAGGTGGATCTCGCTAATAATGCTAAGGCTCTTTCCAAGTTGCGTGGTGCGGTTGAAATGACCAAGAAGATGTTGTCCAGTGCCAGCTCTGCTCCTTGTTTTGTGGAATCTCTTGCTGAAGGTCTTGATTTCCATGGTACCATCAATCGTATGCGATTTGAAATCTTGTCTAACAGTGTGTTTGCCAAACTTCAAGAAGTGGTTCGTCAAGTGCTTGTCAAGGCTGATTTGGATGCCTCTGAAATCGATGAAGTCGTCCTTGCTGGTGGTGCTGCTCGTATTCCCAAGTTCGCTGTCAAACTTCGAGAAGTGTTTACTGCTGATACTCATATTCATAACGATCTTGAAGCCGATGAAGTGGTTGCTCGTGGTTGTGCCATCCAAGCTTCTCTTATTGCTGGTTTTGATCCTGAAGATATTGAAGCTGCTATCCATCCTGTTGTGACTTTGGCTCCTTCTACACAAAAGGCTATTGGTGTTCTCAATGCTTCTGGTGCTTTCGTTCCTATTATTCCCAAAGGTACTGCTTTACCTGCTCGTCGATCCTTTACTTTCACTCCTGCTGGTGAGCAATCTCATGTGTATGTTGCTCTTCATGAAGGTGATCATGTCATTGAAAAGAAGGAAATCCCTGTTGAACCTATTCCTGTGGAAGAAGGAGAAGAACCTTATGAAGAAGAACCCGAAATTGTTACTACTGTCTTTACCAAACCTGCTGCTCTTTTGATTGAAGCTGTCTTGCCTGTGTCCTCTAAATCTACAAAGGTGGAAGTACAAGTGACTGTGAATGTAGATGGTAAATTGACCTTGGTATTACGTGATACTGCTAATGTGGTGAAGGCTGAAGTCGCTGGAAAACAATAGAATTCCCCCCTTTTTTTTATTATATATTATTTCACCTCATTTTTTTTATTTGCATTTTGTTTTTTTTTTCTTATCATTTTATGTAGTTTAGTATACAATAAATAAAAAAAAATCTAGTTTTTTAGTTTGTTTTAAATTTGATGGTAACAAAAAAAAAAAAAAAAAGGATTTTTTTTTATCAAAAAGGAAAAGGAGGCGATCAATCATTATTGGTTCAAACATGTGAATAGATGATCTATTTTTATTTTTTATTTTTTCTTTGAATGCATAAAATTGAAAACATACATAAGGCATAAAATAATAATAATAAAAAAAGAGAGAGAGAAAATCAGGCGGTGGTGCTAATTGAAGAAGTAGGATGGTATTGTAAAGTTTGTTGTTGTTGTCTCCATTCACGTTGTTTTAACATCATGGAACCATAATTATCATAATATCTTCGTAATTCAGCTACAGAAAGAGCTTGCCAACAAAGTTGTTCATCAAGATCCATGAATAAATGTAATGGATGGATTAAACCTTGATAAGATGTCCAGCGTTCTTTATCAAATGTTTCAAGACAAGGGAGTGATTGAGTAGTACTGGTGTTTAAAGTATAACCATATCCTTGCCATAAAATCAAAAGGTCATCTTTTTCCTCGTTCTTTTCTTCTTCTTCTTTTTTTCGTTGGATGGGTTCAATGATAATATTATTATCATATTCTAAAATGCGTTTGTTTTTAATCTTTTCTGTTGTTGTTGTTGTTGTTGTAGGTTTATCAGTCATTAATATCATTGGATCCTCTACATTAGGAGTAACAAGAACAGGTACTAAATGACTTTTTTGTTCTTCTTGATGTTTTGATGATGGATTGGCATACATGATAACAGAAAGTGATCGTCGTATTGTTTTTTTTATATGTTGAGTATGTGACTTTTTAGGTAATTCATCTTGAAATGAAGGTCGAGGTGCCTTTGAAGGTGATAATGGTGGTGATGGTGGTTTAATAAAAAGACTTTGTGTTCTATCTGGTCGTCGTCTATTGTTTCTCTCTTCTGGTGATGATGGTGGTGATGATATATGATTGTTTTGAAAACTTTTTGTCAAATTAGCCAATGAAAATCGTTTAACTGATTTAATGGATTTTAATGTTGTTTCTGTCATTATCCATACTTATAAGAAAAAGAAGAAGAAGAAAAAAAAAAAAAGAAAAAAAAAGATTGAAAATAAAGAGAGGATATCAATTAAAAAAACTTGTTATAGTAATTCAATCAAACCCTCGTGTTCACTTGCAGAAAAAGTGACAGTTGGTCATGAACAAGGAGCAATGTGCCAAGTTCGTCACACAAAGACCTTTTGATTCAATCACCGATTTTGACAATAAATGGCACTTTTTTTTTTTAATTTTCTTTCTTTCATTCTTTTCTTATTATTTTATAAGAACATGTTATTATAGTCCTCTTGTTTTGCGGAACAAAATATATGTTTTAATTGAAGAATTTCTTTTTTTTTTTTTTACATATTATCTCTCTCTTTCCTTACCATTTGTTGAATATTAATGACTCGATTTATTCATTTTTGTAATTAGTGGTCAATAGAGAGGGATTATGCCAATAAATTATCTGACTACCCCAATTATATTAATAGTAAAAATAAATAAATAAATAATAAGGATATTCCAATCATCTTTCTTTTATTTTACAGGATCCATCTTTTTTTTTTTTTTCGTTGGTTCATTCAAGTAGTGGAGACAATGGCTTTTTATATCTTTTCTATACCTTCAATACCCTTATATACTCATTCTGATATCCCATTTTGGCGTCCTAGTTTGGCGGTCACGTTTTTTTTAAAAAAAATTAATAAAAAGATACCTTTTTTTTAAAAAAAAAATGAAATTAATCAATTCAATAATATGCTTTATACAATGCTTGTAATGAGAGGTTCAAGAAGTTTTTGTTTTCAAAGAACTCTTTTTCGATTTTTTTTTTTTCTTCTTGTCATCATTATGGAATTTAAATGATTGGCTCTGATTTCCCAATGACCATCTATTTTATTGCTGAGCTAAAATTGGGAAGAAACATACCACAATTTTAACATGAAAACTTTAATTTCCGCAGGACATCTGAAAACTATAAAAAAGCAGCAGCATTGGGGAAATATTTTTTTTCTTCATACTTACCTGGGCCGGGTAACTGGTGATCAAGAAGGCTGGTTATCCAGTCGATCCTATATTTCATTGCACAGCGAAGATAGGATCGGCTGCGAACACTTCGGTGTCTCGAGGTCGCAATTTTTGTTTGAGGGAAATTAGCGGTTCGCTGCTTGTTTCCCTGCTTATTTATAAAATAAAAATGAAAATAAAAAAAAATAATAAAAATCAAATATCATTTTATCATATTCCATGATGTATTATTCATCATTCATAATAGTAGTATTATGTTGTCGTATCAACATATTTCTATAAAGATGTGCGTAAAATAAAAAAAAAAAAAAAAGGAATACATCCAAAAATAAAAAAGTAAAAAGTTAGACTGATTCATCAAATGATGGAATCAATTACATTGACATGTAACAAAGTAGTTGGAATAAAAATGAAAAGCTTTATTAAATACAAATATAACTACTAAAGACTACCAATTGATATACTATAACTAAGGTCAATATAAAGAAAAGAAAGAAAGGAAAAAAAAAATAAAAAGGAATTGACCGCATACCAAAAATAGAAAAAAAAAAAAAGAGAAAACGGACTTCGTTTGCCTCCAATTCCAGTCGCTCTATGTTAGTCTTCAAATAGACAAACGCCATTGATTTAATAGCGGATAATGATGATAATGATATTGATTATTACTAAAATTGTAAAAATCCATAGTTTAAAGGTTATTTTATGGATCACCATACATCAATTTCAAATAAACTACTATTCACCTGAAATCAAAATAAAAATAATAAAAATGGTTTATTGAATAATGAAGATAAATATGTTTGGCAAAAAAAAAATAAGTCTATTTGGTATACTCTATTTCTACAAAAGGGAAAAATCATGCAAATTTGTCGGCATCATGTAATTCAATATCTTCATCATGATACAAAGGTTTATGATGATGATGATGATGTTGCTGTTGATGACGGCGATGAGGATGTTGATGACCATGCGTCAATTTCCATAGTAGCGGTGTAGCAATCAGGGTAAGAGAGGTAACAGCCAATAAAAGATAATAGACTTCACGAGAGATGATTTGTAATTGTTTGGCACGAGAAGCTAATACAAAGACAAATTCTGAGATTTGAGATAACGCCACAGACATAGTAGAGCAGGTATGCATATCAAACTTGAAGGAAAATAAAACACTCATGGTGACCAAGTACTTGAAGCCCATCACCATTGTTGTCAAAATCAAAAGTAAGATCAATTCTGATGCAAGAAATGAAGGATAGATATGAAGTCCAATCGATGCGAAAAATAAACATGCAAAAAGATCCCGTACAGGTGACACCACTGATAATAAAGATTCATGAATATTATTTTCTGATGACGGTACTACTACTGCTGCTGTTGTTGTTGATGTTGTTGTTGTTTTAGGTACTGATGATCTAATCACTACACCAGCTGCAAAACATCCCAATTCCATACCAAGTCCTAATCTTTCCGATACCAATGACATGATCAAACATACCGCCAAGGAACCCAAAAGCCAAAGTTCATGATGATAATGCGTCATGTTGCCATGTAAAAGGATGACAATATGAGCCGGTAAGAACCGATGGACCAAACGAGGAATACTGGGAATCATGATGCGTACCAAACCATAACAAACAGTAGCAAACAAGAGAAAGGACATGGAAACCGATAAAACAGCTTTAGCCACTTGAATACCTGATTTCGCCAACGCAGGAACGATCGCCAACATAAAACCAAGTAATACATCTTGCATCACCAATAAACCATACAGATGATCCAGATGTTCCAATGGAATGACTTTGACCACCACAGCAGTAGAACTGAGACTAACACAGGCACCTACAAAGATAGCTTCTTTGATACTTGTTCCCAACACGAGACCCATCATCATAAAGAATAGAATAGTCACTAATAACATAAGACTGGCTCCACCCAATGCAAGTCGCCACATTGCTTTTAATTTCTCCAATGAACATTCTAATCCCAATACAAATACAATCAGTACGACACCTAATTGAGCCAATGTTTCTGTTTGGATTAATTCCTACATGACAAAGAAAAAGGAATGAGATTTTTTTCTTATATATATATAGATATGTCTTTACCTTGATCAAATTGTATCCGGAAGGACCAGCAACAATACCAGCAAGAATATATCCAAAAAAGGCTATGGTAATAAATACACAAAAAAAAAAGGAGATCATGGTCAACATTTATTTAGTTTTTTTTTTTTTTTTTTTTTTCTATTAAGGATGATTTACCTGGTAACCCAATAAATGAAAAGAGCATTCCAAAAGCAAAAGAAATCACTAGGATCAAAATGACATCGTGTAAGAATTGCATATCTTCATATATGATGGTTGTATCAAAAGGTCGAGTCATGATATACTCATTTTGGTCTTGATCGATCAAAGTGACAATAGATGGTATTTCTCCCTTTCCATCGGTATTCAGTCTATTGTTGTTGTCATTTCTGTCGTCATCATTGTTGGTGTTATCAATATGGTCACTGTTGGATGATGAAGACGGTGAATATGGATGTTGTGGGTCTTGTTCATCATAAGATTGTTGTCCTTGTTGTTGTTGTTGTTGATGTTTATTACCATCTTCTACCTTAAAAACTGTTTCCAAATGCCCATTTGTGAATTGTGAATGATGTTGATGCATTTCCTTTTCCAACAGATCAGCATTATCACTGACTTCTTGTAACATGGAGTGCAGAATGTCCTTCATTGATTCCCCTTGTGTCACTATATCGTCCGATTGATGCTGATGATGAGGTGCATATTCCTTTGATCCCGCTTTCCCATTGTCCTTGTTTTCTTCTTCTGTGGTCGCCCAAGCTTTCAATTGAGACCAAGGTGTAGATCGCAATTGATCGTGAGATGCTTTGATGGCAAGTTGAAAATCATAGGTCAAGCGTAACGCAGCAGTTCGATAATCATAAAGACGTTGTTGTTGTTGTGAAGATTTGGTACTATTGGTAGATGTCTCTTCCACAGTGTTGGCATAAACTTTAAGCATACCATAAACAAGAGACTCGAAAGCATGAAAGTCATCTAGTTGTACACCGACCAAGTGATAAAGATGTGAAGTTGTGTCACTATCTTGTACATGCTGTAAATCGTTATAAAGTCGTTCCTTCCTTTGTGCTAAAGCTTCTCCATACCGCTGACCATTTTCTAATATAGTATATAAAGAAGCTGCATCCTGCGGTACTAACCTTGAATCCTAAAACAAGAACAAGACAAAAAGGTTAAGTACCCAGAGTTATATATTTTTATTTTAAAGTAATTCTTTACTTTTATAGACGGATCTCCATAAATGCTAGATATAAAGAAAAGTTGAATAATAAGAAGATATATATGTAGATACATGAAACGAGAGGAATGAGAAAGATTGTGGAATAAGAACTAACAGAAAAAAAAAAAAAGATAGTTCAATTGGGTTTGGCCTTTTGGTTCCTTTTGGATTTTTTTTTTTACAGCTAAAAATTTAAAACTCATCAAATTTCACAAGCAAATCATACTTCAATGTTGGAAAAGTCCAGACGCTTTTTTCCAAAGTTAGTTGAAAAAACCTGATAGTGAAAAGTGGATGTGGTTCTTTTTTTTTTTTTTTTTTTTTTTGTGCCGTCTTTCTTTTTTACTTTTTTTTTCTTTTTCCTTCACTCTTATGTTTTAGATCTCTACAACTATTGTTATTATACAGCTTACCTTTTAATAGTGTTTCCTCTCTCTAATTAACACAGGCACTAATGTATACTGAAGCATCATCTTTTATCAATATCTTATTCAACCTAAATCTTGTATTGTCGTCTTTCCGTTCACTTGGTCATACACGACAGAACACTTCCTTCTCTGGTGCCTTCTTGTTTCCCCATTATCCTTGCTCTTCTTGTTGTGCCTCTGGTTGTGTATCCTTTGCTTGACCTCTCTGTCTTTCTTGTTCTTCGGATCCCTTCTTTCACCTTATGACATTATAACTACCCTTATTGTGTCACGTACATCCTGGATTGGTCGATGCGTGAACAACCGAGCCCTTGAGCAAGACATTCTTTTTTCTTTTTTTTTTTCTTTTTTTTTGTAAGTGTACATATGCAAACATATTAAATCACACTAACGTTCTATCATTTCTTCTTTTCAAACACCGATGGCATCGCATGATATCAGAAATATATTGGGAAATCTCAAGACAAACGACAAACGAATAGACAGTAATTGGATATGTAAGAAAGTCTCCTGGCAAAGAGAAAATGGAAACTCGAATTCGTCTTCTACAAAAAATGACGGACAGGTTATTTTTCAGGTCTCTGGTTGATAAGAGCGTTGTCTCGGCTACAGTGTGTCAAATGAAACGATTGCAATCAAGAGTTTTTTTTACTGTTATCTTTTTTTTTAACAATATATCTTTTCATTACTTTATCTTTTTTATACTTTTGTCTTTATTATTTTGAATAAAAGAAAATACATTATGAAACTCATTAAACGAACTATCCAAAGATCCCTGTAATGAAGTGTCACGCACCTGGTGGAAAATATTCAACAAAATAAAAAAAAGCCGTATTAACAGATGTGAAGAAATTACAACGTGTTCTCTCGCACAAAGGAAGTTGTATTGTCGATGAAAACCTGTGGTTCACGGATCCTGAATGTTCTCAGCTTGCTGCAGATACATAAACATTTTCTTCATACAATGTCATTTTCATATTACAATCATCTGATAAATAGTAAATTCAATAAAAACAATCTATACTTTATTTCCAAAATCAAATAATCATCTTGTTGAATATATATATATAAACGACTATGGACGCTTTCAATAATGGATTGCGTTGTTGTCAGTTGGAATTGCAAATTGTGCGTTAATTGATGATAAAGGAAAATGAAAGATAGATTGCCAATCTAATAATGATGATTGAATGATGATGACTGGTAGATAAAGAATATTGTAGAATTGAAAAGTACAATAGCCAGTTGGTTAATGATTCAGGGGAAATAACGAAAGAAAAGGAACTAAAAATAAGAGAATCACTTGATGCGATATCTCGCTTTTAAAGCCCCGTTTGTTTCATTTTTTTTTTTTTTGGGTGCAAAACACTGTGTGCGCCATGTTTGTAACTTTCTTTTTTTTTAGATATTTCATCAATGCAGACTCCGGAGTTTCTTTCTTCTTTCTCTTGTCCATTTGTTTTCTCTTTCCCATAACCTCTTTTTCTCTTCTTATATATTTTATCAATATGTGAAAATCCTTTTTTTTTATCAGGTAAAAGTTTTGAATATAAAAAGGTATCATAAAAATACTAATATATTATTATTATTATTTATTGTACGAAATTAGTCTAGTACAATTCCCTGAAGTATCAAAACCACATAAACTATGATGATGAAACAACTTGTATTGTCACTGCAAACCTCTGATCGCCAAAGAAGAATACGTTGAAATGGATAATGACTTTGGCACTGTTCTATACACTGACTGGAACTGATAACGATATATTTGTATTAGAATGATGGAAGGGGACGATATTTATGGATTTTCATCGACTGTGACTAAACTCTCCCCAGAATTACAAGAATTTCGCTTACGAATTCCAACGATAACTGAGGATGAAAGGTCAATCCGTGTGTTACAACCCCATATTCGTGAACATGTACTTGCCTATGAACCTACTGCTCTTCAAGAGATACAAAGACTAGTGTTAGTCAAGGATGGGGTCAGAGCGACTATTAATTCAAGATTATCTTTACCTCAGACAAGAACCGGTAATAAAAATGAAAATGATTGTATATATCCGCATGTATCGTCGATCACGCTATATTAACATTCATATCTTGTGTTTACCATAGTCATTCACCAGATACGAAAATGTGGAACTGAAGATTATCAACAACGACAACAGCAGCAAACTGACGCTGGGAAAGAAACGATGAACATTCTTATAGCACCATCTGTTCGAATCGATGTTGAACAACGACCACGTCTCGACCCTTCTTCCTCCAACGGGTTTGAACCATCGCCATCGTCACTGATCTTCATCCCCAAGCGATTCATCACTTGGTACAACTCTATGACTTTTGACAATGGGTACAAGCAATTATACTCATTCGATGAACTTGCGCAGTTACGAAAGGTCAGATCGAAGTTCAGTGCCGCAAGCACATACCTCCTATGCCGATCATCATCCGTCTTCACAAATGATATCCGTAGTAGACCTGCCACCATTTGGACGCTCTGTGACTTTGACGCCAACCAAGGCAACATTTCCTCCGCATCAATGGTGTCTCGATTGTTCCGTGCAGTGGCAACAAGCGTTTTTGACAATGGAAAGGAAGCGACTTTGGAATCAAAATTGGTCCAGGAAATTGCCAATAAACTCAAGAATGGACTTTGGTGGATCAGTAGGGAGAAGGCATTTATGATGTATTCGTATTTTTAGTGTAATATAGCATTGGTATCCATTTATAATAAAAAAAAAAAAAAAGAAAAGAATGAATAACAACCAATATCACGTTCTATGAAGTGTAATAATCAAAACTTATTTAAAATATATTCTTAAAAAGTTAAAAAAAAATGACCATGTTGGTACTATTTGGTAATTATTTTCAACTAAAAATTAATAATAATATTAAAACATAAGATTGTTAATATAATAATATCTAATCTATCCAAACCAGATATTAATTCCATTCTCAAAAATTTGAAAATACATCTACAATACTTCATAAATAATGAATATTGACATTTTATTGTTTTTTGATTTCAGACATCTCACATTTCATCAATACCTCATCAAGTTCTGATAGTTTACATAAATTATATAGTATTGGATCTTTAGGAATAATGTTAGGCATATTCCAATGATCTTTGTTTCTAATAGAACTTACAGTATCTGTAGTTGTACCTATTAATTTTGCAATTTGTTTGTCTGTCATTTTTGGATAATTTAAAATAAGCCAATATGCTGCATCCGGTTTGTCACGACGTCTTGCTACTGGGGTATATTTTTTTTTTGTTTTGGCCATTTTTTAAAATAATAAGAGAAAAAGGTAAAGGGCACCCCCCTCTACTGAAATAAAAAATATTCTCGGAATTTAAAACAAAACATAGAAGAAATGTTTAATTTATTGTAACAAGTCAAAAAAAAAAAAACTAAAAAACAACGTTGTATAGAGTAAATTACCATTGCGTTCAAATCCTGCTGATATTGATATGTCAAGAGACCTATAAAGAAGGGCGTGAATAAGAATAGTGAATATATTTATTGTTACCGTATTATTGATATTTAATATACGAAGTCCTGTGTTAAGATTTTTTTTTGTTCTTAACGGATGATGATGGGATATAGGATGGATGGATGATTTAAATAAAATATTTAAATCGATGATTATATAGAGGTACTGAGCACCAGTTCCTTTTATAAAAAAGAACAAAACGTATTTTGATAAAAAAATAAAATGATCCAAATATGGAAATGGATTAATGTTGGTAATCACAGTAAATGATGATCAGATAAAAGAAAATAAATGAAAGATACCAAATGACTTGATGATTTGGTATATAAATAAAAAAAAAATAATAATAAGTGTGATGATTGTTAAGATAATTAAAACCAATGGATGATTATTTCCAATAGAGTGGCCAAAGTGATTTATAATTGTTAAAATAATATTTTTCTTTAAAAAAATTGACCATGATTGTATTTTATTTTCATATCATCTATTTATACTAAATACTATCTTATACTAAATTATATATATTTTTTTTTAAAGACAGATTTTGTAAACTAAAGAAAAGTGTGGGATTTGTCAATATCGTGAGATCTAAAGAAATGTGTGGGATTTGCAAAAATCGTGAGATCCAGGTAAAAGTGTGAGATTTCAAAAAATTTTCTTTTAAAGATCCGCATCGTTGAATGATATGAAATTCGCTTCTTCATCTGCTTGTGGTCTTGGCTTTTGTTGTAAGTTTCCATGAACTGTGGAAATACCCTCATGAACTCTAATTCGAGTTGTTCAATCTCTGTAATAGGTTGAGTGAAGACTTGTTGTTGGATCGCATGGTTTTGCATGAGTTTGACTATGTTCATTTTGCACGGTTCCTTTGCTGTGAACTTTGATCTTCCCATGCTGCCCTATCACGCTTACTAGATGCTGGACATCCTTTGGTATTAACTTTATCGGTTGCTTCAGATTCAATGCCATTTCATGATGAGATTTGTCCAATATGACTTCCAACATGTTGATAATATCCTGTCGTTCTTGATTGCTTATATCCGAGTTAAGATTGGCATGTATCAGATACAGCAATTCATTTCCACGCTCGATAAGATGATCATGACTTGTTGTTGCTGGTTCATTCATATTAATACCTTTGCTGTTATCACCGCTGGTCAAATGAGCATTGGTATGAAAAGATGAGTCGGTGTCAACCGTAGGAGCCAATCCGATGTCGCCATCATCAGTATCAGAATCAATAACAATAACATGTTTTTCAGTAGTCGCTGTTGGAAGTACATGGTCATCATAGCTATCGTCCACTAAGTCAATCACCGAATAGTCATCGCTGTCATAAATCATTTCGGGGCACCTTGACCTCACCATTACCACAAGTCTTCTTGTCATCATCATTCGTGCCTACAGTATGATATAAACTAAAGATGAGCATTCATATAGTTTGTTATTCTTACAGTTAGCTATTACTGTACCGTAAATATATTCATTAGTAGGTATGTCATCTTCTTTCAAGATCCAACGAGGATGAATGGCAGTTAACGGTATAGGAGAAGAGTCACCAGAAATCATGAGCGCATGGTAACTTGTACTGGATTTTGATTTCACATTCACAGTCATCCTTCTTGTTCACTCTATACGAGGCTGGTACGACGTCGTTTTTCAATCGATTAAATGCAAACTTGCTGATTTTGAGCCGTAAGTGATTCATCCTATGAGCATCTTTATCTAGCATGAATGAAGGATTGTATTTGAAGGATTCGATCTCGGTACACTGTTCAATCTTTTCCCACTATTAAAACGTACAACATAAATGCAGTAAGTCAGTTTCATTATTCACAATAGTCGCTCATTAAGACTTACCATTCCCAAATACCATCTATCAATACTTTCAAATACTATTTCCATGCTGGCATTGGTATGTGTCACAAGTTGCTTCAGTTTTGCGTGTGCACCTTCGACCCGATTTGTCGTTCTGTTACCCAGATGAGGTACATGACCAGCACGAAGGCCAACCCATTTTTCTTTTACTTGCATCATTCTATAAAAGAATAAATAAATAGTGTATATAAAAAAAAGGAAAAAAAAAGTGTGGAGAAAAGGAAAGAGAAGGTAGAAAAAGAAAATTGTTAGGAAACGAAATAAATAAAAATGTAACGAAAAGTCCGACTAGGTAAATGGCGATGTGCCAAAGTAATATATAATAGAGAGAAAGAATATGTTGTAATGCGCTAATGAGAATAAAGTATTTACAAAGAAGTAAGGTTAGCTTTTAATATTAAAGAAAAAGTGATAAAAATATATGAAAAAGAGAACGACTTTATAATATATTTCCTTTTTTCATCTAACTTGATTCTCTTAAGCTTGGATTCAGCTATCATTTAATTTATTTAAGGAACAATTGTCTGAAAGGAAATGATAGATAACATTAAAAAAAAGTAATGATTGTAAATAGTGACAATGAATATAATTTTATTAAACAAAAAGAATGTAAATGTGTATAATTGTATATTAAGTATGATAGTAAAAAGAATCACCAACGCTTTAAGCCAGAATAAGATAAAAAGATCAAGAAGATATCTCTAATTGATTGTAAGTCGAATCCAATTGAATCCTATAATACATCCTGTACATCCATTTTGTTGATCCAGACGGATAGCCACTTCTCGTAGTACCCTATTGACATGAAATTATAATGATCAATCTTCATGTATCTAGATTTCTTTCTTTCTTTCAGACGTATATTCAGTAATAGTCATTATCCAGGATACCAAGTAAGAAGGATGAGAAGAAGAAAGAACGATAATCCTAGATGGACAGATGTTGTAGTAAAAACATCAAGGTCGAAAGAACGCGTATACAAGAAAAAAAGAAGAAAAGTAGAGTTAGAAATAAGAAGAGGAAAGAACTTGTTTTTGAAACTTACAACTAATAAGAGTGAATGTCTGTAAAAGCACATAGAGAAAAGCGTATAGCAAAGAGGTTGGAATGATTCGTGTATAAAAATACAAAAAGGTTAGAAAAAAACAGTATCATTATCTTTTTTTTTGTTTGTCTTACTTTAATCGTCATATTTGTATCTAGAATATGGATTCAAATAAAAAAAAAAAGAGAGATCAATATCATATAACGTTGGTGACATAATGAAATGGATTTACCTTATTAAACATGAGTAATACAGCATATAACAGGTTAAAGGTACTTGTGTTCACTTGTTTTAACTAAAAGGTAGAAACACACTATAAAAAAGAAGGATTCAGTCAGTTCATGAATACAATGAATATATGTATAGACAATCTTTTATTATTATTTCCATACCTCACTCTGATTTGTCTTAAAAGGTAAACGTATAAAAAAAGAAAAAAAAAAAGAAGAAAAAGAAAAATAAAACAAGCGCGCTTTTTTATTTGGCAATGCATTTAATTTTCGCACAGCGACCCTGTGGGCAAAATATGCTCCTTCCAAATTAGGACTAGGAACCCAATATTTTATTCAACTCTACATAGAAACCCTAAATTCTACCTAGAAAACCAATTTTTATTCATTTCTACCTATTTGACCTAATAATTATGTTTATTACAAAAAAAAAAAAAAAAAAAAAAGATCTGCAAAAACCGTTTAAAACCGTTTTAAACGGTTTTGAACGGTTTTGAACGGTTTTGAACGGTTTTGAACGGTTTTGAACGGTTTTGAACGGTTTTGAACGGTTTTAAATGGTTTTTTGATATTCTTGTTCCTGCTCCTGTCGACGCTCCTGAAGGAAGTGGAAGCTGTCGTATCAGCGTATTCCATAACGATATGCGTAAAATAAAATCAAAGTATGCATTCACAAATAAAGAATAAAAAATACATCTGAAGATGGAATCAATTACATTGACGTGTAACAAAGTAGTTGAAATAAAAATAAAATGTTTTATTAAATAAAAATATAACTACTAAAGACTACTAATTGATATACTATAAGTAAAGTTGTTATAAAGAAAGGAAAGAAATAAAAAGAAAATAAAACTTACCGCATATCTAAAAAAATAAAAAATAGAAATACGGACTTTGAAAGTTATTATGCTCATGATCTTTTGATACTATCAAGAAAGATATATATCAATGAATAAACGTTCCAGGGCAACTAATATAATGAATCACTACACATATGATGATTCATCACATCAATGGAAAATAGAATACTAATAAAATTATACTCTCTGTATAACAGTATTACAAATTAAAATAAAAAAAGAAAATAAAATAAAATTTGGTCACTAATCTTAAATATGGTGTAATCATACCAGTATTACGTATCACTCACTACGTACTTATATATAAGACCATCAAAATTTTTTGTGTAGATACTTTGTCTCTTTTTTCAATCATCTTCAAAATAAAAAGAAATCTCACAGACTTGTTCTCGTCTCCTTTTTTTTATTTTTACTTTATTATTATCACACTACACCAATTCCACAGAAACCCATCAAAATTGTAAAAAAAAAAAAAAAAAAAAAAAAAGGCACTTCATTTTTTTTATTGCAGAGATACTAATTGAGAAGACTACGCGAAGACTATACTGATAAGCATTTGTGACGCACTGTATCCTGAGGTGGAATATTGACTGCACCATCTTCTTCATCATCCAGTTGTTTCATATTGACGACTTGATCATCCAATGCCACAAATAGATATGCCAGCAATTCAAAGACTCGCAGCCATTTGTTCCTTTGCTTATATGAGGTGGGAATTTCGGCCTTGCGCACTTGACGGTAACTGAATTTTGCATTCTCATCAAATTGAACCTCTGATAAGACGATGGATGTTTTGATAGATTGCACGCCAAATATTTTTGTTCGTAGCATGGTGTCAAATCTAGCATTAAGATGGATGTTGGCGATGCCCTTTAACATTGCAATCATGCTGCTGAGTTGCTTAATACTGTCATCGACAGTTTTCGATACTGATTCTCTATGCTGGCCACACGATCCTTCCATCACGAGTCGTTCATTCGCGTTCCAATCGTATCCCAATCCATCTGCAAAGCGTGATGAACCTTTTTCCCAAATTGTAAGATCCATTTCTTCCAGAGCGTGGTGAGTCGTTTCGCATTCGCACCAATCAAAGTTAAGCAGGCCCGTTTGATTCCCAAACGTTTGAAACAGTGGCACCACACGTCGTACCCACCATGTTCTTTCGTAATCCTTTCGTGCTGTTGAAGTGTTGTTCAATATTGATATTGGTGTTGCTGTACAGTTGTCGACGAAGTTGATCAAAATGAATTTCATCATATTCAGTAACTTGGCTTCTCGAGATGTTATATCATGTTGTTTCTGTGTCCACAACCATGTAGCTAATTGTTCTTGATCTTGGTCCAAAGCAGCCATGAGAAACGAACGTGCATGATGGAATGCATTGAGGGTTGCCAACGTCGATTGCTCAGCGAGAGCTGTGTCAATTGAAACGATCGGTCGAACGTCATCAATGAATTTTTGCGGAAACTTGGGAGTATTTTGTTCATACAAATAAGTCGTTGACGAAAAAGTAACAATGTTTCTGTTGCTCATGCCAATATGCACTGTTTTTTCGCGTGGTCGTTTTTTTGGTCGTTGTTGATCACCATTTCCTTCAGAAGTGTCAACAGACGTGTTTTGTTGCAAATGCTCGTTTTCAATATGACGTCGTAACTTATCCATGTTGTCGTAGTGACTGAGGCAAGAAGGGCAACCAAAGTGTTCATTGATGTTTTCGTGTGCATTATTGCCGACCTTTTGCACATACGCGTATTGATCCGTTTCGAAACGCTGTCTTCCTCTGGGCATTTTCGGTAGGTCAATCTGGTGCACTGTAATGAGGTGACTGCGCAGATAACGTGGTTCGCTTAGTTGCCTAGAACAAACATGACAGCAGTACTTCAAAGAAACCAGTGTTTTTACGGCCATGGCAACTGTGGGGAAAAAAAAAAAAGGAGCAGGAACAAGAATATCAAAAAACTGTTCAAACCCCGAACGGTTTTAAACGGTTTTAAACGGTTTTTGCAGATCTTTTTTTTTTTTTTTTTGTTATGAATTTCAGGTGGCAAAAAAAAAAGTAAATCTACCTATTATATGCTTTCTAGCCTAAATAGGAGAAATGCGACATGCGATGACAGTATCTTTTCTCTCATGATATGGCACACTTCGGTGACAAATGTCTTTTTCTTTTTTTCACATGCTCATACGGGGTATGATGATAATTGTCTTCATTCCATTATTGTTATTTTTAGCCTACATTTCACGATCACTATAATGTAGTCACTAAAAGTTGTTCATATAATATAAGACAAAGAAGATCACATTGATTGTTTTTGTTTGACTACTACAACGTTTTGGATATAATTCAACAAGTGAGGGGAAAAGATATAATGATAAATATCATCACAGCACAAAGACATCTATCTATTTTGCAAAGATCTTTTTTATTTTTTTACGACTAAGGCATGAATAAAGAAAGACTTCGAAAAAAGAAACATGATAAATAAAATAAAAATAAATAAAGCCTTGACCATAATAATAAATACTACACTAGAATGATTCATCAATAAAAAAAGAAGAACTAACTAAACTAATTCTGTGAGATTGTAGTTAATGGTATCAGTTCTGTCGATAAAATCAATTCCAGAATTTTCCCTTTGCAATTGCTGGACCACCAAGACCTGCTTTCGTAACATTGTTACCAGGTAGGCAACAAGGTCGAATAACTTCAGCCAGTCCAATCTCTGGTTATAATCCACTGGTACTTCGGCTCTTCGGCATTCTTGATGCATGTATCGTCCAACAAGGCATGGGTCGAGGGCCGTCGTTGACAAGGTAACCGTTGAGCAAACAGACTGAATTGAGAAAGCAAGCAACTTTTTTTGCTGTTGAGTATACTAATGGACTTGAATTACCAAAATATTTTGTAGCAATTTGGAAACGTGGATTGGCGGCAATGGGAAAGCCGGGGTCTTGTCGTCACCATAAATATGTACTTGAGGAAAGAGTATGAAGATCGGTATTAATATCACGAACGAATTTTTCAAGTCTATATATATTGCTGTCTCCAGCCAGTGAGGGAGCCTCATGATAAGTTTTTGAAGAAGCGGTATTTTCAATACTTGATGCTGATTGGCTGAAATTGGCGATGAGATTCATAAAAGAGTTTGCATTTTCGTATGTCACTTGTGAAAAGGATCTGCAACAAAAGGTTTAGGAGTTGAACTTGGATCTGACCTGACGCGACTATGCAAGTTCATCGAACGAGTACAATTGCTTGTATCCATTGTCAAATGTCATGGAGTTATACCATTTGATGAATCGTTTGGGTACTAAAACGGAAGTCGATGGCGATGGCTGAAATATGTTTGCTGATAATGGATCAAAGCAAGGCTGTTCAATCGGCAGCATAATCTTCTCATGATGAGCATCATGCTGTAATATACTTCTGTACAGCAAAAACCAGTAATCTATCACAGAAATAAAAAAAAAAAGATTAATCATCTCCTTCGTTTATCTGGAACTTCCCCAAAGCCTTTTTTTTTCTTTTGTTTTTTGATCTTACCCTTTTTTGCAAGAATCTAGGAGTGAAATGTCCTCCATGCTTCGACTGTACACATAGTGCATCCATTGACGCCTCTTCCAGTCCGTATTGAGAATGGTCGAAAATTGTTCGTTCATTTCGACATGAACCTTTTTGTAATCAATATTCTGATGCAAGGAATGAAGATGTGCTCAGGATGTAAGACTGCTTTGCATGTGGCTCGACGACTTCAACTTGTATATCTGGATGGTACAGTAAAGGAATTTGTATAGATTAATGACAATGGTAAAGTAGGCTTCAATCTTTTTTCTTTCTTTATTTTACCCTTTATCCTCCCATTCTGATAGAAACGTAACGTAACCAGGGACGTCGTTGTCAGTCAGTGTATAAAAGCGTTATCAAGCCAAATGATGACTTTACGATACAAATGTTTCATCTTCATGGTTTACGCGGGTTGGTTGATGCGATACTTGCCAAGACAGTTCAGGGATTTGACTAGTTTATTTTGTACAATAATAATAATAATATATTAGCCATTATGGATACATTATCAGAACTTTTACCTGATAAAAAGGATTTTCACATATTGATAAAAGATATAAGAAGAAAAGAAAAGAGAATAAAAGTTGAATTTAAATAAGAAAAAGAGGCATGAGAAAGTAAACAAAGAGAAAGAGAAGTTAAAAAAAGAAAGGAACTCCGAAACTTATGCATTGGGTACACATTGATAAAAAACAAAAAAGTATTGTTGATATAATACAAATCTTAAAATGAAAGTAAAACAATTATATTGAATAGCATACACCTTGAGTATAACATCAAACTCATTATGATAAAATATTTATTCTAGTGTTTGTTTATTCAGAAACTACAAAATCGTGCTTTAAATTAAAAATAAAAAAATAATAATAATCTTATTGACTCTTTCCCTTGTCTCATTCTTATATTTATCAACATTACTCAAACATGCAATAAAAAGTGTCCTAATTACAACAAACTTCAAATTGGGCTGTGTAACAGGATCAACACAGCTAAAACACAAGTCATCAGCTCTAATTAATACGAATGGTGAGAGAGTCGACAATATATTGACTCAACATTAGCAGCATTTGAAGATTGTGGAATTGGTGTTGATGGTGATAAGTAATAAAAAAATAAAATAAAAAAAAATAAAGACAAGAAAGTCAGTGAGATTTCTTTTTGATTTGAAAAATAGTTAAAAAAAAAAAAAGAGACAAAGTATCTACACAAAAAGTTTTGTTGTTCTTATATATAAGTACGTGGTGAGTGATACATAATACTAATATCATCATACTATATTTAAGATTGGTGACCAAATTTTCTTTTCTTTTTTATTTTGGTTCGCAATACTGATGTATAGAGCTATAATCTTATTGATATTTTATTTCTCATTGATGTGACATTATCATCATATGTGTAATGATTTATCATAATAGCTGCCTGGAGTGTTTATACATTAATATGTATAGATAGATACCGACTTTTAATACATAATAATAAAAATCAATCACATGTCTTGTTCTTGACTTTTTGCCTTTATTTCAAAAAAAGATAAAAAAAAAAAATACATATGTGAATAAAAGTACAGCAACCTGGAGTGTTTATACATTAATATGTATCTTCCTTGGTAGTGATTATGAATCATGAGCATAATGATTTTCAAAGTCCGTATTTTATATTATTTTTTATTTCTTTCTTTTCTTTATAACAACTTTAATCATAGTATATCAATTAGTGATCTGTACTAGTTATATTTTTTTATTTAATAAGACTTTTATTTTTATTCCTACTACTTTATTACACGTCAATGTAATTGATTCCATCTTACGACGTATTTTTTTATTCTTTTATTTGTGAATGCATTCTTTATTTTTATTTTATGGATATGGTTATGGAATACGCTGAGATAGGTATGGATAGGTACAGATAGGTACGGATAGGTACGGCAAATGATGACCAATCACAGCTAGTCGTATAAAACACGGCAAACATGCACCAATCATAGGTGTTGGATATATATGGATAGGTATGGATAGGTTATGGATAGGTTATGGATAGGTTATGGATAGGTTATGGATAGGTTATGGATAGGTTATGGATAGGTTATGGATAGGTTATGGATAGGTTATGGATAGGTACGGATAGGTACGGATAGGTACGGCAAACGCTGACCAATCACAGCTAGTCGTATAAACACGGCAAATATGCACCAATCATAGGTGTTGGATATATATGGATGGGTATGGATAGGTAGCGGGGTATGAATAGGTCAAGGTATCCATCTATTCGCCTGAAGAAGTGAAAAAAAAAGAAGCTGAAGTGGTTCTTCTCCTTCTTTCTTCATGCGTGTTATTACAATTGGTATCAGGTATAATATTAAACTATAAAGAACAAGTAGTATTTATATCAAGATTGACTTTTTTCTTCTTATTTTTCCTCTTCTTCTCCTTTTCTCTCTCTCTCTCTCAAAAAAAAAAAAAAAAAAAAAGTGGCCCTTCATGTTCTGGGAAAACGGTAAGAATATCTAAACTCATTTATAACATAATGAAAATCTCTCTTTTTTTTATCTCGTAATACTGATCATATATTTCTCATTCTTTCTATAGACAATCACCCGCATATTACAACAACTAGTAAAGAAAACTATTGTAATCTATCAAGATGATTTTTTCAAGGCAAGGATAACATGAACGAAATGAAAGTATGTATTCTTATTATTCTTATTATTATTATTATCGTCATATCAGCCAGATACTGATATTCCTGTAGATCCAGAAACACAACTTAGCAACTGGGATTGTCCTGAAGCACTGGATTTTGAACGCCTGATCCAGACAATTCAATATGTACAACAGCATCATGTTTTACCCACAGATTATCACTCCAATGAAGTCAACAATACACACGATGGATCGGATCTAGTGACGCCGCAACAAATATCAGAATGGAAGAAAAAAATTCATCAGAACAACAATGCAGGAAATGTGGATGACGATACTCTTTGGTTAATTGTTGATGGATTCATGTTAATCAGTGATCCTCAATTATATGGACTCTTTGATTATCGAGTATTTGTTACGGCATCATATACAACTTTGAAAAAACGACGAGAAGATCGACAAGGATATCATACTTTGGAAGGTTATTGGGTGGATCCTCCCGGTTATTTTGATGCTATTGTTTGGCCAGAGTTTTTACGCGCTCATCAACATGTCCCTGGTCCTCATCATCAACAACAACAAGAAAAACAGAATCTCGATGATGATCATGATGTGATTTTGATTGATACAGATATATTGTCGATTCCGGAAGCAGCAGAAACAGTCATTTCAGCATTATGGTCATGAACTCCCCTATTCCCTATTACACTTGCTGTACTTTTATTCACATATGTATTTTTTTTTTTATCTTTTTTTTTGAAATAAAGGCAAAAAGTCAAGAACAAGCATGTGATTGATCTTTATTATATGTATTAAAAGTCGGTATCTGTCTATCTATCTATCTATCTATCATTAAAAAACTTGTCTTCTATTTCCAAAGAAGGTTGTGTATACAATTGTGGAGTTGTTGGTAAATCTTGGTTATCTTGAAGAATGCCTTGTAACCGATCTAATAATTCCTGACATGGGGACAAATTTTCTTGCTGACACAAAGAGACAAATGTTTCTAGAGCAAAAGTAGTGTCGTCATGATCCAACAAAGCATTGATAAGGGTATACAGAGTACGTGAGGTAGGTCGTAGATAAGTTTGTTCTTGCATGGATTGATATAACTGACGCAGTTGAGAAGAAGATGAACGTTCTCCATCATTCGTCAAATTCAAAGCCGACTTGTTCATAAAGGAAGCAAACAATTGATCATAAACAGTAATGGTAGGTTTCACTTGGTATTGTTGTAACATGGTGATCAATAACGTTTGTATAGCTTCCGTTTGTCGATTCTGTCGTAATAAATAATCAATATAAATCTGAAAAGTCGCTGTGTCTGCTGCAGGCGCCATATGCAAACCATCCTTCCTATTGTGTTGCTGTTGTTGTTGTTGTTGTTGTTGTTGTTGTTGTTGTTGTTGTTGTTGTTGTTGTTGTTGTTGTTGTTGTTGTTGTTGTTGTTGTTGTTGTTGTTGTTGGTGTAAAGCCTCCACCATCGATTGGAACATATGATCAGCTTTGGATTGATAATCAAATGAATCATCTTGTTCACCCATACAATCATTAGAGGAAGAGAAGCCATAGTAACAATCTAATAAAACGTTCCAGGTCACGGTACGATTAAGTAAACCACCAAGGCCCTTGTTTTCCAATCTTGTCATCATCTCTTGTACACCCTGTACATCGCCCATAGTGGCCATACTATGAAGAAGAGTGGTATAAGTATAAGCATCGGCTTGGATTCCTTTGGCTAACATGGAATTGTATAAACGTTGTGCTGTAACAATATCATTGGCTTGAGATGCGACATGAATCAAGGTATTAAAGGTGACAACAGAAGGCGATATAGTTGGGCTTTGTTGTTTTTCCATTGACATCATCCATTCCAAAGCTTCAGTCAAATGTCGTCCTCGTTGTTCAGGCACAGTGGCACCACCTATCCAAGACATGACAATATTATAATCCGATAACCTTAAAGAGAATCCTAATTGTTGCATATCCTCCATCAACGCTAGTAATCGATGAAGATTCTTTTGTGTTTTGGGTTCTCTTGCTGCTAGTTGAATTAATCGTCGATAATTAGTGCGTGTCAGTCGAGTATGAAGTTGATGTTGGTATAAAGTAGAATAAAATGGCCATAGCTGATCCAGATTTTGAGTAGAAAGTCCTCGATAAAATTGAGAAAGTGCATTGGTAGTTGCTCTTCCATTACGTTGTTGAGAAGATAAGGGTTGCTGCTCCTGGTGATTAACTGAGAGTGATAAAGGTGACATGAGTTTCTTGTCCAGCAAGGCATTCATACTAGGTCCAGATTCTTTAGTTAGTGTAGTGGTGGTATAATATTGTTGTCCTATTGACCTAGAGTAATGTTGGATTGGTGATCGCTTTGTTGTTATATACCGAAATAGTCGTCGCATTTTGAGTCCTCTTAATTATATATATATATATAATAAGATCAGAGAACAACAAAGGCAAATGAAAAGAGTAAAAGAAAATAAGGTAGGGCAAGGATGAAAATATTTCTCCCGCATTTTTTTTTTTTTTTTTTTTGAAGTGACTTGGAGTGTCATGTCAAGTTGAAACCCAGCTCTACTTTGGTTGATAATGCAAACTATTCCCAATTCATGGCATCCATTACTATTCATCGAAATCATATGATATTACATATCAATACATCATTTGTTTAGCATTTTCCTAATACTTTCACTAATATCTTCCAGAAAGATGATCATATCCAGGTCAATCTATATCATGTTTTGTTTATTCATCCATTAGGTGATTCAAACGAGAGGAGGGATGTACAATACGATTTGTCTGTCTATCCTCCTTTTTTACACGATATCTCTGTGCATTATATGCCGAAACCCCTTTGTTCCCTGGTAATAAATAGGAAGAAAGGAAATGATGGTTAAAGATAGACATGACGACTTTTTCCAGGATGTCATTGCAGAAGGAAAAGGATAATAATTCATGTAAAAACGATATGTTAAAATCCCGCACAGTCTTTTCAAAAATAAATCCTTGTGTTAGTCTATAAACAACTTATTCACCATCACCCCTTAACTCCTTGCTACCAAGTCAATACGAAAAGGTCCAGATTCTTTCTTCTTGTGCCAATGAAAATGGAGACTTTATTATCCTTAATTAAAACAAGTAGTCATAGAAATAAAAAATAAGAAAAAAATAATCATAAATGGTAGGATAAATATGTAAAATGCTCTGAGTACGATAATCATCCCGATGTTTACATTCTTTTATTTTCAATAATAAACAGTAAAAAAAAGTTGTTATTTTTGATAACATGCCTTATCTATTGGTCTTTTTTTTGTGTGTGTGTGAACCAGTTTTTCAGCCACCCGAAAGTAACCATCAACCTGAATGCAGGAAAATCCTTCTGCACTAGTCAGAACAAAGAGATCGCCCTGTGACCATGATAAACCATCAAAGTGATCGCTCCTCTCCCCTTAGTATCGGTTGAGATGATTGCTATCTGTCATTATAGTTATAAAAAGAAGAAGAAGAATCAATTCAAAGGTTACTCATACCTTAAAAAATATATTCTCAAATCAAGAACGTTTGGTTACGCACAGGATGTGGCAAAATTTTAGAAAGAAAAAAAAAATAGGAGTATTCAAGCAGGACTATAGTTGGATTTTTTTTTTTTTTTGATCTTTTCTTTTTTGTTTGTTTGTTTGTCAAGAAACAATGAAAATCCTTGATCTGACACTAAAACTGCCATATCTTTCTCTATCATTTCTTTGTTTTGACAGGTTTTTTAAGTTAGATCATATAAAAAAAGAACACTGATAACAGTGATTCATCATTGACTTTGCTTGAATCCCCAAATGTGTTGAAATCTTATTCCCCTTGCTTATCCTTAGAGTTCCCCTCCCCCTTGAGAGGAAAACAGTACTATACATATATATAAAAGAGGTTCTTTGATTTTTCTTTCTTCCCTTCTTCTTTTTTTTTCGGTCTGATTTTTTTCGCAGTTGCTCCTTTTTTATTCTCGTAATAAACAGGATACTCTCTTCTGTTTATACATACATACATTTTATTACATACAAGTATTAACGAAAGAATTGATCAATATGATATACAACGTATTGGTATTCTCCTGTTTATTATTGATCACAACATTTGTGTCAAGCTATCCTGTACAATTAGACGAATCATCAGCATATCCATCCATACTATCGCCATCATCAACATCATCTTCCGCTCAGTCATCATCTTTTCAATCAATGTCATCATCATCATCGCCATCAACAACATCATTGGAAGATGTACAAGAAGAACGTATTCAAGTAGAATCGTTTGCGCAATTAGTTGCAGCTCATTGGCAATTCGATCATTTGGATAGCATAATGAGTACTAGTCATAAAGAAATGGCTGATCTAATACAAAATCATATAGAAATCGATCTCATACTTCAACCATCGGATGGCACGTCTATTGCTTCAGATAGTAGTCTAACATCATCATCAAATGTACAACAACGACCATTCATGCGACAACGACCAATGGAGCATATGGAGTTTGATCTATTGAAATCACAAATGATGAATGCAATCCAATCGCGTACACAGGGACTTTTACCAGAAATGTGGGATCATTTAGGTGAAGCATTAGGAAGACCAGCCATGGAAGCTTATATACAACAACAATTACGTCTATCCTGTCCAACCATTGACAACAATGATTCGGTAACATTGGATTGTTTACAAGAAAATGCATCGATGCTCACTTTAGAACTAGATACCTATGTACAACAACATTTGATGGATCTTTGGATTCGATTACAGGAAGAGGCTTTGCCGGATTTACTTGATAGTACGGTCAAAGAATTAGAAGAATTAGTGGCGTATTTCAATCAAGACGCTGTTTTCACCACACATCATCATATTTCGTTGAACGTCATACCATGGTCTTTTTCTATATCGTCATCTTATTTGCCTACATCTTTAACTTTGTCTTCCTTGGATGATCATTCACTTTTCTCTGATATTGTTTCTTTGGCCAAACTTTGAATTACCTCCTAACCATCAAGTCTCCTCCCTGTTCTTCTTGTTCACCCCCTCCCTCGCTCCTCTTTTTTTTTTCAAACTCATCTTCTTGCCATTCGGTGCATGTCCTTACCCCATGTTTTTTTCGACTCCTTTAGATGGATTTTTTTTTCTCACCCACAACGATCCCTCTGTTTCTTTTCTCTTCCTTTTGCTATCAAAAGAAGTCCCTGATTATGTATAGCTTTTTCTCATTCGACTTTTTTTTTTTTATGCCTTCCCCTTTCCCCTTTTTTTTTTCCCAGTACATTTCCCTTTTGTATTGTCTCTCTCTCTCTTACTCTCTTACTATCGTTTCTCCCTTTTGAGGAGGGGTGGAAGTGAAGAAAAGAGATCGTCTTTTTTTTTATTTACTGATAATCTTATATATGTATGATGAACTATTTTCATATATTATATAAACGATTTTTTTTAAAAAAAACACTTTATCCAACTGTAACGTATTGTAAATAGATTCATTATTACCACATTAATAATAAAAAAAATCATCATCTACCATTTTTAGCACCTATCTTAGGAAAAAAAAATCCTTTTTTTTTTCTTAGAAAAAAGAAGGGACATTGTTGTCAGAATCAAGTACGTGGATGCATCATTATTTATATACATGTTGACGATGCATTTCCCCTTTGATTCGAACATATGATAAAAAATGAGACTTACATATCTTTATTCTATATGTTTTTACGCAGGGGATCCTTTTTCAAAATAAACAATCTCTTTTATCTATTTTTGCAGTAGGAGGTAGATCCGATGTTTACCATATCCTCAATATTCTGGTTCTCTCCAAGTTTAGTTTTCTTTCTCTTTTCTGCGATGTGATCAGAGACCTATTTGCATTGAGATTCAAACATATTTGCGATGATCTCTTTTTTTTTATATTACAGAAATGGATGATTAGCTGGTTGATTATGACGATCCAATATGTAAAAAAGTATCAAATAATCCCTTGCGTAACATTGCCAAATCGTCTTTAATATCAAAAAATCTTTGATGACCGGCAGTCTATACTACAAATTATCAATAAACATGCACACGCTATTTTTTCCTTTTACAGAGGTGTACTTACAAATCGTATTCTTTTCTGGACCCTGAACAAATTCTTCATTACCATTGTTATCGGAAATTCAATACAAAATAGACTACAGCTACTTATGAATTGGTTTGGTCTCACTGAGAAAAAGGTGCTTCAAGACAGTCATTTTTTTTAAGCTTGGGAATGGATATTTTTTTTTTTAGTATTATCAGTGGAAAAAAAAGAAAAAGAAAAACAAGAATCCTCTTATAAGAAAGCAGTTTTTGCCGCCAACGAGACTTGGGGGGGGTCATTCCAGGTACCTCCATGGATGCTGAAATACGTATAGAGCCAAACGTTTTGATCGCATGAGAGCAAAAAAGATGTCTTCCGAAAGAGGATACTATTTTTTTACTGGATGGTTTTGAGACCAAAAAAATGCGTGTAACATCATGCATCAATAAAATTCCCCGCCAAAGCAAAAAAAAAAAAAAAAAAAAAAAATCTTCCCACTGGGCGTTTTCTTACCCTTGTTATTCCTTTTTTTTTTTCTCTTTGTTTTTTTTTTGTTTTTTCTTACAATAAACTAGACACGACGAAACTTTACTTTCTTGCTTCTCTCCGACTATTATTCGAAAATTTTAAAGAAAACTTTCTATCTATTTATCAATGGTAAAGAAACAAACTTAACTATATAAAGTTAAAAAAAAGGAAGAGGAAAACCATACGTTCTTGACTCTCAAGTTTTAACTTTTTTCTTCATAACACTATATTTATTATAACACGACTACAATATAAAGTCCGTGATAGATAATAACACTCAGTCTCGGAAGTTATCACTGTGTTTTCACTTGTCTTCATTATTTCCTGGTTGCCAAGACAATCAGACCACTTTATGTGACTCTTTGACACCAAGGTACCCCCACCAAATTTTCTTAACAAGAAAAAATAGTGAGGATAATAGAAGAAACGAAAAAAAAAAGATTTTCTGATATATTTTATTAAATAATTCATGTAGAATGACTCACTTTTTTGGAAAAGTGGCAAACTATTACCGAATTTATGCCCAAGTCAAACAAGAGGATAAGAATATACCAAATCTTTTAAAGTGGTTAGATCCTTCTCATACTTATTTTGAACCATGTAAAAAAAAAAAAAAAAAAAAAAGATTTATTGATTTTTTTTTTTGTGATAAATGAAAAACTAACAATGATTTACTTGTATCGTTATTTTTTTTTTAGATGGTGAAACTCCTCCTGATCAAAGTAAAACTATACATATAGGTGATGAATTGAATGATAATGATTTAGAAATGTATATGTACCATCGACCTTGTAAGTTTATATATCTAAAATTATCTGAATAATTATAATAAAAACTTGTTTTTATTGTTTACTGTAGTACGTAGAAATCATCACACATCTACTTCCGATACTGCCAATCATCCTTCTCCATCTTCCTCACTTGAAGGTAAAAGGAAAAAAAAAAGATATGCTCATCCTAATACTTTTTTTTTTCTGATCCTTTCAAAACTATATTAGATTATACCCACAATACTGATCAAGAAGATTTGAATGCTTTGGCTCAAGTAAAGTAAAGAGAGAGAGAGAGAGTGGGGGGGTGGTAAAGATGTATGCGTTTCATCAATGATAGTTGATACTTAACTCCTTTTTTTTTGCATGGATGAGTAGGGACTGATATCAATATATGAAAAATCGCAGTTAAATGAAGAGGAGGATAAAATAAGGATAAGACTGATGAGATGGAAGGCGCAAATATTAGCTGGTGTGACATGTACATTTTCAGGCGTGATTCCTAATGATCAAGATGCTACGCGGAGTAGATTTTGGAAACTAGCAACAAGTTATGGAGCGCATTGTTGCTTAGATTTGACTGGTAAAGTGACTCATCTGATTGCGTCCAGGACAGGTACAACTAAAGTCAACAAAGCAAAACACTACCAACGTATTCACATTGTATCATTGGCATGGCTTTTGGAATCCGTATCGCAATGCACCATGCAAGATGAAACTTTATACCCTTTGATCTCTTCTTTACCTGCATCTGCTGTGGTTACTCCTGTCTCAACACCATTGGGTGACGAAGATGAATTGTTGCTACTAGAAGAAAAGGAAGAAGGATTGTCAGAGAATAAGTCAAAGACAGATAAATGGAAACAGCAAGATATGAGAGAAGACGGTACAGCAACGGAAACACCATCAGTCAATACATCTAATGGTACTACGTCTAATCATGAAGATAACAACAATCTTGATCTGGAAACAGAATTCCATGATATTGATCATATCGATTGGGATGAGGCTGACAAGGAAGTCAATGATTATATGAATGAAAGTGGCACGGATGATAATTATTCCTCAGGTCCTGATAGGTAAAAAAAAAAAAAAAAAAAAAAAAAATTATTCATGGTATATGAAGTATCTTACATTCTTGTTTTGAGTAGCCCATTACCCATAGGAGCGGTTATTAATAATAATAACAACAACAATAATAATAGAAAGAGGAAAAGACCCAATGCTTCATCCTTAGTATTTCGACGTGCCAAAGCTGCTGTAAGAGGTCCATCACGATTATCAAACATGGTTAGAGTAAATGATACGGGTACAAGTGACGAAGATGAAGAAAATAATCAAGAAACAGGATCACAAAAGCAACATAGTTATAAAAGAGATGATGATGATGATGATGATGATAATTCCTCATCTTCTTCTTTAAGTAGTTTTGCGGGGGAGCTAGATGATGAAATTGAATAATAAAAATAAATAAAAAAAAACCTTTTTAAAAAAAATAGCGAACGATGATAGAAACGAGAAAGAGAAAATGAAAAACGAAAATGAGTATGAACTATCATGTTACTATTGTTTAAATCCAGTTGGCAATTCCGTTATTCCTTTTGTGGAATGGATGGAGTAGCAGGATATATATGCATATATAAAGTGAGTCCAGATGATCACACACGAAAAGTCAACATGATAATAACTTTTTCTTAATTGTAATATACAACAAAGAGCTTTATTTCAACAATTAAATTCAATAGTGATAACATAATGAATTCCAAATATCCTTGATGACAGGTCTGACATCGATTTTCTACAAATTTACTATGGGATTCAGATCAGGCGATTGGGTTGGCCAGTTTAATTTGGTGATGAATGATTTCCACGTTGTAATCTTTGGTTTGCGCCCTTCTTTTCAAAGAGGTAAGTGACAGCTGTATTGTCAGTAAAAAGTGTAAAGGATTGATCCAATAGAAATTTTTTTTTTCGTTTGAAATTGGTTTGATTTGGTCCATATTTCTCGAATAGAGCGAGCTTTGTCTTCAAGCCATAGGCAATTGCATCTCCCTTGGGAAGATCATCCACTTTTGAAGATAGAGCCTACCGTCCAGCTTTGTGTTCTTTAGCAAACCGCAAACCTATTTTTTTTTTTTTTTTTTTTGGATCCTCCTGATCTTTTCTTGCGTTCGAATGTGCCACGATCTTGATGATGTTCAATCTTGAAAATTTGAGATCTGGAGGTATTGAATTCATCTTTAATTTTCTCGACAGCTATTTTTTTCATCGCGTAATTTTCAGTGAGTTATCAAAATCATTTGACAACATATTGAACAGTAGGAAAAGCGGAAACCAAACTAATACCAATAGAGTACTTCGTCCTGCTGAACTATCTGTTCAGTGAGAAGAATATACAGTTAAACGGTAAAAAAAAAAAAAAAGATTGACGTTTATTTGAGGAGAACGTCCCTGTTCACATTATTTGTCCTCAGACTAAAAAAAACCTCCCAGAATCAGTTCACAACCTTATTTGTTTGAAACCAATGATTAAAGTTCCGCGTGTAGAAAATGGATCTACCGACCACACTTTCAATGGCGATGATACGTTTGGGAAAGTCCTCCGAAAGTTTTTTCCTTTTCCATATACCTTTCCTTTTTTTTTTTCTTTTTTTTCTTTTGTTCTTTTCTTATTTCTTTTTCCTTCTCCTTCCGTTCCTTTCTTTGTTATTTATTTTGACTTATTGTGAAAGGAAAAGGTGAAGAAAGTTATAATATGGTCAAAGACGACGAACGACAACCGTTGTTAGGTGATAGTAGTCGACAACAAGAACTACTTGGATACGGAATAGATGCTGAAAAGTTGACAAAACTCATCGATCCCAAGAATCCTAAACTGTTACGTGAATTAGGAGGAGTGGAACGAATATGTAACCTACTACGAGTTGACCCGAGTATAGGTTTATCAGCTGATGAAGATAGAGAACGATCGTCTTCTATACCGTTTATAAAGCGACAACAAGTGTTTGGTCGAAATATTTTACCACAAGCTATATCAAAATCCTTTTTACAGTTACTTTGGGCAGCTTATAATGATAAAACACTTAGTATGTTTGATGAATAATAAGATGATGATTTAAATTTAGAAACATGAGAAATTAATATATATAATTTTTTTTTCTTGACATATAGTCATGTTGACAATTGCTTCTATTGTATCTTTGGCCATTGGTATCTGGGAAGATTGGTCTCCGTCACACAACCCCGATGATCCCCGTGTAGGATGGTAATCATTTTAATTTTTTTTTTTTATTACTTGGAAGGAACTGAACATTCTTTTTTTTTATTATTATTATTATTATTATAATTGTGTTACACAGGGTGGAAGGAACGGCGATCCTTGTAGCAGTGTTTACAGTGATTTTGACAAATGCAATTAATGATTATGAAAAAGAAAAACAATTCAAGAAATTAAATGCAAAGAAAGAAGATCGATTGGTCAAAGTCATTCGAAATGGTCATGAACATGAAATCAGTGTTTATGATCTTCAAGTCGGTGATATTCTCATATTGGAACCTGGTGATATTTTACCCGTTGATGGTCTTTTTTTAGATGGTCATAATGTTGCCTGTGATGAATCATCTGCCACAGGTGAATCGGATACCATGAAAAAAAAGGCTTTTCCCAAGAATGACGATGGTAATGATAATAGTATTGATTGTTTCTTATTATCTGGTTCCAAAGTGTTGGAAGGTGTGGGACGATGTGTTGTGATTGCTGTTGGTGAACATTCTTTCTTTGGTAAAACGATGATGTCTATGCGTGGTCAAGAAACAGAAGGTACTCCTTTACAAGTCAAGTTGGATATTCTCGCTGAACAAATTGCTAAACTTGGATTTGCCGCTGCCCTTTTGATGTTATTGACGTTGATCATCAAGTATTTGGTACTTTCCTCACTTGAAAATCATTGGCCTTCTAGTGAACAAATGGCTGCTACTTTAGTCCGTATTATCATCCAAGCCATTACTATTATTGTCGTCGCTGTACCTGAAGGGCTTCCTATGGCGGTCACTATGGCCTTGGCCTTTGCTACTACCCAGATGCTTAAAGAAAATAACTTGGTACGTGTCCTTTCAGCATGTGAAACCATGGGCAATGCCACAGCCATCTGTTCTGACAAGACTGGTACTTTGACTCAAAATGTGATGTCTGTGGAGAAAGGTACAATGCCAGCATATATTTCTTTTGACAATCAAGAACAAGGCTCCATCAAACAATGGCGTTCTAAGTGTAATGATGAAAAACTGGTGGAAACGATCGTACAAGGTATAGCCATTAATTCAACTGCTTTTGAAAATAATGATGAAAATGGTCAACGTAGTTTTATTGGCTCCAAAACTGAATGTGCTCTCTTGAGTTGGGCTAAACAACTTGGTTGTGATTATGAACAAATTCGTCATGATTTAAATGTTGTTCAAGTCTATCCTTTTGCTTCGAAACGTAAGACTATGTCTACTGTTATTTCTAATAACATCACTGGGAAAGGCTACCGCATGTATACCAAAGGTGCTTCAGAAATTGTGTTGGATCATTGTACTCAATATATCGATCAACATGGAAAACCTCATCGTTTGGATAAGGAAGGTATTGTTAAATGGCAAGGCATCATTAGTGATTATGCAAATCAAGCTTTACGTACTATTGCTTTGGCTTACAAGGATATGAAAACATCGGAAAATCTCAACAAGGCAAAGGGAAATCATGGAAATAAAGACAATGATAATGATGATAATGATGATGATGAAGAAGAACCTGATTTAGATAACTTGATTCTTATTGGTGTGGTAGGTATTATGGATCCTTTACGACCTGGTGTAGTAGAATCTGTACAAACTTTTCGACAGGCAGGTGTATTTATACGTATGATTACTGGTGATAATATTGATACTGCCAAAGCGATTGCTCGAAAAGCAGGCATTTTGACTAAAGGTGGTGTAGCAATAACTGGACCTGAATTAAGAAATATGTCAGTGGAAGAACAACGGAAGGTGATTCCTCGATTACAGGTATTAGCACGATCTTCTCCTACAGATAAGACAGTAGTAGTGACTAGATTACAAGAACAAGATCAAGTAGTAGGGATGACTGGCGATGGTACTAATGATGGACCTGCATTAAAAATGGCGGATGTTGGTTTTGCAATGGGCATCACTGGCACTGAAGTATCCAAGGAAGCATCCGATATTATTTTGATGGATGATAATTTCAATTCGATTTTAAAGGCTCTTTTATGGGGTCGTGGGGTGAATGATGGTGTACGAAAATTCTTAACTTTTCAACTTACCGTTAACGTTGCTGCTGTGGTATTGTCCTTCGTTAGTGCATTGACATCGGATACCTCGGAAAGTATTCTTAGTGCCGTTCAATTATTGTGGGTCAATCTGATCATGGACACCTTGGCTGCTTTAGCATTGGCGACCGAACCTCCTAGTCATGATTTATTGCAACGAAAACCCATCTCAAAGTATGCACATTTGATCAATTTCCCAATGGCCAAAATGATCATTGGTCAAGCCATCTTTCAAATAGCCATCAATCTAGCACTTCTCTATTCCGGTTATGCTTTATTTCATTTGGATCCTGCTCATGATGAAAAAGTACTCCGTACTATGTTGTTCAATGTGTTTGTATTTCTACAGATCTTTAATGAACTCAACTGTCGTCGTATTGATAATACTACTTTGAATGTGTTCAGTAATATTCATCGTCATTGGATCTTTATTCTTGTTCAAATATTTGTGATTTTTGGTCAATATTTGATTGTAACATTTGGTGGTATTGCTTTCAAGACTGTGCCTCTCACTGCATCTCAATGGTGCATCACTATCTTGTTGGGTTCTCTCTCATTACCAATTGGCACAATCATCCGTCTTCTTCCTGATTGTTGTGGTTGTGAACGCCGATTCAATGAAGATGCGACACCATTGGCTTCTTATTCAAGAATGCATTGGGAAGGTGCCATCGGTGATATTCGAAAAGAAGTACGCATCCTATCCTTATTAAGACGTAGTAATCATCATCACCATCACTCTCGTAGTAACAGTAACACTAGTATTAGTAGTAATACCTATCATAATCATAATCATCATCGACGTACCAACAGTTTGAATACGCAACCCACTATTCTTCCTTCACATCGACAACAAAGACAAAATCTTACCTCATCTCCTATTCCACCAGAATTACCTCCTCGACCTACTACTTACGGCACTACAACTGCCTCAAATGATATCTCTTCAGGTACTTCCAGTGGTGGTAATCGGTTCGCTAATTTGGTCAATAATGCGAAACAATATCAACTTGCCGCTGAACAAGCCAATCAACGTCAACAGCAAAAATCATCTAAAAAATAAAAAGTAGACATTTTATTTATTTATTTATTTATTTAAATATATATACATATAATTCATCAATAAATACACTTTTGTTTTAGCATTTGACTCTCTACTTTTGAGAAAAAATTATTGAAGAACACGGGGTTTCAATGTCTGACCCATAACAGGACAAGACAGGGTCGCCCTTGGCTTAGGAAGGACAGAAGAAAGCTGCGGGGAGGACTTAAATTTTTTTTTTTTTCATTTTCTTTCATACTTGTGTCTATCTCCCCCTACTCGTCTCCTTCCTTTATTTTCTTGCATTAAACATGAATTTTGGTGCCTTTGCCCGATCTTTAACACGACTTTATAGTACTTCATCAATAGAAGGTTTGACGGCTGGAGAATCACAGCTTTATAATAAATTGCAAAAAGCATTTGATCCTATTCGACTTAGAGTGGCCGATGTATCTGGTACGTCAAGAAGAAGACTATTTTCAATAAAAAAACAAAATAATTATACTAATGTATTTTATCTGGTTTTTATAAAGGTGGTTGCGGTTCAATGTATGCTATTGACATTGCTTCAAAGTCATTTGAAGGGAAATCTATTGTAAAACAACATCGTTTGGTGAATGACTTGTTGAAGGAAGAAATTAAAGATATGCATGGATTACAGGTAAAAGTGATTGTTTATGAAAAGAAAAAAAAATCATATGCAATCTTTACTAATCAATTACTATTATTATTATGATTAATAATTATTATTAGCTTCGAACATCTAGCAAATAATTTTACCCTTTTTTTTAAAAAAAAAAACTCCTGTAATGTAATAAAAACTCGATATTATTTTCCCAAAAAATGATCTTATATATTTAATGAAATAACTTTTTTATTATTATTATTATATGAAGTTGGGGAATAAGGAGAATAATATGAAATAAATTTATATATGAAAAATGTTTAGATGAAAATGATACTATGCTTGAAAAATGACAGATTGATAATAATGCTTTTTTTTCTTTTTTCTTTTTTCTTCGTTGTTGTTTTTCAAAAGATGGAAAGTGGGGTAGCACTAGGAAATTGACGACGACTAGCTAAATCCAATTTCAATTCAGTCAAATTATCTTCCAGGGCAACGAAAATGGAACGATAATCAGGGGAAAAAGTAATGCCAGCAATATGAGCATCCATATCCAATGGGGCTAAACGAATGATTTGCCGACGATCAAAAGTTCTGGTATCAACAATATTCACTTGTGACACGTGTTCACTATAAATCATCAAATCCAATGGTCCTTTGCTAAAAGCGACGCATCTAGCTGCCTTCCTAGTTTTTCTTGTCTAAAAATAAATGAAATCAACATTACCATGCATTAAAAAAAATTTTTTCTTCCTTTTTTTACCTCCGATGACACTAGTTGACACAATTTTTTTTGAGTGACAACATCAAATACATTAACTTGACCATCCTGACTTGTAACAGCAAACATAGTAGAAGAAGAATTCCATGCACAGCCTAAACATGGTTCATTGGATACTATTGAATGATTTTATGTTAGTTTTCCGGAGTAATCTCTTAATCCTTTTTTTTTTTGTACCTTTATATGTTGATTCTAGTTCGTATTGATCACCATGAATAGAATATTGATATACATCACCAGTATCACTTGTAGCCAACATGAATTTTCCATCCATACTAACAGAAGCTGATAAGAGAGAGATGTTATTACCCTTTGATCCTCTTCAATTAGAAATTTATGATTACTTACTATGATTGACGGCAGAAGGTAATTCCAACACGGTGATGCGTTTCATAGATGGAATGGAATAGATGTGAATGGTATGATCGTTATTGCAAATAGTAACTCGAACATCTTGATCGATTTTTGATAATCCAATAGCGTTATTCATTCCTGGTCCAATGTTGAATACATCAGAAGACCTATTCACGATAAATCACCCCATTAATCATCAAACCTTTACTCATATCATCTTTTTATTTACCAACTATCATCCATGGATCGTACCAAAGCCAAGCCTCTAGGACCTGCAACTGCAACATGATCATATCTAAAAAAGGGAGAACACAATAAACCTTGAATAAATCATTCTTTCCCACACTTTCTTCCCTACAATATATTCGAGGATTAATTTTACCTTGTATCTATAGACATGGGTGCAAAAGGTAAATCAAGTGTTTTGACAATTTCTTTTGTTTTAGTGTTGTACTAATATAGTAAATCATTTCAGTAAATTGAAGTGGACCTTTTTTTTTGGTAATAACTTACGAATTGAATAGTATTATGACGAGGTAAGGCAACAATATGAGAAGAAGGACTAGAAATCAAGTTACGTAATTGCCAATGTTGAATAGTAGTTTCAACTTGATGAACAATTTGGCGGTCATTGTATGTAAAATTTCCATTGTTTTGTCTATATTCAACAACAAAAAAAATTTTTTTAATTTCTACGTTCATTGATGATGGATTGGATGTCACTTACACAACTGGTATAGGTTGAGCAACTGATGGTGTCTGTTTCTTTAAATATAATGACATGATCTTTTACAAAAAAAAAAAAAAAAAAAAAAAAAAAAAGAATAAAAAAAAAGGTGATGAAAAAAAAAATGAAAAAAAAGATAAAATACAATAAAAAAGGCTTTTTTTAAAAAAAGAAAAAAAAATGCCATGAATTTACCCTGTATCACAAAAGGTGCACCAATCAAATGGATGGTAACTCTCCGGACATTCTGTGAATCTTATTTTTCTGTTTGTAACTACTTGATCATGTGATCTTGACCTTCCCACCCTCCACGATGTTGTCCCCTTGAATTCCCAATCATGGTATTTCTGTTCAACATTTTACAAAAAAAGAAATCAAACTAACGAAAAAACCTTTCATGCAATTCTGTGTTTGACACTTTTTTTTTTTTTTTTGATGATCAATCGAGGAGTTTGAAAAAGACATAATAAAAATAGAAAAAAGCTCGTTTTTCTTTTTTTATTTCGAAAAGAAAAAACACATGTTTAATCTACCATAAATCTTCAGGACGACTACGTCTTGATGATGATGATGAAGTTTTCTTTTCTACCCATAATGACATATCATCTTCTATTCTAGTCTCTTGATGACGATGACGATGTCGATCTTCCCGATGATGGTGTTTCCTTTTCTTCTTTCGGTCATCCTTCTTTTTCTTGTCTCCAGATTTTCTACTCTTTTTCTTCTTCTTTGGATCCTTGGAATAACTCCGTTTTCTTTCATCTGAATGTTTCTTTCTATCATCATCATCATCCTCTTCACTAGCAGATGAGGCTGATTCTGAAGATACTGACACATGACGCCGACGATGGCTACTAGAACTCGCTGATGAGAGTCGTGGTTGAAAAGGTGTCACTAGAATTTGTTCAGATTTGATTTTGGTATCTTGAGCTTCACGTTTAGTAAATATTGGTCTAAAAGGTGTGTCACTCGTTTCGGGTAAAGGGGTTACTTCCGTGGGTGTTTGAGAATAATCTTCTTTTTCCATATCTGGTAATGGTGGTCCAATAAAATCATCATCCTCTTCTTTTTGTTGTTGTTGTTGTTGTTGTTCGTTAGAAATAGATGAATCTATGATCATAGATGTTCTTTCTTCTTTTTCTTCTTTTTCTTCTTCTTCCTCTTCATCATCTGAGTTTTCAAAGATGGCTTTAAAAATATCCATGGCAGGTCGCTCGTAATTTAGATCTTCTTCATCACCTTGTTGTTGTGCTGTTGATGATTCCGTTTTTTCACCGTCATTTGGTCTGGCCGAAGGTTTAGGAATAATTGAATGTAACGCAGGGTCATCCGCTTGTGTATCCATCAAAGCCAAAACAGGACGCACAGAACCATTATTCCCATCTTCTTTATTAACTTGTTGTTGGGGAGAAATCATTGCAGCCATCACTTTTTCATTCAGTGCCACGGTCGATCCTGCCATAGTCCTATGTCCTTGTTCTTGTGGTATATGATCAGGATGTGGATTACGTACATTGAATCTTTTACATAAAAGCCGATTAGGATAGAATGGTTTGATGGTTCTGGTCAATGGACCAAATAAGTTCATAGCTGCAGCTTCAGCTTCTTGCGATAACTACGAATGTAAAACATAAAAGTTAAAATAAAAGTAATAGATGATCTGACATATAAATATTCTTTTTTTTTTCTTTTACCTCTGGCTTGGGTTGATCTGTCTTTTGTTGTTGCCTTAACACTTTTTCTTTTTTCCATTGCTCCTCCGTTTTCAAACCACCTTCAAAAGAAATTTGTTCAACATTGCCACCACTGCTGCCCACAAAACTAGTAGCAGAGCTAGAAGAAGAGGTAAATCTTCCACTCATCATACTACTGATAGGACGGAAGATTCTTGCCGCTTTGATAAATTCATCCAATTCTTTCATTCCAGATTCAAAAGTCATACCAGGAGGAATATCGAATGTTGTCATTCTGTTTTTTATATTATCACCTTCGAAGAGAGACGGTTGATCACTTTCAAATTTGGCAGCTGTTTCCAGATAATGTCGATATCGTGCTTGTTTTTCAGGTGTTTCACCAAAAGGCATGAATCCTCGCAATGCTAGTTGTGCTACATCCTTTGGTACCAATGAAACTTGTAATTTTGATTCATCCACTGGTGGTGCATTTGCCAACTTGACCATATGTGCTGTTTGTGCTAACCTTTCCTTAGATTTTGATGACATATAATCAAACACAGATCTGGCTTCAATAGGTTTCTCCCCTAGCATTGCACCTCGTGCATCCACTGTTATTGATTCTTGTTGTTGAGATGTCAAATTTTTTTTCCTATCGCTCATATTGGTTGATGGAGAATGCATTTCAACAAAATCCTTTGGTACTGATGGAGGTGCATACCTAATTAAAAAAAAAAAAAAAAAGAAGTGTCAGATTCTATTTTTTTTTTTAAAAAAAAATAAATAAATAAATTATTATTATTCCTTACCATTTACCCAAGACTTGCGCTTGAATGGATACATGGAAACCTTTGAGTGGTAAATGACCATCAGAACAACGAACTTTTTTCCTTTGATCATCTTGATTAGTATCCTTCATATATTTTCGCTTGTTATAACTTTTCGATAATTCCAGAGTGTCTTCATCTTCATAAAGTGTATGATGATATTTTGCAAAAGAGCCCATTTGATCATCATCATATGGCATTGTATCATCATTTTCGTCTTCAAATACACCCACACCAAATCCTATACGTGATGAAGTTGATTGTTTTACTGAAATGTTCTCTTTTAAATGTTGTTGTTGATCCAATTGATGTTGCCGAAATCGCCGCATTTCTGCTACTTGAGGTACATGCGCTACTAAATCGTAACCTAATCCGAACGTATTGGTTTTTGGTTGATAATCCACAATTGGCGTATCCTTAGGAGCCAATGTCATTTGTTGTAAAGATAAAGAAGAATCATCTTGCCACCCCTCTTCACTATCATCGTCCATCATTGATGGTTTATAACTAGTCCTTGGTCCTATTCCTTGTCCTGGTTTCCAACCCATCTTTCGAAGAAGTTTCATACCCGTTGAGTCTTGTGTTGGTGCCACCAGATTCATTAAATCTGATACTAGAAATGATAATCCACTATTATCACTTCCTACTTTCGCTTCTTCCTGACGACGTCTGCTCATTTCCTTCTCAGTACTACCTAAAGTATCAAATTCCTCTGTTGCCACTAATCGTTTTGAGGTAGCCAATTCCTATCATTATATAGATAAAAAAAAAAAAGGAGTAAGTACCGCTTAGGTATATTTCTCATTACTTTCTTTGTTGTCATTGTTGTTTTTATTTTACTTGTAAATCTTCTTCATCCATATAGTCCTCAACTCGTTGCGTCTGTTGTTCACGGCGAGAAGTTCTTGAAGATACAAACTGACTTGGAGTCCAACCTATGTAGTAATATCATAAAGGAAAAATAATATAAAGAGTAAGTAGAGTTGATTATTGAATATGAGATTCAATCTTATACCTTCTTTTGATCCCACTGTATTATAATAGCCTGCTGAAAACCCTCCAGTGAAAGCTCCATGGAATCGTCTTCGTCCTTGTTCATCGCGTGCTTCTTGCTTCCATACAGGTTGGAACTGACCTGCGTCTGTAACCCCAATACGTTTATCTCGTTCGGTTTGTTCTGGAAAAGGTGTACCGAAAAAGTTATTACTTTCTGACATAACTTTTTTAAGTTTGGAATATAAAAAGTAATAAAATAAGTTTGAAAGTAATTTCAAAAATGTATAAGTTCCTCACATGGCTTGTTTCACACCGGTCCTCTCTCATTGATTCTCTTACTCTTCTCCCTGCACAATCCGGACCACTCTCACAAATAAATTTTATTCGCCATTTGAAAGTTGTATGATATTATAGGAGAAAAAAACAAAAAAAAAAAAAAAAACAGACCAGGTGAAAAGTTACCTTCTTTTTTATGTTGATAAATACTCTTCATCATGCAGCATATTCACGTCAAGTCATCAAAGTCTAAAAATTATAGAAAACCTATACCAAAAGCAAGTAAATCAAGACTTGTTTTCAAATATTCATCTAGTCCAGATGGTGTTGATACTAATCTACTCGTGTTGCTTCATGGTCTTGGTGATACTCTTCAGCCTTTTGCAACACTTGGTCAGAAACTTCAGTTACCTCAAACAGCAATACTAGCAGTTCAAGCTCCAGAACTTATTCCGTATATGGATTGTGAGAGTTATCAATGGTATCCTAGTTTTGATATGTTAACTGGTGAAGGTAATAAACATATGCCTAGATATTTATAATATATCTTGACCATTTTCACTAACAAGTTTACCTGTCTTTCGTTGACAATTATTTTTATCCATTTTTAGTTCTTTCTCCTGATGATCCTAGACAAAAGAGTGGACTCTTAAAAACGAGACAATTGTTGACAGTGTTATTAAAACATTTGATAGAAGATTGTCAATACCCAGCATCGCAGATCTTTTTTTTCGGGTTTTCTCAAGGTGGTACAGTGGCGTTGGATCAAGTATTAGAAGGTGATATACGAAATTTGGGTGGAGTGATTAGCATCAGTGGATATCCCTTCATTACAACAAATGATTTGAAAAACACTTTATATGATGGTCCTATACTAATCACTCAAGGCGACAAAGATCCAGTGATTGGAACGAGATCACAAGCAGAAAAAATGGTATATTAAAAAGGATCATTTTTGAGAGCAATGGAATAATAGATTTATTTATTCCTTTTTTTTTTTTTTGTTAGTTTAACGGGATAAAACAACGATGTGCTTCTACTGCGCAGATCAAACAGTTGTTTATTTCTGGAAAAGGTCATCATATGCCCACTACTGAACAAGAATGGAGATCCATTCATTCTTTTTTCGCAAGCTATATGCCTCGACGTAACTTGGAGCTAGAGAACATGGCAGATGTATATGAAATTAATACTACTAGTGGATCTGCGTAAAATTTTCCGAATAGAAGCATAAATAAACATATTCTAGACATTTCAGTCGTATCGTAGATGTCCTGAATACTGAATTTTGTATTGAATTGGAAGAAGAATTGGCAAATGATGGTATCGGTATCAACAGGCAGGTCGTCTCGACATTGGTAGCGAAAAATTTGCGATGATCATTTCCTCTGGTTAGATTGATGGGTTCATGAAGCGTCATGGTTTTTTCAATGCTCATCTAATGTGTGATGGAACTGGTTCCGTGGATATGACAGCACCGGAATTACAGGCTAGAATACAAGAAATCTAGATAATCATCTCCAATTACCCTTCTGATCAAGTCTACAATTTTGATGAATCAGCTCTATTCTGGTCTGTTCGAACTCTATGGAAATTATTTAATAGAATTTATGTTTAGAAATAAGGCCTCACTAATGGAAGGTTTGGTAGATGCATTAAAAATTTAAGTTTATTTTTTTGATTTATCCATTTGTTTATGCAATAAAGAACCTCTTTTCCTATCATCACACCCCTGTTGGCTTGAAATTCAGATTCGACTATTTTTATTTTGGTTTAATGTATCAAGCTGGATTAAGTGTAACATGGGCCTTTGATCCCGTCTGCCTCTTTTTTTTTTTTTTTTTTTTTTTTTTGTCTACATTGATATGTATCTTCCTTGATAGTCATTATAGACAATCAGCATAATGATTTTCAAAGTCCGTATTTTATTTTATCTTTTTAGATATTTCTTCTAGTTCTTTCTTTTCTTTATAACAACTTTAATCATAGTATATCAATTAGTGATTGTACTAGTTATATTTTTTTAGTTAATAAGACTTTTGTTTTTATTCCTACTACTTTATTACACGTCAATGTAATTGATTCCATCTTCTGACGTATTTTTTATTCTTTGTTTGTGAATGAATTCTTTATTTTTATTTTATGGATATGCTTACGGAATACGTCGATACGACACCGACATTATATGGTCTCCCTATGCTGAAAATCAGGCGGCTATGTGCACCTCTGAAAATCAAGTTCAATGAGATAATGATGTATCAAAGGTGGTGGATATCATTTGCTACACTGTCTTGTTCGGTGTGCCTGGACCATCAACGGCAAAAACAAAAGCTCTGATTCGTCGTGGACTCACTTTCAATGCCGCTGCCAAAAGAAAGTATTACCAAGATATGGACTCTGAATCTGACTCGTCGTTGGAACCGCTACCAAAATTGAAGAGAAAAGCAAAGGAAACAACCCACATGGAAAAACAAGATGATCTTGAATTTGTGATCAACTACCGGCGAAATTTGACTGGAAAAATGAACTGGAAAATGTGCTTAGAAGCTGGTCATAAAAAGAAACTTAAGCCAACGTTACTCCAACGGAGAATCATCCGAAGCTTCTTCTACAACGCTACCAAGAAATGATTTATGCCCATTAGCTTTTTTACCCTTTTCTGTGTATAGTATAGCATATTCACTAATTACAAAAAAAAAAAAAAAAAAAAATATCAAAAAATAAATGATCCCTTCAATTTTTATGAAGTTTCGTGCTCTGTATCATTTTTTCCATCATGATGCCGTTATAATGACCAAGAACAATTTAATTATTAGACCTGAGATACCAATCTGATCATTAATAACTATGCTGTAATCTTCTTTCTTTATTTAAACAACGAAAATTAGAATAAAATTTTTACTATAAATAAAATATTTTTTTTTGTTCCTTGATCGGATTTTGAGTAAGTAGAGAGTGGGGGAGGGAGGGCCGTTATTAATGATCAGATTGGTACCTCAGGTCTAATAATCAATTCAACGTCGAATGGGATTCTCTCAAGAATTACATGAGACCGTCGATACCAATCTGATTATTAATAACTATGCTGTCGTATCTAGACTGATATTATTGTGTAACTTTAAGATCTCAGCTTCTTGTCATTTAAGATTGGATTAGAATAGTTTTTTCTCTTTTTTTCTCTCTCATTCAATTCTTATTGAAATAAACTATATCAACAGTCTCATCGTATTTTCGATTTGTCTTTTATTATTATTTTTATATTTGTTAATCCAATCAACTATCTTATTTTTTACGATGAATTCTAACAACAACAACAACAACAATAACAACAACATCAACATCAACAACGACAATATGTCGGATACCTCTGCTCCTTTCTCCATTAATGGCACCGATTTTGTCAACAACATTATCAACAACCATTTGGAACGTGATGTCATTATGACAGAACAAAACCATCAACCCTCTTCCACTTTTCAAAGTGGTTTGGGGGCCTCAACCCATGCTTCTCCTGAAGCTAGGGCCGAGTGGGCTGTCGCTGTGCTTACGCACAAGGCAGAAGAGTCTGAAGTGCTCTACACTCAAGCACTTGCTCAATTGGATAATTCTGATGAAGCTCGTGCCCATGTTCAAAAACTTTTTGAACAAGCACAAAAGGATCAACAAGCCGTCGATGATGGTCGGGCTATGTATGAACGTAAGTTCCCACATAACCCAAAGTTCTTTTCTTTCGAACGCCGTAGAGCTGAAGAAGAAAGAACAAAGGCTCAGATGATGAATCGAAGCCTCGTTGTTCCCAAATACCTTCCTCAATTAAAGCTGGTCAACAGTTATGAGGTTGGTAAAGAAATAAATGACAAGTCGTTTACTTCGACCAAACATTTTTTCAGTACGCTGGAAAAAATTTTCATTTCTCATGGTTTACAACCTGAAAATGAATTTCGTCGTTTGTTTCCAAGATGTCTTGACGGCGCTCAAACTTTCTTTTTTGAAGGTTTATTAAAGAAAATAAATGAAAAGTCAGATGGTGAAACAGAATGGGCTTTCATAAAACGTCAATTTATTGACAAATATGATACTCCAGCTCAAAAGTTTAATGCTTGGCATAAACTTGTGTCGATCAGACAAAATTCTAAAACCATCGACGAACATAATAAGATGTTCGGTAATTTGTTAACCATGACTGAATGGGAAACAATGCCTGTCTCTCTTCTTTCCAATGTAGTTTATTTAGCTACATTAAACCCAGAAATTAGAAGACAAGCAACGGAGTGGTTGATCACCCGATCTGCCCCGAATTTTGACGTTGATATTCATCAACTGATGCAAACCGTTGCTGGTATGGACATCCAAAGAACAGAAAACCCTAGAGGTTTTGCTCAAAAGCGAAACATTCAAAATGATGTTTCGTTTGTAAAGAAAATAAAAAAGGCTAATACAGTCTCTGATGGTAAAAGAACAGGTGTTCTTTGTTATAATGGTTGTGGACAGATATATCTTCCTGGACATGTCTGTCCTAAAAAGAAACTCAACGGCCGAGATGGCAAAAATAATTTGTTCTCTCGTGCTGCTATACGAACCAAAACGGTTGTTCAAAAACAAGAAGATGCTGATGATAAGTTGAATCTTATGTCAGAATGTAAGGCTAAGAATAAGAAACAAAATTTAATTCAAAATAATCAAAACATTAATCAATGTCTTATTCCGATTTATTTAGAACAAAAACCTATCATGGCTTTGTTAGATGGTGGTGCAACTTTTTCTGCCATCGATGAAAATTTTTGTTTAAAAAATAATTTTAAAATAATTGTTCTAAATAATAAAAATAAAAATCCAAATGATTGTATCCATTTAGCTCATTCTGATCATGTAATTCAGCGTCTAGGTTATACAGAACCTTTAGATCTTTGTTATAACGGGAAAACTTTAAAATATTCTTTTGAAGTAATGAAATTAACCGGTGATCAACAAGTTAGTATTGGAGCTGACTTAATGCCTTCACTTGGCATTGGTTATTACGGTTTAGTACAAACATGGGATCCACTTCCTCAAAAGATGGAAGAAGATCCTGATAAAGATAGAGAAATCCCAAATGAAACACCAGCAGGTACAAAAGAAGAACAGGAAACATTCCATCATTTTATTAAAAACAGTTTAAAACAAAATCAAGCTATCCCTACAAACGCTTTTTGTACACTCCCTGAATCTGTGATATACTTACCTATGCCTAAAGGTGTATCATGTTACAGAAGACAATACCCCATTTCTCATACATTGAAAGAGATGGTACATCAAACTGTACAAAATTGGCTGGCTGATGGCATCATTGAACCTGTTCCTGCTAACATCGATAACAAATGGAATTCACCATTAACACTAGCACCTAAAAAAGATATAAACGGTAACTTAACTGGTAAGCGACCATGTTTGGATCCTCGTCATATTAATAAGTATTTACCTGATGATCGTTATCCTTTACCATTAATAAGTGATATCTTCACAAAATTGAGTGGTGCCAAAGTATTTAGTACCCTTGATTTAAAAAGTGCCTTCCATAGGTTCAAAATTCATGAGGATGATCGTCATAAAACTACCTTCACATCAGTAGACGGTAAACAATATATGTTCAGAGGTTGCCCATTTGGTTTAAAACCTATATCATCAAAATTCCAAAGGGTGATGAGTATTTTATTCACTGATCTACCATTTGTCACCACATTTGTGGATGATATCGTAGTTTATAGTGATAACATGCAAAATCATCAATTACATGTTAAAACTATAATTGATAAGTTAACTGCCGTTAACCTACTACTCAATCCAGACAAATGTCATTTTGCACAAAAATCCGTATACTTACTTGGATTCTCTATTTCAGAAAATGGACGATCACTTGATGAACGCAAACTGCAAAATATTGACATGTGGCCAACACCGCAAACAGGCAAAGACCTTCAAAGATTTCTTGGTGTAGTCAACTATTTCCGAGATCATATTCCAATGATGTCAACTGTTACCGATCCATTGAATCAACTGCGTAACCAGGATAATCTAAAAAAGAAGTGGACACCTAAGCATGAGCAAGCCTTTACAACTCTGAAAAAGCTTTTGCAAAAACATATTACCTTATCACACCCCAACTTTCAAGAGCCATTCCACGTAGCGACGGATGCATCGAACGTTGGTATTGGTGCTGTCCTCTTCCAAAAAATCCAGGGTAAAACAAACTATATTGGGTTCATGGCAAGATCATTGTCCAAATCAGAGCGTAACTACTCTACAACAAAAAGGGAATTGTTAGCAATCATCTTCGCTTTCAATAAATTCCACCAATTCCTGTGGGGTAATCCATTCACACTCTACACGGACCATAAGGCTCTGATCTATATACATTCACAGGAACATATGAACCCTATGATGACAAATTGGTTAGACACATTGCTCGACTATACCTTCACAGTCATCCATCTACCTGGTACCCATAATATTTTACCTGATTATCTTTCACGCCTTTTCCCTAGCATGTCAAGGCTGGAAGGGGGTAATAACGATAACACGTTAATAAACAGATCTGTTGAAATAAATAGTGCAGATAAAATGGAACCACCAGAAGAAGAACGTCAGGAATTATTAAATAAAGCACATCTCTTTGGTCATTTTGGTGCTGAAGCAATCGTCAAAGCTATTCATAGTAACGGTATACATTGGCCTAAATTAAAAGAACAAGCAGTTGCTCTAGTTAGTAAATGCCCTTCATGCCAAAAATATAACATAGCGAAACATGGATATCATCCTTTACGCCCAATATCCTCAAACTTACCAGGTGACCACTGGGCAATTGACCTTGCTGGACCTTTACCTACAACAAATCAAAATAATAATTATATTTTGATTATGAGAGATATCTTCTCACGCTTTGTAATAATACGGGCAATACCTGACAAAAGAGCTGACACTATAGTCAATCAACTGATTAATGTATTCTGCGATTTTGGTATACCTAAGATTGTACAATCGGATAACGGAACAGAATTCGTTAACGATATGATGAAACGATTCAAGAAAGCAGCTGGTTTTGATCACAGATTAATAACCCCATATCATCCAAGGGCAAACGGTGCAGCAGAAAACACTGTAAAAACAACTATGAATGTCCTAGAAAAAGTAATAGAAGGAAATGTGAATGAATGGGATAAATATCTTCCGTCAGTACAATTATCTATAAACAACAAAATAAGTCAAAGAACAAATACACCTCCCTTTACTATAATGTTCGGTCGTAAGCTTAATGACTTCGTCGACTTTAGGGATGAAAGTATTAAAGAAGAAATGACAGAAGAAGAAATACAACAACGTATAAAACAAATGAATGAAGTGATATTTCCAGCTATACAAAAAAGAACGCAAGAAGTAACAAAGAAACAAAAAACGAACTTTGATAACAAACATAAAACTTTTACTTTTCCACAAGGAAGCCATGTGATGATAAAAAATTCACAACGTACAAAATTGGAGCCCAGATACACTGGCCCTTTTGAAGTGATCAAACAAAATCAAGGAGGTGCATATATCCTTAAAGATCTAACAGGTGATATCCTACCAAGAAATTATACACCTTCGGAACTAAAACTCATTTCAATGGATGAAATCATACCAGAAGATGAAGTGTATGAAGTACAAGCAATATTACAACATCGCTTAAATGAAAAAACTAATAAATATGAATATAAAGTACGTTGGAAAGGTTATACACCAGAAGACGATACCTGGGAACCACATCACAATTTCCAGGATCCAAGAATCATCACTGATTATTATAAAAGAATCGGTTTAAAGGAACCTGTTCGACCTCAAAGAAAAAATAATAAACGGAAAAGAAGTTGAACAGTTCTACAACCATCACCCCCATGAATAAAAAACCATATCCTGAATAATCATGCAGCATGATGTATAATTCATGTTTTGTTATAACATTAAAAGATACAGACAAATATATAATAGACGTCTAACAGACTGGAAGGGGGTGATGTCGTATCTAGACTGATATTATTGTGTAACTTTAAGATCTCAGCTTCTTGTCATTTAAGATTGGATTAGAATAGTTTTTTCTCTTTTTTTCTCTCTCATTCAATTCTTATTGAAATAAACTATATCAACAGTCTCATCGTATTTTCGATTTGTCTTTTATTATTATTTTTATATTTGTTAATCCAATCAACTATCTTATATGCTACTCCAGAGCATCCAAAAATGTATCCTCATCATCATCATCAGCATCTGTATCGTCATTGTCTTGGAGGACGGTGGACAGTTGAACCGGCGGGAGGTTGACGTCAATGATTTTGTTGGTGAAGTCAACCTGTGACATGTGTTGACGACGGTAATGGGTGTTGAAGGTGTCAGTGGATTTCCAGTTGCCAAGAGTTGCTATGTCATCAAGATCGATGCCTTCCTGTAAAGCTATGGAGGATCCTAGTGATCGTAGGGAAACCCGGGATTCGATGGTACTGAATTTTAGCAATGTACGGATCCAAGAGCTGATGGTAGTGATTTTGATTGATACCGAGGGTTCATTGGATTTGACGAAGAGGGCGTCTTGTGGACGGGATGTAGCAGCAGGATGATCACGAACCGCCAGAAAACAACGAACAGGGCAAAGAGTGGGAGAACGATGAGGATGTATTAGAAAAAGCTTGATAATCCGTATTCCACTTCGGCGTTCCTTGGGGGCAATCACATCAAATTGTAGACAACCTGTTGATTCATTCACAGAGGCAGAAGACAAGTGTCGTATCGGCGTATTTCGTAATCATATCCATATAATAGAAATAAAGAATGCATTCACCAACAAAGAATAAAAAACACATCGTAAGATGGAATCAACTACACTGACTTGTAGTAAAGCAGTAGGAATAAAAGCTTTATTAAATAAAAGTATAACTATTGTAGATCACAATTCATATACTATGATTAAAGTTATTATAAAAGAAAAGAATATTATTATTACCGCGCATCCAAAAGATAACAAAATAAAATACGGACTTTGAAAATCATTATGCTCATGGCCCATAATTACTACCAAGGAAAGTACATATCAATGTATAAACACTCCAGGGCAACTATCATAATGATTCCCTACATATATGACGATAACATCACATCAATGAGAAGCAAAATACTAATAAGGTTATGTGCTCTGCATAACAATATTACGAACCAAAACGAGATAACATCAACAAAACTTTTTGTGTCGATAAATTCGTCTCTTTTTAATACAATTTTTTTAAAAAAAAAAAGAAATCTCACAGACTTGTTCTCGTCTCCTTTTTTATTGTATTTTTTTCATTATTGCAACCTACACCAATTCCACATGGCCACCAATTTCAATATTCGAAGTTTTTGAACGTACCTCTAGAGCAGCGAAATAATATCCAGTCAAAAATAACCAATCGTAGATACAAATATTTGCATATGTCAAGCGTTTCTTGTGGTTTGAATCCTTGTACACAATTTTGGAAGGCATTAGTTGACAAAACTGATCGCAATCTATTTGGTGATCACGAGTCATTAACGTCAAGAATATATGACGCACAGCAGGTAATTACCTCTGATGATCTGAAAGAAATGATTGTAAGTAGTGAAGAAAGTCATAGGAAATATTTAAGTACGTTAGTTTGAAGTCAATAAAGCCCCAATATCATCATACCTATCAGTGAGAACAGTACAATCTAATCTATGCATGAAATTATATTTTATATGGTTTTATATAAAGAAGAATTTTATTGATTTATCAATTGTCTATGTAAATCTAAATTTCTTGATTTAACTATCTCCAAAGAAGGTTCCGTACGGAACTTTTTGATGTAGTTACCCGCTGTTGAGCGAGTAACGCCGGCCTTTTTGGCAGCTTCTTCCACAGAGCAATCGCCATTGACGAAGTACTCGAAGAAGAGCTGATACTGCTTGTCGGCGGATATAGTCTTTCGACCTGCTTTGCCTCTTCGTTGCAGGCAGACAGCGGCCTCACCGTTCACGCGAGGAGTGTCCTCCACTTCCATCATTTCAACACGGTTGAGATGGGACACTACATGACCAGAAGCACCTCCAACGTCGCTAGTATGCAATGAAAATGGACCCAGAGGCGCTTGGATAATGTCACCATTTAATCGAAGTAGGTTATCGTTGAGGTTCATAGTTGTTTTTTTGTGGTAGATGTAAGATATGTATAAGATTGGGAGAAGGAATCTATTAGACGAGGAATCTACATTTAAAAAGCTTGATCTCTTCCACCATATTATTGACCAAGATAATACAATGTATTTTGAAATTGGGTTGAAAATGTTAGTTTCTTTTTGTTTTTTTTTTTTGTTTTTTTTTTTTTTTTTAAAAGGTGTAGGAGTTGTGTGCTCCGACTGGATTCCAAGGTTACTCAATGACTGTCTTTGTTTTTGACTATGCCTTGGTCATCATCATCATCATCATCATCAACGATAACCGATACTTATCTATGAACCATCATCATAACCATCAGCCCACAGAAACCATCATCACATACATAGCAGCCAACATCACATAGTAACCGACATCACATAGCAACCAACATCACGTACTATAGCATAGCATAGTAACCATAATATCATCAAATTAATAGAATCGTATATAAGAAAAATACCAGACTTTGAAAATCACTACACATAAAGGCATACTCTTCCAGATAGCAAGGCACATAACGATAAATGTCAAAATATTTATACATGCGCGTACCAATAACCATCTGCGTGCACCACAAAAACGATTGGCGTGTGCCAGAAAACCATTTGGCTAGAAAAATGATTCACGTGTTCCCCAATTCATTTGCACGTAAGCTTCTTTTTAAAAAATCCGGCCACCCGCCAAGCGAACTGAAAAAACCAGTACCCAGTTCTTTTTATTTTCCGCTTTTTTTCTTTTTACCTGTTTTTCTTCTCTTTGAAGAAATATACTCATAATGGATGCCATATCAAAACGATTGATGAAGGAACTGATAGACTATGAAAAAGAGGCAGCCAATCATCCCGAAATTCTTTCATTACAACCAATAGACGATGAGGATCTTACCACCTGGGTGGCTCAAATAGCTGGTCTACCTGACACCCCTTATGAAGGTAGCAATACTTTTGAAAAATCATTTAAGAAAAACTCAAATTGATTTTTTTTTTTCTTTAATGTAGGTGGTGTGTTTGATTTACTCATCAAGATACCTCAGAATTATCCCATGCATCCTCCCACAATTACATTCACCACTACTCTCTGTCATCCCAACGTTCATTTAAAGGTAAGAAGTTTTTTTTAAAAAAAGTTCTAATTATAACGTTTACACTTACTTTATATTTTATGAATCATGAAAAAAGACGGGTGAAATTTGTTTAGATATATTGAAAACAGCGTGGTCTCCTGCTTGGACTTTGAAATCGACTGTACTGGCTATTTCTTTATTATTATATAATCCTGAACCTTCTTCTCCTTTGAATTGCGATGCAGCTAACCTTCTTCGATGTGATGATATTTTGGGTTACAATAGTTTAGTACGTATGTATACTCAACTTTATAGTGTATCTAATACTTCTTCTTCTCAATAAACTATATAAATATCCTTGTACTATTATAATTGATGATATTTTATGTGTATTGTGTGCATTGAAGTGAAATTCATACTCCGATTATAGGCAAAAAAATTAAAAAAAAACAGAACGTTATGGAAAGAGACGTTTGTCTTCTAATCTTTAACTCTTTTGTGAACAAGTCATGTTTCAGGTTCTTGGTGACTTTGTCCCTTTTGGAAAAGAGTTTCTTACTAAGTATCCTCAGTTAGTGGAACGTCCAAAGTCAACCCAAGAGCCAAGAGAAGTTGACTTTACAAAGCTACTAGATCCACACAAGCGCTTTCTACAAGAGAATGAAGAACGACAATCATATCGACTATCTTCTGTATTCAATTCTGCAACAACAACAGACACACACTTACATACACCACCAAGTTATTTACCCTCAACTATTTCTACTTTTTCTTCAATATCGGTAGACGAAGAACTTTTTGTTCAAGATAATACAGTCATCTGGAGTCGTGGTCGACATATCATTAAAACATTTCAATATGACAAGCAAACTGTTGAACTAGCCCTATTTGCTTGGTTTCCAGTGGATCATGACGATATTGATGATGAAAATTGCCTTTCATTCGATAGCGATAATAAAAAGGAAAACCAGAATGATCATTATAGCAATCAACAACCGAAAAAGCGAAAGAGATTTGGACTTCACCAAACTGGATTGGAACAACAACAACAACAAGTGGACGGCTGCGAAACTCTAAATACAACCATCTCTTCCTCACTTCCTCCACCGACTTTCTTGGATCGTATCACGACTCCTAATAAGACTTCTATGGACGAAAAGGATAAAAGATCCAAACGCGAAATGGTGGAAAAAGGTGTATGTATTATTCTCAAAGATTGTCTCAAAATACACTTTATTGATGGCAAGCATTATTCCATTCATCTCCCGTTTGCTATTCAACGCGTTATACCTTCTGATATTGGCTTGATTTTGGAACGTGCCAGTAGTAATCCAATACAAGATAATACACAGCGCGATAAAGGGAAAAAGAAAACCAACAATAGCAAGATCACAAGTGGTTCGTCAACCTCAGTCCGTCTTGATGATGATCATCAACAATCTGTTCACTCTTCCACAGCACATTTGACACTTTCTTCATTTCTGTGTCTTCGACATCCGACTGAAGAAATCAAGCCAATTTTCTTCAAACAAGATTTCTTTTTACATTCAAAGGTACCTATCAATAACAATAGTCTGAATAGCGATCAAATATCAGTCTTCTTGCAACAACAACAACTCGTGTATGCAACCCTCACATATCATCATCAACTAGATCCTCTTCCAGCTCTAGTTATCACCAGAGATAGAGACACTGGTCTTCATTCTATTTGGCAATATCAATCAATTAGGAAGAGCAGCAGTATTCATCGGCAACTGGATATTGGAGATCATGGTCAAATCAATGATGATAATGATGTTGATTTTGATGAAGATACCAAATTCTTTTTTCATAAAGAACCTTCCTTTCATCTGGATCAACAACAATTTCCAAAACAACAACAACAACAACAGCAACAGCAACAACAACAACAACAACAACAGCAGCAGCAGCAGCAGCAACAACAGCAGCAACAACAACAGCCACAAAAGCAATCTAATAAGATAACAAAAGGTCGACGTGGAAGGAAAACATCGTTTGGAGTCAAAAGTAGTAAAAAACGACGACAACTGAAACAGCAGCAGCAAAAGCAACAGCAACAGCAGCAAGAATCATCATCATCTTCTCCCCTTGGTGGAAACAACAACAACAACAATAGTGCTCTGTTTCATTCTCCTTCACCATCACCGAGTTTGACAACACGAAAGGATTCTTTTATGGCGGCCTCTTTGTCTTTTATACATAATGAAGAAGATGTTTCCGATATCTTTTTGGGTGGTCAAGATGATAACCTAAGTATGATGATGTTATATCAAGATGCCATTTCCGATCATCATGGTGAAAAATGTCAATTACAACTCTTATGGGTGGAAGAAAAGTAAGTATATCGAAAAAGCGAAAGCTATTCATTCATCAGTCATCTCATCATCATCTTTTTTTTTTTTCGTTTAAACAGAGTCTCACCTTCTACTAGACCTACAGAGATATCTCATGGATTCGTATCACACGATGCTAAAGGGCAAGCAATGTTGTGCATAATGAATGAAACGGAAGGAATGTTGACGGGGTTGGCTATTAAGGATTTACTACTAAGCAGAAAACACTATCCAACGACAGGATTCCAACTGACAGCGAAACAGGCTCTACCCATTTATCATGCAAGTCGACCTGAATGTGATGCAGCTGATATTTTATTATTGGATCATCAGAACAGAATATCTTTATATGTGGATTCTCAAGTACCCAAATTATCACTTTTGTCATCTTTGCTATCGGCATTATCATCATCAATATCAGTGAACAAAGACACATGGCAATATGAAAATATCAGAATTCAAGATCCTGTAGACAATCGATTTACTCTGGTAGTGAATGATAAATGCATAAAACGATGTCAAGTACAATCTACTGCCTCTGGAATACTTACTGGAGGACTATCTTCTTCTTATCACAAGCAACGCACAACATCAACTATGATAAACAATAACAAGAACCGGGTATTGTTGGTAAATAGCCACATGGCTCTACGATGTGCATGGTCAAACTCATACTTATGGTTCCACTTTCAAGCATGGTCCATACAATTATTGAATGATCATCAATACCAAGACTTTGATCGAACCAATATTGATGAATGGCAAGTCTTTGTTACCACTTTATTTACGATGATTCCATTATCTCAAACTTCTCAAAATATCATACCAAGAACAAGAAATCATAATGACATACTGGCACTTTATACACAGTGGTTGGCAGTGGCATATGATCGACAACAGAGACAACAACAAGAAGAGAACGACAGTAGTCTGATTCAAATAACGGATCCACAGGATATTGCTTATATGATCTATGGTCTTCATTTCCTCCATCAAGATTATACACTTTCAAAGCTGACTCCAAAGAAAACGATGATTATGTTAGGTACTTTGTTATGGGTACTCTCATGTTTAGTACAATCTGATATTTGGATTCATTGTTATGAACAATATGTGACTTTATCAAATCAAGGTAAGAAATGAGAGACTTTAGGGAACAAGGCAAATTATAGTAATATGTCTATATTTATTACCATCATATACATCCAGATTTAGGCTTTCAACTTGATTCATCGTCTCTTCAATTACATGCACGCCAACAACAAAGGCCAATAGATGATATGGAAGAGGAAGGATTGATTCGATTAGCACGTCCATTCTTTTTTGAATCATGTGTACGTTATCAACTACCTCATGATTACACTTTATCTTTACAACAACAAAGTGGAATGCCTACACTCGATCCAATGATTGATACCAATATGACATTGATGAAAAGTAATGGACAACTAGCAAATAACAGAAAGGATTTGTTTGGATTTAAACTCAAAATGATTTGGTATATCCATCAAACCATGCATTATTATCTTCGAACAATAGCCAACGGCGCAAGTTTTTTTTTCACTTCTATTGGATCTTCATCGATATCAATACCAGCAGGAATGGAGGAATGGGTGAGTGCTATTGTAAAAATGGGTTACAGTCGAAAAGATTTGGATATGGTGCCTGATTCTTGTGTGTTGCTGAAACCGTTACTGGATGCTTTGGATTATCTTCAACTTCATCCTCCCACAAATCAATCCATCGAATTTTATTCTCTTATTGGTAATTGAAAAAGAAAAAGTAATAATTCATGTCTAATAGGTTACTCATTCTTTTGTTCGAATTCATCAGGTCGATATGATATGGTAGCTCAGTTGGTTCAATTCCATACATCCACTCCTTCAAGCAGTTCTTCGTCACCATATGATTTGAAGTTGTTCCGATTCTCTCTGAACAAAAAGGTAAAATTTTTCTTCAGTACATCCAACTTCATGATCATCATCGTTTTAATGTAAATATGTCCTTTTTTTATATAGTTGGACTGCCAACAAGATGTTCATCAATTGATGACCTTGGCTACGACTCCTAATATGGCTCCAGGGGCTTCCCAAGCAACAACAGCAATGAATATCACGAAACAGCAATCATCATTTGTAAGTCATACGGGTTCAGATTTGGTGTTATCTCAACTTTTTTATGGAGGTGGTGCTTCCACATTGGATAAATTGAGGCATGTCCGAAGTATGTTGAATCCTTGTCGCTTGATTGAATTGAATGTTCCTGACAGACATGGATTATCGTAAGTCCTCTATCCAGATCCTTTCTTTTTTCTTTTTTTTTTTTTTCTAATATATAATACATTAACTTATTTTTATTATTATAGAGAAGCTGAAATTGGAGTAGAAAATCAAAATTATTTGAAACATCTAATACAAAGGACATTAGCTCTATCTATTGGGAATGGTATATTCCATTATGGTCATCATCATCTCTTCCAAACATCTACCACTAATTCATTGAATACTACAGCTACATCACATATCACTTCTAATTCAGCAGCAACATCGAATTTTCAAGGAACTGGGACTGCAACACCAAACAATGTATCGAACGGCAATAACAACAACCCAAATACAGCAACTACTACAAGTGGTGGTAGTCGATCCTTAGCTATGCTTGAAGAGAAAATCAATTTATCAGCCAAATTGTTACCTATGCGCATGACGATCACTTTAGATGAAAAAACATATCGACCAGAGTACTTTGATTGGCCAAGGTTTCATCATGGTGTGGCAACTGGTCTTCGACTATCTTCACCTCGACTATTACGCAATGATCAAAAAAATATTAGCAGTAATATGAATAACAGAAGACCTCCCGATGATTCACTTTTTGGAGATGACAGGAATGATCTATGCTGGCTCTTTTATGCTGAACCAGAAGAATTGAATATATTCCACGGCGGTGTTCTCTTTGGATTGGGATTGAATGGACATTTGCTACCGAATTTACATTGGTATCGTTATATTACTCAAGCAAAATGTTCATTGGTTACCATTGGCTTTATTTTGGGCATTTGTGTGACATTTCGAGGTAGCAAGAATCTAGACATTACTAAAATCTTATCTGTGCATGTACCAGCATTACTTTCAATTTCTCCAACAACGGCAACAGCAACAGGAAATATAGCAGGTACTGTTTTGGCTTCAAATATGACAAGTGGCGGTGATGGCGTTATGGGAGGAAATATCTTGCCTCCTACAACAAGTAGTCGTGTTCCTGGTGCTGATGATTTGATGCCATCTAGCTGTCTCTTTGGTCTTGGTCTAATTTTTATGGGATCTTGTGATCGATATATGACAATCATCATGTTAAACGAGATTGGTAATTGTTCAAAACGCGCCAATACAAGCTTTGGTACTGGCAATATTGGTGGTGGTAACAATTCTGGTGTTAACAGTGGCGATCCATCTTTAACTGGTATGGGCGGTAATTACAACAACTATGGACCAGCAAGTAGCAAAGAAAGCGCTTGTGCTTTAGCAGCTGGTTTTGCTTTGGGTTTTATTGTACTGGGCAAAGGTGGTAATACCAATAAGGAAATGGGTGGACTTTCAGATCTACAACTTGCAGACACACTACAACATTACATGACAGGTCAAGCTGCTAATACAATGAACCCAACAAAGTCATCCTCTTCTAGTACACCATCTGGAAACATTGGAGGTGGATCATCGTCAAAAAGTCAAGGCAATGTATCATCAGCCCAACAATCTCGAACAACACAAACGTCTTCCACTTCTTCGAAACATGGCCCACAAACACAACATTATGCTAGAGGCATGTCACATTTATTGGATATCACAGCACCGGCAGCAACAATTGCACTTGGGTTGATCTATTTGAAAACGGAAAATCATCGAGTGGCGGAACGTATTGATATATGTGAAACGACTAAACCATACTTGAATTATGTGCGACCTGATTTCTTATTGATGCGAGTTGTGGCAAAAAATCTGATTCTATGGAATTCTATTACTCCAACTCAAGCTTGGATCTATCGACAAATGCCATCATTTATGCGTCCATCATCTCGCCAAGAACAACGACAGGATCATGAAGATATCTCTGATGACAGTACTCTCAATAATACTCCAGCATGGGAAATTCAGGTTATTCTTCAAGCTAAATACAATATTATTGCTGGGGCTTGTCTCTGTCTTGGACTACGATTTGCTGGATCACATGATATCAAGGCTTTCAAGTGTCTTTTAAATGAATTGGATACATTCATGCATCTATCCACCCTTCAAGGTAAGCTTTTTTTTTTTTTTTTGTTTTGCATTTAATTGTTGAACTAAGCGATCACATGGTTATACGACTATTGCTGATTACTTTCTTTTTTTTTTTTTTTTTTTTTGATAGTTACCACCTTTCAAGAACATATCACCCGAAGTGCAATTTGGATTTGTATCGATGTAATAGCGTCTGCAGCAGCAATGGTAATGGCTGGATCGGGACACGAGGAATTATATGAACGACTTAAAAAACTTCATCAACGAGTTCCTTTTGGAGGCATGGATATACATCATGGATCTACCGCCAGTGATGTGCCAGCAATGGGATATGGCAAGTATGGTAATCATATGGCAAGTCATATGGCAATGGGAATGCTTTTTTGTGGCCTAGGTCGATATACCCTCAAAACAAGTAATGATGCCATTGCTGGTCTCTTGTGCGCATTTTATCCATTCTATCCTACTCAACCAGAAGATCAAAGATACCATTTACAAGCTTTTCGTCATCTCTGGGTTATGGCCTTGGATCAACGTTGGCTTACTCCTGTTGATTGTGATACCAAACAACCTTGTCAAGTTCCTCTCCTTTTCACCACATCCAACACAACAACAACAACAGCACCATCATCATCAGAGTCAATGGAAGTGGATCAACCAAATGTCGATCTTTCTTACAAAGATTTTATGGAACAAGGGGATATAATAAAAAGAGACCATGCTGATATACATAGTGGGAAAGAATACACTGATGCTAGCGGTTTAGGAGAACGTGAAGCAGACAAATGTCTAATGGAAAATGCTGATGACAAAGGAAAAACAAGAATAAAATTAGCTCAAATACAACGGGAACAACAAGAACAAGAAATTCAACGTCGTGTCGTTGCACCATCTGTAATACCTAGTTATGAATCATTAACATCCATTCAACTTGAGGATAGTTCTCTATATTATCCTATAAATGTAAATATGCAAAACAAGAATAATTATCGACAAGCCATTTGTCAATCAGGGATCTTATTTGTGCAACGGAAAAGGGACAAAATGAAAAAATTAGCATAATCATCATCATCATCTATATATACTCATCAAAAAAAATTATTATCAATAAATAAATTGTATTTAAAAAAAGAAATGATTATTTTTGACATTTAATTATTTTCAAAGTTTTTTTGTCAGGTCACAAGAAAATAGTTTCCCAAGATGGATGTCGCATTACCACACTTTTTCAGATTTTGCTCCAAAGTATGTCAAAACACATTGATTGATGGTTGATGATACAGTATATTAATCTTTTTTTTTTCTCTTTTTTTGTTTGAAATTTCCTTTGGTGTTCTAATTCAACGTGGATAATCAAACTGTAAACAGCAACGTATGAACATGTGGTATCACCTCTTCATAGGGATGTATTTAATACAGGAAAGTTAAAATAAATATAAAAGGAATGGATGTGATGACTAAATATATATTTTTTTCTTTATGTTATTCAAAATCTCTTATAATCAATGGAACTACTGCCACTCCTTCTTCTTGTATTCAATTTGGATTATGCGACAATTCTTATTTTTTTTTTTCTCTTCTATCATCTATTTTTCTATCCTTACAATGTTTTATTTCCTATTTTTGCGATATCTTATTTTTGAATTCCGTCATTTATTAGTGAATAAAGTGTACATGTTTAGGCACCCAGCAAATTTCAAGGGGTTCAAAGCGGAGTTTGAGAAATTTAAGAGAAATTTGAGTCCAATAACCAATCAAAATTCAATGAAGGTTCCATTGTTATTGGAATTTTTCTCTCTCCATTTTTTTTTCCTTCTTTCTTTCGTTGTTCTCCTTTGTTTCCAATCGAATATAGTTAAAACTCTTTCGTTCCTCTGTTTCTTCATGAACTCGTGTGGTGACTCAACCTTCAGTTCTTCATCCAGTAATATACGTTCCACAGCAACAGAAGCAGCAACCAATATGATCACTCTTCAGGGCCTGAACAATACTAACAACAGTTATCATACTTCCATCAACAATAATGATAATACAACCATGGCTTTACCAATATCTTCTTCCAACTATACTCGTAGACGTGAAACTGAAGAACAATACTTTGAAAACTATTCTTCTGCTTCTGACCTCTCGTCCTTACATCCTCATACTTTGACCGCCCCACCTCCTTCACCTCAAGATCCTTCACCTTTGGATGCCTTATTTTCTCAGCATTTGACTTCTAAACTACAACAGGCTGTTATCTATACCAATGGAAATAGTACGAACAATAATATCAACAAATTATCCACAACTCCTTCCGCTCATCGTCATCCAACCTCTTCTTCATCAACCATTACTCTGGCGACTTTGTTTCCAGAATACAACACCGCCAACAATATGGACAAAGTCGGTGTACCTTTGTCAACATCACCTACAAATACTTCACTAAATGCTGAACAATTACTACCAGCAGTGATGATACCAGGAGCTTTGCCTCTTAGCTGTACAACAACTTATGGTCACCATCATTACGCTTCTTCTAACAATGCGGCAAACAATCGCCAAGGCGGAGGTGTGGATCCACAACAGCTGGACTTTTTACTTCGACGAGTATCTCGAATTCGTAAACAATATCCAAACTCTCATCAGCGCCACAGTCAGCGTTCCAATACGCAGTCGCAACTTCAACAGTCAGCATCGAATACAGGGACTTGTCGAGCAACCAAACGTATTGGAGGTTTTTACAAACGACCGTCTCGAATTCCACTTTACTCAAAGAGACTTCAAAAACAACAAAAGCAATCAAATAACAAAGGTTTCAGGATGGATCAAGATAATACTGAAGAACAACAAGAACAGCAAAAACATACTTCATTAGCAACTTTATCATGGAAGGAAAATGCAAAACGACAAAAACAAGAAGCTATTTCAACTGCAGTGAAGAATTGGCAACAACTGAAACAATATCGACAGGATTTAATGACTGATATCAACAATGGTAACGATATCTTATTCTCCAATATCAATAGCAACAATCCAACTACAGCTCTCAAGAACATCAAGACACAAGAAGAAGTGGATCGCATTGTTCATGATTTACAAGATATGGGTCTTTAGTTTTTTTTTTTTTTTTTAAACGTCCCTTTGCTTTATCTATATATTTTTTTATCATATATATCATTATTATTCTGCATGTACATTTATCATATCATTATTATACTTTTATTCTTCTTCTTACATTATCATTGTAAATAGGATAAGAAAACATAGTATGCTCTTATCATTATTCTAAATCAAAATAAAATATCAATTAGGATGAGAGTGAACGGAAACTATTCTTTCTCTCTCCTCTCTCTCTCTCTTTTCTTTATATCCATTATCTGTATAGATGTATGAATATGTGTATTTGTGTATCTAAACATGTGATATTCTTATATCATCCACTTGCTGTTTTCCAATAATGGTGATCATCCTAGAGGATTGAAGGCTTGCTACAAAAAAAAATGTTTTCAATACCATGAAAGACCCTATCAATGTTAGAATTACAAAGGTATATAGAATTTGGAAGATACAAACAGGGACATATGCACGATCTTTTTTTTTAAAAAAACAAATACTAATTTTTATTTCGTTTTACGGTTATATTCATGCTCAATCTCTTAACAAGTGATTATCGCCACCAAATCAAAATCGATGTCACTAGCCAATTAAAAAATGATGGTCGTTGGATAACTGAAAGTGATATCAATGGCCAATCAAAATCAACTTCAGAATTTCAAAAATAGAAAGTTGTATTTTTAGAATCATTTCTGTTACATAAAAATCATGCCGCGATTCTTCGCACAAAAAAGAAATATATAAAAAAGAACTGCTTTCTTTTACTTTTTCTTTCTCTATATTGAGTTTAATCTTAGCATATTTCTAGTTATATTTTTCTTTAATAAAGTTTTATTCCTACTATTTTGTTACATGTCAATGTAATTGATTCCATCTTCTGATGTACTTTTCAGTCTTTATTTGTGAATGCATCCTTTGGTTTTGTTTTACGCATATTGTTACGAAATAAGCTTATACGACAATCACTCTTAAGACTTCAAGAATAACTAAGAAAATAATATTCAAATAAGACCTTATCATGTCATGGATGGACAATTTCATGGCAGGCTCAATCACTGGTTAAACCATTTTCCTGGTAAATGACATCCCCAGCAGTTTGCCAATTTTTACGATTGCATCAGGAGTCAATTAGGAATTTAAAGCGAAATGGGTGTGAAATAGTGGAATATGCTTGACAGTCTCCTTCAAATGATAAACTTGAAAACAAGGTAAGACTTTTGCAGTAAATGATGGACAACTTGCAAAATCGCTTCTTAGCAAGCAGGATATATATTTCTCTTTTTCCAATTGCACATCCACATCTTTCAGTGGAAGTGATACTTTGTTATTAATTAAGAATTACAATCACAGCATAAACACCCCTTATTCAATAGTTCTTTATAAATACAACCTATTTTTGGTAACTAATAAAGGACCCAAAAGTTTCCTTTAATTTCTACACTGTCTCTTTTATTTTATTAGCAAAATATAACAACGGCAAAAACAATAAAGGGCTATTTCCAGGATTGGGTGACAGTTTTACAGCATTGGAGGGCAGCAGCATCGGTTTTGCACTGGACAGTAGCGTAACGAAAAGACTTGACACCATATAAGCATTCACTGCAATCAGAATCAAGGGCCACAAAGGTGATGATTCCTTGGCATGCTTTCTTTTGAGGTCCCTTGATATTAACTTCTACTGAAAGACAGTGTACAAACGCTAACAAAAAGGAGAATATTACAAGGACAGTCAAACGAAACATAGTTACCGCCTATATAATTTTGTTTTAGAAAGAACAAAGAAGTAGAGATATGGATACGTTTGAAGCTTTATTTATATATCCTTGGAATGAAATGTACGAATATCGAAAGGAAAGAAATGTTAGGTAACGTGTGAGATTATGTATATTACTTTATACATATAAGCATGACTGTGTTACATTCTACCATAAATAAGTGAAAGAGATATTGCTCCTTTGTTGATATCGGCTTTCACTCCACATCAAGGATTTCATGATATTCCATTTGTCTCTTTACTCTTTTCTCAGGAAACTAACAAGAAGGAATAGATAAAAGTCAATAAATGTTGCTTAACACTTTCCCCAAGTCATTATCTAATATTCAGTACAAATTGATTATGTAAACTCCAGAAGTGAGGCGCAGGAAAACAATAGAATGATGACATAAGGGTTGTTTTTTTTTTTTTTATCATGTAATGATTAGCGGAGGAGGAATAATATTGTTCAAACGGATATTATCATGAAAAGATGATTTCTGTCATGTGAACGAAGGCGCTTGCTTCGAAGGGAGCAAAAACAAGGATAAATAATATTTTTTTGGGGGAAGACGCGATCACATTGATTTCTTTTGTTTTCTTTGCAAAAAAGGTAAAACATGTGCAACCGACGTGACATTGATATTGATAATTTTCATCAAAGTACAGCCTCCTTTCGAGAATACGAAGAAAAGTGTTTGCGCATCGATGTCCATCAAACAAATGATGTGTCACTCATTTTCAATACATGCAATGATGAATCTCTATTGACTAATTTGCAAGAGTTGGTGTTGGACACATTGAATGTAGGCGATATTAAAGCCTTTGTACCTTCCAAGAAAGACGAGCTCACCACCAGCCAACGACGTTTTTTGATGAAATTAAAATTGGTGTTATTGAGTAACGATCCAGATGCCTTTGATCCAAATTGTGAACGATTTGTCGATGATTTGGTCAATTTTCTATGCGAACAAGTGTATTTGGATGATGGGCTCGAAATGTCGGTGCGACCTTGTCAATTACGATTGACCATTGGCAATCAACAATTTGCTGCGACCGCAGATAAAGAAGGACGACGTGGCCAAGAATTGATTTGGTTACTTCAAGAAGACAAACACCGAGGAAGCACTTCATATAAACATGGTGATTTACAATTGGCTTGCGCAATGATTGCAGCTATTCAAAGAAATTATTTTCGTTTCGAAACGATCAAACCAAGTAAAATATTGGGAATAAAAATAATGGGAGATACCTTCTATTTCTGTAGTATGAAACCGACAAAAGGGTACATCGACGAACTATTTGATGGTTTGCCACAAGAAGAACGCATTGTCATGCATCGATTTCCCAAACATGGATTTTCTCTCGCGAATCCCACGGAACGAAAGGAAATATTGAAATATATGTCAGTATTGCAGAGAGAAGCTTTATCCATCATTTGAAAAAAAAAAAAAAAAAAAAAAAAAAAAAAAAAAAACACATACACACACGTTGCATTAAAAAACAGATTCGATATGTAGTTTCTAGCAAGATTCATCCTCCCTTTTTTTTTATATATAACCAAAATAAATACAAATACTTGTGATTGCGATAACATATGTTGTGGATGAAATAGCGAGATAATAGCATGACTATAAAAATGATCGAATTTCCATGAGAAAGTACCTTCTATGGGTGATGAAGATCTAATCGTATGTCCAAGGATAGCCGAGTCATTATCCTAATCTATCAAACGTGTCAGATTATAGAGTAAAAACAAAGAATGGAACATTTTTACTTTCGGATGACTTTGGATAAGTAACTTGGAAAGGAAGAAGAGTGAGTGGGCAATGAACAATACAAACTCTTTTCAAAAAAAAAGGGTAGGTTTCAAGACTCAAATCAGTTCTTGATTTGTCTAAAAAAGGCAAGTCAACCAATGTTACATGTTGATGATTTTATTGATTATCAAAAACAAATATCAAGGAACAAAGATGCTATGAAAGAATATTGATGATTTTATTTTTATCCACTCTCATTTGTAACATGGAGGATACTAGAATGTAAAAATGATAGTAATAACATACAAGTCTATTCATTTGAAACTTTCGGGTTGTTGTTGATAGGACGAACAACGGGAAATGCGATGACTTCTCGAATATGATGAGTATCTGTAAGCAATTGAACTACACGATCGACTCCCATTCCCCAACCTGCTGTAGGAGGTAGTCCATATTTCAACGCCTCTACAAATGAAGCATCTGGAATAGGTGCTTCATTATCTCCAAGCTGTCTGTCCTTTATTTGTTGTTCAAACCGTCGTTGTTGTTCTTCAGGATCATTCAATTCTTCATAGGCATTCACGATCTCTTTTTTTGCTACAAATAATTCAAAACGTGCAGCCACTGTCACCTTCTTACCGGCTGTTGTATACTCCATGTCTTTGGCTAATGGGCTGAGTGCCAGTGGATGGTTATATAGAAATGTTGGTTGTACACATTTGGGTTCAATGACATGAGATATAATTTTGTCTAGTAACCGAGCTTCAGTCAATGGTGCTTTCACAGTGATATCATGTTGTTGGCAAATCTTTTGTAAAGACATTGAATCCATCGTCGCAACTGAATTCCCACTATTTTCAAGTCCAAAGTAATTATCCAAATAATCCACAACATTAATCCTTGTGAAAGGTCGTTCAAAATTCAACTCTTGTCCATTCTTGTTGATGCTTTTACTTCCATGGATGTATTGTACCATTTCTAAATGAAGGTACAGTATATTAACAATAGTCGAAAACATAGGATGAATATCCTTTCTCTATTACCTAATAACATTTTTTCCGTGTCGTTCATCAGACTATCCAAATTTCCATAGGCTTGATAAAATTCACAAGTGGTGAATTCTGGATTATGATCAGCATCAATACCTTCATTCCGAAATTGTTTCCCTATTTCATACACACGATCAATACCACCAATAACAAGTTGCTATATATCATATATAATGATGCAAGAATAAATAAATATTAATTCACACGAAACATTGATATACCAATGTCATTTCTTTTTTTGTTTTACCTTGAGATATAATTCTGGAGCAATTCTTAGTTGCATCTCCATATCAAGAGCATTGGCTTGAGTCTTGAAGGGTTGGGCATTAGCCCCACCTACTTTAGATGATAATATTGGTGTCTCCACTTCCAAAAAACCCCGTTCATCTAAAAATTGTCGAATAAATCGAATAACCTACAGTGTATATAGTGTCAAATATTGTAAAAGTGAAAAGAGATTACATTAGTACAAAAAGACTTTTTTTTTTTATCTATTATTTACCTGTGATCTTATTCGTAGTATTTGTGTTGGTTCAGGATTCACTAGCATATCCAGATACCTTTGACGAAATCGTTTTTCCTAGAGTAGGTATCATGGTTAGTAAAATCACTATGACTATGATACCATAGAAGAGACAGAGAGAGGGAGCGGTCAGCATACTTACAGGATCTTTTAAACCTGAACGAGGAATATCATGTAAACAAGGTACAAGCATTTGAAGTTGATTAGCGAAAATACTAAGTTGACCATGCTTGGTTTTCCCAACAACACCAGTAAAAGCTTAGGATAAGATATAGAAAAACAAGAATAGATAAATATTCTCTTCACGGATATAACCATTATCAATAATTATCAATTTTTTTTTTTTTTTTTTTTTTTACCAAAAATGTCACCACGAGAGGCGTCTTGGTTAATATCTGTAAACAGTTCAGGTTGTTCAAATCGACTTTTAGAGGCAACCACTTGAATAACATCACCATTATGCATAATATCATAAAATATCAGCTTGGCACTCGATTCCCGTTTGGAAACAATGCGACCTGTTAAAGTAACAATCTTATCGTCCTTCTCGCCAGCATTTAAATGATCCTGCCACTGAGCCAAATCCTTTCCTGACACATATAAACCTTGCCTGACTGATGGCTGAAATCTTGGGTATCGTGTTAAAGTACGTGTGTCTGATGACATCCCTCTATTTTCTAAACAAGTAGCTATCATAATAGTATATTATATCAACAGATTCCCAGTTAACATTCGAATATGCTGATAGTGAGTTCAAAAGAAAAGAAAAAGGGAATAAAAAGATCACTATACTTACAAGAGAAAGAAAAGTTGCGAGTCAACAACCTTCTGGATAAGTCTCTTTTAATGAACTTATTATGGACTTGAACAAATAACGTTGCCCTAGGAAAATGTTTTAAAAAGATATACGGCATAACTGTGATATAGATTGGGACGTCACCGAAGATAGTAGGTCAAGAGAAAGTTGCTCTGTTTTTTACAAGCGGAGGTGCTTTTTTTCCTAGGTGCCTCTCAAGACAGTCAATCTGAAACTGAGCTTTTATATTATCCAATAAAATTGCGACTTGCCTAATATGATTCCAGGAGACGTCGCTCTCGAGACATTTTCGTCCCCTCCTCCTGGAATCCAAAAAGGAAATTGCGAAACAAAAATGGAAGAACAGTAGTGATCTTCCTTTTTCCAAATATTAATAGTATTGCCACTATCATTCTTACTGTCATTACTTTATTACTCCAATGTTCTAGGTCGTCATTCCTTTTTTTTCATATGTATTAGAATGGCTTTTCTTTGCGAGCATATTGGACGAATTGTTTAAAAAAAAAAGGTGCAAAAACAAGGGAAGGAGGTTGACTACATTCGCAATTGAGTGAATCCACGTTCATGGCCATTTTCTGTGGCATGACCATTTTCTGTGGCAATCCAATCAGATTCTTATTTTTAACACATTTTCAATTGTGTGACCCATTTTCAACTAACCTAACTGTACCAATAAAGTAAGTGCCCCATGATTGCTGTTTTGAGGAATGCAAGAAAGAGAGCGTCATTTCATTTTTAAGTACAGCGTTTTGTGATACGTAAGCCAACATATTCCCTGCAGTGTTAGGAAAATATTTTTCATCTCTTTGTTTTCCTCCTAAATAAATATGGCGTTCTTCAAAGTATCACCTTCAGTCTTCCAGTCTTCTATCTTGCAACAGTCTCGTCAACTATCCAATAAAACTCTTCGACCCAAGAAGTTTACCAGTAGTATGTTTATCATTTTCACTCTCTTAGAAATGCGATAGTAATAACATACGCTGTTTTATTCATTTTATATATATATTTAGTTCTTAGTCATGTTCCTCCACGACCTCGTTCAGGTTGGCAAATATTTCTCCGTCAACGTTTACCCGCTTTCAAACAAGCTAATGGAAAGATACCTACTGCTGAGGCGACCAAGACATTAGGTGAAGAATGGAAATCTTTAACCGACGCGCAGAAGAAAGTAAATCCAATATCTATCTATATACATCTTATATATACAACAAAAGAAAAAAAAAACCAGCATACTGATTTTTCTCACTATTCGTTTACTTTCAATAGGAGTATGCCGGAATATTTGAACGCGAAGTAAAGGTACACGAAGATGCCGTTCAAAAGGCTTTGTTGGAAGCAACTCCTCGCGAAATTCATGCTGAAAACATTTTGAGACGAAAACATAATTTGACTCTATTGAAAGATCCTAAACAACCCAAACGTCCTCTCAATGGTTATATGCTATATCTCGATCATCTACGAACTCATGGTCCTTCTGATTTCAAATCGATGCCAGTGGCACAACAGGCTCATGAAGGTTCCAGCTTATATAAAAAATTGGATGCGCATGAAAAGCAGGTAAATATTTAATCATTCATAAAGTCATTTCATTCATTTCCGATTATTTTAATGCATATTTGCTATGCTAATAGAAATTCGAAAACCGAGCCAAAAAGAACCAACAAGCTTATGTGGCAGCAATTGAAAAATACAAGGCACAAATCTAACTAAAATGATATAAGAAAGATCTTTTTAATGGACAAAATAACAGAAATAAACTACACTCTTTTTTTTTTTTCTTTAATAAACGTACTTTGAATTTAATTTTGTAACATTTGTGTGTGGATGAGTAATACAAGCATTGATTATTCACTAATAAAACTAACAGGTTAGGGTAAGAAAGAACAAAGTTTAGGAACGAGTAATAGAGGAAAGTAGCAATAAGCTGCTCGTTCCAAACATCTTTTTTGAGAAATAGGAGCACAGCGATCCCAGCCCTTTGATCATTGTATGACGCGACTTTCACACAGTAGCTGGACGTTGTCAAGAATATTTCGGTAACGCGCTTGGCAATATTGGCGATCGTATAATTCAAAATGGCGAGCAAAGGATTTCAAAGAAAGAGAATGGGCATGACGTAAACACCATGTTGCATCACTGGGTGTTCTTTTTCGCTTTTTTAATGTGTGAGTTGCCATGTAGATAAGAGTTGTGATATTAGTTGATTTTTGTTGTATAAAATAAAGACGATAATAAAATAAGTGAGATTCTTTTATATTGTTTATTATAAAGAAAATAACTTAATTTTATTATTTTATAAAATAAAAACTAAGGAATATTTATATAAGTAATCTGGAAATAAAATAAAATAAAAATAGATTGATTATTGAAGAACAATAGATTTTTTTGTGGTAGATGTCTCAGATCTATATTCATCTAACGACTTCATGATACGACAAGAGTGAAGAGAAACAGAAGGAAAGAAAATCGAAAGCATAGCGCGACCAGAAAAATCCAGCTACGATAATCACGGGACCAGACTTCGCAGTCACATGAATTTATTTATTTCGGGGGACTTTTCGTTTCTTCCTTTCTCTTTATTTTCCGACCTACCTACAATCAAGATGCTTGCGGCTAGTAGTCTCTGGATGAACGTCCTTGATACCAACCATTGCAGCTGATTGTCTTCAATCATACTCTTTGACTTGGGTTCTTGATTGTGCAGGAGATGCTTGCGGCTAGTAGTCCCTGGATGAACGTCCTTGATACCAACCATTGCAGCTGATTGTTCTGTCAGTCATGTTCTTTGACTTGGGTTCTCTTGCGAGGTAAGAGTCTAAACTACCACAAAAACAACAACAACAATATGGGCTTCTGTTGTTGGCAATACCTTGATCAAAAAACCAACAGTCAAACAATCCAAGAAAAAAACGCAAACCTGGAACAACTACGGCAAAAGGAAAAGCAACAAGATTGTAAGTCTGCAGGAACAATAACTAACGTTATTTGAAGTTTTTATATGTAGGATACGATGGACGTTATGGACAAATACCCTGAAGTCAAATGCTGCTACCTGGTTTTGGACAACACGCACCAATACATCAAATCAAGAAGCACCGAACTGTCTCTTGTGGTAATTCAACACATAAAGATTTAAATTAGAGTTTAGAATATCGATAATCCGATAGTGGAGATCAGACTACAGAGTAATATGATAGTTTATTTATAAAAAGTGTTTTTTATAGGGCTTGTTCCTTTTTCTCTTTAACTAAGTTTTTATTAATAAAAATTCTTACGTTTTGTCTCGTTCTTATTAAGACTTTCACAAATACCACAATATCTTTCCATTTTTTTTTTTTTTTTTTTTTTTTTTTTTTTTTTTTACCTCTTTATTCCTTTTCTTTTTTTTTTTTTTTTTTTTTTTTTTTTTTACCATTTACTCTTCATCATTATCCAGGTCAAGGCACCCTTTCTTCCTCTCTTTTCTTTTATGTTTCTTCTTTATCTTGTTTAGGGTCAAGGCATAAATAAAGATTAAAAAGATTTTAAAAATAGATGGACGTCTTTGTGCTTGTTGCTGATATTTATCATTGTATCTTTTCTCCTCACCCCTTATTGAATTATATTCAAAAGGTTGCAGTAGTTTAACAAAAACAATTGATGTTCTCGACATTGTATTTCATGATACAATAAAGAGCCTGTGAGGATGAAATGGCTGTTTGAAAAAGAATATGTGATAAAATATAATAAAGGGAGAGTATCATGAGACTGTTGCTTATCTTTATTTTGATAAGGATTGGATAATCCAGAAAAAGGAGTAAAAACTATCCTAATACAATCAATCTTTTAAGTGACCAGAAACTGAAACATAGAAGGTACCATCTGAGTTATACGGTACCATAAATGCAGATACGACAGAGGAAAGCAATCCCATTTTTTATTGGAATACCTTTAGCCATGGGCGGCAAAACTGGCCAATCAAAGAACACTACTTGGTTCTATGTTAACCCAATTATAATTACCTGGGAACACGGTTAAATATGCACCAATCATACTCTAGCGGGGATATATTGACCAATCAAATAAGCACGGCAATATACTGACCAATCATATGAGGACGGCAATTCTGACCAATCAGATCGCTTGACCGTCTTCTTAGTAAAATTTGGCTGGTGCAACGGTTTCGGTTTTTTTTTTTTTTTTTTTTTTTTTTTTTGTATTGGAAGTTGTCATAATTTATTAAAGTATTTGCATAAAATTAAATAGGGGAAAGGAAACTATAAAAGGTCGGGGTGCGAAAATGACGGTCTGAAACTCCTGGAAAATACGGAGTCATGGACTTGGGGGCTAAATTGTTTTCGTGACAAATTCTTTTTTCTTTCCTCTGAATTAATTTTTGTTGTATCCTTCCATTTGAAGGGAAGATGCTAATCTTTTCAGTGCATGGTCGGTTCGCCATGGAAGATCTTCCAACGATGTTTGCCAATGATGTTGCCATACTATGAGAAGTATTTTCCCTATCATTACCATGATGGAAGTATTGACTTTCTTGCGAAACATAAGAATTTCCCATAAATCGTGTCCTTGGATAACTTGGGTTTGTAGACTATAAAAAGCAGCACGCCAGAATTGAACTTTCCTTTTGCATAGTACTATAAGGTGTCGGTCATCCTCATAATCGCCACAATACGAGCATAGCGGGGATGGATATCGAGCAGGATTTATGTGATGGAGTCTAGCTTTAGTTGATAGCTTTCCGACTAGTGCGCGCCACCATATTTCTGTGGCCTTGTGTGGGATATTCAATTTCCAAAAAGTTTTCCATTGGTATTTGTTCATCATTTGTCCTCCAGTAAATGCACGGGGTGGTTTGACGAGGGGGTAACCGCTGGGTGCTTGGCTTGTCCACCATGTCCTGAGATCCTTTGGTGTGGATTGATATACCTTAGAGGTTTGAGGATTCAAGGGGTCCAGAAGCCATTGTTTAAAAGTTAAGACGTCTTCTTGTTGATTCATAGTAGGAACTCCCTCTTGTTGTTGGAGGTGTGCTCTCGTTCGTTGTTGGATCCCTGGTTGCCAGTATACGTTGCCGAAGATGAGATCTGATACTAAGTGGTATAGCTTTTTATCTCTTGGTGTAATGTGTTTTGGGATGAGCCAATGTTTTTCTTTGTCCAGTTTTAGGAGGTCTTGTACCATGAAAGAAAGCGGAACTTGTTGCATTCTCTTGGGGTCTTTGCACGCGAAGGCGAGCTGTAAAGGGATCTCAAGTAAGTTTTCCAAAGGCCATGATGGATCTATTTGTATTGATGGTACAGCTGATAGTAACCGTGCTAAGTGTTGAAGATGTGGCATGTGAAGCAAACAGCGTTTGTATGTATTAGGCTGTAAGAGTAGATGGAGGTAAGTTGGTGACTTAGTGTAATAACTAATGTATGTGTGGAGAAAAGGATGTAGGAAATTTTCGAGACCAGGTTGAATCAGCTTGTATATGTATATCATGTGTAGGGCGTTATGCTGTTGGAATACATCAACTAGGTTGACACCCCCTGCCGCCTTTGGAGAGCAGAGCAATTGGTATGATGGCCGAGGGAAAAAAGGTAGCATGTATTTTCTAATCGCTTGTTTGATTTTGAGTAACCATTTCTTAGGTACAATTGTCACTCGTAGGATATGCCATAGGCGGGATAGGACAAGGGAATTTGCCACTATCGATCTACCCCGGATAGAAAGATTTCTTGAGCCAAGGTAGTTAAGCTGTCGTTCTATACTGTACCAAAGGTTATCTAGGAAGATATCTAGTTGTGAGGCTGACGTGTACAGTGGGTATCCCAAGTATGTGATGGCCATTGGACTATGTTGATCATGCCAGGTAGTGGAAAGCGTGCTTGCCAAATGTTTCCACTCCTCATGGGGTTTTCCAGTGATCGAAAACATGACGGTTTTTTGTAAGTTCATTTTTGCATTGCTAGCTCGTCCATACAAACCTAACATTCCCATGAGATACCGCCATTCTTTCATGTTCCGTATGAAAATTAGAAGGTCGTCTGCGTATGCCAGAAGTATCAATCGAGGTTCTATGGTTTTCATTGGCTTTAATGGTGGGGATTCCTTGCGTGATATGGCTTGTATTCCTGTCAGTTGTTGTTCTTCAAGTAGCGTCCTAAGCAAGGGTTCAAAGGCGATGTCGAATATCAGAGGAGACAGAGGATCTCCTTGTCTGAGACCTCGTTTTTGGGTGATGGGAGCTGCCAGCCAACCATTGATGGACAAGTGAATATTAGTATCAAAAAATAAATTCATAAACATGGTAATCCATTGGGAGGGAAAATGAAAGGCTTCCATTGTTTTTTGAAGATATGTAGGATGGATGCGGTCATATGCCTTTTCTTGGTCAAGTAGTAGTCCAACAGATGAATCCTTTGGAGAGGTGTTCTTGATATGTTCCATCATGGTTTGGGTTACCCATCCGTTGTCTGATATTAGTCGATTTGGTAAGAAACCTGTTTGATATGGATTAATCATCTTAGGTAACGAACGGTTTAAACGGTTGGCCAATAATTTCGTGAATAGCTTGGCATCGCAGTTGATCATCGACAAAGGGCGCCAATTAGATAGCAGTGTGCGATCCCCTTTTTTATATAGAAGGACCATCCTCGTTTCTTTCCATGACTGTGGTAGGTTTCCTGTTAATGCATCATTGAGGACCATACGAAGCAATTTCATTGTAAGTGGATGTGTTCTCAGCAGAATCTTGTAGAGTTCGAAACCAAGTCCATCTAAACCGGGGCTTTTGTTTATAGGGCTTTGTAGGACAAGGTTGTGATAGTTGAAGAAATAAATAAAAAATAAGTGAGACAAAAGTATATCTTTATTGAATGAGAATAAAGTGAGAGAAAAAGCTAACGCAATAAAAAACTCCCTAACATATAAATGACAGCTGTTACACAAAATGTTGATTTTAAGATAGATCATTCAGATCTATCTTATAGACACCACATTACCCCCTACCAGTCTGAAGACGTTTGAATTAAGTCCTTCTTTTACGGGTTCTTTTTTGAGGTTTATGATTTGTGGTGTGTTCCCTTTTTAATTTCTTATTGAATTGGGGTACTGCAGGTTCTTGCTTTATTTTACTCCAATATTCTTGAATGGTCACATCACTGTTAAAATTCTCTGATGGTTCCCAAGTGTTATGAATAGCATCATAATTTAACCATTTGACTTTGTAAAGGTATTTTCCTGATTCAGGGTCCAACTTATGTGCAACTATAGCTTCTACTTCATATGTTGTTTCTTCAACATCATTTGGTTGGTTAACTGCTTTCAATTGAGAGGCGGTATAACTTTTTGGTAATATATCACCAGTACTATCTTTTAGAACATATGTTCCATTCTGAGTTTTTCTTACTACTTTATAAGGTCCTTCATAAAGTGGATCCATTTTAGATCTAAAACTGGGATGTATTTTGACACGCACAAAACTATCTGCAGGGAAATCTTTTTGCATGTGCTTGGAATCAAATTTTGATTTTTGTTTGTTTGTGGCTTGAAGTGTTTTTTCTTCAATAGCTGGAAAGATAATTTCTTGAATTTCTTTCATTCTTTCTTTTACTTGTTTTTCAGAAAGTGGTTCTGCTTTACCATCTTCCTCATTATATTGTTTGAAATCATTTAGTCTTCTTCCAAACATTACACTGAAGGGTGTGGAGTTATGTCTTTTGGATACTTTATTGTTTAGGGCCAACTGTACACTTGGTACGAATAGGTCCCATTCTCCAACTACACCTTCTACGGCTTTTTTGATTGCATTCATTGTTGTACCTACAGTTCTTTCTGCAGCACCATTGGCTTGTGGATAGTAGGGCGTGATTAACCTATGGTCAAAACCAGCCTTTTGTTTGAATCTCTTCATTACTTGGTTTGCAAATTCTTTTCCATTGTCTGATTGCAACACGGTAGGTATTCCGAAATCACAGAAAACAGGAATTATTGCTTGTACTACTGATTCAGCAGTTTTATCTTGTATAGGACGAAGGATTACGAAGCGACTGCAGATATCAATCATTACTAGTAAGTAGTTGTTATTACGATACGTTTGTGGTAATGGTCCTGCCAGGTCAATTGCCCAGTGGTCACCAGGTAATTTAGCGCTTACAGGTTTATGTGGGTTATAACCTGCTTTTACTATGTTAAACTTTTGACATTGCTGACATGACTTTACAAGTTCTATTGCTTGTTCTTTTAGTTTAGGCCAGTGTAGTCCATTATTATGTATCGCTTTTACGATAGCTTCAGCACCAAAATGACCAAATAAATGCGCTTTTATCAAACATTCATTTTTCTCTGTCTCCGTTGGAGGTTCCATCATGTTATTTTCTAAATAGGTCACGCTAGCTGCTCTTACTACTTTGTCAGTTCCAACTTTGATAAAGTTGGTAGATTGTATTTTTTCTGTAGGTAGATTACCCTCCCCCAGCTCTTTGTCCATTGGAAAAAGGCGAGATAAGGCATCAGGTAAGACATTGTTCATACCCGGTAAGTGGACTACAGTGAATTGGTAATCAAGGATGGTATCCAACCATTTGTTTAACATAGCATTCAAGTCTTTTTGCGTGTGGATGTATACTAACGCTTTATGATCTGTATGAAGGGTGAAGTGACGACCCCATAGGTGTTGATGGAACTTGTTGAGCGCGAAAACGATTGCCAATAGTTCACGCTTAGTGGTACCATAATTACGTTCAGATTTCGTCAATGAACGTGCCATGAATCCAATGTGACGTATACGATCATGTTTATCAATTTGATATAGGACAGCCCCGATACCAACATCCGATGCATCAGTAGCGACATGGAAGGGTAAATCAGTTTGGGGTGGGTGAAGAACTGGTGCATGTAGCAGCGCCTGTTCCAGGTTGCCAAAAGCATCATCATGTTCCTGTGTCCATAAGGTACCTAAATTACCCGCAACATTTCGAAGGCGATCGAGAGGTGCGGTAAGGTTTGATATTTTGGGAATATACTCCCGAAAGTAATTAACCAAGCCAAGGAAACGTTGTATATCCTTGCCAGTGCGAGGTTTGGGCCAATCCTGTGTGTTCGTTACTTTACGTGGATCCAAGTAAGTTTTGCCGTTAGTGGATACGCAGAAGCCTAACAAATAGATGGTCTTCTGGGCAAAGTGGCATTTTTTAGGGTTAAGTATCAATTTGACACGAGTTAATTCTTGGATCACCAACTGAACATGTGTTAAGTGGTCATCGATGGTTCGACTAAAGATGACGATATCATCGACGAAAGTAGCAACAAAATTACAAAAAGGATGTGGTGTGAACAATTTGGTCATCACCCGTTGGAATTTAGAGGATATTGGCTTAAGACCAAAGGGGCATCCACGGAACATGTATTGCTTCCCATCGACGGAGGTAAAAGCTGTTTTATGCTGATGTGGTGGATGAATTGGAAAGCGATGGAAGGCATTTGTCAAATCTAATGTTGAGAAAACATTAGCACCCTTTAGTTTAGTGAAGATGTTTTGTATCTTAGGTAAGGGAAATCGATCATCCTTTAAATATTTATTGATATGACGAGGATCAAGACAAGGTCGCTTATCTGTATATTTTCCTGTGATATCTTTTTTAGGTGCCATAGTCAAAGGACTATTCCATCTATTATCTACTGTTGATGGCACTTCACAAATGATACCATCTTGCAACCATTTATCAACCGTTTGCTTTACCTTTGGTACTAGAGCAGCAGCGATATTATAAGGAGCACGATAACAACTGACATTATCAGGTGTGTCTAAATATATGATTGCGTCTGGATGGGTGCAAAAGGAATCAGTAGGTATTTTTTGATTAATGTCTAGATCATGTTTTAGAGCATCAATAAAATTTTGTTGTGTGGTAACAGAGCCATAAGGATCTTCATTGGGTATTACTACATCTTTGATGGGACTTTCCTCATCATCTTTCACTGGGGGATCCCAAGAGAAACATAAACCGGTGTGACCTATGCCTAATAGATGCATGAGGTCAGTACCAATAGACAGATCTCTATCAAAAGCTAGGTCCATCACCTCAAAACTAAAGGTATGATGTATACCTGAATAAATTATATTCAATAAGGGAGTGTGACCATAACTTTGTATAGTGATGCCGTCATTAGCTAAAACTATAACACTATTATCATTATTGGGGACGATGGGTATTTTATGTTTTAAACAAAAAGCTTTATTAACAGAAGAAAAATTGGCACCAGTATCCAGAAAACCGAAGATTCTTTGATTCTCTACAGAAATGGCAACATTAATTTCTTTGTCAATTTGTGTTGTTTTATTTTCTTTTATTTTCTTTTGTTTCATTTTCTTTGTGATTGACTTACAATCTAAGATGTCGTGATGAACATCATCATCAGCATCGTCCAGATCCATCTTGTTGTTGAAGACAGAGGCAACAGTGTCAACAACATCTTGTTGAGCAGCAACACTCCTAGTGGCAGAGCGTGCCGTTTTCTTTGTGGGGTTCACAAAAACTTTGTTTTTGTGTCCAGCACATTTGTGTCCAGGCATGTAGGTTTCACCACAGCCTCTTCGACAAAGGACGCCTCCATTAGGTCCTTTTTCATACCCTGGTCCAGAAGTACGTTTAGAGGAAACCTTGGTACCTCTTTGCGTAGGATGAGCACGCTTTTCATGATGATCATCATGATGATGTCGTTTCTTCGTACGAGCTTGTAGATCCATACCAGAAAGGAATTTCACTATTTCGCTTGCCTCCATATGTAATACAGAGGAGTCGGAATTGACAATCTTATCCAAAATCTTGCGCCGCCAGTAAGATGGCATCTTGGAAACAGTACCTAAAAATAAGGTTGCCTCCAAAGAAAATCCTTCTCCTTTGTAAGCGTTACACGCAGCAAGGAAGCGAGCACCGAACATATCAAAGTCCTCATCATCCCTGGGTTCCATATCAACTAGATTTTGAACCTTTCGGATTTGCTGCTTAGGAGTATTAGCATACTCCAAAAGCCATCCTTTTACCATTGCCCAAGTGGTAGTAGGGTCATTAATTTGACTACACTTAGTAGCCAAAAAGACTTTGTAGTCATTCCCAATGACTGAAGGAATGTACTTGCGAGTAGCTTGATCCAAGTCTAACTCATACAATTCCACCCTTGTTTCAAAGGTTTCAATGAATTCAGCCACGTCGTGATAAACATGACCATATCCCTTAGGCACACGTTCACGGGGAGACATTAAGCAGGGCATTTCTTTAAGCCTAGGAAATGTCACTGGTCCAGCGATTTTAACCACATTTTGGTTATTCATTTCCTGGATACCAAAAGCAGGCTCATCAGGGAATCTGCGGTGCAGTTGGTATTTGAAGTCATTGAGAGACTTCGTTTTTTGATGAAGTTCCTCCATCAAATCATCGGTTGGTTCGTTGCTTTGGGCTGCTGCCAAAAGACGATCATCCAACTCATCAATTTTTTTAGTCAAAATTGCCAAAGAATCTTTGGCTTTTTCCAAAGGCGAACGAACAAAGAAAGGAGCAGAGAGATCCGACATGTTGTCGCTGGTGGTGGTGTTGTTGTTGGTGATATTGTTGTTGTTGTTCATGTTGTTGATGTTGGTTGTTGTATTCACTTAAAAAAATGTGATAGTTGAAGAAATAAATAAAAAATAAGTGAGACAAAAGTATATCTTTATTGAATGAGAATAAAGTGAGAGAAAAAGCTAACGCAATAAAAAACTCCCTAACATATAAATGACAGCTGTTACACAAAATGTTGATTTTAAGATAGATCATTCAGATCTATCTTATAGACACCACAAAGGTGTTCTATGTCTTCGTTAGTTACCAAGGTCATCAATTGAGATTGCTCTGTCTCAGACAGAGCCGCAGAAGAAGGGATGTTTGCTATCAGATGGTCAATGGCTTCTGTGTCGACTGGATCAGTGCTGTATAGGGATTTGTAGTAGTTCCTTGCTTCCATGATGATGGCTTGGGAATCTGTGGCTATGTGTGCAGTGGTTGGATTCTGAACCGCTGTCATTGTCCTTTGTTTTGTCCTTGCTTTCAAGACTCCAAAGAAATACTTGTTGTTTCTTTCTCCTTGTTCTGTCCATGTGGTATTAGATCTGATTATGAGTTGTTCCACTTTTTGTTGATAAAGTGAGTCCAGTTCATCTTCGATCATTGTCAGTGTTTTGGGTGTGGATGTCTGTTCCCTCTGTTTTTGTAAGGTTTCCAATCTAGATCTTAATTTTCGGTTTTTTTGTGATGTATATTTAACCGTAAAACTTTTAATCTTAGTTTTGATTTCGTCCCAAAGTGTCTGTCGATCGACCGAAGTAAGATCCTTGTCCTTGAGGTATCTATCTAGTATCATTCGAAGTGCTTCTATAAAATCTTGATCCGAGTCCAGTTGAGGATTGAAACGCCAAACCCCAGGTCCATAGTTGATAGATGTCTGAAGCATCAAGGTAGTGGTGAGCATATGGTGATCAGTCCAACTTGAGGGAAGGTATGATATTTGACTCTGTACTAGCTGCGAAGACAAATCTGGTGTTGCAAAGATGTAGTCTAGCGTTGATCTAAGACCGTATCGATGGAATGTTGGCGCTGGTTGGTATACTTTGCCCTTGTTGACCTGTTGGTGTTTGTATATGTCGACGAAGTGCATGTGGATGTATTCAATCCATTCTTTAGTGTCTGAAGCATTGTGTTCCGTCTGGTATAGGTGAAGGTTGAAATCTCCTACTAAGATATGTTTGTCTGGTAGAGGAGGGTTTGTCAGTTGTGGATTCCGTATGAAGTTCTTATAGAAATCAGGTTTATCGCTGTTTTGAGCAGGGCCGTAGAAATTGGTGATATGGCAGATTCCTTCCTCTGTTGAGGAGTTAATGATGGTTGCAGAGGTACATCTTTCGTCTGTACTTACCGCTTGATTGGTCAGATGTAATTGTGGGTTGATGCAGATAATTGCCGTATGACGAGAGAACAAGCAATCCATGTTGGGGAACAAATAAGATAGGGTGGTGATATCGTTTTCCAGTAAATGTTGTTGTTGTAGGCGGTTACTTTTGAGCTCTTGTAAGCAAAGGACGTCTGTGCGTGGATGGAGGTTCGATCGAAAGTAGCGAGCTATTTCTCTTTGTGTGGAGGTGTGTGTTGTTTTGAATATGCTTCTAATATTCAAAGTAGATATATGGATGTTGTTGATCATGGGTTTTGAGGTGATATGTGTTTTTGTTTGTTTTTAGGGATTTGAAGAAAGGGGAATAAAATAGAATACAAGAGAATAAAATAAAATAAAATAAAATAAAATAAAATAAAATAAAATAAAATAAAATAAAATAAAATTGAAAACAAACTACTTTACTTCCTTGAGGAAGAGGTAGTCAAAGTATTGAGCCTCGATTTCCTTTGTGATGCCGTTGAAGAGAGAGGAACTATAGTGGCTGTCGAGGCTGTTGTGGTTTGTGGTGCAAGTCTTCTGTATGTTTTGGATGAGCTCAGTGCCATCATCTCTTTGGTTGAGTTAATCACTCGGCCTTTCTTGTTATCAATGGAAGATGATTCTTCTGGGTCCACATCCATGGTGGTTCTTGTAGTGATTGGTGCATACTTGGAACCCTGAATCCCCAACACTACTGTATCCCTCTTTTCTTCATGAGAGACCTCCTTTTGGTTATCCAATTCCATTCTTTCATCTTCTGATACTGAGTTATGTGACGAAGAAGTTGACCTTTCTGATGATGAAGCCACTGGTAATGGTGTTGGCATCGCATTTTGAATTTTATCATTGGGTGATGAAGGAGTAGAGTTCTCTTCTGTTGATATCATTTGCTCCTTTTGTTGTAGCTCTTGTTTTTGCTTTATCTGTTCGTATTGTTCCAATGCCATGTTAAAATCTTCCTTGTTCATCTGACAGAATTTGGCGGTATGTCCTTTTTCGAGACAACGAGAGCAGGTAATTTGTTTCATCACTGGACATTCTTTGCGAATATGTCCTGCCTGTCTGCATTGATAACATACTGGTGGAGCACCTTTAAATGTAGCAGGAATATATCTATCCCAATGAGCCATATATAACATTCGTTGCAGCGGGCGATATTTCTTGTCTACACCATCATCATTGGTGTCAAGGAGGATAGATACTTGACCTTCAAAGAAGTTTCCATTCATCATTTTCTTGATTTCACATACTTTGCCATAAAATTTCATTGATTCAAGAATACCTTCCTTTAACACTGATTGTTTCTTGGGCACATAGTTTAGAAACACTCTGGTCATGCGTGGTGGTTGCGTTGACCCATTAAGTCTGGTAGGGCTTGCCCTGTAGTTCACTTCGTTGATAGTAATTCCTTTTTCAATCGCATCACTTGCATGTTGACTTTCAACAAAAGTTACTTCTAATAAAAGGTTGCCTCTGGTATTAGAGCCAAATCGGTTTAGAGGTGTAACCCCATCAATAATTCCTATTTGATCTTGGATAAGAGTATACGCCTCCGTAAGCGTGGTGAATTCCCTTTTTGGTAGTTCAAACAGAACCGCTTCTTCTTCCAACGTTTGTTGAATGATCTGTTCAGCTCTATGGATTCTTATTTGATCCTTCAGTTGTTCGTCTTCATAGAGGGTCACCGCAGTATAGTGGATCTGATCACCCATCAGATCCTTAGAATTCATAGGCGCTGGGACCTTTGCCTGAAGTCCCTTCGCCACCTTCTGTGCCCATGATTCATCATTCGCATGATGATGGACATTAATTCCAGGACTTGTCATTTTTGCCGTGAAAAAGCTCGGAATTGATACAGCAGACTATCTGGATGTAGTAGGCTGTGAATATGTAGTTTTGGATGGTGTTTTGATATAAAATAGTAAAGTTGTAACGCTTAAATGGTTTTGCCGATGGTGGTAGTAATCTTTAAGCGAAAGAGAAGTCCCAACGGTTTCGGTTGAATTCATTTCCGAGCTTGATTTTTGATCCTCCAAAAGGATATCTCATATTGTCAAAGAACGAAATATATGTATTGGGATTTTAATTTTTCAAAGTGTTGCAAAGGATCCTTTTCTGATTTTTTTAGATTTAAAGCAGAACTATTTCCAGATTTTCTATTTGGCAAGAATAGAGCAGTTTTGGTACCTAAATATGGAAATTATGCTTGACTAATCCAAGGTTGGTAATTATCAAAAATAAATACTTTAAATAACAAATAAAATTAGACACACGAAATTATTACTATATTTGGTTCTTCTATTGCATTCATTGCCAAATTTGGAACATATAAATTAAATTACCCTTTATGGAATAGACCATGGTCCTTATTTTGCAGAGTTCAATTTCTTAAATTATCTGATTTTCCAAAAGCTATAAATGCAAAATATGATATCTCCTAGAATCTGGAAATCGGAAATTTATAATCCAATATTTCAGAATTTGCTAGCTGTTACAACTCCTTCGAACGATCAAAAATCAAGCTCGGAAATGAATTCAACCAAAAAGCCTCTCTTCCCGACTAATCTCACTTTTGGTCGGCTAAACGTTTATCCATAGTATAACAACAAACAACTGCAACAGCAACAACAACAACCGGTAGTCATGTCGAACATGGACATGGACATTCCTTCAGGGGAAGGTCCCTCAGACATAGGTCAACGTTCGTGGAGTGTCGTAGCTAAATCTGGGCTCAAACACAAACGGATCCCAAATGGACTTCCTCGAAAAGATGAGTTTGGTGTCAAGGAACGACTGGAATACACAACATTGTGGGAAGAAGACGACATTAGTCAAAAAATGATTGCACGCAAGGCAGCTGCGATCCTCCAATGTGCTACTTACACTGAGGCAGTGTATTTTGAATTGCGCAAACAAGATTTCGATCACTATACCGAAGCTTTTGATCTAGTGGCCAAAGAAGTTGGGCGTTTGAAAGGAGCTCGTCGAGTAACTAGGTACAGCTATCAAACAAGTACTACACTCTTGATCGAAGTACAATTTGTACACCCTGCTGACAGAAAGAAGGCCATCCAACAAGGGGTAGTATGCAACAACATCCTTTACAAAGGTACTCCGGCTAATGAAGGCACATCCGATCAATTAGTAAGATTAACTTTGAGTCAACTTCCCTATTTTCTTCCTGACGATGTTCTTTGCAAAGAACTCCTCGATGGTCTACGACGCTATGGCAAAGTTTGTCAGATCAAGAAGATAACTAATCGTGGATACTTTGAAGGTGACGCTCTGGTACTCCTAGATACCAAACCCATTAAGGACATTCAATGGCAAACGCTAGATCGTAGACTCTATTTAGAACCATGGGATATGGAAGTGAGTGCTTCATACCGTGGTGCTCCTCCTATTTGTTTCGGGTGTAAAGAATCAGGTCATATTAGAAGAAACTGTCCCCGAATGGCAAATGTTACCTGTTACAATTGTCAAGGCAAAGGTCACTATGCTCGTCATTGCAAAGAAAAAACTCGGTCAGAAAAGGAAGCTTTGGATGAATACGTTAGACTAGCAGCAATTCGTGACAATGAAAAGAAGGTGGAAGCAACAAACCAGACAAGCAACGACCAGCATATGAAGGAACACAGTGATAAACTTCGCACGAACGTGACAACAAACGCAAGCATTGTCTCATTGGATGCGAATACTACAATGCCTGAAGGAATTGATGAACAAATGGTAGAAGAAACTTTCGATGAAAAAGAAAACGATGAGAATATTGTTACAGGATTGCTCCGCTCACGACTTTTCTGACTGGTTTTTCACAACTTTTTGCGCCACACAACTTTTTGCGCACGACTTTTTGCGCACGACTTTTTGCGTACAACTTTTTGCGTACAACTTTTTGCGCACAACTTTTTGCGCACAACATTTTATGCAAAACGTTTTATGCAAAAAGTTTGATGCTACAGTACATGAAATTTATTGTATCATTTTTTTCATTACAATGATAAGTAGAGAAGAGAGCAACCTTTTTGGTATGAATAAAGAAGAGTATTGTGTACAAGCCTTTGTTTACAACTTTTTAGGTTCAAATTTTCGTCATACTCTATATCCTGCGTGAGAATCGTTATATCATCTCTTCTTCATAGTTTTTACATTTTATTATACTATTCACCTCAATTTCGTTAAAATGATCAGTCAGGCACTCATTGGTAGACAATACTCTGATAAGGAAAGCATTGATACCGACATTAGGCGTTTCGCCCAAAAAAATGGCTTCGGAGTCACCAGGTCATTTAACAATACCAATGGAACCGTGTACTTTTACTGCCGACATAGATATGGATATAAGAATAATGTGGACCCTGAGAAAAGAATTCGTGTGGGAAGAACAAGCAAACTTACTGAAACTTGTTCCTGGAAAGTGTATGCAAAAAAGGTAGAAGAAGAATGGCGCATCTCGAAGATCAATCTTCATGGGGGATTGGTCATTGACGCCAGTAACGTCAACCAATTTAACATGGAATCTATCGAGGAACATGGCCATCCCACGATTACCAATGCGTTTATTACAGCTTCAATAATTCCCTCAGCAAGAAGATTAGGCGACGAATCGAAGAAGACTATTGTCAGCATGCTGGATTCAGGGGTTGAGCCATCAAAGATCGTTGCCACCATGCGTAAAGACAAGGAAATTATTACCACTGCTAAAGATGTTTATAACATCAAGCAACGCATGGGAAAGGAGGAAAACGACAATAGCAGCCAGGATGAAAAGTTGGTAAAGAAGTTGAATAGAATGGAGGAAGATGGCTTCTTTATCGATGTGAAGGTGGGCAAGTCTGGTGCCTTTCGTGCCATCTTAATAATGCATCATCAGGCGGTCGACTTTACGAGACGCTTTGGGGAGGTTTTGCTGGTTGACGCCACATACAATACCAACGATCTGAAGTTGCCACTCGTCAACATCGTTGGCTTCACCAACCTGGGGAAGGATCGTTTGACAACCTTCGTTGCTGCGACCATCCTGATGGTCAGTGAAGTGAAAAGCAACTACGCCTGGGCGCTCGAAACTTTTAAAAATGCAGTATGGGGAAAGAACGACATCAACACGAAGGTAACTTATGTATGAGACGATAAGGAGAGTAAAGACTAATTTCTTTTTATTTATTGCAGATCATTGTCACCGATCAGGATGTGGCACTCGAAAAAGCAATCGAAACGACCTTCCCTGAATGCCATCACATGCTGTGTGTTTGGCACATTTCGAACAACTTCCGAAAAAATTATGAAGGATCGTTTAGAAATGAAAATGGCCAACACGTAAGTACAGTACTGATTACTCCAATTGTGCGGTAACTATAGTCTTGTTCATTACCAAATTAGGACAAAGGGAAGGAAGTAAAATGTAGATCGGTGATAAACATGCTCTTTTACGACAAGGACAAGGACAACTTTGTCAACAACACAAAGGTGCTCCTATCAACTTTCGATTTATCACTAAATAACATAAAACTGCGAAAGCAACTCGATCAGTAAGTACCGTTATGGTTCTTGCTTTATCATAGTGATATATTTAACGTTGCTTTACTTTATTTTGTAAAAAAGGCTTTTATCTATCAAGCACAAGTGGGGAGGACCGTGGTGTGAAACCGTAAGGCACTACGGAACAAGGACAACCCAAAGGGCAGAAAGTGCTCATTCGTCTTTAAAGACAATGCTTGCAAGGAAGATGAGTGTAGGCAGTTTGGCAGGAAAGGTGGGGCAGTGGCTCACTGATCAGGTAAACTACAGTACCAACTCCATATCATCAAAATTTTTTGTAGTAAAGTGAATATAAATCCCATTTCTTCTTATGTTAGTTTCGGGAACAGAGGATTAGGTTTGAATTTGAAATGGAGTCCAGTCCAGTGAATCTCTATGAAGAAAAATATTTCAAGGACATAGTAGGGAAAATATCTCATTTCGCGCTGAATTTACTTTACAATGAATATCGAAAGAGAGATACTGTTGGTGAAGAATCTGAATGTAATTGTGCTGCTCGTAGCAGCTATGGACTTTTATGCAAACATACTCTTCCCGGCGTACTGATAGCTGACGATATAGACATGTTCTGGCATTTGAAGAAAGAAGGTATAGCTTCACAGTCATTCTTTTGCAATTACAGCATATATTGTTTTATATTACAGTATAATTACGATAATGTATTCTGACCCTACCGTTTCTGCTTATTAGAAATAGGAAGCTCCCACATAACACTGGAAACCGGTTTGATCGTTGATCACGAAGCTGCCATGGACAATATTCGTAGCTTATTGGAAAAGCTCCCAACTTCTGCGCTAAATGAGGTAGTTAGCAAGGTGTCTGTGATAGTTCAAAACATCATCGATGACAGTGGTCCCAAGGAAGTAATGCCATCAGTTAGTCGTCAACTCATTCTGCCCCAAAATATCAAACCCAAAGGTCGGCCAACGAAGAAACAAAAGCAAATACGAAAGTCGGTAGTTGACAGGATAAATGACAGCGAAAACAAAAATGACGACAAGCTTTCTTTGGCTCGGTGGGAAAGCAACTCCTGTTACATTGATTGTGTCATTGAGATCGTACTTAGGATTATCCTACCAAACGTATTGCCTTATGACGCAGATGAAAAAGGAATCTCTTATTTCATCAGCATACTTAAAAAGTATTCCGAGAAAGAGCAATTTGTCCTAGGAACAAAATTTGCAAGGGAGTACTTATGGGAAAATGGGTTCGAAAAGCACAACCTTTCAGACTGCCAACTTGTATATCATGCAATAACAGATGATGGCCCTTTGCAAGAATATTTCTCTGTCATTTTCAATGATCATCGGTCAATCAAAGCATTCGAAGTCATACGGAAAAAGGATGACGAACCAGTTGGAATACTATTCAATAAGGACAAATATCGACAGGGTGAAGTACTGTTTCCGGCAAGCTTCCTTACCATCAATGATGCAATAATATCACA